TAAGAGTATAAGTAACTTAACGAGAATACTAAGATAATCGATTAATTACTATATAGTCCTTAGAATATCGACTATAAGAACTTAAGGAGTCTAAAAACCTCGTATACGATCCGTATAGCCCCTAAGGTCTTATATACTAGGCTCCTTAGTATTTTAGGACTAGTCTTAGTATAGAATAGGTGCTTCTAGGGTCTATCGTAGTCCTATCCCGTAATAGAAAGCGACTATATATTCTACTCCTTCTTTCTACGATCTTCGGCTACTTCCACTATAGATCCTAAACCTTATTCCCCGAATAATTAGAACTACTTATAGCTCGGATTATAATAGTATAACGAGAATTCTAAAGCTAAGTATAAGGGTTCTAATAGGAGCTTATTTAACTACTATAGGACCTATCTAATAAGGACGTTAAGCTAAAGGGAAGAGAGAAAGAAGTCCTACCGCTATCTAATAGGGAGATATAATCTCCTAGGGTAGGTCGCCCGGTATCCTAGGTAACTATTAGTATCACGTAATATCGTCCGGCTGTATAACTATACGGTCGAATCTAGGCATCGCTAGTTTAGTCTTAGCGTCGCTCGCCAAGACATCCATTGATATTACGTGACATCGTTCGGCTGTACAACTGTACGGTCGAATCTAGACGTCGCTAGTTCTTACTAAGACACTCATGGGTTCAACCCATCACACTAAGAAGAGAAAAGAAAAGAGGAAATCTATCTATCGTACGAATAAAGGAAATACTTCCTACTTTCTTCTATAGTAGATTAATATAGTTTCCTAGGAGATAATCGATAGAGAGGAGTTACGTAGCTTCGGCCCTATAGTTATACGGGCTAAAGGTATACTACGAGTAATCGCTCTAGGGAGTACTCTAGAGCTTAATACGGATTTAACTCGTAATAGTTAGTAATTCTATACCTATATTTAGGATATAGTCCGATAATTAAATATTCCCTTTATCTTCCTAGTTAATACCCTAGTACCTACTCTATTAAGGAATCCTACCTTAGTTAGAACTACTTATAGCTCGGATTATAATACTCTTCTATATAGACTATAAGAATATCTATCGAGATCCTTACTATACATCCGTTTAGGCGCTATACTTAGGGCAATAAAGGCATCCATTCTATTAGTGAATAGACGATTCCGTTATGTCTAAAGGGGGACTATTTCTAGTCCTACTAAAGCCGGCTTAGGTAGAGAGTTAAGTCTACGACGAGGGGAGACTAGGGTCGGGTATTCTTGACACCAAGGGAGAACCACCTCCAAAAGCGGCGGCGCCTACCGCCATATTCGGAGGGAAATTTCCCTGCAACTTGCGTTGACTTGTAGTTTTGGCCCCTTTGCCAGGCCAAAAATGATTTCGATGAGTCTACGGCCGCTCGGTATGCACGTGACCGACTTCCCATATCTACGAAAGATACACGAGCAACGATGCATGAGGGAGAAACACTTGGCTAAATTGACATACTCGGAGTTCTTGGGCGAGCACGATACGATGTCATGTACATGTCAACCTTGGCTGCAGTATCATTTCATGTATTCATAGGGAACTCAATTCTGAAGACAGTAAAATCTTTTAGTGCCTTCAGCAGGCCAGTTGCGCCTCACACAATCAGCTCAAGGGTACAAATTAGCCAGCCTAGCCATTTCTATGGGCTAATAATCCCAGGCAGGAGATCCCTGTGGCGTCCAGGTACTCCCAACCTATGTCATGATGCTATCTAGATCCCCATCCTAGGAGTCCAGCGCACAAGATCTTCACGATGTTCATCTTGGTCAACAACTTCTTCAGAGGCTGTGCGCTCACCAAAGTCTGGTATGCAGCAACGACCACTGTTCGGCGGGCCCTGACGTCTTTGTCGTTGACGACGTGACGGAATTGCGGTGAGACCTTAGAAACGTCCGGCATGACCGCGAGATCGGAGGCGCGGATTCGTATGTTGTCGTACTTTGTTGGGGAGGATGCTAGGTTCGGCCACAGTAGGTGTAGACCTCAGGCCCTTCCCACTTGAGGAGAGCATCGACGCATGCGTAGACCAGCGCTGGGGGCATCCTCAAGTGCTGAGGAGCAAGAAACTGCCTCATCCAAGCGTCTCACTCTGAGGGCATGACTCATTCTTCTGTGGCCTTCAATTCCACGCCTCACAGCAGCATTCAATACTGCCTCTCGTGGGAACTCTTCAGCGTAAGTTGAAACATCCACTGGTTTATTTCCGCTGTCACCACAGCATCCAGACCATACCAAAATCACTCCTCCGGTCTGTCCAGTTGTGGCCATCCGTAGAAATTCCGATTCTGTACTTCATTTGCGATTGCCTTCGTAATACTTCTTGTTTCAGAGTGACTGATGCTCTCTTTGCGTTTCTCGTTTTGCAGATCCGCTATCGTCCAGCGCCAAGAGGAAATGGTCACATGATCATATGTCGACTGCTGACTCAGCATTGCCTTTTACACATTGGCACCCAATTGGCAAAGCCTCTAATTATCTACTTTGATCAGGGGTGTCGGGTAGGAAGGCAAGGATTTTATGCGCTCCTTGCTGCGCATTTCAGATACATGCAGGCTTTCCAGACCTCCCAAGTTCTTCAAATTTGGACTCCTAGAAAGTCATTCAGCTATGGTCAACTCCCCTTTCATAACCGCTCTAGCTTGTCCGGATAGAATGATGGTTTTGACCCTCTTCCCGTCTGCATCCAAAGCGACTTCGCAACCGATAATACTCCGCCGGCCCATCTGAACGCCCTGTTCCAGCTCGAAGAAATATTTCGCGCCGGATCCTCCCTCAAGCAAGGCCAGGTACGCGCTCAGCGCCGCACTTGCCGCACCAGTCGCTGCATCTTCTAACCCTATCCCGATCATTCTTTGCTGGACTCTGAGCACTCCGTCGCCGGCATCGGGCTTCTTGACGTAGAACAGATCGGCAATCAAGCCGTGGTCCCAGCCATTATCCAAGTCTTTCATCCGTGGTATGTCGATATTGGTCACCATCACCCTGTCCAATAGTTCAGGCTGCTGTGCAAGATCGATCAGTCCAAAAGTCACACCCTTGACGATGGACACAAGGGGAATCGTTGCATCCTTGAAGATTTCGGACAACAACTGTGGTTGAGATGCAACCACTCTGTCCCATGGAAGCCTTGTCGCATGTTGACGGAAATCATGTGGAATTTCCGCTGCAGCTCTGGCGGTGTTTCGATCGAACGTTGCTTTTACAGTGCCTGCCTTCAAAATAATGGAGATGTCATCACGCTGCTTTTCCAGGTTCTGAAATATGTACGAGGCGGTGCCGATCGTTGGATGGCCCGCAAATGGAATTTCAGACTCTGGCGTGAATATATCTACCCCGTAGGTGGCGGCGGCGGCATCGGGAGAAGGTTGGTGCAGGAAGACGCTCTCTGAATAGTTGAATTCTATCGCGATCTTTTGCTTTTCTTCCTGTGAGAGGGAAAAGCCGTTTGGAACATGAAGGATCGCGAGTTGGTTTCCGGTGAACGCCGTGTCCGTGAAGACGTCGCTTGTGTTGTACGAAATCGTGCGAGCCATGAATTGTGGAAGTTACGAGAAGGCAGGTATTCCAAACGACTGAGTGGTTGGCTGGCAGGAATAGTCGTAGTGAATAATTGTTGTCCAAATGGCGTGGTGCAATGAGACTGGTACTAGTGCTTCAATCCTGGAGAAGTCCTTCAGGAATTCGCTGAGAAAGGACGTGCGTGCTTGACGCGATCTGGCATTCAACTAACACTTGATACCAACCAAAATACTATTTTATATGGCGGGTAAGTGGTATATAGACTGGTGGGAAATCAGCATACCTGGGTACTTTCATGAGCATCCAATTTCTCAGCTGTTCTGTCAAAAGGCGCTGCCAAGCCGAAACTGACTAAGTTGGGGACTGGTGCTCTGTGCATACTTCGAGCTCAATTGATAGAGTACGAAGACGATGTTACTTCAGGTTACAGCAGGAGATACTCATATGGAATATCCGGGTGGCCATGCGACAAGTGCCAGTGGTATTCCAGTTCAGCCAGTGTCAGTAATCGAGGTCTCACTCCACTGGCTTGCTGCGGTCTTCATACATATGTTCCCGAGCATCAAGTGTCACTAATCCAGAAACACTGCATACCGTTGTTTAGCAAGCCATATACAGACATGGAGGACGTCGTGAGGGGTGCGGGGAAAGGGAGCCTTGCCATGTCACGCCACGTCACGCCTCATATGTACCTATCATCTTGCCAAACAACGAAGGACAAACCGACGACACGCACCTGCATCAACTATACTGAGAACTGAATATCAGTACTGCCAGGACTGATCAGAATGGCGTATGCAGGCCGGTTAGCCATCATCGCGGGCGGTATAGGTAGGTACGGAGGACTTCGAGTGTCCCATTAATGCCGCACATCCAGAATTGACGGAGCACGACAGGAGGGCTCGGCTCAACCACCGCGGTCAAACTGCACGAGCACGGCGCCAGTCTTGTTCTATTGTATGCACCCTTCGAAGCGTCTCGAGTACCTACCGTCTTGGAGTCAGTCTTCGGAAGCCAAGAGCCGGATGGGGTCGTCGCCTACGAATGTGATATCACGGATGAGAAGTCGGTCCAAGAAGTCTTCAGTCGTATCGAGCAGCTCGACGCCTTTCCCTCCGTCCTGGTCAACGCGGCAGGTTATGTCTCGGTGCAGCCACTGGAAGACACGTCGGCAGCCGAAGCGCTGAAGAATTTCCTTCCGAATCTACTCGGACCGTTCATCACGAGTAACGCGTTCTTCAAGATCTACCAGTCGAGGAAGTCACGGTTGAGGCATGGCGACAAGGCCCCCCCCGGTCGCATCGTCAGCATTGCCTCCCAGGCCGCACATGTTGCACTCGATGGGCACGGAGCATACTGCGCCTCCAAAGCAGGATTGATCGGGCACACCAAATGCATGGCTAGTGAATGGGCGTCGAGAGGCATCACCGCCAACACCGTGAGTCCGACAGTTACATGGACACCACTTGCAGCAAAGGCATGGGCGGATGAAGCAAAGAAGGAGAAGCACTTGTCCCAGATCCCAACAGGTCGATTTAGCGTCCCGGCCGAGATTGCAGAAGCCATTGAATTCCTGTGTCGCGACACCAGTGGCATGATCAACGGGGCTGATCTTCGGGTCGACGGTGGCTTCACCATCAGTCGATAGGATTCAATACAATGTACTCCCGTGCAAAACAAAAGCATATACTCCATGCTGCCCTCCTCCCGTTCCACGGTTGTGGATCTGGAACTAAATATTTACCAATTTTGGCCACACAGCGAATCCTATATCGGGAATACCCGTCGGCCGTCCGAGGCTCAGAATCCCATGGGATGGGCACGGTGGATTTAGGCTGATTGAGGCGAAACTGCTTACCCCGCAACCACCTATCAGACTACCATACCTATGAGTAAACTGTCATCAATGGTTGTCTATCCGGGGATGGCAGCTCCAGGGGGTACTACTTGCGCTACTACCTAGCCACCTGCTGACGGGTTCATGTTCATGGTCCATTCTCCTCGTTTATGCGCGTGGGAGAGGCGATTTATTGGTGCATATAAATCGCATGCATGAAAATCGCCCAACCTGATGTAAGTCGACTCTCCAAATAAACGGACATGATCCCAAGCAGGCACCTGCGCGGTTTGCCGATACCAGCCACGTCAGCAGGAACACTGGTACATAATCATACGCTGAACCCGATTCGTATCATGTCAGCTATCCCTATTCAACATATGTTCCTTAGGCGACCAATGTGCAGCCGACGTCACCTAGCCTTGCCGTACAACTGACCAGTGGACTCGCGAGCCACTGTTTGTTCAAGCGCCCATACATAAACCAAGTGCTCTCCCTTTTGGAAAATTCGAATTTAACTAGGTTGATGGCACAGACCTAATAGATGATACAAGCATATGAGAAAGGGCCGTACAGAGCTAGAATGCATTGGCCGCGTCATCTCTACCCTTCCCACAGCGTTGGCAAGTCTTGGATCAGGTCGGATCGTGTCATCGATATTTTGATGACTCGGATCATGATCCAAATTATGCCCCACTTAATACTCTCTATAGACTATGAACCTATTATATAATTGTTGGAGGATTTGGACTGTACAACTGTACGGGCCAATCGATACAGGCAAGTCAGCGTTGTTGAGATTTCTGTCTTTTTCTATTCTATGGTCACTGTTCTGGTTTATATAGATAATCACTAGGCAGGATGACCTCCTGGAGCCTGTTTTCCATGATTCCAAAGCATTCTAGAGGCTGTGGCACTGACTCATTGATCGTCATCACGAGGTTGTCTGCATGTTCCGTCGATAGTCACTTTGGCGCCAACAATAATCGTTTATTGATTATAAAGTACTATGTAGAATATTATTAATCCGATATCTGGAACTGATTACGAAGATCAGTAAAATGATCCAAAAATGATCCGATTCAAGGATCATTTGAAGGTAACATAAAAGTAGCGGCGATCCGATCCGATCCGATCCTGATGCTGCCTTCGCTGCCTTCGCTGCCTTCTCACATAGGGTCCATGGTCAATGGCCGGTTGTGACAGGTTCAACACCTTCCTCCATTTTGGCCTCCATCTGACCGCTGCACTTTGGTCTCAGTGGGGCGGCTGTGCGAGGGAGGACATCATGGTCATCAGCGTCCTTGTTTCCTTGCTCCTAAATATGTCCTCCGTTACCATTTCAGCAAACCACCAAGTCGATTCTATCGATTAACACCACGACGCCAGTGGGGGCAGCAGCAACACCTCCCTTCCCGCTGCAGCCAGGAGGAGGGGGATTCTCATTTTCCCCAACCATCTTGGACCTTCTGCCACTCCTATGTCATTCATACTTAGGCTAAATCAAACCAACAGTTGTCGACTGAGGCTCACTCCACCGACCTGGCACCGAAGAGAAGGAATTTGCGTACTCTGACGCGATGCGATGCCGGCCATTCAACAACTGACTGAACTGACCTGGAAGTTGAACCTTCTTGTTTGGGCGCGGGACCTGTATTCCAACCAGCTGTGACAACTCCTTCACGATCGAGTCACCGGCAGAGACAATGGGAGGTTGACTGTCGGCGGTCCTCCAGATCTCTATAAGAGTGAGGGAATCTCGCTGAGATATAATCTGTCAAGCCTAGCAATCATCACTTCACAGCCTTGGAAACTAGCCTAGAGACATCCACACAAAGGTTTTTAAACTCGACATTTCATTCGCAAAACCTCCGACACCAAGGCTCGACACCCACCATGCAGCTCAAGACCATTCTTCTCACACTCACCCCAGTCCTCGGCCTCGTGGCCGCCAACCCTGTTGCCCCGCCCGTTGCAGCAGCAGCTCCTGCCAGGATCTGCTCTGGATGGTGTGGTGTTGGCACCGTGAGTTCCCCGGATTTGGACAGCTGCGTCCATGTGTTGACGACAGGTTCTCTTTTTGGCTGACAATTCCTGCCTCTTCCATAGTGCTGGTGGACATGTACTGGTACGTGCGGCGAAGCCGTTGGTTCGTGCATCTAGTTTAATTGTCGACAACCCATCCCCGGCTTCCCTTCCAGCATTCAATTCTTCCGTGGCGTTCCAAAACTACGGAGTTTTCAAGAACGACAGACGCGGATGGGGAGAGCAGAGTACATGTCAGGCTCAGAAATGGTTGGGAAGTGAAGCCCATTGACAATTTACCTTTTGGGTGCTTGCAATTTGGCTGTTGGCAGTGGTGAGGAGAGGAACCTGCCAGCTGCAGATATCACTCATTCAGACACAGACAGACAGACAATAAAAGTTTTCGTGCACGGCTCTTGACCTCACGGCTATGTCAATGTGAAGTTGGTGATGATACAAAAAATCGAACACACGAGAATACCGAGGTACTTTGACAGAGAACGTCATTTGTTCAAACCTTTGCTTCCGATTGTGGAGGTGAGTACACAGCATGCCCTGGGCCTGGATGACCTCACAAAATATGGCATTGGTGAAATACAGACCACCCATTGTAGCGGTTGGTACACAGCATCCCAGGCATACTGTAGCCTCCGGGAGTCTGCAACGATTCGAACGTGACGTGAATACGGACCGACCTCCCATTACAGATTGGTACACGGATGCCTTCTATTTCATACGCCTAAGACGAGTCGAGACGGAAATGTTCAACTCCAGCTTCATGTTACAACAACCTCCTCTCCCCTGGTAGATAACATGTGGAATCCAATCAATTGGGCAGCGATCGAAAGTCGTGGATTCTTTGCCCCTGAGAAGGGTGGTGGGGGGAGGTCCCAGCATTCTCGCATGCTGACCTCGTCGATCACAAGCTTTGCCTTCCCCTCGTCTCGATCGGCAGACACACCATAGCGATAAAAGCGGACAGCATGAGCGCGCCGGAAACGTAGATGGGAATCTTGGGGTTTGCAGAGGATCCGTGAATGGCGACAATTGGTGCACAGAGACCGGCGATGCGATTGAAGAACGAGGCGATCCCGGTGCCTGTCCCGCGGTTGGGAGCGGGGAATGTTTCTAGAATGGAAGTGTTAGCATCTGATAGAACGGAGACGGGGGTAGTAAAAGTACCAGGAGTATAGGCGTAGAGCACGCCGTACATGATGTTCTGAAAGAATGCCACCAAGCAGTTGAAGGCGAGTTGAAAGCTGGCGTCAGTCGAACTGGTGAAGAGAAACAGAAAAATCCCCGTCAACAGCGTTGCAATCGCCATCGTCCCCTTGCGGCCGAGATACTTGACGTCGACGAGGTAACAGGCGATGACGCTCCCAGGACATCCGACGATGGACTGGATGGCGTAGTTTCGATAAACGATGCTGGGAGGTGTGGGTGGCGCATCGGGGTCGACACTAATCAGGTATTGTGGAAGGAAGGCCTGTGTGAATGGTGTCAACCATCTGGGATCTAAAGCCCAGAAGCAGCGAGACTTACATTGAATAGCGGATAGCCCATGCCGATGGTAGCCCACATGAACCAAAGGAGGCACGTATTGATGGCAAGCCGCCTTTGCGCAAAGATGGGCTTGATCCGCTGCGTGGAAAACTTATCGGCCTGTCGCCGAATGATTTCCATATTGGACAATTTCATGTCGGGCGTCTCCTCTGGCCGACCGCCGATTTGGTTCAGAATATCCTCCGTGAGCCAGGTCTTTGCGCCGTTGTAATATGCGATGGCGTGCACGACCGTCACTGCTTCTTTCTGTCGACCTCTGCTGAGGAGGAACTTCGGTGACTCGAAGAGATGGAAAAGAAAGAATCGGCAGATGAACCTGTTGAAAGTGTCAGCTCGGAAAATTTCCCCTACCCAGGCCGGAATGACCCACATGAAGAATGTGAAGCAACCCATTGTATAGTTGAGATACCGCCATCCCATGTTGCTGTCTTTGGTACAGCAGGCTTCGCCTCCGGAAACGGCACCACAAGCTGGTAAAGACTCATCGCACGAAAAGTTGGGCAGGAAACCCCACGCGGCTAGACTGCCGAGCAACTGTCCAAAAGGCCAGAACACCGACAACATGGTCAACATGTTGCCACGCACAAAGGGCAAAAATTCGAGGAAGAGCGCTCCGTCTACTGGTAGATTGCCGCCAACTCCGCAGCCCTGTACAGTTCAGCGTCAGTATGGGAGGGAGTCAAGGATTGTGAGCCTTTCTCCTGGCGTATTGGGATTGTACAACCAGACGCCGTCGACTTACCAATGCCGCGAACAATGCACAGGCCTGGATCCAAGTGGTGGCGCCTCCTACGGCGGTGCCAAAGATGGACGTTATCAGCAGAGTGCAATTAAAGGCCAGGCGTCTGCCGATGATGTCCGAAATCACGCCCCAAAACACGGCGCCGATGCACAGACCGGTGAAGAGAGCCAGGGTGGTGTATCTGACATTGCTCTCGCTGACACCGTACTCGGCAGACAACGAGGGCAACGTCAGGGCAACGTCCTGTAGCCAAAGATTGTCTGCAAGCCAGCCGAAGCCGCAGAGGACGAAGAGTTGCCATTGATAGGTGCCCATGCCAACATCGGCGATGGCCTTGTTGATGACTTTGGACTTCCGGTCGTAGGCCGAATCGTGCCCAGAGGCGGCGATGTCTGCATTGACCTCTTCACGGAGTGACTCGATGGTCAGATCACCGCTGGTTTCGCCGACCTTCTTCTCAGCCGCGCCTTCACGGGTTCCTACCGTCGACGCGGCTGACAGGCGCCGATTGTTCTCGGCGACAACGCTCGGGTGACGGGGTGCATCCTTAAGTGGGACGACGACGCCGGAGAAGTTCTCCAAATCATACTTTTTGAACGGGTTCAGAAACCGCATCTTGGGCACCGGAAATTCACGTCACTGGTTCCGATGGCCGATGTATTAAATCCTCGGATCCTGAAGTGCTGCGATCGGATGGTCCTCGATGAACACCAACCTTGATGATGAAGCGCAATTCCACCCAAGCCAATGCTCTTGCTCAAGGGCGGTGCTTTCCAGTGCAGATCATGGAATGACTGTCGGTCAGTGGGAGAAGTCTGCTGTGAAGTAGTTGAAAGATATTGCGAGGGACAGTGTCCTTCCTCACGCAGGAATGGGAGAGTTTATTCACACAGCGGGCACACGAGCAGTACAGGGACTTGTTATAACCGTGGAACCAGCCGTCCCTCCACCCGCGGTGAGTGGGAATACCTTGACCATGGCCATGCTCCACTCGTCTACACATAGGTGTGTATCTTTTTGGTAGTGTAGCACTCGCTGCACAATGACGCAAACATCAGGCCAGCCAAGGGCGGGAAGCAGGGAGCAAAGATGCCATTTGCACAGAGACGATGGCATTCCCCGCTCGCGGCTGGATGACGATGTTTGGTTTTCAAGATCGACGCACGAACCTCGAGAATCTCAAGGACATCGAAAATGAAATCTGGAGACCATCGTCACACCTCCACTTGGATCTTGGGGCTATTGACGCTACTGTCTTGGTATCTCGCGTGGCGCCGACTTAACCGCCTCAAGTCCCCCGAAAAAGCTTTTGCCTGGCCCTCCTGCTTCGACGTGCGAGAACCGGTCCTCAAAGACTGCGTAGGAGTGTGCCAGTTCATTGATAGGTGTATGTTGTCGGTCGAGTTATATGGACTGAGTTTCGAGATTTATGATAAGTGCCGAGATTGCTTGGCACCTGCACAGCGTGACTGGAACTATATTCAGTCCTCGGGATTCCATAGGTATTGATCATGCTGCCAAATACCGAGTTTCACGGTATCGGAGAGGATATCACGTAGGTTCTTTGCGTCTTAAGCGAGAGATTGTCGGTGGTTACGAGATCTCCGTAGTGCACATTTCAAGAGTAAAGATGCCGATCGACCCAGCAAACTAAATGAAAAACAACGGTAGCAGGCAGGCCGCTCCTAGAATATGGCATGTCATATCTTTTCATCACCAAAACACCGGGGGGCAACGGATTTTCATTATCTGCACCTATCTAGCTAGGTAGACAGCCTGCCTCAACATTGAAGGTGCACCGCAGGAACGATCTGAACTTGTTTATCCGCATGCTGTTGGGTTACTCGTTCTAGAGTCGAGTCGAGAAGAGAGCTTACAAACTCCATGTCCATGTTATGCAGCGGAGTCAAACAATGTTCATGAAATGCTAAGATACAAAATTGGGCTCCATCGCCACTGGGGATATCGAGGAACCTGTGAGTGAACCCGCAACATGCAACCGGCGTCCTGTTCAATGAGTTCATGGATGTATCGTGGTAAAACATGAGTCGATCTGGAACGGTCGACTGTTTTCGTATCAAGCTGTCACAGAAATTGACACAAACCATTAGCTGTCCAGTCGTTTAGGTTCTTGAAAATACCTTGACGGCTCCATCGCCTCCACAACTGATGACCCATCTCCCATCCGGACTCCAAACCACACTACATACACCCTCGCCTCTCATTATCCGGTGACTGGATATTTCTTGTGTGCAGCTCCTCTTCTCGAGAGACCAAAAACGCAAACTGGCGTCGTGCCCACCGGAGACGAGTTCTTTTCCATCCGGACTGAGGGACAGAGAAGATATTGCGGACGGATGCGCGAGCATGGTATACGTGCATTGCCCTGGAAATTGAGTTAGGTTGGCCGACCTGGGAAAGCAACGTAGAAACATACCACTATTAGCGTCAAAAAACCGAATAAAACGGTCTTCATATCCAGCAATGACGACTCCTTCGACACCGCCCTCGGAACCGGTGGCACCATGCACCACATCGTCCTCGCCCATCGAACCACGACGACCGGTTGTCACCGAATCTCTCGTGTCAAAGCCAGTGCTAGTGGCCGCGACAGCATTGATCCCTGTATTGGGAGTTCCATCGTAGGTCTCCTGGCTCGCCATCCCGACCACCTCCTCTCCCGTCCGGGTATCAAAGACCAGGACACTAGCGTCGGCATAAGCAACGACAAAACTTTCTCCATGGAGACCCAGCGGAGAGATAGATGTGGGAGCTGGCTTGTCCGCCCGTTCGATGCGGTGTACTAAACTGTAGTTGAAAGGAATGGTGCTCGCGACACTGGGTTGAGGCGAACTGGGAAAATTCGATCCAGCCGAGACGGAGTTTGCACGTCGATTCCCCCGGGTTGATCGGTTGCCGGCATGAGGAGAACTCAACTGGGGTGGCGTACTCACAGCCCATATCAAGATGGTACCGTCGGCAGCTCCACTGACGAGCAGAACTCGGTCTGGGCCACCATACTGTGAGCAGCGTTCTCCCAGGAGAGTGCCGGTCAAGCTCGGAAGACAACACAATGCCCAGACGGCATCCTTGTGCCCTTCCAGAGTGGCCTTGGCGTCGACCCGGCCTCGTTCCCAGACCTTGACCGCTGCGTCTTCACCGCCAGAAAAGATCCATCCGTCCCCTGCCGCTCGGCCTCCATTGGAGAAGTTTGTCGACGCTGGACATGCCGCCAGCGAGCACACCGCACCTACATGACCGCGATGCGTGAAATGGGCAGTCCGGTCTAGATCATCGCCCAAAGCGACACCGTGAGTATACGTCGCTGGAATATGCCATCTCTTGACACCACCGTCGTCGCTGGCTGTGCAAAATTCTGGCTCTGCCGGACTTCCACCTCCAGTGAAAATCACGGATCGAACAACGTCCAGGTGGCCTCTCATGGCAAATCGCACTTTGAACTGGGACGTGGCCGGTTTGGACGCGGCCAGTTCGCGGGCATCATTGTTTCCCTCACTCCGTCGCCTTGCGCCAGAACTCTTGCGTCGATAAGATCCCGGGGCTCGAGGAGGGGATTTCGAGGGTATTAGGTTGGCGCTGGGGAAGACTTCGACGTCAGGTCGATGTTGAGTGGGCGGATCGAGCGGTTTCTCGTGTGGTGCAGGGCCGTCGTCGAAATCCCATCCGTCACTGACCTCTTTCGGAACCTCGATCGGTGCTGCGTCGGTTTGATCTTTGGCAGGGACTTCGCGGCCGAAGGAGTCGAAAGTGTGACTAATGGACTCTATGCGTTCCTCGGTCACGGGCATTTGTTCGTTGAAGAAATTCTTTCGAGGATCCACCACGGGCAGGGATTGAATCATTTGGTCTGATACCTTCCTCTCCCCCGTGTTTCGTTGCAGCTCCTCGTGGTTGATTTGTGTGTTAGACCTAGCGAGAGGTGCAGGTTCTGCGAAAGGATTTTGCGGTTGAGCAGCATTTTCACGAACCATGGCTACATCTCGGTGGTGTTGTTCTTTAAGTTGTTGCAACTGGACATAGGCCTCTTGAAGTTCTTGCTGCGTCGGTTGTTGCTCTGAATAAATGTGATTCGAATTGTTGATGGGAGCTGTGTCGTTGACATCAGGTGGGACATGAGAAGTCGGGAGGATGTGATACGTAATTTCCGAAGCGCACTTGCTGAGATAGCCTTTTGACTTGTCCCGTTCTTTCTCCTGGCGGATGCCTTGTGCGAGGTGGTTCTCGGGATCGACTTCGGTGTCAAAATGACTGATCGCTTTGGGAAAAGATTCTGAGCTGCGTTAGTGACGATTGGGGCGGCTGTTCGAGGTTTGGTCTTACCTTTCCCGAGGGCACTCAATTCTTCCTTGGCGAGTTCCTTGGGGTCTTTACGGACGTCGTCGAAGTCACCCTTGGTCAGCTTCTTGACCTTTTCCCGCTCTTTCTTGAGTGCGAGCTCGAGTAGTTTGACGTGGCGTTCGAGCGAAGTTCGGAGCCCTTTGCTCGTCCTGGTTTCGCCCTCTAAGCTAGCTATTCTATTCTTCATCTCCTCGCGCTCGATTTCCCACGCGTTTCGATCTCGTTCATGTCGGTGCCATTCCGTCTGCAGGAATCGCATGACACCTGGATGAGGGGTTAGCTGAGACTGTCGATGGTAGGTCTGAGGCCAGAAACTGCGAACCTTGAAGAGTGTATGCTTGGACGCCATTCTGATCTCCTGCGGGCATCCCTCCAACACCACTGCCGCCGGCCCCGGTCTGCCACGCCATAATGCGCTTTCTGGCGCTCTCTGGCTCGTGATACTATCATCTAGCCATGCGAAAGGATTTGCGGAGGCAGTGATCACGGGGCTGGGTAATGGACAAGTTTCAGTTGCGACGGACAACCGGCGAAGAAAGGTCGGAAGGGTGGTCGGGGCGGGCGAGTACTTGAGAGGATTTGGGCTAGACGATTTATCAGAGCCGTGGAGTAATGGATGTATGAGAACGGAAGAGGAGAGTTGATCGTCCACGTTGACACCAGTCTTGGTCAGGTTCGAGTCGAGGCGCGAGAGCTGCGAGGGAGAGTACTAGTCGTAGTCGTGAGCGGCTCTCCTAACTGGTTACTGACTGGACGCAGTTCGGAGTGGTTTAGCGTGGCTAAGCTACGGTGCAGCAAAAAGAGTCTATGTCTAGTGCGCACAACGGGCATCTACTCCCACGTAGTTCCCTCATCTGGCCTTCCCGGAACAAGCACCTGTCAGTTACTCGTTGCTGACTGCATTGTGAGCTTCATTTCTGGTCCTTTGTCTCCAACACCGTCGACAGCCTTAACAGAGTGTGACAATGACGCAGGTATGTCTCCTAGACTCAGACCGTCTTTCCGCACTCCTACGGGATGCAATCTCGTGGAGTGACCATGTTTCGTCAGTCATGGTCTCCTCATTCAACGGCTCTATTCTTGCCTATGCATATAGGGATGCCACTCCCTCGATCAAGAGGATGCGCACCCAGTCTACCACCATGACAGCAGCATATACAGTTGCCTCGGAGGATATCCTTGTCTTTGAGGCTCAGAACATGGGCGCAACTTCCGTCCTTGCACCGGTCGCAGACCACGTCCTCCTCGCCGTCACTGGACCGGAGCCCAAGCTCGTGAATGGGGAGATGCATGAAGGAGCAAACTCGGCTCACGTTGCAGGGCCCGATGAAGAGCACGAAGATGAAGAAGAGCAGCAGCAGATCCGAACAGATCTTGAGGTTGTCAGTCAAGAGCTCGCACACCTCTTGAGAGGAGAGTTGGCAACACTGAGATGGCCGGACGATATCTGATGGGGCTGTTTCCTTCAGGTGCCAGATTCCAGGCATTGTCCACACGAGCAAATCACACTCATCCCCATAGACTACATGGTCGACCACTTAGAATCGTTAAGAGCAACGGGATGCATTGCCTCAATCACCAGCATAAACTCCGATGCACAAGGCAGGATACTAGTATAGACGGGGTAAGCCATCGCACCTAGGTCGGGCTATACACCACGGACTGCTATCCCACGTCATTTGGTGCTAGGACGCGTTGAAGGAACTCCTTCCATACACATACGAACACGACCTCGACCACACTGGGTGCCACAGCAGACGCCGGCCAGAAGGCTAGCCCAGTCCCCAACGGTAACGACCCCGCATCACGTCCAGCGGCAGTCTAACTTTGGGACCTTGAGCTGGCGGGCTGGCGCTGGTGGGTTTGCCTTTAGGCTTAAAGTTAGGGACACATGGCAGGCCGAGTCAACCGTACGATCGGGCTTGTGGGTGCTTGGCCACCCAGATACCGATTACTACCTACTCTGTACTCCGCACCCCTGTGGGTGCTTGGGGCTTCACTGCGCGGTACCATTGTCAGAGTTGCGCGACTGGTGGAAGCCCCCCAAACCCCCGTGATGCCGCCACCACCCAACCGATCCTTTAGTCTAGCGTCTGGCCTGCCTCCCGCCGACCACAACCTACCATATCCATTTCCACGCGGCATCCCCAGATACCGCACCAAATTTAGACTCTTCCTCCCAACTTCTACTTCCTTTGACACTGTTCACACACTCATTTGCTCCCATAACCACGGCCCAGCACAATTAACCACTCCTCGAGATCTCACCGTGACTACGCGCTATGTTGTATGCTCAAGTCGTCTCCCTTGGCCTCGATTTCCACTAATTGATCCCGTCTAGCGCGATTCCACCTCCTCCACGATATCCCACCAATGCTAACTTGATCGCAACGACCCTCGAGACTGCAAATACTCTCCATATCCGCGAAGGGCCCGAGTATACCTTTCAAGCAGGCGAAGGTACAAGTGTCTTCTTCATTGAAAATGTGACTCGACTGACCGATGCTAGGCACCTATGTCTTGCGCGATGACCTTCAATTAGCGACCCCTCCTCCACACCCCTCTGAGGCACCCATCATCAATCCAAATCCCTTGTCCACGAGCGGGGTTCCTCCCACGAGCGGAGTCAAGTTATCGCTGGTATCTCTCAACCCCAAACAGGTCAAACCTGAACTCTACAAGGCCCCCACGGCGACAAGCAGTCTACTGCGATGGACAACCTTGGGGTTGACCAATACGAAAGAGGGCAGGGAGGCCCGAGAAGTCAGAGAAGCGAGGGAGGCCCGAGAGGCACGAGAAGCTAGAGAACTCAAAGAGCTTAAAGAGCTCAAAGAGCTGGAGAAGGATTCGCGAACGTCATTGGAAACGACCAGCGACACCAGTAACCCGGCCGGTTCTGTGAATGGCAGTAACCGATCCACCAATGTCCGCGCTTTTGGTGAAGGCAACGCGGCATTATCGCCGGTGATGAGCAGGGAAGGTCTCAAACGGCGGAAACCCAAGAACAACATCATCAAGAGCAATTCTTCATTTGTATCCCGAGTGATCCCACACGAGGCCCTTGCCAAGAAGCTGGTGGAGAGAGATCAGGGAGGTCTCTTTGCTTTTGTGAATATCAATCGAGCTTTTCAATGGCTCGATCTGTCCACGAGCAGCAAGGCCGACCCATTGACCAAGATTCTCTTCACCAAGGCGCACATGCTCTGTCATGATGTCAATGCGACGACTAAGCATTCGTCACATATCGACCTGGTGATGGGGTCCTCGGCGAGCGATATTATCTGGTACGAGCCGATGTCGCAAAAGTATGCCCGGATCAACAAAAACGGCATGATCAACAACAGTGCGGTTTCCAAGATCAAATGGATTCCAGGCTCGGAAAACCATTTTCTAGCTGCCCACATGGACGGGACGCTGGTGGTCTACGACAAAGAAAAGGAGGATGCTCCATTTGTTTCCGAGGAGTTGGTGGACGAGGCCATCAGTATTGAAGACGAAGACCAGTCCACCTTGGTGATCACCAAGAGTGTGAACTCGGCGAATCAAAAGGCGAACCCGGTCGCCTGTTGGAAAATCTCGAACCAGAATATCAGCGATTTCGCCTTCTCGCCTGACAGCAAGCATCTTGCGGTTGTTGGTGATGATGGATATCTTCGCATCATCGACTACTTACTAGAAAGGTGAGTTAGGCTCGCTCATGTACTACATTGTGTCGGTGGATGCAGCTAACGAGGGCCAGGTTGACTGACTTATACTCATCTTACTACGGCGGTTTTACCTGTGTATGCTGGTCTCCGGATGGCAAGTACGTGCTTACTGGCGGCCAAGACGATCTTGTTACTATATGGTCTCTCGCTGAGCGCCAAATTATCGCACGGTGTTTTGGTCACGATTCGTGGGTTACGGCAGTGGCCTTCGACCCCTGGCGGTGCGACGAGAGAACCTATCGGTTTGGCAGCGTCGGAGACGACTGTAAATTGTTGCTCTGGGATTTCAATGTTGGAATGTTGCACCGTCCGAAAGCGGTAAGTCACAGTTGATTGTTCCGCCGACCGACACTGACGATCTGGTAGGCAGCAGCGAGGACAAGAGGTAGTATATCGATGCAGACGGTTTCGCTGCTTCGACAACGGACGGAGAGTTCCGGACTCGCAAATCGGCTGCGATCTGATTCGAACAGAACGGGCACGCAGAGTGTTGCGCCAGAAGTGGTGGATGAGTCCCAATTCCTCAGCCATTCTGTCGAGTCGCGGGCGCGGACAGCTCAATTACCACCGGTCATGGTAAGATTTGTTGTTCTTGTTGACTCCCTCGGCGCGAAGGGCTAACATCCGATAATTCTACAGTCCAAGAAAATTGATGACCATCCATTGAGCGGACTCGCCTTTGAACAGGACTGTATAATAACGACGTGTCTGGAAGGTATGTGCCTGGCTCAACGATATTTACTTGCCGTGATTTTGTACTCGATGAGGGATCTGACACGGAATCAGGGAATATGCGAACGTGGAACCGACCTCGAGAAGGTGTGAACAGCAGCCAGATCAACCTGGCGGAAACCCCCAAGTCGTAACGGACAGCGGTGACCAATGTCAAAAGAACTCCCCAGCCTCGTGTGAAAGCATAGTTTACTGGATGCAAGGCTGCAGGGCCGATCCAATCGAAGTGTTCACCGACGTGCCTTATCAGTGGATCCTGGCCAAGCTCTAATGCCATTGCGATGCATGCAAAAGAAAATTTCGGTTGTGCGGCCGCCTACCAGTCAAGTCGTGGGCGAGGGATCCGTGGGATGATTGCGCAGGGTCAGGACTCAGGATTCAGAGTACGGAGTACACCACCGGCTATCAAGAATACTCGTCTCGGTACTCGGTAGAAGCTGTCTGGTTGTGAAAAAGGAGATCGCGGTCCTGGTGGCATGATAGACAGGCTTTGGCCCACGTGCCATCGGTTTCATTACCCTCGTGTGTTACCAGGGCGGTCGGCTCGACGAACTCGGATGATCCCTGTAGCGGATAGAGATTAGCTGAGGCCCGAGGGCATTTACGACGTCCTACGAAGGAAACTATCCTATAGAGGAGAATTGCACTGGACTCGGATTCAGCAGGAGACATGTTGCAAGACACGGTGCCATTGACACCACATAGTAGAAGTCATACCCGCTACACGTTTGTCAATCTAGCGAAGGTCAGGTGCGAAGTGCTGCTCCTGCAGGCAATTGGTTTCTGAGGGCGGGCATTGCCGCATCGCGTCGATGGCGTCGATGGTGGCGCTTCTTGACGAACGGCTTTCCTGGTTCTTCCGCTTCTATGCTCTATCAATCTTATCACGTCTCCCGCGAGAAGACGTGATATGTATGAACAACCACCAACAACCACCAGCAAGGCTTTCATCGACAGATCTCTGTAAACCTACACATACATACGAGGCATCGTGACTATTTTTGGCCGTGCGTAGCTCGTCCACGGAAGCACGTCACGAATGGGCGAGCCAAGCTCCGAGTAGACCTTCCAGAACAAGTGAAGGACTTTGTTCACGGTCGTATTTCCATCACTTAGTGCCTGAACAAGCGAGGAGGGTGGGATGGAAACGCAGCGCCGATTCCGTGGACGTCTGCAGGGTCGCCATGTTGGAGGGTGCCGAAGGACCAGTCACGAGTCTGACTGTAGCCTGCACGGAGTATTGGAGTTTCTTGAACGGCAGGGACACCAGTGCGCTCGGTAAGATTGTTTCTTTCTGCTCCGGATGATTCGGGGAGGGGATGGCAGGGAGGGGATGGATTGGATTTATATTAGGCACGGCTGCAACTGAAACTCAGGCGCTCAGCTTGACAGGCTAAGCCCGGGGGTGTTGTGGACTGACTCAGGTGGAGATGGAGAACCTAGGAGTTTAACCGTCTTCCTCTGCATGATTCCTGTGTGAAGCAGCTTGTTCTGGCTCCTGAGTAAGGCCAGGAAAGGGGCAGCTTTGTCGGGAAGCCGGGGGTGTGGAAAGCCGAGATGGAATTCCGAGTACGCAAGAACTAGTATTGATGGCACAACCAGGGTGAGATGTTCAGATACGTTCAGCTATGAAGAGGCCAAGCTCAGGGCAAACGGCAAACGGCACATGGGGCCTCACTCAGGGGAGCCTTGGGGGGGGGGGGGGCATAACAAGGGCTAAAAGATCCAGACAATCCCTGGGCAACCCTGGGCGTGGATAGGGTTTGTAGGACGTACGAGATGAGATGGAAGAGGAAGGAAGCTGGATGCAATAATCAATAATAATGAAGGGGTAATACTGCGCCATGAATAAAAGGCCCGTCCGCATGCCGGCATCACGCTGACTGACACCCGTTGGGGTTTGGGGGGGGGTGTTTGGGCTGCAGAAGGCCGATTGATTGGGAATCCAGGCACTTATATGGGTCCCTGTTACGTTGCTGGTAAAGTTCAGGCAAAGCTGGGTTGATGGTACGTCCTAGGTAGTCGGTAGGCCATCATCATCATAATAATAACGCCAGTGCCACCAGATCGCACGAGACGAGGTTCTGAACTCCAACATCAAGAAACACCCTCCCATTCTGCCTCCCCCCCCAGTAACACACACGCCCGTGTTGTCAGTGATAGCACCATCCGGGTTATCGATACACGAGTACTACTATTCCAAGCAGCGACTCGCACTGATATCACCTGACTAGTCCGTCTAGGGGTAAGTGGGAGTCTACAAACTGGTGGTCTCGAATGTGATTTATCGATAACACACGATCGAGAAGGCGGGCTCGAGAGAGACATCCTGCATCTTGTGGAATTCCAAGTTGCTCCGTACTGCTGTGATGGAACGGACGGCACCACTGGGGTCCAACTTTCCATGGTGCTAAAGCCGCGAGACCGAAGCATCCACCCCAATCGCCGTGCCTGTCGGGCGAATTCGCGATCTCGGCCAACAGCCCGCACATGAACGAGTGCACAGTGCACACTCGGCTGCGACTCCGCGCTGGCAAGATAACGGTGTGCAACAAAGCTTGATCTGCACGGCGATCAAGGCTTGAGGATTGAGATTAGAAGACACGAGAGAAACCAGGCACGGGCATTGGTACGGAAAAGAGTACCTTGGGTCCCAGTCGATAGCCAGGCATGGCGCCTATGGTTGGCACCTCCGGGCCCCGCGCAGCCAGCACAAGAGCGATATTACGAGAACTCGACCCATCGAGCTTCAAGGCGAGTGCGCATCAGGACGATGACCAGATCCACGGCCACAGTTTCGAGCACGGTCAAGAATCCCGGAACAGCAATCACGATGGCCTCCCACAATTAAGCCACGCCCCCACCAACGCCAGCACCGACAGTGGGAGCACGGGGACCAGCACCAGCATCCCCAGCATCACCATCAGCAGCAGCAGCAGCAGTGACTCAGCTGGTGGTGGCCGTCATCAGCCTCATCAGCAACGACCCCAACAGCACGCTGGCCGAATACTTCAACTGTCGTCCTCTTCCGTGTCGCTTCCAGAAGACGTTCGAAAGGAACATCGAGAAGAGATCGGAGTCGCACCAGCACCAGCACGTCAGCAGAACGCCACCCAGGCTAACAGCCCTGGTGGCCCATCATCATCATTCTTCCCGGCACCTGTTCGGTCCACTGGCCTCTTATCCCGGGCGGTGGCTTCGGCAGGCCCAGGGGCCTGCACCACTAATCCCACTGCGTCCGCGCCCACTACGACAGCCGCTACCGCCAGATTGACAGGCACTGTGCCCATTGTGGATCAGTGCACGATAAGGCCTGAACGTGTAAGTCACCAATCCCTTGCCCCTCCTTGCCCCTACTGGCCGCTACTGGCCCTCACTGTCCTTTATCCCTCACCTGCGAGTATGATCGTCCTTATGTGCTCGGTGTGATGGATACCCGTGAGTACTGCCACTAGCCTACTACACACCGGCCACAGTATGTGCTCGGTATTATTACGCCCCATACCGACTATTCTCCTTTCAGCCTTCCCGCCAGCCTGGCAATCATCATCCAAAACTCCACCTGCATTTTGTTCCTGTATCCGTCTGTGCCTCATTTTCCCTATCCTATCCACCTGCAACTATCCGTCCTATCTCGGTCCACAATTTCCACTCGCAACTCTTCTCACTTGTTTCGTTGTCGACACATGCCATTCGCATTCGTTTTTTTCTCTTCTGCCATCCACTGCCACTTCTACCTCTGCATATGCTCACCTTGACTTCTTTAGGTCAATCCGATCCTTCGTCTCACCCGCAAGCACACTCCTGCTGAGTCTGCTGCGGCCCACCATGAGCCTATCCAGCGTTCACCTCTAAGCAATCGCCCTTCGAGGAGTTCTTCCAAATCTTCCGTCGCAGATCGACATCTCCAAACCTCTTCTCCCTCCAAAACTCAAGCCATGGCACTCAAATTCCTCACTGCCCACAGCGGCTCTTCCGGAACCAGCAGCAGTGTCAAATACTTTGATGTCCGCCTGGGCAATGACTATATCGTCTTTCGCGGAAACGAGGACGAGTCTTCCAGCGCCGAGCTGTCCGGCTCGGTGGTCCTGTGTCTCACAGACATCATGAATATCTCTCACATTTCCCTGACTCTGAGTGGAATCGTTCATATGTCGTAAGTGGCTCCTACGGCTATGCCGGCACGGCAGTTGTTCGCGTGACCTGCACGTCCACTGACCAATCTCTAGATGGCAGACCTCCTCCACCTCCTCCATGTCTGGTAGACGTTCCACTTACAAAGAAAAGACCTTCTTCGAGAAGAATTGGGTGTTCCTCGACGCTGCCAAAGGAAAGACCGAAACCCTCCTGCCCGACAACTACGAGTGGCCCTTCCAATGTATCCTCGATGGCGCATTGCCCGAAAGTGTCGAAGGCTTGAAGGATGCTTGGGTCATCTACCGTCTCAAAGCAGAGATCGTGCGGAAACGAGGTCGAGACATCGTTGTGAGAAAGCCTCTGCGCATTGTTCGAACCCTAGATTCCAGTGCGTTGGAACTGGCTCACGCCATGGTACATTTCTGCTCTGTGACTTTTGAGATTGTCCCGTGTTAACTGTGTGATAGTCTGTCGAGAACATCTGGCCGAACAAGATCGAATATTCCATCAGCATACCGAACAAAGCCGTCGCCTTCGGATCATTCGTCCAGGTCGACTTTAAACTCATCCCTCTCCTCAAAGGACTGGTCATTGGAAACGTTTCGACTCAAGTCAAGGAGGAGCAAGAATTTGTCGTCGACCCTGAATGGGGTGTGCATGCGATGAGCAACGGCGTCACGAAACACGATCGCGTCATCGTCTCCGACATGTACAAGATCAATCCGGAGAGCGATGAGCAAATCCTCGACGAAGAGGCCGAGGGCTTTCAATTCTCTCGCTATCTGGAACTGCCAAAGAGCTTAAATCAGTGTCTACAAGACTGTAACGCAAAAGGCATCAAGGTCCGACACAAAGTCAAGTTCAACGTTCAGCTGCACAACCCCGATGGACATATCTCCGAACTTCGAGCGAACCTTCCCGTTTCATTTTACATCTCCCCCAGCTTGCCCATAAACGAAAATAACGATCTGGTCGACCAAACCCCGCAAGCGAGACGTGCGGCCGTTGCCAATGATTTAGCAAACGCCGCCCCTCCAGTCTATGGAAAGCATACTCTGGATCTGCTATACTCAGATATGGACGGATACAGGACTCCTGGAATGACCCTGTCCAATCCTGGAACACCCTACCTTCATAGCCGGCATGCCTCTTCCGATAATCTTGCCAGTCTTGCGGCCATAACGAACGGAAACTATGTCTCCCCTACCGCTCTCGAGAATAGGCTTCAGGATTTGCGGGGAGGAGGTTCGTCGTTGCCAAGAGAGGCAGAGGGCGAGCGCTATCTCGCTGCTGGCGGACCCCTCCGGTCAAGAAGTAATTCTGCTTCTCAGCCATTATCTGATGACTACTTCAACACCCATAGCCAATCAAATTCGTCCAATACTATCCGACTCAGTCCTTGCGAGGTGGCTTCTTACTCAGGTGGCCCATTTGGATCATCAAGTCAACCAGGGAGCAATATTATGTCGAGAAGGACGTCGGAAGAAGAGGACAGCCATCAATCAGGGGCTCGCACACCGTTCCCTCAATATGATCACATGGAGGATCTGGATCTGGCCAAGATTCCTTCCTATTCGACAGCGGTCAAGACTCCAGCTCCGAGAACAAACAGAAGTTCGAGCACACTGCCAACTTACGATACCGCCGTGCGAGAACCCACCCCTCCAGCCCTGGCCGAGCCGCCAACCGCATATATTCGCTCGGCTCCAAGAATCCCCGGAAGCCTTTCTTCCAGCCCTTCGGATTTGGGCCTCCTTGGATCGAGACATGCAGCCCCTCACAGAATTGTCAACACGATTCAAGATGAGGAGCGCAGGTTGAGATTGTTGCAGCAAAGGGCTCGGTAGAACGGCCACTGCATGAACCAATGAACATTGGGTGCCGCTGATATTCTGAGCATTTACTGGCGTTTTGAAATGATACCCGACGACGGCTTTTGGCGAAAGATTTTGTTTCACGCATGAGCATGATAGGCATGCCGATAGATTTTCGAGGGGCATCAACTCACAACGAGCTATGGGCTTCTCCATCACCACTCACACCGTCAGGGGCGTTGTAGCTTTCCTTTTCTTGATAGGCCAGGTCGGCCGTTGCACGAGCGAGATGAGCAACTCGAATACGCAGCTTCTGCACGTTTGGATTTGAACACAAGCAATTAAGCATTGATGCATGTTGGGAATACGATTGAAGAGGCTACGCGAGCGCATATTGTTAACAGGTTGCATTTTTATCGGGCGCTGCATTTTGGACACGGGGCCTCAGCGGAAGGTTCGGCTGATATATGATACATGGAGTCATGCCTACGCAGACAGGGGCTTCTTCAGTACGAGACACACTTTTACATACTAGCATCTTAGGGTAGGTCAAGTCAGAAACGACCGCCGCCTCGATGAACTGGTTTTGTTCAATATAATTTATAGTGGTGTCTCTCTAAGATGATCAGCTCTGCTTTTAACCTTCTAGAACGATTCAATTCTTGTCTGATGACCAGCTAGTTGGTGGAACTTCGAAGGGTGCCGCCACCGCCGCCTTCTATCTCGGCCCTCTGGGCCCCATTTAAGAAGGGACAAGAACCCCGGGGGCAAAAGAGCTTTGATTGTCGTCTATGCGTACATATCTACTTGAAGTCTTTATTGCAGTCTTAGATATAAGTACATATCTACTAGCAGCAGGATCGGTGCATCTCTAGGAAATGGGCGGCCGCGTTATTGCGCTGATGGCCTCGTGGTGTAGACCGGGCCCTTGCTCGCTGCCTGCTCGGCCGTGTCCGTATGCTGTACAGTAGAGGTGCGTCGCGGTGTATAAGGTGGTAGGAATGTCGTATCGTGGCTTGGCAGACCTCTTACTGCGTGCACCATTCCCGTGGCGGTGCAGCCCGTAGACAGTGTCTATGATGCCTTGGCTCGATATCCTGTGCGTGCCTGCGTCGTGCAAGCAGCACGGGCGAGCCAGCAAGCAGCAGTCTTAGGCCGGAGGCGGCGACGTGGGCCGAGATCGGGATCGGGGGCTTGGAAATGCCACGTCCACTCAGGCCGGCGCGTCCGTCCTGGACTTGGAGCGACGACGACGGCGGTGGAGGACACAGACCGGTCCGGTCCGTCCGGGCCCCGAGTTGCTGTGGTTCTTGTCGACGGCCTGGCCGGTTGACGCCGTTGGGCGATGCCGCGCATCGGATGGGATTCCTTCCCGCGCAATGGGCTTCGAGGCTTCTGTCTGCTGGTGGTGCTGTGTAGCGTGTGCGAATGCCGGCAATGCGGGAAGGGCGGTGTCGTATCGTCTGTCAGCCGGATCCGGATCCGGATCCGAGGGCTTGCAGCGCCGTGATAGCTCCGACATGGATGTGTTGAGTGCGAAAGACGGTCTCCCCTTGTGCATGCCATGCCCCGAAGCTTTTGGATGGGATGTGGCCTTGCCTTGCTTCCCTCGGAGCATGGGCCACTAGACGTGCCTCGCGAGGCGACGAGGACGCCTTTCTCGGCGGCAAGGCGCTTTTCTTCACTTCGCTTTGCTTTGCTTTCCTTTGCTCTGATTCTGATCCAACCGCCAGCTCCACCTCCTGCTGTGCTTGGCTAAGGTGGCCAGACTTGTTTGTGCTTGCTCCGCCTTCCACGTCTCATCGCTTGGCCTTCACCAGGCACAGCCCTTCTCAGCCAACAGCTTTCTGAAGTCTGAGCCGAGGGCATCCACGACGATTCTCAGCCCGGCCTGTCTCTGGCGCGTGTTCTGTCCGAGACCGTCTGGAGCCTTCGCTGGATTAGCGTCGGCCCCGGTGGCAGTCCCAGTACTGGCCGTCGTCGGCTCAACACAGATCTCATCGCCTCGTGCCTCTTTCGAGCCAAATTGCACGAGCGTCGATCCGTCGACGTCCTTCGCGCTCGATTGGACAATCTCTGGGCTGCTGGCTGCATTCAAAGTCCCGGTCTGCGTCAACGGTGTGATCGGCGTGGCGTCAAGTAGAGTCTGCCAGCGTGCGAGGAACGCGCCCGGTCCGGGGCTCGAGTGGATTTCCGGGGTTGCAAAGTCGGGGGCGTCATTTTTGGCGGGCTCTGGAGGGACCGGGGTGGCGCTATTGGCCTTGCGGTCAATCCCTGGAGCGGGACTCGAAGGTCGGGAATTTGGCCGCGAGGCCGACGAAGAGAATATTTTCGAGATGGCCGGGTTCTTCGTCGGTGGCGATTTCAGCACGTTTGCGAGTCGCGCGGACGATTGCTCGTGCATGTTGGAGAGGAATCGGGAGTGCGAGTCGAGAATCGGCACGATCTTGTCCTGCGTGTCTTGTGGGAGAGAGGCGAAGAGCTTGAGGAGGCTCGGCGTCAATGAGCCCGCTCCTTTCTCTGTCATGGCCGTGGCGTCTGGACTGAATTCTTCACCGGGCTCTCGCTTGAATTGTCGAGCGGCCGCTTTGGCCCAGTCGAGGTACCACGCCGTCAGTTCCTTGTCGTTCTTGCAGCATTGGTGCATGAATACGTGACAGGATCGTTGATGTTTTCGGAGCAACTGGACAAAGTCGCCCACCGTTGGGACTACTGATTTGCCTCCTTTGTCGACTTGGATCCTGGCGAGCTTGATGAGGTCCTTGAGAAAGTACTCAAAGTCGGCCAACGTCGAGGACAGATCAATGGCTTTGTGCATCCGCCGAATCACTGGTTCATAGGCGTCGACCAACTGTCGCACGGAGGTCGTCAGATGGTCGGGTGTGCTGCGGCACAAGCATTTCACCAGTTGCTTGCGGTCGCGGATGGATAGGTGGACGGAGAGATACTCGAGAGCTTGTGCGTGATGAGAGTCGGTGAGTTCTGTGGAGGGACTGTTGGCGTCTTTGAGGATCGCGGTCACGATCGACATGGATTGTTTCTGGCTTTCTTTTCGAATTTGATCTTGTTGCTCTTGCGGCTTGGTGGTGTAATGCTTCAGACACCGCAGTTGTTCCTTTCCGAACTTGGCCCGCTCCCGTTCAAGCTTAGAGGCTCGAGAATCTAGTTCTTTGATGTCCCAGTTAAGGACGGTCGAGATGATGCTAGGCAGAACTGTCAGCCGAAGGAAGGGTGGGCAATCCATGGAGGGTTAGGGAAGTGGACTCACGTCTGCATCAAATTCATACCCTCGTCTTGGGTCTGTGTCAGCCCCATCCAGTTGGTCACACTGGCGACACTCATCTTGGCCAGCCCGACTTTGACCATTGCTTGCAGCATTGATGCGACATTCCCAATCTTGAGAGTTTGCTTGAGGACAAGATAGGGCACCAGTTTGTTGGCATTGTCGACAAGTTTGAGCAGGTATTGTCCTTTGGGTGATAAGATGAGCGTGTAATGCATCAAAGATGCGAGGCTGGACGAGCGGTCAACACGGGCGTCTGCCTAGAGTACGCGCAGGCTATGGCTGGAACGAGGGAAGGGGGGAATGGCCGCTTACTTGACAAGGACATACTCATGCACTGCTTTTGTTTGAGAATCATGATCCTCCAGGTCGTCGGTTTCGGCGGTTTTGGCAACCATCTTGTCGAGCACATCGCCGTGAATAGCATCGTTCAGGAAATCACGAAAGCCTCGACTTAAATCGGCAGCGCTGGTGATGTCGTACTCCTTGCTGTGATTCTTAATCTCAGGAAAACCACCATATGTACCTCGTACGGGATATTCTATCAAGGCGGAAACGGCGGTGGCCAAGGTCTTGCGACTTCCGATGACGCCCTTATCGTAACTCTCCGACAGATTCGCCTTCTCCAGGTTTTCGATGATATCTTGGCATTGGACTTTCCAGAAATCTTCGGGGAGATTCCTCAGTCCGGGTAATGTCAACAGAAACTTGGACACCAATATCTGAAGGGCCGGTGAGGTAGAGGGTTGTTTCTCCTTGGTGGTGAAAGGGGGCCCATATTGAGCGAGGCTCCCCGGTCTTCTGAATTCGCGAATCTCAGCATAAGTGTCGTAGTGTGTCAGGATGTCAAACAGAGCAGCTGACTGGTTGGGGGAGAGCAGCTCGGCCATCGTTGGGTTTTTCGAAGAATCTCAAGAATCCATGGACCATTTATGTTGCTTGAATGGAAATTTGCCCTGACCAGGTATGTGAGATTGAAATATATTCATGACGTCGTTTGTGGCCGCTGTTTGCGGGCTCTGCAAATTCTGGCTAGAGATAGATAAGTATCTTAGAGAGTACACAACGCACTAAGTAGATGCCTAGGTTGGAGCTAAGCACGGTGACAGAGAGACTAACTTGCAAAGTGCGGTTGATAGTCGAGCCACTAATCGTCCACTAGCCACTTAGTAATTGGCTAGTGGTTCTGGACCCAGCTAGCGACCTAGGGCCGACTCTAACTTTAACAGTAAGTTTATTTCACGTCGTCAAGATATCAGCAGTTCAGCTTTCATTTTGGGTCTCTCGTGTGGACACTGTCACGTTGCCACGCGGCAGCGAGCCGTTCTCAGGCTTCTTGATCCCAAGTCGAGGGCGACTCTCACTCTCAATGTCTCCCTCCCATTGCGCCGATTGACCCTCTTCATGCCGGATGCGCATGCCCGCAGCCTTTCCAACACCAACGCTTTTATCTGCTTCCCCCTTCCAACCGAGTCCTGCCTTTCGAAGCAATCGCTACCTGTACGGCTTGCGAGATCTACTGCGTAGGGGTTCTTATTTAGATTGATTATTGCAGGAAACGGTCTAAGGCGTGGCTCGAATCTGTCTGACAGGCAAAGCCAGGCGGTCCTCGGCTCCACACTCGATCACGAGTTTACCAAAGCAGCTTAGGAGGTGTTGCATGAATACGATGTAGGGGTCCAAGCGGCCAAGAATGATCCAAAGTGCATACAGAGGACGCCCTATCGCCGCCGATAACGAGGAGGTCTCCCCATTTCCTGTTCACTTTGTTAAGAGGACGTGGTGTTGGATCAGGAGCCTTCATTGATGGTGAGCGTAAACCACTAGTCATGGTTTCCTGCTTTGCTTTTGGTTGTTGGGACGACAGGGCTGAGAGACTCACGTCCTGACTAGATCAGTAGATATGGTATCGCCCATGAACACAACCTTCGTTGGCTATCGCATACGCATACGCTCCTCGAGTCTTTTTCATGACATGGATTACCGTTGTGCTTACAGTGAAAAACCTCATTCAAGACTCATTCACAATGACCTTTTGCTCATCGATCAACGCATGCCAGCGATGGAGTCACTAGTAATTTCCATAATGCGAATATATTAGGACGCTATTTGGTTTGTTCGGGTACCCAGGTGCCCTCGATTCACCGGTATCTAGTGTTGATTCTTGCCAGGATTGGAAAAAGCCTTGTTTCGTCGGGATGATGATTCTCCTGTATTCTTCAAGGTGTGATGAAGTTGCTCCCTGTTTTGATAATAGAGGTAGAGTCAAAGGTGGTAATTGATACTAAGGTATTAATAAATGTTCGATCTCGTATCCATGTATACAGGGGTATCATTAAATTCTGTCCTGGGAGCTTGAAACCTTGATACCCAATCCTCCAAAGAAAGCATTCATGAATTCGTAAATTATTGAGTTAGTCGGCCTCCCGTCACCACCTCACACAGGAAGGGCGAATTTCATCAGCCGGCTCTCGCGCTTGCCTTCCATGCCAGCACACAAATCCCTTGTGGGTCCCACGACCATGTCCTTGCCGACATCGAGGCTGCGGACATCACACGTCCAGCCTTTCTTCTTCAACCACTCGCCCTCCTCGCCCTCCCACAGCGCACGGCGCACCTCCTCGGCCGTGATCCGCTTCACGCGAAGCCGCTTCACGCTGAGGCCACGGTCGTCCTTCTCCTCGTCGTGTGCGCTGATCCAGCAGCGGGCCATCAGCGCCCGCGCGATGTCCGCGCCGCCGTACATGCCCGTCATGATGTTGCCGCCAAAGTACCATGGGTTTTGGGCGTGGTCGAACGAGTGAAAGAGGATCGTGAGTGGGATGGCACCCGCCAAGCGCACGAGGTGTGTCTCAATGTAGGGCTGGAGGTCGGAGAGTGGCAGGCCGTGCGGTGAGTAGATGACGGAGATGGCTCTGGGGCGCGCGGGTGTGACAGGGCTGTTGATGTTGAGAGTTGGACAGGAGGAAACGGACGACAGTGATTTGTGGTGTGTCGGGCTCCGAACCGAAGTGGTGCTGAGGCTGCCTCGTGGAGTGGTGGTAGATGCACTTGGTGACATGGCTGAGGGGAGGATTGGGGAGAAGCCAAAGGTCGTGGTCGGGGGCGGCGGCGGCAGCGGCTGCTGCACCTGGGCAGGGACGTCTGGAGATTCTGGAGGCGTCGGCAGCTTGCGTACAAACGTTGGCGCAGCATCTAATTCAAAGTGGAATGGAATATCCAATAGCGGCGACTGGTTGGGAATGGTCACCACACGGGGGACAATCTCCCCATCGCCAAGCTTCGCCTCAGCCCTCAGAATTGGTTGCTCCGTTACGGGCAAGAACTCAGACGAAGCGGTATTGGATGACCGAGATAACCGTGGCCTGTGTGAGCTCAGGGGCTGTGGCAGTCGAGACTCCTGCAAAGATTTCCGGTCTAGAGCAGAATCGTTGAATGAAAAGGACATTGGCCTATTGCTCAGAGGCGATAGCGGTGCAGGTGGACTGCTGGGTGGCACAGTCATTGGGCTCAGCGGCATATGGAAATACTTGGTGGTCCTCGGTAGATCAACGGTTGCAATCGGAGCCACGGACTGCGTGTGCGTCGGTGGTTGATATGTGATGCCAAACGCATTATGCAGTCCGGTGATGTAGTTCTTTGCCGCTATGAACGAGATACAAATCTCTCCTGGAAAGCCGCTTGGTGATAATGGAGGAATTCGAAGCCGCAGCGACCGCCCGAACTTGACCTTGGGGTCGAATTTAGACAATCCCACGACCCGGTTGGGATCGAAATGGCGCCAGCTCTTGATTACTCGCGCCGCTCCTGGTTCGGCTGCGATGACGGTCTTTCCCTCCGGCCGAAGTTGTAGCAATGTGTCCTTGTGGCAGTGATCCGGTTTATTCTGTGAAACCACGACGACGTCTGGTTCTTCGATCTCCGAGAGATGAGATATCGCGCTCGGGGTTCGCAACGTGGTTTTGGCGAACCATGGCGCAGTCACGACCGATGGCCCTGAAAGCCATGGATCTAAGAGCACAGAGAAGGCCCCGTTGGCGGAGAGCAGGTCGGACGGTAATGGATGAGTCTCTGGGGAGAAGACTAGGAGGAAAGTTGAGTCCCCATTGAGATGCCGTACACTGACGGACATTAAGGAGGGCCAATCTGGTGTGCTTGCTCTGGCAGATCAGAAGGCGGGGAATGTGTCAGGTCCTCCAATTTATGTGACAGGGCCTGGTGGCTGGCGCTTTTAGGCGGTGCTCATGCTCATGTACAACAATAGGTACAGGTAGAAGTTACCGTAGAAGTATATTTGCATCCAGGAGGATGAAGGCAGGGAAGCGGATGTGCCTGAAGAGTCAAGGCAACAGAGATCGAACTCATGATCAGCCTCTTGGTCAGGGAGTCGACGTTTATTGGCACTCCAATCCAGAAGTCTGGGAAACGTCCGGGCCGTCTGGGGGAACAGAGGATGTCGTGGGTCAGGTACAACCGAGATTTGACGGTGCAGGTTCCAAGATGAGGCTATTCTTACCCCTGGCGCCCCTGTCGGGCTGACGCCACCTTCGATGGATGGAGACCAGCCTCAAAACTCGGGCCATAACTGACGGGTCTGACAGCCCAGGCCGGCAGATACATGAAAAAGCTGGTGTGGGTGTTGCGCATGATGTACAAGCTTGTGTTGCATGAAAAATCTAGCATGATCAGGAAAGGGAGGGCTGCTACTATAACCAGTCATATGTGTCAAGCATGACCTGCTAAGATCACTCTATAGAACAGCACGTGATATCATATGCCATATATATGCTACGGTCAGACAGGTGGAGTGGTTTGATCCTCGCCTAGACTTGACCCCTCAGAATCAACCTTAGATTTGGTGATTTGAAATATCCGTAGTCACCGGTAGTGGCATGATACCATCCTGTCTTTGTATGGATATTTTGCTGTGCTCCCTGAGAACCGCGAGCCTCTCGCATTTCGGATCCTCCCTCATTAGAAACCACCAGCATCTCCTACAGCTTGTTGGGAAATAGAGGAGCCTCTCTCCCACCACGGAACAATCGTAGCATCTCCTCACCCATCCAAAGTTTTCTGGTCTTCGCGATACCGAACTCGAGATCGGCGACCCGGCCTGCTTGGATGAGCAGTCCCTTGCCGTTGGCTTTGATCCCTTCGCTCATGAGATAGACCACTGCGTCGGCGATCTCTCCTGGATCGTTGATCGGAACCCCCTGTCCTCTCATTCTAATCGCCCAATCTTGCAGCGATTCTCCGGGGCTTCGCCCCGATATGATGTCTGTCAATGTGATTCCAGGGGCGACCACGGAGACAGCGATTCCAAGCTTCGCAGTGTCGTTTTTCAATGCTCGCATGAGACCGACAATGCCTGGCTTACCCGTCAGCTCCTTGGACGAGGAACATCAGACCGCTAAGATCAAGACTCACCGTGCTTTGCAGCACTGTACTGGGGAGCGCCGGCACTGGCCAGATACCCCGCCAGGCTCGCGGTCATAACAATGCTGCCTCCCTTCTTCTGTCCGGATTTCTTGTTTTGAAGGTAGTAGATGGCCAACCTCGCCGTGTCGTTTGCCGCATTCATGTCGATATCGTAAACCCTTTTGTCTGGTTCTTTGAGCAGCCCATCATCGTCCAGTTCGTCCTTGAAAAACTGATCCTTGTACTCGGCGATGCCGGCATTCACAAACACCCCATCGATTGACCCGAATTTCTCGACCGCAGCTTCAAATGCAGCTCGTTGAGACTTCCAGTCTGTTATGTCAGCCTTCTGGTATAGGAACCGTGGCGAAGACAGTAGTGCTGCCGGTGCTGAAGGATGTGGTTGTGCTCTATCCACCACGACAACATTGTTGCCCAGGTCGTGCAGTAGGATGGCCGTCTGAAGTCCAATGCCTGAGCAGCCTCCTGTAATGAGGATGGTGCTGTCTCTGGGTCCATGTAACTTATCCCGTGAGACAGTAAATGCTTCGTTGGCCATGTTGTGGGTGACGCTGATGAAGCACCTCTCGTTACAGACGGGTCTGCAGCGGGTTTTCTACTCGGTACTGTACGTTCCGTAGAACACTTATGTTTGAGGTTCTCGGCGAAATCTAGAAGGTGCTTCAGCCTCGGCTCCCCCGCACACGCTTAGAGCACAAGGCCATATGTTGGGCGTATCCCCCGAACAGGATTTACCCGAATTCCTCGGGACGGGTTGACTCCCTCCCTCCTATCTAGTTATCTAATTAGTCCACTCGAATCGTCCAGCACGGCGAGCAGACGAGCAAAGATATGGTCCAAGCAGGGACCTGACCCAGCTCCTCGTAAGTGGCGGCTTCGGCCCTGAAGCAAGCACTCTTTACGAGCATATTCCGCTTTGTGGCGCAAAAAATGGCATCCTCCGCAGAAACCAGCTTCTCACCAAATAATGATGGCACCGACTCCTGGTAGTACAAAGTCTGTTCGGTGATACCCTGAACGATGATCGGATTGGTCATATGATGTTGAGCTGGATAGGCACCCAATAGGCCTCGTATGAAGATACCATGTCGCATGCAGCTGCCCCTCACAGAACCAAAAGATCGGCGGGTTGCCTGTTGAGGCTCGACACAACACCTTGGTAACAAAGTTTGCCCAGCTCACAAGTTATCATCTCACGCGGCGAATGTCTATCCGTAGGCTCCGTCGTCATGGCAAGCAACCAGACTGCTAAGCCCGCGGCTAACCTTGGACCATGGGAGATATCGATGCAGAGGTTCCTTCAGGACCTGCCGCCAGAGGATAAAGGTTTCTATGAGAAAAAGTCCGCGGACAGGATCAGACAAGATATCGAGACATTGAAGCAGCAGGCAGGCAGCGGGTCTTGGATGACTCGAATGAAGCCTCTGTGCGATGGCCTTCAGCAACTCGATTATGTCGTCTCACCACTTGCTGGATTGGACGCCCAGGGCGTGGTGGCCATCATCTGGGGAAGTGTCAAAATGTTCCTCTTGGTGAGTCAGTGGAAGGCCGACAGATAGTCACGCCATATGTTCACGCTGAATCTCGAGAACACATGAATTTGACGTGGAATCCCAGTTGGCACAAAAATCGGTAGAGTTCTTCGAGCAAATCGAACGTTCCCTCTCTGACATCGGCGACGAGCTGGTCCGCCTTCGCAAGTACGAGAGCTTGTTCAAGAAACGCATGTCCCAAAGCTTGCAAGCGTCGCTAGAGCGAGTATTCACGAGTTACCTGGTGTTTTGTAGAAGAGCAAGGGATCTATACGCCCAGTCGTCTTCACGTCGTTTCCGCGAGTCCATGGGGCTGACTCGAAGCAAGACATCAAACAAGATTCCTCTGGCCATTGAAGAAGTCCAAAATGCCTGCTCCAATGCCATCAAAGAGGTGAGCATGGCGACCGATATTACCAGTATCACCCAGAATGATCAGATTCAGACCTCCATCGACCAGCTGGATCGGAAGTTGGACAATCTCGGGAAAGATCTGAAGTCCGATGTTGGGAAAGTCTCCTTGAGAGACTATCTAGTCTGGCTTCGTCCCGAGGACATGGAGGACGCCTATATCAAGCTCATCCAGCTCAGAAAGCCTGGCACCTGCGATTGGATCTTCATGAACGATCGGATTACTCAGTGGCTTTCCTCTACGTTGCATTCGCAGCGAGTGCTCTGGCTGACCGCCAATGCCGGGTTTGGGAAGTCTGTCTTGTCTGCCTACATCGTCGAGCAGTTGCAACAACTTTATCCTACGGGGGTCGCTTGGTTCTTCTGCGCCCATGATCAACCTCGTAGACGAACTTTGGTGGACATTCTTCGCTCCTGGGTGCACCAACTCTTGCAAAAGGTCGTCGTAGGTCAAACGGATGCCAAAGGACATTTTGATATACCCGATTCCGCACTGGATTTCGAGAATGCAAAAGTAAGCCACTGCTATCTTGTTCCCTGTCCTTTCCATGGTGAGTAGAGAGTTTGACCACATGCCCACGAGCACGACTCGGCGACTGTGTTCCTGGTTTCGGGGTGCCCCTGCCATCGTGGCGTCTACCAAGGACATCTAGTGTTGACTCATGCGGTGCAATAGGAGCCTACTATTGCGGTCATGTGCCGCGTGGTGAGAAAATTGTTCGAGCAAAACAAACCCGTGAGACTGGTCCTCGATGGTCTGGATGAATGTGGAGTGCCCGTGCGCGCAGAAGAGCACGACTGGAATCAATTCTTTGCACTGCTGGAGAGTATGCCACCGGACTGGAAAGTCCTGATTGTCAGCAGATCGAACAATTGGTTCAACAAAATACTGCTCACCAATTTGCGCAAGACCCTCGGACACGTCGAACTCACGACCCTGGAGAACAGGGAGGATATCCATCAATATGTTCTGGAAGAAGTTGAGAGGGTGTCTGAATACCACCAATGGGGAAATCAGATCAAAGAAGAAGTCATCCTCGCCTTGCTCGAGAAAGCAAATGGAATGTTCGTGTGGGTGTCCCTACTCTGCAATATGCTCGAGGAGGACGGCGACGGGTTCGACGAAGATCATATCCGAACCATTATTCGTGATCTTCCTAGAGATCTCGCGGAGCTGTATGGACGCAGCCTTCGGAACTTGCCAGATGGTGGAGGGCTCGGTAAGAACATGCGATTGGCCCTGAGATGGACATTGTGCGCATATCGCCCGATGACCATAAAGCAGCTCCAGGCCGCTTTGCCTTTCGGCCCGACGCTGGAAGAAGCCATGAAGAGGAACATCGGTACGCTGATCAAGATCGATAGTACATCCAAGGAAGTTCAGCTCTGCCATGCATCAGCTCGAGACTACATCTACTCGCCTGAAGCGGCGCTGTTTGGGGACAAGGCAATGTCCGAACCAGAGCTGGTTGCCTCCACTCATAGTGTCCTGCTCAATCGATGTTTGAAAAGCCTATGCGACACCGATCCGCCCCCAAACCTGCCTGAGGATCGCGCGGCTGCGGAAGAGTACCTGCGCAAGTTCCTCGACCGTTTTCCGTTGGTGGAGTACAGCTGTATTTCCTGGATCCAGCATTTGAGAGAGGTCTGGAGAGTTGATCACGATGTGAAAGAATCCAAGGCAGTATTGGATAGATTCTTAGGTGCAGACCAGCCAGTGCTTTTGTGGCTGCAGATATTCCATTTCCAATGGAACATGGACTATCCAGGCACAGAAAACACCAACAAAGCCATCTTCAGATTAGTGTACACCGACCCATCCACCGATACGTGGAAGCACTTTCTTCGCGTCCACTATGCGGACTTTGTGGACCATCTTGGCTGGGAGGATGGTGGCAAGTTCACTCGCTGGGACCGATTCACCCACCGCAGGCATCGCTACGATTTCAGGCACCCTGCCCGCCTTTTCCAGTCCCCGACGTGCATGTCGACAACTTCAGTTGCTGCATTCTTCAATTATTCAACGGCCCTCGAAGCCATGGCGAGACGAGGTCAGGATCTCGATGTCAAGGGACAGCTAGGGGGCACGCCACTCCACTGGGCCGCCTCGGGCGGATCCTGTGCAAGTATCAAAGTCTTGCTAGCAGCTAAGGCAAATCTCGAAGCTGGCTACAACCCCGAGATGAAAGAAACCCCGATATTTCGTGCTTTACGCGTTCCTCGGGCAGTCAAAACAAGGCCTGGCCGGTTCCCAGCGGCAAAGCTGCTCTTCGACGCAGGAGCCAAATTGCATCACCTTGGCAAAACGAATGGGTTTTTAGACGGCACGGCGCTGATCGCTTTGATTGAAAGCAACAAGGATTCTGAGGGTGCCGCCGAATTCGCCAATTTGATCCTCCGCAAAGACAGATGTTGGAAATGGTACGACGTCAGATACGGCACACCTCTCCATGCTGCCGCTCACCACGGCCGTCCACTGATAATGAATGCCCTACTAAAGGACGGTTATCTACGCGGTCGCGTCGATTTTCAAGGCAGCGACACGCGATTGAAAGCCGCTCTGCACGACGCCTGTAGTCGCGACAACCCGGTCTGTGTAGAAGAGCTGCTGAAGGCAGGTGCCAACCCCAATCTGCCTGCATACCTCAACGGGTTCACGCCGCTGCACTACTCGGTCTTGTCGAGCCGAAAATCCTCGTCTGTTCTGCTCCAAGGCGGCGCGGACCCGAACTTGCGAGACGGCGCTGGTTCCTGCCCTGTGCACCTCGCCACAACGGTCGATTTACCGTTGTATATTCAAGCCTTCGTGGACAAGGGGTATGACATCGATGCAGCGGACGGAAACGGTGACACCGCCCTCTCAATCGCCCTGAGGAATGCAAACTTTGATATTGCAAAGCAGATGCTAGCCCGAGGAGCTGACCCTGATAGAGTTGCCTCCGATTTCCAAGTTTTCCTTCCTGCCGAGGAGACGGACGAGGGCCTGCTTCAAATTCGCAAACGCAACTGGAGACCGCTACAAAGCTATGCTTACCTTTTCGCCATTCGTCAAGCATTTGCAAAACACGGCCTCTCGCTACCGATCCCGGTATTCGGACGGGTCTTAGATTTTCTAGGCCATCGGGACGTTCTCGAAGCCACTCGCAAAGGAAGATTTACTGTCAATGAGGCGATGGTGAGAACAATGTCTCACCCCTACATCACCAGCCAGCCCATCATTGGAAATCATCCATACCCCGTACAAATGCTCGAGTTCAAGGTCTTGGGCCAGTGCCAGGACTTTGGGGGACAGCGTCACCACTCCTACTATGAAATCGATACGATCGAGGGCCGCTCGAAGAGCCATGTGCGTTGGAAGCCTCATCTATCGAGATTCGGCCACAACTCCAGGCCTCTCGCGGAAAAGACCAACATCTTCGAAAGGAAGACGTCTCTTGTAAGCTACACGTTTCATTCTCTCCCGTTTATCCAACAAGTCTCTAATGAGAAGCTGCATTCACACAGGAAAACGAAAGATTCTGGCTTCTCAAGCCCGGTGACCGTGTCGCGATCGTTCCCATGGTGGAGTTCTCAGGGTGGGAAAACTCGACCGAGAGGGCCAGCATCAAGATGTGGTTGAGAGTTTTGCGGACGTATTACACCAGATCTGAAAGGGGGCAAATCTGGGGTAGGCATGAGGACGACTTCAATCCAACATTTTGCACACCTGGACGCTGCGTGAGGTGTGTGGCAGAAAGGATTCTGCTAGATGGAAGGCTTTAATCTGTCACTTCGCTTGGGCTCAGAGTGGTGCTTGCGGTCATTGGGCCTATCTTGGAATACTGGACCTTGGCGTGAGAATCACAATTGCCGATCATTATAACAATGATTGGGGTGTCAGGACAGTAACGCCTAGAGAAGGATTTACCAGCGTCCCATGTTTTATGTATTGAAGTCACGCCATATATGTTTTACCCACCTCAGCAGTACCCGAACCTAAAACCCATCCACGAGTCAGCTTTTAGTAACCGCATTTACCAAGAGAATTTCACAAACACAAGCAATCGTGCCACATCTCTAACCTGTTCTGGAATGATGCCTTCCATAATAGCACTCCAGCTCGTGTATGTATCGCTTTTGGTGGATCAATACGACCTGGCGAAAGGGCGGGGACGTCTGTCCGACGACGTTTCCTTGATCGTCCATCGGACAACGTCTGTCCGTAGTTGATGGCCCATTATTAAACCTAAGTCATCCCCTTGTAGGCCCTTGACTGACTAATCCATACATACGCTATCTTTATTGCCGTTCTGACCCCATATCTGAAGTATCGATAACCTCGGCCTCAGACTCTGCACGGTGGAGCTGAGCACAACCCCTCGCCCACCACAACCTTCTTCTCTTACGACTAACTGAGTCTGAAGTCTACGTAAAGAGAGAGCAAACTTCGAAATGGATCTTGGGGCGTCACAAGTTCCACTAGGTGGGCAAATCTTCGGCACGCAATGCGCGTCTCTGGTGCAGCCCATAGTGGCAGGCGCAGAGATCCTGCGCCTCCACGCAGCGGAGGTGCACAACTTCAGCTTTGCTGCAATTCCGTTCTTCAACCCGGTAGAGACCACTAGTCTTGATTTTTGCAATGTTTCACTGACCCTGACACACCCTGGTGCAAACGATACCGTCTTTGTGAGTGTCTGGCTTCCTCTGACGGACTGGAACGGCAGATATCAAGCGACGGGCGGCGGCGGGCTTGCAGCCGGTATGGGACCGCCTATGCTGGCCAACGCGCTGGGGTTGGGCTATGCGACCTCCTCTACGGACGGCGGTCTGACACTCAACAATACGGTTGACCCACAGAGTGGAAAATGGGCTTTGAAAGAGGACGGAACCAGCAATGACGACCTGCAATTGAATCTCGCCTGGCGATCAATCCACGACATGGTTGTGGTATCTAAGGACCTTATCGAACAATTCTACGGTGTGAAGCCTTCATACTCTTACTGGCACGGGTGCTCTCAAGGAGGGAGGCAGGGGTACGCAGCGGCGGCCAAATATCCTCACGACTTTGATGGGATTCTTGCCATAGCGCCTGCCCTTGACCTTGCCGAACTTGTTACTGCGGACTTCTGGCCGGCCGTGGCAATGCAGAATGAAGTCGTCCCTCCCTTTTGTATCTTCGAGGAATACCACAAAGCGATCAACGCGAAGTGCGACCCCTTGGACGGTGTCATCGATGGGTTGATCTCCGATCACGACCTCATGGAGAGCTGCCCGTTCGACCCCCACGCTCTCGTCGGACAGGTGGTAGCTTGCGAAGGCGTGGAGGATGTAACAATCACGAGGGAACACGCGAATGTAGTCAAGCAGATCCTTCAAGGTCCGCGAACCACAGAAGGCAAATCATTGTGGTACGGTTTGGCACCGGGCGCGGCGTTCTTTGCTTTGGCAAAGACCGCGGCCGGCCCAGATGGAACCTTCGCCCCCGTCCCTTTCGCTCCCTCGGTGAGTTGGATCAAACATTTTGTCTTTCAGGATCCCGCCTATGACACCAGTCAAATGACATATTCCGACTATGACACAGCCTTCGAGATATCAGTTTCCAAGCTCAGTGTGCTCTGGGGTAACCAGCACCTCGACCTGACGGATTTCAAACACTCCGGCGGCAAACTGTTGACATGGTTCGGGCTGGCGGATGAGTACATCGCTCCAAGCAACATGCTACGATACCGGGAGGGTCTCGAGAAGCGATTCGGAGGCGCAGAAGTGGTCGACGAGTTCCACCGTCTCTTCTTTGCTCCTGGGGCCGGACACTGTGCCGGCGGCCATGGACCACTCCCTGTAGATGCATTGAATGCTCTGAGGGACTGGGTCGAGAACGGCACCGCACCTGATGTGCTGCCGGCGTTGACCACTACCTCTGAAGACGTAAAAGTGTCTCGAAACCTGTGTCGATACCCCAAGAAGCTGGTCTACCGAGAGGGAGAAGTCAACTTGGCAAGCAGCTTTGTTTGTGAATAGCCGCGCTCGCCTTTACTTGTGGCCTGGCGCGAGCCTGAAGCCGATGGTCGGGGACCGGGAGGCGGATAGGATAGGATAGGTAGAAGCCACATGGCTACTCTGAGTATCGCTTTTCTGATTTGAATGAAGTTGAGATGCTCGAATTAATGGGCAGGCTGCACAAGGTGTGGTTCAACGGCCAGCTGGGACGAAAACGACTTTTAGCAACTGGCGGACTATGAGTCGAGCATTGAGAAATGGAAGCGGCAGCTTCAAGCCTAATTAATTTGAGAAGAAGATTAGCGAAGTTTTAGTTACCTCCTGAGGAGGGCAGTTAGCATTCTGAGACGCTCTCTTGACATTCGAATTAAGGATCTTCAGTTTGAACAGTCCCTCAGTGAACATCTCTCAGGCTCATTATAATGATATTTCTACATTTTCCTGGCATCATTGGATACAATAGCAAGCCTTAGGTTCGACATGCCGGCGCTCATCCTGGCCCGTTTACAACCCCTCCACTAAGCACGAGAGAAGCTTTGAGCCAGCCTTCTCTGGCAGCTTGCTTCGCATTTGAGATATCAAACTACGTGGTGAAGCATAGACTGCTGGCCAATCCGGGCCAGAACTCTCGTTTCTGAGGTTGTCTGGCTACTGGTACACTTCGATTTGCTCAGCGAACTGTTCCCTGCCGCTCTTCTTCAGACTGTCTCTCCCGCAGACAAGGGTGTGTAGAGGTCAATGCTCACTTATGATTCCAGGAGGACGGTTCGCGATGCCATCTTGATCAGATCTCGACCGCGTACAAGTTGAGGAAGACCCTGGTCATCCCCCCGCCACCGAGACGGCTTCTCTTTGTTGGGGGCGGGGGGCGAAACTCAATTCCAGAGTCTCAGCTTTGGAGAAGGTCAAAGCTTCCACTCTCCGGAACTATTTATGTCGAAAGAGACATATCAACGCTGCCGCCAAGGTTGAATAGTCCAATAGGCTCTTGAACGAACTCAATAGCCAGAAACCTTATTGGATGAGTGGGGTCTTGTCTAGCAGAATCTCTCTCGGCTATAGATGGCCACATACATGTGGCTGCCATGTGCCCTCCAAGGCGAGCTGAGGGTTCATGCACAGACCATTTCGTCACCACCGTTAAAGGCATAGGAGCAAGACGCTTGCGGGTCCACGACCCTGGGACGAGGTGAGCTTCGTATCCTTGAGATCGAGGGAATGGATAGCAATCACGCCCACTGAACCTCGTCAAAACCGAAATATAGACACATATCTGCTACAAAGCATAGAGGGCCCCCCGAGAGATTTTGAGGCTCGAATGAACAATATCTTCCATCCAGGAGCACATCTCTAGTTACGTCGGTTTAATCGCCCAAGAGTGATCTCACTGTTGCTCCAGCGGTTGCTAAAGCCATGCTGCATATTATGAACATATTATCTCGGTGTCGTTCGCCTGGGGGAATCGTGAGCCAGAGTCAATAAACGAAAGATCAGTACTCACCATCTTGAGTCAAACCGAGACCAATAACGACAAACAAATTCAGGGGCAGTCTCAAGATGCCATATATTTTGGCCCTGATATTGTCATCCACAATCTTTTCCTTCAGATTGCCCATTGTGGGGAAGTAAACACCACAACACATCTCGAAGACGCAGAAACACCAGAACGTGACAGCTTCATTTCGCCAAAGGGTTGGTATGATGAAGCAGCACGACGCCACTAATTGTGATATGACGAGCATCATGGCGGGAGATACGATCCAACCTCCGAGAGGTTGAGCCGAGTACCAGGTGAAAAATCGGGAACCGAGCATCATTGCACACATGAGATCGGCGAAGATCACCCCGAATGGAAGGTCAGACCCCCTGCCGGCCAGTTGATGCGAGAGTCTCAATGCTGGGAATTTGAAGAATATCCAAAGAAAAAGTGATCCCTCGAAGAAGCAAGAGGTGATAGTCAAAGCCCAGAGACGCTTGTCTAAGGCGCGAAAGACACTTAGCAGATACACAGACACAGATAATCCACCTTGCTTACCACGCTTTAGGGCGTTGAAACCACTGATGTCGGATCGGTGAGGTGCCTTCAACAACGTGTCGAGATTTTCAGCGTGTCCGTGATTTTCACCCTATAATAACGTCAGCATCTCTCTCGCCCTGTGGTATCAGTACCCGTCCCACGCACCCATGTTTGCGAAATGGCGAGGAACGCCAGTATCAGGCACAAGACTGCAGTCATAAACGGCGCCTTTTGTGTTCCAATAGAATCGGCCACACCTTGGGCGACCAGCCCGGCGATGATGGCGATGATGGAATTTAGTGTGGTCATAAGTCCGAAGATATCCTTTAGAGATCCACCGGCTTCGTCGAGGCACTGACGATGAAACTCTGTCACCAGCCAAGATTCAAAAACGCTATAGAGGAGAGTGGTAGAAACCCCTCCCAGCACGCGGCCGATGAAGAGCACAAAGATATTATCCGACAGGATACTTAAGCAGCACGCCGAGTAGGTGACGCAAAAGCACTGGCAGGCGAGCCGTCGGCCATGGAGATCGGCTAATGAGCCGACAAATGTGGCAGAGATGGCGGCAGCCAGAAAGCCTGACATAGGACATTTCAGCTTCTTTTCGCAATACTCGAAGGGGACCACTGTACCTGTAGTGAAAAGATGTGCAACGGTGGTCTCCGATAGACCCTTTTCGTCTGTGAAACATCAGTACTTATCATCGTACAGTTTGGAATACTGCGTTCACACCTTTGTACAAGGTGTATATATAAGGCCCCTAGCCGTTGTCAGACCCCTCCCTTCGTTGTTCACATGAAACACACCTGAAGCCAGTCGGCGGCAAAGACTAGAAGATATACCAGCAAGAACTTTCTCTTAAACTCAGAAACGGTGGTATGCGTCGCTTCGTGCGATTCTGTCTTCTTCAAAGGGCCGGAATCGCCCCACTCGCCAAGGAGGCCATGTCCTTTGTTCCACTGGATGTAGGAAAGTAACACATTCAAACACAGAAAGAAGAGAAAATTTACAGTGTAGAAATCCATGTCGCTCAAGTGCTGCACTCATCAAACCTGCGAGGTAACGACGTTATTGTGTCAAGGACGCTGAGAAGGTCGGCGCGCACGGGAGGTGAGGCCTTTAAAACCTTCCTCGCAAGCAGTTTACAATTGAAACCTTAAGACGTTTTCGCCTTGATTATTATCATGAGCTGACATCAAGGTGGCATACGCACCACTTGATTTCCTGTTTGAAGACGACTAGTTCTCAAAGCACAGACCTGATTCCACTTCGGTGGGTGGGCTCTGGCCTCTCGGGACCTCGAGGCTGAACTCCGCCCGGGTCCGTGCCATGCCTACCGACCACGGTCCTCTTGGGCTTCCCTCGCCTTAGATAAAAGGTCTCCCCGTCTTCTCGGGTCATCGTCACTCCTGGAGATCCAGCGGTCGTTTGCAGCTCGAGGAGAACGCGGTTGCCATGGCCATTCACAAGACCGTAATATGCTCGCTGACGCTGATCTTCGTTGGTATACTTCTTCTAGCTACTGAGCACCAGTACAATATCCTTCCAACTCCACTGAAATCTAGTGGAAGCTCGAGCGGGAGTACTGTGAAGCCTCGGTTTATATTTGTTGACCTCGGAGCCAATGCCGCAGATTCACTTGAAGTGTTTCTCCGTCGTGACCACGCGAAATACTCTTATGACTTTCCACGGCCGGACTGGGCAACATATGAACAGGCTGGTAAGCTTCTCAAGAACAACAAGCTCTTCCAGAGAGCTAGGAAGTGAAGTATCAAACTTTGGCTAATGTCCTCTTTATAGAAATATATCTCTTTGAGGCGAACCCACATTTCAACAGAGCCCTTGTGACGGCGAAAGAGCGGTACAGCGCCCAGGGAATGAACATCAACATCTTCCCCTCCACTGTTGTTGACGTTCGAGATGGTACTCGGACGTTTTTCCTTGACACCATCAATGACGCCAATGATTTTTGGGGTTCCTCCGTCTATGCCAACCACCCGGACGCCATTGGATCGAAAAGCAACGGGACCGAGCTTACCTCCATTAATATCGCGAGATGGTTACTCATGAACACTCTTCCCCGCGATTTTGTCGTTGTCAAAATGGACATTGAGGGCGCTGAGTATGAGATCATACCTCACATGGCAGAGATGGGAGCATCAATTGTCACGGACTACCTCCTTATTGAATGGCACCCAACAATACCGGAAGATATCGACACTAGTGATGCAAGAGCCAAGGCGGCGATAGAGAAGCTCAAAGCTGGAGGTGTGAACATGCCTGACTACGACTCTGCTTCGTAAATTTAATACTATCGCGCTTTGAACCGGATGCACTTGATCTGAGTTAAACCAACTTCCAAGACGTCCAATTCTTGTTGACGGCACGTATCAAACACCCTAAATCTAACATCTCATGAAACCTTCATTGATTATACGTCAGAGGACTATGTTGAGCCGGAAGACGTCAACGTTCTCTTCGATAAACAGTGAAGCTCAAGAACTATGAAAAGTCTTGACAATCCCCCCACACTGCCTAGGCGACTCCGTTAGGAGCAGCCTCAGTCAGCCCAAGCACATCATCCAGCCAGTCAAACTCGATGGCATGCAGGAGCATTGCATTTCCTTTCTGACAGTGCATCTCTGCTGCGTCATCTTCTGTAGTGAGCCGAAACTTGTTGTGCGGGTTGGGCAATTTGTCAAAGAATTCTTTTGCCAACCGAGTTTGTTCTTCGCCTTCAGCGGCAGCCTGGACAACCAGCAAAGGGCAAGCGATTTTGTCCTCGAGGCCGTACAGAGTCAGCTTTTCCCACTGTTTAAGCAGCTTATCGATGTCGTCGATACCGTTGTTCAAGCCATATTTGGGCATGTGCTCATACAGAACGTATTTCTGGGAGTGGTTGTAGTTGGTGTCGGAAGTCTCTCTCATCTTCTTCAGACCTTCGAGCCGAGCCCGTGCGCCTGATAAGTCCAAGCAGCTGGGAACAAGCCCGCTACATATGCAAGCAGCCAGCCTCTTCTCAAAAGCGACTGCACGAGGGCCGAAGTAGCCTCCCATGCTATAAGCTATAAGAGCGATCTTCTCAGGATCGACTTCTTTCCTCGTGAGCGCATAATTAACGACAGCCCCAACGGGGACTTCCCAGTCGTAACGGTAGTTGAGAGACCGGTCACGCATGAAAGTTCCAGTTTGACCTGGGCCCTCGAAGATGAGGGCATTGTACCCTCGGCGTACAGCGGCAGCTCCACCCCCAGAGAAGTACATCTGTTCTGCGCTGCCGTCAGCGCCCATCTGAATCAGCACCGTCGGTCGAGGCTTGTCGTCGACACGTAGGAAGTAGCCGAACAAAGATTTTCCTTCGTAAGGGATGGAAAGAACCTCGAGAGGAGGACTGAAGAGCTTGCCTGCTGACTGAAAGCAGGTTGTGTGTTTTTCATACAGCTGAGCTTTCCGCGGATCCCTGTCCTCCGTGAAGAAAAAAGCTGCCTGGTAGTAAGTGGTCGCGCGAAGCCACGCCTCCATGGCGCTGACTTTGTGACCGCCCTTGATCGCGTTGTCGGCGTAGGCTTCCACACGGCGTGCGGTAGAGGTCCACGCTTCTACCCAGCTCTCGACATCGCCGTCCTTGATTCTGGCCGCAGTCTCGAAGCACTCGGCTATCTCCGCGCCTGAGTATGTCGCGAGGCCCAAGAACTTGGCGAAGTTGTAATCGAAATAGCCATCTTTGAATGTCTTCGTGGAGCTACGCCCCGTGGAGAAGACATTCCCCTTACCGAGTTCTATGACACTGGACATGCTGATGGCAGGAGTTTACGTTCTGCTGGAGGAAAGAGTAAGTTCACTCTGATATATCATTACCGAGTGGCCCTTCGAGTTCGCCGTGCCTGACACTGCTCGATAAGGGATGTCTGGTCCAATATAACCTGATAAATTTGCGTGACAAGGAGGAAGTGGAACAGCGCTCGTCCAGCGGTACAGGACGGTACCGAGGCTGACGGGGATAACGTGCTTAGTTCGGGATTAGAACAGAACACAGCAAGCAGGCCGTATGAAGGTCGGCCCGACGGGGCGAGCTCAACTGCACGACCGCGGGGACCCCGCATTTACGGCGTCACCAGACCAAACGACCTTAATTTGAGGATGTTCGGCAAACGCATGATTTTTTGACATCCTGGGTTTTGGAAAGGCAGACGTTCGCTTCTTGGGGCCACCGATCCTAGAAGGAGTCGGTAAATTCCAAGCAAACCATCAGGTAGGGAGTTGTACCCACCACTTTTTCATGTGAAACCCAGGGAGCTCCTGAACGCCACAGCCTCGTGCCTACGACCCGTTGCGATCTTTCTACCACAGGGCAGCACAGTCTTGTCCTAGGTAGGGGCGAGAACAATCATAATTGTTGAAGCTGCACGACTGTTTGTTATGTCCTCGTAAAGCGCGATCGCATTGCTTGTTCATGAATCTCCTCCAGTAGAACGACATTAAAAAGTCTTAAATACATGACCGATCAGCACTCATTCAACCCAACTTTCATCGAGGCTGCCGCGTTCGAAAATTACTAATTAATTTTGCCATTTCCGTTCCACAAGACCAAAAGGCATCAGATATTGGTATTGACATCAAATGAATCATCATACGAGAAGAAAGGTTGCAGGAATCCATCCGGATTGAGCTGCAACCAATCGTAAGGATTGCCTTGCTCATTAGGAAAAAAAGAGCCTCTAATCCAGTCGGTAGACACTGCGGCATGGTACATGGTTCCGAGAGTCCCAGCGGCCGCCTCGGAAGTTGTCGACATCGACTCTCGCTCCGGATTCATCGCTGGTACAACAGTTGAACTTTGTGATGGAGCTCCCACGCTGTACTCGAGCAACTGCGTGAGGTCGCTTGGGTACGTCTCTTTCTCTAACTCTTGTACAATATCGCGATCGAATCTTGCGCCTGGTCTTAGTTGTCGTAACGAATACTGTAGAACAGAGTCTGCAAGAGGCTCCGACAGTGCACCAGTGTCGCGAGCTTCGTGCGCAATATGGTCAAGGTCGTTGAGATCCGATCGGTAATTGTATGGCGCCGCGCGTGCGTCACCAGGAGTATTACGATTACGAGACAGCTGTGCTTCATATAGCATGTTGATCCGGATCCACTAGGTGTACCTGCATCAGCTACCAATATCTGTGTACAAGGTGACAAGATCACTTACCAAACGTTCTAAATTCGCCCAATACATTTTCACCGACACCAGCACCTTGAGGCTATTGATCAAGTTGCCTCTAGCCATTGCAGACAAGGATGCGTCTCTGGAGGACAAAAGCGTAATGTGTATTGAGGCGGACACATACATGCAGTAGCCCACGAACGAGGGAATCTGGCTTGCATGCCAGTCCAGGGCAAGCAAATCCGCCCCCAGTTCAGAGATCTTCTGGGCGCTGGTCAACGCAATGCGGGCACTGAGACTCGTGGCTTCGGAGGGAATTGCTTCAGGGAGGCGGAGTCCGCCGAATTTTGGTACAAGAGATGAATGAAGCACAAGTCGGCATTGATGGTAAAGTGCGTGGACGAAGATAAAAACGGGTTGTTGATTGACCACCAGCTGCTCGTAGAGACTTCGTTTCGAGTACTTGAACGTTTCGTGAAGTTGAGCGGACCATTTGGATAGCTGGCCCTCAATTTCGAACAAGCGGGCCATCCACTCTGTGGCACTCGAGCGATGAATGGAGCGAATGTGTCCCCGTATGTCGCGCCTACATATGTTAGCGATGGTGGACATCATTTTCGAGATACCGTACCAGTTCAACATCAGAGTCATGAGTTCAGCCATGATACTCGGGGCAGCCGCTTGCTCTGTCGACCGGTTGTTTGGTTGATGGTACATTTCAGACAGTGTTGTGAGCGGTTGCTCGGACAAGTCGTTGAAAGCGGCCTCTCCGATTGGAAGCGGGATATTCAGTATGCGCTCGCTTTGAGGTAGGCCTGTTGCAGAATGATCTGCATTGATGCATTGTGTGAACCAAACTGCCCAGAAACAACGCCTCATGACCTCCAAATTGTGCCACTCCGACTCTGTCTGAGAGCGAAGAGTGGAAGAGCCCGCAGTGGCAAAGTCTCTGCGGTCGATCCCTAAAGTGCAGGCTGCCTTATACGCAATACCTAAGTGGAATGTGATTAGTGTATGATCGACGATCTGGCATTGCCGGGCGGGCTTTCTAGTTACCTGAGAACATTGTGTTCCGTTGAGATTCCCCAGCGGAGAACCAGTATAACGTGAGTATTTCGCATGTTTGGACCTTTTCAAAAGTCGGCTGGTCGATATCTTGTAGGACCTCCTTGCCAGCTCGTATCGCCCACTTTCTTCCAAGAGCCTTGATGTCTCCAAGAGGTCGAAGAATGTCTCGATTCTGTTCGGCGAGGGCCGAGGGGTTGCAAAGAAAGCTTCCCAACTTTAGCAATCGCGATCAGTGCAATAGGGAGGCGAATTACATTGTGGCCGTGGCATATACAGCTAAGATGGTGTGGTGAGCCAGTTCTCCCTTTGAAAATGCCTTAGAGAAAGAGGGGCGGTGAAAGATCAACGACGAGTGGAACATGCATGTGAAGTACGTTTCCTGAAGTAGTCTGTGAGCGGTATCAGAAACGTGAACACCGAAACGATCATGGGCTTCATTATGGGCCTCAATGACCGCTGGCCGAAATACTTGTGGCGAAGCTGACGGAGAGGAGTCGTCATGCTCAGCCTGCACCGGCGTTTCAATGTTTCTCTCACTCAGCTTACGCTTCCGGGGAGTCGCACGAAAAGTTGCCAGTGTTTTACGATCAGGCGGCGGGGGATATTCGCAGGTGGCATTGAGCCTCATGCATCTGTCACAGATCGGGAGCTCGCGGGAACATCTCAGCTTTATTTCAATATTGTTAGATTGTCATTATGTCTCTAAGAAGCTCGCCCACTGAGAGATTGATATTCCGCTCACCTTCTGCGACCGACATCGACGACACGCAGTTGGCCCAGGCTCAGTCATGTTGAGTCCCTGCGAAAAGGAACAATTTGGAACGCTGAATTGCTAGTTAGTGCTCATCCAGATGTCGGCAATGTCACTTGGTTTCTGTTATGCCAAACCGAGGTTGGAGGGCCTCTGATGAAGCAAGCTCGGTGGCAAGGCTGGTTTGGTCTTTGCAGGGGTGGGCTTGTTTAACCCAATTGATGTTAAGACTTGAGTATGTGGATTGGCGTTTGCACGAGCCGACGAACTGATACGTCGTGCTTTCGCTTTTCCCGAGACACAATGATGAATTCAACTCAGATCCAGGGCGCTCAGCTGATCCGATTGAGCTCCGGCCGGACGATAGTTGGATGTAATTGCCTGGTTGCATCACATCAGTTGTGTTGCTCGCCTGAAATTTTGGCCAGCCAAAAAGTCCTAGAATTCCATAAAGTCCACCATTCAGTCGATGGGCTTGAATTGATGCACGGGCCTGGAAAACCTGCTTGGTGATTAATTGAGGCCACATCCTGCGTCGGGCCGAACGAGGTTCGGATTCGGGTCAGTCATCTGGAGGGGTGTATCCCAAGCCTCGTATTTGGCACGATCTGCTGCATGTTCTTGCTCTAGCAATACTCCAGCGAATGATTCCCGGATCCTGGTTCTCCAAGTTCCACTTTTCTCTTGTCTAGAGCATGCCATTCCGCGTCTACTCGCTACTCGTAGGTGATAGCTCGCTACCAAGTCAAGTCTACCATGCGGGGTCCCCGACCTGGGGTGGCTTCTCCTCCACGAAGGCTGCTTTCTTCCCAATCATTTGGAGTGATGAAGCGAACGACGACATCGCATGGCTCTCAAATAAAGGGCCTATATATTACCACGCGGTGTCACATCTGGATCTTTGCACGAATCCCGAACTATCCTCATCTTTAAACTACTACCAAGTATCATCGAGATTGGCCAGCCTACCCATTAATATGTCTATCAACGACGAGAAGATGATCGAGGCATCTCATCGAGAGTCACAGCTCGAGGAAGTGAAGCCTCGACTTGACTATGCTGGCTCTCATGCAAAAATCGACCCTGCCGAGATCAAGCTCGTCCGGAAGCTTGACCTGTATATTCTGCCTGTTCTCTGGCTTATGTACTGGCTCAATTTCCTCGATCGAAATGCCATTACGGTCGCGAGACTTGACGGCCTCGAAAAGGAGTTAAAAATCACTGGAGTCCAATACCAGACATGTATCTCGATCTTATTCGTGGGGTACATTTTGGGCCAGATTCCTTCCAGTAAGCATTGTCAGGTGGCGGAGCGTGAGGGTGAACGTGACTAGAAATACTGACACCTTGCCAGATATGCTCATCACCAGGCTTCGGCCGTCTCTATTTATGTCAGGATGGATGGCAGCTTGGGCAGTCGTCAGTGCCTTGACGGCAATCACCCATAACTTCACCGGGTTGCTTTTGACTCGGTTCTTCCTCGGCCTCGCGGAGGCACCGTTCTGGCCTGGCTGTCTGTATCTGCTCAATGTGGGTTTCCAGCTCAATTGCTTCCATTTTCTGCCATCCTTGTTAGAGTCTATCAATGAGTTTATGCGATGCTGACGTAAAAGGGCATCAGATCTTCTACACGAGAAAAGAGGTCGCAATGAGAGTGGCAATCTTATTCTCTGCCAACATTTGTGGAACTGCCTTCGCTGGCCTGATCGCGATTGGGGTCTTTGAGATGCGCGGCATCGCCGGCCTAAGTGGCTGGAGATGGCTCTTCATTCTTCAAGGCATAATCACATTTGTCGTGTCAGCTGCGGGGGCATTTATTCTTCCCGATGAGCCACACAACACTCGATGGCTTTCTGAAGAGGAGCGTGTGCTCGCTCATGACAGGATAGCCAGGGAGACGGTAGAGAGATATGACGGTACAACTACATGGGCCGGACTGGTGGATTGCTTGAAGGACAGGAAGTTATGGATCCTGCTCTTGTTTGGCCATGTTTCTTTCGCGGCCTCTAACTTCAAGAACTTCTTCCCTACCATTATCGCCACACTGGGCTACAATCGCACCATCACGTTGGCTCTGACCTGCCCTCCCTATATAATCGCGGCGATCGCATCTGTCGCATGGTCATGGAACTCTGGTGAGAACATACTCTTGCTCCGCTTGTTTTACCGCTTCTGTCCTCTCACAAAGCTGACTTGTTCAAAGGTCGGATGAATGAAAGAACTTGGCATATCACCGTTGCGAAGGTCATTTCAATAATTGGTTTTGTCATGGCGGCGGCCACCCTCAACACTGCTGCACGCTATGTTGCCATCTGTCTTTTCTGCAGTGGGCTCTACATGCAGGCCGGCATTGGACCGGGCTGGGTTGGAGCAACGTGTGGACAGACCAAGGAAAAACGGGCTGTCGCTCTCGCAATGACAAACACGATCAATACAGTTGCCCCAATCTATACTTCCGTGAGTGTCCTACGTTCCTGGACGCGGTTTATTTAGCTGACACCTCCATAGTATTTGTGGATCGATAGCAACGCACCTCGGTATGATATTCCGATGGCATCTAGCGCAGCATTTTCGGTTGCATCTATCGCATTGGCTTGGACCCTTAGGTATGTTCTCGTAAGGGAGAATCGAAAGATCAAGCAGTCAAACTCGGAAGCAACTCTCTTCTATGTATACTGAAGCCAAAGCCTGCGAGATCTGCTCGTGATTCGGAGCTGCGCCTGGAGATAAGAGAGGAAGATTTCTACTCGACCCATTGGAAGGTCTTGGAAAATGACATAGAATCCATTACTGGTATTGTAGCTGCGGAGAAGACGGCATCCATGGTTCAATGTTTCATATAAAAACTTACAGTGAAATACGTGGGACCACTGCCAAAAGACACACACTTGATTGTATGGGATAAGGCTGAGATTTTCAGGGACGAAGCCTGTGAAACTCTCCCAAGGCCGGCTTCAGTCACGGCAACTAAATATCACCTGTACTGCGAGAATCACAAAACGGTTCTGTCCTTCGCCATACTACTGTAACATTGATAATAACACTGTGGCAAAGAGTCGGTCGCGTTGACCGGCCCGAACGTGTACATCAAGAGTTTGGTTCATTCCTTCCAGGAGACCGTCCTAGCAAAATGAAATCAACTATCAAAGCCCGTCGGCCATGGCCACGCTAACATATCGCCTCTGCATACTATAACTAGACACTCTTCATCGTATACAGTGGTCACAGTGCCTCCTCCCTAGTACCTGCCTAAAGATATCATCCTTGACGACACTCGTCTTGATTAGCCGCCCACTGGGACAAACCTCCCAGCGCTTGAAATTTTGGGAAAGCAAGAAGGGTTCTTCCTTATTTCTCTTATACTCTTCAACATGCCGGACACCAACACGAATCGGATCCCCAAAAGAGTCATCACAGGACACGATTCTGAAGGAAAGGGGATAATTCACCACGTGGACGAGGGCGTGTGGGCCAAAATCGACAATGACATCGTCCGCTACAACGCCATGTGGACGACCAGTACATTCCCCATCGATATTAAGAATGACGACGCTCTCGAGAAGGAAAAAACCGTCCTGTCGCTATCTCTTCCCAACGGGACGGTGCTGAGGATGGTGGACAGGTCGCCGGGCTCTTCGTCTGCGATGCATCGAACCCAGAGTCTCGACTATGGCGTCGTCATCGAAGGGGAGATGGAGATGATCATGGACTCAGGCGAAAGGATTACATTGCAGCGGGGCGATGTCTGTATCCAGCGTGGGACGATGCATCAGTGGAGGAACAACACCGACTCTTGGAACCGGATGCTCTTTGTGCTGATCGATGCCCTGCCGGTGGAAGTGGCTGGAAACGTCTACAAGGGTGAGACCGGCTATGAACACGTCAAGGAGATTGGCAGCCGGCTTTGAACTATCAAGGATCTAGATGGGTGCATGTCTGGAGTATTCAACTACTTAGATTTCAGAGATCAAACAGAACCATCTACAATACCTCGACATATGGTGCGAAGATGCCCTGGAATAATTGAACTCCACTTCTCCGCTGATTTCCATGTCTCGTATTGACATCAATGCCCTTGAACAGTCGAACTTTACCTCTTCGCTGATATTATTGTCCATGTCTCGGCCTAGCATCAATGCCCCTGCTCGTTGGTGTTAAGCAACCTAGAGTGCGTATATCGCATATGGCTTGCCAAGGTTTATCAGTGAACCCCGTCGCGTGAGAAGAATAGACTTTTTGTCGTTCGAAGAATCTCAGAACAGGACATTCGGCCCGTCGCCATTCTTCCGCCGACGCAGAATGTCTGGGGCCCATGTAGCCGAATCGGTCCACCTCCCATCCCACGAGGTCTCCAAAGTCAACACAACTATCGCTAATGCTTGCAATCTCAAAAAATCTCGTGGTAAAGAGTGTGCGAGGGCCAAGGCAGTGGTTCGTCTTTCAGAGCCAAGAGATTAGCCGGCGCGATTAGATAGAGCCTCACGTTGTCCTCTATTAAAAATACATGACCTGGATCGCTTTCTAACCTGTCAATCAAGGCCCAAATTCTGGACTGCTTAATTTTGTCAGACCAACGTACAAGGTTGTCCAGATGGAGTTGAAAGCTCCACGCAAGCTGTGGGAGCATCCCAATCCAGAAAGCACCCAAATGTATACATTCATGAAAGAGGCAGAGGTGACCACTGGACGATCATTCACGGTGCGTAACGAGCTGAAGTTCTATTACAGAGCTTCGACTGATGACGAGTCAAAGGATTACGATTCTCTATACCGGTGGTCATGCACGCATCGCGCCGAGTTTTGGGATTTTGCTTTCCACTACTTCCCAATCGTCTACACCGGGGCCATCCGAAGGCCGGTCGTAGATGAGAAAGCGCGAATCGACAAAGTCCCCAAATGGTTCGAGGGCGTCAAACTCAACTTCGCTGAGAATATCCTGTTCGTTGGAGATGAGCAAGGCCGCGCGAAAATGAGCCCCGGCAAAGAAAATGATAAAATCGCATGTACCGAAGTAAGGGAAGGAAGTTTCCTAGAACCTACTAGACATACCAGCTGGAAAGAGCTTCGACGAAGAACTGGGCGATTGTCCCAAGCTTTAAGAGCACAGGGAGTTCGCAAGGGAGATAGGATCGCCTTGGTCGCAAGCAGCTGTCTGGACACACTGACCGTGTTCCTCGCGACGACAGCAATCGGTGCCATATTTTCAAGTACTAGCCCAGATCTCGGGTCGAAAGGTATTCTGGAGCGTCTGACGCAGATAGAACCTAAATATGTCTTCATGGACGATTTTGCGGTGTACGATCGCAAGAGAATTGACTTACGGCCGAAGATGAGAGAGGTTATCAGTCATCTCAAGCAGGTCCCTAACTTCAAGGGCCTCATCTCACAGCCGCGGTTTCTCGGAAAGCCCGCGGATATCTCGACAATTCCTGACTGCCAGACATGGGAGTCTTTCATCTCAAACGCACGATCGTCCAAAATGGAGTTTGAGCAACTCGACTTCGGCGACCCCATGATCATTGTGTATTCCTCAGGAACCACAGGGCTACCTAAATGCATTGTGCATTGCGTCGGGGGAGTTGTGCTCAGTGGGCACAAAGAATCCCGACTGCATCGCCGGGTGGATCATACGTCGACTCAGCTCCAGTATACCACTACGGGCTGGATGATGTACATGAGTTCCATCCAACTCATGCTCATGGGTGCAAGGACAGTGATGTATGATGGCAGTCCCTTTGCCGTCGATGCGGAGAATTTTATTCGCCTGGTCGGGGAGCAGAAAGTGACACACTGGGGGGTCTCTCCTCGATACCTGCACACCTTACGATCGAGGAACATCAACCCTCATGAGGTCACAGATCTCAGTCACTTGATAATGGTCACTAGTACTGGGATGGTGCTATCAGAGTCCTTATTCGAGTGGTTCTATGATTTTGGATTTTCGCCTTCTGTCCAATTGTGCAACATATCTGGAGGGACCGACATCGCCGCGGCGTTCGGCACCGGAAATCCCCTCCTTCCTGTATATGTTGGAGGAGCACAGTGTATATCGCTAGGAATGGCGGTCTCAGTCTTCGATCCGATGATTGAGGGTGGGAAGGGGGCTGTGGTGCCGGAAGGCACTGCTGGGGAGCTGGTCTGCACAGAGGCGTTCCCAACGATGCCGGTGAAATTTTGGGGAGACGTGAACATGAAAAGGTACAGGAGCAGCTACTTTGAGAAGTACGAAGGTGTTTGGACCCATGGTGACTTCATCATGGTTCAGCCTCAAACCAAACAGGTCCTTTTCTTGGGTAGAGCAGACGGAGTGCTCAACCCCAGCGGAGTGAGGTTCGGCAGCTCTGACATTTACAACGTGATCGAATCCGATTTCACAGAAGACATATCAGACAGCATCTGCGTGGGCCAGCGTCGGCCTCAAGACGAAGACGAGAGCGTAATGCTTTTCCTCTTGATGAAGCCGGGTAAAGCGCTGACACCGACATTGGTAGAAAGGGTGAAAGCTGCCATCAGAAAGGAACATACGCCTCGTCATGTTCCTAGATATGTGTTCGAAACATATGAGATCCCGGTAAGGCCAGAGTGTTTTGACAGCGTATAACTCTTTTTAACGCATGGTAGATGACTATTAACTCTAAGAAAGTCGAGCTTCCGGTCAAGCAAATCGTTTCCGGAAAACTGGTGAAACCGTCAGAAACACTCGCAAATCCCAAAAGCCTAGACTATTACTATCAGTTCGCGAAGGACGAGAATTTAATTCAATCTCACAGATCGAAACTGTAAGAGGTTGCAGAAGGCTATAGTTCTCGGTATGTGAAAATATCGTCAGGACGCGGGTGATAATTCACAGTGCACGGCCGTTGGCGGGCACAAAAACAGCGAGCTCGAGTTTAGAACAAGACTCAATCATAAACTAGATCTCGAAGACGCGAGTGGGGCGATTTCTCCGATGGGAACCAGCAGGCTCATTGTTCGTACTTAACTGTATACGGCGAGATAGATGTTGGCTTTAAGTATTGATCATTTGCTATTTGAATTTGGTCCACCAGGCCGCCTGATTTGACCCACTATCCAAGGAATGCTCTTCCATCAACCGTTTGGTAATTTCATGCATATATATCTAGGCGTTGATCGGAGTTGACTGGCACGGTTCAAGCCTTACACTGAGACTTTCATCACTACGAAGCAAGCAGCGAGGCTATTGAAACACCAACAACAAGTAACAATATACTACACCTGACAGACGAAGCAGCACCGCCTTGACCCTCCTCGAATCCGGCATCATGACCACCCATATAATTGGCGCCGAGGCTCGACAGCTCGCCATCCCCATTCAGCATACTGACACCATCACCCGTCCACTCGTTTGCATCATTGTCCCTGAACGTGCCAAACCAAGAATACCGCTCCAGATACTCTAGGTCGTCCAAAAACGGCAGACTCTGGTTCATGAACGCCAGTGTTTCATCTTCTTCAAGACCTGGAATCGCAAACTCCGTCAACCAGATTGGCATATCGGGATACAGGCTGTGAATCGTGCCCAGCCAAGACGCCATGCCAGCGAAGTCGCCGTACCAATGGGTGGCGACAAAGTCAAATTCACATCCAGCGTTGGGGTTCTGGTCCCAGCATGATTCATTGAAATCCGCGAGCCATTCTAGCCCCCTCGAAGAGCCAGTGGTTGCAGGCAGCGAGACCTGGAAGTTATATGGGTCTCTGCGGAGGGGGGCAATGGTCTCGAGATATACCTCTGCGGAATGACGAGGTGAGGAATCGCTCCCACCACTGTCGGTGTCGCCATCCGGCTCATTGAAGCTCAGCACGCGCATCATCGTGTTCTCGCCCAGCGAGCCTGATGATCCGTTCTGGAAGGCGATGATCCTGTCGACGGATTCCTCGGCATCTTTGACCCCGTGGACCATGGGGACGAATTCAGCAGACCACTGTGTTAATGTCGGCCATGGCGAGTACGTGTAGTACCAGGTGAGGGGCGAGTTGGGCCCGATGAAGTTTTTGTAGTCTCTTTCGTGTCCTCGGTCGGGTTGGATGTATATTAGGCCTCGCTTGGGGAACGTCAAGTTCGAATCCTGGGCCAAGGCGAGAAACCTTGTGGCCAGGATATTTGACGAGGCGAGGAGTAAGGCCGATGGTAGTAGGCAAGCAGACTTCATTTTGTTGATTGAGCTCGGGAGCACCTTAATTGGAGACGGTTCCTATGCTCGAAAGCAATATCGGTTGAATATTGGATGGTCATTTATATGTAACGTATAATTCGTCTATTCTGTTTTGATCTGTCGTCACGGTCGCTTGCAAGAACGCTCAATCGGGGTATCAGGTACAGTAAATCAACGTCAATTCGTTGTATGGCCTAGTTTAATTGACTGGACTAAAAGGGTTCTAGGGGACTGAGACCGATTGCAGATATATCAAGAACCCGGTCCGGAACCTCGCTAAAGAGCAGAACCGCCTTGGTCGACATCATCGAAGAGTATGACTTGTTGCCGATACTTGGATAGCTTGGATTGGTCAGTAATTCATGTGCATCGCCCAGAGCTTCAGCCACATGATACTACGTGGCTCTTCTTCGGCGAGACACAAGGTGTAGATCAACAAAGACTAGTAATCAAGCGAGAGAAGACTGCTTGACTGCTGGAGCCGGACCCTTCGTGACCCTACTGCCTGCAAGTGTCGTTGGGGCGGGACCTCACACGAAGTGACAAATGACGTCAATGGTTTACATATTGATGTGTCTGGTTTGATAAGATAAGGGCCAAGTTTTTTTGGATTCCAGCAACGGCGATCAACACAAAATACCCATGCCGCCACAGCCACGTTCTGCAACGATCTCGTTCAAAGGAACTAACCGTTTGGCTACTAGGTCTTTCTAGCTCTCGGCACCCGGTTATGAGGATCGATAAACAAGGCACGCCTGGACTATTGCTCTAAATGTAACTGCGGGCACCGGCTCTCGAAGCTATCTGTATCTTATCCTGCATGATCTAACTGTGAGCTGGGTGAGTGTGTGCCCAATGCTCTTTGGTCTTTCCCCGAGTCCCGATGTCTGAGACGTAGCTCTCGACGGCCGCGCTTCCAGGCTTAGAAGCAAAAGACTTGATCTTCCAGCTTGCTCACTGGTCGGGCTTTCTGGTAACCCAGACCTTCTGTTGCCTTTTTCAATGCGCTAACCATGGGTGGAGGACCGCAAATGAAGATCTTGACATCTGGCCCCGGTGCTGGGAGTTTGCCTTTGATCATGTCCGGGGTGACAAAACCAACTCCACCATCCCATTTCTCGGGTGGGTTGTTTAGGACATAATATACGGTGAAATCAGGATCGATCTTGGCCAGATTGTCGATTTCTTCCTTCAGCAGGATGTCGTCGGGATTGACGTTGGCAAAGATCAAATCAACCTTTGTTGTGTCAGTGCCTCCGTTTCTGGGCCGTCCCCGTTCAATGGCGCGAGCGATTTGCAGCATGGGAGTAATGCCAGTTCCACCAGCAATCATACCGATACGTTTTGCGAGATTCGGATTATAAACCATGGCTCCCTTGGGACCTCTGACTTTGATGGTGTCTCCGACCTTCAGCGTGGTCATGTGGGCGCTGATGTTGCCTTGAGGATATGCCTTGATCATGACATCTACGTAACCCTGGTCTTCATCCGACGAGATCGGGGTGTATGATCTGACTACCTCCTTTTCTGCTCCTTTAGGGGTTGCCGCAAGGGAGATGTGTTGGCCAATGGGCAGGCCAAGGATATCGGTTGGGTTCGGTAGGCCGAGGCGGTAGATGGCGACATTGTGAGAGGTCTTCGTGATCTTGGTGACAGGGAAATCCTGGAATTGGTCTGGGATTAAGGCCTTTCTGAGTTTGGCTGGTCGGGGAAAATGTCAGCCAGTGAAGTTCGTAGGTGGTTTGAATCTGGACTAACCTGGACCACTTGTGAAGACCTTGTATCCACCGACAACAGCTGCGAAAGCTGCTGCGTAGGGAAGCCACTCGATCTTCACGATAGCAACTCCAACAAGTAAGAGTGCTGAAGGGATGTAGACCCCGTTGATATTCTGGGACGAAAGAGCGGCACTACCGACGCCTTAGTGATTGAAGTGTGGGGGAAGTTTTGTTGGGCGATGGCCTACCTCATGTTTGCGGTTCTATCAGGGCTTTACCTTCGTAGGCTTGAGTCCCAGCACCGAGATAGACCACCCTGGAGAGCAACCACGCACGGGGCTTGTGAAGTTGGTTGAGGAAGAGAAGCGGTGCTGTAGGTGGTGTTATGGGTGGTAGTGGTATGATTTCAGAAAATATTGAGATTGGGGAAGGTGCAGCCACTGCGGAGGAGCGGTGATGATCTTGGGTGGGGCTCTCTCTCTCTCATACACACAGGGAAGAAAGGAGCGCCCTTGGGCCCCTCGGCCAGGGAGTCCGCGAGTCAGATACGCGCACACATAACAAAATTTCAATGCAGGCGACCACGAGTTCGGTCTGTCGGGGACCTCATCTCCATTCCTCACCACGCAATGCTGCTTTTCGTCCTCGAACCTTGTCGTGCCCTCGTCGGTCATTATTTACTCGATCAGGAGAGAAAGTGCGGGGCTCATTCCGGTTCACGGAAGTGTTTACGGCAACAAGTCTACTGCTTCGGGTGAGTTCGCCGCCGACCAACACCGCTGGTGTTCTTTCTGGCGTCTGTGTCTCTGCCTCCAATTCGGGGCAAGCACTCCCGTTTGTTTGTCGTGTCCATACTCGTCCTAGAGTGTGATCCTTTGGGCGGAACAGACGGTCCTATTCGCCAGTCGGTCGGCCGTCTTCTTTGCAGCAACCCCACGGAATTCATCCGCTGCCATGGCGCTCGATTGGACAGAGGACGAATTGCCCTTTCCCTTGACAGACGTCGATCGAGCTCAGTTGAAGTTGACTGATGAGGAGTATGAGCCTCATACTTGGGAAGAGCTCAGACAGATTGTTGGTGCGTTCACATAACGCAACCCAGTGGTCATCCCTCTGACTGAATCAGCTGAGCACAACCTAAGCATACTCAAGAGGTGGCCGTCAGATCTTAAGAGATACATCAGATGGTCGATCGACACCAGGGCGGCATATGGCAGCGTTCCAAATTTTGTGAGGATCGAACGGCTAAAATGGGATATCCTGCCTACATCTAGTGGAGCTACTGGTCCGCAATTCGCGTTCAACAATCCCGTACCTTTCGCGGATCCCAATGACTATAAGATTCTGATCAACGACTGGCCATATGGGTATGAAGCCGGCATCAAACACATCATTGTCTGGCTGAAGACGCGGCTAGAAACCGAGCCGACCAGGGGAGACATGACTCCCAAGTCAAGGCAGCAGGTTGAAAACTTCATTCAAAAGACGTTCTCGGACCGCGTCAAGAGCTTGCCGGGGGGTGAGGACAAGGTCATGTGGTTCAAGAACTGGACGGCTTTGCAATCGGTACCTGGGATCGAGCACGTTCACGTCTTCGTCAGGTCTGTGCCCGATCACATCATTGACGAGTGGACATGTTCAGATAAATCTATAAGCAATTAGACACTGCACAGCTATGGGGTATCAGAAATAGACGGCTGTGGATAGTACAGCGGCGACCTTCATGCGGTAAACCATCACTACGGACTCTGCCTAGTCCGCAAATCATTCCAAATGTCATCAAAGATCTGAAAAACCGCAGTCACTCCTTTCAAAGTGCCTTCGTCGATCTCCAGGAAGCCATATCGCTGCTGAATCTTGTCAGGATGCCAGCGAACTCGCTCAGCTTTGACGGTGTTGGCGAAGACAACAGATGCGAAATCCTCTGATTCTGACGAGTCGTTGCCTTTCCGAATGAATCGTTCGACTTCTGCCCTAGTAATTCCCTTGGGTTTTCCCGACTCCACGGGCCACGCGATCTTGTTGCGCAAGAACAGCTGCTGCCTGTCTTCGTCTTCCTCCGTCTGTAGTCGGCTCTGAGACAGACTCAGTAGCTCATCCCATCGACGCAGGTACTCCTGCCACAGAACTTGCCACCTCTTGCGGTCTTTCCGCTGCTGGCCTCTTCTCAAGCTCGCCTCAATGTGACTGTCAAAAATGTCATGGTCATGAGGTTTATTCTCCTGCGCCGCATTATCTCGTCGCCTCTGCCTGTCTTTCTCTTGCTCCCTCTGCCTTTTCTCCTCTTTGGCTGCTTCTATCCCTTCCCAGCTCTTCTCCCACATCTTCCGCCGCACGAACTGCGCATATTCTTCGTCCGTCATGCGTTCCAATTCTCCTGTTTCGTCGTCCTGATACGTATTTGGGTAGGTGTGGATCGGCTGTCCGTAGACGCCTTCCCAGAAGGCGGCGCCCTCGTCGTCTCCCAGAGCATCGAAGAGTGATTCTCGAAAGGCCTGTTCGGGAGGGAGCCGGCTTGTAGAATGCTGGAATGCGCGCTGGTCGTCATCTGCGTCGCGGGATGATTTGTGCCGTTTCCTCTGTCGATGCGATGCCTTGTGGTCTCTTACGCGGCGTTGGCGGTGGTCCAAGTCATCCTGTGGATGTTCAGAGTGCTTTCTTTTAGTCTTGAAGCGAAAGCGCTTGGAGTGGAGGTGGGGTGAGGAATCGCGGAAAGGGCGCTGTGCTTGAGTCTGGGTAGGATCAGGTATGGACTCGCGGTCCAAGTCCTCGGGCATTGCGGTTCGCTGAAAAAATCATCTCAATCCTCATGATACCTCGATATGTTTGTAAGGGCCTGATCAGAATGCCAGCAACATTTAAATGAGGCCTTCGGAAGTTGGGCTGCACAATAAATGAAGGCAGTGGCTGGAGCGCTCGGCTATCGGCAACACGTTAATCCGAGTACTGCGCCAAGATATCAACTTTTTGAGTCAACCTGAAAGGCCCGGTCAAATTCAATGGCACATGTTGATGACTCCAACCTGGACATGTCCCTTTCCCTTAGTCTTCACTCACTGAGCCTTTCATTCTTTTCCAAAGGTATCAAATCGCCTCGTTCCCTGGTTGAATTCTGTTCAAGACGACGAATTTTCCAGAGTTCCAGACGGGTACGACCGTTGCTAGCTCGTTCTCTCGACCGTCCACTTCAGCCTCGCATATCATTGAAAAGACAATTCCACTCTACTGGACGACAACTGAGACCAAGTCCCGCGACGTCAGATCCTCCTCAAACCAAGATGGCGGGCGCACTGGCCGACTCGCTCCAGGGACTGACCCTGGAAGAAATGGCCGCGGCCAAGAACCCCATCGACTTCTACCGGTCATACATCGCCGAGATTCTCGCCCCGCTGCTCGACCGTAAGGCCGACGAGGTCATCAACTTCCTGCAATGGACCGCCACCCTCGACAAAGGCGACCTGTCGCTCCCCACGGCGGCCTTGCGGATTAAAGGTAAAAAGCCCCAAGATATCTCGGAAGAGATTGTCGCAAAGTTCCCCAAGGAAGACGATACCTTGGTCACGGCGACGCAAGCAGGGCCGTTCGTGCAGTTCTTCTTTAAGCCGCAGCCGCTGGTGCAGCGAGTGATCCCGGAGATCTTGAAGACGACGAAAGCGTACGGCACGAACCCGACGTCCGGCATGAAAGACCTAAGTGCGCCGCTGTCTCAGAAGAACCAAAAAACATTGATCGTGGAGTTCTCGTCGCCGAACATCGCCAAGGAGTTTCATGCGGGGCATTTACGGAGCACGATCATCGGCGGGTTCATCGCGAAGCTGTACGCGTCGCTGGGGTGGGACGTGCTCAAAATGAATTACCTGGGCGACTGGGGCAAGCAGTATGGGCTATTGGCAAATGGGTTCAAGCAGTTCGGCAGTCAGGAGGAGCTGGCCAAGAATTCGATCGCACATTTGTTTTACGTCTACGTGGAGATCAACAAGATCAAGACGGTGCAGGATGGGCCGATCAACGAGCTGAAGAAAGAGATCAAGGAGAAGAAGGCGGCAGGCGCGGATGTTTCCGAGCTGGAGGCGAAATTAGAACCGCTGGTCGAGGCGAGTGAGGACGAAAAGGCACGGAAGTACTTCAAGAGTATGGAAGATGGAGACCCAGAGGCGCTGGCGCTGTGGCAGCAGTTCCGTGATCTCAGCATCGCCAAATACAAGAGGACGTATGCGCGGCTGAACATCGAGTTCGACGTCTACTCGGGCGAATCACAAGTCGGTGCTGAGACGATCAAATCGGTGCTGGACAATCTGATGGCCCAGAAGATTGCCGAGGAGTCCGACGGTGCGGTTTTGATCGATTTCAGCAAGCACGGGGCCAAGAAGCTCAACAAAGCCATCATTGTCCGCAAGGACGGGACGCCTCTCTACCTGACCCGCGACCTGGCGGCGATCCTGGAGCGTAACGAGAAATATCACTTTGATAAGATGATCTACGTGATTGCCGATCAGCAGAATGAGCACGTAGCTCAATTATTCCGGACGACGGAGGTCAGTGGACACAAGGATGTAGCCGACAAATGCGAGCACATTTCTTTCGGCATGGTCAAAGGCATGAGTACCCGAAAGGGGACGGTCAAATTCCTGGACGACGTGATCCAAGAGGTGAAGGATGTGATGCTTGATGTGATGAGGAAGAACGAGAAGAAGTACGATGCGTTGGACGACCCGGATGCCGTGGCGGACATTCTTGCCATCACCGCAATCATGGTGCAAGACCTGACTGGCAAAGTTCGGAATGGGTATGAGTTCAACATCAGCCAGATGACGGCGTTTGAGGGAGACACTGGACCGTACTTGCAGTATGCGCATGCCCGACTATGCTCCATCGAACGCAAAGCCAATGCAGACCTTAGCTCACTCGGCACCGCTGACCTCTCACTGCTCACGGAACCCCACGCGATCAACCTGGTTCGGTCGCTGGCCCAATATCCTGATGTGATTCTGAATACGCTCAAGACACGGGAGCCTGCGACGGTGCTGACTTATCTATTCAAGATGGCACATGCGTTGAGTTCCAGCTACGACCATTTGCAAGTTGTTGGGAGTGAACCTGAGTTACAAAAGGCTCGATTGGCCCTGTACGAGGCTGCCCGACAGGTGTTGTGGAATGGTATGACCTTGCTCGGGTTAACCCCGGTGCAACGGATGTAATGGCTGCCGACCAAGGACCGATAACCTACACACCTCTAGATTGTCAAGTCAGCTACTGTAGTTCGGTTGTTCAGATATCCATGACAGGGATGCTCCATTGCGGAGGCGGGAGAATCCGGAGGATTGGGTGGGAAAGCGAGTCGGGTCCTGCGGAACCTCATGTTCGATTATGTCTTATTGCTTGTGCTGATAAAGGGGGGATGAAGAATGGCGGAGGCATTGGGCAGCCTGGCGGGGGGGTTATTGGGAGAAGAAAACAATGTCCCTAGAGGTTGAGCAGAGTTCGCTAGCTAAGTAGCAAGGCTTGTCGGATATCAAAATTACAGCCAGACTTCGCGTTAGAGACTGGAGGAGTGTTGTCATGCAGATGCAGCAATATGGAGACTAGCTAATTAGTCAGGGCGGAATTTTGCACGCAACGTCACTGAGTGGGTGCAGTTGGGCAGCATGCCATCCGAAACAAACTGTCCAAACTTGCCACAGTGAAGGTTACTCATGAGCTTTTTGAAGCAACAAGATGGATATCAATGCTCGGCCCACTCGAGTCTCAGGAGTGGGGAGTAGGCCATGTCAAACGGTCTTGAAATTGTTGCTACAGGCTTTCATTCGTGAAGATGTGCTCCAGGGATGTATCAGAATGACCCACCGAAGAATCTTAGGGACCTAGGCCTGAGTTCCGGGACTTGTACCAACAAGAGGGATCGGCCCCGGTGGTGGGTACCGTGTACAGAGTACGGAGTAGATATGGGTGTTTAGAGACGCATATGTGATATCCTGGATTTCAATTAAAGCGATCTCAGGCTTCTGGGTGAGGTCGAAATGGGCTTCTCGAGCAGGTCGACTTATTATCGAACAAGTCAAGGAGGACCTGACCAGCGCGGAAGGTCTCTAGGTTCTTTCGGTGGCTGCAATCCCAACCGCCACCGCCACCACCTTACTGCTGTACCGTAGAGGCTTGGTAGACCGGCCTTCAAGAACGGGTCAAGAGGTTTGAACAGAAGAGAAAGTAGAACTCGTTGGACAGAGCGCTGAAGTGCGCCGCAATCCCATGTCGAAATCCGGGCTGGCTGCAGAATCGGCTCCCCGCGTTCTTCGAGTCCTTGGTCTTCGCAGTATCGCATCACACTGCGTTGGAAGCATCCAACAGGCTGCCGTCATGTTCGAACACGACATTCTCTCCACGTTCTGTGACACCTGGCGCCAAAAGCAGGTTCATATGGTTGGGGAACGACAGACGGACAAGACCTTTCCATGTGGCCCTGAGCCACTTGGCACGAGAGCGGACGACCTCATTCCTGCCGCTTTGGCTATCAATCCACTCACACTTACATCCAGGAGAGTGTTGAGCGTTTGAGCGACGACGAGTCGACGCCGACCGAATGAAGATGAGGACTGCCTTGCAGCTGCCTACCGGTGCCTTCGAGGACGGGAGTTGCGCTGCAGGGAGGCCCTCGTTGGGCAGTCATAGGCCAATATCATCCAGTCAGATAGTCGATGGCAGACCCCAATCCATTCATCACGCAGACTAAGAAACAAGCGACGAGGTCGATCCAACGACCTAGGGAGAGAGATCCACCGGTTAACGCCATTGTGCACCGTTCCTGCTGTGAAATGTCTCGCACTAGGTTGACCTTGTAGTGCCGCGCCATTTTCGAGGTGGAGGGGGGAAGTCACGCAACAGGACCAAGGAACCAGAAAGCAAGGGCGAGGGGCGAGGGAACCCTGTCTTCTGCCTGCCGCTTCCACAGGCTGCTGCCAGGCTGCGGAAGGTGCGACTGACAATGGCAGCGCTGTTGCCTCGGATTGCCCTTGGTCACCCTGCGGTCACTGGCCAATGCAGTCAGTCGCGCCTTCCTGCTCCTCCCTCCATTGATGCAGTCATTCCAGCAGCCTGCCCGTGGCTGCTTGTGGCCGCTCTTACCCTCCTTCCTACCCTCCTGCCCTGCCCTCCTGCCCTGCCCTCCTCCTGCCCTCCTCCAGGCTCCTTCCATCTCCCTCCGCGTTGCCAGCCTAGTTAATGGGGTTAGTCTGCGACCAGGATCCGTAGTATTCTAGCTAGAGGTTCAATAGTGGGGTCGTGACGGCAGGCGCAGGCGTGAAAAAGAAAACCATCCATCAACACCTCCGACTCATTTCCTCCCCCCTCCCTCCATACAAGTTTGTTCTCTCATCGACTCTGACTCTGGTTCTTTTCACCCTGTGCTGTTTTCTTGTTTGTTTGACTTGTCGCCCACGACCGCGGCCCTCCTTTCTTTTTATTGAATACACGCAGCGACGCGCCCGTCAAACCACTCAACGCCGTGCACAGAGCCGAGCATCACTCCGATCAGCCCAGATCATCCATTCTTGACCACTGACGCGCTTTCATTCCTCTCGACTCGCATCTGCCGTCCAACTAGATTTGTGTTGCAAGAGCGAGAATCCTGTACCACCGGAAAAGTGCATTCTTTTCTTGCCTTGTTGACAGCCTGGTGCACACCAGGGTAAAAGACTCAACGACAGCAACAGCACCACTCAACAATTGCAGGTGCCAGTGCAGGTGCAAAAAAGTGAGAATCTACGAAGCGGGGTCGAGTGATAGCCTGAGGGTGATTGAGAAAGAAGATGGCTCTCCACCAACACGAGATTGAATGAGGGATTCCCAAACTTCTGAATCATCCCTTCAGAAAGAGCATCAAGCTTGGCCTTAGTCCTCCTGGCCCGGAGTCTTCGTTACCTTAGGCATCTCACCTGCCCCTCGGCCACCCAGAAACACCCGCACCACCAGCAACCGCACCAGGCAGGCCCCTTATCCACAGATCACCCGTCACCGATAACCTAAACTTAGGTGGGTCTGGTACCAGAAACTCTCCCGGATCGAGCCTTGCCTTGCCCGCCTCTGCCTTCAGCCACCAGCAGCCACCAGCCGCCCAATTAGGGCTGTCTGGTCACTGTTTAGCCCGTGTCGAGAATAGCCTTATACGCCCCAGGGAACCCGGAGGGGCTGCCGGGGCAATCAACGCTACCCGGGTCACCGCTAAATCTGGAACTCACCAGGGCCAAACCCACGCCCACGCCCACGCCCGCACCCACACCCACACCCTCCAAGGCCCACATTGAACAGGAATTGTTCCTGGTCACTCCACATCTTCCCTCCACCACACTCTTCATCTCTCCTAACCTCACCTGAACTCAGGACGCAACAGTCCACCTCTGTAAACAGCCTATCTAAGTTGTACTCCTATCGTCTGCTCTCGTCGCCGCCCACACAATCGTCGCTTCCATGCCCGACCTTGACCGCCGTCGTCCTCGGGTTGCTACTTGCGAGGACTGGGACGAAGATGCAGAAACTACCCTCCCTGGCTCTAGGACCACTGCCAATGTCTCTATCAAACGCTCCGAGCAGGATCTAGCAAGCGGACATAGGGACCACAAGAACGCAATGAACGGCGTCGATTCAGGTTATGTCAGTCGCGCCGATACTCTGGTCAGCGAGCCCACCTCCGTACGACGAAGGACCAACGATTTGAAGATCGAAACAGGACCCGCCGTCCTAGAGAGAGAGCGCCAACCATATCATATGCCTCAGTCGGCGCCTTCCAAGCCTTCCTCTCGTCGCCAATCCTCATTGCAGCTCAAAGGCTCTGTCGCCTCAGACCCTCGGCCGGCCAAGGCGAAACAGGTTCATGATTGGGGTACTTGTCAGATATGTGACCGCTACGGGTGGCACGACAAGGACAAGTTACGAGCGGTCAGTATGGCGCCCCCGCAACCGCCGTCTCCCACTGCTACAAGGGCGACTCCCGCTGGTCGGGCAAAAGATGATGCAGCCATTCCCACCAAAACACAACGGTCCTCATCCATGCGTCAACCGAGGCCCTTGAGCGTCGTTACCAATCCTGCAAATCCTCCACAATATCCCCAACAACCCATCTATGCGACTCCCGTATTCGCACCATCAACCTGGGCAACACCTGCGACTCCTGTCCAGTATGCTCAGCCAACCTACACCTATGCTGCTCAATTGCCAACGCCCACCTCCGGGCCTCCCCAGTATGCACCTTATCAGCCAGTCCAGGCTTACTTCGACCCGGTCGCGGTTCCAGAACCACGCTCTGCTAAACCTAGTCGAAGATCCAGCCCTGTTCGCCGTGCTACGCTGTACGGTGATCCAGTCATCAATCAAGCACAACACGTCTCGTTTCCTGTACTGGAAAGGATTCCCTCCAGAGAGAGCAGGCCAACACTGACATCACACAAATCAAACCGCAGCACAGAGCAAGATCGTATCGTGATGCCTCCGCCGCCAAAGCCACAGACCTCAGAACCAGCACTGAGTCGTCGACCAAGCGCCCGGAGAGCAAAAGCTTATATCCAGGACGACCCACATGTTCGAGAACGGCCTTCCAAGGAACCCTTGGCTAGCGAACAAGATTATGAAGAGTATGTTGATCTGCGTCCAACCACTTCCCAACGTGCTCGTCGGGAGTCCCCTTCATGCCCGCCTAATTCCTACAGGGCGCCAGCCTTCATCGACTCTCGTCCCATTTTGCCTAGGAAATCCGTCTCCTATTCAACCACAGAGGCCACTACCAAGGTTGCTTCCTCCAAGTCCCATCAACACCGACGCACAACCTTACCCTCTGTACCACTCGAGCAAAAGGAAGCTGACGCAGAAGCCTATCAACGGAAACGCGGTAGCGCCACACCTCATCTGACCCTTGAAGCACTCCGAGGTCTTGAAAAGGGGTCTGCAAGCTCAAGATCAGAGACAGGGAGTAGCTATAGCCACAAGAGCCACCAATCGTCGTCCAAAGATTCCTCTCGGGGGCGAAGTCAGACTCACCACAGTGTCACCACAACCACCATTACTCTTCCTGGTGGCTTGAACGTCAATATTCCGGCAGGCTTCAAATCCGATGGGCGGCCACTGAGCATTAACGTAGGAGATCTCACATTCTCTGTAAACTCTCAAGAAAAGGAGACTGAGCGCCCTCGTGAGCAAAAACGGATCGAGCGTGCTCCTAGCGTTGCCAGCAAAACTTCTAGGAGGAGCATTGCCAGCAGCAATGTCTCCAGCAACGATGGTCCCAAGAAAACGTCCAGGCGAACATCACAATTAGAGGAGCGGGTGAGACCCAGTCGTCAACACAGCCGAACCCCCAGCACTACGGGTCAGAGCTACGAATACACTACAACTGTCACTTCAAGAAGACAGAGTGCGGACTTGGGCAACAGACATGAAGATTACTACGGAGCATAACTCCCGGGATCACGACATCCTGTTGACAGGAGACTTTTTTTGGTATGCGGAGGTTTTTCTGAGCGGCGTTCAACCATGGATCGTGCTGCTTCTTGCGCTTCTACCTTGTTGTTTCATCGAGCGATCCTGGATTCGCTATCTCGGCGCACAGGTGGTTTCCAATCTTTGTTTCATCTATTTCTTCGATTGAAGGGCATTACCTTGACGGTACTGCCAGTATCGATGCCGCTGTCATCGCTTGTTCCGGTTGGCAGATTTGCAATTTGGCTCTCTGAGAACAAAAGCAGACCTTGAAAAGCTGGAAAGAAAAGTCTTGTGATACCCCATTATCCGACAAAGTCTTGTGTTCGCACCAAGACAAAAAAGCGAGATGAATAAAAGAGGCAGGCAGGATTGATATGTTTATTTACTCGGTTATCTTCACGAGATTGCACGTTGTTTGCAACCCAACTGGGGAAGTGAGAGCCGCTTGGCGCATCCAAGTATACGGTACACAATCCCCTACGCAGCTAAAGATGGTGCCTCGCGACGGATGTCGTTATTCTCCAATTGCTTACTGCGTCGCCTTTTGTTGCTATCTTCTGCAATAACGTGCAACGTTATTCTTGCGACATCTATCTTTGAAGAATAATTTTAACATGGAGATGTTTCCATCTTGATCTCGTTCAATTATCGTTTTGATTTTGGTTACGAAGCTTGGAAGCGAGTTTTTGGGTGGTGGACAAGTTTGTGAACCACAATGTCGAGTCTCAAGGGATCCTGCAGGTCGGGATATTGTGAGACTATCGGCTAGTGGATCGACGAGCCGATCGATTAGAGAGAGAGAATGAGGTGAATTGAGGGAAATTGGAAATGATGTTACGATATATTTACGATGGTATACGATACACCAACAATTTGAGCATGAGGAGCACGGGAGGCTCCTGGCCACATCAACACGACTGTAGCTCACAGCAGCTTGAGGCGAAGGAGATATGGACCGGATGAGCTGATGCCTGACATGCTGCCTACTTCTACTTGAGCGAGAGGACCACATTCTTCCTCGGATGGACAATGTGCACTACCAAGCATGAATGATTGGGTGCCAGCCATTTGGCTTGGTCCAGACATGACTTGCTAACTACATAAGTATTTATTCAAGTCGTGACATTTGAACTGTCTGCCTGGGGTGCCGACACTGATTTTACGTAGGAGGCAAGCTTCATAGGAACTCAACAAGCTATCGCACTTCGCTGTTCTGCTCCCCTTAATCACGTGCGATGCTTTTCCCAGCTATTAAATATGGAAGAACATCCCATTGATTGGACCAATCTCTCTACTTTTTCTGTGGGTGCAGGTAGGAGCATCACCTTGGTCGTCTAATTGATCTCGTTTCGTCTCTTCTCGTCAGAATTCATGGCCACGTTATGTATATATGTATGTATGTCTTTCTTTTCTTTCTGTCCTTTCTTGTACAGAAGTACCTTTCGGGGGCGTGTTTGGGGCAAGGACATGCTGCTTTGGCATCTTTATCACGTACCGATCAAGTGGGGTCCCACGCTCTTTGTTGCATGCCTTTCTCCTCGGTTGCACGTCGATGTCGGTATTGTTGCGAGCTGACTACGTTTGACGTGATGCTTGCTCCGCCTCTCGTTCTATGCGGTTCGTATAGTACGCGGGTGGGTCGGTGGTATCGCTCGTTGCCTGGCGTTGCGGAGTGACTTTTGCTCTCTCTCCCTCTCTCTCTCGCATCCTGGCATGGCAGGAAGCGAAGCCGGCGCTGCCGTCTGTGCACGCACTGTTCACCGAGGAGCTTGCTTATTCATTTCTCCCCAGAGTGGCTTGGTCAAGGTATTTGACTTTCACTCCATCTGATGCCATCATGGCATGGTGCGGGCGCGATTAAGCACCATCTCGCTTCAGCAAGATCGCCCCCGCATGGGCGGCGGAGACCAATACAGCCTACGATTGTCGCAGTGCTTCCACATCCGTCTGGCTCGGATTGTCATCCGTGTGATAGAATGAGGATGGCACAGCTCGGTATATGATGCCGTTCTCGAACTCAATGTGGCCATTCAACTCGCCAAAAATTGTTGCAAACAGTGCACATCTTTGTCTTACTTTCGTAACGTCACCGAAAATGGATACCCTCTTGATTGAACTGCCACAGCAGCTTAAGGAAGTCGGCCTCGTCACACATCCTCGCTCGCTTGTCGGCCAATTGTGTCCTGTCCTCCAGCACGCTGCGGACCTTTTCGCGGACAAGGTCCGCCACCTTGCTTCGTTTCTTCCGAGATGCAGTCTTGGGGGCCTTGGAAGTGTCTTGTTGCTCTTTGAAGAATGCGGGCAGGTCGTCGTCCTCATCCAAGTCCATGATCCCGTCCCATTCTTCCTCTCCGTCAAGCGCGGCAGGTAGGGTGTTCTCCACGTCGGCCAGCATTGTATGATCATCTTCACTCGTGGAAGGCCCATCGTCAATGGCAATGTCGTTCTGCGCGCACCAGGTTCTGTAGTTGGACTCCAGCATGTTCATGATACTGGTTGTGCCGAGGAAATTTGCGCGAAGGGTCTTGTTCTTCCTCACGAAACAAATCCTTAGTAGTCCATCCCACTCTTCATACGAGATGTTAGGCCGAGGGTTCTTGGGGACGATCCGGACAACACTGCTCTCCACGGCAGGTGGAGGTTTGAAATTGTTCTTGCCCACTTTCATGATGTGATCGATCTTGGCCCACATTTGAGCATTTACACTGAGACGGCTGTAGAGTTTGTCGCCCGGTTTCGCGAACAGGCGGAGAGCGAATTCGCGCTGGAACATTAGTATGCACACGCGAGGAGCAGGTGTAGTGGCGAGGAGTTTGAAGACCAGCGGGCTGGAAATCTGGTAGGGAGTATTCGAAATGCAGACGTCGAAGTAAGGCAGCTCGGTCTTGATGACATCCCCCAGTACTACGTCCAATCTCTTTCCCATGACCGTCCCCTGGACTCGTTTGGTGACTTCGGCGGCCATGCGCGGATCGAGTTCGACGGCGATGCATTTTTTGGCTTTCTCGAGAATCTTGACCGTCAGATTACCCGAACCAGGGCCGACTTCGAGAACGATATCGGACTGCTTGAGGTCTGCTTTGTCTACTATGGCTTGTGCAACACCCGGGTTTTTCAGAACGTGCTGGCCGATATCTGTGTTCATCTTGAAAATGGCATTCGAAGCGCCCGAGGCCGATTTGGACGGTTTTGCTGATTGGGGCCGAGAGTACGGCGACGACGAGGCGCCACTGGAACGTTTCTTATGATTCGCTTTGGGCATCTTGAAGTCCGTGGAGGGCAGTCCCTCCAATTGCCCAAGACTGAGATCTAGAGGGTGTAGGAGATATGGGGCAGGCTATTCGAGAGAAATCATAAGATTTGGTCAAAAAAGATATGTGGGGGCCACTGCGGACTTTTGGGCGGTGAAGGAGTTCTGCCACAAGGATTTCTGATCGAACGGAACATCATTGTTCCGCGCTGCACATCGAACTGCCTGTCTCCGAGTCCCCGGCCAGCAGTAATTAATGTTTCTGCAGCCTTGCCCTCGGCCACTTTTATGTAGCGAGACGACTGCGACAATTTCATCTTCTCCTGGTCAACCGGACCCTTCACCACCGCCATCATGGCTTCTCGACGGGACTTCCTCAGCCAAAAGGCGCCCGAGAACTACGTCGCGGGTCTAGGTCGAGGTGCCACTGGATTCACCACCAGATCAGATCTCGGTCCTGCTCGCGAAGGCCCCAGCGCTGAACAAATCCAGGACGCCCTAGCGAAACGAGCGCAACAACTTGGGGCGGCTCCACCCACCGCATATGGCGCAACAGACAAAAAGAAGCAGGAGCAAGAGGAGGACGATGACGAACGATTCCAAGATCCTGAAAACGAAGTCGGCCTTTTCGCCTACGGCCAATACGATCGAGAAGACGACGAGGCGGATCGCATATACCAGGATGTGGATGAGAAGATGGAAAGACGCCGCAAGGCACGAAGGTTGGTTCTACCCCCTCTCATGTCCCTAGTTGCCCTTCTACCCTGTCCTTCTGCTGTTCTCTCATCCCGTTCATGCATGAAAACCCGTGGTTTATCTTCTCCACCTGTGTATGAACAGATTACCGACGTAATTCCTTCGGCAACCTCTAGGGAAGCACGCGAGAAAGAAGAACAAGAAGAATACGATCGCAACAATCCCAAGATTGCCCAACAATTCGCCGACCTCAAGCGGACCCTGGCCACAGTCTCGGACGAGGACTGGGCGAGTCTACCTGATCCGGGTGATTTAACAGGCAAGAACCGAAGATCGAAGCAGAATCTACGACAACGTTTCTATGCTGTCCCTGACAGTGTGTTGGCCGGCGCACGGGATTCGACGGAGTTTCAGACGAGCATACAAGAAGATGGCGGTGGCATGGGGGCGAGTGGCGATAACAAGGATGGGACGATCACCAATTTCGCGGACATCGGTGCAGCCAGAGACAAAGTACTCAAGGCCAGACTAGATCGAGCCGCCCAGGCGGACGCGGGGACTGGCACATCTACGACGATTGACCCGAAAGGCTACCTGACCAGTCTCGCCACAACCGAGCTCAAGTCGAGTGAAATCGAGTTTGGCGACGTCAACCGAGTGAGAGTGCTCTTAGAATCAGTCATAAAGACCAACCCGAAACACGCGCCCGGCTGGATCGCCATCGCACGTCTAGAGGAGTTCGCGGGCAAGATGGTGGCTGCGCGGAAATGGATCGCCCAAGGCTGCGAACAGTGCCCCAAGAGCGAGGATGCATGGCTAGAAAACATCCGACTGAACGACAATCAAAACGCCAAAATCATTGCCGCGAATGGCATCAAGAACAATGAACGGTCGACCCGGCTCTGGATCGAAGCCATGCATTTGGAATCCGATCCTCGGGCGAAGAAACGAGTTTTGCGGCAGGCGATTGACCATGTGCCCCAATCGGTCGCCATATGGAAAGAGGCAGTCAACCTGGAGGAGGACGCCGAGGACGCCAGACTCCTGCTTGCAAAAGCCACCGAACTCATCCCGCTATCCGTAGAACTCTGGCTGGCGCTGGCGCGTCTGGAGACACCCGAAAATGCACAGGCGGTTCTCAACAAAGCAAGAAAAGCGGTGCCGACAAGCTACGAAATCTGGATCGCTGCAGCGCGATTACAAGAACAAATCGGAAACGCGAATAAAGTCAACATCATGAACCGCGCGGTCAAAGCGCTCGTGAAGGAGGGAGCCATGCCTAAGCGCGAAGAATGGATTACAGAGGCAGAGAAGTGCGAAGACGAGGGCGCGGTGCTCACCGCTGGGGCCATCATTCGAGAAACACTGGGCTGGTCTCTCGACGAGGACGACGACCGCAAGGAGATCTTCAAGGACGATGCCAAAGCCAGCATCGGGCGAGCGCGGTATGAGACCGCACGAGCGATCTACGCATACGCACTGCGGGTCTTTCCGACCAGCAAGTCGCTGTGGCTCCTCGCAGCCGACCTGGAAAGGAACCACGGCACGAAAGAAGCACTGGGCGCAGTCCTCGAAAAGGCGGTCGAGGCCTGTCCCCAGTCGGAAGTGCTGTGGCTCCAGCTCGCGCGCCAAAAGTGGGACGCAGGCGAAGTGGACGACTCGCGTCGCGTGCTCGCCAAGGCGTTCAACCAGAACCCCAACAACGAGGAAATCTGGTTGGCGGCCGTGAAGCTCGAAGCGGACGCGAAGCAGGTCGACCACGCACGCGAACTGCTCTCGACGGCGCGGCAGGAGGCGCCAACCGAGCGCGTCTGGTATAAAAGCGCCGCGTACGAGAGACAGCTCGGAAACATCGACATCGCGTTGGATCTTGTGCTGCAAGGCCTGACGAGCACGGTGGTCAACAAGAAAGAGACAAGGTTCCCGCGCAGCGCGAAGCTGTGGATGATGAAGGGCCAGATCTACGAGGACAAGGGCATGGTGCCGCAGGCGCGCGAGGCGTATTCGCAGGGCACGCGGGCGGTGCCCAAGTCGGTGTCGCTCTGGCTGCTGGCCGCGCGGCTGGAGGTCAAGGCGGGCGTGCTGATCAAAGCGCGGTCAGTTCTGGATCGAGCGCGACTGCAGAATCCGAAGAACGCGGAACTCTGGGTCGAAAGCGTGCGGGTGGAGTTGAATGCGAATCCGCCGAATGTGCCGCAGGCGAAAGCGCTAATGTCCAAGGGGCTGCAGGAGTGTCCGAAGTCGGGACTGCTGTGGTCGGAGAATATCTGGCGGCTACAGCCTCGCACGCAGCGGAAGCCGCTTAGTTTGGAGGCGATCAAGGCGGTGGACAACGACGCTATCCTGTTCGTGACGGTGGCGAGAATCTTCTGGGGTGAAAGAAGGCTCGACAAGGCGATGAATTGGTTTGAGAAGGCGATTCTGGTAGACAGTGACCTCGGAGATGCTTGGGGTTGGTATCTAAAGTTTCTGATGCAGCACGGCACTGATGTGAGTTTTTCCATGGGCATGTTTATTCCGACACAAATGCTAACGGGTGATTGTTTCACGCAGGAAAAAAGAGAGGACGTCATCTCCAAATGTGTTGCTAATGAACCTAAGCACGGCGAAGGGTGGCAGCGGGTGAGGAAGGACCCGAAAAATGCATACCTGACGACGGAAGAGGTGCTGAAGCAGGTGGCTAATGAATTGCAATGAGACCTACCTTGGTGGAATTCTGATCTGCGCCTTCTGCAATGTGTATGATATGGAGATTTCAGTGGACTTGCGAGAGAGGTGTTCACTAGGCTCGGCAGGCCGAGCCCCATGAGCGTGGCCATGCTTGCAAAAACCTCTATACCCAAGGGAATGTAAGAAACGGCCACTGGATCTGAGCCATATGCAAGACAGTGGCGGCACGTGACTGTCTCTTGGTCCTTCCTGCTCCCCTTGTCTCGTGCCGAGGTGCGCTATGCCCACAACCAACATCGGGCGACACCCTGAAGTTGAAGTTTGACGGGCGCCCCAAAGCATTCGCAAGGCCTACCTACTAGTGAGTGAGCATGGCGCTGGGGAGTGCGTCACATGGGCATTCAACTAGATCTTTCAATGCCCAAAGGCGGCTGAATGCACAGGGACACGGAGCGGTGCGAAGGATTGCCAGCGAGTGGTGAACGGCCAAAGTGGCCGGTGGAGAGATATTGAGAAGCCTGTTGAGATGAATGCAAGCCCTACCGAGTGCATACGAGGCACATTGACCGGGGAGAGATGTGCAAATAATCCACGAGGCAGCGAGGATGAGGAAAAGACCCCACAGCGAGGCATCCATTCGGGGGAAGTTTGGAAGCTGGTGTTCAGTAACTCACTGTTCAGGCCGCAACTGATATGGAGTGGTGTGTTGTGAAACCTAGCACCATTGCTTGGCAGGCTGGCACCTGGCGCACTCTGCTGTGGTTGTACAACCCGGGGGGAATTCCCAGATTGATTGAGAAGCAAGCTGGGTTGCGAGGGCACGAGGGACGAAGTGGTGGAACAGTAGCGGTTGCGTCGATGAGGTCCTTTGGACCCAGGCGAAGGGAAGAGCTCTCCTAGATCCGCAACAGGGGACAGGTGGATTCGGTAACCCTTGTCTGGAGAACCGCTGCCTCGTACAAACGGGTAAAGTAGCGTGATGACGAAGGTAATTCCTCGGGCTGGGGCCTCTCGTAACTTGGAGATAGCACCGCTTTGCTGGGGCACATTGAGACAAGTGTCAGGCATCAATAGTGCCAGGGGTGTCCGTCAACTATAACAGTTTTCCAATCTGTGTTGTTCTAATTCGACGTTACATAAGGCATGGAGAGTAATTGCTGGGAATCTGGGAACCTTGGAAAAGTTGGCACCAGGAACGAGTTTTATAACAAGATTCAGTGGCCACTGGCCAGGCATCAGCGGATCAGCCGCTATCCGCCCGCGTCGTCCGCCTTCCTAACTGTAAATGCCATCGGGGGCTGCCAGCCGCAGGGGCACAAAGCCCCATCACCCCCATAATATAAGTATTAAGGTGCGTGATTGTACCAGGGCGACAGGCTAAGGCTCACCTTCCCACTCCCGCGGCGAAAAGCGTTGCCCCACGATGGCAGGGGTCATGGTCAAGTATCCAGATGCCGACGTTCTGGTGCACTTCTGGCGTGGAGACGAAGGCTGAACGCAGACGCCGGAAGCGGGGATTAATTTGACTCACCAGCTAGCTAAGTACGATAGTTGCCTTGGGTCGGTAGTTTCAGAAGCACAGCACAGCTTCAAGGCCTCTTGGGAACTGGGACCTGGGAGATTTGGCTGACGTGTTGTTGGGAAAGGAGCTCTGGTTCGGATAATTAGGACGTGGGAGTGCCAAGGCATCCCAAGGGTGGCCGGTACGAGGTACATCGTACGGAGGACTGGAGTTGGTATCGGCACCCTGGTTATGGACAATCGATAGGCGTTGCCATAGGACAGGACCAGGAGGCGCCCTCAGCCTAGAGCTTAGAGCCTAAAGAGGGCAATCAATCACCTAGTAAAGAACCATTGAGAAACGCATTCCACTAGTAGTGGTAGCAAGTCTCAAGCCAGGCAGACAACAGGGACGACGATGATAGAGAGGGCGACGGGGAGGGGAAGGGCGAAGGGGCACCACGGCCAGCACATCAGCGACACGGACACTGACACCGCCAGGAATCAGGCCGAAGCCCAGGTACGAGTAAGTATTACGGAGTACGCAGTACGCAGTATTATGTATGGGAAAGAGCAATGGGCAAAGATGCGGCTGTCTGGGCAGGGCCCAGGGCCCAGGGCTTGGGGCTCGGGGCTCAGGAATGCGCAAATGGCAAGAGCTTTGATGCAAGCGGCCTGTGTCCGTCTCCCCCTCGCTCGTCTTGACTCTTCCCTGCCAATTCCATTCCTAACGCAGCCCCATCCAGCCCATCCAGCCCATCCAGCTCGTCCATTCACATCCATTCACATCCACATCCCCATCGTCTCAGCGTCCCCGTCTCGTCTGAGCTTCTGCATCTCTCGTGGCTCCGGGGAAACAAATGCGGCCTGGGGGGCGCAGGCGTTGGCACTACAACCAACTGGATACCACCAGCTAGATTCCCCGGCCACGGCTACGACAACTGGGCCGGCCGGATTCGATTCGATTCAATCAACCCGTCAAAAAAAAGTGACAATCCCACGTCTCTGTCCGTCTCTCCTTGACCGCCAGATCCAGATTTTTGAACGACCAACGGAAGGGGGTTTATCTGGCCTCACTTCACTCCTTACAAAGTCCGACCCATTTCTCCCTAGAGCTTACGTTCCCCTTCCCATCTTCTCTATTCCAAGTCCTCTGCAAACCAAAACTACATATTCCCCAGTTTTCCCGCCGATCGACCACCCTTCCCAACCTTTTACTTATCGTCCTCCGTACCGTGCCTGCAGCCGCTGCCGATCTTCCTTATCTCCACACCCACAGTACCTTCAGTACCTAAGCTTAATTCAAAACCACACCTCACAGTCCACCTATCAAATTCACCGACTTACAACACCTACAGTTCCCACATAGTAAGTCGGCCCTTTGCAGGGCATCAGACTAGTCCTGACATGCCCTTTCGTCCCTCAACAGATTTCTCCCTCAACATAACAGTCATCATGCAGCGATCCTCTTATCGTTCCACTGTTCTTTCCAGCGAAAACTCCAGCCGAGAGATGCACCGAGCACTGGAAGCCTCACCCCGGCCCAAGTACGCATATCTGGAGCGAAGACAATATCCGGAGCAGCAACCTCCTCCACCTCCACCATCTCCAGTCTCCTGGAACCGTGACAAGCAGACCAGATAGATGCCCGGTCATCGCTCATGTCTTTCGTTGACGGGTTTCAAAAAGTTGTAGCACACATAGACTGATTGGGATTGTTCACGGCTTCATTTCTCCCATGTTTATTAGCAGGACGGGCATATCTGGCAATTGGGGCGTTGAATCAACACTTTCGAGAAATCCCAGTATTTGATTTCGTCAAGTGGTTTGCATATTTTCCGGATCTGGGAGTCCACCAGGTCCATCACCTCGTTTTGGGTCTGGGTCTGGGTCTGGGTCTGGTTCTCGTAGTTGTCGTTGCGGTTGCGGTTGCGGTTCCATGGCATTATCACCACTAAAATCACCAGCAACATCATCTAATTGAGAATAGATCTTTTCGAGTCTTTCCAGTGCGTCCGCGTCCCCTCGTACCACTCGTCGGTTCAATGCATCCATCTCAGTACGCTGGGTCTCGCTGAGTTTCGATAGTTCCTGCGATGCAATCTTCTCATCCACGTATGTCCGAACACTATCCTGATGACCACGCCGGTCTTTGATCTCCATCAGCTTCTCCAAAAACGTAGCCTGCCTCTTGATCTGCGCATTCTTTTTCGGATTCGAACGGGTAAGCGTACCCAGGCTCCGACCTTCGGGCGCTTGTTGTTGAGTCTCGGCATCTTCCGGTCGAGCTCTCTTCTTCGAGGATTTCTTCATATGAGCCCGATATCCCAGCAGTTTGATGGTCGAAGTTCCCAGTAGGTCGAAATCGTCGGTCGAGAGTAATGGCGGCTGCACGATGTCTCCAGAGACGCCGGGCTGTGTGAAAAACATGTTGGTCCCGATCATGTCCACCCATGAACAGCTGTACACTTGGTCCTGGTAAGAAATGATCGGGTTCGAGGTGTGCAGGTCCAGGACCTGCACATTCGATGGTGCGTTCAAGTCGGTGTCGTCCTGCTCCGGCTCTGCCGTTCCCTCCTGCCCAGGCGTTGGCGTTGGCTGCTGGGTCTGAGGTTCTGGGCTCACGCTGCCGTCCCCATCTTCAATTTGAGGTCTTGCTGTAGCCGAGGAGACCTCTTCTGCATCTGGATCGGGGCTGTGAGTAGCACTGATGCTCCCTTTCCCCTTACTATTCGAGGTCTTATTGGGCTTGTGTGCACCTGCACCAGCGCTGGCACCGGAGATGTTGGGCCTGACGACAGTATGATTCAAAGATGAGAGGTCTAGATCCACAAGAAAAGCCTGCCAGAGAAAGAAAAGTATTAAGGGAGTGTGATCATGAGAATATGAAGATAGATGCGATGCCAGACTGGGACGTTCAATGCGGACGGCTCCCTACCTCGGTTTCATTTTCGTCGTACTCATACTCGTACTCGTACTCGTTCTCGTTCTCATCCTCGATAAAAACAGTATCACTATTGTTCATTGTGGGTTTGTTTGCAAGCTCATCGTTACTGATGAAGATGGGTCATGCACGTGGAGGTGTTGCAAAATATCCCAGTCACGTGACGTGTGCCTTGGCTTGGGTCTGCCGTCACGGGGATTTGGTCAAATTGTCGGTCAAGGACGCGTCACGGTCTCCGACTTATGGGCGTGGAGAACGGAGAGCCTATCGAACATGCATGCTTGACCACTTGGTCTATCGATACTGGCAGAGACACTAGGCACAAGTTACAACAGGGTGAAACATACCTAAAGGAGGATTGAAACCACCAGTGAGCAGTGAGAACGACGAGAGGTGGAGGATTCAAGAGTGTCAACGTGTCAAAGACGAGTTTGAGGTAACTATCTTGGGGATAAAATGCCTCCTTCCATCGCTGCCAATACTAGCGCCCGACTCGGGCTGCTCTCCACGGAGTCACGGGATCAAGGGACCACGGAATTCCCTGTCCCTAACTTGTCCCTAACTGCAGCAGGATCGAAGATGGGGATGGCGATGAGGATGAGGATGAGGATCAAGTCCGGATCAGGATCCGCCCTGGCCCATCTCACCCATCTCGCCCAGAGTCAATGAGTTCATGAGTCCATGACCCATCCTGACCTCTGGACCCCCTCTGGTTGCTTCTCCCAAACTCAGACATAATTGTCATCACTCAGCCGCATAAAGTACATAAATCCATTGCACTTCCTGTTTCCTGTTTCTAATGGTTAGACTGTCCCCTTGAATGGCAACCTTCCCTCCTCGGTAAACCACCATGGATCAATCCTTTGAGGCCGCCTCTATCATTATCAGCGACTAGCCAGCTATTCCCACAATCGCCCAGCGGTTACCGTTATCGCCAGAATCAGCCCGCGCGACCCCTCATCCAAGATTCACCAGTGAGTTATATCCGTCATATTTCCCGTTGCTCTTCACCCCACGGATGTTGGCGGAAGCTCTCTTTGCCCTCATTACTCATCTTGAACACGGTTTGGGTCCACTGCTGTCTACCAGCGGAGCCTCATCGTGGTTCATCATGCCCATTTCTGGGTATCCCCCATCGTAAGCCTTGTTTAATGCACGCGGTTAAGGCCAACGCCGGCCGATTCCTCAGCCGAGTTCCGCTCTCACGGTCACATCCTGGTGGCCAGATGATGACATGTCCAATGAACAGCAACCCTTCCTCGTGATATTCTCTTCCTATCGAATGCATTTGGCTAATCCTTTCGGCCTCTCGCTCTTACAGTGTCCCTGATATTCCATCATGGCGGCCAGTTACCGCTTACCCATCAGGTATATACCTTGACAACCACTGTCTCACCATTGATACCTACCACTTCCTCCACACTCCTGGCGGGTGTAGACCATTTTTCCCACCTACCCATAGCGCAGGCGCATTCCGAGCTAGATCCTGGATCGACACCCGCAGAGGTGCTGGTTGACACAACTGTAGCAGAGGCTGGCAAGAGACATCGTGCTTATGAGACAGGCACGGCTACCTGCCTGGAGGAGGGGGAGATGAAGGCCGTCAAGACCAAAGCCGCCATCGGCCTGCTATCAACCATCATATCATACATGTCTCTGAACAGCATCTACCGAGCAACCAATCCAGAAGCATTTATTTGGCAAGATGAAGATCGAGAGGAAGCGACCTGGATGGCCACATCCAAGTCTTGGTTCGACCGCAAAGCATGCCGTTGGCTCGGGGTATGCGGGGGTATGCACATGCATCTGATTAAAGAGTCGGACACCTTTGGTCATATTCCCCAGATGACACGAAAGCAACACAGAAAGACAGATACAACGCCAGACTGGGACTGGCAGAATGCTTGGACAGAAGGCAAAGACCGGCCTGAGGATTGGACGGATGATGAGCGAGTTCTGAGAGACATACCCGACTACGTCCTGGAATATGCTCCCCTCGTCCATCTCTATTCCGGAGAACAGTTCTGGCCCTGTGATATCGCCGAGCATCTATATCATATCACGCCAGCCCTCAACTATACCCCTCTTCAGTCCGAAGACAAACATCCTACCCTCAAAAACTTGGAGAAGCTGAACAAATGGCAAGAGGGTCGATGGGTCTTCCTAACCAGTGATGACGACGTGGAGGAACGACCTGAGTGGCTGGAAGGCGAGAAGAACATCCCGAATGCCCCGACGAATCCTGACGAACAATTTTTGGATAACGATGGGTGGGTGCATAGGCCAGGAAGGACATACTGGCAAGGGGTAAAAGATTGGTTTGCTCCGGAGTTGGATGACACGACGGTAGAGAAAGACGTACGCACAACGCACTTTGGCAAGACGGACAATTCTCGAGCAATCGCCAAGGTCCATGAGCAGCTGAAACGCTCCCCTTCCGCAGGAGACAACGGGGGCAAACTTCGTGGCGGCCGCAGTGATGCTCCAGCGGTCTTGATCACTGTGAATAAAGGCCATGGCATTGTGGATGCCTTTTGGTTCTTCTTCTACAGTTTCAACCTCGGCAATGTGGTTCTCAACGTTCGGTTTGGCAACCATGTTGGCGACTGGGAACACACAGCGATCCGTTTCCAGCACGGCGAACCCAAAGCGGTTTTCTTCAGTGAGCACAATTTCGGGTCGGCATACAGTTACGATGCGGTAGAAAAGCTAGGGAAGCGTCCGGTCATCTATTCGGCTTATGGGACCCACGCCATGTACTCAACACCAGCGACCCACCCTTATATCTTACCTTGGGGAATTCTCCATGACCTCACCGATCGAGGTCCCCTTTGGGACCCTGCCCTCAACGCACACGCTTATACATACGACCACAAGAATGATACCCTGCGGTCCTCCAACCTTACTCCCGAAGCCCCGACAGAGTGGTTCAACTTCGCTGGCCACTGGGGAGACAAATTCTACCCTTTGAATGATAGACGACAATACAGGTTTGTGGGACAGTACCACTATGTGAATGGACCGCTTGGTCCGAAGTTCAAGAACCTTGGAAGAAAGAAGATTTGTCCTGGGTCTGACACGACGCCGTGTGTGATCAAAAACTGGCTCTCTGGGTCGGATAAGATTGGACGAGTTCATCTCTCGAATGTAGACGGGGAAGACTTGTAACGACTACTAACTGAAGACAACACATTCCTTACGACGATTGCTTCATCTTTTTTCGGTGAGCAGCATTCATGATACCCCCGGCTCAATGCGTTCAGTTGGTTGGCGTTTGATGAGAGTGGTTATTTCTGAGAGTGCTTTGTATGCGATGGTATGTGCCTGAGGCAGCCGCTGTATGTACTGTAACATGAGGCACCGTCTATACATTAGAGGCAATCATGCTAAACACTACACTATCCAATCATGTGCACTGACCAGATCTGCTGGGCCAACCATAGATTTCAAAAGCCATGCACTGGGCACGTCCGTTGTCAGAAATTCACGCAGGGTACCCACCACGGATACCGAGTACTCGTGCAGCCTCACAGAATATCGAGTACTATGACAGTACGCCGAGTAGAGTCCTGCGTGCAAAGTACCTAGTAATAGGCAGGTATGGGGCGACAGGAGCTATGACGTGCGTTCCGTGCATGTGACTTGGCGTTTCAGAGGTCAGGCGGTGCAAATCCCCGCTTCTGCTCCTTCAGCCATTCCTGTGGCGCCCAGGTGGTATTCTGGAGGATCATTCGCCTCACCATTATGTTGCCTTGCGGGCTGTCTGTCGCCTTCATCAGCCTCCCAAGGTCTTTGTTCACTATTGTTTTGCACACGAGCTGCTCATCTCCCCTGATTAAGGTCCGGCCGATACTTTCCCACACTCCTGCATGCATGGATCACTGACGATACCATCGTGCGTTAACCACCTCCACCTCCACCACCTTTGACCCCCATCCACTCGATTCCACTTCCATGTACCCTCCAGACCTTCCATCCTCGTCCTCCTTCATCATCAACAATGACGCTTTAGAGTCGACTGGTCTCAACCTCTCATCGACTTCCGCCCTAGCGACCATGGGCGCTTCTTTCATCACCAGCATGGGTGCGGCTGTAGTCACGCAAACCGCCAGTCTTCCGACGTCACTCCCCAATACGGCCGGCTCGAAGCCGGACGACGATGAGAATAGTGGGGAGTGCAAGTTACTTGGATCATTTGCAGTGTTTGTCCAAGCAGCTCTCGGAGCGCTCGCCCTGTTGTCCCTGGTCTACAAGAGATGGAGAGAGAGGCCACAACGGCCGATCAAAGTATGGGCATTCGATGCCTCCAAGCAGGTCGTTGGATCTATCCTCCTCCACCTGGCCAACGTCATCATGGCCATGTTCTCAGCAGGCCAGATCCAGGCGACGATTGCAAAATCCGCAGCGAGTGCCGCGGGTGTGGACACGGAAGATCAATATCAGCCTAATCCATGCTCGTGGTACCTACTCAACCTGGCGATTGATACCACGGTGGGCATCGCCATTCTCATTGCCATCCTCAAAGTGTTGACGGTGGGAGCAAGCTACACTCCTCTGGCGCGACCGCTCGAATCGATCCGGTCGGGTCACTATGGCAACCCCCCGAAAACCACATGGTGGCTGAAGCAGTGCCTGATATACTTCATGGGCCTGATTGGGATGAAATCGTGCGTTTTCTTGATCTTTCAGCTTTGCCCATGGTTGGGTCGGGTGGGCGACTGGGCACTTCGTTGGACGGAAGGCAACGAGGCGGTTCAGATTGCGTTTGTCATGTTCATCTTCCCGCTGATCATGAATGCCATGCAATACTACATCATCGACACGTTTATCAAGAACAATCAAAGGAGCGATGGTCCATCTTCTGGGGGTGTGGATGGTGCAGAAGACGATGACGAGCAAGGCGGGCTTTTGGCTGACGGACGCGATCACGGTCACTCGATCGATGAGGATGAGGCATGCAAGGATGATACAACCACTCAGAAACCACCGTTCCAGCGTCACCGGGTTGTCTCGTATGATCCGGACAAGGACGGAGAGACCCTTCCGCAAGGTCGAGATCGAGAGGTGGAAAGCAGTAGCAGGAACAGTCAGACCGCCAGCCTCGAGGAGCATGCAGAGGGAGAAGGAATTGAGGATAGGCCACGTGTGTAACATGAAGTCTCTGTCTCGACTGTCGAGTCCTGTCTCCGTCAGGTTTGTCCCCAGCAGGGAATGGCATGGAAATGTCATTTGGGCCATCTGTCACATCATTCCTGTCTTGATGCATTTACGCTCGATGCGCCATCCTCGGGAAGTTCCTCCGCTTGGCTCATGTAGCCTGCCTGAAGTATTGGGTAATGGCTTAGCATTGGAAAGGTGCATGGATGGCATTTTCTGCAGCTAGAACAGAAACATAGGTTACTCTGCATGGAGAAGTTTTCATTTTTAGTCATTCAGTTGAGGACTCTGTACAGATCTGAGGTCTTTTTTTTCCTTGCAATTTTCCAAACCCCAGGTTCTCAATGGTTGATGGCTGTCCGGGTTTACCCTAGGCTAAGCGGTTGCAGGTTGGCAGCGGAACGGGGATCAAAGGGCGGGCTGAGGACGCCACTGGAGTGGATCTGAGGGGGTGATGGGAATAGGAATAGAGACAGTTCCTGGGGGGATTGAGTTCGTCTAGAAGCATGGACTCGGGTCACGGTGGCCGATAGAGACGCTTACGTGCCTCGCACGGGCACGAGGTAGAGCAGGCGGAAAAGGAGGGAAGGGAGGGGAGGCCTGTTCCTGGATGACCACTACGAGTACTGACTATCGGCTGTGCTGCTCCTGTCGCTGAGCCCTGGCAAACCTGTGAGTGCCGTAGCGAGGCGGTAGGGCTGACGGTGGTGGTGGTTTGGATGGTGGTTTGGATGGTGACTTGGATGGAGACTTGGATGGAGACTTGGATGGTGACTTCGACGGTGACGGTGACGGACAGCTCGGGCGATGGTACCCCTTACGAGACACGACCCTCCATAGCCACGAACCACGAATCACGACCAGCCACTGGTGGCGAGCGAAAGGAGACGAGGGTTTTTCTTAGAAGTTTTCAGGGCATCAGGGGCATGGCACGATGGAACGAACCATCGTCTTCCATCCTAGCCTGCTCCGGATAGGCCGCCCGCCATTGTTACTACCTGCAGCGCAGTGGGATGCATCCTTCATTGCGGGGGTGCTTGGGCTGCTCGTGCTCCTCCATGCGTCCCTCATCTGGGGCCGCGTTCGCCGCCATTGAGGCCCAGTTACATAATTTGACCCGTTGCTGTTGGCCATGTGATGCAAGAGGGCGTTGCAAAACTCGGCGGAAAATCTCTCAATTACCCCCAGGAAATAAACAAGGGAAAGGATCAGAAGAGGATTAGGAACCCGGCCCGCGTTAGAGCCTGTAGTGGTTTCAGTTGCGGGTGACGACTGACGACTGACTACTCCGTACCGCCAGCTGGTAACCGGTGCGGTGAACATTGCACGGTGAGATTACGACTTCCACCCTCAGATCGGATATTTCTTATCACTACGGAGCACCGAGGGCAGAGCTACGGAACATGTAATAATAAAAGGGCCCCGACGGCCGCTTGCATCAGCCTTCAATATTCCACCCTTGAGCCCTCACCAACAGTCAGATTCACATTGCGGCTGACTCTCTCGCATCTCCGCTCCTCCACTCTCCCATGATAGCATTCCTGCTCCCGCTCCCTTCTCTCTAGCTGAGACTGTTGTACCTTCTCATCGTCACTGTTAATATCTTGACATAATCCCTCCCTCCTTGACCATCCCTCTTTCTCACTCTCATTCCATTTTGTCCCTCTCCGGCCCCTCCTCTCCCTCCTTCATCTCCTTAAAATATGGCTGCCCCGGCGACAAGCGGCGACCAGCTCCAGCCGCTGAACCCGGCCAAACACAAGCTGGTCGAGCAAGTCGTCAGAACCCCTGGTAGACAGCCATCTCCTCAACCTACAATGCTCGGCGTTCCTGGAGCGTCTCAGTCAAATCAATCGCTCCACCGGATTCTGTCCGACCACAGCTCGGGCTATGTAGCTCCCAAATTCGAGGGCAAGCAGGCCCAGATGGGACAAGGTAAGAACCATTGGCAAAGCGCTGAGCGGGCGCCATATCCTACAAGCTGAGCTGAACTTGCTGACTGACTCGTGACAGTTATGGACCTCATCGAAGAGAACGGCTTCCTTCCTACCGAATTTGTCGCCTCGGAGACCGAATGGTTCTATAATGCCCTCGGTATCGACGACATGTACTTTTCCACCGAGCGGGCCGAAGCAGTCGCTGCAAACATTCTTTCTCTCTACGCAGCCAAACTCGCCGCCTACGCCCGCGATGACAAGAAATTGGAGATTCGACTGGCAAAAGAGGCGGCCGATCACGCAGTCTACATCGACACCAGCACTCCTGGAATTAGCGTCATTGACGGGCCGAGATATGAACAGCGCATGGACGAGAAATACATCGACGGCTCTGTTCCCGGCCGCAGCTACAGAATCGAGTCGTTCAGATCCACGAACGCTCTACCCGAGAATCCCGGCCACTCTCTACGTTGCTACTTCGTTTACGAATGTCGCTTCAATAACCCAGACCCCAGTCCGCTCGAGACTGATCTGGAAGTCATTGGCGAGAAGACTTTCTTGCAAAAGGCCACCTCAAACACAAAGGCCGTGTATCAAGAGATCATAAACTATGCGGTCCAGAGGACCGGTCCCGTCATCGAGATGTTTGAGATGGAGGGCACCCGCGAGAAGCGTCTCGTCATCGCCTACCAACAAGGTTCGGCATTGGGGGTCTTTAGTGCTCTGTCAGATCTGTACCACTACTATGGCGTCACGAGCTCACGGAAATACGTCGAGCAGTTCTCCAATGGCATTACTGTCATCTCCCTGTATCTTAAACCAGCTTCAAGCGACATTGCCAAGCACAGAAATCCCCCTATCGAAGCAGCGATCCACCAAATCATCAAAGAGGTGTCGCTTCTGTTCTGTATCCCCCAGAACAAACTCCAGGGCCAATTTGCTAGCGGCAACCTCAGTCTGCAAGAATCAATCTACGCCCACTGCGTCCATATCTTCGTGCAGCAGTTCCTCAATCGCTTGGGTTCCGAGTATACTTCCCTAGTGGCCGCACTGAAGGGGGATACCAATGCCAACGCTGAGCTCTTATCCAAGATCAAGAAGAGGCTCAGAACCGAGACTTTCACCTCAGATTACATCCTCGAGATCATCAACCGTTATCCTGAGCTCATCAGATCCCTCTATCTTTCCTTTGCCAATACCCACTACGTCCAAACACGGGGTGAACAGGATGATTTCATTCCCACGCTGAGTTATCTGCGCTTGAGTGTGGATAAAGTTCTCGATGACAACAGCTTGTCTGAGATCATTTCAAAGACGGTGGGCAACCAACATGATGAAATGGTCATGCAATACTTCTTGACCTTCAATAAAGCTGTCCTCAAGACCAACTTCTATACTCCTACCAAAGTTGCCCTCAGCTTCAGGCTCAAGCCCAGTCCAGAGTTCCTTCCTGAACATGAATATCCTCAGCCATTGTATGGGATGTTCTTGGTAATTGGCTCCGAGTTCCGAGGTTTCCATCTTCGCTTCCGAGATATTGCACGTGGCGGTATCCGGATTGTCAAGTCCCGAAATAGGGAATTGTACAACATCAATGCCAGAACACAGTTCGATGAGAACTACAATCTCGCCAATACTCAGCAGAGGAAGAACAAAGACATTCCTGAAGGTGGATCCAAAGGCGTCATTCTCCTTGATTATAATCACCAGGCCAAGGCTCGCGGCGCATTTGAGAAATACATTGATAGTATCATGGACCTCCTTCTGCCTCCCACGAGTCCTGGCATCAAAGATCCAATCGTCGACTTACACGGCAAGCCGGAGATTCTCTTCATGGGCCCCGACGAGAACACCGCAGATCTGGTAGACTGGGCCACGGAGCATGCTCGTGCTCGAGGTGCACCCTGGTGGAAGTCGTTCTTCACGGGAAAGAGTCCCAAGCTCGGTGGTATTCCTCACGATGCATATGGAATGACTACACTTTCTGTTCGAGAATATGTCAACGGAATCTATCGAAAGTTGAATCTTGATCCCAACAAGATCAGGAAGTTGCAGACCGGTGGACCTGATGGTGACCTGGGATCGAATGAGATCTTGCTCAGCAACGAGAAATACGTTGCCATCGTCGACGGTGCTGGCGTCTTGGTTGACCCGGAAGGTCTTGACAAGACGGAGCTCCTACGACTGGCCAAGAATCGTGTCATGATCCACGAGTACGACATCTCCAAGCTTTCAAAGAACGGCTACCGTGTCTTGGTTGAAGATTCCAACATCACGTTACCATCGGGCGAAAAGGTCAACAACGGAATGACCTTCCGAAACACTTTCCATCTGCGCGACGGAACTCAGTATGACATGTTCGTGCCTTGCGGTGGTCGCCCTGAGTCGATCGATCTATCGTCGGCCAACAAACTGATTGTCGATGGCAAAGCGACAATCCCGTACATTGTCGAGGGGGCCAATCTGTTCATTACATCCGATGCCAAACTTCGCCTGGAGAAGGCGGGATGTATCGTGTACAAGGACGCCTCGGCCAACAAGGGAGGAGTGACATCTTCATCGCTCGAAGTCCTCGCCAGCTTGTCATTCGACGATGAAAGCTTCATCAAGAACATGTGCGTGGGCACCGATGGAACCGTCCCAGCCTTCTACCAATCCTACGTCAAAGAAGTCCAAGAGACCATCCAACGCAACGCCCGTCTCGAGTTCGAGGCTATATGGCGCGAGAATGAGAACACCGGGGTTCCCCGCTCTACCCTCTCAGATCGGCTCTCCCTCGCCATCACCAAGCTGGACGAGGAGCTACAGAACTTTGGCGAGTTGTGGGACAACAAGCCCCTGCGCGTGGCGGTCTTCAAGGAGGCGCTGCCAAGAACGCTGCAGGCGACAGTTGGGCTGGACAAGATCCTCGAGCGCGTGCCGGAGAATTACCTAAAGGCGATTTTTGGTAGTTATATGGCCAGTCGCTTTGTTTATGAGTATGGTGCCACCCCGAGTCAGTTTGCTTTCTTTGATTTTATGCGGAAGCGCATGGCGGGGACTATGGTTAATGGGGAGTAGAGGGGATGTGGGCATTGACGTTGAATGATGGTTTTGGTTTGTATTCGTTTTCTTTGGAGCTATTTCAGGATCGGCCAGATCAGATCAGATCAGATCAGGCAGGCAAGGGTTTGGTTCGGAATAGGATGGGACGGAGGGTAGGGCCTCCACGGATGTTTGGGTTAGAGCTACACAAATGTGTGCTCCCAGAGAAGTACGCTGGGTCGTAAAGCCCCACTGGCGTTGCGATGAGCAGAAGCGAAGGTGACGAGGCAAGACAAAAGCGTAGTATAACATACATGGCATTATGTATCCGATAGCAAGCATGTGGTAAAGCAGTCACAATAAGGAGAATCGATATCCTACATTTACATGAGAGCAGAGAAGGAGAGACGCCCTCCGAGGGGCCGTCATTCAGACATAAACCGTGACTACCGTGTGGATCTACTACATACGTCCTATCATGTCAGTCTTATATTAGCTATGTAAGTGAGGTCACTCCGTCCCCTAAAAGGGAGCGGGACGAGGCACCTGGCGAGTCTTATACCTTATTCTATGCTATACACATACGGAGATAGATAGTCCCATGTTGCACTGCTCTGTTTCTGCGACTCCTTCCACTGGTATGTTGCGCTTCATTATTCTCCTTCAAGGTGTTCCAGCTGGCACTCGCACTCACCTCACACAAAGAAAGGGCCTTCAAACACGAGGAGGTCAATCAATGTACGAGCAGTGGCGATTACCGATGCCCCATGCAGCCATGCAGTTAGGAGTGTGACGCTCTGAGATTCGCCAATCTTGAAAGACAATTGGTTCAAACGAGTTCCGTAACGTAGCCTGAACACCTACTCGGAGGTATGTACCGGTCCAAGTTGACTCTCCAAAAAAAAACAGTCACAAAGAAATTGGAGTCAGAGTCCTGCATTCCAAGCTGCATTTATCGTATGTAAATTATCTGTGAGTGCACGAGACGGCCAAGAATTGGCCGCATTTTGCTTATTTGACTTCACTTCCGTCATTCGAGCCCTGTATCTGTAGGATGTACGAGTAGTTTCCTGATCTGACAGCGATCGTCCTGTGATTACCGAGTCTCGAGGAGGCCGAGAACAGCGTACCCGTAAGTCTAGGCACCAGGTGGTGGCCATCGCCTGTAAATTAGGAGTTAAGTAAACTTCTAATGCTTGAAACTCTTATACTACGAGTACGAATTAGGTATTAGGTTTCTCGGTCAGGTTTAGGGCCTTTATTAACCTAGCCTAACCTAGAATCTAGCCTAACCTAAAACACAACCTGACCTAATCCCTAACGGGTTTACTAGCCTATATTAAGGCCTAATAAGGATATATTCCACAACGCGGTGGCTATTCGACGCGCGACTACTAACTAGTATTGTTTTTTGTCTTTTTCTTACTCGTAGTAACCCTTACTTCTTCAACACGACTTAATGTCTTATCTGAAGTTATTCTCTTAAATATCTGAGTTGAACTGATTTCGCCAATAGCTATCATGCCTATCCGGATTTTCAGGAAGCTCTGTTAATCTGTTTAGTGAGCACCAGCACCGGAAACCAGAGGAGAGGAAAGGATTTGGCGGCTTCTAACCCACTCTTACTATTCTGATTGAAATAGAATAATCGACTAGATTTAGTCGTACGGGGTACTCCGCACCGGCCATAAAGCGCCGGACCAAAAGTGCACCACCACTTTACTCTGTCCAGCATTAGTTCCTTATGTGCAAAGGTGTCGACCATGTAAACAAGTCTTGCCAATTTAGCCGCCATCAGCTGCGAGCAGCACTGTGCTTACCTTGCTCGCTCCAGATGTTGGCGCGATGATAAGAATGAGTAACACGCTCACAACTTGTTAAGGCGCACATCTTTTTATTCAGAAGAGTGTCAATCACTAACGTAGTCGTCATTCCACTCTGCCTCTCAATGGACATAGCTTACAGGCATGAAACCGCCATCTCCATCAGTAAGACACGTGAGAATTGTGCAGTGGCATCGACATGCTCTGGCAATGCTCCCTCTGTACAGTCGGTCAAGTCGATGAGTCAAGGCTTTACTGCTCGAACTGAGATATATCTTCCCTCATCCCAATGCAAGTAAGCTTCGACGCCAGCCATCAGATTTGTGAAACGAGTATGAAACCCGAGGAAATAAAGAATCTTGTATGGCACGAAACCAATGACGCCAAATAATCGCCATAGAGGAAGTACCTCGTCGGACAAATCCTCCAACTCTATGTCCTGAAAACCAACTTCTTGTAACATCGCAGTCAGAGCTCCTTGCTCTTGGGTATTTTGGCAGTGCGAGAGGCGGAGCACGTCCTGGAGCAGGGTGGAATTGCGGCTGAAGTCTGCCTCGTTATGAACCAGTACACCCCCAGGACGAAGAAGCCGGTAGAAATTCCGCAGCACCTTGAAGGGTTCCTCTGCATGAACAAATGTTTCCATGGTGTAGATGCCGTCGAATGAACCGTTCGAAAATCCCGCTAGATCGTGAAAGTCTCCCCAGGAGACGGAAACCTTGTCTTCAAGTCCTCGTTTTTGAACATTTCGCCGGGCATCTTGCAGGTGCAGAGGAGTGATGTCGACAGCTTGGACCATCAATCCTTTTTCTGCCATATGCATGGCCACATACCCTGACCCCGCGCCTGCGTCAAGAACCCGCGATCCGGGGCTCAGACCGAGCTTTGCGTATACGAGATCCTCCATAGCTCGTTGCGCTCTACTGATCGGGAAGGGCCACAGCTGGCCTTTTGGGTAGAGCCCGCAGTGTCGAGTGTTTCCCAGTAACAACCAATACCCAATCCGTGACTCCAGGCTCGTGTAATATTCCTCTACTGACGGGACCTCCGTGCCATTATTTGCGATGAGGGCTGCAGGCATTCAAGTCAGAATTGGATCTCGCATGGCCGGAAAAGGCATAATCTTTACCGAAGAATACCGCAGCCAGGGCCGGCAGTATGGTGGCAAGGTAGCGCAATTTGAAGGTTCCCGAAGTTGGCCCTGTGGCTAGTCATTCACTTTGATTCCTTGCTTAGGGATTGGTGTCCTTACCTGGCATACTTGCGAGGGATGCTTACAGCAAGAGCAAGTCGTTAGGAGCAATAATGACCATGAGAATTTTCGGGGAGAGGGGGTAGCGGAGGCTTGTTCAATTGTAGAGGGCCGAAGATTGGAAAGAGTGAAGCGTTTACAATTTGTTTGGGCGGCCGTGGAATGAGCCACATTTGCTTGCGTCGGGACTAGTGCAAAATAGGGTCAAAATTAAGGCGGCATCAACCAACGGATCTACAGTCCTCAGGTTCCAAATTCAATTCCTTCCTACAGGACTCAAGATTAAAATACGAGTAGCTAGCTAATCACGCATATTCGGTTCCTGCTGCCAAAGAGGGCTTTGTCTCTACATGCTTCTTGAACAGGCGTTTGTCAACTTCCAAGACTCAAAACGTCCCGCCCCCAAGGGTTCAATTGACGCCACGGGGTAGAAATCCCAACCTGTGTCAAAGGATTCTAAACGAGTCTTGGCCATAAAAGGCAAAGAAGGAGACACGGCGCGTATTCATAGCGCTTATTTCCTTTATCTGCAGGGTAGCGCGACGCTGAGTTTTAAAACGAAAAGGGTGAAGCCCCTGAGATGGCTAACTGTTTCAAAAATCATATCAGACCTTTAATAGACGCTCCGCTGCTCTCGCGATGGATACCGGATATCGAAGGTCTTCCTCTCAAAGTAAATACAAGAAAGTTACTCAGCAAAAGAGCTGAGTAACCTACTATCTGTCAATGAGCTTCAGATCACAATATGACAACAAGCGGATTTAATCAGACATTGATCCGTGGATGGGTGTCACAGCCGGATACCCGTGGCACCTTCGATCTCGCATTCTCTTGCGCAGCGACGGTTTTCCTGTGCAGCTGGTCTTCTGTCTGTGTTAACATCCCCTCTCCGGACCATACTCGATGGGATTTATTTTGCGATAAATGGCACATGTTTTGCCTATCAATGCTTGGACCCGAATTCATCTTCATGTTGGCGTTGGGTCAATACGTATCTGCTCGTGCTTCAGTGAAAGCGTTTCATGCATTGGAGCACAAAGAATGGACAATGAAGCATGCATTCTATGCGGACATGGGCGGCATTATCTTCCAACCCAAAGAATGGAACTCATTCCCAATCAACGCTGCGCAGTTGCAATATCTGGTAGAAAAACAATACGTTGATTACCCTCAAATCGCAAAGAGCGAGATCGATGATAAAGACAAGTCCGATGGTCTTGCGAGGTTTGTGGAGGTCAACGTCTCACCGCCAGTGGTCCCCTTGACTTACATTTGCTTTTCTAGGTTCATCACCTCCATGCAAATGATCTGGTTTACCCTCAACGTTGTCGCAAGAGCGTCGCAGAAGCTGGCTGTCACGACCATAGAAATCACAACAGTAGCTTATGTCTTTTGCACGCTCGGCACATTGTTCTGTTGGAGAAGGAAACCCATGGAGGTCTCCACTAGGGTTCTGCTTCGAAGCAATTACACAATCCACCAGATCCTCAGAGACGGTGGGCGCGCCGCCTCGAAACCATACGTAAACACCCCTCTCGAGTTTATCGATCACAAGGAGTGGGCCGCGACACAGCTTTGGAAGTTTAATGTCAACATTCTGCGCAAGTTTCACGTGGTCCGACAGCGGCCGTTAATCCGTCCGGCGCAGAGGATTTCGTCGTTTAATTTCCCACGACTCACCCAGCAGGCTGCCTTGGGGGCTTTGTTGATGGCGTTGGGTTATGCCGCTATATTCCTAGCGGCCTGGAATTTGGATTTCCCTTCCTCAGCCGAGTGCCTGCTTTGGCGGATCTGTACAGCCGCAACAGTCGGACTTACCTTCATAACTGGTGTCGTTGAGATTTTTCTTGCTCCAACCAAAATCGACCGAGACATATCAGACAATTGTGTAGAGAAAGAAGCCCCCCGACGTGATATTAATCATGGGGTGTTATCAACATCTGCTGAGACTTCAAAAACAAACCCCACGATGTCTTCCACACTTTTACCTTCCTTCTTCAAACACCAAGAGTGCCAGACACAGGCAAAGAAAGGGACATCTGCGAAGACCTTTTTCAGAATCCCGTCGAAAACCATCACCCGCTTCAACATACCGCTGCACTCGCTCCTGATCACGGAACTCGCATGTGCGATTTACAGTGTCTGCCGCATCTGCATTCTCACCGAGGATCTCGTTGGTTTAAGGGCTCTGCCTCCAAGCACTTTTCAAAATGTGGACTGGGCAGCTTATTGGCCGCATATATAGACCAGAGATAACACTTCTCTGTGCACTCCCTCCATCCTTTTGAGTTCTGAGCGGTGGAGCAAGCAGGGCATCATGGCCACTCCCAGCTTTCTCGGTATCATGGTCTGCCTGCTCGTCATCTGTTAATCAGGGTTAATTGAATGTTGGATTGTGAAAGTACTGTGAAAAACTTGAACCAACTCAAAGAATCATAGTATGGCGTAGCCTCGTGATGGTGATGGGGGGAGGGTTTGGCATTGCCGTAGATTCTTGCACTCGAATGATTTGAATCTTAACGCGCCAGATCCGTCCAACACCAAATACTAAGAAAGCGGCAAGAAAACAAAGTCCTATCACTAAACTTGTTTAGTAATGCGCCGCGAAGTTCGAATCTTTTCTCATCCGGACTAGGATTAAGTCTATTTAGACGAAGCTACTCCTGCTTACTCTCAGCCTGCTCGGCTTCCTGTTTCTTCCTTTTTTCTCTCTCCTTCCGCTTAACCTTTTTCTCGCGATTTCTACGCGTCCGTTTCTCCCTCTCCGCCTCGTCACTCAGTTTCTGCTGTTCCGTTGCGGCGGATTTCGCGGTGAGCTGCCGCCGGAGGTGGATGCGGCGTTTCTTCGATGGTCTTAGCCTCGGTCCGGACCCTGGGCGAGGCCTTGATGCCAACAATGCTCCTTTCCTCGCGTTCGAAGGATCTTTCGTCGTCGCCGACGTCATATTGCTGACCTTGGTCTTGATGACGCGCCAGGGCACAGCCGCACCGGGCCATTTGGTCATAGAAGCGTTCGAGAGTACGTCTCGGGTGGAGAGCGCGACCTCTGCGTATTGAGACTTCAAAAGCGCCTGCTTGGCCGGCGGTAGCGCGGAGGTGAAATAGTAGTATTGAGACTCCGGGCGCTGAGGTCGGACGAAGTGTACGCTCGATAGTGGAACGTCTGAGGCGCTCGTGAGAAGGGCGCTGTTGGGTTCAGGGGTTGTGGAAAGGCGGATGGTGGTCAGGGATGGCTTTCGGTCGACGACTGGATCGGAGATGGATGTGGTGGTGGGTTTGGTGAATAGTCGGAATTGATAACTTGGTTCTTCACTGCTTTCTCGGTCTTCCTCTTCGCCTTTCTTGTGACCAGGTCCAGGCTTTTCCTGAGTGACTTGTGTCTGGGATTGTGCTTGTGACAGAGAGATAAACTCGTATTCAAATCCATAATCCACTTTTACATCAGCCTGACGGTCCTGGTCTTCAGGCTGAGAGCGAGAAGGAGACACCTGTCTTGAAGAAGAGTGTCTTGAGCGTTGTGAACCATTGTCGCCGTCATCGGTAGCCAGAATTTCAAGCCTCTTGATTCTTTTGGCTTCGGGTACTTCAAACATATACATTGACATCGTGACGATATTGGAAAGAGGCCCAGTTTTAAGATACCTGCCTAGGGAGGAGGTCGGGAGGCAGGTACTCAGGTATCTTACTTGTCTGTGAATTTGGTCAATGTCGCCCTGACGAACTGCCCAGAGAAGTTCTGAGTAGTTGAGTTAGATAAATTTGTTAGTATCCGTCGGGGGCTTCGATGTTTCCAGCTTCGGCTCAGCCTTGCCAGCCCTGTTGACGTGTGCGTCTGGATCATTGCAAGGAAGGAATAAAGACTCGGAGACTCCAAGACATCGGGTGGCCTTTAGGGCAGCGAGCAAATTTTAAGTCCGGGCTAAAGGCGGCAACCAGATAGCGTTCGGCACGTGGTATTATCCGTTCTCCAAAGCCAGGCATCCCCAGCCTCAGAAGTTGTTATACGCCAAAAACTGGGATACTACTCGCTCCACCCTTGTTCCTGTGAAGATGATCGATCGCTGCCACGTTCCACGTCTCCAGCCTTAAATCTTCCCTCCCCGTGGTGGGTGCCTGCCATACATGTTATTTGCTTGCATAATCAGGCACGCGATGCTCCGTACTGGAGGTTGAATCATGGACTCATATTCCGAGGTGTGTGCGCGTGGCGATCTCAACTGACGATCTCGTAATTCACAGCAGCAGATGCCAGACCCTGAAGCCTTTCCACGTCCCCGCCCTTTTTCCAGGCCGGATCAATCCAGCACCGCTACCAACCACCAACTCCATCCCACCCGTGTCAGGGCACTCGCCCCCTCAACACCACCCACCAATGCAAGCCATCTTCATCTGCATGAAGGCTGTCCGATAAAGTACCAAGCAGCACCCACTAACGACACTACAAGTCGCAGCAGCCTCCTAAAAGGGTCGTCCGCACTCGGCAGTGAGGCGCAGCCTTGTTCAATCATCATGTCGACTCATTCACCATTCCCCCCACCTCTTCAACTGTTTCGTTCACAGGCACAAGAGCAATTATTTCATTCATCTGAGCGCCGGCGTCATCGTCCCACCCCACCCGCCTTAATCCACAGGCAATGTCTGGTATAGGCGAGGTCCTTGCCATTGTTAGTTGTGTCGCCGGACTCATCCAAGCCTACGATGCTGGGAGTCGCATAGTGCGGCAGATCAAAGCCAGGCGACAAGCTCATGGAGCACTTCCTCCATCCGATCTCCTCGAGCAGTCTATCGATAAAGGAAGGAAGGAGATCCAGAAACTGGTCGAGGATGGGAGGCAGCGCTTTGGCCCGAGTTTCGAAGAAGGCGACAGTGAGCAGATAAACTCCAACACCGCAAACACTGTCGCTAACATTCCCAACCTGATAGCCACCGCACAGCTAGCCCTATACAAGATCACAATTGCAACCCAGCAAGCTCTTTTAGATGGTCTGACCCAAGCCCGAGATGACGATGGAATCATTGATTTTGATTACTGCATCGACACCTCCGATAAGGGTCGCAACGAAGCTCTCCTCGCCCTACATCAACTCTTTCAACGCAAACTCGAGGAAGAGATGGATCGAAAGAGATCTAACCCTGCCCGACCATCACAAGCTCCAGTCTCAGCCCATGCTCCAGGACCCTATTCTTCACCCCCTTCGTATCAGCATGCGTCACTCCACAAAGAAGTCGAAGGCTTTGACCCAGCCCAAAAAGAAGAGGAACAGCCTCCTTCACCCTTACCCAAGATCAAGAAGTCGCGGACATTTGGTCAAGCTGTCTTTCGACGAAAGTCAAGCAATACTCAAGATAATTATCCGCCAAAAAGGGATGGACCCAGGTCTGATAAGCTGGCCGATGTGTCTCCCGGATTATCCGAGCAGGAAATGAAACCATCGGTCAATCGTCGAAATAAAACAACCTCGATGCTCTCAAATGCCACCTGGTCTAGCACTTCTACCGACTCGACTGTAGTTCGACCAGGATCAATTGCTAGATCCAACACTTCCGCTTCTTCTATCACCATGGTCTCACGTCGTGATACCACGTTTTCAACCATGTCTAGGATGTCGTCAAGGTCCGGCATGTCTGCCGTTTCATCCATGTCCAATATGTCCATCTCGCCCATCACAAAATATGGTGCTTGTTGCAAATATGCCTACGAACTCCGAGAGGGCAATATCAAAAAGGGCCTAATGCTACAAATGGCAGGCTTTTATGGCGGGCATGCGTTTTATAGCTGTCCCAGTACCAAATGCGAGTATCAAGGCCCAGCTGCCCAGGATAAGAAAGGATACAAGATTGATCACAGAGTGTTCAACACTCCCCAGGGAATCAAATATCGTTGGCTCATTCTTGCCAAGTCACATGTTCCGCAACGAGATTCTCAATATCCATCCTTTCGGTGCCTGGTTTGTGTCCTTTCGAAGGACGATTCAGCCATCTATGATGGTAAAGAATCTTTGTTTGCACACCTGGCAGATCATCAGGGTGCATTTCTAGGCGAAACTTTAATTGGAGGCCAACTAATTTTTGACAACCACGGGGCGAGATTATGTCAAGACTCGGAATTCGATATCAAATTCCCAGAGCTGGCGCCAATCGAGCCAGTGCAAGAACAAGGGGTTGCAGTAGTTGTGTCTGCCACATTGCCATTGGAAACTCGTCACTTTGACCCACACCTACCAGTTAAGACATCAAGTACGACCCCATATCCGTACGAGTCTGATGACAACCCTTGGGTCAACTAGCATCCAGTGCTGTCCCACGTTCCCTCCATAATCGGTTATGAGGGCTTACAAGAGCCATTATTATATAGGGACTGTAAACAAGGCAATTATGTGCCGCAGACCCAGTCTCGGAGATGTTTTATGAATTATGGTGCTTATCTATTACTGTTATACATATGCCTACTCTTAGGTGCGTCGGCCATCACATCGATAACAGGAGCAGAATACCCGTGAGCGGATGACGCAATTTGGTTGGGGAGCGGGGCATCTTCGGCGAAATATTTTGATCCAGTACAGATTTTCTGACTTGCTCATCAGCGCATTGGACGGGGATGGTGGATTTACTTTGCTGTTTATGAGTCTTAATCTAGAACGACGGTACGATTGATGAGATAAATTCAATTAGACCTAAAGTCCGCCTTGTGTTCAGCTACTGGCCCCGAAATCATTTGAGTCGTGGGACCTTGTCGACAATAACGACTTCTGTGATTACGAAAATTAGATTCCATCTACTACATCCTCTGATATCAGAATTCTAAAGCTTCGACCAAAGATTGGTGAACCCATTCATAATGGCTGAAAAGCAGGTTCCAAACTCATATCCAGGTTTGCCCATCTCTGCTCCATCCACAAGCACTATGCCATGGCGTTGCCATCATCATCATCATCATCATCATCATCATCATCCCTCAACGTCACTGTCCCATCCTTCAGGCTGGGATCAATCTCATACCAAGATGCAACTAATCCACCTCCCTCCGTCAATCACCGAGCACCCTACTAACGTGTAACTCCCGCAAAGACCCCGTGCACATCGCCGTAATCGGCGGGACGGGACTCAACACGCTCGAAGACTTCAAACTGGCTGCCGTCCTCGACATTACCACGCCATGGGGCGCGCCGTCCTCACCGATAACCATTCTGGAACACCCCTCCCCGACAACAGGCAAACCCATCCCGATCGCATTCCTCGCGCGCCACGGCACGCACCACCAATACAACCCGTCTGAGATCCCGGTGCGCGCGAACATCGCGGCGCTGAGGAAGATAGGCGTGCGGAGCATCATTGCCTTCTCGGCCGCCGGGAGCTTGGCCGAGGAGGTCAAGCCCAGGGACTTCGTGGTCCCGGATCAGGTCATCGATCGCACCAAGGGCGTCAGGCCGTTCACGTTCTTCGAGGGCGGGTTTGTCTGCCATGTGCCTTTTGCCGATCCGTTCGACGCGAAGGTGGGCGATGTGGTGAGGAAGTGCGGGCACAGCCTGGAGGGCGAGGGCGTCGTGCTGCATGATAAGGGCACGTTGGTCGTCATGGGTGAGTTTCCAACTGTGCTTTTTCTTTTCCAGTTCGATGCTTCGCTCCAACCATTCAAGAGTCCTCAAGCCGAAGGGCCGGACTGGCTTTGGCGCCACGAGACATGTGGACGGCCATGTTTTTCGAAATCATTTGCCGTTTAATGTTGTTTGCTGACCGCTTTCCATGATATTTACAGAGGGCCCGCAGTTCAGCACACGCGCGGAATCGAACATGTACCGGGCTTGGGGCGGGACCATCATCAACATGTCGACGTTGCCCGAGGCCAAACTCGCCGCCGAGGCCGAGATCGCTTATCAGGTCATCATCATGAGCACCGACTACGATGTAAGTTCAAGCCCAGTGCCAGTCTAGCATCCCCGTTACATGACATGACGACTCCGTTGCCACGATTCTAACCCCGTGAGAAAAAAAGTGCTGGCACGACTCCGGCGACGTCTCGGTCGAGATGGTGATGGGCCACATGCGGGCGAACGCGGTCAACGCTCGGCGGTTCATCGCGGCCGTCCTCGATGAGCTGTCCAAGGAGGAGCACGCCGACCTCGTCCAGGCCACGCATCTCGCAGGCGGCAGGAAGTTCGGCGTCAGTACGTCTCCCGAGGGACAGAGCAAGGAGGCGCGCGAGAGGTTGGGTTGGCTGTTTGAGGGCTATTTCTAAATAAAAGGGAAGCAGTGAAGGACAGGATAGGTTGGTTGGTTGGTGCGACTAAGGAGAATGGACAGACTCTTGGTTTTCTTTTGGGGTGCGAATGGGAGACTGGGTGGCTATGTGCTTAGAATTTGCAGGATAGACGTCGGGTTGTGTGGGAGGGCAAGCGAGTCCCATGACACATGACACATATCAGTGACTACTCGGAGCAGCAGGGTTGTCAGAGTGAAAGAGAGCACGCACTGCAAACCCGGGACAAAATAGAGCTTCAACGCTCACCATTCCACATGTGTCACCAACATGAGACAAGTCGTATGAGGCATTAGAAATGAGGGAGCGATCGCTCAAAGCGCTGACCTGGCTTTCTCGTTTCTAAGCCCAAGAGACTATTCTAGATCGATAGATAGAGGCTGGGCTAGCACGGGCTGAATGACAAAGTAGAACTGGGATTATGGTGGACCGCTCGGTATCTGCCCGCTCTCAGCAGATATTGTATATTGAGCGTTTTCTTGTCCAACTAGCGTGGTTTCTTAAGAATACGCCAGCACCAACGGACGTATGGATAGTGGTGGCGGCGGTCTTGGACGCAATACCTGCCCTAGGGGATTCGAAAAAGACATGGGCAATTCTCAGGGTCACGCCATGGTATATGGACCAAGCCGTGCCTGTACGCCTGAGTGCAGCGTGAGATGGGCATGGAGTCGAGAATAGTGATTTCGGGCGCTGTGGTCCATATACTGTACCTCCATAACCAGCGCCCCAGGTAGTTCAACTTTAGACAGAGCGGCGTGTGGTGACGAGGAGGTCAACTTTGAGCAGACGTAGACCATCCGCAATACTCACCATTCACTGCTGTTTACCCATCTAGCAGGTGAGAGCGTGGACTTGAAATGGGTGATTTAATCAGGGGGCAACGCTGACCTACCTAGGTAGTAAGTACATAGACCTGAGATTGGACGAGTCCATCAATTCTTGCCAGTGCTTCCCCTCGATTCATTATTGGCTGTCAGTTTTTCTTGTAACCCGGCAGAACGGTATGGGACAGCGACAGTAGGGGTGGCAAAGGCGTGCTAGTAGCAATGCACTGACGCGCTCATCAGGATCTGGCCACACCAAGTCAACTCACAGCCTCGGCAGATACCATCATATTGAGTTCTCGCGAATTAAACACGGCAGGAGGTGAAATGAGAAGAACAAGAAATTCATAATAATGGGAATGTTTTGCGGGTTTAATATACCTTAGTGTCATCGATTGTCATGTTCGGACCGCCCCAAATTAATATGGCCACTTACCTTGATGAAAATCCCCAATCTGCAGTGTCTTCCTTGATCCATGTGGTTGATCGTGGAAGATCATCGACGGACTGAATGGGTACGAGGAGAAAATAGAAGCTCCTGCTAAGACATGCATGATCCTGGCCCATGGAAAATTGCTCATGTGTGGTCCGTCTTCCACAGCGTTCGGAACATTATTATTAGCAATATCCGTGCACGTCCTGGCTGAAGGCAGCATATGTCAACGATGTGGCATACACGGACGGCGATATAAAGTTGTTTCTCTTCGGGCACGGTCGATGCTAGCGCCTTGGGGCAGTCACGGCTCGAGACTAGAGTGTTGTGGTGTATACTTCTCTCCGAAAAGGAGGAAGTAGTAAGATTCTGAACTGTGCATTGGCCTAGCTAGATGTATGCATGTCAGCATTAGACTGACATTGACATTCAACCATTGTCAAAGCTGTATCCCTCCATTGAGCCACATGAGTCAGAGGCTTGTATATTCCCCGATGACAAAATGTTTTGGTTGTCGTTGGCGGCTAGGGAAAGAAATTACAAGAAGGTAGTACAAGTCGTCTGCAAGCACCCAGTACTACGTAATGAATGTTGAGAACAGGGATTCCACTGCAGGCAGTCAAGGTGAGGTTGAATTAGAAAGGGACTAATCACGTGCACACGTGTCTTAGACGTGTGGAGTGTTTGTTTATCAATTTGGTGAAAACACGAATTTCGAGAGGAGTTCTGAGGAACACCCAACTGCTGGAACCGTAGCCAGCACCTCAAAATCAGCAAGTCGAGTTACTTGCATTACGATCATGACGAACGGCTTTTTCTCCGCACTCTGGACATGATGAAACATTATTGTTGCAGAATCGAGTTGACAAGCGATTTATAGCCGAGTCGCATGATCGAGCACATGACGGACAACGCGTCAGTTGGGTCTAATATCCGCCTCAAGGATGGCCCATGCAGTCGCGCTAGGAGATCCTCCGGATTCGAGTTTGCAAATGACGCATGTTGAATGGGCAGTGCTCTCCGTCCATTCTACTTGGTCAATTGCCCTGTACCTTGCGTGCTGCCTCGTGCCCCTCATCTTTTCCGGGGCTACCGGGCGCCTTGCTTGACGCGGTTGTAACACCATTAAGCGAAGACGAGGACCGAGCAAGGTATCCATTTCTGGTACAGCATCATTCAAAATGCATCTCGATCCAGCCCGCATCGGAAGATCTTCTGTCGAGCAAACAAGGAAAGTGGGAAGTAAATCTACGAAAAATTTGATTGCATGACGTGTTTGTGATTGAGTTGCTGGCAAAGGTGGGCTTGAGGGGAGGAGAGAAGAGGTGTATCGGCAACCGGAGCGATAGCTCTGGGATTGTCAGACATTCAGATAGTTCCTGGACAACGTGGGGGGTATGACGCCCCAGCCGAGAAGGAAGAGGATTAGTGTGAAACAAGAGATAGCGATAAAGGCCCAATTATTTGGGCCTGGAGTTCGGCAGTGGCAATGGTGCTGGTATCCCCGTCAAGAACTGAACGGACTTCAGTTGGGTAGATGGCCATCCCATCTCAAACAAGACTTGCTGAGAGCATCGAAGGAGGTTCGTCAAAGTTACTCCGTCCTACTCGAATGAGGCGGTTCCAGGCTGTTGACAAATTGAGTTGATGAGACTCGCAGCCTTCAGAACTCTGAGAGAGCATGACTGAAGAAGTCGGTGCGACGGTGTCGCCGTGAACCAAAACAGCCACAGCCGAGAAGCTGAGGCATCTTGCGCCTGGAGCTAGACCCAATCTAAGAAGGCTCCATATTTGGTCATCATCGATTCATTGATAACACTAAATAGTGAATGGCGCAATCAATGGGCCGAAAACGAGCTGCCGACTCGGTCTTTTGTGATTATTATTGCTTTTGTCGTACTCGGAGGCGGTTTGACCATGTGACAAATGCCCACCATGGAACTCACGGTTGCAGAGTATCTGCATTCTCAAACCAGAATGCATTATTTCGGTATTGTTTGGTTGTGCAAGTTGCAATCATTGCTCGCTTGGAATGGAATGAACTTGGCGCTGGGTGACGGGCTTGTGCCATGCTTCCATGAGGCTGTTGACCTAGACTTTTTGGTTTTTCCTTTTGTTCTGTGCATTTGGAGGCTTAAGCCAAAAGGCAAAAGGCCGAACATTCTTGTGGTGTTCGTATCTGCGAACGTTCCACAAGCTGATTTCCGCACGCGCCGGGTGCTTCGATCTATGTGCGTCTTGCTGTGTGCACGTACCGCGTACCAAGTGCTCCCAACTGTACACCAGGGCAGATCATGACGGAACAGGCCTAGTGGACTACAATCGTTGATAGGTAGAAAAAAGTCGCTTATCGCACAGGGCAACCTTGTGTCACGGCGCCAAACTTGCTAAGTTGGGTCCAAGAAAGGAATGAAGCTGTCTAGCTGAGGGAGAAGCGTGGTTTAGCCTGCCGAAGACAGCACTAGCTGGGAACAGTGTTTCGTGCTGAGCCTTGAGGAGGTCCACTTGTACAGAAATTGACAGGCGAAGCATCGAGACAGTATGGACGCTCGAGGCGCCACGGGTTGATTGAAGCTGGAGGATTTACAGTACATCGGGATCTGAGATGGGCCCAAGCTATGACGATGACCATGGCCATGGACGATGGACGGTGGGGGACCGTGATCAACCAGACCAGAAGGTCAGTGGGCTAAGCCACCCCTGTTGATCTGAAGGTTAGAAATCACTTTGTGAAGAACGGGTCGATGACATAGGACAAGCGGACGAATATAGCAAGTAAGAGAAGCCTGGAAGTATATTACGCACCAAGAAGAAGAATAGCATGAGAGATGCCCCATGGTCGGAAATGCGGCAGGACCAAGTAAACAAACGACGCGGTCAGGCCGTGTTGCGAGAAGAGGGAAAAAACGGATCAGTCCTCTGGCACTCGGGAAGATCGAGTGCAGGAGCAGGAGCATGTTTCTGTCTGCTGCAGCAGCGCCTGAGTGCCATGGGGGGCCTGGTAGCCGGTGGCTTGCTGAGTGGACAGGCGTCGATTGTCAGACCAAGCTAAGCTCTGGCAGGGCCTACAAGACGCTGTGGTTGGCGGGCAGATAGCGGGGACTGGCTGCTGAAGGAATGGTCGAAGCGTTGGCCCAGAGCCGAAGACGCCCATTGGCACCCAGTGGCAGCCATTGGCACCATTCCCCCAGGCAATTGACACTGAAATGGGTCTGTGTGACATTTCGCCAATGCAAAGAGTCCAAACTCAACTCGTCCGCTTGGCTCGTCGCTCGGGATCAGGTACGGAGGACAGTCTTCGTATTGACACCGCAACGACAGCAGTTGAGGTGGGCTTGTACGTAACTCTACCATGGTCCAGACAGTAAGCTCTTACCTGGAGTTACTCCACCCAAGGGCAACTGGCCCTTGACTCTGGCGCCCACGGCTTCCCTACCCACTACCCATTCTCCAGTAGCAGGATCCCACTACCACCTGCTCTTTTACCCACTAGTTTAACCGGCCCAGCAACGGCAGTCCCTCGTCCAAGCCTCCAGCTGTCCTTGGTCTGGCTCCCTCCATTTCCATTTCCATTCCCATTTTCCATCTCCATCTCCATCCCCACCTGCCCCGGCACTGGCAGCGACAGCCCGCACCGCAGCGGCTCCCGCTCAGGCTGTACGCGGTAAGGTACCGGATGCAGGCTCTGCTCTCTGCTGCCGCTGCTCGTCTCGCATATGCTGCCCAGCAACAACAAGTGCCTTCTGCTCAACCTATCTTAAACCTCTTCTCCTTCCTTTTCTCCAGCCACCGAGCTGCAGGTCAAGGTCTCTTCTCACTCCCCGTTGTCTTCAGGCTCACTGGCATCGAGAAGAGAGACAGTAGGCCTTCACTTCTGCCCCGGTGGTCCGTCCCTCAACACCCTCCATCCATCCCACAGCCATCACCACCACCACGGCACCTCCTCTGGCCCTCCTCAATTCACCAGTCACTCTTTACAGGATCAACCGGATCTATCCAACGGGATCATGACTGCTTAACTGACGACTTGTTCCCCTCGTCCAAGTCCTTCAGTCCTCGAGTCCTCGAAAAGCCCTCGAACTCCCGGGACGTGCCACTCAATCCTTCCTTTCAACGGTCGGGCTTTTTGGCATTTTCTACCTGTCTTGTCTTCAACGGCCCTGTGGAACGACACCCTTCTCGAATCCCACACCTCTGTATTCCCTTCTGCTAGCTGGACTCACCCCCAACCTTCAGACTGGAACCATGCAGACTGGAATCATGATCGAGGCTTCCTCTCCCCTTGCTGCTATGCAGCCACCGTCCTACATGGGTCGCTGTGGAGGGTTTGGAGCAGATGCCCAACCATTGTATGCCTCGTTGGCTGCTGCCAAAGGCTTTGGTGTGAATAGCTTCAACTTCCGGGATCTCTCCATGAAGAGACCTACACAAAAGTCTCATCCAGACTACTTCAGCATGAGACCTGTCCGTGGTTCATCACCCACGGCCAGTCTTGCGGCCGATTTATCCCAAAACTTCCATATCGATCAGAGGTATGTCGACCAGTCACTGCAATACACAAGGACCTGTCTGTATACTAATATTCCAATAGTCCACAACAGCCAACGCCTCGGAGGGCACTTTTTGCCAGCACTTTGGACAACCACCGTAAGCTTGGTGCAATCCGTCCGTCTACACAAGCACTGCAGAATTGACAAGCATTATAGCCAACCTCACAACTCCCCCCATTCCTTCTTCCTCTCCCGGAGGACAAGACTGTATGGACATGGACTTTTCCCCTTTACCACACAAGGTTCCTTTTGCCACAGTCGAACTACAATTACAGTCCCCGACGCCTGAACTGACTCCAGCGGATTCCTCGTCACTCTGCATGCCGTCCCCTCTTGCTGACTTAGCAAACGAGCCAATGCGGGTCAGCCTGCCCACAGAGCGGCGGAAGTCGGGCACTTTACGACCAAGCTTGTCGAGAGCAAAGGGCTACAGCACTGGAACCCTTCCTCAGAAACCTGCAACTGAGAGTCAACTTCCACCATTCAAATTCGGTAACTATTCAACTAAGCCAGCCACATCTTCATCCCTGTCCCTATCCGAGATCTTTGCCGACTCCCCAACTCAGGACAAACAGTCTCCCCGTTTACCAACCCAGGCCTTCTTGCCCCCGAGACCCCGTTCGGGAATCTCTTTGGCCTCGCACTCGTCTAGAAATGGGTCACCTCTCGGTGCGCATATGCGCAAGACTTCAAATCCAGTGATGAGACCACGGAAACAGTTTCGTCGCTCTCTCAGCATGTTCGAACATCCTGAGGACGTCATGAGGCAGGAAAAGGACCGTCTGAGCCCGCCTCCACCTCTGCTACCCTCCATCATGGATGTTGAAGCTCCCCACGTTCCACAGTTGCCCCATTTCGACCCCGAGGGTGAGACTGGCGCGCTTCCGAGGATCACCAAGGAGACAATGGTCGAAATTCTCGAGGGCCATTTCAATCATCTATATGAGAAGCTTGTCATCATTGACTGCCGCTTTGAGTATGAGTACGAAGGTGGTCACATCTCAGGCGCCGTAAATTTTAACGACAAAGAAACATTGTCGGCACAGCTTTTCGATGTAGAGCCCACGTCGAAGGCACTCTTGATCTTTCATTGCGAGTATTCTGCTCACCGTGCCCCTTTGATGGCCAAGTTCATTAGAAACAAAGACCGGGCAGTCAACGCAGACCGTTATCCTGCATTGACGTACCCAGAAGCGTATATCTTAGACGGAGGTTATAGCACATTCTTCAAGGACTATCGAAGTCGTTGTTATCCTCAGAATTACGTTGAGATGGATGCAAAGGAGTACGCCACCGATTGTGAGCGAGGTCTCGGGAAAGTGAAACAACGATCCAAACTTGTTCGAGCCCAGACCTTTGCCTTTGGCCAACACTCACCACAGATCGACTCGAGCCCCACTGCCATGGGTCGAAGTCGTCTTGACAGTGAGATGGACCTCGAAATGAGTCTGGAGTATACTCCTGTTCCAGCTCTGCGATCGGGCATTGACGCTCTCCGTCGAAACCAACGAATGCTTTCTTATTAATGGATCAGGGTCTGCAAACATATTGAATTTTAGCCTGGCGTTTGGAGCGGTATCATCCTTTCCACTTTGGGTGGGCAGGAGATTTGGCGTTCCTTCCAGCCAATGGTGGCTTCTTGGACCTTCTACCCTTCCCCAGGCATTTTTGTTTCTTGCCTGCCGGCAATTTTGTCTTGACGAATTGTTGGCATGCCCCTTTGTTGGGAGCTTTACACTGAGCCTGTAGTGGGTTCAGTCATCCTTCTCTCCACGAACCAGCATGTCGCCTTTTTGCACGTTGAACGTGTTGGCCATGCCATGACTGAGACCAATTGAGCACGGTCAGACACATAACCATTCTCTTTTTCCAACTTCTACCACATCACCTTGCAACTCAACGGCGAATTATGCCATCTGCAAGCCAAGAGAACTGCACACAACTTTCAAATCGCAAATTCATACCATTGTTGATCTCTCGCTTCAGCACACCTCCTCTGCGCCAAACAAACAACCCGATTTTTAATCAGCGTGATTTACTCTTGATTCTTTCACCTCCGACTTGGCCTCGACTACATTGTACATGCAGCTTCTACAACCAAGAATCCCTATTTCGGGCCAGACGTATCATAAGGGCGCAATGCGGTTACAGACGTATTTTGTTCATCAAGGCGGAAAAGGGGAAATAGGTTCGGACCAATACTTTGTTTGAAATGGGCGCTAGGGCTGTGGTGTACCAGCGTCATCATCAGTCCATCTTGCATCATTGAGCGGAACTTCTTAGCATAGCGATGCATTTGGTGTCGATTGGCATTAGCACTGGCTTGGGACTACCTAGCCAAGGTAAGGTACTGACCACGGTCGACTTTTCCAAGCGAACTTGAGCGGATAGCGATAGCAATACACATTTGATTGTTGTAAACAGCCGGAATGAAGATGCTCCGTTCTTTTTCTACCTGAACACCCCCTGGACCTCACTCAGTCCTGTCCCCAGCTACTCTAACAGCCTTGTCGACGTCGTTTTACTCTTTATTTCTTATTGTAGGCTTTTCGCTGACTCAGTAGGAGAACCACGACGGACGGGGAGAATCTACTTGTGGCTAGAGGAGCAAGTACAGCGTTGGTCCCAGTGGTTCCTAGATATCTACCTCTTGGTTGATGATTACGTCGTTCTTGCGGCATTTATATATGTATGAGACGCTGTCTTTCCACCGGTCTATCCCACTTTGCCTTCATGGAGCACCCATCAACCTCAAACGTGTTCACCTGATTTCATGCCATCTTACATCTCCTTTTCTCACGTGTCAATCTCGCATTCTCCTCCTCACCCTATCTATCAATTTTCTCATCTCTACACGGCGGCTGTCGACCGGCTTATTTCAAGTGTTCCTGTTCCTCAGCCTGGGTTCCAATAGCGTAGTTTCCCAAACATTCTCCAACGCCTTGCATAAATCAACAAAACTCGGCTGCATGATAGATTGACATACGAAATCTCTCAACGCTGGGTTGCGGATCTCGGGTGGTAAAGTTGCCCAGGCTCGGAGACTGGCATCAGAGTTGGCGAAAGGTGAGCCGTGGGCGAGTTCGTTTTTCTCTGCATCTGATGTGTGAACGACAGTAGGAGCTCTATCAGGGGTGGATTGGTGGTCGATGGAGAAAGATCTGGCTGGGATTGTCTGAGCTTGCTCTTCGTGCCTATGTACCTGCTTACTCGGAGAAACTGGGTCGGCAGCCACTGCAGCGGGCCTTGGAGTATGTGTCTGGATGATCTGATCCGCTGGAGTGCACGGAAATGCGTGACCAACATCCTTTGGTGTTCCTTGGATCTCAAGATCCTGCACAACTAGTTTCCTGTTCGCAAAATCGACGTCATGCTTGTTTCTGTCGCGGACACGGGATGCCTGTGCCGGAATGCTTGCACTCCTAGAATCTCCGACTGGATCTTTCGATTGTTGATTCATGGTCTGGTTCGATGTTTGCGCAGTGAGGATACTACGCGAACGAGTCATGCGTCCTAATTCTGGCCGCTGAAGATGTTCGTCAATAGAAGAGATCGTGGTATTATTCTTGGCAGGTTTTTTGGCAGCAGGCTTCTTACGAGTAGGAGCAACTCGAGGCTTCTTCGCTGGAGTCTTGGTCGCAGTCTTAGCGGCTGCTCTCTTAGATTTAGCGGCGGGGATGGAGGGTGTCAGATCCTGGTCTGGGCCGCCACTCATTCCGGGGTTTTCAATTGCCCAATCTCGGGAACTGTTGCTCCTCGGTTCAGTCATTCCAGTGGCTGTTGTGGTAACCTCATTGGGAGGCTTCACCGCGCTCGAGGGCTTTTGTGTGGGAAATGGAAGCTCTCTTCTCGGAGGAAGCAGAAGACTCGCTTTTTGATCCGCCGAGTGAGTGGTGCTTGGCCGCGGGATATCATATCGGTCTGTACCCGTCTGCCCTGAGACAGCATGGTTCGTCCCCGAGTGAGGCATCATCCCTATATACCCAAGGGTGCCGTCGGCCCGATAGCTCAATGCACTGATGGTTGGGACGAGAGTAGTGCCAGTGGTAGAGGAGAGGTTGGAGTGATTCCCACTGATTGGGTTTCTCGTGTTCTGTATCGTGGGCAGCTGACCGACAGAATGATCGTTAGAACGAAAATTGGGTGGTGGCATGTTATGAACTGTAGGTGCTGAACTTAGAGTTGAGATAAGTGGTGGATGCGGCCCGGGGTTCATCTCAGATGCGAGAGGGGCTCTGTTGGCATAGGACCGAGTACCACATTTGGTATTGGGTACACCGATTTGCGAAGCCGAGTCATCGGGTAGAATATTGGAAGGCTGATTTTGGGCCGGCGGCTGCTTGGTTGCAGGGAAAGAACCGGCTTCGACGGTTGGAACATCAGCACGGGAGAGAGATTTCATGGCATCATAGTAGTGCTCGTTGGTAGCAAACCGCATTTGAAACCTTCGGATCTGGAGACATTTGTGAGCAAGGAAGGTATACTATGGAATAGAAGTCACCTGTCCATTGGGCATGGGATATTTGATGGCAATGTTGGGTACTTTGACAATGATGGTAACCTGGGGGACCTGGGCATCTAGCAACGAGGTGGGGGCGGTGTTCATGGAGCGGTGAGCTTCTTTAGCCAGCACATAAAGATCGATTTCTTCCTAGGGGACAATGAGCATCCTCTGAGAACGACCACTCTTGATATACCATGATTTCTGGGTCCCGCAAGACCTTTAACTTCTGGCGATCCTCAACCTGCCCATTGTCCAGCAGGGTTGGACTTGTATCGAAAAGGGCAAAAAGACTGTTCTTGCTGGAGAGATGAATCCATGGGATCGGAACGATGTTCTCATTGGAGACGGTGGCATAGGAGAACTTGGTTAGTGGGAGACACAAAGAAGAAGGTAGAGACGAAGAGAAGGTTGAAAGAGGTTGGGATGGCATTTGGAGATGATGATTTCAGGCTATGGAATGGAACGAGCAGGTAGATAGCTAATGGTAAGGAGAAGAGGCGGGAGTGATGGCTGCTGATGTTAGACTTGTGAAGGAAAGGTGGTTAAACATCCGCAATGAGACTTGTGTTGTTTGTGAAATTGGATAGATGGGTATATTAGATGCATGGTGGTGGTGGTGGCGGTGGTGATAGAGGTGGCGAGTGTTTGTTCGGAAGAGATTATCCGGGCGGGACAAGCCGAAGCTGCATGGGAAGCGACGACCTGAATCATGTCCGCGCCTGCCCTTGCGCGATCATGAAAACCTGGCGAGAACGCCAGTCCTCTTTGGTCCTTAGTCGACGGTTTGCGCTGCGCTGCCCGGGGCGTCGCATCAACTTCATTATCATTTTACAAGTTACCTGAGATCGACAAACAATTCGGCGGCCCTGTCTGTTCTGTCCACCTCTCCCTTGCGCGCGTCTTCGTTCTCGCACAACTTGTTTCTTCGCATCGCGCGATGAGGACTGGTCCTCACCACATTTCATCGCCCAAACACTCCTCATAACCCACCTCCCATCATGACCTCACCTCCGAAGAAGTTCATCGAAGACGAGGTCGAGTTCCTGGCAGATGTTGCTGCATTTCATGAGAAGCGAGGGTGAGCGCGCTGTCAAGATTGCCCTGCCCTGCCCCATCTTCGCCTATGCTGACCTGGCCTCTCCAACAGGACTACCTTCGACCGTGAGGGCAAAGTCAGTGGACGTCCCATCTCCCTACACAAGCTGTATCGTCTGGTCATGGATCGCGGTGGCTATGACGCCCTATCTGCCGAACGCATGCAATGGAGAACTCTGGTGAAAGAATTTGGTGTTGGGAAAAACCACGAAGCCGTTATGACATTTCAACTCAAAACCGTGTATTACAGAAATCTGGCGTATGTTCATCCAACCGTTGCACATTTTCATCCCGACCGCTGCTGACCCTGTTGACCCCCAGCGCATATGAGATCGAGACATATTGGGGCGAAATTCCTCCTCCTCGGGAAATTCTTGAGGACATCAGTGCAAAGGGAGGTGACCTACGTGCACGAACCCTTGAGAACTTTCCTACCCCCAACACTCCCAATTCACGTTCCCTTGCCCACCACGGGCTGGACGGCACCATCGATGCAGACGCACAGGAATCCGCAGATGAGGACAAGTTGACTACGCCGAAGCGTGAAAAACCAGAGCCCGAAGAACTAGGAAGTGCTGGACGATATCCTACTCGTACGTGACAACTCTTTGTGCGCACTTGCTGCATCTGTCTGCTCTTGTACAATGGCACTCCGATGGCACGGCTAATCTGAGATGTATAGGTCAACTCAGACAGGACCCTAAACGCACCCAAATGTACCAGCCAGATTCCCTTCCCGCGAGAGCCCGAACCCTGCGTGCCACTGATTCCCCATCCACGCCAACCGCGCCGCAACAACCTCAACCCAGTGGTAGCATAGAAGATCCTAGACACCCAGCATTTGACTGGTATGAGCACTACAAACCCAAGCAATCTCTTGCTCTGACGTTGCGGCCTCACCTGACTCCGGGCAACAACCCCATTGAATTCTACTCCCGCAAAGCCCAACGTAAAGCACAAACTAAGTCGCGTCTCACCACGAATCAGCAGCAAAACTTACGCCCCTTTCTGCCGAACCAGATGAATGGTCCAAGCATTTATTTGAGGTGTCTGTATGGTTTGCGCTCCGGGGTGGCGAGTGAACAAAAGTTTGCACTGCATCATCTTGTTAAGGTCTCGTATGAGCGCGGGGATAAATACAAATTCGAGGGCTTCCCATTCCTTGCTGAATCTCTGGTCGAGAAAGCCCTAGAAATCACTCAGCTCGCCACTGGAGTCAGATGGACGGTCACATATGGCGAAGATGATGGGGATTCCCCTGCGAATACCTTGAACGCGGCTTTTGGAACGTCCAACTTGCTTGAACGAATACAGTTATCACATGTTGATTCAACCGAGGTCGTTGAAACCGATGAGTCGTCGGAACGTTTGGAGAGACTGAAGGAGGCCGCATTGGTCTTACGCAACATGGTAATACTCGAGGAAAATGCTCTTTTCATGTCCAAATTTCCCATGTTCAAGGATTTCCTCACCATTGCTGTCTCGCTTCCCGATCAACCTAGACTGGCAGAATTCAGACAGTCGGCGCTAGACATGACCGAGCAGGTCTCCCGATATTGGCCAATCACGCCTATCGATCCACTCTACCTCTCTCTGATCCCTCTTCTCGAATCCAATGACAGATCAGTGCTCATGTCAGCTCTGAGGTCCATCAACAGAATGGGTATTGCAACCCAGGAAGTTCATCAACTGACTGGAATCCCACTCTCGACCATTGAGAGGCTCTTTTCAATGATTCTTTTGGAGTCCGATGTGGAGCTGTTGGAGGCAACCTTGACATTTCTGTACGAATATACCGCCACGCCGGATAACAATACCGAGTTACTCTCGTCTCAGTCTCACCTTCTTCCCTCCATGATCCCGCGGTTGATCAATCTGTTGTCATATCAAGCTTCAGTCACGATCGAAAATGTTATGGGAGCACCCTCGCCTGAAAAGATACCTATTACGTCGGTGATACCCAGCATCCCACCAGATCTTCATGCTCAACTGCTGGGGTTCCCCGAGCCTGAACGCTCCTCCAAATGGCTCAGATGTTGTTTTGAAGAATCACCGACTGATGATATTACACAAATTGCAATCTGGCAGGCATACCAGGGCCGGTTTGCTCAAAACAACCCCATTCCAGCTGCTGAATTCATTAAGAATGTCTCAAACACTTTCACCACGGCACAAGCCCAAGTCATCAACGGTAGCACACCGCGATTCATCATCAAGGGGATCAAGCCGAGGAGGGTGTTAGTTGACCTAGATAGGAGACTCCGTTTCTTCAAGTGCTTGTGGGAAATTGGACGGTTAGATCCGACCGATCCTGCCAGTCGCAATAACCAGAAGAGCTCCTTGTGTGGCCAATGGTACTCAAGCCGCGAGAATGTTTGGAATCATGTGGTCAATGATCATTTGCGAGTTCAACGAACAGCCGATGGTCGTTTTACAGCGAGTACGCTTGGGTCGTGGACATGCCGATGGACTCTTTGTGGCCGAGCGCACCCCTTCGCCAAAGCTAGTGACATTGGCTCGCACATCCAGGTCCATATCCCAAAGACACCGGAGGGCATGTCTGAAGTGGTTCATGAATTGGCCAACGTGGGTAAAAAGCCAGAGCGCATTAATACGAAACATGCATACCAATACACCTTGATGGATCAATCCAATCATCCTGCTGGTATACCCTGGATGAGTGTGATGATTCTTCGAAATCTGGCACGTTACGCAAACAAGCCCCAAGGAAATCAATTTGAGAAAGATGGCTCTCCTCTTGTGGATCAGCTGTTTGGTGGTCACAAGTACGCGCTGTTCAACATTATGAGTGTCACTCGTACCTTACGTGACTATATCGTGGACTTGGTGTACATGATTGAGCAAAGTGAGCGTGCGCAGAAACGAGGCGTCAAGAGAGAATATGAGTCAGACGAGGAAGAGACGGGCGTGTAATCGAGCGAGTGACGGATCATTGTTTGCATCATGTTCATATTTAGATGTGGCTTGATTTCGACAGAGGTCTGATAAATCTCTTTCTAAGGGTTGACGGCGACGCGGAATTCTACGACCAAACCAACTCATGTGTTTTTACTACCCTTTCAAAGCATGGCGCTGTCTTGGGGCTGAGGGGACATGGTGGACCATGAACTGGATTGCAGTCAAACGCCAATAATTTCCAGAGTGCTATTTTCACCAGTTTTGGTCGAAGAAGTCGACCTGGCAACGGGCACAGGGCTGCATTGTATGAATGGGCAATCGGCACACCGAAGAAGGTTGGACTCGTGGGCGGTTGAACTGGTTGCTGTATGGTGATGGACTTGGCTGATCGATCCTGCGGCTTTTTACTTGCAGCTAAAATGAAACCACCAATCGGTTTTATGTATCTATCATGTGCGAACTATGCTGATTTGTAACCTATATCGAATATGCGAGTCTTGCCAGTGGCTTTCTACGAAGATTCAGGTTGCTATGCTGACATGAATATGTCTGGGTGGACTGCCAATTGGTGCTACTAATCCTAAGAGTTGGTGTCCAGCGGCGTCATGACCTCACTATCTATCATAGGTGCCGAGTAGTTGTTCCGTTCCGAGGTACGAACCCCCCATAAGCCTCAGATAGCGACAAGGTCACGTTTATTTTGGGACTATGGGTCCTCGCAAGTGAGGGGTAAAAACTGCAGACTCCAACTATGAGCGACTGATGATGCACCTCCGTCCACTTTCTGCAGTTTCCCTCTCTTGCTACAAGACTACCAGGAATAAATTAATGTAATCGTGTTCCTCAATTGCTTCTACCTAAGAGTGTCAAGTCTATGAACCCGTCTTTATTGGCAACCAAGCCTCGTCCAAGACTTCAACAGCTTGTCCACCAGCTGAACTCGCAATCAAAGTCCGTCCCATCTGAATTGAAGACGACCACCAAGCGACGCCCATACGCCACAATGACTGACCATTCAAAATGGAAGTTCAATCATACCATGCTGCGGATCAAGGATCCCAAGAGGTCCGTTGACTACTACAAGCTCTTGGGCCTCTCCCTCGTCAATCAGATCAAGTTCCCCGAAGCCAAATTTGACCTGTACTTTCTTGGTAAGTCCCTTCGCCAATAATTTTGATATTGAGACCCGAGGTGAACTCATCGTCAATCTCTACCCAGCCTACGACGGTCCCTCATCCGCTTCGACTGGCGCGCACTGGACTGACCGTGAGGGTGTTCTTGAGCTTACCCACAACTATGGCACTGAGTCCGATGACTCGTACAGTATCAATAACGGCAACAAGGACCCCCATAAAGGTTTCGGCCACGTCTGTGTCAGTGTCGACAACATCCAGGCCGCATGCAAACGCATCGAAGACGCCGGCTACAAGTTTCAGAAGAAACTGACGGACGGGCGCATGCGGAGCATTGCATTTGCACTCGACCCAGATGGTTACTGGGTCGAGATCATCGGGCAGAAAAACGTGGATGAGACCAAGGATATCACGACCACCGATACCTCCTCGTACCGTTTCAACCACACCATGATCCGCGTCAAGGACCCAGAGAAGAGTTTAACTTTCTACCAGGACGTCATGGGCATGAGTCTGATGCGGACCTCGGAACAGAAAGAGGCGGGCTTCACACTCTACTTCCTGGGCTATCCAGGTGATTACGGCATCCCAAAGGAGTCCGACACTGCCAACGGAGTCAATCCACTTGCGGGGAAGGAAGGCTTGCTTGAGCTGACCTGGAACTATGGCACCGAGAAGGAGGAGGGTATGGTGTACCACAATGGCAACGATCAACCCCAGGGATTTGGACATATCTGTGTGAGTGTGGATGATCTGGACAAGGCTTGTGCCTTCCTCGAAGAAAAGAAGGTGAACTGGAAAAAGCGACTTACCGATGGAAGAATGAAGAATGTTGCTTTCGTCCTCGACCCGGACGACTATTGGATCGAAGTGATACAAAACGAGAAGCTGAAGAAGACCACCAATTGGTGAAGCGAATGAGGAGCCTCCGATTTTCGTTGTATAATCTTGCGGTTGTTGAGTGGGAGCAACATCATATCTTCAACACGTTCCATGACCAGGAAGGAAGGGAAGATATCATCGAGTTAGGAGATGTTCTCTCTCTTAGGTAGCTAGGGTCGGGTTCGGTCAATACAGTATACTGGGCCTTTGATGCTGAACAGCCGCCGTTGCTCATCTCTGCTCACCCCTGCTTCATGGTCGCTTCTTCGAAGAGAACAAGAGAGTTGTGTGTTGCTGTGTTGGAAAGAACCAAGCCTGATCGAAATGGACTACCAGCACCGTTAGATGTCTTATAAACGACGATAATATTCCCTTTCTACAAAAGAAGGTCTGGTATCTGGCCCGCCTCAGGCCCAAATGTCTTTTCTCGGATGCCACGCCATAAGCTTGCCCTTCTCAGTTATCAAAACTGGTTAAGTTGGCGGTGAGGTCGTGAGGTCTCTAACTGAACTTTCAAGAAGCCGCGAAACTTTTCACTTTGCACGCCTGGATAATTGGCGTTGTCCAACTGGTTCCCGAGGCTGATCTTCCCGGTCAGAGTGTAGTACATTCCTGCGCTGTCCCACAGCCGTCGACAGTGGACGAGACGACAGCTGAAACGAAAGATCAGACTTATGCTACCGGATTCTGCCGCCCGCCTTCCAGCGAGATCCGCTGTTGGACTTCATCCACGGAGCCGGCACATTCTACCTCTGGCTCAACACCGAGTACGACGTTGATGTCCTCTGCCATTCTGTTTATCGTTACCTGGTGGCCGGCAACTGACATTGTGAGATTTTAGTAAGGGTGAAGGGTGCTAGAACTCACATCGCTTTATGCCTACTGCTTTAGCGTCGAGAATCACTGCCGCGACATACTCCGCAGCCGTGTTATACGTTGTTAAATCCCAGACCTCGTTTCCTGTTCCCCAGTACCGAAGCTTTCGGTGCTCTGGGTCCCAGACACCGAAATAGGTCCAGAACACCTCCATCAGGAGTCCAACTAGAACATGTATGCCTTTCACTTTTAACCGAGTGCTTAAGTACGTGCGAACGTCTTTCATCGGGTCCTTGAGAATAATGTCCCCCCCGTCAAGTTTTGTGTAGTCAGCGGTGTAATCACTGGCTAGGTATCGAGGGACGTTTAACTCTTCGCAGATGTCGATTAAAATCTTTTGACCTTCCACCATTGTTTTGTTGTCGGCATAGTAACAACAGGCGACAATATTGCATCCATTGACGAACGATCTCAATAAATCGACGTCATATGCTCCGCATTCGATCAAGGTGACCCGAAAGGACTGAGAGAGAAAGGTGGGCAGACTTACAATGCTACGGCTCGAGCCTCGAAGTCTGACGTTTGGACACTTGAGCAAGTTTGCTGCTAATGCCAGCGATCGCAATTTGAACTTCCTTCATGGTGATTAGAGGTTGTTTGCAAGAGGACAGTGATAGCCAACGCTCGGCCTTGAGCTTTCCGTGAACATCACACAGGAGATCATCATCGCACGGACAGCAGATCTATGGAAGGCATGAGACGATGTGCACCACCGCAAGCCGGGGTGCGAAAAGAGAATTTGTCATGTGTACAAATCTGACTCTTAGTCTAGAAGTTTGGTGTCTAATTGTGCAGCACAAGCCATAGTGTCTATCTCGGGCTGGCCGTGCTCGCACTCCTCAGACCAGCCAAGCAGGCTCGGTTGTGATGGACCATGGATCCGAGTGGAGCACTGTAGTCAGGATAAGTGGAGCATAGAAAGCCAACTACGGGCTCGAGAGGCTTGGCCAGGTGTTGACTAAAGGCTTATTTATGACAGAGTATGGAAGATCTATCGACACAGTAAGGGGATGAGTCAACACGATGGAGGCGTCGTTTACTACACTAACCAACTGAAATATGGCCACTGGGATTAATTCAGGCCAACGAAATCATAGACCCCCAATGGCTAGGTCGCTTACTCCCCATCCAGTGGTGGTGGCTTCCTAGGAAATATATTATCCCTGGCCTACAAGCAGGACACTATTCCCTCAAGATCAGTGGACTACAAAGTTGGAATCTGTGCCACATTAATATGTCTTCTCTATTCGACAAGAAAGTCGTCGTCGTGACCGGAGCCGCGTCAGGCATCGGCCTAGCAACCGTGCCAAAGCTTTTAGATCTTGGTGCCACCGTCCATGGAGTCGATCGAGCTTCAAAGTTGGTGGCCGCTCTAAAAGGCGATCACAATTTCACGTTTCATGGAGGCGTCGACATTAGCTCTCGAGCAGTGGCAAAAGGTGTCTTCCAAAACATCCGCCAGACCGAGGACAAGATGTACGGCCTGGTCAACTCCGCTGGGATAGCGCCATACTCGAAAGCCTATTTGGAGACCGATGAGGACTACCTAGCTACCATCGGTGTAAACCAGCACGGGACATGGTACATGGGCACAGAGTTTCTTCGATATATCGAAGCGAAAACGCCACTATCAGCTAACGGGCGCGCTCCCGAAGGACAGTATGCAATAGTCAACATTGGCTCCAGCGCGTCTCTACAAGGCTATTCGGCACTAAGCGCATATGTCACCAGTAAGCATGCGGTGTTGGGAATGTCGCGATCTTGGGCTATCGACTATGCAATATTTGGCGTCAGGATTAACGTCGTCGCACCCGGCGGAGTGGACACCCCTTTGGCTTGAGCGCAGGATCACGTTGACGGTCCCAGGGCCGATAACACAGAGCGAGGCATGGCGCCAGTTCCATTGGCCAGAATGGCAGATCCTTCTGAATTGGCAAATGCCATTGTCTTCCTTCTGAGCGATCAGGCGACCTACATCACAGGACAAGTCCTTCCGGTGAATGGAGGTTATCCCACGTACTGAGTATTGATGTTAAGGAAGCCAGAAGGTGCATTGGCTCGGCAGCGTGAGTCTGAGCAGCTATCGCAAAAGATGGGCAATGCTTGCCAAAACGCGAGAGATCACTAAATCTGAACGAAGAAGTCATGTTAAAAGTGCAGACAATCTTAAGATCGTTCCTTTGTGTGCCCCAATGTTGTCTGATAGCTCCATTGCCTCCCAAGATAAGCATGCATTTATTCGCCTGTGATGATTAGGTGGGTTTAGATCGGCATCTGGAAATGGAGTTGCGACATGAGCAGACATGATCCAACTCGAGGCGACGCGGTAGCTTATACCATGAGCCTAGGTGCCCTTATACCCTTCCCACCGCAACTGCGGGTATTTTATATAGAAGGACGGATCATATTTCCAGCACTTGTGAGAGTCATACAGTTCGAGATAGTGATAAAGCCGTCTTGTCAGCTCAGGGGATTGGAGGAGTGTTGACAATGAAACGGGAGCCCAATATCCTCTACCTTGGCTAGCATGGCAGCCGATAGCGGATGTGTCCGGGGATAATACCAAGTGCATTTGATATAAACCTTGTAAAGCATGATCATGCAGCTCTAAGGTGTTGACAGTGCATACAGCTTGAATGCCAGTCTTTGTGACACCACCAGTCATCGTGTTGAATAAGTTCCATACGCCCAAGAACCCAGGTCCTGGTTCGACTGCCGATAATATGAGCGAAATATCGGGAACTTCGACAACTGTGTGCTCCATGATATCGACAAAGAGCCGGTCCAGCTTTGCACTGTCATTGAAGTGCTTTATGATCTGGTCTCTCAGTTCTCCAAATGCAAACCAGTCGATCACACAAGGATGTGGCGTTGTAAGCGACAGTTCAGACTGCTCGTAATGCCAGGGCATGGCTCTTCGTTCATAGATTTCAGAAGTTCGCTGAGAACAGATTTGAGGGTGAGGCTATGGACTCTTGCACGAGACAACGAGTTGCGAAGGTAGTTGTTCTCAGCTAGCAATTTGGCGTTTCGTTCTGAATCGCTTTTCGAGAAAGTCGCAATTCTTTCTTCGAGCTCTTTTACGTAACGATTCCTCGGTTCGCGAAAGTGCCTTTGCGAATCCCGATTACGCTTGCGCCTGCGATCTGTTAGTTAATAGGGGATCCCAGTAAGATGAAGGAGTCTCTCTTCCTGCAGCTGAAACGGGGACAACTGACCGAATCTCATCTCCATCAAGTGCGATGCTGTCTTTGGGAACGTCCATTTCCTCAACGAGCCTTCTCAGGCTTCAAAGATTTCACCCCTGTGTCAAGACGACAGGGATCGTCTGAGTGCGGGAATTGGGCATGGGCAGAATTCATCGTTATAGAAGCAAGAGATCCCCTCGGAAGAGCAGACGTGGATAGAAGGTTCGAGGCACTAATGCAAGCTTAAGATAGAGTCCCTTGCGAGCGGCTCGCCAGAGGCTTACCCGAATCAATGAGCTTTCCGGGAGACACGGGGTCGCAAGGGCGGGGGCAGTGGGCCAAGAAGGTACAGGCAAAGCTTTGATTGGAGGCGCCTACAGAGGTAGAGAGGTTCCCCTGTGGAAAGGTTGTTGAGCTTTTCGGCGGGCGACGAGCGTTGGGTCAATTGTTCATCAACACGACAAATCTATCCGGTGCCAAAGCAATACCATCTGTGAATGGCAATTCGAGCGCGGCCTGCTCTGTTGCTCCCGAGGTCCATAAAATGGATAGACAGAAATACTTCGTCACGCATGGTGGGGAATGCTATCCCTCGTTGATTCGTCACTGTTACCTGTTCATGCACAGTAATAGTATTCAGCCAATGTACAGTAAGTACGAGTGGCCATTGTATTGGACATTTGCCGTACACAAGACACCAAGAATTGCGGAGCCCCAGAAGTCCTCTTGTTTACCGAGGCTGGAGCTCGAAGCTGGTCATGGCCAAGCCTCAAGCCCGTAACAGTGAGAAGCCTCACCTCCCCATATCAGCAGCCATCCAACAAGCCTTTGCCGTCTCTGGGGTTGCCAAAGAAAGATACCATGTGGACTGGCCAAGAAACACTTCCACACTACTCAGCCGCCCAGAACGAGCTTGACACTGGTGGACAAGATGCGTACGAAATCAGACATGTTTGTGTCATGGCCATCCTGTCATCATGATCCACGCTTGAGTGGGAGCACTCAGATTACACAGACCACAGGGAGCGGTTCCCTAGTATCAAAGGACGGGTAGTGCTCAAGATCTTCTTTTTGCGTCAGTCCCCATTTCAGAACAAACATCAGAAGTCCGTATGCCTGTCCAAGGCTCGTAAGTCACCATAATCTACATCGCTCCAGCATGTTCGCCCCCGCCAAAGCCACCAACGGCGGGTGGACACCAATCGCACCTTTTGACTTTGATGAGAGGGAACCAGGCAATTTGAAGAGAAGAGCAGTGGACAATCTACGGCGTATCAAAGTCATATGTATTGGTGCGGGCAAGTCAGGTATCCTCACAGGTATTCTCTTGCCGAGAAGTATCAGAAACCTGGATCTGGTCACATACGAAAAGAACGACGAGTTAGGAGGAACCTGGTACGAATCCAGGTACTGCTCGATTTCATTGTAGATTCATGGCGTTCTGACCGTTACCAAGATATCCTGGTGTTGCTTGCGATGTCCCATGTCATGCCTACCAATTCACCTTCGAAAACAAACTCCAGTTGGAGTCGATACCGGGCCACCGGTGCGGAAATTCAAGCCTATCTGAAACGTACAGCCACAAAATACGGAGCCGACAAATACATGAAATTTGGGCATTTTTGCGAGAAGGCCGAGTGGAACAAGCTGGAGGGACGGTGGCATGTGACCTTGACGAAGTCAGCTACCAATGAGGTACGGGACTAGTTCTACCAAGCCTGGGTCTCGTTAATACTCACCGTGACTAGACTTTTGTGGACACATGCGATGTACTCCTCTCGGCCGTCGGTCCTTTGAACAAGTGGGAGTGGCCTCAGCTAGTGAGATGCACCGATTGCGATGAACATGCTCATTCTCCTAACGAGACCGTGACAGCTACGCTGAGGCTGGAGAAATACTGGGCTATTTCAAAGACATAGTGGAAAAGCACGACCTACAGCAGTACGTCAAACTCAATCATCAGGTGGCCGGCGCATGGTGGGATCAGGGGTCAGGAAAATGGAAGATAAAGGTTGTGCCCGCCGACAAGAGCAAGGAGCCTTTTTTGACGAAGGTGAAATCCTCATTAATGCTACAGGGGTACTCAAGTAAGTTGCCCTATCCCTGAGAGTTCCCAGGCAAGGCCTTGAAAAGTTGTACTAAGCAACGGCCATGGGGCACAGCCATTGGAAATGGCCCGACCTAAAAGGTCTCGAAAAGTTCCAGAACAAAGTACACCAGCGCTGTATGGAACGATACTATACAGCTAGACAACAAGGTAGTGGGCGTGATTGGAAACGGCTCCAGTGCGGTGCAGATTGTTCCTGCGATCTTTCCTCGCAAGATTCCCATTTCCATAGCTCTTCCATCTCCTGGGAGCTAACGAAGTTTACCAGGCGTCAAGAAACTCATCTCCTTCCAAAGATCCTCGACATGGATAACAGCTGGGTTTGCTCAGGAATGTGCGGGAGAACATGGAGATAACTTTAATTGTAATCGCTTTGAAGCAAAACATCTTAGTAAGCGAGGCTGACATGGTAAACAAAGACTCCGAAGAACAAAAGAGGGAATTTGCTGAAGACCCAGCTGCCTACTTGAAATACCGGAAACTGGTGGATGAGGAGTTCAACGACAGGTTCAAGCTGGGATGATCTTCACTAGAGTCAATTTTGACCGCGGGCTGACGGTCAAACAAGTACATCAACGGCACAGCAGAACAGGCTCAAGCACTGGAGGTAAGCGCCATTTCTGCTCCCTTTCTGCTATCGCGTGCTTTGCCATACTGAGACATCACAGTTCTCCAGACTGGAGATGATCCGAAAACTCAAAGGCAAAGAGCACTTGATTTCGAAGATTGTACCACGGAATTATGCCGTCGGGTGTAGGGTGCGTCAGCTCCTGTTGTCATCAGAGAGAGCAGAGCAGAGTTCAAACGGCTGACCCTGACATACAGCGTCCAACACCAGGCAGCGGATACTTGGAGTGTTTGGTCGAAGAGGAGAAGTGCGAGGTGACCTTCTCACAGATCACCGAGGTGACGGAAGAAGGGGTTGTCACTGCGGATGGACGCCGACGTCGACTCGATGTCCTGGTCTGCGCGACCGGATTCGACGTCTCTTTTCGCCCCAGATTCCCCGTAGTGGGAGATGATAACCTCGACCTACGCGACGCCTGGAAGGACCAACCGTACACTTATCTCAGCGCGACGGTACCCAAATTTCCAAGCTATTTCAGTATGTGTTTTTCTCTCTTAGAGGGGCTCCTTCTGGCTGCATATTCTTGCAGCACGCCCCACCAAGGTGGTATATCAGTGTTAACCAGCGGGTCATTAGTGATCAACGGTCCTTTCGGGCCTTATGCGCATGGTTCCATCCTTCCAACCATTGAGATCACCACGCGCTACGTGGCGAAGTTCATCGTCAAGCTCCAGACCGAAGACGTGGAAAGCTTCTCACCCAAGCAAGACGCCGTCGACGACTTCAAGAGGCATCGGGAACACTTCTTGAAGCGCACGGCGTGGAGTTCGCCGTGCCGGTCGTGGTTCAAAGGCGGGACTATTGACGGGCCCATCCTGATGTGGCCAGGGAGTCGGATCCATTTCCTTGAGGGTATAGCAAATCCTCGCTGGGAGGTAAGCAGTCCGCCACCGAGGCTCTGCATTCGTCGACCATTTTGCTGATCCTGTCGCTTGCTGAAATAGGACTACGATTGGAAGTATCGGTACAGCAATAGATTGTCATTCTTCGGGGATGGCTTTTGCCAAAGAGAGCTAGACGGGGGAGACAGGAGCTGGTATATCGAGGCAGCATGAGTAGATTTGCTGTTCAGGATCTAATGTCGCATTTTCAATCCCGCCATCTTGGGGTACACCATCCAATGCGAGCTATTTTGCAGATTCCCTTAACTTAATTGCAGCACCAATTATGTCGAGCTGATGCCAAGCAGTCTATGAGTCAGTCGATAACGGGTATTTTGATAAAAGCGTGGACCATAGCAACCACTGGCACTGGCCACCACTCTCATCTTGTCTCAAGATCTGATATAACAGCTAGCCGCGCAGTTTGACACCAAAATATGAACGATCGCTAGCGATCTCCTCTAAAGCTGGAGTTGATTATTCTCGTGTGGTCTATTATCTCTTCATTCGCATTCGCTTATTTTCTTTGACCTATATCTAGTTGGGAGGTAGGCCTACGCGATTGCTAAAGGGCCACATTTAGCCCCTCTCGAATTTCGAAGCAGCAGCCTCGGCGCAGCCAGGTGATTCCGCCACGTCTTCTTCTGGCGAGCACACGTTTTCCGGTCGTAGCCGTCATCCCTTTCCGTCGGTTCTTGTCCGAGTTAAAAGCTACTGGGTACCTGCTTGGGTAAACCTCGACTCGGTCCTCAATGCTTTCAGTGTTGGCCTCTTGAGATCTTAGGAGGAGCAAGCGAGAGCATGGGCATAACTACAATATCCGAACTCCGCTATCCCCAGATGCGTCGAAACTCGTGCCAATTACCTAAAGCGGTTGTTGTTGCTTCGATGATCTCATACAGCATCACCCCTGGATTGCCCAGCTGAACTACTGCTTGATTGGGAGGGCGCCCTCAATATGCATGTTCAAGCCTCACCACGCTGGCCCCCTACGCACCGTGCCGTCATAGAAACCCCGCTGACAGGGCAGACAAGCTCTGCCCTGTTTGAGCACGCTTTGACGGAACATCTACTCGGTACACACCCGAAGTTTTGACCCGCACGGTTGATCAGTACTGTGCGCTGATCTGACAGTCCGACGGGTCTCTGGGAAGCTTTATTCTCTCTTCGGGAGGAGGCAAGATATGGATGGCTGCAGAGCGCGTGAATAATTATCTCTCTCCCTATCCCATGCGAGTGTCAATTTTTGGCCTAGGAGTAGTTGTTCCGCCGAGGACAGGATGAGCAATTTCCTTCGTAGGCGGAATTCATCAACACTTTCCATTTTCAATGGGCGTCGATGGGTGGGGGGGGGTGGCGACGGCAACCGAAAACACCCCCGTAACTGCTCGTAACCAATGCACGTTGCATACCCGATGCATGCACGTATTGCCCCATTCAGTAGATGGTTGCCGGGTGAGGCCAATGCTGATCATCAGGTTTTCTTGTAGACTTCCTAAACGGGAAACAGCTGCGAGATGCTGGTTCATGAAATTCCTTCGACTTCGACCAACACGGCCAGGGCAGTGCTCGTTTGAGGTAAAAATCGAACATACAGTCGTGCACTGCTGCACTGAGGTCTGAGGTCTGAGGTCAGCTGCCCACAGGACTCGGATGGGCAAATGCTAATCAGTGCTTCCTCGTATTGTGACTCCGGAACAGAGTCTGACCTTGCTGGGTTAAACTTCGGACTCTTGCCGCAAATCAGCTGAAGGTACAAGAGGTCGCGACTCGAGACTTCTCAGAACATCCAATGGCGGCTTCACGGCTCTACGAGGACGGAAAACGACCTGGCCACGAACAGCTATACGTAAATGGTCATAAGACATTCTAGCCGCCAATTCTGGCCTTAGAGAGGCAGTGCTAGACTATGTCTAAGCTCAGGCGAGTCCGTTGCCGACAATTGGCTTCGGTATCTATTGATACACGGAAGACTATAGAGAACTAACGGATCCCGGACATGAACACGCCCTCGTCAGCTTGTACGCGGTCCCTCGGCCGTGAGAAACCCAAAATCGCATCCTAGATGAGCCTGGTTGACCTCGCGTTCGTATAGACCGCGATAGCCTCTTCGATTGGACCTCTCCAACCAGGGCTCTCGGGCCTGCGCATGCTCACTTTGAGAAGCACCCTGCTGGGCCCGCTGCTTGCGTTCAGCAATCCTTTGAGCAAGCACCGAGTCTTCCACTTCCAGCGACAGCCTCCTGTTCTCGACATCACATACGATCCTGTCACCATTCTCCACGACTCCAAACACTGAGCCCATGTCCGCGGACTCTGGGGAGATATGCAGGACGATCGTACCTCCCGCGGTGCCACTCATCCGCCCATCACTGATTCTTAACATGTCCAGCACACCCTGGCGGCCCAGCTTCTGTGGAATGGGGATCAACCCAGCTTCCGGCATCCCAGGGTTCCCTACGGGACCGATGCTCTTGAGAACAAGGATCGAGTCCTCGTCCACCTCGAGACCGGGGTCGTCAATGCGCCGAGCCATATCGGCCGAGTTCTCAAAGACGCAGACTGTTCCTCGGTGATGGAGAAGTCGCCGATCCTTGGACGCCGAAGCTTTCATGACAGCTCCGTTGGGGCAGATATTCCCGTAGAGAACGACGAGGCTCGAGTTGGGGTGCAGGGGATGGTCCAGGGGCCGCACGATTTGCCTCGAGTATTCGAATGACTTGAAGGGCGTCGAATCCAAAAGCTCCCCGAGCGTTTTGCCACAATATGTCAAAGCGTCCAAGTGCAGCAGCGGTCTCAGCGTGTGCAGTAGTGCCAGCATGCCGCCGGCATTGTGGAAATCGGTCATGTAATTATCCCCACTCGGCTTCAGGTCGACAAGTAGCGGCGTCTTCCTGCCAATATCGTCAAAGGTCTTCAAGTCAATCGTCCCCGCCACCTTTGGGTGCCTGTTGATGATAGCCATCAAGTGCACGACAGCGTTGGTGCTCCCACCGATGGCCTGAAGAACCGTGATAGCATTCAAGAAGCTCTCTCGCGTCAGTAGTTCCTGTGGCCTATGATTCTCCAACTTCAGTAGCGCAACCGCATTCCTCCCCGCCTGCTCCGCAACCCGCAGCCTCGCCGAGCTCACCGCCGCCGCCGTAGCACCGCCGCGTAGCTCAAGCAGCCCCAGTCCCGCCGTGACACACGCCATCGTGCTCGCCGTGCCCATGACCCCACATGTGCCACCCGTCGGCGCCAACTCCTCATTCACATCCATGATATCCTCGACATCGATCGCCCCAGCGCGGTACCGCGCCCAGTTGCTCCGGCAATCCGTGCACGCTCCGACCCTCGCGCCCTTGACCGACCCGGGCATCATCGGGCCCGTAATCAACGGCACAACCGGCTTGTTCGCGCTGATGCCGCCCATCAGCTGCGCCGGCACCGTCTTGTCACACCCGCCGATCATGACCACCGCGTCGACCGGCTGCGCCCGGATCATCTCCTCCGTGTCCATGGCCATCAGATTCCGCAAGAACATGCTCGTCGGGGAGGAGAAGCTCTCGTGGATGCTGATCGTCGGGAAGTCCACGGGCAAGCCGCCCGACGCCAATACTCCGCGCTTGATCGACTCGATCAGCTGCGGCACGTTGCTGTGGCATGGGTTGAAGGATGAGTATGTGTTGATGATGCCCACGATGGGCGACGACAACGCCGAGTCCGAATAGCCCAGCGCTTTGATGAACACTTTGCGTAGGAATAGGGAGAAGTGTGCGTCGCCGTAGGATGTCAGGCCCTGGCGGAGCCCGGAGGTTGAGCCTATGGGATGCGAGAGATTGTAGTCTTCTGGTATTGGGTTGGTGGTCGCTGTTGCGGTCGTGGTGTCGCTAGCGCCGGTGAGTTCTTGATTGATGCGGGCATCGGCCCCCGTTGTGTCATTATTGAGAGCCATGCTTGTTTTCTCTCGTGTTCGGGCTTCTCGTATCTGATTTCTGTGTTGCTTGAGATAAATGTAAGGCTCCTAGGCCGACACATGGCAATCCAAGTAAGAGTCAGAGTCAGTCCGCTCTCATCTCCCCTTCACTTGTGTTTGCTCGTTGGTTGCTTTCCTTCGAAGGGCCTGTCTCTTCTTCGCATGCTTCTCCACATCATGTCAAGTTGGAGATGGATTGGAGAAGGTTGCTATACTATATACCTGCCAATTGCCAATTGCCAATTACGTAGTTCTAGTTCGGCAATGAGTCCGTGTGGGCCGTCAGTCGCGGAGCGGTGCGCGACATCCGTCGGAACACGGATGGCTCCTTCAGGACCGATGTCGAATACTTAATACCGGAAATATGAAAGAACTTGTTTTCGCCATTGTGTTCATGGCGCATTCCATGGATGTGTAAGCTGTGTAAGCCCAGGACGGGAGACAGAGACCTATTACAGCTTGGCTCTCCTTCAAATACATTTGGAAGGGACGTTCAAATCAGAGTAGAAATCGAACGTGTCTTGGTTGCTAAATGAGCGAGGCCTTATCATTATTAGCCAGGCAGCTGTCTAAGTCAGGATACCTAAGCAGTAATTGGGCAACGACAGGTATTAATCATTTACTTAAGATACCTAGTCGGTATTCTATCTCGTAGTCTAGAGGAAGCAGGTAGACACTAACTCTCAGTACATATCACTACCTTATCACTACCTTAGTTGGTGGGATGGAGGCTGGTCCTCCAGCCTGGGATTGACAGACATGATATGTACGAGATATCTCGTTGGGGGTTCTAGGTTGGTCTGATGGCAATACCAAGTAGCGGATGGATGGCATGGCTTTCGATGACAAAATATCCTAGCTGATGCATTCTAAAGATACAACAACCAAGATACACCGAGGAGGCCAAAGTCAGCACATCGACTATTGTCTCATCACACCCTTCTCTCACCCAGTACGACTCTGTCCCTCTTCAGTAGCATCATGTGACCCGATGATCGCGCATTCCAAGTCCCAGCACCGCCATTCTTCATCACCTTCGTGACAAATTGACACCCTACACCATATTCTACGGCTGAAAGGGCCCTCATTGCATCAATACTCAAAGTCATCGTCGACCCCCCCTTTGCCTTTGCCTTCGTTGGCCACAACTTCTTGCTTGTGATACATTTCAGCCACAGCGCTGGTGGTAGTTGCGTCCTCAGGTTTCTTGTCGTCCCTCCTCTGGATGAATCTGGGAAACCGCAAACTTATCCCGTTCTTTCCGCCCATCTGGTCGATCGCTGCCCGATATCGTGGACTGAGCGTGAGATCAGCCGTTTTGACTTCGAATACACAACGAGCATCGAACCAGACGTCTGGCTGATCATTCTTGACGGTGCTATGGCTGTAGAAAGGTTTGGGACCTTCAATTAAATGTTCCGAAAGTTCCTTGTGAAGATCTACCAAGTCAACCTCGGAAAATCCAGTGCCAATATTGCAAACGGTCTCAAAGTTCTGAGTCTCGGAATTGTAAGCTGCTAGGAGAAAGGCTCCATAGACAGAAGTTCGTTTACCCTTTCCATGGTATGCGCCCAAGACAACCAGATCGAGTGAGTCGCCGACACCTGACAGATAGTCCTTCTTGACCTTGAGCCAGTTTCGTGACCGTTTGCTTGGTTCGTAGCCTGACTCTTCTGTATCGAGCATCTTGACCATGAGACCTTCACAGGATGCTTTGACCGATTCATCCAACAGCTTCTGAATCTCCTCAATATCTTTGCTGTCGCCAAATTGAGCAAAGTCAAACTCTCCCTCAACAGGCTCAAAGGCTGCATGTAACACCTCCCGTCTTTCTCGCAGGGACTTTTTCACCAAAGCCTCCCCGTTGTAGAACAGCATGTCGAATGCATACACGCAGACTTTGACAGTGACTTCAGAAGTTTTCACATCTTTGCGTTTACGGGTCATCAGCTGTTGAAACGGAAGGACTTTCTTGTTCTGAGGATCCCATGCAACGGTCTCACAGTCCAAGACAAAGCTTTTGGTGGACGGTCTGATCCAGGTGTCTAGTTTTTCCAAGATATCTGGATATTTCTTCGACAGATCTTCCGAATTCCTGGAGAATATGGATGCTAGTCCCTTGAATGCTTTCGGATCTTTAACAAGTGTGTTTGATGCTGCGGGGAATTCACCCATGGAGTCGGGCGCAACATAATGGATTTGTGCTCGTTCTCCATCGTATTTGTACTCACACGTGAAGTCTTTACCTTCGAAACGATCGAGAACCTCCGTAATTGATTTCGTCGGCTTTGCCAACATAGGTTTGAGCGGCACTCCTGGTTGGAGTTTGCAACTTTCGTGCAATTTAAAAATACCATGCTCCAGCATTGCAGGGATAATGACCTCGTAAGATGGCAATTCACTGTACACAGTCTTGAGCGCGGCCTCTCCTCGAGCCAACTGATCAGGACTGGCGGTCTTTCCATTCTTGGCCGATTCATGTATCACGACAGCCTGTGCCAGACCAATGATCACCGTCTTTTCTGCTAGACCGAGACGAAGTTTTCCTTCCAGAAACCTGACGAGGAACTTAGCTTCGGAAGGGCCACCCTTATCTTTATTGATGTCGACTGTTTTGGTGGCAGACGAAGCGTCTGCAGATGCCATCAATTTGTTGATTGCTCGTACTTTTTGGTCCTGAGAACCTTGGCCTTCCATCTTAGCAATGTCAAGAAGGCCTTGATGGACTCCGTGGACGGTCAAGGGCTTCGGCTTGAACATCTGACCCTGCTTGGACTTGCTCTTCGCGGCAACTAGACCAAGGTCCCCAATCTTCTGATGGTCAGCCTTGATTACTGCTAGGGAACGGCCCGAACTCTCTCCAATGGCTTTCATAATCAATGACTCGCCAATGCCAAGTTCAATTCCAGCATAGTCGGCTGCGAGTTTGTTGAGCATGAGCTGAATAGTTGGAAGCAGATCATGTGGTGTCAAACGAAGGACTTGTTGAAGAAATGCGGAGCAATATGCCGTAATTTGAAGTCGTTTCGTGGTAAGCTCAATCAAAGAGAACGTGGTACATAGAGCCGCATACGGCACAGGATCTCCAGCCTTCCAGTCAGGATATGGATCTTTAGAAGGCAGCGGTAGGGTGGTTTGCGCTTTGCGAACCTTCTTGTTGCTTGTTTTGGATTTCGGTGCCTCGCTTGCAGACGCTGGCTCTTCCACCTCTGAGGAAACATTCTCTTCATCCGAAGAGGCAGAATCCTCTGGAATGGCTCTTGTTGCCTTTGATGGTCCTTTGGTTACTTTGGTGCCCGTGGCCGCGGTCGTCGACTGAGCTTTGCCGCTCGCTGGACTCTGGGATCTCGATGTCTTTCTTCTTTTCCTGGCCACAGGCTCCTCATCTGTGCCTTCTACGTCCTCTCCAGCCTCACCACTCGGTTTCTTGTGCTTTCGTGTGGAAGATGTATTTCTGTGCTCAGCGGCTGGGTCTCCAGAAGGTGTAAGGTCGCCTGCGTCGTCGTGAGGTGGGATCGCTGACGTCTGCTCAGCATCGTTTTCACCATCTTCGGCGTCTGTGTTCGGGCTCCGCCCTTTTGAGGTTGACTTTCGATTGAAGGACAGCATAGACTGAGACTTGGACTTGTTGCCGCTGGATTTGTTTCCAAGGAAGTTGCTGTCCGACGAGTCAGCGATCCAAGCGGACGAAAAACATGGCAATGACATACCCCAAGGTGGCCTGCTTTGATTGCGGCATTATGAAGACTTTGGCAAAGCTGGCCGAGGAAAAAGGGAATTGATGAAGGTTGAGGTGAATAGAGAATGGATGGGAAGTTGAGAGGCAAATTTCACGTCGCGTCTTTAAGTGAATGGATCTGGTCAAGGCAGTAAGCCATAGGCCTGAGACTGGAGTTGAAGCCTGGATTGATTTCGAAATGCAGGACTGCTGATTAGGCCACATTCGTTATACCGTCGCACCTGCCGCTCAGTGACAATGCAGTTGCCAGTAACCGTCAGTCGCGTTCGTGACGCGTGAGGGAGAAAACCACTCTAAGTCAGAAAATGACGTGTTGCCGCCTATCAGTTCTAGGCAGCCTACCCGCAATGAGATCGGCCCCCAGCATCCAAGGACCAACACCAAAGAGGCCCAGAGATCATCTCCTTCTAGAATCCTTACATGTAGATTGTGAGCCAATTACCTTGCGGGTAGATAGGTGTACGGGTTCCTTTGCTTTATCCCGCCAGTGCCACAAAGGGTTGTTGCCTGCCCTGCCTGGTGCTGCTGGTTCGGTTCGGAGTAACAGTGTTTCTAACTACTTAGCTAAGCTGAAGATTGAGGGAGTAATTATGCCAGATTGGGTGCGGATCCTGGCGGAAGGGCTGCGGCACGGTCAGTGCGGATTGTGGAGATATAACACAGACATTATTGTCCTTTGTTCAAGTTGCACATTCTTCACAAAGTCTCGGATTTGATGCAAGTGTGTATAGAGTACTATTAGCTATCAGTCGAGTTTGAGACCTATTACAGCAACCACCCATTCCCCTTCAAGAGTTACGTTGGGTTGATAAAAAAAAGTGAAACCATAAGCATCAGTCCATCCTCGCCATGATGCGGCCAATGCTTTGACTCCGTATTAGTCGATTTGGCAATCCGCCTAAAGGTCATGATGCAAGGGAACGCCCTTCTGATATCGGGGTATCAACAGTGATTTGGAAAAAACATGGAAACGCTCGTGATCACCTTTTGGAAGTCGCAAAAGTAGGTGACGTTTACAGCAGCATGATTGCGGCAAGGCCGGCAAGACCAGCAACGTTTTGAGCAGCAAGGGTCATCTGAGGCATAGCGATGTTTCCTGTGGCAGATGATGCTGCGGATGATGCAGCACTACCGGCAGAGCTGGTTGCGCTTGCCAGTCCTGAACTGACGGAACTGCCAACGGATGCGGCCGACTCGGAGGCTGAGCTTGCAGCACCCGAAGCACTGGAAGCGATGGAACTAGCAGCAGCTGAAGCACTGGATGCGGCGGAAGCTCCAGACTCACTGGCTCCAGACGCAGCTGAACTGACCTAGAAGATAGCACATTAGATTAGCACTCGAAGGGAAAGGGTCAGATTAGGATTAACTCACCTCGCTGAACAGGGTTGTGCTGCCGATTGTGCTTGTGATGGTGCTTCCGTCGCTGATAATTGTGGACACGATGGCCTCGGTGGTGACAGCGACAGATGAAGCAGCGGCTCCAGCAGCGCCGAAGATGGTTGTGCTACCGATTGTGCTGGTGATTGTGCTTCCATCGGTGACAATGGTGGTGAGAACAGCAGCAGTGGAAATGGCAGAGCTACCACCATCACTGGTACCAGTGGTACCAGTGGCTCCAGATCCACTTGCACCAGTACCAGTGGCCGTGCCAGTGGCACCGCTACCACTAGCACTAGCTCCAGTGGCACCTCCACCCTGGGTCAAAGCTTCGGTTGCGCTGAGGGTGACAGAGGAGCCTGAGGCACCTGAAGCAGCTGGCAAAGAGTGAGTCTTGATTCACAAGGCCAGTTCAGGCAGTCGGAAGAGCTTACCAGAAGCGCAATAGTCGAGACCGAAGGTGATGACAGAGCCTGTATCTGCGCCAGCTGGGCAAGCTTCGGCGACGCAGTCTCGGATACCATAACCAAAGTTCACATTTCGGCAAAGGCATCCAACATCGGGTTGTCCGTTAACATTGGGGCAGCCGAGACTATCAGATTGTCCGAGCATATTGTTGATGCAGGTTTGCTAGAGCGACATATCAGTGACTCGATGGACGCAGGTGAGATAGTGGAAGGGCACATACACCACATGCTGGCAAGTCAGAGAGAGACTGAGCGAAGGCGATGGCAATGAAGGAGGCGACGGCGACGGCGACGGCGACGACGGACTTCATGGTGAGCGAGAGTTACGCAACGTAAAGGGTGCTGGTAGTAAGAGAATGCACGGCTAGTTTGCGAGGATGGTAACCCGTAGAAGAGATGGACGAATCCAAGTGCTGGTGAAATTGGAGGTGAGGGAGAGTGAAGAGAAGAGCGAAGAGGTCGATGCGCAGGACGACAGATTTATTGGCGTGGCAGAGTGGCAGCTGGTACCTGCGATCGGCGGAGGAGCAAGAGCAGGTGAGGCAGGCAAAGCGGATACTGGAGTACAGAGTACTGTACCAGTAAGTATATGCGGGCGGGCAAGCGAGCAGGAAGCGGAGACGAGAGATCTGGGAGACTGGGAATCTGGTAAGCGCGCGGAGTGGAGACGCGCAAAGGAAGGTAGCAAACGGGTCCAACGCAGAAGGCGCCAAGTGCGGTCGAGGGAAGGTCACGAGTGGGCGCCGAGTACTACGAGTACATACCTGCGAAGGCAGGAACTGAACTGACTGGACTGGGTAGATACTAGAGGGAGACGTGGAAAGTGCGATCAGGTCCAACCCAGGATCTGAACAGGCAGAGGGGAGGCTGGCAACTGTTTAGACTTTGGATAGTGCAAGTGCCTTTCTCCATCCGTCCTTTGTCCGTTTCCCTTCGATGACTTCCAGGGCACAGTCGGCAGCTTGTTCTGCGGACGACACCTCAGACACTCCTTACCTAATGCATCTCCGAACTCTCTTGCATCGTCTCCCTGTCCTGCAATGCTGCCAGGGCGGCGCTGCCAGGGCTGTCCTGTTCGCAGAAAACTTGAAGTTGGTCAAGGAAAAACCTTTAGTGCCGGGAAGTGAGCAGTGATTGGCTGGTGCCCCGCGGCCCCGCATCTGCCTGTTGTCCAATAGGCCATGCATGTCTATCCATCCCCTGTGCTCGCTCGCCTCCACATCAGCCACGATCTGCAGCTGCAAGCTTCGCTTTGTGGCGATGGCTCCTTTTGTTGCATGATTGCATCACGTCTACGGAGTCCTGGGCGCTGCGACCGTCTTGGTAGACGTGGCCCATGCAAGCTGAGGCTCACCTATTCTCATTATCAGGCCAATCGTCTGTCCTCCGTACGAGGATCGAGTTCTCCGTCCCGAGTACGGAGAACGGGGTATCTGGTCATCTGGTGATCAACAGCTCCAATCCTGCTTTGATCTTGTAGCCCACCCTCGCCCCGACCACAGCTTGATTTTGTGGCACTTTGGCCGCGAGTGACTGAGGAATCAGGATGCACCGCACACCAGGTAGTCAGGGCAGGCTGGAGGAGGACAAGGCGGTGCGCTACTGCTCTTCCAGCTTGAGAAGGTGTTCTTTTCCGATGTTTCTGGTTTTTCATTTTCATTTTTCTTACTGCCAGGAGTGTCACCGGACTGGCCTAAAAACGTACGAGTAATGCATACCCCGTCTGCACATAGTTGCTTGGGGCTTCCCGCTTAGGACGACGCGTCGATCTTGGGCGACGTGCAAAACCGGGAAGCGGCGGGCGCTGTAGCACTAGTAAAACAAGCATTGGGCCAGACGTCAGGAGCGCGATGTGGTTGCCGTGGGTGACTTGGTCGATTGGGTTGGCTCTCGGCTGCCCTGGTCTCCGCCGTTGCCCCTGGTAGCAAACGCCACACCTTTGCCCTTTCAAGTCTCGGGCGCGTCGGCGAGGGCGACGGCTGTCAGGCTTGTACGATGCAAGTGCCTGCAGATCCAACAAGCACGAGCACGCCAAGGCAGACCCAGGCACGCCAACGCACATCAGCCCTGGCAAGCGAACGAGAGCTTGACCCCTGTCCCGCTGACTGCTGTGCTCCACTGGAACCGCGTCCTGTACTCGTACATGGCTGTGCTACTCAAGCACAGTGACGTTGAAAACTCGACCTCTCACAGCCCTGCAAACAGGGACGAGAGATTTCGAGGCATACAAGCCACTTGGCCGCATCTGCTCGACCGACAATCATAGAACTTCTCGACCGTGGAAACACATGCTGCCATTTATTCGCTGCCAATCTACGTCGGTGTTTCGCAATCCTACCGATGGTTCACGGCCGTGTCTCGCAGGTGCGGGCGTCCCCCAGTGGCTGTTGAGCCTCTCCCGCGTCAATTTGGGAGTTTGATTGCATGCCAAGCTTGGCCAACCTCTCATGTTCGTACGGATACCAGTACATACTCGTAGTACCAAGTGGTCGGCGGTAGCACCGTCGCTTTTGGCTGCCCTTCTACGAGTAATAATTATGTTTGTACTGCGTACCAGGCACTAAAGAAATGAATTAACCTCACCGCCCACCCCTTAATTGCCCGGCGCCCGTTGCCACTGCTGCACGCAATTACATGTTTGTGTCTTTTACGGAGCGTACGGAGTACGGTTGGCATAATGGAAGTCTCCATAAGGCATCTCACTTTATTGCTGGGCTCGCGCAACTCCAAGTGCGAGACATGACCACCAATTTGACGAGGCGGTGACGTCGTTGTGGCACCTCTGTGGTCGCCGTCACCCCTGCAACTGCTATCTCGATTCTCAACATCCACAGAGGGCTAACAACCCTTTCTGTTCCCTAAAGGACTTACAGTACTCGTACAACTCGGGGCCAGGTCCCCCGTACCTCGTGCCGGCTACCGAGTATTCACTCCAGCAACAACGGAGCTGCGGAACCCTCCGTCCTCGAGCCCTATCAATCTGATGCACCATGATTCATGGCATCGGCTGGACAGATCTATGTCTTCCGTGATATACGCAGTCCCTCGTACCTTAATCTCATATGCCCCATGCTTCCAGAGAATTCCACCTTCTTAGATCCTTGCCACGGGGTTGAACTTGTTGCTCTTCTCGACCAGGGCCCCCTCTCCTACGGACACCAAAAAGGACTCCTAATTGATATTATCGACTCTCTATCCCCCAGTCGTGTAAATCAACCAGAAAGCCCTGCACCTATATTTTCGCTGTCAAAAGCAAAGGCCTTGCTCCTGATCGAAGAACATCCGAGACAATGAATCTCGAAGAATCAGAATCATGGCGGGCACCCAACGGAGTGGCTACGGAGAAGTATATCTTCTGACCCCAATCGCAGTCGCGTGGTCTCATGATCCACCCTACCCATCTTCATTTTTCGGCTTTGATCATCATTTGCACACCTCATCCGTAGCCTTGGATCATCGTTCACCGGTGGCCACTGTTATCTGAGATCCCGTGTCGAGTCAACCCTTCTGATCCCGTTACTTGCTACTTAGCTGGAGAACCTCCTCTGATGTTGGTGGATGAAACATGCTGTGCTCCAGGAGATTAACGCGAGAAGCCCGCTCATATTGTCTCCCTCATCATGAATCAGAGGCAAGAGGCTTTTCAGAGGGTATGCTGCTTGTTCTGACTTCCACCCCCGCAAACACTCCGTTACTGACATAACAGTTGCGCTCTCCATGCGTTGAGCTCAGCTCGGTCGTGCTTAAATTCAAGACAAACCAGGCCGCCTCCAAGGCTGTCTTGCTGGCCCTAGAGCCTGTCTTTCAAGCCCTAGACTCACTGGGCCAGCAAGACAGCCTCGACCAGAAACTTGCTGAATATGCCTTCTTCCCTCTCACCCAGATTTTAAATCAATCGCGACAGCTGCCTTCACAGGTCTTGGAACTCACCCTCAAGTGCACTCAGATTCTAATCTCGAAAGGATGGAAAGAGAACCTTACGCCGCAAATGGGCAAGCAGCTGCTGATTCTGATGAGTTTGCTCATCTCTTCACACTCAACCCCCGGCACAGACCCACCTACCGATGCCCTCAAAGTGGCGGCTTTCGAATGCATGTTTTCATTGCTACATCAGATCGCCCAGCGTGACGATTCAGCTCAAATGTTGGATGAAATAGGCGCTACCAGCCTTTTAGACCAACTCGTCTACCAATTGCTCGAAGAAATAAGCGTTGCAGTTTCGGAATCGGTGCAACTGGGTGCAGCCAAAGCGTTGTTGGAAATACTGACCGCCGTTGACAATCCTGTGACTCTTGCCAGTCTACTACCTCGCACTGTGTCGACTCTAGTCAAGGTTCTCCGCCCGAGTACTCAAGCTCGTCGGACACAAAAGGTCCTTGCTGCATACTTACAACTCCTCACTGAGATTTTGAGACGTGTCCTGTCGGACGGTGTTCTTTCCTTTGCTCAAAAGGGGCTGCGCAATGACAAGAATGTGCATTCAAAACCTGAAGCCGAGAGAGTGCTTGACAAATCGTGGCTCGATGCTACAACACCCCAAATTGATATCGCTTTGACTCAGGTGACTAAGCTGAGAAGTCTGAAAACCCCTGTCATCAGTGAAGCTCTTCTGCAGCTGTGTCTTGCTGTCATCGAAGACTGTTCAGAGTCTTTGCAGAAGTCAGCACCGCTGATGGTAGAAACCCTCATTGTCTTATGTCGTTCCGATGATCCATCTAGCGCAATTGCTGCTTTAAATCACTTGGTGCTATCACGACCAGCCATCGGCGAGATAATTAATGCAAAATTCTTCACCTGGTCTCAAGCTCTCCCACGCGTGATGCAGGCGAACGATGATAGGCCAAAGCAGCAGATCCTCGGCCAACTCGCAACATCATTCGGTGCGTTGGCGGAAACCATGGGAGCCTCTGAAGATATCACCGCCCGCATCGCATCAGTATTGGTCGACAGTGTATCTGCCTCGATCAAGGCAAATTCTCAGCAGCTCACTGTGCTTGATGGTCCTGCCGAGTTCACGCTTGACGAACTTATTCACCCAACACGCTTGTCATTGAACGAGTTTCAACCGCTTGTACTCAGCCATCAAAGTCAGCAGTCGTCGACAAAGGAACTGAATGCCTTCATCCGTTCCTTGATGTCCCATTCTGGAAATTACCGGATCACCAGGAACATTATTGAACAATTGAGAGATCCTAGCATTAACAGACGACTCTCTGCAACTTGGCTTGCCCTGAAATTTCTTGACTCCACTGCTCAACCGGCTTTCAGCCTCGACGATTTTGTCCAGGAAGACGAGACTGATGAAGATTGGTCGCTCACCCGGCCCTTCCTCGTCTCAGATCTTTATGCACAAACACTACCACATCTACTCCAGTACGCTGATGAGCCAGCTGGGTCAGCTACCGATTGGCGTATGGTAGCTTTGGCTCTCGAATCGCTGATTCTTCAGGCAAACCAGCTTGGGGAATCATACCGAGCGGAACTGATGGAGACCTTGTTCCCTGTACTCATTCTCTTCGGATCTGGCAATCCTAAATTACAAACTCACGCCATGACTGCTCTCAACTTACTCGCTCAAGCCTGCAACTATATCTCAGCGACCCAAATGTTGATTGAAAATGTCGACTACCTGATCAACGCTATTGCCATGCGTCTGAACTCATTCGATGTCTCGCAAGCCGGACTTCGGGTTCTCGCCATGATGGTTCGTCTTTGTGGGCCAGATCTGCTACCTCACTTAGACGATGTGATCAGCAGTATTTTCAGTGCTCTCGATAATTATCATGGGTACCCGAAACTAGTCGAATATTTGTTTACAGTGCTCAGATTGGTAGTGGATGAGAGCTCGAAGAATCCAGCGAAGCTTGCCATCGAGCAAAAGCCCATTTTGAAGAATCATGAGCAACGCATGCCGTCTGCGTCTGCGATCGATGACATCCTGCTCGATTTGCAAACCAGAAAGAATCGAAGAGATAAAGTGGACGAAGAACTTGAAGCATCGATAGCTACACCCCACAGACCGTGGAAATCTACTGTCGACAATCCAAATGCTATGACCACAGATGAAGGAAGTGAGAATGGGGATCACGACGGGGATTCCACACCAGAGGAACATCCTAAAAAGGACGAACGTAAAGTGTCAGGGCCACATCAATTACTGATTCGCATCGCGGAAGCAACCATACCTCATATTTCATCACCTTCGGCAAAAGTGCGACTCACCCTGCTGGAAATGCTTGGAAAGATTTGCCCTGTGTTGGCGGCTGAAGAGAACACTTTCCTCCCCTTGGTGAACTCCATTTGGCCAGCACTGACCTCGCGACTCCTTGCGCAACAAGATGACGAGTCACAAGAAACGCACTACAACATTCAGGCCGCCGTGGAGACGATAAGGATCATATGCGAAAACGCTGGTGATTTTATGGCCTCCCGGATCGACGAGCGTCTCTCTAGCTTTGAGGCCTTGTTCAGAAGACTCCAAGTATCAAAAGGAAATTCCGAGAGTGTTCAGGCTTCGATTAAAGTAGAAGAATCTAAGCCCTTTCTCATATCACCAGTGTCCCCGGACATGGTTAACCACGGCAGAGAAGGCTCGGTGCAAGCCGCTGACCGAGGGCATCATCGAAGGCCGGAACAGCAAATATTACAATCTCTTCTCGCGTTGTTTTGTGCCATTCTTCGATCTGTCCGCATATCCGAAGACAATGCAGACAGAATTTTCGAAATCCTTGGTCCGTCCGTGGGAAAGAGTGGAGGGACCCCGGTCCAAGCTGCTCTAACAGGGTATAACAGCGATTTCGTGTGGTTAATGAAGATACGACAGGGTGAATGAGGACATCACCAACACAGCCTGGTCTCCTCAGATAATTCCACGTGTTTGCGGCGGCCAGTAGGCTGTGAAAGAGCAATGGCTCACTGGCAGGGGAATGGAAATGTCCCAAGAGGAATGGTCTCGGAGATTGATTTGGCACTATGACATAATTGGTTAGATTGAACCCCGTTTGGGAGATCTAAACGCCGGGCTTCGGACGAAGTTGGGACGGCCCTGTCACACTGTGTGTACCCAACAGTATACAAATGGAGTATTAAAAGCTCCCGGAGATTGGCAGAATCCAACATATGGATATGCGACGCGTTCAAAATATGCCTCATGATAAGATCTTGTATTTAATGTCAGTGATTGACCCGAGAGAAGCAAGCAGAAGTCATCATCGAAAAGCAAACCGTTGAGAACCAGTGCTCTCCCACTAATCTACTCTACACATTTCTTCCACGTCTGAAAATCCAAATCATAACAGATACCACCTCCTTCACATCATGCCGAGTTCAGGATATGGTCAGTTTCTCAAAGGTCAAATACGTACGCCTCCCATGCCAGAAGTGGATTTGACAGGACGAACCATCCTCGTTACTGGTGCCAATTCCGGCTTGGGCCTCGACGCTGCAAAGCTGTTGATTCGATTGAACTGCAGCACAATTGTCCTTGCTTGTCGCAGTATAGCGAAAGCAGAGGCTACTCAGGATGTCCTAAGAACGGTGTCAAGTCGAAATGGCAAAACTCCAACGTTGATCTCGTTTGAACTCGAGATGACAAGCTTTTCGAGCGTCGCCTCATTTGCCAACCGATGCAAAGAACTACCGCGCCTGGATGCCGCAATTCTCAATGCAGGGATCGACGTGCTTGAGTTTAGGTTGGCTGAAGGATATGAATCTACTATCACTGTGAATGTGATCTCGACATTCCTTTTGGCCACCCTCCTGGTGCCAACTTTGCGGACCAGTGCCAAAAAGTACAATATCACACCCAACCTTACCATTACTGGCTCAGCAGTGCATTTCTGGACAGAGCCAAAGCTCCTTACAACACCCAAAACTGGCCAGATTTTCCACTCAATATCCAATCAACAGACTGCCGATATGAAGGGACGCTATTTCTTCAGCAAATTACCAGTGATGCTACTCGTCAAGTATCTTGCCTCGGTATTGGAGAAGTCTGCTGTGCAAGGCCATGACAACAAGCCGCCTGTGACTTTGAACAATGTGGCGCCCGGACTTTGCGTGACAAGTGAGCCCCTTCCCCCATCCGGCCCTGACAACCCCCCATGCCTTCATTCTTCAGTAACCTATGTCGATCCTAGGACATACTTTTGCTTCGACTTGAATGCTGACCGTCCTTGCTGTTAGATCTCCTCCGAGACTTCAGTATGGCCGAGAAAATGGTAGTAAGGATGATTGGACGGTCCAGTGAACATGGAGCCAGGACACTCGTACATGGCGCCACAGCGGGCCCTGAGACCCACGGCCAATATCTAAGCGAGTGCGAAATCAAGGATGCAAGTCCGTTTGTGAGAAGCACAGAAGGCGACCAGACTGCAGAGAGGCTTTGGTTAGAGCTTGTTGACATCTATGAAAAGGTCAGCCCAGGGTGTACCAAAGAATGGTGATGATGGAACTTGTCATCATTATGTATTTTAAATTTAAAGCCCGGCCCGCGAAGGAGCATATGCGAAAGGCCTCGAATCGGATTTAGTGGACGAGCCATTGCATCTTAATAAACCACAATGCTGAAGGATCCCTGACGAATATTATGTCTTCTGCGCCTCTTCGTCCTTAAACTAGAGCTCGTAACTCGTCATCTTACATTCATCAAATCTGGAGAGAAGAGGTGGAGCAGATTGGGCCTGTATATCAAACTCAAAATTACAGTTATAGGTCTTGGACTGAATGTCAATAATTGACTCAGCAATATCCTTGATTTTGAGCTTGAATTCAAGGCGCCGAGGCCCTCAAGGCTGCGAACTCCTTGGCACGTTCGTATGTTGTGTCGTCCTAGTGGCTTGGATTTAATTGACTCTACATCTCGATTGTTACGAGGCGTCAGCGTTACAGTCGTAGTCATAATTCCAAGGATTTACGGTATGAGTACTAAGTCTAGGAAGTAATACGAACTTAACATTACTCAATTCCTTCTTTGAAAGTGGCTATACTAGGTCTACTAGGTGTGCCTTTTTACGGGCCTCTGGAGGAGAACTCGAGCTATAGATATAAAGGCCAGCATCGTTCCGGGCCACTAGTGAGCAGCCGGAGGCAAGAAGTAGAGCGGTGCGACCTCTCCGGTTAAGAGTTGAGAGTACTCGATTAGTGTTCGCAGCGAGCCTCTAGGATGGATGTATCCTACAATTTCTCGGGTCCGGGCAAAGCATGACATCATGAGGTGAGTAGCTGAATTGGACGGGACGACTTTTAGATCATGGTGAGACGAGTTCTATCAATCCTCTTTGCACAAGGTAGTGGCATAGATCTCAGTATAAGGTAGATATAACAGTTTTGTACCCTCCGGCTGTAGACGGCGGGGCAGCACGTAACTACAGCTGTCTGACCGCCTCCTGCTTATAGCACAGGACACATTCCAGCCAATACTAGCGATTGATTCTCTCGAATAGATCAAACCATGAATGCATGAGATCTTAAAAACGGAGACCAGAGGGATATTCTCAAAATACATCTATACGTAACTCGATCTAGACTAGGTCAGCCAGTCAAAAGCGTCAGTGGAACAGTGAGCCTGTCGAGTGGTCGACGGATATAAGAGCGCTGATAATTGACGAAGCTAACAATAGGATAACATGGCGGCGATGCACTCTTGTATGTTTGGGATATCGCCGCACGGCGGCAGACTATCATTTTGCGTGCCGCCCCAGCGGTCAGCCAGAAGTAATCTCGCCACCGGGCGGCTAGCGAGGACCGACGCACAGGACATTGCAGTCTAATCCGGCTGGAACAATGAGAAGTCTATGTGAAACTCGTAGCCGGAAACGCCAGACCGAATGTACCTAGGCTGATTGGGGAGAAATATACAAATGAATATTCGAAGACGCCAGTCGTTATCATCAACGGGCGTGGGTTGATGCCCAATTACTCCCTGTTATTCGCAGATGTTTATGCAAGCACCACGTGTTGAACTAGTTCGATAAACGAATCGAAAACGGACGATTCGTCGCCGCCTTCTCCCCGCGTCTGAGAAGCAACTGGGCGGAAACTCGAAACTCCTTGGAGCATCACCGCCTTGCGCAGGCTGTCGCATGTCTCATGGAGAGCCTTCGGGTCTTCTCCTGGTACGTAGACCGATACAACGAGGATCAGCTAACAGCTGGTCAGGGAGTCTGGCGACTGCTGCCGTTATGTCCGGGGACTCTATCCGTGCTTGCTCCGCTTCCACATCTTCATTTACCGCTAGAATGCTCCGGATTGGCCATCTCCCTTCTCTCCACGGAAGGGGGACCATCTTGGTCCACTTGTGGGGGCCCACAGGTGTCGTCAAGAGTCGGCCTTGGATTCTCCGTACATGAGGTTCCTGGATCGCTAGGACCATCACATCTTACATCTCCTCGTAGTTCATTAGGTTGTCGTAGACCTCGCCTTGTTTTCTCACGTTAAGCTGGATCCTATAAAGCGCTCTACTCATGCTGAGATTGATAGAACTCTCGGCAGTTTCGGCAGAACGGTTGTGATTAGCGATGCGAAGCGATAATAAAGATCGTGGTCTACTATATCGCTTCGACAAAAGTGCTGATCTTCTTAGGATAGCGTTCCTGATTCGAGCTGAATCTACCTTCCGGTGCTTTCGTTTAATGCAGTCCGTCGTACAACATGCCTTTGCTCTTGCACAACCGCCTCGATATATTTACCATGTACTATAGCAGAGATATCAACAAAATGCCTACCCGAAGCTGAGATCGCTCGGGAAATAGTGTGTACCCAGACATCGTGGGCCCTCCAGGACCCTTACCACTGCTCCGAAAGCGTTCGAGTTTGTTGGCATCTAGCATGAGGAGATGTCAAAGGCCGGCCGCTTGCCGCCCCCCGGCCGCCGGAGGGTTTTGTTTGGGGTGGACCATGCCATAGGATCATGGCATCAGTCAAAGGACTCCCGATACGTCGAGGATGCAGCTGCTGGTGATGGCATCAGATGGATGTACACAGGTGTGCGCGATTGTTGCATATGGAGCATCTGCTGTACAAGGGCCAAAAAAATCCCAAAAATTCGAACCAGTGTCTTCACGCAAAAAATACAGGTTTTGCAAACCAGTCAAAGCTGGAACACCGTTAGTGTTATTTTGAACGAACATCAGGAGACGCACTATTGCACGTATAAATCCAGATAGGCGGTCTTCCCAACCAGTACCTATGATCCAGATACGTTCGGTCCCTGGCCACAGATGAGTTCATGTCTTTGTCAAACGAGCAGAAACTGACTTGTTAAAGATCGCACTACGTGCTTCAACTGATCTGGCTGATCATCCGGTATCTCAAATGATGCGACCCATTCACTTCCGTTCTTTCTTCGCAGAGATGGTCTCCCTAAGGTACCATAAGCTAATGGTGTTGTATCCGACGTTCCTGTACGCCATTGCCGTGGGTACAGTGTCTCATGTAGTTGCCGAACAATCTGCATGGTTGAGTCTAGATGCCACGCCAGAACGTGATGCGGTCGATGGCGAAACAATTTTCTTTTCAACAGGCCTTCCATATGGCTGATGATCCATATCAATAGACAGCACCCGAGGCAGAGAATGAGACGTATAACACTAAAAGTAGCGTGTTGGCTAGATCGAAGTTTTGCACAACAAAGTGGGTCTTCAGAACGTTTGTTGGAATAGTTTCCCTTGGCATACATCTGGCGCCGATCTGCGCTCAAGGAACCAAGAGAGTCAAGGAGGATACTGATCTGGCTTGTGGCGACCGATGTCCCAAACCAACTGCGTACTTCTCGTATCCACATATCGTCGGGTATATCGCCCTGGATCCCATTCCGCAGACCTAAACCGTGTCTTCGTACAATTAAACTATCCCGTCCGCGCCCACCCACGATGTCGTGAAGGCTCCCATGCCCCATGACTCTCCCGATAACAGAGTTCATTTTCCCTGGTATTGCCTTAGGCCACATGCCCCTGTGATTGTACGTTATGATGTCAATGAGCGGAGAGAAACCCAGAGAGCCAATAAGTCCGCTACACCAGTTTGTCGGTCCGTAGCAAACCTCGATCTGATTGGTACTGCCCAGTAATGAGATATCTGTATCAGGTGCATACCAGCTACTGGACTGTTCCTTGTAGATGTTTTTGGCCGAGTAAAGTGGGTCATGAACAGGCTTCCCATAGAGAATCCCTGCTTTATTGATCAACACCAGAGTGACTTCCCCATCACTCCGGTTCAGCGAGGGATGAATCGGTGAAACCCGGTTATGGAGCCATGTGGTTCTAGTACTTGTCACAACCTCATAATCATAGGTGTTCATGTTCCTAGCAATGCGAACGTTGAGTCGTCCTCCGCTTGCAACTGAGAACAGCTCATCCTGCGCCGTGCTAAAGTTAAAATATCGGTAATGGTGATCCACATTCTCGAGAGGGAAAGTTTCGTATATTTCAGGCTTCAAAAGAGAAAAGGTCATCCTCCGCCGCACAGTTATCGCGTGCGCATGTCTATTATTGATACCGAGAGTAGCTAGAGAGATGTGCCCGGTGTCGAGAGCAATAGCAGAAGTGACATTGTCACAAGCGTAAGACGCGAATGGACATTCAGTGGCTTCCTCAATCCAGTGAATCCGAGGGTGAACCAAGGTTCCACATTCTAATGGAGACTCCCCCTGAAAGCACGCTTGTGCGTACCTGACGGAATAGTCAATCTTATTGGGAACTTGGTTCTCAGAGCCCCATAGTGGCGTTGTTTGGTGCTCTGTTGCATCCCAAGGCCGATAACTTCGCGAATCTACCAAGATTCGAGGGTTTGGCTGCTCTTTGAGAAGCAACAGTGGTGCCCAAGCGGCAATGATGTATGATGAACCGGATGATTGCCCATGACTGAGTGCCAGTCATTGTGATAATAATAGCAATGAGGGCAGTAAGTACCGATGCGAAGTCGCTGGGGGTGGTGAAATTCAGTCCCCATGGCCAGGGTTCTTCGACATCGTTCCATATCCACCAAAGATAAGCGTATTCAATATTCCCAAGCATGCTCGGCAACGACTACAGTATACAACCAGCTAGGTAGCAATCCAAACTTTAGACTCCTAGCCTAAGATACAAGGGACAATTAGGAATAAAGATGCCGGGGGAAGAGCTTCACCATTCTGGCGGGGAAGGAGTGGGCTGGGCGAGAAACGATCGTAAGGTGGCTCTTGGAGAGACTAGTGAACCCGTTGCCGCAAGCCATTCTGACCCACCGTATGAATCTATATGCTTCGCCGTAATGACAGCGCTGCGGCGCTGTGGCGCTCTTTACACTTGGACAAGGTCACAAACTCAGCTCTACAAGGTCTCCTAGCAACGCCAGCTGGCTCAGATCGATGGAGAAAGGACTGTGCTAGATCACTACAAGCTCAATTATATGTATGAAAGAGAACAGTCAGCATGAGATAAAAAGAGCCGAGATTTCGTCCACTTTTGTTGTATCCATACGGGTGCCAAGTGCCTCAGTGCCCAACCGTCGTTGGAGCCTATAGCACTTAAGGTTTGCCGTGTAGGCTCATGATATGCATCTATTGAAGACGAGCGCCGCGAGCCCACAGCAGCCCAGGGCTTACGGGGCCACCCGGGTCAAAACACAGATGTTCGCCTTTTAACATTCTTTGCCTCAGGCGCCACTTAAGCCTCAGAGTTGTGTAGTTTCGGCTAATGTTGAGGTTTATGCTCCTAAGATAATGAGACTTCAGTTAAGATTTCGGTTGCTTCGTTCAGCTCGATGGCGGAGAGGGCGGATCTTCTAAGATCTGTCCGCTAGGTATAACTAACCCCTAGTTCGTAGTTACTACTCCGAAACTACCAAGTAATTTTACTATAATCTTACTAGTATTAATAATTTCCTATGTTCTACTACAATCTATTACCTATATCTAAGGCTTATAAGTTATATCTTTAACCTAACTACCGAATGACCAGGATTCTAAAGCTAAGGAATGAGAAAAGAAAGAATCTCTCTACTGTACGATAGAGAAGTATTCTCCTTCCTCTCCTATAGTGGATCGTACGGTTACTTAGGTGCTAATCGATAGAAGGGAGTCACGTGGTAGAATTACTCGTCCTGGAGTGCACCCAGGACATCGTACGAGTTCAACCCGTGACAAGAGGCGCTAGATAGAGGTCTTTTTATATATAGAATATCTCTCTATAAAGATCAATAAATTCACTATAAAAAGTAACTACTACAGAGGAGGTAAAATATATAGTAATTAGGCTCTGAGCTTAAACGCTATTACAGCCTATTTTGCTTATATTGTGGTGAGTTCTTCCCTAGACTTGGCACTTACACCGTAAATCCTTAGAATCATAACTGCGACTGTAACCTGAGTAGCTAGTGGGGAAATCTATTACTCGAAAATCGGGGGCCGTATTCTGCACTACATGAGCATCCATGACAAGGCCCAACTGATCCATTCACATCACTCGGCCAAAGTATTCTCCATCTTGATCGATGCCAATCCTCCGGAGTGCAATATGTCTGAATTCTCGTCGCTGACACACAAGTTCCGAGCCAACCTTGACAACCCAGGTGCGGGTGCAAGCAAAGTCAGCAAGCGCAATCGCCAACCACTGTCATGCGCACCCTGCAGAACGAAGAAGCTGAAATGCGATAGAGGCCATCCGTGCGAGACGTGTATGAAACGTGGTGACCCGACAAGTTGCTACTATGGTAAGAACGCGTCAGCTTCCACAAAGCCTGAATCCCATGGCACGAATTCCAAAGGCAAGGCTCAGGAGCGACTCCGTCACCTGGAGCATCTGATTCTGCAGATGGTCGATCAGAACGGCCAGAACGGTTCCCACTCGCAGCAGACCTCGGCCGACAGTGCAACAGATTCGCTGGGGAATCCTGTAGACTCTGAGCCTGCGGAGCCTGGTGCTACAGGACATCTTCAATTCGGGTCTACCGAAGCGAGATATGTTGGCTCGACGCATTGGTCCGCCATTTTAGACAACATCCAAGAGATCAAAGTGGCTCTAGGGACCGACAACGCTTCAAGCACCGATCTCGAGGATTCCGAAGACCCCGAAACCACCCAAGTCATTAGCCTTTTCGCTTCTGCTGGTAATCTTACTCTAGCTCAGATTCTAGCCCAAGCCCTTCCCACGAGGCTACAGGTTGACCGGAGGCTTTCGACATATTTCAAGAGCCAGTATCTTGTCATGCAATTCATCCATACCGGTCAATTCCAGCGCCAATACGAAGAATTCTGGCGGCACCCCCTTGAGACTCCTCCGCTTTGGGTATCGATCCTCTTCTCCATTTGTTGCATGTCTGCCACGTTGAGCCAAGCGGTAGGCAGTGAGCAGCCGACGCCGGAGGATCGACTCAGCCCGCGCATGAGCTTCTTACACGCCTCGTGTGCCTGTCTAAAACTCGGCGGATACGTACGACCCAAGAAGTGGATCTTCGAGGCACTCGGCCTCTACGCACAGTGCCAGTACATGGCTACCATGGATCCGTCCAAGGAAGTCGGGATGGTCTTCTCCATGCTCGTCCGCCTTGCATATCGCAGCGGCTACCACCGAGATCCTTCACATTTCCGGCACATCAGTGTATTTGACGGAGAAATGCGACGACGCTGCTGGGCTATGTGCCGGCAGTTTGACTTGATGGTCGCTTTCCAACTTGGTCTACCCAGCCTCATCCCTCCGGACAGCTGGGACACCCGCAGTCCTCGAAACCTGCTGGATTCGGATTTTGATGAAGATACAACCGTCCTGCCACCTTCACGTCCAGAGACCGAGCCCACCCAAATTCTCTATTTCATCGTGAAATCCCGCCTAATGACCGCGTTTGGCAGGATATGCGCCCACGCTCTATCCTTCCGAGACTGCTCGAGGCAAGAGATCATGGATCTGGATGCAGAAGTCCGCTCCGTGCACGCGACGGTCCCCGAAATCCTGCGCATCAAGCCACTGTCGCAATCCTTTGCCGATCCAAACTACCTCATCATGGTCCGTCTGAACTGCGAATTCCTCTACCAAAAATGCCTTCTTGTGCTGCACAGGAAATACATGACTCAAGGAGGCCACCCGGAGTCCTCCGAGGCAGCGATCGCCGCAGCCACGACCATTACCACGTACATGCTCGACATGTACAAGGAGTTCAAGCCCGGCGGGCAACTGCACACTGACCGCTGGATGCTAAGCAGTTTCGTCATGAACGACTTCTATCTGGCTGCCATGATGCTGTGTCTGTCAGTGTCCATGTGGAAGAAGACCAATCCGGGAGAAACCGTCAGCGACGACGAACAGATCAAGGCTCGAGTCGACCTCCTCGCCAACGCCTACGTGGTCTGCGAAGAGTCGAGCGCGAACAGTATCGAGGCCAAGCGCATCACGGGCGTTCTGAGCACCATTCTAGGTGAGTACGTCTATTCACCCAGTCGGCGCAATAACGGCACGCATAGCCCACCGTCATCATCACCCGCGCCCGTCACTTCCTCCGAAGCAATCATCGAAAGACGAGAGATGTTCCGCCTCCAGCCCTCCGCCTTCTTCCCCAATCCCTTCAGCTTCAATCTCGCGCCCCTCACGCTTTCAGATACCCCGGCGCCGGAGCCACCAGGAAATAGCGGTGGTCGGGATTCCTCGTTCAGGGAAGGAGCTCCGAACAGCGCCGCCAACAGGCATGCGACTGTCAGTTACTTCGATTCGCTCGCACACATGGCAAACGAAAATCCGGGTCACGACCAGGTGGATAGCATCATGCCGTCGAATCTGTTCGCGCCATTTCTCCCCTTTAACCCCAACTACGGCTTCTCTCCCAGTCTGACGACGTCGGACGCGGTGACGAGTACGGCTTCAGAGGGATTCCCGGCATCGGCGCCTGCGATGCAGACTCAGAATGCCCTCCCCGGAGACGTTTCCAGCGAGGGCATGAATATGAATATGAATACGAACATCGACATCGACTGGGCCTTCCTGGACCAATGGATGGCAGTCCCCGCCGCAGGCCCCGACGCGGATGCCGAGACGCTCATGCAGCCGGTTCCAGTTCCGCTTGCCACCACCGACACGCATCCCTTCCTGGATAACGCAGCCAGCAACAACAACAATATCGACGCCGGCGCCGGCGCCGGCAACATGGCGCCAGCGAGCGCTTCGTCCAACGGTGACTGGACGAGCACGCCGATCCGCTTTCTGGGGACCAACTTCCTCCAAGTGAACGAGCATGGCCGCCATGGCTCCAGCCAGGCGCAGCGCACCGCCAGCACCGACGAGACCAGCATGGACGTGAGTATGGGCCACGCCAACGCCGACGCCATGACGCCGGCCTCGTCCAGTGGGGCTTCTCACTCGATGTCGACGGACCAATACCCACTCTATTGACAGAGAGAGAAGATGGGTCTTGATTGTCTGTTTTGGAGGTGCACGATCCGTACGTAATCCGGCTCTTACATGCATACTGGGACACTAGCAAGTCATTGTTGGGAACTAACCACACACCTTGATTTGAAGCTGAATGTGAACCTGGAACCTAGAGCGTGAGTGTGTGTATGGGTGAGCGTTTCCCTTCATCTATGGAGATGAAATGATCGAACAGAAGAGGAGCTGTGTCTGATCGTTTAGCCAATCTATCGATCTCGTGTTCCTACTACAACGCTCCACATAGAAAGGGTGGGCCATTACTTCGGATGATTGAAAACGTAAATATGTACGCATGAAAAAAAGAGGGGGTATCCTATTCTCCTCTTACTCTGTAATTCAATCAATCCATGGCTTTCGATGAGTGCCCTCTCTCCTTCAATCCGTAAGGATCCGTAAATCCGCCTTCAGGAATCATCCGAACCGCGCCTGTAGCTTTGGCCTTTTGCTTTCGTTCCGACTACCAGTCCAGTGTCCCTGCCCTTTGACGCCCGCTGAATATGCCCGTCGCCCACTTGTCCAAGCCCCCCTTCCTCCGAATACCGATCGCTGAATCCTCAAAGGTCATGATGCTGATTCAATCCAGATGTTTTGCTTGAAAAACATAAGCTATTACCGATCCCCAATCCCAATAATCCTTCCTGCCATATATGATAATTCCAATGCCGAACCAATCCTGGGTGCGAACTCCATCAAACCTCCATAGCAAAGCCGTGTGCCTGTGGCAAAAAGCTGTTTACGCTCAAGATTTCGGGCCAAGAGAACGTTTCTGCTTTGCTGCCGCGTCTCTTATTTTCCAGGCCGAGCGAATTCCTTCAGCATTAGCGAGGAGGTCTTCCTCCGTAACATGGTCGTGAATAGACTGGATGACACTCTCATATGTGCTGATATGGTTGGCGTCAGTCTTGTCGTAACGAAAGCGGTGAAAGCGCCAGCGCCGGCGGTTCCCGGTCGCTGTCGCCATGTCGCCATTTGTGTCGCCATTCTGGACGACGTGGTCCTTGAGGACATCCTCTTGGAAGCATTCAACAATGGAATCCTGTAATGGTCGGTTGAGCGACTTCCATTCCTCCCATTCCTCGGGTGACACATACAGGTCGTCCACGTAAGCGTACTTGTCACTCCCGTGATTGATATACAGGCCGAACTGAGATGGAAAGGCGTGGAAATCGGGTTGACGGGATTGGTCCGGGTCGTCGGGCTCGGGTTCGTAGAGCGGCCATTCTATATGCATGAGGAAGTCGACGGTGTTTTCGGACGGAGGTTTCCACTTAAGTGTATGTTCGTCCGTGCCCGACTTGTACGGGGTGTTCTTGCAGGTGAAGATAAGACCGTCATTGCCATGGAGTTGTTTAACCCTCGGAATGATTTCCTTGAACATCTTTTCTAAGCCGTAGCTGAACTCTGTCGACTTGTCTTCAACCACAAATGGTCGGGGGGAGTCTGGATGGGCTTTGAAGAGGGCTCTGTAGGGCTCGAGGACATGGGCCTTGAAATAGCCCAAGCGTTTGTCAAGTGGACGTTGAAGAAGTGAGTTGTGGTCCAGGACCAGACAGTCAAACACCAGGTATTTAATGACTGACGGCCGGTCTGGGAATTTGTCTTCTACCAACTCTCCATCGAGGATTGTACCAGTGTGGAATTTGTTGAAGGACTTATCATCATGATGAGGGAAATGGAGGCCAGAGACGTAATAGTAGTCGTTCTTGCGATCGATGAGATAGTGAATCCCTTTGCCCTGGTCTTCGCTCAAATACATCAAATAGCGCAGGCCGTCCGTCTTTTCACAAACGTAGTAATCCTGGTTTTTCAACTCCTGAAGATGTTTGCCGGCAAAAGAGACGGGTTGCGCGCCAGGGAAAGAACGGCTACCGCGCCCGAGGAGTTGTGCGACTTCATTCTGAAAGGTGAACTGAAGATCTGCACCGGCCCAGATGCCTCCTACACGGGCGATGAGAGATTGGGGGTCATGAGGAGGCTCTCGAATGTGACTCATTGCGTTGGCGCCATATGAGGAGAGATACAGAGATGGGAGATGCAGGTCGCATGCAAGGGACAGGCTTTTGTTCGCCTTGTTATGCAGAAGAGAAGATAAGTTGTCCAGCCGCAAGGCGCCGCAAGGCACCGCAATGGCAAAGACCGTCGGCCATGCTTGGCATAATAGTCACGTGCAAATCCAAAATGGGCTTGGGCCTTTCCAACGGCTTTGAGAATAGTGCGGTCCTAAGTAGCGCCGCTTTTAACATCATTCACCCGCCGAAAAATTACCTGCTTGCGTCGTATCGTAAAATTCGACCAAATACTTGAATGTTTCGGAACAAAACATTCCATGTGACATACAGGCTTTCGCTGCCCTGGAAAATCACGACTAAGCCCGAAATGGACAGCCGCCACGCTAAGTGAAAAGCTGATGATTGGCGGAAGCCACTTGCAGACGACGAGGCCCCCGACCATATCTTGACAACCCTCAACTTGGACTTTTCCATCAATGTACGTATGTCCAGACCCGAAGATACCATCTGCAAGGGCTGCAACTGATGCATGCGTCAATTCTGTCCAGTGCAGTGCGCATTCTAACGTGGCGACGCTAGTCTGTCTAAAGGAGGGTCTTCCCCCTTGTTAAAGCAGTGGCGCCCACAGCTGTCCGAGCAACCAGGATATGTTTTCGAGTTTCGAACTTTTCCGTGACGGCTGGATTGACGCGGAGACCAAGCGCAAACACACGCGGTCTTGGAAAGGGTGCCTGCCCTGTGAGACTCACTCTCAGTCTAAAGCTATCATAATTACTGATTGACTCAAACCTTCAAAGGCCGGAAGCGGAAGAAGAAATGTAACGAGGAACGACCGGTTTGCGCAAGATGTGCGAAGTCAAGTGGTTCTCGGTGTGTTTACCCATCACCTGGCGATACATCTACGGCTTCGCCGTCACCAGCAAGCAGTGGGACCATGATCAAAAATAGTCCCGTTCAATCTCCGTCGTCGATCCCGTCGACCTCATCGAGCTGTAGCCAACTGGACAAGCCTCTTTCGAAAATCAGATACAACAGCACAATAGCCATGGCACCTGGTTGTTGTCCATGGTCGGTTGACGACCTCCCGCCCTGTTCGCTAACAGATTTGTTCTTCGTATTCACTCCACCATCTCATGCACTTGATGTTGGGCCAGAATCGAGCATTATCTCCTTGACCATTCCTCTTATCGCTCAATCTCCCGCCATATTCCATTCGATGGTCTCGTGCTCTGCCATTTTCCTCTCTCAGAAGCAACCTTCCTGGCGGCAGGTCGCCATCAGACATCACTGTGAAGCTCTCCGAAATCTAGCTTTGGAGATGTCAGACGGACGCCTATCCGAGCCTTCAGTCGCAGTGTCCTCCATGGCAGTGATTCTGATGATTCACTTGTTCGAGGTAGGCATCCTGCGATGCGCATACTCCAAAAAGCCCTTCCGCTAAGCAACAGGTTAATTAACAGAGTTTCGATGCGTCATCCAAAACACCAAGCTATGCTCACCTGCTTGCAGTACACGATATCTTCTTCAAGGTTCCCCCCAAAAATCCCCCAGATACAACTCTAGGTGCTTTAATCCTCGAGGCGTACGTCTACCGGGTAGCGATAAACAGCCCCTTTCATCCGGAACTGCTCAAAGCATACGCTTCGCTGGAAGCACTTACAACCCTGTTGATGTCCTCGCCAGCCATGGGTGGCTCGGAAATTGCATCCTTCCGGCGCTCCTTATGGCTTGGAATGCCACCAGACTTATATGGGTTGTTGTACAAGGCTTCCTTTCTTCTGCACACAACACTGCTCGATGGTGGACAGATGAAGGAGGCATTAATCCTCAGTCATCACCTCGAGGCTCTCCAGACAAAGGAGCTGCTGGACGATGGACCTGACGAAAGGGCTTTGCTTACTGAGACCGATGCTCTCGCGGCTCAAGCACAGCACCTGTACATCGCAGCGGCCAAACTCCTCGTGCTGAAAGTCCTTTATCGGGACATTCAGGCTACCGATGATCGTGTGCAAAGTTTACTGAGTGAAGCAACGGTCAATACAGTGTCCTTCAACGCAATCAAGCAGTACCATACGCCTTTGCTGATATGCCCAATTGCTATTCTGGGGACAGCCGCCATACGTGCTCAAGACCGAGAAATTTTGTTGGCTCAATTGAATAGAATGCGAAGTCTCACAGGTTCGCGAGAATCGGACTCTGTTTTGTGCTTCTTGCAAGATCTATGGAGTTCAGTCATTGGACCATTCGAGGATGACCCCGCCGAACCAGGGCTGGGGTCCCCGCAACTGGATGTCTGGCTTGACTACCCTCGCTTGAGATGTGTGAGCCTGTAATCCCTACAGGCATTGGTCAATGTTTCTCGATGCTATACTGTAAGATAAGCTTGTACATCACGACAATGCTGTCGAAATTTTGAATCTGCCGAACGCCCATCACCCGGTCCGACAACTCTTCCCGTACTGATATCTACCGATAATCCTTAGCCTGGCGGCAAGCCTAGTTCGGAAAGGCCATGAACCTTGAAGCACAGACCCACATTTCGGGCAATGCTGTAATTCGTAGGGGTACCTGCCGGTCGGACGCATCCTTTCTCCGCTTATAGCAGTCCTGTGAAACTCTTCTCCGTTTTGATGACCATATTACAGCATCGACCTCGTACCTGAGTTTAGGACTGTACTGAATTGCCCGTGGGACTGAGACTGTCGGGACTATAACACTCCTTACAATACTTCCTCATTCGCCTGGGACTGTATAGGCTTGCAGCGAAATTACAAAGCGATGGGCTCGGTCGATGGCGACCACGCAACGGCACATTGGCAAGATATAGTTGCTGAAAAGCAGAGTGCGGCGAAGAAACTGGTTCCACCGGCATGGTTGCTACCAGCTTCTTTATTGGAAGGTCTTTCTTTGCCGCTCGAGACCAATCCAACACGGCTCACTGAGCAAGACTTCCCACGTCGAAGTGGCATCTTGACTGCCCGAGAACTTGAGATTACAGAGAGTTACAGCACAGCTCAATTACTCTCTGGGCTAGCGAAGGGCGTGCTATCCTCTCTGGAAGTTACCACAGCGTTTTGCAAACGTGCAGCCATTGCGCAACAGCTCACGAACTGCCTCACCGAAGTCTTCTACGATGCTGCACTGGCACGAGCGAAGGAATTGGACGAGTTTCACGCGTCAAATAGTAGGCCTATGGGTCCTCTACATGGTCTCCCCATCAGTGTCAAGGACAGTTTCAAATTGAAAGGAGTCGACTCCAGCATTGGATTTGTGTCCTTGGTCAACAAGCCCGCCGAGCAGAATTCTCCTCTGATCGATCTCCTTCTGGGGCTGGGGGCCGTATTGTACGTGAAGACGAACATTCCACAGACGATGATGACGGCAGACTCGCACAACAATGTATGGGGTCGAACGCTGAATCCCCATAATACAGCGTTGACCGCTGGTGGCAGCACCGGAGGCGAAGGTGCATTGATCGCGTTTCGAGGTTCTCCCCTTGGGATAGGCACCGATGTTGCGGGCTCTATTCGCATTCCATCTTTGTGCTGCGGGATATACGGGTTCAAGCCATCTGCTGATCGGATCCCATTTGGAGGCCAACAATCACCTGTTCTGGACGGATTTTCCCCAATCGTTCCAGCTGCAGGACCAATGGCGAATTCCTTCGAGGCCTTACAGTTGTTCAGCGAGGCTGTACTATCCGCAAAGCCGGCACGATATGATTCAACTTGCCTCGATGTGCAGTGGCAAACCCTGGCACCGCTTCGTTCACCAGCAAGCCTCAATATTGGTGTATTGATAGAGGATGCTTCTCTCCCGTTGTACCCGCCCGTCAAAAGAGCCATGAACACCGCCAGCGCCCTCCTTGCGAAGAAGGGTCACAATCTCATTCCCATCGGCCCTGAAAAATCTCACATCGCCGGTCTCGCGGAACTGTCATGGGCCCTTTTCACCCTTGATATGAGAGGGGGGATGGCGTTTTTCACAAGTTCGGGAGAGCCACCCGTGCCTTCTGTGGCAGCTGGCGCTGCCCCTGTGAGAGGAGATACGCTAAAAGCTTTCTGGGCCGACTTCGATGGAATGGAAATGTATGAAAAGATCGCTGCTCTCGGAAGGGAAAGGCGCAGGTTGAGCGAGGCGTGGAGAAAACTGTGGAATACGTTGAAGCTTGACGCCGTTATTTGCCCTGGTGCACAGCATACAGCAGTTAAGCACGATTCCTACAAGTATCCAGCCTACACCGTGTTCTTGAATGTCTTGGATGTGAGTCAAGGATCGGCCCCAGGATGACACGCGATCTTGTCTCGCCCTGGTTCTCGTATTTCTGAGCATCCACAGCTGCTGACCAAGTAATGCAGTATCCCTCATGCATAATCCCCTTCGGGAAAGCGAGCAAGGACCTCGATCCCAATCCTGAGAACTACGGACAAGCAGGGTCCTGTGAGTATCAGTTCTTTTTCCAGTCCCAAATAGCGTCGCCAGGTAGAAATAGGCTAACGGCGAGGCCGAAATCACAGACAATCCGGAAGAAACTGACCAAGCGCCAACCGCAATCCAAGTTTTCACGCCTAGAATGAAAGATGAATCTTGCTTGCAGGCGGGAAAGCTGATAGATGAGATTCTGAATCCATCACAGAGTTAGATGTAGTGACTTCTGTCTCAATGCTTCGGCGCAGTAGTTTCAGTATAGTACCGCCACAGGTGATTCAAGATGATGGCATGAAAGGAAGAAAATATGGTCCTCCATGATAACGCAGTCAAATGTATGGAGTCCGTTCCGGCCTTCCTTAGATGCTAGAAAATAGCTATCTTGAAACCCCTACGAGGGCTCAATGATGAGTCTAGCCGTCGGGAGTTCACTGACTAGTTCTAATCTGACCAGCTGGTCTTAATCCAACGGCGGCATACATACTGAAGGAGTCTTGGAAATTCAGGATTTGGGAAGCTTTCGCTGCTTAGAGGCTCGAATAAACGTGAGATAAACTGACTATATGGCATGCGTCATCGCTTGTAACTACTGCATGGACATACCGGCCTCGACATAATATTCAAGGCTCCGGACAGCAGACGAGGCTTCCTCACAGGACCATCCAAATGGCACCTCCGATCTCAATCTACCCTTGCTGCCAATGTTCAGTTCTGGACAGCAGACTGCATCTTTTGCTCCAGATCATCCTGCGATTTCTCAAGCGGAGCTTCCACCTTCTCTGTCATCAGTTGATCCACTCCCCGCAGCAGCGCGCAACATACGATTGAGATAACTGCCATGGGAATGATGCTAGCCCAAGCCAGTCCAAAAGCCCTAGCGAAGACGACCTGTCCCGCTTTTCTCGCAGCTTGAATGATTGGCAGAGTAGCAGATGGTAGAGCCTGTGATAGCACTCCAGCGAGTGTTTGTTCAGTTGGTGGGCCGTTGCCGTTTGCCATGATTCCCAACAGGATGGGTACATTATCTGGTGCTAGACCCGCTCCGATAGCGGCTTGAGCCACAGCGTCGTTGTAGTGAGATCCCACGTGACCGAAAGCAATCGTGTACAGCACCGCGGAACCCATGGCACCCCCGATTGCACGGATGGAGAAAACTACACCTGTTGCGGTGGAGAGATAGGCATGTGGTGCTGCGTACTGGGCCACAGCCACCAGCAAAATCAGCGGTCCGGCCTGTCCGATACCACACACAGCACTGACACCGAGTTGAACATAATTCCAGTCAGCTTTAGTCGCGGCGTAGACGCAAGCTGTGACGAGGAATAGAGTGAAGCAGACAACGAGAGGCCATTTGACGTCTTTATATCGAGTTGAATACCAAATCACGAGAAGCGAGGCCAGTAGTGTAGGACCGCTGTATGCAAGTTGGCGTACTCCAATTATGAAGGCATCGGTTTCCCAGCCTACATAAAATGTCGTTTGGTTCGAGATCGTGTTGACCGCGCTATAGTACATCCAGCCTTCTACTAAGGTTGCGAAGAGAGCGAGGGCGAAGTTGGGCCCGGATTTGAAGAAAACATGGGCCATGATACCATCTGTTCTACCTTTCCATTCTATGACATGGTCAGCAAGAGGTCCGTTCGTGAAGCCTTCCGGCTAACTTCCACAATCATACCGTAGACGCCAAAGACACTGAGACAAAACAAGCCGACAGCCAAGGGCACTGCCACATGGATGTCGGACCATGGGTAGAGACCAGAAGCCCAGTTAAGAGCCATCAGTACAGAGGTAGCTCCCCCAATGTAGAGAGTGGAACCTATTGGATCACAGGCCCAAATGATCTGAGAGATTTTCATCTTTGGGAACTCTCGATTGGATTTAGGAGGCCAGTAGAAGATGAAGAAGCAAACAGACACAAGTATCTGCAAAGCCGCCTGGACCCAAAACATGTTTCGCCATCCACCTGGGCTCCGACAGAAGGCACCGGCAACAAGGCCAGCAGCACTGCACAAAACATCAGTAAGACATACTATGCGCTATTTTCCGGGCCAATGGCAACGTACAGTGCACCACTGGCGCCACCAAGGAAACTAACACCGCTTGCCACAGTGCGGTATTTGAGTGGTAAGATCTCTGCAGGAATTGTCCCAACAACTCCTATAGTAGCGAGCGTGACGCCGTAGAGGACGCCGCCGGCAATCAACATGTTCATGTCGTTTGCTTTCGCCGACATAACAGAGCCAGCAAACGCGATGAGAGGTGTTGTTGTCACCAACATCTTGCGGTCTAGGACATCGGACAACCGCCCGAGAATTGGGTTCAGGACCGCCTGGATCAGTAATGGAGCCTGGGAAGAACAAGTGCAATCAGTACATTTGGCACAAATGAGCTGTATTGTGCGAGACTAACCTGTAGCACCCAGGCAGACATGGGCTGATCGCCCAGTTCTTGAACAATGAAAGCGATGGTGGACGGTGCCGCGACAGTGGTGAATATCTGCATGAAGAGACTGATCCAAATTGTGAGAGTTGCCCTCAACATCAAAATGTTGCTGTCACTTACGTGAGGTATGCTGAAATGAAAACGACGGTCCAAGTACGCCATCCTAGTCGAATTTCCATACCCGGTGATTCTGCAAGCTCGATGGAAGGTTCATATTGAGCTGGGCTGTTCGACTTGATGTCAACCTTAAGCTCTTCAAGGGGTTTGTGCTCTTGTGAGGTAGTCATGTTGAACGAATTTCCCACTCAATGTCGAACGGAAAGGGTCGATGTAGTGGGCAGCAACGACCTCCCATCATCCTTTATATCCTCAGGAGGACAAGGGTCTCTGGGACTGTCCCTGGGGGAGTGGACACTCTGCCCATCTCGAAAAGCGATACGAGAGTTAAGTTGAAAGCGGCAAAGGTTATCTTTGCGACGAGTACGGGGTACCTAGACCCCGGGGGAGGGGCGCGGTCCGTTCAAACTTTACATTTGTCATGGCCCATTAATGATAAAGGCGAGTCTATCGGCAGTCGTGTTGAGGGAGGAGCTTTGACAAAGCCGATCGTTGCTGCTCGGTCTGACATGTCTTTTGAAAGGCAGAGCTGTGTTTTGTTAAAACAGCCAACCAGCTGCTGTAATTACAGACTTGATAAAGACCGCACGCTTTCGGCTAGTGTTGTAGAGGGCAGGAAGCCTTCAAAAGCGGCGACACTGAGCCTCTACTCCCGGCACAACGCGAAGTTCCTGTAACCTGGACTGTATTAAAAGCGTGACGAATGCCACTTTTACGGCTAAGGTAAGGGAGGCAAGTAGACAGACACACTATGAATATTGTGGTTATCCAAATGCCTGATCTTTTGATCATGGAATCTCGTCAAGCTCATGGAGAGATAATAGCTTTCCGCCTTATCCAGGCTTAGCCTCCTGCCCTATTCCGCTTCTGATCGATGGTATGCAGTTCATGCAAAATGATGAGGAACATATTGACTGGGGACTAGGGTTGTAACATGATCTCGCTGGCCATTTCTGACAGAATATTCAGACTCTGGAAGACAGACAGGTCAAAGCCATCTTCCAACACTCAAATGTGGCTTCTAGCAAGCAATAATTTGGAACTCCAGACCGCGAACAGGCAAGCTCAAGTCTTGATATTGACTTAGAAGGCCAAGGAGGCTTGTTGTGCTAATTCATATCAGATATGAATTGTTATTGCTTTTCCTTCGATGCCGACAGGGAGTTGGATCTAAATCTGCTTCTACGGAATGGTGTCATGGTTGGATGATGGCAAAGGGTCATCGTGCGCAATCACGCAATCCACCGCCCACAGCCTGTAATCCTCGTCCTTCTTCTCCATCGAGGTCCTCCTAGAGTGTGCATCGAACCAGCAGAGAGCAACCGGATTCCTCATTTCTTCTGCAGATTGCATGTGGTGAAGAAATATCCTCGCAAAGCCATCCACCCGGTTCAGTATTTGCACGCTTCGCAAAGTGGCTTAAATATATGCTACCTCTCCTTCTTAACCATTCAGTGTGCTAGCCCAAGTAGCAGCAGCCCGAGACAGACTCTAGAGAAATCAAGTCACGATGGTCACCAAAGGAGGAGTAGCCGAGGCTTATCCCCGGGAAAAACTTGGTGTAAGCAAGAGCAGCCGGCGCCAAACATGGTGGAAACTTGGTGGCAGGGACGTTAGCCATATCTCTGTCAACGATGGATATGTCGACTCAGACGCGTATTCCTTTGACGAGGGCGGTAACGACGCTGTTGTCAAAAATGCCAACAACGTCTTCGACGCACCCGAAGCCTCACTTTACAAACCCGTGGAAGGCTTTGAAGGAACGCACCGATTCGACCCGTCGGCAACATGGACCCAGGCGGAAGAAAAGGCCCTCATGAAAAAGGTATGATCATGTTCTAGCTAAAGCAACCCTCCCCTAACACCGTGATCAGCTTGACTGGCGGATTGCACTTCCGGCCTGTATCATGTTCTTCGCACTTCAACTCGATCGTGGCAACATCGTCCAAGCACTCTCGGATAACATGCTCAGTGAGAGGTCCAACACCCCATCTTTGAGTGACCGTTCTAACGTCTTCACAAAGGACCTGGGACTAACCACCGACCACTACAACAACGGCCAAACCTTCTTCTTCTACAGCTTCCTGTTCGCCGAGCTGCCCTCTCAGCTAATCAGCAAGAAGCTTGGCCCAGACACATGGATCCCCATCCAGATGGTATCGTGGAGTATCGTCGCAGCATCGCAGGCAGCATTATCAGGGGAAACCAGCTTTTACGTTTGCCGTGCCCTTCTCGGCCTGATCGAAGGCGGCTTCATTCCCGACACGATTCTGTATCTCAGCTACTTCTACAAGAACTCGGAGCTACCTAGGCGCCTAAGTTGGTTCTGGACATCCTATCAATCGACCCAAGTCGTTGGAGCATTCCTGGCGTATGGCATTCTCCACTTGAGGGGACACAGCGGCTTGCACGAAGGCTGGCGGTACCTTTTTGCCGATTGAAGGCGCCTTCACTGGCCTCATCGGCATTCTGACCTGGCTGTACCTACCAGCTTCCCCAACCCAAACGGCACGACACGGAATCAAGGGCCTCCTCCGGCCGAAAAACGGCTGGTTCAACGAGCGCGAGGAGATCATCATCGTGACTCGAATTCTGCGGGACGACCCAGGCAAGGCGGCCATGCACAACCGACAGGGCATCAGCGGGCAGCTGTTCTGGGAGGCCATCACCGACTACGACCTGTGGCCTCTCTACCTGATCGGCCTGTCGTGGACCATCCCATCCACCCCGCCGCAAGCCTACATCACACTGGCCTCAAAGCCCTTGGCTTCGACTCCTTCGAGACCAACCTTCTCACCATCCCAGCATACGTGCTCTTCATCCTGCAGCTCCTCTTCTGGACCTGGGTCTCCGAGCGCATCAACCAGCGCATCCTACTCGGCGTGATCGGCCAGATCTGGTGCCTACCGCTGCTCGTCGCGCTCGTGGCACTGCTGTCCGTCTTCCACAACTCCAACTGGTCGAAGTGGGTCCTCTCGACCCTACTGGTTGGCTATCCCTACGTCCACGCCATCCTGGTGGCGCTGACGTCGCGCAATTCCGGTACAGTGCGCACGCGGACGGTAGGCCCCTCGCTGTACAACATGGCCGTCCAGACGTCCAACATCGTCTCGTCGCAGATCTATCGCGCAGATGATAAGCCTTATTACTACCACGGCAACAAGGTGCTGTTGGGGATTGTGGCGTGGAATATCGTTGTGTTTGTCTTTGCTAAAGCCTACTATGTCCGCAAGAACAACCAGCGTGACCGTATTCGGGATAGCATGTCTCGGGAGGAGAGGGTTCATTATTTGGCGACGACTACCGATCAGGGGAATAAGAGATTGGACTTCAGATTTGCGTCTTGATGGGCCTCTTGTGAATGCTTATCTGCGAGCTGTCGTGCTGGTATGTCCAGACTCTGGCCAGAGTGATGGATTCCTAGAGAAGGAGACTCATGGTGCTGGCAGGGACAGGGTGAAGATTGTGAGAAAAGGATGATATGGAAAGCAGCTATGTAACCTACCTCTTCTGTTGACTTCCTTATCTACCTTGTAGCGATGTGGCTAGCTTTCGGTATAAAAGCGAATGCAAGCTGATGGTGTTTGTCTAGCGCTCTAACCACGCCTCCGAACAGTCGATATACAGGCCCAGTGTTAGGACAAAGAGACAAGTCTGAGAGAATACTTCAGACCCAGGTTGGATGGTTTTCTCCCTACAGGGGAGGCTATCCAGTGGTGTCGGATACTAGCCGTGATCTGCAGACTTGATCGCCGTCATCGAGCCTCAATGTTGATCGTGGAGGCTTGTGAGTACCAACCGGGTCATGCGTGAATACAGCTTCTTGTCGATGCAAAATATACTGGCTGACACACTCCAACAACCTGCCTCTGTCCTTCAAGAATTGTTTTGTATCCACAAATCGTCTATGCCTGTCCAGGTCCTCAAGCAAGCTGCCAATCTCATCTATCAGGTCATCTGATGCATCGGCGTGTTCACCAAAAGCCCAGGAATCCTGTTGCTCCGCGTCCCCCATCACCAAATCGAGATATCTCTCTACGGCCGGCAGCATCGCTTCAAGGTCTGCCACAGGTCGATCTTCTGCGCTAGAAGTTATCACATCTGTGAGTTCCCTACTAATAGAAGATGAAGCGCCAGTGATGGAAACCGTGCAGTCCCGAAGATAGAGGAATGGGTTCAAAAGACCGATCTTGTAACGGCAGATGTCGTCGCGTAAATGGAACTCAGCTGAGAGCAGGCCCTTGAATCCTTCGTCTATTTTGAGAGCAATACTCAAGTCCTTCCATTTGCTCATACGCAAAACGCCGACTAAACGGTGGACCGAGCGCTGAAGGTCCTCGTACCCCCATTCCGGCCACCTCGCAGATATAGAGATCTGTACGTGGGCTTTTCGCATCTTTTCAAGCACTGGCGCAGGTAGAAAGCCGGCCAAGTCGCTCGGTTCACAAGAGTAGCGCACACCTAGGATGGTCGTTTCAGAGCAGTAGCCTTCACCTGGAGTGTAAATGCGACAGCTGACAGTATTGTCGTAGCGTATTGGGAGGCCTTCTTCGTACAGCTATTTGCAGACGGACAGAATTTCGAAGTAAAATTTGCGAGCATGCTCGCCTTCCCAGTCCCTCAGATTGTCCCAATATTCATCGTATGCCGGGTCATCCATAGTGATCATCTCTCCTTCAGGGATGATTGGGCCCTTCCATGTGAAATGAATAGGTTCTGGCTGCCATAGTAGATCCCGAAGAATGGTCTGGCGAATTTCCCATGGAAGCAAGCAATTTGAATCCGATTGCAGTCAATTTACGGTTTCCTGGATGGGTGCTTTTGGCTACGTAAAACGTACGGTGGAGGTGACTTGATCCCCTTGTGAACAAGTTCACGACTCATACTCACGGTGAATGTTCGAGTGCCTTTCGAACTTGGTCTGCAGACTTTCGAGTTATGACCATGTTGGCAGCTCGAAATGCACAGTGGCACGTCACAAGATGGAGGACTTAATTTACTAGTAGTTAATCTGTAGCTACGTTCGAGAGTTACACGTCCATGTTTGTGAGATTGAATGATGATGTTTGAGAAACGCGTGACGTCAGGTAAGTAAGCGACGAGACGCGACAACTTTCTAAGAACAGAAAAGAAGGGGGGACTTGGCTGTCACGTGTTTACTGCTTAGATCCCTTCCGTGGCCACGCATAGTCCATTTTTCAGGATTATTGCAATTCTAAGGTATTTGTCAAGTTATTACTATTGACCTGGACTCTCACGGAGGTCTCACCAGAGAAAGCCTGCCGCGTCCAGAAAACTACGTCATTGACGGAAATCCCGGATTTTTGCAAGCTGCTCGGCCTTGCCCAAGGGTCTGTCAAAGGGGTCGCAGCCTTGGGAACTTCGGACTCATGTAAATGCCACGTTCGCCTTCAATGTGCAGAGAATCGAGGCAAATGAGATTCCAAGGGTCGGGAAACAAACAGAACTCCGGCTGAAGAGGGTCCGACCCAAGCCCGTAGACCTTTACTAGAACGTAAACATCGTCTTGGGTGGCCTGCATCGAGTATCGCGCTGAGTGCTTTTTCGCCATGGAGATCTGGTTGTTACCCAGCAGAACCGGTACGCTCAGCCCGCCTAGCGTTGTCTTAACTTCCAAGTGATATGTGATGTTCAGCTGGGCGGTCGAATACTCGAAGATCAGGATCTGCTCGCGTAAGTACTGACACAACCCTCCCTCTGTATCCACGTACGTAAAGTCAGCGAAGTCCTTTTCGCGAAACTCGCTGCTGAAGGGATTCGGAAAGACTCTACTTCGGTTCCGACTAGCCCAGTTCTCTGGGGTGAACAATGGCAATAGTTTTGCTTACAAAAACTTGTAGACCTAATTTTTTGGGTTAGACGGTTGAGTTGAAATAAAGCTAGTTCATATGTGCTCACTAGATGTTCTCCAACAAACCTAATTTCGTGTGGAATTTCCGTAGTAGATTCTTGAGCAAGCGAGCTATCTTCGTGGTAGCTGTTTCTGATTGATCTTGCAGAGGATAGGCGGCCCCCCTGCTCGTGGAATTGTCCTAATTAGGACTACGAATCCGTTGTTTGTATGATCTGATGAACGGTGTAGCAAATCTGAACCAACTTGGAAATATGGGAAGGTGTCAATAATGTTGCGGGAGAACGCCGATCCATGCGCTCCAGGCCAAGGGCTCGCCCCGAGCCTCTCTATCGTCCGCATGAGACCCAAGAGCAGTTGGATGGAATGTGAACTGAAATGAGGTGTCAGCGCCAAAGTCCTGTATTTGTGGTTCGCCAGATTCTACTTTTAGAGGAACTTGTGTCGTTGATGGATGGCGAAAGATATCATGGGGGGCGTCAGCCAGTTCTGCGTTGCTCAGCCGCTCAGTCAAGCGCGCGATGGTCTCGCTCGTACCAGCTAGCCCCCTTCTGGCGAGAGCAACGGGTTCTGATCCACTGACATAAGAATGGGTCAATCTTCTGTCTGATGACACTGGCGAGGATAGCCCTGCGTCGCTGCGTCGCTGCGTCGCTGTCGACTCTGTCTACTAGGCGCCGGTGATAGCCTTTGTAGTTAGGAATGCCGGTATTCCTAGTTAGAAACATCATCGCTCCTCGCCTCGCTGATGTACAATTGTCTGAAAGCTGATCCGAGGCTTTTAGTGGGATCTTCAGGAAGGACAGCGTCGTCTTAATCTTTATTAGAAACAACCTCTGTCGCATTCTCGGTAATGGTGGTTGGAGCTATCCTGACACCTGCTCTTTCAAGTCTTTTAATAAATTGCTCGACCCTCTCCATCGTGAGGACTTGTGAGGAGTTCGTGTACCTCTTAACACCGCGATCAAGAACGAAACGCTTGATAGTAATTTCCGAAACTCGAAAAACCCTCACATGGCTAAGCATCGTCGTCGCATGGTCAATACTCAGAGAGGGCTTATCATTAGTATACACAATACTTGAATCTAGTTATCTATTAGTTACTAATAGTTGTCTTGTAATGCACCAGGTACTTACCTAATAAGATATTGACTCTGCCTTCGGAGCCTATTAATAAGAATAGGACCTAGTAACTCGAATAGCTCTTGCCTGTCTGGCTGGATCTCTTCTTTCTCGACGCTCCTCGATAATAGTTTCGGGTCCATTAATAATTTCTCAAAATGTTGCCCATTGATGATCTTAAGGAGTCTTCACTCACATTAAGCAATGGCAGCAATCCTTCAAACTTCGATTTGAGCCATTTTAAGTCCGCAATCCAGAATCTGCTTTCCGCTCAAAGAAAAGCTGTTGTCAGAGCGTGATTATCCAATTCAATTTGGGTGACTCGAAATATATAGAGCTCAAGTAACTATCGTTTTTGAGCTATTGAAAGAAAATCTTGTTGATGAATGAGTTGAGCGCGGGCAGTATCTTCTGGCATAAGAGACTCCTATGTTCGAGCTCATCCCTTGGTTGTATGCTATCAAGCTCTGGTATCAAACCGTCGAGTCCCGCGTTTCTTACTCTTAATAGATTCTGAAAAAGAATCTGACACCCTCGATACATCTTTTAGAGAACTAGCACCTCCGTACAAGGGAAAGAGGCTTTCCATACACATTGATGTGGCAAAATCCCACCGCCTGAGTGGGCATACATCAAATTCTCAAATGTGGAAAATCGCTCGGGGGCCATCGCTATCAGCAGCTATCACATTGAAGAACGATCTAGCTTACAGCTTTGAGCGGTTTATTGACTCGCATACCGCGATTCGTTTATAAGGGATTGTTGCTAGCTCTTACACTTGTTCTCGCTCACTGCCTGCTTCTCCCTTCTTTTGAGATTAGATAATTCGGACGGTCCCGAAGGGACCTTCCTTCGCAAAATTCGGGGTATAAACCGAGCTTTACCAGGACCTTTTTCTAGAACCGCTCCGGTCTTTGAAAGGTCTAGGCTGAAAGTCGACAAAGACGGCAATATTGTGTCATAGAGTCTCCATAGGCCTTGGTCAGTCGAAACTTCAATGTTACTCACGTCCCTGATGACTGGATGAGCATCATTGACGCTTAAGTCTCCCAGTACGTCACCAAAAGGTTAATGTCGCATCTTCAGATGGGTAAGGAATTCCTTAGAACCATTTCTCACCAATATATGCCTCATTGCATCTGGAAGTCGTCTATGTGATGAGAAAGAGGCAACTCATAGACTCCTTCTAACATTGACAGGAATCGATACCAGTCTGGTCTCTAGTGTAATTCAACTGCGTCCTGGTAATTTGGATGTAGCCAGATGATACCAGTGAAGTCATCTAAGAAAAGCAGTCTCACGGCCTGTCCTACTCTACCGAACGGAAGGTATACTGGCATCCGATAGTAAATAGTAAGATCAGAGTCAAGAAGGCAGATACGGAGTCGAGCTTTAAATGGAGAGTTAGACCGATAGCGGGCATTGAAAAGATACACTGCATGTGCGATGAGGTCTGTCGCATTCATCGTCCTGACTGTTTTGTAAGAATCGATTATCATTTTACAGATTTCATAGTCATTACATGGCTTGACACCTAAAGACCGTAGAGTTGTTTGCGATCACGATCATCGGCGGCTGTCGACTCTATGAAGCAAAGCTCGAGTCCAGTAGGAGGGGCCGTGCGGTGATTCTGATTTAGAAAGATATTTATAGCCTCGCACCGACCTCTAGAAAACTATGAACCGTCTTCGAGCGGGATGATTCGAAGTCTTTTGAAGACGTGGTATTCTACTGAGTAGGACTGATGCTTTCCTCTGAGAAATGTTTGTGGAGTAGCTTTGCTACATGGGAGTGCTATAGTCCTGTCATTGAAGAGAAACTGGCAAAATCCTAGGAAATATAGCCATCCAACTCGTCGATAAAATGTAAGATTCTGAATTAAGCGAGGCCCATCTTCGCGAAGACAGAGGACGCCTCGGTAGAGTACGCCCTCGATCTAACTCGACGTGCATATATATGTGCCCTCGGTGACAAAAAGTTAACCAATAAAGTCTCGAAAATTATCTGACGCGGCGAATGCATCCCTCGATATAAGAAAAGTAGTATGAGTCAACTCCGCTTGAACCAATGGCTTTAATCGCAATAATTCGAGAGTCACATAGGCAACAACTATTATAAATGGATCGTAAATAGACCATAAACAACCTAAGTATTCGGGCCAGCGATAGCGCATATAATCGTCCGCCGACGCTGCCAGCCGTTAAAAGGTAGAGCAGAGCGCGCATGGCAAATGAATTTATAGTAACGTGTTCCATTTTTGGTCGCGATCCATACCTTCGCAAGGTGCAGTCAGAATGAAATCTGCATGGATGATAAATTGTGCAACTATTAGCGCCGAAGCACTCCGCAGGGAACTATATCATACTTTAAACCCAAATAAACTCACTAGCAAGTATGCATAGGTCTTTTGCGTTTGGCAAAGGGGCTGCTCATTATAAAGAGGAAAGGCAAAGAAAAGTATAATTTTATCGTTCTTATACTGACCTTATGCTCTAGGCTGTTGTTGAGGCATATCTTCCAACATATATCGATTAGTGTCATAGTCTTGCTGGCGTTTAAGGGAACTATTAAGCAACGTCTCGATCCTTTCGCGATGAGGCCCTAATTGTTTAAGCTATCCAAGCTTTTCAAACGACTATCTAGCCAAGAACTTTAAGTTAATCACTTTTATTTTCCGGGTAAATAATGAGTAGATAAAGTCGAATAAGGAAAGATAGTGTCGAAAAGTAGAAATAATAAGGTTAGCTTTAAACTATAGATTAATGTACGTGCCCATAAAGTCCTATGTATTATTAAGCTAAATTCGTAGAATCATTCCAATATTGCCGAGTGGAGGTCGGGTATCTAGTTTAAAGGAATAAACCTTAGAGTAGATGCTGACTACATCTATAATTTTGAATAGCGACTTAAAGCCAATGCCCTTTTCCCCGATCTTATCATCCTACCTGGCCTTGGAACTGCATCTCACTGTACAGAGCGATTCGACATCGAGTAATGTAAAACCGACCTTATTAGTCTAGTACGCAAGAGAATCGTAGTTGAGGATGAAATCCACACGAGGTGTTGCATGATATTCGCTGTCATCCGCATTCTGGAGCAATTCCCAGAAAAAGTGAGTGAGGTCACCGTAGATGCCATCAGACAAGCTGTGAATTAGATTAGCAGGAGTTCTTTGGAGTCCAGGTATTTTACTACATTTTCAATCCATTAGAAAGATCACGAAGATTGATGTCATTCTCAATGTCGACAGCATCTCTAGCGATGCGACGTCTCGTCTAGAGTGACTCTATATGTTCTTTTGTCTCCGCTCGTGTAGGCATGTCCACTTTCTGAACCGACAAAAAGGATGTCCATGCACGTTCTACTTGGCCTCCTTCATGTTAAATAGCAAAAAGTAGCAAAAAGTGAGGTGCAGGTCTCCACTCCCAGACGATGCAAAAGGTTGCGGAGACACGGGATTTGGGAGCAGCTTCATCTTCGCTGACAGGTGGTTGAAGTTTGGGTCTCCAGGGGGAACCATGGGTTGAAAATGCTACCTAAGAACCCGATTTGATTGAGGGTGTCTAATCGGCCCAGCATCCAATGAACCTGTGACCAGGTGGCTATACCTTGTAGGATTGGGGGTGCATAATTTAAGACATTTATTGGTGCCAGGCAGAAGCGACCAAGTGTGCTGCGAAAAGTGTTACGCAAGACAGGAGCTGGGGGATGCTGCATCACAGTGTGCAGCGGGACCCGTCAGTGGGCCGCATTCATGAACCACAAGTCTTGAAGAAGGTCATAAGATGGTAAGAGATGATCCCCTGGAGTTGAATCAACCTAACTTGAAAGATAAGATAAGTGCTATTTTGATGATGGAGGGGGCTTTGCCGAAAAGGCGAAATCTCATCACCTCCTTCTGTGCCCAGTGATAGAAGGTCGGAGGCTGCTGACCCATTTAAGCGCTCGCGGATGCATATGCAGTATCAGCAGAGTCAGGCCTTGAATACCTCGCATAGCCATGCAAATAACCAGGGCCTACGAGTAAGTACCCACCTGATGCTAACGAACGAGTTCGTCATGTAGTTAGTTGCAAAGATAGATTAACCTTCCTACGCGACGATGTCGACTAGCCAGTTCCAAGGACACAATAGTACAGCTCTGGTGTGTCGGGGTTCATCGGTTTCGACATTCGGATTGGGCATGTAATATCCTAGACTGTGTTGTAACAAATAAATTCGGATTCCGTCAAATCTCCTTTCTTCGAACGAAAAGGACGGAAGTATCCTACCAAGATACCTAAATAGTTGGGTCAAGGTCTATACCCGGAGGTCAGCAAGATTATCTTCTCGGCGGCAGTCGGCAGAAGTTACCGAACCATATGAAGCTTCGAATCACGTGACTATCGAGCAAACGTGATCAGATGTGGACTTGACGGTGGATCCCGCCTTCTTGGCACGTTTGGGCCGCAGTCTGCAGGTGGGCGAGGCTTCGGCCGCGACTGCGATAAATGGAGTCCAGGATGCTCGGTACTGTCGCGAACGATATACATTGACCATCATATCGCGATGGCCGTTGGGAGAATCGCCTTCCACAATCATTCACTTGACTGCGCTTGAACCCTCATACCGTCGGTTACTCGTGTTTCCGCCTGCAAGCAGACCATCATGGCCTCGAACGGGCCCAAGTGTATGCGCCATCGTTCTATTCAATATAGATATGGTACTAACCACGCAAAATTACAGCCTCGTCGACGGAGCCAAGCCTGTTGGCCGCATCGGGGTTCAAGTTCAGCAAGGAGGACAGAAAGTCCGGCAAGGTCAAACTCAAGAAACTCCCGTTCCAGGTCAAGAAAAACAATGAAGCCAATGGTACGCACGACTCACTCTTCCGCTCGATCACGATCGATAACATTGGTCTAGGAGTCAAGAACGGTGCTGCTCCCACCATTTTGTCCCCCCTCACACCTCATTTCGACAAAGACACGATGGACAACTTTCCCGAGGGAAAGCAAGAGCCCCTCGAGACTCTCATCTGCAAGCATTGCAAAAAGGTGGTTTTGAAACGGACTGCAAAGGAGCACGTCGCGCTATGTCTCAAGTCAAAACAAGAGAAAGCCAGGAAAAAGAAGGAAGCGCGCGAAGCCGCGCAACGTGCTAAAGAACGTGCAGAACGAGCCGATGATGATGACGATGACGACGATGACGGGAAGGACGGTAAGGCCAGAAAAGGCGCAGCCAATGGCGAGGGCGACGATGCCACCAAGAAAGGGAAGAAGCGCAAGGCAGATGCTGAAGATGATAAGGAGCCGAAGAAGAAGAAGAACAAGAAGGAAGAACAAAAGCCAAAAGCCCCGAAACCCAAAGGACCTGTCGACGTTGAGAAGCAATGCGGTGTGACCCTTCCGAATGGTGCTCAGTGCGCAAGGAGTTTGACATGCAAGAGTCATTCGATGGGAGCCAAGCGTGCTGTGCCCGGCAGAAGCCTACCGTATGATATGTTGCTGGCGGCATACCAAAAGAAGAATCAGGCGAGGCAGCAAAGTAGGTGGAGAAGTTATCTTCTGGTGAAACCATTGACTAATATTTTCTGTGTAATAGAAGCTGCAATCGATGCAAACGCACCAGCTCTTCTTGACGATGACCTCGACGGTGCCCTAGGTGGACCCGTCGACTCAGATGAAGAAAAAGACGCCGTCATGACTGCGATATCTCGAAGTCTATCTCGACCCCAGCCACTTGTCACACGCACACTCTTCCCTACTCGACGGAAATATCAGCTGGTGCGGCTGAAGGAATCACTATCGAACGCATTAAGTGGTAACAGAAGTGGTGGTCTCTTCAGCGTGCCCCCAGACAGTGCCAAAACCGTGATGCCTCCTTCCGCAACAAATGAGAGCTTCTCTGCAACTAATCTCCTATCTGCGTCTCCAGCACCGGTCGGCGTTGGCATGTCTCAACCCGGACTGAAAGTACCGAGGAAGACATCGATCGACGTCGCTTAGAGAGACAGCGATCGACAGATGTCCGATACACACCCCGTGAACAAGGAGACAGGACATAATACACCGACATCCACTCGCTGCTTGTACCGGAAGAGGCGCAGAACCATGAAATTTTTCTCCACCGATCCTCCAAAGACGAAGCCATGAGCGTGGATATGGCACTTTGAGTCCTTGAGAGGCATTGTCTAAAGACAATAGTTTAGACTCTGGCCTTCTGTCTTTACAGATCCTAGATGTCGAGTCTAGAAACTCGAGATCCGTTTCAACCCAAAAGATATTGGTAAAGAAAGCAGACCTTCTTGCAAACCATTCGTTAACTGGAAGGCGCTCGATGCCCTGCACTATGATTTTGGTTGCAGACCAGCAGCTCCCAGATTTCCGATACTCGTGCCTCGCCACTCATTCGGCGATGCGGCTCAGTCAAGTGCTGTGAAGCATAGACTCGCATTTGTACCGCCAAAACCAAAACTGTTTGTAAGCACAACATTGGTTTTCATTTGTTGTGCGGTATTCGCAACATAGTTGCAATCAAACCCCTGGTCCCAGGATTTCAAGTTGATGGTCGGAGGCAGAATGTTCTGCAAATCTCGTTAGACTCCGGTGACATCGCCCGGCGGTCGAGGCAATGCGGTACATACCTCATGGATAGCCAAAATGCTAAAGACTGCCTCTATGGCACCTGCCGCGCCCAAGAGATGGCCGATGGCACCCTTGGTGCTGCTGACATTGATATCGCTAGCCCTGCTCTTTCCATGCTCTCCCAGCATTAACGATTCAATGGCTTTGTTCTCAGCAGCATCCCCAAGCGGGGTGGATGTGGCGTGGGCATTGATATAGTCTACTTTTGACGGAGGCAGATCTGCAGCTTGAAGGGCTTTCTTCATGGCTAGGAACGCACCGCTCCCGTCTTCTCGCGGAGCAGTCAAGTGGAATGCATCAGCCGAGTTGCCGTACCCAGCTAGCTCGGCGTAGATGGGTGCCCCTCTCGCTTTGGCATGCTCGAGCTCCTAAGCGGACCGGTCATTAGACCATTCGTCCGAGGGTTGAAATCTCTTACCTCCAATACAACACACGCAGCCCCCTCCGCAATGACGAACCCTGCTCTTTCCTTGTCGAATGGTCGGGACGATAAAGAAGGGTTGTCATTCCAGTCAGTCGCCAAACTTCGTGATCTGGCAAACCCACCGATTGCGAGAGGGTGAATGCAGGATTCGGCTCCTCCAGCAAGCATGACATCTGCCTCCCCGGCTTTGATGAATCGAGCAGCGTCGCCGAGAGAGTGAGCACCAGTCGTGCACGCCGTGGTGACAGCATGGTTTGGGCCCTGGAGAGGCTGTTGTCAGAAGGGCCTGTGTCCTGGTGAATCGAGGGGCTGGCATAGGAAGCGACTCACCCGCAATCCATACCTCATGGAAATATGGCCAGCTCCAAGGTTGATGAGAAGCCGTGGGACGAACAGTGGGTGGATCTTGCGGTAGTTGTTGTTCTAAAATGTTTGCTATCAGTCTCAAGTTCGTCATTGAAGGGCATTCCCAATATCAAGTACAGCTTGGTGGTAGGCAATAGAAGTATCATAGAGCTCCTGGAGGTTCCCAATGCCTGATCCGAGACATACACCCTATGCTAGATGTTAGCCTTTACCAGATGATTCCACCGCCGGACTTCCCATCCATACCGTCATTTCAGGGTTGAGGCCTTTCCCGCCCTCGAAGCCCGCATCTGTCAACGCCTCTTCGGATGCTGCCAGGGCATACTGAGCGAATTTCGCCGTTTGCCGCAATTCCTGGGTTATCAAGTATTGAATCAGCAGAGCGTTCTCTGACACCGCATAGAGGTTCCACTATCGGTCAAGTCGTACAGAAGCAGAGATGTGGTCTTCTGCGACCCATGCCCCGTCGCCATCGTCGGGAGTCACTGGAACAATTCCCGCGACCTGACTTGGTAAGGCAGTGAACTCAGCGCCGAGATGTTTCGTCGAGACAATGCCACATTCGCCCTTCAGCAGGCGCTTCCATGTCGTTCGGATTCCTGAGTTGACGAGATGAATATAACTTTCAACACAAGGGTATTGAAGCAGGGTAGCTCAGCACTCACCCACTCCCAAAGGCGTCACAGCACCCAGACCAGTCACCACCACTCTCGGCATATCACCTCCTTATCCGGGGTTGCAGATCTCATCCACTCCGGAACCCGTACTGTTCTCGGGATTCTGTGTTTGTCCGTACGAGTACGCGGAAAGGAGAACAGACACAGCGAAGCTAAAGAAATCTCCGATCGCGTATCGCCGCCAAGGTCGAGGTTGGCGCCTCCTCGGACATGGAGTTTGCCGCCCGCCGCCCGCCGCGTGCAAATGGCCGGCACGCGCCTCGCTGACACTTTCCATGTCTATCTCTACAGTGGCGCCCACGCCCTAATGCTTCTTCAATTACTCAATCGTTATCCGCATTCTACGTATCTGTCAGTAATCCAGTGCCCTGTATCTCGTTGATACCTTCCTCGTCAACGAGGGCAGAAAAAAAACCTTGGAGTGAGATCTCGTAAGTTGACTTCCGTTTCTTGATTTTCAACATTTCCACATTTCCACTTCTTCACTGGTGTCGACTTTTAAAAAGAACCTGGTTGAATTTCCTTCCACGTTCGATTGATACTTCTATCTTGGGGCTCCCTTCACATCATATATCAATCAAAAGACAAAGCCCAAACCATGTGGTGCCCTCACCTACCACTGATAGCTTCTACGCTGTTTGCATCTTCGACCCTCGCCTCCTTCTATGATAATCCGGAGTGGGATCTTCCCCAGGCTGGCGGCACCCCGTTAGAGGAATTGAAGGCAAAATGGGATTTTGATGTGAGTCCGTCTTTCTGGCCTATATCGACAGGGCCGGCGTGTTCAAGCTGCTTGATATCGGACATTTGAGTATTGAGTATTAACGACATCAAAACCGAAAACAGTGGGGCTTCACTGGGATATCGACCTTTGCACATCTAAAGCATGTCAAGTGTCTCACCACCCCATACGAGCCATTTGATATTGGGATCCTCGGGGCACCCTTCGATACTGCGGTCAGCTATCGGCCTGGTAAGTGAGCCTCGTCTCGTCACATTTGAATCCCCTCCTGGCTGGAGAACAAAGACGAAGCCGTGTGCAAAGCGGTTATTTTTCTCCTGCCGTGGGTTGAATCATCTTCGGGCCATCGAGGCATCCACCTCCTTCAACCCTCCTCAGCTACCACTCCAATGACACTCGCCATACTGACCTTGATGAAGGCGCACGCTTCGGACCCCGTGCCATCCGCGCGGCCAGCGCCCGCCAAACGACGTTCCGAGGCTTCAACCACCGCGCGGGCCTGAACCCCTACAAATCATGGCCCTCTATCCTCGACTGCGGCGACATCCCCGTGACGCCGTTCGACAACGCGCTGGCCCTCCACCAAATGACAGAGGCTTACCTCGAACTGGTCTCCCGACGGCCCCTCTCCTTCTCCAACCCGCCCTCGCACACGCACCCGAAAATCATCTCCCTAGGCGGCGACCACAGCATCGCGCTGCCGGCGCTCCGGGCCCTCCAGAAAATCCACAACCAACCCATCGCCCTCCTCCACTTCGACGCACACCTCGACACATGGCACCCGGGCGCGTACCCGTCGGCATGGGCCTCTACACCAACCCAAGCGGACTTCACGCACGGCACGATGTTCTGGATCGCGAGCGAAGAGGGACTCATCCGCAACGGCTCCTCCGTGCACGCGGGGCTCCGCACGCGCCTCGGGGGGACGGATTTCGCGGACTACGACAACGACGACCGCCAGGGCTTCCTGCGCATCGAGGCGGACGACATCGACGGCCTCGGCGTGCAGGGCATCATCGAGCTTATCATGCAGCAGATGGGCACGGATACCCCCGTCTATCTCTCCGTGGACATCGACGTGCTGGACCCGGGCCTCGCGCCGGGCACCGGCACACCTGAGCCCGGCGGCTGGACGACCCGCGAGCTGATCCAGATCCTGCGGGGTATTGAGGACTTGAATCTCGTGGGCGCCGATGTTGTGGAAGTCAGTCCTGCGTATGATGGGAACGACGAGGGGACGGCGCTTGCCGGTGCACAGGTCGTCTATGAGCTGCTCACCAGCATGGTTGTCAGAGGGCTCAAGGACCGTGGCGAGTATGTTGCGCCAAGGAAGCCTGGTGCTGAGAAGTTGGTGAGGAAGCCCGAGGCGAAGTATGTGCCGCTTGGGAACAAGGGCGAGAACAAGGTTGTCGCGGGAGAGGGCGTCAAGGATGAGCTGTGATGCGGGTGATGGAGACCGTCCACAAAAATGCAGATGCATGTGTAATGCCATATGAAGACAGGCACACAAACGAGCTAGAAACGAGTGCGGTTCTCGAAGTCCTTGACGTACAGCAGTGGAAAGAACACATTGGAGGCACTTAGTCGCCAGCCAGATCTGTCACTGTTAGAAGATACCTTAGGTAGGTAATGTGCAAGATACTACATATCTAAAATAATAGCCCTGCCTTGCCGTTTGATCAATGCTATTGATTCCTTCGACTATCCGGCCGTCGTTCATAGCCTGTCTCTCACTCTTCACACAGGAACTTCTGCTCCGTACAACTCCAGCATCAGCCCAAGCAGACGAGTTTGTAGTCAATCATGAAAGGTTGCCCTCGTCAGCCTGATGCTTGTGGTGCTTGCTCAGAAATAGGGCCTGATCGATGTCCACCAAAAGGCATCGTCATCTAGGAAACCCAACGTCGAAGAGAACGAGAGCGGCATCAGTGGCCGGCACTTCCCAGATCTTCCAGAGACAACCAAGATGAGCACGTCTGCTTCTTTCCCACTCCAGATTTAAGAGTAATAGCCCCTAGCCCTGACGCCTTGCTTCGTTGTGCATGTTTTCAGTCCCTTATGACTTTTGGCGCAGAACCTCGTGGTTGTGTCCACCATAAAATCAGTAAATTCCAAATCCCAAACTCCAGACCATGGAAGAATGGGTTGTTAGAAGGCATATCTAGACCCTTGTCTTGTGACAGGTTTCCCCTGACGATTCAGTACAGGTGCACTCGACTGAGCGTTTCGTGCTGAATTAGACTCCCCATTCGCCGCATTCTTTTTCCCGCGAGCTCTCGGCTTGGGTGGTGGATCAATATGCAGGTGTCCTAGTTCTGTTAGTGCCGTAGAATTCTTCCATCTCAGACATCGGTGTGATTTGTCGCTAGCATACGTTTTCGTCCTCGTTGACATCCTTGTCGGCAGCTCCTCTTCTTCTTCCTCTTCCCGAGGTGCAAGGGCGGCTGCTCGCTTTTCCATATGCTTGATAATGATATCTCGATGCAGACTGAGTTCCTTTTGAAGCTTCTGCTCCCGACTGCCGCGGGAATCAAGCCAGCCGATCAGCATATCTAATTCCTCTGCAGTGTCATAAAAGGCCCATTGCTGGGCATTCTCTAGACTAGTTTTGCCTTCTTCCATTTTCTTGCGTTCGGCTGGGGTCATCTGGAATCGGCGATAGTATTCGGATTTTTCTTGCTCATTGACATCAATAAACCCTTGATATTCCATAACGTCAGGGCCTTGAACCCAAATTCGACCGTTGGCGTATTCCGCATCGGCAGTAGAGCTATCGGGCAACCCTCCATAAGGCATGGCATTTCTTTCAAACCACCAATACCGGTTGCAAAATCGATCTTTTCCTAGAACACGTGTTCGGGGGCAATCTGCTTCACGCAAATCACCATCAACGACGAGAATTTGGTCTTCGTATTCCGCGATTGCATCTCGTTCTTTATTGATTTTTTTGAGGACTTTTTGATACTCTTTACTTCCTTTGTTTTGCTTGGCTTCAGCTGCCTTTTCTTTACGTTCCTGTTCTTCTTCGCGCTTCCTCTTGCGCTCAGCAGCTCGATCATTTCCACGGCGTAAAGAACGTGTGGTCATAGGTGGCTCATCTTCGGAATCTGGTATCGAAACATCGCCATCTTCAACTTCTGTCTTCTCGGCCTCAGTAGCTGCGTCCAGTTCCGGAACTGGAGACGGAGACTTTTCCGGCTCTGGTGCGAGTAATCTTCGTTCAATTTGCAGCTCCTTTAGCCTGGATACTGCTTCTTTGCGTGCTCGTTGATACTCAATCTTGAGCTTCCGGTAATGAGTCATTGTGTTGCTCATCTCTTCCAAGAAATTTTTTACCGCCTTGGTCTCTAAGAAGAGTTGGCAGATTATTTGGAGTGCCTGAGTCCGCAAGTTGATATCCATGGTGGAATACTGTATTTGTGCAGTTTCAATGTTAGCATCGGCATCAAGGGGTGCAAGATGAGTGAGAATCTCATTGCACACATCTCTCAGACGTGGTCGTCCTGCAACTTGATGGAGCAGGCCCACTACGATCAACTCCCAACCACCATATCTGAAGTCTCGTTTCCGTAGCCGGTCGATCCAGCCATAGTCGCCAAACATCTCAGCTGCTCGGTGAGTCACGATGTCTTTGTCTTCTTCTGGCGGAGGCGGTGGCTCGGCGAATTGCACTTTATTGAGGCTGCTCCGAGTTCTCTTGGCTGGGTATTCTGGTTCTGGAGTAGGCGTGGGAGGCTTGCTTTCTTCTTCTTCGGACTCTTCTTCTTCATCTGACTCTGGAAGGTCTGGAAGGGATATCTGTACGGCACCCTCCTCGTCGTTCTCCGCGTTAACCAATTGCTTGAGGAGTGCACAGTGGCTTTCGACGAAGAGCTCACAGTCAGCTTCTACTGACGAGAACTGCATTGCTTCGACGAAGTCGTCGAAGGTGAACGAATCGAGTTTGATGACTTGGCAATAGACATTCAAGGTATTCCAAGTTTCAAGTAGAAGACCGACCGTGTGTTCCTTCAGGCCTGGAACCACATGGTCAATAGAGATTTCTCCTTTGCACTGCTTCCTCGCCATGAATTTGAGATTGGGTCGGTGAGTTCCGTCACGCAATGGTTGCACATCCATGTCGTCAATGGGATATTTGATCGGCGGAGGGGGTGGAGGAGGCTGCACCATTTGTTTCTGGGGCATAGGCTGTTGAGGGAGTGCGAGACAGTGGCCTGGTGGCGGTATGGGCGGCATGGGGGGATGGCGCAGAAAGCCGTAGTAAGGATCATAGACTGGTGGTGGAGGCCGCTGGGCTGGCGGATGCATATGACCCCATGGTTGAGCAGCGTATGTCGGATCTGCTTGCACAACTCCGTGATACCCATCTTGGTATGCTTGTTGTTGCTGAACAGCAAGGAGCTTGGATTGTTGGGATTGGCCTTTCTTTCCTTTAGGTGCAGGCTTTAATTCTGGGAGTCTGTGAGGCTGCCAAACCCCAAACATGCCGTCTTGTTCCGGTTCTTCATCCTTTGCCTGATTCTTCTTCTCAGCCTTCTTTGCGGCCGCCTTGCTGCTGTACAGCAGATGGGGAGGAACGGTGGTATCTATTCTGAAGCGCTCTGCGATTTCAGGTTTGACGATCCATGGCGCACCATTCCAACCCTCCCGTGTGACTGTGTTTTTGATGAAGGAGCGCAGCATTTGCTTGGTAAAAACCTTGCGGTCTCTGACAATATGGGCGTCATCGACCAGGGCTTCTTCTCGGGGTCGGTCGAGAAGTCTAACAAAGTATCTGGAGAAAGAATCTCTGACCAGGGTTCCGCCCGGACTTCTGATCTCTGCAAAGCGACCCTTGTCCCTGACCCTGCCATTGAATCTAGTGCCGTCCTCCAGAAATATGGTGACCAGCTCGCCGGGGTAAAAGTCATTTTTGAACTCATTGAAGACCTCTTCAACTAGGCTGTCAATGCGGGAAGTGGTGGAGAATTGTACCCGACGCAAAACAGGTTCTCGGAGCGCTTGGGGGAAGGCCTCATCGATCTCTCGGGAGCCGGCTTGTTCACTCCGCAGCGCGTCAAAAAAACTCAGACCGGAGCGACCAGAGACTTCGCAGGTAAAGAACCTAGACTTGAAGAAGTCCATGCGCTCCAGATAGGCATCGTAGGAAGTGAAGATCTCATTGGATTCAGATATGACCCACACATCAGACTCTTGGTCGTCAATACGAGGGTGCGCAAGGTAGCGGATGGGTTTTCTTCTGAAGAGAACCATCCCTGCGGGCGGGGGAAGAAATGGTCGGGAGGTGTAGCAATGGTCAATGGCCGACGGAGAGCGGTTCTAGGGCGAAGTCGGCCTATTCAAGAGGATTTGGTTAGCATTGGGCTGGTTGACGCGGCGGCCCCGGTGGTTGCGACAGGGTAACATGGCGAGAACGGGAGAGAAATAGTTTAATAGACCTACATTTGCGAGTGGAGACGCGTCGGGAGGGGAGAATTGGAGAGCGAGACGAAAGATGAGGCGTGTTGAGATGAAATGGCGCGATGGTGGTGGTGTTGGTGTCGTGAAAACAAAGAATCAAACATGGTGAGGAGGGAATAAGAGGAAGAGGAATGGCAAAGAGGGTGGTGGCATTTAGTACGAGAGAAGATCCGGAGTGGTCATGATACATGGGACTGGGTAGAGTGCCCAGGAAGGCTATCCACATCCACGTCCACACACGAGGAACACACCCCGATATGCACAGGGTCGGCGGCGCATGCGAGCATTGCCCTTGGGTCCATTCTGTATAGCATTGGAGGGTGGTATTAGTGATGGTAGTGATACCTGTGACACGAGCACCTTCCGCAACAAGATTATCCGTCTATTGCTCCTTCCCCGTCTGCTGCAATTGCATTTGCATTCAAGGCAGGTGCAATCCATGCCAGGCCGGAAAATGCGATCATAGTTCCTTCCCGTTCGCTGTCCGCCACTCGTGCCCTCTGCCCTTGTGACGGGCGTCACGATCTAACTAAATTTGTGCAAGCGCCACTGATCTAACCGTCTCCCGGCGCGCCGCCTCGCCAGACTTTCCTCTTCCAATCTCGGCGGACGCCCTCAAGTGATCCAATTACATCTGCCCTCCTACCCTTAGGTGACCATGCCATTTGGCATTTGGCTCCCAACACGCTATTCATACTCATAATTGGACTCGTTCGACTCCTTGAAATGCTCTGGATGCAACGAAGCCGACAGATAGATCATATATCTCGAGTCAATTGAACCATCCCTCATTATCAGCCATTTTCCTCCCCCAGCCCGAGGCTGACCAGACCATTTGCAGTCTGTTGACCCGCCTGGAGTGCCCAAACCCACCGGTCAGTTTCCTCGATGTCTACAATGCATCTACAATGCATCCCGGAATGTGACCTGGGACTTCTGTAAAGAGTCAACTTTTGTCAGAAGTCGTCCATTGACTAAAACTAATATCATATTTGGCTTACAAGACGTCCATCATGAACAAGTTGCTCGTATGAATACCGTTTCAAGATGTTATGGCATCCAGAAGCCAGCCTACTAGCTCCTATGTTCCAAGGTAGCACACCGTGAACCCCAACCATGAACCCAGGACTCCAACCGCTGAGTATGTGCTAATAAACATTAATGGTAAGAATTCATACTTCTCTCCAAACACCATACCATGGACCACTGAGCTGTAGACCATCAGCGGGACCGCTATTGCAATATAGAGCAGGGCGAATCGATCCAACAAGAAGACCCTTCGTCTTGCCGGGGCTGGTGCCAACTGATCGAACGTGTACAAAAAGATGATCAACCAGGAGATGGTATAAGTCACCTTGATCGGAAACTCCGCCACGGTAAACAGAAGTGGAAACAGCGAAACATGTCCAGCCACAGCCAAAGGTCGGAAGCTAGCCAAATATGATCGATCCTTGATAGCCAGCAAGCTGAAGGGAATCACCACTAGGAGAATGGCCTTTTCATGCACATGCCAACCAAACAAAAAAGACGCATAACCACACAGAGTGACAGCTCCCACAAAGTTGTCCCAGCTAGGTTTGAGCCAGAGCTTGGTAAGTCCAATCATCTGAAATGCCAGTGTCAGACCAAAACAATGCTGAGCTGTGATATTTGGCAGTACGGCGAATGATGTGTCACCGACTAAGCCTCGAGTCACGCTGTTGACTGCGCCGGAGTCGACCTTCAAGCTCAAAAAAGGAGCTGCAACAATCAGGACCCTATCCAGGAACGAGTAAGCAGCCCAGACATTGGGTGCCCAGTAAGCGTGACACAGTCCTCTTGCAAATGGAAATAATCGGCCCTTGAGTTGCTCCAATTGACCCCAAGCTGCGAATGGTCCAAAGGCGGCGGCGAAAATGCCCACGATGCTCAATCCAAGCTTGAGGATGTTGGTGAATTGAGGCCGGAACACATTCTTGGGCTGCAGGCAATACATCCGAAGGAGGTAGACAAAGTAAGCAGGCGCCAGATAGAGATAGATGTGCTTCAGGCAGAGGAGGACCGCAAAAAGAATGCCGCTAAGCAGCATGGTTGACTCTTTCCTAGCGAGAACCATTGAGAGAATAAGTACACCATAGAGAAATCCATTGTACTGGAAATGGATATGGTCAATGATCAACAAGCCTGGAGACAGAAGAATTGACAAGGCCACCGCATGACTTTGCTTGCGAGCCGAGGCAGACGAGGTTGCAGTATACCTGAGAAGTCAGCCACCTGGGGTATTTAATGACAGAGCTCAGCTTACTTGTGCAAAGCATAAACCAGAAGAAGTTCGGTGATAATCACAGTGCTCCTCTGGAAACAGATAGTTGCCCATGAATCATAATTGAGATTCTGGATCTGGAGCATAGCCGAATCGACGAGGCTTGCTGGTTGAGAAAGAAGCCATTCGAACGCCGCAAATGCCGGGGGGTAGTCCAACGTCCATTCTGAAGTTGCCTAGCTACCGAGTCAATACCCAAGCAGATTTGAATCTGCTCGCTATCAGGGCGTGGGGACTGACCTCATAATACCATTTGTGGACTGGTAAAGAATATGTGATGGCTAACCAGTTGCGATGGACCTCGAAGTCAGTCGACTTGTAGGCCGGGAAGAGCAGGATCTTGAACGCAGTTGAAACAACAGCTGCCTGGAATAACGACGGCCACTGCTGCTCTCCTGGTGATGGCCGTTGCTTTGGTACCCGTTTTTCCTGATCAAGTGCATTAGCTCAACTTCATGTTTGTTGAGGCGGGGTTCAAACATACTGGAATAATAGGGCCCCTGTCCCTCAGCTGACCCAAGGTCTGCGACACGGCCGAAGCTGACATTGTGCGCTGGTCGGGGGTGATTATGCACGGAGGACAACAGAAAGGAGCCCTGATGTGCTGATCATGCTGGGACTTAACGTCTCGAAATGCGCAAATACTCCCCCGTAGTTCATAGCTATTCTACGGCGCAGCAAATGCGACCATTTTGTCGACGGCATCATGGCCAAAGAACAAGGGTAAGTAACAGATCACAGACGGACTGCTTGGAGACACCATTTCTCTTTCAGTCTACCTCTGCTGCTATTATTATTCCTAGCCTTTCTTTCCCTCGTTGATGGACCTTATTGAAGGGCTCAAGCATCATGTCACTTCTGGCATTGTGAATCATCGAGTTCTTATTCGATCGAGGCCCATTGTCCTTGACGTCGGTCGCGAACTGCGCTGGTGTGTTGTCTCCATTTGCTTAGCCTGGGTTACCACTTCTGTCTTTCGGTCTTGGACAGCAAGCAGGAGAAAACCGGACTGAATTTATTTTCATAAAACACCCCAAGGTACAAGTACTCGCGGGTCTTGATATTGTGGTGGAACCTGACACGACCTCCTAGCCACCGTCCCCCATCAACCATCATGCTGCTCTCGATCAAATCTACACTTCTCTCTATAACATGGGCAGTAGCTGCGATCGCCCAAGATGCCGTCGATGATATGTCCTTTGGTCACAAGCAGGGAATCTCCCCAAATTCCTTCGCCATTCCCGGTTGGGCAATGCTAGGTGAAGGACACGTGCCTCAACTCCTTTCCGACAAAGTCATACTCACTCCACCCTACGGAGGCCACAAAAAAGGTTGTCTATGGACCGAGAGGGCCAATTCGCTAGAGAATTGGATGGTCAACTTCAAGTTCAGAGCGGGCGCACCTGATAGGGGAGGTGGTAACCTACAACTATGGTATGCCGCAAATGGGGAAAAGCAAATTAGCACATCAAGCATATATACTGTTGGCAAGTGGGAAGGCCTGGCCATTGTGATAGATACAGTGGGTGGCACACAGAAGATCAGAGGATTTCTCAATGATGGCTCCATCGAATACAAGAGTCATGCCAATGTTGACAGCCTTGCATTCGGCCACTGCGATTCTGTCTATCGCAACCTTGGCCGCCCTTCCCACATCAATCTCAAGTACACCAGTACCGGAGGTATTGAACTACTTGTCGATGGCAAGACATGCTTCGCGACCAACAGAGTCACTCTCCCACCCAACTACTACTTTGGTGTTGCGGCCTCCTCCTTCGACCCGCCGGATTCATTCGAAGTTTTCGAATTTGCCCTGTCCTCAATTACAGCCGCCCCTCCGGTCCAGCAGCAGCAGCAGCAGCAGCAGCAGCAGCAGATCCAGGATCAATCCCAACCCGCAACGCACCAACACTCATCCTCATCCTCGCAGCTAGCGACATCTGAAGCGCAATTCGCCGACCTGCACAACCGACTGAACCAGCTCTCCAAATCCATCCAAAACATGTTCACCGAAATCAACCGACACACCGCCGCTGAAGAAGCGCGGTACAAGGAGATCCTCTCCAAACTACCCGATACCGCGCTGATCAATGGGCTGAATGGGAAAGTGGCCAACCTGGACAAACTAGTCTCAAACCTCGAACGCGAACTCAAGTCGTCAGATCACTCGACACAGTTCCGTAAGCTGAGCGAGCAGATCGAGAAGACTCATGTCGGGGTCACGGAGCACGTGCCTCAGCGCCTGAGAGAATACGTGCAATCACACACGCCGCGCATCGGCTTTATTCTCTACAGTTTCATGGCGTTCCAGACGTGTTGCGTAGGGGTCTTTGTATGGTACAAGTGGCGGAAGAGTACGATGCCGAAGAAGTATCTGTGATGGCTCCTTTCCCTTTCAAATGACATTTGGTGGACATATTATACCAGCTTGATTGAGAATCATTGGACGCTGGGATCTGGGGCGGGGTTGAGGCCGCATGACTGACTGGATAGGATAGTGGTCTTTCAAGGGGTATAGGTGGCAAGATCCCGAAACCGTAGAAGTGTTCGAGTAATGATAGCTCCGTGCTAGAGGGACTTTCTGTAAACGGAAATCTGTACGAATATTACCACTATATCACAAAGAAACTGAAGTAATCCCTTTTCGTCTGCTTTATGAATCTGTCTCTTACCTTCATTCTACCCACAGAATGGTCTAGCTGCAAGAAACAGATTCTTATCATGCGGAGAAGCGACTAGCTGGAATCTTTGCTTTTGCACGTCTAACCTAGCTATCATGTCTATCTCCTACACCAACAACGACAAATTTTCATCATAATGATCGTCTCGTCTCGTCTCGTCCACCAACCGGTACTTGCTTTCATCTATTTCCCGGCCCATGTCATACCTGCAGCAGGCCCGGCCCCGAATCGTGATGCAAAAGAAAGTCGTAGGGAAAGGGAGACAGAGCTGCGAAAGAGCCCAGAGTCTCCCGACGCAGGCAACCAAAACCATCTCGTTCGTTCGTTCGTTCATGGAGTGCATCTGTACGCGAAGCGGGGGTATAGAGTACACTCTCTGACAGTCCAGCGACCGCACATCCACGCGAGGAAGCGTTCGAGACCCAGACCATAGCCGCCGTGGGGCGTGGCGCCATAGCGTCTCTGGTCGGTGTACCAGTAGTAGGGCGCAGGGTCAATACCCTCGCGGGCATAGCCAGCCATGAGCTCGTCGTAGTCGTAGATACGCATGCTGCCGCCGACGATCTCGCCGACGCCGGGCATGAGGCAATCGACGCTCTCGGTGACGCGAGGGTCGCTGGGGTCCTTGAACATGTAGAACGACTTGAGCTCGACCGGGAAGTGTGTCAGGAAGATCGGCACATTGAGTTCATCCGTCATTTTGCGCTCTGCGGCTTCCGCAATGTCGTCGCCGAAAGAGTGCGGTTGTCCTTCTTCGTTGAGGATCTCGTGCTCCACGAGCCAGTCGATCGCGTCTGCGTAGCGCATGCGGCGGAATGGGCGCGAGGGAGGCTTGAAGTCTGGGTTGAGCGATTTGATGTGTGCCGCGATGATGGGGTCGGCGAGTGTTAGGTCGATGACTCGGCAGATGACGTGCTCCAGGTGCGCAAGGAGCTGGTCGAAGTTGATGAAGTTGAGTTCTCCTTCGATGTGGGTGTATTCGGACAAGTGGCGGCGGGTGAGTGATTTCTCGGCGCGGAAGGATGGGGAGATGGTGTAGACGTCGCCAAGGGAGGCGAGGCAGGTTTCGAGGTAGAGTTGAGATGATTGCGTCAAATATGCCTTTTCGCCGTAGTAGCCGAATTCGAAAAGCGTTGCCCCTCCCTCAACCTGGGTCTGTACCATGGCTGGAGGTGTGACGGATCTCATGCGGAGCTCACGGAATGTGGTGCGGAATGCGAAGTCTACGGCGTCCCGTACTATCATGACGGCAGAAGCATTGTCGCCTCGCAGCACAAGATGACGGTTGTCAAGGAGGGTCTGGGCGTCACCGTCCTGCTGGACCTTGTTGGTGATGGCTTCCTTGTCGCCCACTGCGGCACCGATGACGGTGAAGAAGTCGGCATGTAGCTCACGATCGAGCGGGGCGTGTGCTTTGGGTGGAAGGGCCTTCAGCTCGCCGCGGATCTCCATGGACGTTTCGAGGGTCAAGGTCATGGCGGCGTAGGTCCTGATTAAGTCACCGGTGAAGACAACCTGCATGAGGCCATAGCCGTCTTTGAGAGTGATGAAAATGACATCCTTCTGGGATCTCAGATGGTGGACATAACCACGGATTTGAACGCGAGTTCCTGGAGAGTCAGCAGAACCCAATTTGATCTTGGCAGAGTCCACATCGTCGAGACGAATTTGAAGGGGTGCAGGTAGGCTTTTGTCTTCCTGAAGCACAACCTTTTTGGCCTCTTCAAGGACTTGCTGGCGTTTGGCAGTCTCGGCACTTTCTCGAAAGGCAATTTCAGAGGCTTTGAGTTGTTTTCGTTTATGCTGTTCGTACATATTGGTGGCCTTTTTCAAAGCGGATTTCGAGGCCGGTTTCCATTCTAGACGGGACGCTGGATCGCCGTTGGCGTCAACTGGGCCAGCCTCGGATTTTCGAGTTTGAAATGCAGCTCCATCGGAGGCATGTTTGATCATGGCGTGCAGCAAAGATTTATATGGCGCTGTCTCGGTTCCAATGGCGGTGTCGTCATCGCGGCCAACGTCTTCATCAATGTAAATGGACGACGCCATGTTGGATCGCGATATAGGATGGTGTGGGTGAGAATGAGGGAAAGTGGATCGAAGCTCAAGTCGTGAGTGTGCGACACACGTATGAGTCAGGCTGCGAGTCACAATTGATAAGAAAGACGTCGGATAAATTTTTGGAGAGGTTTTGGAGAGTGGGCGTGCACACAAACGGTTAGAGTAAGCGCCAGACGCGGCACCTATTTGGCCTCGCCAAGACTAGAAGTTTAGGGGAAATACTAATCATGCTCTTCCTACGCAGTCTATCGACATAATTGTATTTCTAATCAGCTATCTTCTGTATGGTCTTCCAGTTGCGAATGAGTCAAGATGAGCTGCATCAGCAAAGCCTTATCACAAGCGCGGAAGTGGTGGACTCATGGCCTCGGGAGTGAGAAGAATGAAGTGCAATGAAACAGCCGCGGAGCGCCCCCACTAAAAAGGAGACTAAATTAATTCAGGAACAAAACACGACAGGCACCCAATCAGATGATCCGATTAAACGAAGAGCAATCAAACCTCACATGGCATCCTCCTCGCTTGCCGAGCTTGGGTCCGCTCCTGGAGTCGAAAGTGAACAGTGGAAAACAATAATCGAACAAGTTGCCTGCTCACTTGGAGCGCAATGTCTCGAATGTTTTTATTCCACTGGCAGTGTGATAAAGTAATAGGACGGTAGTCATCTGAAGAACGTGCTGTGGGCTCAAGAAAGTGAAACGAGCATCTATTGTATGTAGGTAGGTCCCTGAAAGGGCATGGCCAATAATGCCCGATCCTTGCCCCTGGTCTCTCCCCAGCAGAATAAGATTGTAAGCCAGCCAACTAGTGCACTCCCTAGTTCAATTCTTTGGGGCTGCAATACCGGGTACTGCTACGGGGGGCTCCCAGACGGAGTGCACAGGAAGGAAGACTCGAGGGCAGGCAGATCTGAGTCTGAACCTTAAACCCCGGGTTCTCCTGTATCAGGTTGTGAAAAGCTCCCAGAAGAGCAGAAGTTGGCCCCGCCTGTATCAGAACAATAAGGGGAAACGACGATGAGATGAGAAATGTCGACTGATGGCCTGGTCTCTCCGGAAGGGGCCCGCTGCAATTACGAGAACAGTGATGAATGGGTGGCACTTTCCCTAGGCGTGGCTCCCCCCAAGTTAGTAATGGCTAGCACTGTTTAGTGGCCCGCCCGTCCACCAACTAATGTCTAAAACACCGAATTGATGGTGCCGCTAGCTTCCCCTAGAGCAGGTACCCTGGTACCTGCTCTGGGGGAATTCTACCCTTGGAGCAAACTGGCACCTGCCTTGCCCTGGCCTGGCGTTCCTGCACCTACAGTTCCTGCCCAGCACCCAGAACCCTGCATTGATTTTCCACCTATGCAGTTCAACTCATTCTTTTCTCTTCGTCTTCACCCTCGTCGACCTCCTTTGCTTTGCTCTTCACCCATTGTCTTGCTATTCTTCATTCTTCTAACCCTTCTTTTCGTTCCTTTGCCTTCCATTTACTCGTTCCATTCGCTCTTTAGCAACACGGTCGCTATTACTATCCTTCAACAAGAGACATTTCCACTACTGTATTCAATACAAATAGCCTTTCTGTACAGTGCAGTCCAGCCCTAGATTCGATTCTGTTCCATCCTGTAATCATCCTCACTTAACGAATCCGTCTCATCGTCGCAGTCGACGCGAAGCTGTACCAGAACTCATTGGAGCATTCCTTCGCAACAACGATCGTGTTCTAAAATACAATTGCTGCTGTCCTTGGACATCGTCCTGGGGACGCAACCTTGGATCATTCCCATATGCTTGCCGCAATGCAGACTCAAGACGTGTTTGGAGGGCTCGGGGGTCGTTACGGTCAGCCCAAATTCGGTTCAGATAATACTGGCTTCAGTCATGGTGCCTACAACACAAACCACGCTCCCTTTCACCCTTATCCCGACCGCAACGGCCGAAAACCTACCGTCCCCTCCATAGCCACCGCAGGCAAGGACCAGCCACTCTATCTTCCCACTGAGCAAACCCCAGGCGGAGATTTCAGCATGAATTTTACCCCCCTGCTGCCTTCCCAGCTGTTGGTCGGCAGCCCTTTCCAGCCCGGCTCTCCTGGTTCTTTCGCTTCCCCCCAGTTTCCGAGCTTTAATCGTTTCACTACAGGAACCAATGCTCTCCATCACCAGACCCAACAGTACCAGCAAAATCAGCAAGCCCAACTGGGCAGTCCTACTCAGGCGAATGCAAACCCTCTTTCACCCCAGACCTATCAAGCTGTCATGTCTCCCGACACTTACACAGCTGGGTCCCCAACCGGCTTCTCTGGCCTCGGTGGTGCTGCATTCGGACATTACCAGCCCATGGTAGGCATGGGGAGCACATGGATGGGCAGTACTAGCCGTACTGTTTACTTGGGCAACATTCCTGCTGATACCCCAGCTGAGGAGATACTAAATCACGTCCGCAGTGGCCAAATCGAATCTGTGCGTTTACTTCCAGAGAAAAACTGTGCCTTCATTTCGTTCCTCGACAGCAGCTCCGCAACGCATTTCCATTCTGATGCCATTCTGAAAAAACTTGCCATCAAAGGTCATGACATCAAAATTGGCTGGGGAAAACCATCTCAGGTACCCACTTCAGTCGCTCTGGCTGTTCAACAGTCGGGTGCTTCACGCAATGTCTACCTAGGAAACCTGCCTGAGGACATTACCGAACTAGAGTTAAGAGAGGAGCTAGGAAAGTTTGGCCCAGTCGATACCATCAAACTCGTGCGGGAGAAGGCTATTGCATTTGTCCATTTTCTCTCTATTGGCCACGCTGTCAAGGCTGTGGCTCAGCTTCCACAGGACCCAAAATGGGGACCTCCTCGACGTGTTTACTATGGCAAGGACAGGTGTGCTTATGTTTCCAAAACGCAGCAGCAAAATGCTGCACAATACTTGGGAATTGCACCCGGGTACGCTCATGTTCTCAACGGAGCTGATCGGGATTTGATCTCCAATGCTCTTGCTCAGCAGTCAGTTGCTGCTGCTGCAGTGGCGACGACTGCCGGTGGGGTCAACAACCTTGGGAATCGTACTGTTTATCTTGGGAATATCCACCCGGAGACGACCATCGAAGAGATTTGCAACGTAGTGAGAGGCGGACTCCTCCACCACATACGCTACATTCCCGACAAGCATATCTGCTTCGTGACATTTATTGATCCGACTTCAGCAGCTTCATTCTACGCTCTAAGCAATCTTCAAGGGTTGATGATTCACAATCGAAGACTAAAGATTGGATGGGGCAAACATTCGGGAGCGTTGCCGCCCGCTGTTGCGCTGGCTGTGAGTGGAGGTGCTTCACGGAATGTGTATGTGGGGAATCTCGACGAGAGCTGGAGCGAGGAGAGACTCAGGCAAGATTTCTCCGAATATGGTGAGATTGAGCTGGTCAATACTTTGCGAGAGAAGAGCTGCGCATTCGTCAACTTTACCAACATAGCCAATGCCATCAAAGCGATCGAGGCTGTTCGATCTCGGGACGAGTACAAGCGATTCAAGATCAATTTTGGCAAGGATCGATGTGGCAACCCTCCTCGTCAAAACTTGAACACGGCCAGCGGCGCGCAGGCACGGATGCATGGTGGATTGGATGGTGCTGGGTCCCCAGCAACCATGAATGGATTTGATCATGCTGTTTCACAGTCGGGGTCAAGCCCAACCCGATCCACGATTCCGTTGGGACCCAAGGCGTCAATGAATGGGCAGTCGCAGCCTCTCCGGCAACAGACGCTTCCCACCACTCCATCGGCAATCCTCAATGCTGGCAATAACAACCCCCTGACCATGTACTTGACACATATGTCTCAACAGCAACAGGCACAGGCTGAACAAGAGCTGCGGGACGAAACCATGTCATTCGCGGCATTACAGCAGCAACAAAATCAAGCATTGGCGAACCAGCAAGCTGCTCTTTATGGGGAGATGCCCAATGGCCACAGTGGCTTGGATAATGCGGCTCCATCTCATGTACCGCGACAGAGCAGCATCAGCGGTGGATTCGGAGCTGGATCACTAAGCAACGGGGGATCAACGACGGTGGGAGGACTGCTGGCACCTACCAATACTGGTTTGGGAGCAAACAGGAGCGCGCACTCTCGCGCAGTGTCGCTTCCTGCCTTCTCCCAAGAGCTCTTTGGGGCCGGGCAATCAACTGCTCCCGGACCATCGTCTTCCCGAGCGTTTGGCGGACACGCACCGCAAGGAAGCTTTGGTGGATTCGGATCAGCGTTTGGGACAGGGTTTGGCACAAGTGGATACAATGGATTGGGGCTTTCAAGCGATAGCCGGGGAGGTTTATCTGGATGGGCAGAAGAGGAAGTCGGAGCCAAGTGAGTTAAGTTGATCGTAATAATCGGTTTCTTTCTGTTCCTGGGATTGGAATTTGGGGATTTTTGGAGTGAGGCTTTGGGCATCTAAACCGTTCTAATATCTGGATTTTGGAAAGAGCGAAAGATGATGGATGGCGATATCGGCCATCTGTTGCAGCCTGGACTGCAACTTGTCTTAGTACCATGAGATGGATATGGATGGAGACTGGATACAGAGGGACTTCCTTCTGTTGGCCTCGTCACCTATCTATGCCATGGAATGTACATATAGTACGCGGCTGAATGACGGGGAGGAGGCATGAGTATGACACAGACTTGAAGCTAGGACGAGATGGGTCATCGTTCGGTCTGGCAAAGAGCAAAGACCAAATCTCACATATACTCGTATTCATCAACACTCTGGAGCACTGTTCGTGTGCAGATTGAGGTGATACTCGTAGGTGTTGGGGTCTCAAAGCCAGATTGGTAAATCCTCGGTATCGTCGGGGGGTTTTCGAAGGGGCTACAAGCTTAGACGGAGTAATTAAGGTTCTATTACGGATTCGAACGGCTAATATAATGACTCGAGCTCTTGAGTGGATAGGGCGGAAAGGGGGCGTCACATTCATTTCCATTTGGGTGGTATCACCATACTGGACAGAGTGCCATATACTCTCTCCGTATGAGGACAACGAGAGCGTGCTTCCCGGGCGTGTATCTAGTAAAGGTGGCCGTGGAGCAACCCCTGAAGCGATAAAGGGCGGCTTTGATAGGAGTGGGAATATCCGCTCCAGTCGGCTGTGTGACTTGGACACCGAGGTGAAGAATGAACAAACAGCATTAGACCCAGACTGGATTTGGGCTTGGGACTCGGATTGTGAGGCTTGACTCGCGGGCTTCTACGAGTCTGTACGTACTCGTAGGTGGTGGCACTGGTGGGTTGGAGCCTGGGCCCTGCTGGAGGGGCCAAATCATGGGGGATCAACGTTTGTACTCGCACGCCCGTCGGTCCTCAGCCCCGTTGATGCGCTTGCTTAGCCGGGCCTAGAATGGAACGCCTAGGCAGCTAGGGCAAGACGCACTGTTACCCGTAGTTCGAATTAGGGTCATGATGCTGTGACTAGCTGGCAATCATCCCCTCGGGGCCCGGGCGCCCATATCAAGCGAATACTCGGGAAGGCCTACGCGTACGGGCAAGCTTACGAGTAGGTTGTCTGCTCGTTGGGAAGCCTTTTAACCAGCACCCACCCCTTCCACCCAATGCAAGCCACCGCCAACCCGGCTAAGAACGTGACCTAAGCTGGGTGTCTTTGGGCCCATCCATGATATTAGGCGCTACCTACCCAAGCGGGTGTCTCCGTTAGCCCCCGTGACCCCCTTCATCCCTCGGGCCTCCTCCCATTGCACCCGCAGCATGTGTCTGCAGGCACTGGAGGTTGTTCCAGACCATGCCAAATTCTGCTGCTACTAGTTGGTTACATGTACATACTACCGCTACGGCTACCAGCACCACTACCAGCACCACTACCAGTACCAGTACCATCACTACCATCATCACCACCACCACCACTGCTCAATGTGCTCATCCGTCCATCTCCACCTCCACCTCCACCTCCATTCAACTTCTTCTCTTCGTCTGTCTCTTGTCCTCCCAGAAGTCTGACATTGCCGGCAAATGCACACCCATCCTCTTCGATTAGCTAGACTTTTCAACCTCTCATTCTTCTGTTGAACATACCATCACTTTGTTGCTGGTCAATTCACTTTCCGCCTCCACTTCTACTTGTCGATTCCAATCCGATCTCCCGTGCCCGACGCCTTCGCCTACGTCCATCCCGGTTCGTTGACCGCTTGCAAGTCACGCCTTTGACCACGGTCTGCGCCCTGCACCACCACGACCACCCTTCGCTTGTCCTCCTGTCGCCGTCACTGCCAAACTGTGAGTTATCTACATCAACAAGAACATGTATCTTTGAAGAGCATGGACTAATTCGTTGATGACAGTCAGTCCTTTCGGCCTTCGATCCTTTCGCTTCACCACCACGAGGTTTTTCAATCGCTTGCACTGGAAATCCCGGTTAAAGTCGTGACCCCCAGTGAAGGGAATCCACGCCGTAACCTGACCGATCTGAGCCTTGTCACTTCACCACTGCACCTTCATTCTCGCGTGACTTCCTTGGTTTACTGGAAGCGTTGACTGCTGGTATGTTGTCTCCCTCAGTTTACACGTTCTTATCACCATCTTCTGCGCGTCCATGTCAGGAAACTAAACGTTCGCGTTGCTCAGGCCTACCAAAACCCCCCTCTTCGCCTTCCTAAATCGACCGGCTTCAGAAAGACACAGACGGAATGGTTGTCGCCACGATCAAGTATGTTAAATCCCATTTACCCACCTCTGCCTTACATCCTTGGTCGATATCGGGCGCGTATCCTGACTGACAAACCCTAGGTGTGTTGTCGTCGGGGACGGTGCCGTTGGCAAGACATGCTTGCTCATCTCCTACACCACCAACAAATTCCCCTCCGAATATGTTCCTACAGTTTTTGATAATTATGCCGTCACGGTCATGTAAGTTGTATGCCCCATGAGTTGGTTCTGCTATACTCCGTACTCGGCATCCAAGCCCACGTCACCACTAGATCACGGCGTGCTTGTCGATCTTGTCTCACATCTTGATCTTTGCTCGCCTCGCTTGTGGCGCAATTTTGAGCCTCCTTGAAACGTTTGCTCAGGAGCACGTGCACTGACATGGGTGTTCCTCAGGATCGGTGATGAGCCTTATACACTCGGACTCTTTGACACTGCCGGACAAGAAGACTACGATCGACTTAGACCGTTGTCGTATCCTCAAACCGACGTCTTCCTCGTTTGCTTCTCCGTCACCTCCCCAGCATCCTTTGAGAATGTTCGCGAGAAATGGTTTCCCGAAGTCCATCACCACTGTCCCGGAGTTCCATGCCTGATCGTTGGCACCCAAACCGATCTTCGAGATGACCCCTCGGTCCGAGAAAAACTATCCAAGCAGAAGATGCAACCCGTCCGAAAAGAAGATGGAGAACGCATGGCCAAGGACCTGGGCGCCGTAAAATACGTCGAATGCAGTGCTCTGACCCAGTACAAGCTGAAAGACGTGTTTGACGAGGCCATTGTCGCTGCATTAGAACCCCCTCCAAAGAAGAGCTCCAAGAAATGCACAATCCTCTGACCATCGCCTCCGTCTTGGGGCTTTCTGCGTGTAATCATGGGTCTAGGAGGTTTGTTTGATACACCAAACGTCTGACGCTACTCGAGCCTAAGCTAACCCCCTTTCCTTTCCCTAGTCAGCATTTCTATTCTCATCTAGTGTCCGCCTAGCCAACTTGGAAGACTGGAGTTGTATCTTGGAAAAGGGCCGCGCATGAAACAAGGGCATTGCCAGACTTTCCCCCGAGATAAAAGACTTTTATTTCATTTTCCACCCGACACGCAAGATTTTCTCCTCATCTCCCCCATTTCCCCCCGCGCCATGACAAGAACGTGTTTTCTTTTACCTGGGTACTTTTTTCAAGCGAGATCTTCCGTTTCGAGGAGGCGTTTTTCGTTGATCGGATTGAGGGGAAGGGAAGGGAAGGGGAAAGCGGGAGTGTGAACCTGGAAAACTACTATTCTACAAAGGGAACGCAAGGGGAACTTTTCTTATTTCAATTCACCAGAGGTTGACTGACTGGCGTTGGCGGTGTTCTTTTCTTCACCACAGTTCGTCATTCCCCACCACTCATATCAGATCGTCTATTGATGGCTGCCTTGCCCTCTGGGCTCCCTCGCAAAGGCAGAGAGGCTCGGGTGGTCGTCCGGAATCCCGCTCGCCCACTTATTCCTTCTACCGCGCCTCCTACAGATGAATGATTATTTTCCCCCAACGTTGGAAATGCAAAAGTGTGCCACACCTGAAAAGATAGGAACGAAAAAGAGAGAGACGTCTTCGTGTTTCGATTCTGGTCCCATCGAGGGTCTTTTTCTGTTTCTGTTTATCCATTCTGCTATCGTTGCGGTTCCTTTTGCGGTTCTTCCGGTTTCCCCCTTCTCTACCCCTTCCTTGCCACCCTCACCCTTCTCTGAACCTGACGTAGGTGAGGAGGTGAGTAGTTGAGGAGCTACTCGAGGCATGACTGCAATGCGTCGTGGCCAGGAAGTACATATCCTGTACAGTATCCGTCGTGATCACGGCGAGCAAGCGATCCGAGGCTCGCGCCGTGGGTCTGTAGCACAGGGAGACGGGAGGAGGAGAACCAAGGAACCGGCCAAAAAGCAAAGCAAAGCACGCGCGCGAGGAGAAGCAGGCCCGCCAAACACCCCTGATAGACACGGCCCGAGCTCGGGACGGTCGTCGCGGCGTCCAATGCTCTCCATCCAGGTATATGGAGATCTATATACAGATCTATATACACATACGGGAGCGTCGATGTTGCTGGGACGACCACCATGCGGGATGGATTCAACGAATCTCGGGGAGAACAGGAATAGGAACAGGAACAGGAACAGCTGGGCGAGGCGTACTAGACAGCGTATTGATTAGTATTGTTCGGCCATATCATGCCCGCTCGTTTCAGGCCGACAAGCATGGCAACATGGATGGATAATAAATCGGCTCGTTGGGTGTGAGCCAGTTGCGCCCTCGCTGCCTCAGAGACCACGTAGTCACCCAAGTAAGCAGGCAAGCAGGCAGGGAAAGATATACAATACACTGACAGGTCTCGCGACGTTTCTTCACACGGGCTTGGGAGTGAGCCTAATGAACATATTAGGCACCAGGAGCAGTTGAACAGTCTTAGATACGCCGGGCAAATACTGGGGTGTCTGCATTCTTCCTTCCTATCGCCTATCGTACTGTGGCATAAGGTATTTCAGGGTATCCACCAAAGGCTTGCATGCGAGCTGAAGCAGCAGCCGCCTGCACAACCAAGCCCTTCCTTCCTTTCATTACTGCAGCCCTACATCACTCTGCTCTCCTCTCCTCTCCTTTGTGTTCGTACATACATTTGTGGGCAGCCCAGTATTGCTGCTGCTTGGATAAATTCCCGCTTCTATTTTCGGTAGGAACACATCCATCAATTTCTGATAGAGTACATTTCAATTTGTAGTTTAGCAAGCTGCATGTTCTCCGCTGTTCCGGATGGTGTCTGAAGTACCGTGTCCAGCCCGATCTGGAGAACGTAGCACTTACCGCCGAACTCCCAGATACTCCAATAGGCGGAATAAGGGATGGATCCAGGCAACGATAGCCATGAGACGAAAGAGCCGGAAGTCGGCCTCCGGCATAGAAGTTCTATTCGAACACCGAGCACTGCCCGGGTGCCGCCATAGAGTAGCTCACTCTGCACGGCTGTGAGGAGTCAATTCCTTCATGTCCTGTGCATTGACGAGGTGGCGGTTGAACAGGCCGATATTCCTGAAGAATGAGTCGAGGTTGAACTCCGTACAAGTTCAAGGGCTTATGTGCATTTCATTGTCTGCTTCATCCCCCGAAGCATAAGACTCAGGTGTGTCACCGTTGACAAATGTTTGTTTGATAGAAACTGGAACGGCCTGTGATCTTGGGGACAAACCATTGTTCATGTTGTCAGTTGTCCCTTCTGGGGGAGGTGTCTCGGCAGAGACATCATCATGTTCTAGAAGAGTGAGTCTTCTGCCGATGAGCTCTTGCAGATGGCGCAATTGGTCGATTTCACTTCGTTCGACTGCTCGTGTAACTTCGGGCGGAGCTTCGCTAACAAGTTGATTTGTCAATTCAGCCAAAGCATCACCGGAATAGCCATCCATTCCTTTCTCGGACATCTTGGCCAAGTTAAGGACAGCTTGTTGCTCTCTAAAGGAACGAGTTCGTAATTCAGCATTAGCTCTGGCGGTTTCGGTAACAGCCAGTGCGTGTGTGCCAGTCCAAAAGTCTGGCTCCTGGTTCCTGAACAGGATGATATCAGGTGGATGATGAAGCACAACACCATCGGGTCGATACTTTTTGCTTCGTATGATCTGCGGACGACCCAGCTGCGGCCCAAATGTATGATCTTCATACCAGCTCCTTTTGACTCTGTCGATAAAGTCCAATCTGATACCTCTCTCGGGAATCCGATAGACTTTTCCGTTCATTCGTACTTCTTTCGTCTTGTCAAAGCTTATTTCGTCTGCCATGAGCTCAACATCGATGATTCCATTATTTCTGTGGCCTCGTGGAACCCCAACGTCAAGAGGAACTGCATTCTTTGGCCTGCGAAGCTTGGGAACGCGTCCCATAACCCCGGGAGCAACATCTGGTAGACGGCTGATTGCTGTCAGATCGTGCTCTGTGTGTAAAGGACACCTCCAAGATGAGGTTGGTTTATCATCTCCTCGACGACGGGGTGGAACAGCAAGTGGTGGGTCGGTACAATCCAGATGCCATTTAGCCGGACAGAAATCACAAGGAATGATATCGCGACCATTTGGGGTAAGGCCACATCGATAGCACAGTCTGAGATTTCCCTTGCTGTCTCTGGTTTCTTTGTAGTTGGGTTCTTCGAAGAAGCCGGCTCGATTCATTTTAAGTGCATTGTTTTGAGTTCGAGGCTGACCAAACTCTTCGTACTCACCTTCGTCGCCAGTTCGCACACCTTCAAAGTATTGTCTAATATGGTGTGGCAGGGCGAAGGCTTTTGGGATTGTATCGTCAACCCGGCGGACAACCCAACCAAGTAACCCAGAGGGGTGTGGAACTCCTTTTGTTTGGCGTGCGACACATTGCGGACAGTACCATTCACCGTCAACTTCTTCATCGGGATTCAGAGGTGGCTCGAGACAATTGTGATGGAATGAGTTTGAACATCCATCGCAACACAGAAGTTTCCCCTCGCCACCACATGAGGCACAAAACTCATCATTATCCTGATACCACAAGTCAGTGACTGGAATATTGTACAACATCAAGACATGGGATAGATGGATGAGCCAGACCGAGGGAACTGGGAAACGACAGAACACTAGAAGAAGAATATCAAGTGAAGGATGGGATGAAACAAGGCAGAACCAAGCCCAAGAGGACAAGCGGGAGTGGGAGGGTCAAAGGTGGAAAGGTGGAAAGTGGAACAACAAAACCCCCAAGCCAATTTTGGAAGGGGGAAGATTTCACGGAAAGAATAGGTTCGGCTTACCTCTGCGCTTGAGTCCGCCCCTTCGATCCCAACTTCACGCCCAGGCCCCGCACGCGAAATTCCTGCCGTGATACCTCCGTTCTTTGGTTTGTTAGGTCTGCATGAATGAAAATCAGTGTTGATCCAAGAATGAGCGGTTGACCAAGGATGATTTGATACGGCAGGGGCAAGAACTGTGGTTGCCAGTGTGCAGGAGATGTTGCCAACTGCCTACAGCATCGGAAGCTAGCCGGCCTCAAAATCATCCTCATCCAGTCCAAGTTTTGAAGCAACAAAAGAAAGGGAGTAGACTTACGATACCATTACTCGTGCAGACTTTCTCGTTCTGGTGATGGGTGGAAATCTTGCACCTCGAGGAGTAAGCCCTCGTGAGGTGGTGTTTGCTAATCCTGGGGGAGGTGGTGGCACAAGCAATGGTGAAGGTGATAAAGAAGGTGCGAGCTCGATGCCATCTGCATCAAGTTCATCATACATCCTTTTCCGCCCGGTACCATTGGCGAGCATACTTTCGCGCGGTGCGTAAGAGCTCACGGGGGAAGACAGGGCTGGGTCTAATGAAATCAGGCGATTAGGATGCATGACGGGTGGCGGAGGTTGTTCGGCCGGCGGTTGGATAGTCTCGGGATGACCATGAGAGATATCTCGTTCACTGCTCTCTGGACGAGGGATGGTATTGTAATCGTGGAAACTGTCTTGGAGATAGTTGCGCTTCCGTCTAGAGAGCTCATCAATATCATATTCTGGGTCAGACTGTGTCTTCTTCGACTTTTTGGCCGTCGTTTTCGAGGTCGGTGGAATGCCCCCCTTGTTTGGTAGAGATTGGTGGTTGATACCACCACCAGCCGATCGAAGCCTGTTCCCAGCCCGATGTGTGGCTTGGCGCTGTCCCATCGATCTAGAGCGACCACTTCCTGTTTGACCATCATTTTGCTGAAGAGTAGGTACAAAGTCGTCAGGAATCGACTGAGCTGAGGATAGTGATGATTCGCTTGCAGCACTCAGAGATCTTTTTCGTTTATTTGGTGAAGTAGTGTTGGCCTCAGATTGCGAGGTGGTGAGGGCCGGATCAATGTTGACGTTAGCCAATCCCCTCAGAGGTGAAACAGACATCTCTGATGCCAAAGGATTGCTCGGGGGCTCTTTGCGCATCTGGCCGAAAAATAGAGCGATTCGACGATTTCCTTCATCGGTAAATCCAGTAGAGGTGATTCGCTGATGTGTGGACCTGGGGAGATGGACGTCTTGAGGGGAAGCAAAAGCGCTGTTGATCTCAGCAAGTGAGGAAGGATGATGGGAACCTTCAGAAATTTGACTTTGACTGGCTCTGCGAAAGTCCTTGACACCAGATTTAATGTAGCGTTTGAATGTTCTGAATTGCTTGTTGGTTGGTGATTGTTGGATGATAGCTTCGATAACATTGTAAAGCTCGGGAATCAGTTGGGCGTCCTCACGTAGCTTTTCAAGTCCAGGGATGAGATTCGGAGTACCCTTATCCTGGGCTTCCTGAAGGGCCAGTTCGAGATGACTGTTGATACGATCTTGCCGGAGGTGTTCCTGTATCGAGGCTGGTTTGGTCGAAGTGTGATTGCTAGGGGTGAAAGACAATCTGACGCCAGAAGGCGAGACATTGGAAGCCTGTGACATCTCAGCGACCTCTCTTCTTGATGGACGACCTCGCGGAGGACTGGAAATGACAATGGTGTCAGAGTGTCGTGGAGGATCAGGAGAAAGACCTCGCAATATTTCAGGTTCTAGGGGTGAAGCCGAGTCCAACTTTTCTTGCTCAGGCAGTGGGGTGAAGACTTCGTCGGTTTGGACAGGGGTAGCGCGTGGTGAAGGACGAGTGTAATTCAATTTCAGTTTCTGCAACAACCTGTGGGAGGGAGGAACCCCGAGTGGTTGCATGTTCTCTAAGACGCCGACCCTTTCCAGCCCTTTTGTGTCTTCAAAACTTGGGACCGCAGTCCGCACGTTTGGCTCGATCCATTTGTCCAAACTGGTCTGCTGACCATTTCTCAAGTGGTGAACCTCGACCGGCTTGGGAGGAGGCTCTTTTTCACCAAACGTGGCCGGGCTCGAGTAACGGCTGGACCTGTGCCGCAACGATCTGGTCGACATCCTGCCTCTTCTTCTCCGCGCCGCACGCGCCAACTAGAACAGTGTCAATTCAGGTACACGATAGATAATGCAAAAGGAAGACTTACAGTAGCCCGATAAGTGGCGCGGAGGGCCTTTGGGGGCAGACAGTGAGGTGTGGACAGAGGATGAAGTGAAGGGTAGGGAAAGAATAACTGGCGAAGGTCGATACGGAAATGGAAAGCGCAAGTTGTTACGGTTAGTGAGTAGTGCAGATGCAAGTGCAGGTGCAGGTGCAAGATCGGGGCAAGGGGCCGGGCTCAAGCGGCAAGTGCGACTTAGAGGATCCAGCGCCCAAGGCTGAACGACCCTTGCCAGGAAGGAGCGGGCAAAGGAGGGAAGGCAGGTGCCACGGGGACACGCCCAGGCTCTCCCTCCCTCTCACTGTCTCTGCAAGCAGGCACAACCACCTCGACTCGCGTCTGCTGCTCTTGCTGCTCTTGCTCGATTGCGAAATGCCACACAATCACCTCCTCCCTAGCAATATAGTAACAACGTAGCCTAACGACTGGGTGACTATTGATCACTCGACTTCCATTTAATTCCATCATCTACCTGCCGCCTGAATACTATTACCTCGTTCTCATACTGTGCCTCTGCAGGCAACAATAGTGGTAACACATTTAGGGGATGGTGGCCTTGCCCCTCACAGGTGTCTCCTTTAATTGCACGCCGGGTATGGGTCCCCGACTCACAGTAAGGGCTTGAACAAAACAATTTATCACGATTCCTACAACACATCACTTGCACCTTACACTTGCTTCACCTCGTCCTTCACGCCGCTTTTTCTGATCTTGACATTGATATTGGTATTGAGTTCTAGCCAGCTTGGTAGCTGCTCTGGATTGTTGATCACTTTTGTTTGTCTTACTCAACAATGAGTGACTTGATCCGGTTCGAAATCGCGAGCCACCGGCTCTTCTGAAACACGTTCCATTGTTTGACCATTCATTGTGTCTGTCATCCATCCACAATCGAAGTCTACGCACATGCTGCATAGTCCATTGCCCATTGTCTGGGAGCCTCTGGGTCCGAGGCAGCCTTGAAGACGTGATTTGGCGCCTGGTGCTCTGTGGTCAAAAGCCATGGCGAGGCTATTATCGCCGAACCCGCTCATTCATCGTCGCTGGAATCGTCATCGTCATCGTCATCCTCGGCCGCAGCAGCAGCCTTCTTGGCGGGCTTCTTCTTCTTCTTCTTGTTCTTGCTCTTCGCTCCCGTCGATTTGGAAACCGGTTGCTCAAGAATCTTCAGGATCTCTTCGTCTTCGATTTTCTTGTCGGATTTGACAGCGTCCAAATCCAATATCGGGGGAGCTGCAAGTCGGGTGATGCCATTCTTTGTGACAGCTTGATCCTTCGTCAGGCTCATGCATGGCACAGTAAGAGGTGGGCGGACTTACCAATTGTGGTGAAGAGCCTCGACACAGGAGAACCGTCCGCTTCAGCGGCAGGTTTGTACTCACGAAGCACACCCGCTCGGATACTTTCAACAACACCTACCTTACCCGCACGCTCATCATCCAACTGCCGGATGCTGAAGGGGAACGTGCCAAACTTCTTGACAATCTCCGACAAGATTTGCCTTGAACTTGGACGCTTGAGGCCGTATGTTGTGGCCGTCCGTCTCAACAATGTTGAACGCTTGTCCAGGTCCTTGACCTTGCCGGATCCCAAACTCAAACCAACTTCCACACCCCAGACCTCACCAACTTCCGCTGAACCTTCCCCTTTGGTACCATCCACGGGAGAGAGGATCAGCTTCTTCTTCCCTTCAATATCGTTCCGCTCAAATTGCCACGAGGTAGTGTGCTGGACCACGTGCAGTCCATATGAGGCTGCCAGCTTGTCTAGCAGAGCAATAATCTTACTCTGAGTTGGGGCCTTTTCAGCAGCAGCTTTCTTCTTCTCGTCCTCAGTCCCTGAAGCCAGGAGACCTGGGGGCACCATCAATCTGAGCAATAACTCGTTTGCATAGTGTGTCGCAACAAGCAAGTCTGCTTCTTTGCCCGTGATGGGAGCTTTCTTGCCCTTCTCCTGCGGCACCACGACCGTGTTCCCCACAATCGTGCCGTAGCCATCAATCTGTGCCCCGAGCTGGATCTTGACCACTTCACCCGCTTTGATCTTCGTTGCGGCTTCGTCGGCGTCCGAAACTAGAGGGGTGTAGGGAGTGACATGTGAGCTGGGGCTGATGGTGACCGGGTGGGAAGCTCCTTTGGCTTTGGAGCTCTTGTAGACTTTTGCGATCTCCTCTTCAAGAAGCTTGTCTCCTCGGGTGCACAAGTCAAGGATCGACTCGCCGTCCGCCAGCCATCCTGTAGCCTCAAAGTCAATGGCTGTTTCTACTCGCGTGCCAGATGTGGTAATGTTAAGTGGACGTACCGGTAACCGTTTCGAGGACACCGGTCGATATGCCGGCTGCCACCTTGTACCTGCTCGCGTCTCAATATAACACAACCCAAATGAGTCATCCTACTTACTTGGTCAAAACATCGGGGTTCGAGATACCCTGATCTAGGCGCAGGAAAGAGCATCAGTTCACGGCCATGTCTCTCTCCCACACAAGTATTTCGAGGGAGATATTTACGAAATGGAGAGTACGCACCGACGTCCGCTGCAGCTTCTGCCATTTTCGAGTCTTTGCCAGGGGATTGATGGACAGTATGGAGGGGTGTATGGTCAACAAGAGAAAGCTGCGATTTTGGGAATTGGCAGACGTGAAACTCGAAATGGTCGTGCGGCCGTGGGGTTGCCTGCAATGCAACATACAGGATTGGGATTGGGATTGGGATTGTGAATGTGTGTGTTGGTGCGGGGCACAAATGCTGCGTGCGGGTGAACTGCATGTGAGTACACTACGACATCCTATTACATATAGTTGTAGGTACTATATTATGGTACGCTGCCGAGACGATCGAGGCACTAATCAAATAGTCAACTACTAAATACTGCTTGCCTCTCAGGCTGTCTACCAAAATTGCCTCCTAGTGACTGAACTATCTCACTCTAATCTCGATGATGGTCAACCTCCCTTCTCAGGAGCCTTCACATGCACGGGGACGCCACTCCCTCCAAAGGACGTCACGTTACTTCTAACAACATCATGTGAGTCCACAGTGTAATTCTCCATTGAATGGAACATCCTTTCTCCATACGAAGCAACCCGAGTCGAAGTCAGTCACCACAATCTGCCGAGGACTCCGCAGGCTCTGATGAACTGACTGTTGTCAAACACATTCACGACAGAGATCAGACAGATTATACCGAGTATATTTCGATGAACTCAAGGATAGACCGACTTTTCGCTTCGGTTGTCTAACTGATCTATGTTAGGCATACCACTATGCGTCTAGAATTAAACCTGTCTAAATACAACAGACACCCCCACCCCGACCATCTCTATGTCTGGGTGGAACGCTCGTCTAAATGGCGGCGTTCGCACAGCTAAAAGCAGGCTTCGTACCACCGGAGTAGTCATCGATGATAGCTTCGACAGCAGTGTACAGCCCAGGGCGCAACAAGAACAACCCGCAGATCAGCACAAAAACATGAATGACACCCATGATAGACCTGCCGGCTCCGTTAAATAGGCGACCCTTGTACAGCTGATAGTAGGCGATGGCAAAGTAAATGAAGCCGAAGGAGTCAAAGGCCGCACCGAGGAGGGAGAGGAAGTCGCCCATTGACGGGATGGCCTCGGCGAATACGAAGGCGAGGAGCCAGATGCCGCCCATCAGAGCGATCCAGACACCCCAGCCGGTGAAGGTGTTGCTGTGTGCATGTCGGGAGTTGCCCATGACCCGGAAGTAAATGAATTTGGCTGTGACGTTGGCGTAGATGACGCCGATAACAAGGATCGGCACGATCACGAAAGCGAAGGCTGCCTTTTTGTACGCAACAACGCCCAAGCTGCCAAAGGCTGGGGCGGTGGAGTATTTCCCGAGATACCTGAACCCGGTGGATGGTGGAACGATGAAGAGAAAGGCAGAGATACCAGCAAGAACGGCGAGAGCCTTGGGGTAGTCTTGTGGGTTTTCCATCTCGGGAATGAATGTGGGAAAGAGGATCTGTGGAACCCAGAGGAGGGTGAGTTGGATTCACTCACCCACAGTACATAGGTGACAGCACTTCCTGGACCAGTGACAGTACCGGAGGCAGTGGCCCCAGAGGCAGTGCGATAGTCTGAGCCTCTATAAGTAGCTCAGACTCCTCTGTAGTTTCTGTAGTTCAACATGTATCCAAGATATCAGTTCCAACTAGGTGATATTTAGGACCGCATTCATACCTGCAACCCACGTAGTCCCAGCTGGAGGGAACGCGTACGTCTTGACCTCTCCCAGTTCTGGATAGTTGCCCCCGTAGCCATATAGAGGAGCATCTTCGATACCGGCAAAGGTCAAGAAGAGGAGGATCGCGAGGCCCATGCAGAAAGCTGAGAACATCGACATGAACGAAACATGGTGCAGGGTTCGGGCCAGGGACATGACGATGCCTATGATTATCGCAATGACCGAGAAGACGACAGTGCAAAGCGAGTGATCAGACAGGCCGTTTAGCACCTTAGCACCAGTGAGGACGTGAAAGCCAATGAGCAGAATATTGTTCGCAAGCAGCATTGCGCCTGTGAATTCATATGCAACACGGCTTCTTTTGCATGCGATGTATGCAAAGTCGCAGATGTCCTTGATCTGAGGATGTTTCATGATGAACTTGTCCATGGTGATGGACGTGATCCAAAACAGTGCGCCTGCGAGAACCATAGTGATGATGCCGGTAACCCAACCCAACACAGATAGTGACCATGTCTGGGCCATGATAGCCAAAGACACTTGGTCTCCGGCGAGGAGCCATGCTGCCTTTTGCCATGACATTGTGCGCAGCCTGATCTCATGTTGGTGGTCTGTGAAGTTATAAGCGGACTGATGAAGACTTTAGCATGCTAGAATGGCATACCCTCAGCTACCAATGCTGTGATGGCATCGATGGAGCTGGCTCCATCGGAGTCGAGCGCGTCGACATCGGGGGACACCTTTTTCTCCTCAGGATACTGGTGTGAAGCCATGCTGTTGCGACACAAGGGGCTGATTTCGCGAAACTTGCAGAAGAAATGGATGCTCTGCACTTCTGACAGAGAGTGGACTAGGCGGGAACGAGGGACACCTACCTAGGTACTTATACGTGACAGGGACTTCTTGCGAAAACTGCATATGCGTGGTACCGGTAAGCAATATTCCCATGGTATGGCCTATCGCCGGCCCAGAGCATGGCATGATTGGGATAAGGCTGCAGTTTGGGAAGTGTAGAACCGGGAAGGCCGTCTCGAAAGCTTCAATACCACGATCCCGCCCGTTCTGGAGCAGCAGACTCTCAGCCTAGTCCTTCGGTCTAAACTGTCTAGCCAATTTGTAGGAGCGACAGCTTGATGCACCCATGTTAATCCATCTGAACCGTGGTGAACCTACGCTAAGGTGCTTAGTTCCCGGATACGCATGCTTGAAAGCTCTTGATTGCGTCTTGACGGATCTTGATGGGCTCAGAGTGGAGCTTATCATGACGGGAAGAACCTTGGAATCGCACCATCTTTGGAGTCTCGCTTCTGAGCTGACTGCAGACCGAGCGGGCTCAATTGTTCACACACATATCGCTGGCGTCGGTGTTACCTGAGCTAGGTGCAAAAGAGCAAGTCGATCATGCTCCACAAAAGCTACGTTCAGCCCAGAGTTTTTGGGTGTACCGAGTAGAGGGACGAAGAACGAGCCCTTTCAAATAGTCATCCGTTATCGAAAGTAGGCTGGAACGGGACACTGTATCCCCCGCCCACTGTGCTCGCTCAGCGAGGGAGAACCAAGTACCTTGTACTTATACGATTCTCTTCTTGCCTTTCTGCCAGCTTGCACCATAGGTGAGAAGTGCGCGGATTTGCACGTACGGCCCCATAATGTCATAATCAGATTCAGTTCTTGTACCGAGTACGAGGTTAAGCAGTACTGGTAACAGAAATAACATTCCTCAGGTATTTAAATCATGTGATGAGAAGGCGAGGTTTCAGTAGGAGGTAGAGGTCCCTGAGTGGCGCCTTCCCTTGCCCACACCACCTTCCTTCGTAAGGTCTGCGCTGATAGACACCACAAGGCATCTATTCACTCCCTTTCTCTATGTGCTCTGCTCCCAAAGATACTGTATACCAACCGCAAAGCCCCCAGCATTGTCAATGGCGTAAATGCTTCGAAACCAATGGACTTGGGGCAGCAACGCACGTTTTCGTATTTTCAATGCCTTTGATGTACATCGCAGACCCCAATCGCACAGACATCAATCTATTCAAGACGTTCATCATCGAAAAGTTAAATGCTAATGCGCCATATCGTAGACAGAGTGCGCTCATGGGCCACTTGCCTTAGCTAGTCGTGTATCGACAGCCGCACGGTGATTGCGATTTTTCAGATGAGACTCGAAATTTTGAGCATTCAAACCGTCACCAATGCCAGGAATGTAAACTGCCACATTTGTTAGTCATGAGTTGCCAAGAACTGAATGCGAAACGGCCGAGATTGGCGTTCAGATGACCAAAGATTTGGGCGAGGGACAAAAACATCGTTCAAAGCGGCCGGGACATGTAAATTTGCCTACCTTTGCCAGTGCAGTCCCCACATCTTATTCTCGGTACGTATTTGTGAGGAAATGCGCGCGTCGTCTCATTCACTGGAACGACCTTGTGCGTTTTCGGATCAATTGCAGTATGCTTCATCACAGCTTCGAATGCATCATTAGGATAGATTTTGCGAAGGCGATCGAGGTCTTGTGAAAGCCATTCAGGTGGTGGAGGCTATACCAAGAGTGTTAGCATAGTTTCGTGTCAAGACTGCTTAACTTACTGCTGGATGTGAGGAACTTGGAGGATGGGGGGTAGCGTCGACAGCCCCTGGGATCTCCGCAGGCGCTGGAACTGGTGAGGGCGGAGGTGGCATAGCAGCGAGGTTCAATGGCGCAGTTGAAGCCGACCTCGAGTGGCTTCCCGGTAAAGGACTACTTTGATTCGAGACGAGCGCGCCTCGATCTTTGAGTCTCTGTGCTCGCGAAAACTCTCGCAGCTTGGCCTTTCCGACTTTCAAAACAACAATGAGTTTCTCAGGAACGGATTCGTCTTCGCTTTCTTCCTTATAATCCTTCTTCCTGGCTGATGTTCTGGACTCATGGTGGGATGGTGTTACCGAGTCTGGTGTGGCCGAACGTGCAGAAGCAAAGCCACCAAGGTTGGACCGAATTCCAGCAGTTGCAGAGAGAGCGGCATTTCTGATACCTCTAGTTCGAGCAGTGCCTTGCTGCAGCAGGTGGGTGGGGATTGCTGGTGAATCAGGCGCCGAATCATCACTATCTGAATCGTCCGAATCCTCGTAACCATCGCGCTGGCCAGTTGCACGGACTGACCGTCGTGTAGCCTTTGGCATTCTGAAAATACGACTTTCCTCCATGGATAATGCACCACCAGGGATAACCGAAGACACAACGAGCGACCTTATCGTTCGTTGTCGATCTTTCAAATCTGGTAGAGCAGGACCTCCACGACGGTTGGTAGATCGTTTTTGTCTTCGTTGTTCTCGAGAAATAGAGAGTTCTGTACGTTCCAGATCTGCCTCATTGAGCTCATAAAGATAGGGTGTATAATCCTTTGCGGCCTGATAGGGCCTAAAGGTGGTAGGAAGGGGTGATGGAAGGAAGTTTTCTCGGAGATCTGGGTCTTCAACTGGCCGACCATCGAATGGATGACCAGTGATATGTAAGGATTTGGAGAAGAGTTGACACTGTTCGCGAATAGAGTGGGCAATAGCAGTGGTGAACTCCCCAGCAAGAGATAAGTCGTTCGTCATTTGTCGCGCAAATTCCTCCGGCGAATTGTAAGGGCTGTTGACTTCCCATTCAAATTGGTCGATCAGAGTGTTCTGGCCGATGGTTATGTTTAGCTTGATGAGGATGCGCATTTCGTCATTTTTGTAGGCGAAATATGGCAAAGTAGGCTCGACCGTGATCTCGTCCGCGTATATCTGTGGGCAGTAGTCGCTGATCTGCTCACGAATATGTGCTACCACAGCTTGCACCAGGGGTCGGCAATTCTGGACTTCTAGCCCAAAATCTTCGACCAGCTTCTCAGCAAAATAGTCAATAGATGATGTGCGGTCATGCAGATTCCAAGTGAACGTGTCGCGTAGCTTGATCTTGCCCCAGTCGATATCGAGCCGGATGGGCACCAGATCTTCAGGCTGCTCTGCCTGGATGGTCTGGTCTTTCCGGGAAACATGGGGTGGGAGAGTCTTTCGTTTGCCAGGCCGTCTTTGTCGAGGATAGAGAATAGGATCGCGGATGTTTTTCTCGTCTGTCCGAGGGTTTCCAAAGCCTTCATATCCCACTCCAAAAATGGAGGCTGGATCATGTTCCCGTCGCAGATTTTGATACAAGGACAGCTCTTCTTTCTTTTCTTGCAAGATGGTGGGATGATTTGCTTGATCTGCAAGAAGAGCTTTGTAGTGGTACTCGTGATCGACATATTGCTCGGCCTGGATCCGGTCGACTGGAGTCTCGCGCTTGCGCTTGCGATTCACATTTGGGGTGGCACTTTGGCCATTGGTTGCTGAGGAAGATTCAGGCTTGGAAATTTCGATGCCCGAGGCTGCTAGAACCTCCTTGGCTCTTTCCTTGCCTTGCGCGATGGTGTCGGCATTGGCATCGCTGGGGGAGGCTGAAGGCGCTGAAGCCGGATCGGGGGGAGCAGCCACGGCAGGCGCGCCGTTGGGAGAGTCACTCATGACGATGACATATCAAGGAGTATGGACGGAGGGGATGGTAGGGTGTCCAATCGCGATAGGACGTTTTCCTGATGATGGTGTTAGCCATGCGGACGGATGCTTCAACGGTGAACAGCCAATGCGTGCGAATAGGGTGGTTGGGGGACCGAAGTCATCAACACAAGAGAGGCAATCTACATCAAAGACCCTCTCTAATCCATCTAAAGGACATTCAAAGGAAACAATGAGATACATACCAATATCCACCTCGGCTGGAACTGATGCGCAACGACACGATCGTGTTTAGGATGGGCTCATTTCTCGTCTTGCAGTTTCGCGTGTCGGACAAACTCTTGATCCAGCGAGACTCGGCTAGGCCTGAATGGGCTTAGTATAGATCGGTTTGGGATGCCGCTGTCTGACGAGCACATTATCTGTCTCGGCCACTAAGAGACGGGTGAAAAGGGGAGAGCTTATTGCGGATGTGGGACACGTGGTAAGGCTAATTCTGGAGTGTCAGACAATCCTCCTTTCTCAGGCAGAATCCCAACTCTCATCCATCCGAAGACATTGCGATCTTTTCTCACTTCAACCCGGCACCTCCAGCCGAAAGGCGTTTTCTTGGGTCAGCTAATGCAGGTTTCCAGCTTCATCTAGTGGGATTCGGCTGTTTTTGACTTGCGAAATCTTGAGTGACCCTTTTTCTCGTCATTTTTGCTGCTCTGGAGAGTCTCTGCCCGAACAGCGGTTGAGTTAACGGCTGCTAAGATTACCTTTGCCTACGACAACTCCTATATTGGAGCAACACGTTTCGTGACGAGTGCCGAAGACAAACGTACTCGAAAAGGAGAGTCGGCGAGCCAGAAAATCTCGAGAGATTTCCAGTCTCTCGCAGGGCTCATTGTCGTGGATAATGAGCACTCTTCGGCGTGGCAGCGATCAGCTGTGTGGTATTCAGTGGTCTTTAGAAGGCACAGGCAGCCCAGCTCATCTACGAGTGCATGGTGCCATACGACTGCCCGTACTACAACCCTTCAAGGCTCATGATCCAGGGATCTTCTATTCCTGTCGTCGGCTACGATGAGCAGAGTTGCCAGTATCAGCCACGAATTCGGGTAAAAGGAGAGACCCGGTTTCCTTGTTCTGGGCTACCTTTTCCTTACCGGTTCTTGCAGTGCTGCAGCCTAACAGTCAGTCTCATATATAAAACAAGAGCCAGAGGTCATGGTAGGTAGCAGCATCAGCAAACCAAAACATCGTCCCTCTAGCCAAATATCAATAATATTGCTGGGAGATTCACGGACAGAATTCCACTGCAGGATCCCGAAGGACATTAAAGCAGTAAATTGAAAGTCGAGGGCCAGATATTTGGCGAATATTTCATGCTGTACAGATTACCTCGTATATCGTGGCCATCGTTGAAATGCGTCTGGTCCAGGCAACTCTCAATTTTGTAGCGGTTGCGAAAGTCGGGGATATGAATCTCGCCGTCTTTGGGTAGTTGACTTTGAACGTGTTGAGTCCACGCGGCACATGAGCCGAGTCTAGAATTGACTTGCTCATTAATCATCACTTCACAGACGATGAACCATCAACGCTTTATCCGTTGTTATGATCCATAGCCTGTTATGTCATCGACTCATGCCATCTCAAGTTAGTGCCACGGTGTTGCACTTTTGCTATTTTGACTCTTGACACCTCATCCGTTTGAACCGAACGTATTCCAGGCTGCGAAATCCGACTGGAACGTTTCATCGCTGCCTAGGCCCGGATTTTTCGCTGTATATACTTGTTATATCGTACTATTCGCTCGGTTCTCTATTATCATAGTGTGTTGCAGAGCATTCCAACTCTTGTTTTCTTTGAGTGGACTGGCTGGCCTTATATAATTTCTAAGGCGACCAACGAAACCACTAACCATGGCCATCCAATTCCCAGAGGTTATGAGCACATACCGTTCATGGGTGATTTCCTCATTCATCACCTCGATTACCTTAGTCACATTTCTTCCTCGTTTATCAATACAACACTCTTACGCTTGGACAGCCCTCGCCTTGTACTTTTTGCACTGGACGGTGTACGGTATTTACAGCGTGATCATCTACCCGCGCTTTGTCAGTCCTCTGAGAAACCTACCAGGGCCAAAAGGAGGTTCATTCTTCCATGGCCAGTGGTCAGTCCTGACAGCAGAGCCGTCTGGAATCCCACCTCGGCGCTGGGCGAACGAGATCCCTAACGATGGTCTCATCCACTATTTGCATCTCTTCAACCGCCCTCGCATACTGCTGACCAGCCCCAAAGCTCTGGCAGAGGTCCTGGTCACCAAAAGCTATGACTTCATCAAACCGGAGCTTCTTCGTGCTGGCATCGGTGCCATCCTCGGCATTGGTATCCTCTTCGCCGAGGGCGACGAGCACAAAGCCCAGCGCAAAAACCTCATGCCAGCCTTCAATTTCCGCCACATCAAACAGCTGTATCCGATCTTCTGGTCTAAGTCTCGTGAAATGGTCCACGCCATTCAAGCAGAGCTCAAAGCGTCCACCGAGTCCAAACCCTGGATTGAAGTGGGCGAATGGGGAAGCCGAGCGACCCTCGACATCATCGGTATCGCTGGCCTAGGGCAGGATTTCGAGGCGCTGAAATCTCCCGACAATGAGTTGAACAGGGTCTACCGAACCGTGTTCCAACCGGACCGCACGGCACAGATCTTAGGGCTTCTATCATTCTTCCTACCGCATTTCATCGTCCGCAACCTCCCCGTGAGTCGTAACAACAACGTCCGCGCAGCATCCCGTGTCGCCCGAGACACATGCCGACGCCTAGTCGAAGAGAAGAAAAAACGCCTTGCCAACAAAGAGCCTATGCACCCAGACATCATCTCGGTCGCGCTCGAATCCGGCGGCTTCAGCGACAATGACCTCGTCGACAACATGATGACGTTCCTCGCCGCCGGCCACGAAACAACCGCATCGGCCTTCATGTGGGCCACCTACCTGCTCTGCAAGCACCAAGATGTCCAGAAGCGCCTACGCGAAGAGATCCACACACACATCCCTTCCCTGAGCAGCGACGGCGTCAACCACGAAGTCCTCGACAACATGCCGTACCTGCACGCCTTCTGCCAAGAAGTCCTGCGCGTCTACGCCCCCGTCCCGCTGACGCTGCGCGACGCAGCATGCGACACGACGATCCTCGGCCAGTTCGTGCCCAAGGGCACCAAAGTCATCCTTGCGCCCTGGGCCATCAACCTCAACACGGAGCTGTGGGGCGAGGACGCAGCCGAGTTCAAGCCCGACCGCTGGATGGCGCCCGGCCAGGCGAACGCCGGCGGCGCCGTAAGTAACTACGCGTTCTTAACCTTCTTGCACGGCCCCAGGAGCTGCATTGGCATGAAGTTCGCGCAGGCCGAGTTTGCAGCGCTGATTGCTGCGTTTGTGGGGACGTGGGCCATCGAGATGGTGGATCCCGACGAGGAGATTATTATCAAGGGCGGCATTACCGCGAAACCGAAAAACGGTCTTAGGGTTTACTTGGATAAGGTCGGGGAGTGGTAAATGTTGCTCATGTATGGTTAGATGTGGATGCGTACACGCTCGAATATATACATATATATCTACATGTTTTTGCACGTCGAACAAAGAACGTCAATCCAGATGGGATGCAGGGATGAGTGTCGAGGAAGACTACACAGCATAACACGATCGATCAAGATTTTGCCTTCTAGCGCATTGATGCATTTTTGATAGGGCTGCTAACGCTAGGATGCTGTCCATATTGACACGCTTTTCTGCTGCTGTCCCAATGAAATACATGTGTAAGCCGCTATTTCTTCAGTGCTTATGCCCCTCCTCGTTGTCGCTGAGATCACCAACGGAGCTCAGTTCGTCCGAATCACTCTCATCCTGACCTTTCGGCTTCTTCCTTGTCTTCCGGGCGACTTTGTTCGCCTGGCCACCACCGACTTTGCCAAACATGTCAGTCAAGCTCTTCTGACCCCTTTCACGCTCCTTGGCCATTTTCTTTCTCTCCTTCTCTTGCTTTTCATCAAACTTGGCCTGCATTTCCTGTCGCTCCTTTTTGCCCTTGTTGCTCAGCTCTCTCTCCAATGTCAGAAATTCATCACCCTTGGGATCCATCCCTATCAGACTTTCGAGCAATTTGATCTCCTTGGCCCACACACTCTTGTCCTCAATTGTCTTCTTGCTCGTTGGGTCTTTAGGATCAGGTCTCTCACTGGGAGTCTCGAGGATGAGTGGTAAACCCTGGAAACGCGGCTCATTCATGACGCTGTGGAAGGCTCGAAGGCCTAGAAACCCGAGCCCGATGTTTTGGTGTAGGTCACGATGGCTGTTGAGGGGTGCTTTCGAGTCGTTGAGATGCAAAGCTTTAAGATATTGCATTCCAACCACATCATCGAACTCTTGCATGGTCTTCTCAAATGCTTCGGGGGTCCTCAAATCATATCCTGCCGCAAATGCATGGCATGTGTCGATGCACACCCCGATGCGAGGCCTGAATTCAGGTTTGATTTGAGCAATAACGTCGCGGAGGTCAGAGAAGCGGCCTCCAATCAGCGTGCCATGTCCAGCCATGTTTTCCAAGAGCAGAACCACCGTGCTGGTCTCTGACAATGCTCGATTGAGGTTGCCAGCAAGCCGTTTTATGGCTTCGTCGAAAGAACCAGTGCCAGCTCCCCCTGGATGGAAATTATAATGCTTGATTCCTAAGGCCTCACACCGTCGCAGATCGTCAAGAAAAGCATCATATGACTGTTCAACCTTGTCTTTGTCCGCGTTCGCCAAATTGACCAGGTAGCTTCCGTGTGGAACGACGTGCTTCATCCCATCGTACTTATGCTCGATCAGAGCCTTTCGAAACGCATCCCTGTTGCTGTTTTGTAATGGAGGATTCTCCCACTTCCGCTGGGATTTGAGAAAACAGGCGAATGCATTTCCACCAATGTGTAGACAATTCATGACAGAGTTTTCTACTCCCTTGGCTACGCTTGTGTGGGCGCCGACGAACATCTTCAACCCTGTCGTCCGAGCAGCGAGAGCCATTGCTTCTGCTTCCTTTTCTTCTTTGGTCTTGCGCTTCTTCTTGGGTTTGGTTTCGTCCTCGTCGCCCTCTTCCTCCAGAGATTGTTTTGGTTTCCCTTTGCGCTTTGCCTTTGTTTGGGTTTCCTCCTTCACCAAGTCTTGTTCATCCTCCGGGTCTGCCTTCGAAGCCTTCTGGGTCTTCAATCTGAGGGCCGGGCTTTTTTTCACCGAGATCTTAACTTCCTCCGTCTCTTCTAAAATCAAGGAGCCGTTCCGAGTAGACTCAGCTTTATTTTCCACTTGTTCCTTGACTTGGACGTCGGTTGCTGCCAGTCGCGAACGGGGAGACCGCGTCGTCTCGGCGAAGCGCTCAACTTTCTGTTTGCTTCTTGGTGTTGATTCGACTGAGGGAACTTCGACCCTCTTTCGTTTCTTGCTGCCTAGGCTATCGCCATTCAATGAAGAGATCGTATACGTTCCGGGTTGCTTCCGTACTCTAGACATTGTGATGCATTGATACTAGAAATTGTGAGCTATTCGAGAGCATTGAGGGTTTGTGATCCGAACCTAGCCAACGTAGAGTACTTTTCGATGACGCTTCGTGCCGAACGCGTCCCCAGCACGCGTTCTGGGGACTTGTAAAGTCGTTCGAAGTGGGGAAACGCTTCTCCGTAATATTTCTCCTCCGCAGGCAAGCACTATTACATATCTGCCACTGATCGTTTGTCTTTGCCCCACGACTTACCTACGAAGCCAGTTACTTGGTAAATGGGAGATCTCTTCTCTATGAGACTCGCTGAACTGAAAAGCTAGTTGTCAAGATGTCTGACCAAGAACAAACAGAAGACACACCACAGTTGTCTGACAGCGACTCCAGCGAGGATGAATCAGATCGAGAACTTATTGAATCCCTTGTAGCGGGTCGCGAACGAAGAAAGACGGCGGGTAATCGTTACGACCGAGAAACAATCCTGGAAGAGGCTCCAGCAGAGGAAGACCCAGATGAAGTGGCACTGTTATTTGCCGATAATGAGGAAGGAGAAGATGAAGAGTTTAAAAGCGATGAGCCGGACGATGAGGCAGATATGTCCTCAAGTGATGACGATGACCAAGGCCCAAATGCTGCGGCGGATGATCTCGAAGGCGAAAAGGAGATAATAAAACAGGCCAAGGACGAGCGATCGAAGAAACGCAGAGCAGACCTGGCATTAACGAGTGCAGCTGGCTTGCGGAAAAAATTGAAGACAAATCCTACGCAGCCTACATTGCCCGCGGCTAAACCCAAGCCATCTAAGAAAAAAGAACGAGTGACTTGGGTACATGCTCAAGATTCCGGCCGGAGTTCGTTACGAAAACAAACGATCGCCCATCGCGCCGAAACAATTCAGCGACTGAAGGAGAGCGAAGCACAGAGTAAAAAGCTAAAAGCACTGAAGGAGAAAAGAGACCGTGAGCGGGCGGAAGATGCGCCAAAGGAATTGACACAAGCAGATCGACTAGCTGAAGCCGCCAGGGTTGAGCGCCAGAATGCAAAGAGTCTGAATCGTTGGGAAGCACTGGAGAAGAAGAGACAAGAAGAGCAGGCAGCGAAATTAGCAGCTCTGAAAAATCGCAAGCTGGAAGGCCCCGTCGTGAGTTGGTGGAGCGCAAAGGCGACATGGATTGGTCCTAGGCTGAATAAAATCGGCACGAAAGACGCAGGAGATATTCTAGAGGGAGGGGGAGCCATAACGAAGAAGAAGCCTGGGAGGAAGACTAAAGCAGAGCTCGAACGGCTGGCCGCCGAAAAGAAAGCCGAAGAGGGTACGCCAGCAACTGCACCGACCAGTACTGAAAACATAGCACCGGTAGCGCAAGCGGAAGTCCCTCAACCGAGCAAAGTCTTAGCAGGTACGGAGGACATTGCACCAGCACCGGCAAGTTCAGAACCCGAACTTGCAGCCCCGGTGCTTGACCCAAGTGGTGAGGCTGCAGACCCTCCAGTTCCCTCTTTGGTGACGGCAACAGATGTGATACCGAATCCAGAGTCTAGACCGACTCAACCAGTTGGAGACAAGCTGCAACAGCCTCGGGAGCAACAGGTCGAACCAAACTCGACACCATCGACTGAACTTCCTAGAGGATTTGCGGACTCTTTCCTTGAGGGAATCGAAGAGTACGCTTCGATGCAAGAAGAAGCCCGCCCACCTAACAAGGATTTGGGCAACGAGGAAAATCTAGCCAAATCAACGAAAATAGACGAACCAAAGCTCGATGTACAGATGATCGACGCCCTAGGCGATGAACCAGAGGCCACAGCACCGACTGCCCCGACTACCAGTCAAGCCGCTCCTTCAGACGTCAATTCTTCTCCGCACCGCAAAGAGATTCCAAGTTTGGTTCCAAGCACTATAGCTACTAACCCTTCACCCGCTCAACCGGCATCTGATCCGGTGATCTCGGAAGATATGGCTCAACAGAACGGCCAGGCAAGTGTAAAACAACCACCGGTACAAGAAGCTGAAGACCAAAGTGTGGTCAGAAGCGAAAGGGTGGAGCAGCAAGGTCTGGAAGTCAAGGCTGATAAATCTGTACCTGAGCCTCTGCCTGAACGTGAGCCCGTGATTGAGCACTCAACCCGAAACCTCGTTATCCTGGAAAAGTTTGACGGTCTCAGCAATCAAGCGCGACAGGAGTTTTCGATATTTTACAACCAGCGAAAGCCGGGAAAGGCAGTGAAGTCGCTGAAGCACAGTCAAGAGCTGTGCCCTATCACGGCTTTTCCCGTTAGATATCGTGATCCAGCTACCGGGATCGGGTTTGCGACGGCTGCAGCATATAAAAAGCTTCAGGAGGTGAAGGACCACCAATTCATCTGGAGTAGCATGCTAGGTTGCTACGTCGGTCGGGACGGAGCAGTGGCTGCTCGCGGAGTACCAGAAGGGTTTCTTCAGGAGTGAACGGTATCATTCTGGAATTACGACACCGATATGGTCAACATTGCGACTTTTAAAGATGAATGAGGAGTCATGTCAGGCTGTGCGGCACCCTTTTTTGGAATATCGAGGGCTTGGGGGATCAGGCTGAGCACGTGCCATTCCCGTTCCAGGAATTCCATGCGCCCATTCGTTAGGTGATCACTGATCAGGGGCCCTAAGTCCTTATCGCCCGGGGCTGAGGGGCTGAAGGGGGACTGCAGAGCCCTTGAGCTTACCTAGAATCAGCTTAGTGGAGGGGCTCAGGGCGGAGGATTGGGCGATGATTTGATGAATGGCCACTGCCCGCAACTTTGTTCCTGGTTCAACATCCCCTATGACCACATGTTGCATTTGCTACCCCAGTGCTTATCTCATTACCGCAAAAACCACACTGCACCCCTCGCTCTTTATCTACATACCCCATCTGGATGCCTTTCAAGGCTCATGCCATTTGTGGCTGCGGACACAGGCACAGGGAGAGGCACAGGCCCAGACTCCAAGGGCGCACGACATTGGGCCCTTTTCACCAGTCGCTTTTATCCCTACCTGTTTGGCATTGACACTGAGATTGCGGTGTGCAGCCCTGGACGTGTCTGAGTGCCCACCAGTCCAGCAACAACAACATCGTTCATGGCAAATACACACCTTTTATTTTGGTCTCTCTTTTATTCCCTCACCGCTCCCAATGGAGCACCCTTCTAATGACACTAAACCCATTCCAAATCATCGCAGGCATTCCAAGAAAAAGGAGCCACGTTCGAGTAAACCTCTAAAACGCACGAGTGCGCTCGCGATCGGTGACTCAACCAACTCAACTGGCTCATCGTCTTCTTCCACCAGCTCCCGCGCGAGGGACAAGGAAGTGATGGCGGCCAGTTTCTTGCAATACTGGTATGGCGAATCCCCACCGTTGCCTCCAGCCCAATTTGAGATCTGCTGTAACGAGTGCTGACATCGCGTGAAATTCCAGCGCCATGTGCGAGAAACAAATCATGACTCCGTCCAATTCCCTCCTCTACTGCAGTGAAGGGTAAGTCAACGAGTGCGCCGAACCCAGAGAGAGTGATTGTTGAAACTCGGCTGACTTTTTTGCCCTTGTGCTCTCCAGCTGCCGCCGCAAAGACTCGGTCAAACCATTGTCGGCAACCATCCTGTCATCTCCTCCACGACCGGCCTCAGCCTCAGTGCCATGCTCACCTCGCCCAGTGCTCCAAATGCACTCCTCGAACCCAATGGCATCGACATACCACCAGCCAGCCCCAGTCCTCCGGATACCGGCCGAGATGCACGGCCACAAGTCCGATCTTGACCCGACCGAATGGAAGCCAAAATTAGGAGACAGCCACCGCAAGACCTCTGAGGCTTTCCGTTACCTGTCACAATTCCACCAGACCATGAATAATAGTGCAGACGCGACTTTCAGTGATACCCCCAACTTGAACGAGGCCACCAGCAACGGCGGCCTCGGCCTCTTCAGACCTGTATATTACAACACCTCCGTTAACCACGCCACCAAACGCCCCGCAATGCACAAAAGCACGATGAGCATGTCCACCATGACCACGACCACGACCTCGACCCCAAGCCTCAGCCTAACCAACACACCGACCACAGCAGCCAGCAGCTTCGACAGCACCACCCACATGCACATGGGCTACGACCACGGCCACGACCACTACGACTTCAATCTGCGCCCGCTACCCCCACGCCAGAACCCGCTGTACTACAGCACGAGCGCCGGCGTCGGCAGGGGCATGGGCGTCGACCTCGTGACTCCGCACGTTGCCCCACCGGGCGACACGGAGGCCTCATCTTCCATGCCGGCCGTCTATGACCATGACTTCTGGGGCAAGAAGAAGATTGCTCCCGTCACAGGTGGAGCCGATGCTGCTCCAGCTCCAGCTAGAGTGTTGAGCACCACCAGCAATGGAAACGGGCTCGGCGCGCTCTTCGGCAAGGCTGCGTGAGACAGGGAGAGAGACATAGGATATAGGAGATCGAGGGTTTGATGTCCTGGGCGTCTCAGCACCTGGCTTGCCCAGGTAGGGACCAGGAGAACGGGGCTTCTTGGGCCGCTAGAGCTCCATGGCGTGGCTCGAGCTTGTTGACCGATGACTGCTATAGCTCGGCCATCAAGCTCAAGCTCTGGTTTTATTCTTCTTTGGCCAGAACACCTGCCTTCTCGGGAGATCTCGACCATGACCTGGCCTATGGCATGGTGTCGCTTGCTAGTGGTCCCGAACTTGGACTTGAAATTGTGTTTGCTCGCAATCTTATGCTTTCTTCCCGATCTAATGTTCTAGTCTTGTTCGAATGAATGCACCCTAATTCGCCAACAACGAGATTTACAAATGCCGTGTACCTATGCTTTCTGAAACCCCCCCCCAAACCGATGCAACTGGATATGGTGCTGTCAATCAAGTACTCAACCACTTCTCGGGACACCGTGCTGCCCTTGAGTTTCACCACTTTGACAACAAGTGTCGTCTTGTTCACGCGTCGCCGAATGCGGACGTGCCTTTGCAATGCTATCAGACCACGAGATCAACCACCACTGCACGATGGTCCGTCATCCATACACGATCATCAAAACGATTCGGAAGAACTCCATAGCCTTTCACCCATCCACGGACCTTTTCCTTCTCAGCTGCAAGTTCATTGTCGTCACCGTCGTCTTTAATGCCTAAATGAACATAATCGATTCTCCACTTCCCCTTTGCTTTTTCATTCTGAGGGAAGCCGGTAAAAGTCTTTTCATCCCCGTAAACGTCCTCGTCCAGAACCACCCGACGAGTGTCAATGAAACCTGACCCACGCGTATTCAGCAGCTTATACGCGTCATCGTTGGGTGGAGAGTTCAGATCTCCCGCAAGGAAGATGAAACTGATTGATGGGAATTGTTCCTTCGACGTAGAGGTGACGTGGAGGATGATTTTGGCGGCCTCTCGACGCGCCACGACTCCGGAGTCATCAAGATGAGTGTTCATTGCCAGGATCGTTCTGCCTTTGCTGTCAGGTAAATTGGACTCCAAAACGGCAATGGTTAGAATCCGGATGCTGGCAGCATCCCATCCCTTCTTGCCCACCGTACGGGTCTCATTGAGCCAGACGGTGTCGAAGTGCAATAGTGTCCAGGCAGACCGCCGGTAAAAGATAGGCGAGTACTCGCCACCCTGTTTGCCATCATTACGACCTACTCCAACACTGTCCCAGTCATTCTCTTCAGGCGTGACGTTGGAATTGAAGCTGCTACACAACAGATCTTCCAGCTGCGGATGCAGCACCTCTTGCATACAAACTAGGGTTGATGGCGGAGTGAATTGGGGCCGGGTGTGGTACTTGAAATGTGCTGAAAGCTTAGGAAATCGATCAGGCCAACGGAGTTCGGATTCTTCAGGCGGATCTGCGGCATAGCGAATGTTGTGGGTGATGATTCGTAGAGGGACGGACTGTGAGATTGAAGCAGACGGAGCTGGTGTTGCAGTAGCGGACCGCGCAGGCGAGGAAGCATCACCCATCTTGGCAAAAGGGACTGTTGGTAGATGAGTTCAAGAAGGTGACGTTCAGTCAAGGTATCAGGCTGCCAATGCTCCTTGTTGAACCAGGCAACCTGGAAAGTTAAAAGTACAGTGGTAGATGGAGGGAAGAGAGAAAAAACTCCACAGCCCAGGTATATGTACACGTTAAATATTTATCGATGATGCTCGTAACCCCGGAGGTGATCGTTGTGGGAGATGGGATCGTTGGGGTCGACTGTCTTGATGTCGTGGAACCAGCAAGCAAAAGGAGGCAGGAACGACTGGGGAGTCACATGTTCCACCGGCCTACGACTTGACACCTGACGCGTGACGCTTAACTTGTTGAGGCCCAAGGCAAGTGGTACTGTGTGGACTGCTTGCTGGGGAAAGAGTGACCGAGCTGCCTGGAAGTGTATCTGTTTGTTGGCTTGATCACGACTGCATCATACAGCCGTGAGCTTGCGCGTTTGCTGGTTGCGAGTTGTACGACTTCTGAACGCGAATTCCGTGGCTGAATGATCTTACCGTGGAAAGGGTCGTCAAACACGGCCACGATCGATACTGGGCATCAGTGAGCCGAGCAAAGATGTGTGTGTGGGTCACAGAACAGTGAAGTGGACGGCGAGTAACACGACTTCCGTCTGAGACCACTACTGTGAAGCTGGTTGGTTCATGTTTGCGAACAAGCTGATGGTCACTGCGCGGTTGAGATATCTGAAGTCTGTGGTGGTGGAAGCCTCTTTGCGACTGTTGGGGCCACGCCGCTATAATGGCGATCACGTGAGTCGCTTCCCTCGCGAAGTTGCAGTCTCGTCACAGTGGTTAGAGATAACAGCGTTCACCTTCAATCATTCAACGGCCGTACCTTGTCTCGCCTTGTGCCGCGTACGTTGGGGCTGTATGGTCTAAGCGAAGACTGGCGACGTTCTCGCTGCAAGATTGCGTCCCCTTGGTGTCTTGGCACATATCCTCTTCTCGTTCCGAGTCCTACAATTTAACGCTGCTGAGCTTGACTCTTCACAAGCATGTTGGGGGAGATTGATGGGCTGGAAGGGAGCTAGCTATTATTATGTACTTAGCATGTTCTATTCGTCATAGGGTTCGCCTCCAGTCGATAATCTTTCGTGTTATTCCTGTGCCACTTATGCTTGTCTCGTGTCTGGTCTTGTATGACGATTTCTTGTCACAGGTCTTGGATATGAATATCTTATCATTTTACATTTAAACTCAACACCTATCTGCAAGAAACACACAGGAGGTGGTTGTCCAAATTGAAGAATGTGGCATCCTCAAAGCACTGCAACCTTTCATTTTTACAATTTTAACGCACTTACTGTGCCCGTCTCTTTTTGATTTCTTCCTCCATATCCCTCTCAGCCTCCTCATCTTCCGCACCAAATCCTCCCCACCCGTCAAACTCGCTGGCCAGCCTGACAGCAGCCTTGAGAAAGAAGTTCTCGGCGTCCTCAGGATCACCCCACAGCTTATGGACCTCCTTGATCGCACGAATGGCCTTGACAAAATGCGCGTCCAACTTCTTCTTTCCCTCAAGCGCTGTGTGTTTGGCGAACGCCCAATCTCGGCCCCGTAGATCAAAATTCGTGACGGATGATTTCTTGATGGCGGGCCGGAGCTGCGCAATGTAGATTGCGATTGTGATCCACAGCCACTCGCGGACAATTTTCACGTGATGTTCGCGAGGGATAAATGGGATCAGGATTCGGACAGCATGCGAGGTTGTCAGAAGGTGGACGAGGAAGAAATCGTACCCATGCCCACCCACTGCTGGTCCGCTGGCGATGAGCAAGTTCGTAGCCAACTGTTGAGATTGAGCAAAGTCTCTGGTTGGGTCGGCTATCTTCCAAGATGACCAATGTTCGAGTAGGATGGTCGTCAGTGCCTCATCAGCGAGGAGTCGCGACAAATTGTCACCGCCATACTTGTCAAAGGCGCCGTCAAGCCTTTTGTCACTGTGTACACGCTCAAAGACCTCGTACAGATCGTTTGTTGAATTCGACTGACTGGAAGGCGAATGTTCCAGCATCCCTGCAAGTTTCGGATCGTAGCACGTTGCTGCCAGACCCAATGCTTCCATCGCCACTTCGCGGCTATTAAGCTCGTAGGCGTACCCGAGATGGATGAGAGGGTGGCCCAATCCCGAGACGAGAGCATTGAATAAAGGCCACTCATTCGCAGAGCCCTTGGAGCCCCGTTCGTAGATAAATCTTCCTACAACATCTTTCCATTCGTACCCTTCAAGAACTAATTGATCTTCGAAGAAATCCACCCACGCTCGCTGGTATTCGCGTTTTCCGAGATAGTCGCGATAGTCATGCAGCGCGATCTCGGATGGCGAGTCTTTCCAAGGCTCGTGACCATCGTTTGCGACTGCATCTTCGTATATATCGTTAAGATGATCAGCAGTTCCGCCGAGTAGATAGCCAGAGCCTAAGTGCTAGAGGGGCGAATAATGTGTAAGCTAACAGAACCGCAAAGCTGGCTTGCCAAGGCCTCACATGAGGAGTGTGGTTATGAAATCTCAAGCGATTGTACAATATTGAGTATGTAGCGTGATTCAGGCGAAGCAAATGTTTAAGTCTGCGGCCTCGTTTGTCACTGAGGACTTCAACGTCATGGACCTCAACGGCAGGAATTTGGATGGACTCGCCCGTACCACCTCGACCAAGTCCAAAAGTGGGAAGCGATCGGGGCAGTAATGAGGAAAACATCCTGATTCAAATTGCCCGAGTCAGATTAATTGTGGAAAATCGTTAAACATAGAGGCATGTTAGAGCAATACTCATGGTGAGGTGCTTGGACGGTTGATGAGGTGGGAAAGACGGTTGAGGTCACGTTCTTCCATTTCCCCGCATCTTGAGGCAAGCGGCAGCCGCGACATTTGATGCGGAAATGACGGAAGGTCCAACCCGATGTATCAATTTCCTTCTTGCCTATCGGGGGGACAGGGACGTGTCGTCATGCTCGAAGCAACGACATGCATGTAGCCGAGCAGCAATGATGCGACTTCAGCGGAAGAAATGAGAACTCCTGCTAAGATATCCTGATAGAAACACAGTTGATGTTTGTCATTCTGGTCCATTACATTACCTCCCCCCACGTGCCACATCTCACGCTAATCTAGAGTCACAACCACCTTCTTCGCTGATACACGCTTCCTCAAAAGATCCAGTCCAGCTTGAATACTCTCGAGGCCTTTGCCCACAATGATCGGATCTGGAGCAACAATGTATCTGTTTTCTTCCAGAGCCGCTGGGAGGAAGTCTTGGTACATCGCTTTCCCAACTTCATTGAATGCAAGTGTCGACCCAAAGATAAACCCGTATTTGATACCATAGCGCTTCGATTTGAGCCAAAGGGCGACCTGCCCCCACATAAAGTAGTATATAATGGTTGGCACAATCAACGTGGTCGGATGCGTTGGTGGCATTGGATAGGCAGCCATCGTGACGACCTTATCACCTTCGCATTTACTCAGAATATCCATGCAGATCGTGCCGGACCCGACTCCAATCCACATTGCGCCAGCTGTCGTCCTTCCCTGGAATGCTCTGATGATGTCCTGGACGACAGCCTTGCTGTTATAGTCGAACACTTTCGTGGCGCCCAAGCCACGAACATATGCAAAATTCTTGGGCGAGGCGGTTGTAAAGACTTCATAACCCGCCGCCACTGCCAACTGGATGGCATTGCTCCCAACACTTGTCGAGCCTCCCCAAATGAGTAGTGTCTTGCCTGTCGGCTTCGGCTGGCTCGAAGGCAGCTCCAGCCCGAGCTGATCCTTCTGGAATAGGCCGCAGGCCGCTGTGCCGAGCCCGAGAGGCAGCACACACGCTCTCTCGAAGGAGAGATCATCTGGGATACGTGAAGCCATGTGCTCGAGTAGCACAACATATTCCTGAAACGCCCCTTCGGGTGACCCGCTACGGTGCTTGTCCCCTCCCAGGGCTTGACCAAGGACACGATCACCCACTTTGATGGTGGACACCTTGGACCCGATCTCGACAACTTCCCCGGCTGTATCGATTCCCATTATGAATGGATATTTGACCCAGGGAAATGCAAGGTTGCTCCCAATGGCCTGTATTTGAACGTCGACTGGGTTGAGTGCTATAGCTCGATTCTTGATGACAATCTCATCTCCCTTAGGACGAGTATATGCCGCCGCTTTGATCTGAAGCGGTCTTATTTTTGGAATGGTCAACCATGCTGCTGTATTCTTAGCCATGTTACTTGATCTGAATCTTTGAGCGTTCAATATGAATGTCGCTTGTCTGTTTTGCAACTACAAGGTAAAAGAGGTTGGGTCTATCACAACAGAACCCGTTCTTGTTCGGCATTGCACTCTATGTCCCTCATTTATAGAGACTTGGATGTTTTCAGAGTGCAAAATGCAAACCGAAAGCTGGCTAGATCACCCGCAGATACTCCAATGTGGCCTTCATCGAAAACAGATCCAGCACGTCGTCCGCGACTATTGTCGCAGAATACATCCCAAGCAGGCCTAGCTCGTAGTTGAATCCGAGCGCAGGTTAGCGCAGATTTCTTTGGCAAGCCACATCCCCTCGTGATTCAGGCTGGTTCTACAATGTGGAGCAGTCAAAGTGAACCGGTCAGATTAATGCTCCGGAGCGCCTCGCGGGGCCTTGATCTTGATCATAGGTGAAGTTGAACGACACCCTTGATTCTGGAGCCAATTCGATCCCCCCTTCATACGGCATCACCATTCTCAGGATTGTGTTGCAGTCTGCCGGCTTTGTTCTGTTTATTAAAGCCTTCGTTTTCGTCTGTCATCTGAGACTCCAATGAAGCAAGGACTGGTTGCCTGAATGTCCACAGCCGTGCCCTTGGATGATGGTCAACTTCTGATCTTATCTTTTGTCTGGTAGTCTCAAGAACAACCAGATGAATCTCTTTCACAACGCCGTACTTCTAGCTCTATCCACTACTAGCGTATAGCAGGTGTCCGCTGAATTCGGATACCGGAACTGCGAATACAGGAAGCAAACATCTTCCCAGCCTTGTAGACAGACTGCGGCGGGTCCGATGAAGCCCCGGAACCTGCATACGACACTGCAAGTCATGAACGGCAACCAGCGAATCAAGACACACTCGAAATCTAGGCAGGGATGCAGGAATTGCAAACTCCGCAGTGTGAAGGTATGGATTCAAGCTCAGTCCCGCCGAAATGGCTAAATTGAGAACGGCAGTGTGACGAGACCAAACCGCAATGTCGAAGGTGTATTTCTTACGGAGTGCTATGCAACTATGGTGGCGCCAATCTCGATCTGCAGCTCATGGTCGAAAGAGCTTCAACCCCTCCCGGTCTACCCTGGGACAGTCACCTTCCAGAGCAATTACCTTATCGGGTCAGCGAGCATGAACAGTTGCTAAAGCGATTTCGCAATCGAACCGCTTTTACGGTTAGCGATGACAAGCGACTCAGCCTCTACCAGAATGAGATCATCACCCTTGCACGTTCGGTACGGATTATACTATCTCTTGTAGCAGAAGCTTCTTGGTATTCTTGCTGACATAAAGTCAGAACCCAGTTCTGATGCATACGATTTTGACCGTAACCCTTATGCATGATCGATTTCTTTCGCCCACGCGCAACTACAGACGATCGGCAGTGGAAGCATATCATTGTTACCGGGCTTCAACGAGCCTACAAGAACAACTTGCCCGCCCTCTGGGACTAGCAGAACAGGCCGCTCTCTGGACCTCAACCGCGCTTCTCGGCATCATTGTCTTTGCACAACTGGATGCTGACACACCGGATGAAGTGTGGCCACTAGCACCATGTTCTACTCCCAAAGTCGACTGGGTCAGGATAGGACAAGGCAAATCGGGGGTTTATCAGATCACGCCTCTCCTCCACGAGGATCCTGTGTTCGGCCCCTTGACCGTCATACAGAATCCGGAGAAAGAATTCAAACTGACCACCGGTTTGACCCTTGGTCAGCTTCCGCGCCCTTTTATTCGCTTGTACGGCCTGGATGATCATGGTACCGACGAGTTCAATCTATACCGGCCCGCACTACGACGACTCGCGAGGGCGCTTGACCCTAAATGCCATCCCGTCAAAGTGGTCATGGATTTTTGGGGTTTCACAAACATGAAGCCAGAATTCAAGGCATTGTTGGACGACCGAGATCCGCGCGCTCTCTTGATCTTAGCGTACTGGTACATGAGAGTCAACCAGCTAGGTGTGTGGTGGCTGCGCCCGCGAACTGTCCTAGAGGGTCGCGCCATTTGCGCATATTTGGAGCAGTACTCTTCGGACGATCCCGATCTGCGGAGTCTTTTGCAGTTTCCAAAAGCATCCTTTGGCCCCCGGGATGAGCCTTTGAAAGCTACCATTGAACCTAAAAGTGGGTTCTTATGGAGCTAGCAGTACCGTTTGTTGAACTCATGAGCGGCTCACTTTTCGCTGTGGACATGGGCCTCACCACGAGAATCATGAGCTGAACCGGGCCGCCCAAGAAATATGTTCAAATAGAGATTTGGTTGCCTGTGGACTTGGACGAGCAAGAGAGAGTGAATGACAGCTTTGCAAGCTGAAAAGCTGGGCAACAGTTATTGCTCCAAAAGATCGACTCCTCCAATAGAATTTGAGATTAGATTAGGGGTCGGCACCACCAGGCACAACGCTTGCAGCAGATGGTTGATCTCTTACTACCACCTGATAAGTTCAAACCCTCCATCCCCAGCGTTATTCTCGGTGACGAGACTTAGCACACTCTGATTCCGAGCGCTTGGCCACCAAATACCGATATCAGGAATGATCTAAATTAGAAGGGGTGTTGAAGTATCCTGGACCACCCTCGGACCCTCTCAGAGCTCTTTCCCACGCCTCTCTCCACTTCCACTGCCCCCCCCCCGGGTTCTGATAGCCTTGAAGACCCAGTTCCTTGCCCTTTTCTGACTGTTCAGCGGATTTCTCGTGAACGGGGCTCGCTTTCTGGCAGCCGTTCGGTGTTCCCTGGCTGGACTTTGAATTTGAATCCACCCAGCCTTGAATGTCTCCAATTGTAAGGCTGCCGGTTTGCGGGTCACATGCCTCCTGGTCTGGATGAACTGGCTGGGAGTGAACAGCACCCATGGTTTCGTATTCAAAGTATGGTCTGGTCGATAAACAAATTCTGTTAAGAGAGGTGCATGTTCAGGGTAGTACCTAAGTAAAGGCTACATTTCTGATGCTTAAATAGTCTCTCGGAGTTGGTGATTTGGTATTCAGGAGGAACAAACGCAAGTCCTTGGAGTATAGTTTTCCTTGGATTCCATGTCCTTCGATATATAATTTCGACCAACAGAGGTGACATGCTGAGCACGTCGTCTTCCTGCCAGCTGCCGACAAGTGTTGGAAACTCCTCCCCTGTTTGGTTGAATTTTTGCCTGTGACAAAAGGGATATTCGCTCGTTCCATGCTAGGGGATAAATGCTACGTGGGCATTCCCCTTAACTCGTAGCCTACCTGGCATTAACACTGTTCGCGATGATTGGAACACCTTCTGATCGACTAAACTGTTGTGAGCGTCAATAAAGCCATCATTGATTAGGAAGGTCATTTAATCTTCGCATTAGCGTCACGATTGCAGCGGCGGCATGGCCACGTTTTACTTGAGGGGGGGGTACTAATTACACATGTATTCATCACGCAAACGTACATGAAAACGACGTAGCGTCTCCGCCGCTTGCAGAACGAGGATCTCCAAGGGAAGAGTTTGAACTTATCTGGGTACTATGGATTATAATTAGTGCTGTAGTCACTGTAATCTCCGACGATACTTGAATGGTTGTACGTATGGAATACCTGGGGACCTAAGCTGGTTCCATAGTCACTATCTGAGCCGGGATATCTACGGAGTACTCAGGGCCTAATGGTGTCCTTCTCCGGGCCACAGAGCGTAGTTGAAACCTATCTAGGTGGAAGTTGAGGTATTCCTCGTTCCACCTTTCAAGGAGTACCCCGAGCTGTAAGCCCCGAGGCACCCCAGGCTCCCACCAAACTACTACATAGTATCTCCTTAACTACTAGTAGCGAGGCAAGTTGTAACCATTAGGCTGGTAGTTTTGGTGGTGGCCCCTCACGTAGTAGAGGCTTATATAACAGATGCCTTATGTCCCCTCTTTCCAATCAGTCCACGTCTCGAAGTATATTTCCTTTACCATACTATGTATGGCAAACCACTTGTCGACCTCTTTTTTACCATCAGCCCATTCCAGATAGCTCTGCCAGTAGAGATTATTTTGTTTACTCTGTATATGATTATCTGATAGCATCATGGTCTCCCAACGTAAGATACCCGGAGATCAACTGCAACTCAGGACACCTGCCCTGGTACAGGGGGAAGAGCCAGCAAAAGCCCAGCTAGATCCAGAACCCCTACCAACAATCATTCAGACAGTAAGAGAGGATCTTGATGTCCTGAAGAAGTTCTATAATGTCCCTTTATCGCCAAAGCGTCATGAGAAGATTCAACGTTATCTTGAGGACAAGCTAAGTGAAATCTCTAAGCTGCAGTTCGACAAGCTCAATCAAGCCGGCAAGGTTGATTACATTTTGCTGAAGAACTACCTGAAAAGCTCACTGCAGCGATTGAAATTCGAATTGGTCAAAGACGTCAAGGTTCTCAACCTCGTTGGATCCTTTGCATACACAATCATTGAGCTTTGCGAAGCACGGCAACAGGTTCAAAAGGTCGATTTCCAACAAGCTGCATCAAAGCTGACCCAGGCGCATGGTAGACTTACCGATCTTACTCGAGCGATATCGGAAGGCGTCTTGAAGGGGAAAGTTGAAAGTACAATTGCCTACCGCGCCGCTTATCAACTTGGAGACCTTCAATCTGTCTTGGGTGAATGGCATGATTTCTACACCGGATATGAACCGCTTTTCAACTGGTGGATGTCCCAGCCCTACGACAAGTTCCAGACAGGTCTTACTGGTCTCATTCAGTCCATCAGAAAGGACCTAGTTGGTCTTGAGAACTTGGAAGAAGACCCGATCATTGGAGAGCCAATCGGCCGTGATGGGGTACTGGCTGACTTGAATTTTGAAAAGATTGCCTACACGCCCGAAGAACTCATTCGCATAGGTGAAAAGGAGTACTCCTGGTGTCTGGTGGAGGCCAAGAAAGCAGCTCATGACTTGGGCTACGGTTCAGACTGGCGAAAGGCCCTAGAACATGTGAAAAACATGTACGTTGAGCCAGGCCAGCAGATATACGGCATTCGCGATTTGGCGGTTGAGGCCACAGATTATGTGAAAAAGCACGACCTCATCACTGTCCCTGAAATCGCTGAGTCATGGCGCATGTTGATGATCTCCCCCGAGCGTCAAAAGGTCAATCCATTCTTCCTCGGAGGCAATACTATCCAGGTCTCATATCCAACGGACACGATGTCGCACGAAGAGAAACTAATGTCCATGCGTGGCAACAGCATTCCACTCTCGAGGTCTACTGTCTTTCACGAACTCATCCCTGGCCACCATTTGCAATATCACATGATCAAACGCCATCGTCCCTATCGTCGTATCTTTGATACTCCTTTCTGGATGGAAGGCTGGGCATTATACTGGGAGTTCATCCTTTGGGATAAGGGATTTCCTGACACACCAGAAAATCGAATTGGCATGTTATTTTGGCGCATGCATCGTTGTGCTCGGATCATATTCTCACTCAAGTTTCACCTTGGTCAGATGAGTCCTCAAGAATGCATAGACTTTCTGGTGGAGAAGGTGGGCCATGAGCGGGCAACTGCTACAGGAGAAGTCCGTCGATCGTTCAATGGCGACTATTCGCCTCTCTACCAAGCCGGATATATGCTAGGAGCCCTGCAGCTATACGCACTTCGTCAGGAAGTGCTGGGCAGCGGCACGATGAGCGAGAAGGGCTTCCACGACAAGATCTTGCAGGAGAATGAGATGCCTATCGAAGTGCTACGAGCCCTCCTTTGTAATCTTCCACTTGATTCCGATTTCAAGGCCTCGTGGAGGTTTTATGGAGACAACTTAGCCATATGAAGACACGGCGGCTGCTGTGATAATGCCATTCACAGGTTACAGAGCCAAACTCGAGCAACTTCGGTACCGCACAACAGTCAGATACTTATTACCCATCAAGCTCCATTTGCATTCAGAACCTTCCTGAATGAAACTCGCCCAGAAGTTGTTTGGTAGGCCCGGCACCCAAGTTTCTCGTCCATTGCAACCGCTTCCATCCATTGGCCCCCTCGGCCTAACTGGTAGCATACTGGATCTACTTGGCCTATGCCCCTTACAGCGGTTGTTGGAGAACACAATGCTCTCTACGCTATCTTGCTTCGTATGATAGTCCACTATTTGACTACAGACTAGTACAAAATCCGCCGGATCCTCCTTTCTTATCCTGGCTCCTCGGTACGATATTGACCGAAAACACCTCGGGTTGATCAATCCTATTTACCCGTCCTGGTGTGGTGTATTCCTCAACCCTCAGTCGCGTCGAATCATGCGTTAAGGTATTTACCCTGCTACCCTGCTCCCATCCTACCACATACTCCTAAGCCCTCAGGCGGTCATCTGCGGTGTCAGGTTACACTCTTTAGGATTTGCACTTACTCTGCACAAATCAACCCCTCACCTGTTCGATCCTCTGCTAACCGGCCATAGTGGAACTCTAAGCGATACACTCTGATAATGCGATGTAACGTGTCAATCACCGATCGGCAAACTTCAAGTTCCCCGGGCATGGACTTGGTGGCGTTGGAGAGATGCATGTCTTCGGGCAGACTGCCGAAGATAAGTACTCGCCATCGGAATACGGAGGTCGAGCCAGAAGTCCTGGTCACCCTCGCAGGCCTCTAGCAATGGATCAAAAGAACCTCGATGCTGGTGTGGAAGCAACAATCTCCATCGACCGTGGAGAGATCAATGCTGCGCGAGCCTCAGTTTCTCCCTCGCAAGCTGAGCAGCACGATGAGATCGAGAAGTTTGCCAGAACGCATCAATGGGATCCTAATCTACCCCAGGCGAAGGTGGATGCCATTTCGCAGGCGCTCCATGTTGGAGAAGCCGAGACAGCTTTTGAGGTAGAGAAAGAGCTCATTGAGAAATCTCCTTACGTGGAGGTTCAAGCAGCTGTCCGCGATATTGACGATGGTGAATACGCGAGCACCCTGCGAGCATGGATCTTAGGTTTGACCGCGTCTACCATCGTCTCCGGCATCAACATGTTTCTCAGCATGAGATCCCCCTCGATTGCTATCCCAGCCGTCGTGGTCATTCTCGTTATCTATCCCATCGGCTGCTTGTGGGCCAAGGTCATGCCGATGCACAAATTCCGAACCTTCGGGCTGGAATGGACTCTCAATCCTGGACGATTCAGCGTCAAGGAGCACACTGTGATCGCGTTGATGGCCAAGATCACTTCAGATTATCCATACAGCACCAATGCCCTGGAAGCGCTTCAAGCAAAACCTTTGTACAATCATCCAGTTGGCTGGGGATTCGCCCTCCTGTTTACCCTGTCCAGCCAGATGATTGGTATATCGTTGTCTGGCATGTTTCGGAGGTTCCTCGTCTGGCCAGCAGCAATGATTTGGCCCGGTCAGTTTGGCACAACGTCCCTGCTCTACGCCTTGCATGACAAGCGCAAAGCAGACCCTGCAGAGACCGATGGCTGGCAAATCTCCCAATATCGCTGGTTCATGTACCTTGCCGGTGGCATGTTTGCATACTATTGGCTACCCGCCGTCCTTTGGCAAGGACTGTCTGTTTTTGCTTTCGCCACGTGGATCAGGCCTAATAACGTCGTGGTCAACCAGCTGTTTGGCGGTTTCACTGGGCTTTCGCTGATCCCTATCACCTTTGACTGGACGTATATCTCGGGCTACATCCAGAATCCATTACTGTCGCCATGGCACGCCCACTTCAATCTGCTGGTCGGACTGTTCCTGGTGATGATCATCCCTGTTCTTGGAATCGCTTACGGCGGTGCTTTCTACGCCGACTATCTGCCCATCAATACTTCGCGTACTTTCGACAATACCGGAAATAGATACAACGTGACCAAGATCCTGACGCCAAACTTCACGCTTGACGTGGAAAAATATCGTGATTATTCCCCTATCTTTCTGGCACCCACCTTCTTCATGAATTATGGATTATCCTTCGCCGGACTCACAGCGTCGCTTTTCCACACGATTCTTTTCCATCGCAAGGAGATCTGGTATCGCTATAAGGAAGCACGAAACCAAGAGCCTGATATACATTTCAAAATGATGAAAAAATACCCCGAAGCGCCCGACTGGTGGTATGGAATCGTCTGGGTGATCGCAATGGCATTTGGATTGGCCACTGTCCTCGGCTACGAAACAAACATGCCATGGTGGGCATTCCTCCTGTCTTGTCTTATTGCATTCATATTCATCATCCCGCTGTGCATGATCTATGCCATGACAAATATCCAGGTTTCTTTGAACGTCTTATCGCCCTTCCTGGCTGGATACATCATCCCAGGTCGGCCGATTGGAAACATGATCTTCAAAGTCTTCAGCACCATTGTCCTTGGGCAAGCACAAGTCTTCAGCGGCGACCTCAAGATGGCCCACTACATGAAAATCCCTCCCAGGACAACATTCTCATGTCAGGTCGTGGCGGCCACTTGGGCCGTATTTGTACAGATCTCGGTCATGAACTGGGCCCTAGGCAACATCGACGAAATCTGCACACCCGACCAGCCAAGCAAATTTACATGCCCCAACGGGAGCACATTCTTCTCCTCCTCAATCGTCTGGGGTGTCATCGGCCCCGGTCGCGTCCTGGGTTCGGGCTCAATGTATTCCAACATCCATTTCTTCTGGCTCGCCGGAGCGATCCTCCCCGTCATCTTCTATCTAGCCACCCAGAAGTACCCCCGGTCCTTCGTTCGATACCTGAACGCCCCTGTGATCCTCGGGTCCATGGGCTGGCTGCCGCCCGCCACCCCACTGAACTTCTCCACCTGGGCGATTGTCGGTCTCACCTTCAACTACTGGATTCAACGCCGCTGGAATGGCTGGTGGAGGACGTACAACTATATTACCGCTGCAGCATTGGACTCGGGCCTGGTCATCTGCACACTCGTCGTCTTCTTCGCCATCACACTGCCTGGTGTCACGCTTCCGCAGTGGTGGGGTAATGTCACGGTATTCGAAACTTTGGTCGGTGAAATCCCTTACGTTCTCAAAAGCTGATGTACTGATTGATGTTGTCCAGGACTATTTGAGCCAAGCCGTGAGGAAAAAAGTGGCCGAGGGAGAAACTTTCGGACCGAAGACATGGTAAACGGTCCAGCAAGGACTCGAGGGACAGTGTCCGGTCGTTGGGACTCATAGTAGGCCCCCCTGGGTGAGTACAACATTAACATGAGGTGAATAAACGAGTGAAAGGTGCAGCTTGGATGGCTGTGTTTCGCGAGCCCCCTGAGCCCATTCGTAGACTCGTAGCCGATGATTAAACTGCTTTCCGCTCGCTCTCCACTGTGAATTCCCAACATACCGGTCTTTATCCATTTGATGACAGCTAGACATCGCTGTAGTGTCACTGTCCCCCAGTTAGTTGGCGAGCTACCAGCTCTCTAGATCTTCACTAGCTCGCCCTACCTGCTGCACAGCCTCGCCATCCATGATCCCCTGCACGTAGGCGCACCCAACTATAGGAAATATACCTCCTTCCCAGTGATTAGATCCTGTCAGCTGCCACAAGTACTGATTCCTACTACTGTAGTTTAAAGGTTTTGGTGGTCTCGGAGGTTGAAGCAATTACGTCATGGCCAGTTGAGCCACACATCTTGATTCTTGGACGAGGGGGGTCGTGTGAACCTGGCCGCACCAGGGCAGTGGGCACTATCCCTGTCTTGTGGCACCAAGTTGGAGTAGCGATGATGTCGATGGCTCAGAAGGCTTCGGGGTCCCTTCTGGCACCGTGCGAACGCGTCTTCCTTTCCTGTTTACCAAATATAAATTCTGGCCCACTACTGTGCTCTATCATATATGGGTTCTGAGAATAACAACGGCGCCATTCAACTAAAGGACAACAGCGACAAAGACATGTCTGAATCCCAAGGCCAAGAAAACAAGGAGAGCACTTCTGAAGGTATGTGATCCAGGACCTGGCCACTCCCATGTGCAGTTGAGTCCCACTAACCCATTGTGCCCAGGGAGCTCGTGGTATGAAAAGCCTGAGGGTCTGGGCAACTCTGTGGGAGGCAAGGTCCAAGAGACACTGGAGCCCGTCAGCCAAAAAACCGGTCCTGTACTGGAGACTGTTGGAAAACCGGTCGGAGGCCTCGTGGAGCCACTCGTTGGCGGCATCATGAAAGGAGGCAAAGCCTGGGGTACCGAGGTGGGCGTCGGCTATGGAAACGCAGAAGGCGGACCTGCAAAACAAGCAGAGGCAGAAGGACAGAAAATGAAAGAGCCCTTCGGCGGAAAAGAGCAGAATGCAGATAACCCTCTTGGCCTGTGAGAAAAGTGAGCGCGATGGGGCCTGATTATCTTATATTCGCTCTTTCACACGACGCGGCTTGGTTCGTGGAGGAACATATCGATTTGTCTTAGTACATGTATCAGTCTGGCTGGGTATGTAACATTGACACGGAAAATACCATTTACTGTATGTCTCGATCTCGCAGCTCTCGAGTATTGCTGTCCTGCAGAAATCAACGAGTATTGAGTACATTCGAGAGGCCGGCCAGTGCCTCTTTGGAGAAACCTAGACACGGATGAGGAGAAGAGACACGGACGCATCCGAAGCATGAATATAGTTAGTATAAATGTTGACATCCGAGCCTCGGACGAACCCAGAAATGGAAATCACTCTTCTGTCCTGCCCATAAAAAGGATCACGAGTTAGCGCCTCAAGATAGCGATAGAATGACGAATGTGTAAACTGGACATCGCAGCAGGGATTTCTGTATACCGCAACCACAACCACAACCACAGCCGAAGAGAACAAATTAGCAAGTACAAAACACCCGACCAGAAGCCTGTGCGTGGGTGTTAATCACAGGCCAGAACCATGGACTTCTCGCCTCCGAAGCCCCCCCGCTCCTTGGATGGCCGCGTCGCCATCGTCACGGGCGCAGGAGCAGTTGGCGACGGCATAGGCAACGGACGAGCCTCAGCCATCCTGTTCGCGGACGAAGGCTGCAGCGTGGTGTGCGTCGACCGAGACCTTGCGCTCGCACAACGCACGGTCGAAATGATATCCGCCGGGGGGAAGGGCGCCGCCATCGCCGCCCAAGCCGACGTGAGTGTGGAAAGTGAGTGCGCACAGATCGTCAAGACGGCGATGGAGAAGTACGGCCGGCTGGACATCCTCCTGAACTGCGTGGGCATCGGCGGCGCCCCGGGGACGGCGGTGGACGTCGACATGGCCGCCTGGGCGAAGTCGATGGAGATCAACGTGTCGAGCATGGTCATGACGGCCAAATACGCCATCCCGGAGATGGCCAAGAACGACAATGAATGGGGATACCGCGGCTCGATCGTCAACATGGGAAGTGTTGCGGGCATCAAAGGAGGAACGCCGCACTTGCTCTACCCGACGTCTAAAGGTGCGGTGGTCAACTTGACGCGAGCGATGGCGGCGCACCATGCTCCGCAAGGCATCCGCGTCAATTGTGTGTGCCCCGGAATGGTCTACACGCCCATGATGTACGCGGGAGGAATGTCCGAGGAGGCCAGGGAGTCGAGAAAGAACAGGAGCCTCCTGAAGACCGAAGGCACCGCTTGGGATGTCGGTTGCGCCGTCAGGTTTCTCGCTGGACCGGAGGCCAGATGGATTACAGGAGTTATATTGCCGGTCGATGCAGGAGCAACAGCCGCTGTGGGAACGGATATACCGAAATCAGCCAGCGTGAATGGGTAATTAGGGGTTATGCAGCCTTGCAAGATTAGACACATCTGGTATGGACGCAATTAGCCAGCAAGTAGCATCTGCTACCATGCATTGTGATTCATCAAAGTTGTCCCACAAACACCTGGGCTATGCTTCTATAAACCAAGAAATCCGTCTTACAAGCCACCCTCCATGCGGCGCTTCTGATGAGATCGTCCGATCTCTCGTTTCCGCTCTTTCTTCCTATCCGCTTTCCTCCTTTTCTCCCTCGCAGCCCGTTCTGGTTCGGCCACACGTTCGATTCTGCGTTTTGTTCTCCTCTCCTCTCTGCGGTGACGCACAATCTTGCTCACTTCAGTCAGAGCCTTCACGTATTGACTGTCTCCAATCCGGCGTCGCACCACATCCATAACCTCATGTGCTTGCTCCACCAAGTTCTGGTACGTTCCTGCAAAAGTGGGATCTGCCGAGCGTGGCGCAATGGTATTTGTGTCAGTAATATGTTGGAGTGGTAGGAGAATAGCCTGGACTGTTCCATTGTTCAGATGCTCCATAGCAATGCTCGGAATCATGGCTGCAAGGAGTTGCACGGCTGAGATCTTGGGAAGCAATGCACTAGTCTTTGGGAAGCGGAGCTCCAAGCGCAAGACTCGTGCCATTTGGTCAAGGATATACTGCACTCCTGAGATTTGCATCGTTTCGTTCGAGCCTTCATTCCCACTGTCCGCGTCGTCCTCAAGTGTGGTCCCATCTACGGATTTCTTGACGGCAACCTCCATCGAAATTCTGCCCCCATCAATTATCTGCGCAAGGAAGAGGAGGTTTTGGATGAGCTGCGCACTACACTCCGCATTGCAGTCGAGACGTCTCAAAATGCGAACACTTGATTTCACAACCCCTAGAACGTCTTCCACCCCCATCTGCAGACCATGAGAGCATGTCAGTTGGATCTTGGAGGTTGACGTTGGCCTACAGTCCTTGAAAAAGCCGTCAAGAAGGCTAGCGATAGTGCTTTGTATCCATCCGTTAGGGTGGTCCAAGAACCGCCAGACCGTTGAGAATAACTTTGAATGTTTCTGGCTGAATGCGAGACCAGGGTGAATTTCCACGAGTTTGGATAGTACCACCAGTGCCTGGAACAGGGTTTCCCACTCCTCGGGATCATTCTTTGCCATCGAGACCAGTATCTTTGAAAGTGAGTTCTGGAGGCTGGCTACGTTGGCATCTGCAACTACTGCCCCAGATGTCAATAAGATGCTGTATGCCTGTAAACTGATCTTCTGGAGTTCCAAGTTCTGTCGTTGCTGAAGCCAGGACTGCATCGGTTCCAGAAATTCCTTGAGCTGACCGCGGTTGGCACTCTTGAAAAGTTGGCCCAGTAGAACCTCGGCTAACTCTCTACACGTTTGATTCTCGTCGTTGGCCACACGAAGCAAGACTGGCATGAAAAGACTTGATGTAAGCTCTTCAGACACGTCGCCCTTGAGCTTTTGTACTAGTGTATTGATGGCTTCCATGACAGAATGCCTTCCTTCAGGATATTCATACTCAAGATTCTTCAGAAGAAACTTTTGCTGCTTCGCCCACCTAGACGAGCTTTGCGGGTATTCCAGGATGAAGTGGACGTAGACTCCACGTGCGACGTCGCGTGCTCCACGAGCGTGGTTTGTGATCATCATGATGCCGATCTTGTCGACCAGCTCATAGATCTCAGGGACTTGAATTTTGCGCGCCATCACCGCTCGAATGAAATTGAATGTCACGCCCTGTCTATCCGGCTCCTCGATATCAGGGGCAATACGATGCAACAGCTCTGCAACGTCTAACTCTCGCACTTTGACATTCTTACGCTCTCGGAGGATCGCGGCAATAAGTTTCAAAGCAGCTTGTGCCCCTTCTTCATTTGTGCTAGTTGAACTCTGAACGATCCTAACGGCTTCCATAACATACAAGGCCGCATTCTGCTCCAGTTCTGGCATAGGAAGCCTGACAATTGCAGATAGTAAACGCATGGCGGAGATCTTTACGTCTTCTTGGGCCTCGATTAAAGTATCTCCAATGATTGGGAGAAACCCATGAATGTTCTCCGCTTTCAGAAGATCGTCATGTTTCTGCAAAGTAGACCTCACTAGATCTAAAGCGAAACGAGCGAGCTTGTACAAAAGGGGCGAGGTCAGACCTGTTGTCGTTTTATGTCCTGAGGAGAGTTGGACAAGGTATCTCTGGCGATTTTTCTCATGTTGTCTAGGGTGGACATGTTGTATCTCGCCCTTCTGCTTGTAGAATGCTTCAATTAGCTGATAAGCGAAAACCAAAAGATCTCGCCGACTGGCTGCTGGATTCTGCGATATACCAGAACCTATTCTTCGGAGCCATTCGTCAACCTGTCTCACCTGTTTCGTCGTCAAAGTACCGGAGAGAATGGTTTGAACAGGAGAAACAAGCTTCACAAGCGTTGACACACTCGTGGAATTGGCAACTAGTTCCATGGTGTCGAAGCTTTTATTGCTCTTGACCTCCTTCATGCTGCTAATGTAATCTTGATTGTCTTTCTCCTGCCCAACTGAACCGAAAATATCGTCTATTGCAACTGCGACCAGATCTGCAACGCAGTAGTCTAGTTCTCCTGATTTGACAGTGGGTGCTAGAGAAATCAGGATGCTGTGTACAGTGTATGACAATACGTGTAGTTGATATCCTCGAGTCAATGCATTGCGCAGCTCCTTGACAACAAATTGAAGGCTAGTGGGGCCAAGAAGAACGACAATCTGCGCTAGAGTATTGCGTGCCACATCGCGTGACTCTTGAACCCGACTCCTGAGGATATTAGCTATATCAAGGATGGTCGGGCCTGCTGCGGGAGCAATCTCGTCAGCCGGAAGCATCTTGATCAATTTGATACTTGTCACTGCAACTGGAATGCGGAAGCTGATCTCGGTCTCGTCTTTATAATGTACCAATTCTGTAAGCCTTGGGATAAATTGCTTTTTGATCTCATTCTCTAAAGCCGATTTAGGAGGAATTGTTTTTGCAAGATGTGTCGCTTTTTCCGAGGTGGTTTGTTTGCAGGCACTCAAAAGTGCGTCTGCCGCATGGCCAAGAAGTTTGACTGTATCTTTCTGACCATGAGGGTTGCTGATATCATTCTTGTATTTGCGAAAGAGCACCTTGAAATTCTTCCAGTCGACCCATTGAAGCAAGACGCTCATTGCAGCAATACTTTGGCCCTTGGTGCCTTGAGCAGATTCATCACCACTGGAGTCGTAGGCAAACATTTCGAGGAGAGGAATAAAGAATTCTGCAATATGGGAGGGTTTGATTCCACCCTTTTCAACCTCAACTGTCATACGTCGAATGGCTCGAAGACGCCGGTGTTGCTGGATGTGGAGAATGTTTGAAAAGAATGAGGCTTCATCGTCATCCCCAACAAGAAGTACCACCATATCTGCGAGGTCTTCATCATCGCGAAGATGCTGCACGAGGAGTCCATAGATAGTAACAAAATCTGCTCTCATAAGCTCGGATGGGTCTCGTGACCCTTTTATTGCAGAAGGCAGAACCACCTTGGTAAGCAAGTTCTTCAAGCTCTCACTGTCCGAGGCGGCAGCTCGGATGATGAATTGCTTCAGGGCAGCTAAGGAATTTGAGCGAATGGCAAAATCTTCGACGGTCCGGACGAAAAATAGTAGATTGTATACGATGGGCAGCCATAATGGTGCGCTATTGTCCCTTGTTGGCAATGAGTTTATGGCTTCGAAAGCTGAAAGCCGCTTCTCATAGTCAGGCTCATCTAGACGATCTGCTGATGCGGCGTTTAAATCCAGACAATACCGAGATGCTTGCAAGCTCTCTTCCTGGTTGTGAGCAAGCAATTCCAATACCCGGCATAAAACCAGGCGGTTAGTTTGATCTTTGAAGAAATTAAACAGTGATGAAATCAATTCCCACAGTGATGTGCGGGATTGTTCATCAATTTCCATGCCCTCAGACTGGAGAAAACCTTGAATGGAGATTACCAGTTTGCTTTTGATGTCTGGAGTGAGCTTGTACTCAGACCGGTCCAACAAGTTCCTCAGCAGCTGGATCATCTTTTTCTTGGACTCAGCCGATGATGTAAACGTTGCGAGACGTGGGAGGATTGAAGTGATAGCAGCCAGAATGTCTCTTGGCGGTGTCTGCTCGAGATTGACGATTAAAGCTGCCAGGAGGCCATCTGATTCGAAATCCAAGTATTTCCTGGCAATGTTGGGAGCCACATCTGTGTCTTCAGCAAGAGACAACCAGGGGAGAACGATCTCCTGGAGAATGAACACTCTCACCTCGAGTTGTGCTGATCCAGTAATTAGGCATTGCCATAAAACTCCGGGAAGCCGCGCATCTTGATCACGCAGGTGACGGATGAGCTTGTGTGAATGAACCCAGGTTGCAAATAGACGCATGAACCCTGATATGCCTTGACTGGTTTCTGACGCGAAACTGTCTAGACGAGGACTTATGGCATTGGCGAAGATAGAAGGAAGATAGACAGCCCAGTCAATATCTGGGCAGTGGTCTACGAGGAGGACCAAACACTGCAGACCAACGCGTCGAATGTTCCGGGACAATGATGATATATGCTTTGACAAATCGGTGCTCGCCTGTTGGCGAAGAGAAGACTCGAAAATGCAAAAGACCACTGCCTCAACGACTTGCTGGCCGTATGGGGAAAACTGGCTTTGAAGGGTTTCTAGGACTGAAAGAAGTAGGCGAAGAAAACCGTACTGTTGGTCCTCAGGGACTGCAAACTGATTGAAAATTCGGTCTGCTGATTTCGGTTGTGCGATGCGAACCTCTCTCAGTCTCCCAAGGGCAATGTTAAGGAACATTGTAATCTCTGCATCATCCATACGAAAAAGACTCCTCAAGATTGCCTTTCTCCTAGCCTCCTGCGACCCAGCTGTTCCGGAACGACCAACAATTAGACCAAAAATGAGTCTTAGGAGGATCGGGAGGATGGTGCTTCTGTCAGCGCTCTTGACCCCATGTTCTTCATCTGTGCTAAGAAGTCGAGCAAGATCACTGTTCGTCTTCTTCTCCTCAAGAACAGATAAAAGTGTTTCTTCGTAAGCCTTGACTTGTGGATCCTTCCATTTGAGTATAGATTGCAATGCAAGCTTTCTGATCTCCAGATTGCCGTTGCCTAACAGGACAAGAAGCTTCTCATAGACTTCTTGGGTCCTAAAAAGCGCACGGGGATTGTTGAATTTGCTGAACATCAAGAGGAAAGTCTTTCGATCAGATAATGTCCATTCGTGATCATCAATGTCAGAAGTCAGGGTATGGGACGATATTGATGTATCTGAGTGGGTGCTGGGAGAGAGCTGTGCGCGGTTCATTGGTGCAGAAAGGAAAATAGGAACAATCAGACGCGAGCGCCGCTCGACAGAAGCTGGTATCGAAGACAGTACTTGAAGAGCTAGCGCTCGACAGCCTGATGGTGCTCTGGATATTTCGAGCTCATGAGTATTTTCGATGAGGTGGCGAAAACTTGAAGTGGCGTTCAAGTATCCATTCACGACCTCGACGCAAATTTCTTGGACGGAGGACAGGCTGGTGCATTCAAAAGAAGACGATTTTGATCTGATTGTTTCAGGCTCAGATCGCTGCTTAAGATCCACGCTTGATAATGGAGTTTGCAGCCATTGTATTGCGATGCTCAGTACTGAATTTTCCACCGCCGGATCCTCAGCGATTTGTGCGAGAATTGTGCAGATATCCTTTCTCGTCGTATCATGAAATTGTGATAGTAAACCAAGGCAAAAGAGTGGCACCATATCCTGCAGATCTGCATTGGCGGCTAAACTGGTATGTCTCTGTGGCAGTCTCCTAAGCAGCATGGCTAATTTCCTTACCTCGGCGGGAGTGTAGGGCGTTTCGAGGATTTCGAGCATCAGCTCGATTGTTTCAGAGAGGGCAATGTTCACATTTCCTGGCGCAAGGCTAGAAAGTAACTTCAAAGACTCAGTCTTGAGGCCAACTGACGCGTTAAGTAAATTCTGGACCAGACAATGACACACATTTTCCAGATCCATATTTCCAAGTTTCTCCAGCGCTGTGCTTCGTTCAAGTAGTCCATTGACCGCGGACAAGAACGACGGCAGGCGATAGTTTATTGATGGCGCTCCAAGTGCAAGCGAAATCAATGATTGGTCTTCTTGTGGATTCTTGGCTGGAAATTCGAGATAAGCCTCGAAGCCCCAGCTAAGCAGTACACGTCTTCGCAAATCCAGGTCGTTACTACTCTCTCTCAGAGAGTTTTCAACAAGACCATGGATTATAGCTTGAAACTTACTTGCGTGTTTGGGATCTCGTGCAAATCGTGTGGTCTTGGATAAATGGATTTGTCCAGCAATTTCTTCGATCGACAAGGATGGCTTTGTGGACAAGGCTGCAAGTTGCTGCAGGCTGAAGGCTTCCAATTCCGGTGGACATGATATACAATCTTTTGATCCGGATCTCTTAGACGTTACATCATCGTCCCGGAAGTTCTCAAGTGTGTAATAAAGACTCATTGTGTCATCTGCCCAATGGTTTACAACGAATTGCTGAAAGCGAGGAAACACTAGGTCCACAAAGCGCTCCTTTCCTAACCTGGCACAGACAGTGCAGAAGGAGAGAAAATCTCGATTTGATAAGTTCCCGCCTAGCCAGCCTGACAATCGTTCCGAATAGGGTAGAAGTTGGTCCATTGGTGCATACTGAAAGACCCCCGCAACGACTCCGATACATGTTTGTCGAAAGGGAATGGCGTCCCAATCTCCCCGATCTGAGCGACCGATCACTTCAAAGACCGTCTGAATTGTGGCTCCCCAGGGAGAAATTCTAGTCCCCTTTCTAGTACCAATAACGGTGTGCAGCAATTCAAGCGCCCTTTGGGTTTTTTGAGGCTCATGAGTTGAAGTAAGTCGTTGACAAGTTTCCAGGACAATCTCCAAGACCGGCTGAAACGTCTCGCTGTCAGTTTCATGTATCAGAGCTATCAATATCCCCGTCACGGTTGATCCTATGAGCTCCTGGTCGATAAAGGCCGTAGCAGTATCAAGAAGGCATCTAACAAGGTTGGGCGCGCTTGTGTGAAGTTGACCTTCTAGGCCTCGAGAGCTTTCAACATATAGACTCATGATACCGACTTGGAATGAGTTTTGCGATTCCTCTGGAACATGGGTAGTCAACTGTTCGAAAAGATGGTTCGTCGCAAGGACAAGAGGCGCTTTTCTCTTAGTGTAGAGTAAGGCAGCCTTTCTTAGCAAGAATGCTAATGCCTCGGCACTAAATCGGACGATATAGTCTTTCTTGTTGGACAGGTGGGGAACCATAATATCGAGAAGCGGCCTTAGGTCTTGAACCAGTAGTCGGGAGAGGTATTTAAACATCCAAGCAAGGCATGTGAAGCACCATTCCACAACTTCCGCCTTTTCATGTGCGGCTGCCACTTTCGAGACAACGTGAACGGTCCTGGAAAAGCATGCTTCGAATCTGTGGCCAAGGTCGTGTGCGAGATGTGCCAGAAGACTGAGGAGGGGCTCAAGCGCCAACGCATCTTGTTTGTCAATTGCTTGCAGAAGCAAGTCAAAGATTGTATCTGAATGATGGAGCAATTGGGGTAAATTTTCGCATAAAGGATTGACCCTGTTGAGGAACGTTGTAAATGTCTGCGACAGGTTCAACTCGCTCCATTCTTCAAGGGATACGCGGAAGAAACTGTGTGCCAGATTTGTATCAGCCTCTTCATTGTGTCTTTTATCGAGGGCATGAACTGGGTCTATCTTGAGTCTAGAGACCCGTTTAGTGAAGGACTCGTATCGGTGAAGCTTCTTAGTCGCAGTTGGTGGCACCTTCTTCGGTTTGCGAAGTGGAGTGGTTTGAACTCCGGGAGAAATGGGAGCCATGTTGTTACTGTCACCGAAAGGCGGTGTCACACATAATGATTCGAAAGTTGTTCCTCTGAAGGCAATAGAAGGTAAGAAAGTCCCAAGCGCCGGTCAGCGTGATCTTTTGAGACCGAGAAATTATTTTGCAGCGCAAAGAAAATTTCCCCGCGTTCGAAGTTGGAGGGTTTACACGTGATATTCATGAGTAATCATATCACATGTCAAGAAGTCGAGGGCGACTATTAACAGCATGTGACACCGGTGATACGTTGACATACGTTATGCTCCACCGTATATATCAAAGCTTCACTTATGGTCACCTAAGGACATAGATCGCCTTACTGCCTCTGAAATCGTCAGATTTGCATCAATTGATTCTTTAGAATCACTTCTCCGGCAAAATTTCTCATTCTAGCCTTACAACCAATCGTGATGAATATTGTTTAGTGCTAGCATGAGCGACTTGACTCGAAGCATCTCTTCTTAAAACACTTCAATCGCCGCTAACATCCTAGGATCCAGATGGGGGCGGCAAAGATGTGAGTGCCACCTTCTGTATTTTTCAAATGAATCGTCCTTCACTAACACTCTCAGTCTTGTGGTAGGGAGTGTTCAGGGCAACTTTAAAAAGGCATTCGAGAAGATTTCAAAACTGCAGGCAAAGCAAAAGTTTGACTTGGCCATCATTGTTGGTGATGTCTTTGGTTCAACCACTGATGAAGCCACTTCAGATGACTTACAGGCGCTGGTCAATGGTCGAATTCACATCCCACTCCCAACTTACTTTACAGTTGGCGATTCATCTTTTCCGGATGTGGTCAGAGCCAAGCTCGAAGCCGACGCAGATATATGTCCCAATCTGCTCTATCTAGGTCGCAAAGGAACAACTACCACAACCGAAGGTGTCAAAATTGTTGTACTTGGAGGTCGTGAAATTCAGAATGAAAATTCAGTGAGTGGAAAGCTTGGAAGTTGTGACCCGCAATACCTTGATAACGATGCACGCGGTCTTCACGGTGCACATTCCGCTCATATTCTCATCACCAATCAGTGGCCAGCGAATATCACAAATGGATCGAAGGTCGATATCCCACCGGCGCTGAACGATCTCGTTGGTACGCAATCAATTTCCAACCTCTGCGAAGCCTTGAAGCCCTGGTATCATTTCTCAAGCAGCCCACAGATTGTTTGGGAAAGAGAGCCGTTCAAACAAACTGCCGACTACGACTCTCTGGAACAGCCAGCTGTGACTAGATTCAAGAGTCTTCCTAGCATTACAGCGCCTACTAAGGAGTGGATGTCGGCATTCTCATTGGATACTTCCAGGCCCCCTACTACTATTCAACCCCCAACCATCTCACCATTCAGTCGTGCGTCACCTCCACGCAAGCGACCAGCTGAGGACAATCTCTCATATGAGCGCTACCCAGGAGCTGGCCGTCGGCAAAAGCGGCCTCGAAATGACCGCATCGACCCCAATGACTGTTTCATGTGTCTCAACAAACCGGAGTTCAAGGCTCACCTCGTTGTCTCGATTGGGGAAGAGAGTATAGTAACAGCTTCGCGGGGCCCACTGAGTACTATGTCGACCTTTCCGCAGCTTTCATCCTCTGGGCATGTAATGATTATCCCACACTATCATGCGGCAGATGAGGCGGCGCAAGGCAAACGATCGGCGGAAGAAGTCACTGCGGAATTCAACGAAATGAGCGAGTTCATGCGCGCGTTGAATAGAATGGTAGGAAGCAAGAGTTTGGGACAGCTAGGAACGGTCTGCTGGGAGGTCAACCGCACTGGCATTCGACATCACCACTGGTCCTTGATCCCATGTCCGGCGGAACAGGTCAAGAAAGGGCTCATCGATGCAGCGTTCAAAGTATCTCGAGAACAGCAGAAATATCCTGCTTTTGAAAATTGTGATCCGGACAGCCAGCTTCCAGTAAAGTCGGATTATTTTCGAGTGTGGACTTGGGTTTCCGATCCCGTCGAGATGGCAGATCAAACAAATGGCAGTGGCACAGAAAATGCGGTTGGAGTGGCCAAGTCAATGTATTTTCCTCTTCCCGCGGAACAAAGGTTCAATATCTGGTTTGGTAGAGAGGTGATGGCAGGCTTGTTGCAACTTGAGGACAGGCTGAATTGGAGAGATGCACTGCTAAGAAAGGATGGAAGTGAGCAAGTGGCTGAGGAAGAAGATGCGCAAGGATTGCGGGAGGACTTTGAAGAATTTGATTTCGCCATGAAATAACTAGATTGTGGCTACGACGCGGTCAAATCTGTGCCCTCGAGGAAATAGGGTTTGTTCATGGTTTTCTAAGTCAAGAACAGACATCGATCGGAGGCTTTCACTTTAGCGTTCGAACTTCGAGATTTGCAATGAGCAACACACGACACGCTTTGTGCATGGCGACAGACTGCCACTGGGTCCGGAACAAAAGCCACTTCGTCCTTCACTTCGGGCAGGAATATGGAGCCTCTGGCTAATCGAAAGTGGTCCCAAAATGGTGGTCCCGCAGACAATATTCAACGATCTCGGAGTTGACTTGCTCCTTATGGGAGGCACTCTCCGAGGCTCTCGTGCAATAAGTTCTAGATCGTATAACCAATCTATGATTATTCTACTAAGATGTAATGACTGTTGCCAATCTGATATCGTAGCTTGATTGGTGCGATGATTGTCCAGTCTTTCTGCCACAAGGCTGATGTCAAGCTTGTGGCATCTGCGTTGGGCCTGCCATTCGATCTGATGATTTCCGCCACTGACGGACGTTGACTTGAGCTATGTCCATCGCGAAATCTCTACGCCCATTCCGGCAATTGCTCTCAATTTAGTAGGGCATCGAAAATAGCAACCCATGCAGAAGCGTGTCCCCCGCAATTCTGGTGTTGATGGTGTCATGCTGACGGGTCTATCTCGAAAACCAGTCGTACGCTGCGGCAGCAAAACTAACCGGGCTCCGTGATGGACTCGGATGATATTGACGCGTTGCAGTGCCAATGGTCCGGGTTATCGTTGCAAAGATAGACCACAACGGCAGAGACAGTGGCATCGACAACATCACCCGAGAGTTCACGTGGAAAGTGAGGTTTGTGAAGTGGACATTGCAAGAATTTCAATCTGGGTTGAAAGCCAGACCACCATAGCAGCCAATATTGTTAAATTATCCAACAAAGGTACCCCCGGACCCTGTGAACTTTTACCACTCTCGGAACAGGATTAATTATAGATGAAAGACGTCACACTCTCGGTAGACAAGCCTTGTGAGAAGCTTAAATCAGCACCGGCTGTTGATGAGGGTGTGGGCCGCCCCTGAAGAGCTGCTGTTGATCTCATCTTCCACCTGAGAATCCGAGACGTGTGGCGCGCCTCTATTCGTATTTGGTACTGCTGCTGGAAAGAAGCCCACCTTCAACCTGACAGATCCGTCGAACCAGCCGGGGTTTGAGAATTGTGTGTGGCTCACCAAGCCGATGCAAAAGCCAACTTCGAGTATCAACGAGCGGTCTATGCTGAAAGAAAAAAACTCGATCCCAGTGTTGTGGTCAGCAGATACCAACTCAATTTCATTGACTTGCGGTGCCCAGTGCGCTGCCGCTTGGCCTGATTTCCCCAGCTGTACTTCTTTGCTGTTCATGCTGTCAATGCATATCCAACGTCAGGAGACCGTATCCCGGGCCTGGGCTCCCACGATTTGGTAAAGAGGGGTCGTTGGTTAGCGTGGCGAAGCGAGCATCCACCCGAGTGGAAGCTCATCTTTGCATCAAAGTCTATACGAGCTTCCAGGTGTCAAGCTCGTCACTAATTTCTTCAAGCTTTTTAGCCACTGGGCGAGAGTCTGTATGGGGATCGTATGCTCAGGCACATTTGACCCTTATGTCAACCTGTGTCTCTCAGCCGTGTTCTGCGTTGCCAAAACGGACCGCCCGTCCTTGACATCGTGGCGCCTCTTCCAACAAATGATGGTGTCCATGCCATATGCAGGAGCCAGTATTTTGACTTCCCTCTTCTGCTTTACTATGCCCACTTGACCACAGGGGCTGCGCTCGATAGCGGTCGAACATGGCGCAGAGCAAATCAACCCAGGATCTCAATGCATTCAAAATCACTTTATTGCCCACGCGGCTATCAACCTGCCTCCCACTATTCTTCTCCGGCCAGTACGTCTGATTATTTTAACTTACCTTGAAAGGGTTTTTCTTACTCCAGTCTCTCATTACGTTGTCTGGGTAGGCAACTGAAAAACCCACCCGCCATTCATTTCCCTCTGGCCGCCCCTACGAGCTCCTGTCGAAATAGTACTGTTAGAATCTCATCAACACTGATATGAAGTTTTCGAATACCACGGGGCTGTTGGCCCTTGGCCTCGCGAGGCACGCTGCCGCTGATGCACCAGCAGACGGTGGTGTTTATACTGTGACTGGTGGTGCCAATGCTTTCCCGGCTGTCCCAACAAGCACAATCACTGTTACCGCCACGACCACCGTTACAAACGTCAGCACGACTACCGTCACTGCCACAACCACCAAGACTGAGACCTTGACCAAGGAGGCGACCACAGTTTACCGGTCAACTGTCTATGTAGCACCTAGCTTCTGTTCATCCACCGTGGTAAATGTGGATAGCCAAGGCCAACCGTGGCCACCTTCAGGATCAGCACCTGCTGCCGCCACTGGAACTGCTCCAGCAGCGAGTTGGCTGCCAGTTGCCTCAGTTGATCCTGCGCAGTCTACCGGTGTGCCGCCAGCCTCGCCAGCAGGCACTACCACTACTTTTAAGGTTGATTGGGTCGATACAGCAACTGCTTCAGGATCCAAGACCACTGTCACTGGAGCTGTTGACCCTTCGATGCCAGAAGACGGCAGCTGGCTTGACTGGGCCAATGATGTGACCACGATTGGTCAGGATGGAGATGTGTGGAGATGGACCGTGGACGTCCCAACTGCCACTTTCACCGGCGCTGCTCCAACATACAGTGGCGCATGGCCAGGCGACAATGGCGGCGACAAAGGCGATGGCGGCGATGATGGATCTGGCGGCGACTCACTTCCAGAGCCGGGCTCTTCCGCATCTAATGTCACCAAGCCATACCTCCCTTTGCCAGAAGGATCCTGCAATACCGCGGCCGATCGAAGCAAGTGGTGCGGTGGTCAGTCGATCAAGACTGATATCACCACTGCTGGCTATAAGACCGGCAATACCTGCTCATATGACTTCACCATCACCAATACTACCATGGATTACGATGGAAGTGGTGCCAAGCTAGCATTGGCTATCAACGGCCAGGTCCCCGGGCCTGTGATCGAATGCAACTGGGGTGATATCCTTCAAGTCACTGTCCATAACAAGATGCAAGACAACTCCACAACTATTCACTGGCACGGTTCGTATCCATATCTCCCCAGCTGATAGGATGGCCCACTAACTGAATTCTAGGGATTACCCAAAAGGGAACCAACGACCAAGATGGTGTGCCCGGTATTACTGAGTGTGCCATTGCACCTGGTAGCTCCCGTACCTATACCATGTTCCTCGAGCAGCACGGTACTGGTTGGTATCACTCTCACGCCATTGCCCAATACGGAGATGGTATCCGGGGCCCCATGATCATTCATGGACCTGCTACTGCCAACTATGACTATGACATGGGTACTGTCATGATTGATGATACCTTCCCAGTCACCGCCCAGCAACAAAACGACCGTATTGCACACTTCGGACCTTCTGGGTACGTACTTGCGAGGAGTTCGATAGCCTTATGCTACAAGCCACTTAGTTCCCAAGCCTTACAATCTAACCGTCCACTACCTTTACTCATGCAAAACATCGCTAATCGCTTTTCTTCTAGAACCGTCAACTACTTGCTTAACGGCCACAACACTCTGCCTGACGGATCTGCTGGCCAACACACGTTGTGGTCTGTCAAGCCTGGCAAGAAACATCTCTTCCGCATCATCAACTCTGCCTCTCAAAACATGTACTCGGTTCACTTCGATAACCACAAGATGACTGTCATCTCTGCCGACTACGTTGCCATCAACCCATACACTACCGAATGGCTCAACGTTGGAATTGGTCAACGATATACCGTCATCGTGGAAATGGACCAAGCAGTTGGTGGATACTTCTTGCGTGCCGTTACACAGACCGGATGCCCCAGTGGATGCCAGAACACCGGCTTGGGCAATGCCAACGGTATCTTCCTTTACGAGGGTGCCCAACCATATTTGCCTACCTCAACTGCCGGTGGCAAGACTGTTGCCGACTTCAACTTCTGCTTGGACGAGCCCCTTGCATCATTGGTACCATATGTTGCCAAGGGCGCTGGCGCGGTCGAGCAATTCTCTGCCACAGCTTCTACACTCCCTGCTGGAAACGTCGCTCAAGTCGCGACTAGCGATGACGGAAGCGTTTTCCGCTGGTTCTTGAACAATGGCGCCATCAACGTCAACTATACTCAACCAACTCTGCAGACACTCGCTCAGGGTGGCAACAACTCTTTGATCTCCAACCCCATTGTCCTCAACAACGCTGGCTCATGGTATTACTTCATCATCCAGAACCAGTTCTTCGCCTCTCACCCCATGCATGTTCACGGTCACGACATGAGCGTTCTGGGTCAAGGCACTGTCAGCTGGACTCCTTCTTTGACCAACACCTTGAACTTCGCCAACCCTATGCGTCGTGACACGGCCATGTTGACCGGCTCTGCTGGCCCAGGTGCTCCTCCCGGATACACGGTCATCGGTTTCGAGACCGACAACCCAGGTGCCTGGTTGATGCATTGCCACATTGTCTGGCACGTTGATGGTGGTCTTGCCCTCCAATGGATTGAAAGACCCAAGGATATCCCAGCTTATGCGAACGGCCAAGACTTCAAGAACGAGTGCACTTCCCTCAACACCTGGCAAAATGCCGGCCCTGACCGTATCCACACTTCTGGTGAATCCGGCTTGAAGCGTCGCTCCTTTGAGGACGTTGTTCGCCGCAATGTTGGCGATGGCTTCAAGCACAGGCATCTCCGCAAGTAAACTCTCAAGTATGCTTTCCTGAGTATCGCTGCTCGAGCTTTTCAAAGCTATGAATCTTTTCCTTAATTGGCACGCAGCACATAATTGTCAATCTGAGAAATATTAGGCCTGTAATTGGCGTTTGGATGGTGAGCCACGGGTATGTCAAACCATGCTCTGTCGATGAAAAGAGGATCACCTCATGAGTGTTATTATTCTTGATATTTCAGAGCCTCTGTCTCTAGAATCAGTAATCTGTTGCAGTTCCTTGTGGTACACTTTGTCAGGGGAGTCTATATATTAGTATCTTCTTCTAATTGTCTTCTCTCATTCTGAACCCATTACTTCCATTGTTAACTCGTTTTCGCCGTGAGTGGAGATGTTCTTGGCCTGTGTTTGTCCGACTGGTGGACAGGGACCATCCACAACTTCCCCGTGGTGCGAACTGCCGTCTCGACCATCAGGTGCAAGATGATTCAAGGCCGCGTAACTCGTGATGATGTGAGCCACATCGCGACCAGCAAACAAACAGCTGGCCGCAATGACTTCTTTATATCCGAACCCTCAGCTGAGCGCTCATTGCGACCGTGCCCGTAACATGCTCAACTCATATCCACAAGATCCCATGAGCAAGATACCAGCTCCAGGGAGAATGCTCTATCCAGAGCGTCACTCGCAGCATCGTGTGGACGAGAACATTATTGGATTCTAGCCCGTTCCAGGAGATCATAGCCTTATGTTGTCTCCATACACGTGAGTGGCCGGTCAGCAATGTGTAGATTGCACTCTTACTAGAAGTACATTCTGCGCAGAGAAGGCAAGTCATGCTCCGTGCACTAAACTAGCCAGTAGCAGCAGATCCAGTGTAAGGTACTCCGCACTCACGTCAAACCATGTGGTGAGCCGGGGAGTCCCCGTATCCCTCAAGTTGCAGACTACCCTTTACCACGTACGCGAAACCTAGGGTCCCAAGGATCTTTATGTCGCCTCAGCTCATCACTGTCAAAAACTCAATTGGTCATCTCCCTTCGAGAAAGAGTGGCGACGTAGGTCTCCGCGGGCTGGCTGCAACAACCTCTCCATGTAGCTGTCCATGTGGCTCTCAAAAAGGCATGTATGTCATGGCCAAGGATAGAGCATTCCTCTGCTCTCATTTCGGTCTCTGCCATGCTAGGGCTTCAGCCCCGCAAGGGTACCCAGATGACACGGTATCTCGCGGGCTCGATGAGACTCTTCAACTAGTAAATGTCAGTCTGGAACTCTGCCCCCTCGAACGCGCAATTGCACAACTTAACGCCTCCGCTTTGGCAAGAATGGCCCACATCGCCTCTGGGCCAATACCAGGACAAGCGAAGGACATTAATGCTAAGCTGAAAGACTTCAGCCGTGCGTTTGTGTCGCAAGGGGATCTGCTGGGGAGGGACTTCCATAAACATGTTCTCTTTGCACTGGGGATTGAGTCGCTATATGGGGCTGCCATATGGCCCGGAATTTCCGACGTAGTTGCCTTTGGAAACCTCACCTTGGCCCAGGAATGGTGGATCAAAATCTGCGAATGCAGTTGAAATCACTGCAAGCATTTTGAGGTCGTACGGGTAGATGTGATTAACACCTCGCGTAACTTAAGTTTGGTCTCGGATGCCCATCCGGAATCTCAAGTAGCGGACCCAGTGAACATGAAAAAGCGACCAGGTCATTGTATCGAGCCTACTCATAAAAACTAGCCTAGTAAGTGAAAGGTAATGAAGGTGGATTCTTCCAAAGAAAATAAAGGGCGAAAGCCCGGTCACATGTAATGTAGTTGCACCAGGCTTGGCACCAACGACCATCCACACAACATAATTACTTTCATTCACCCAAAATACCACTTCATGATTGAACCCAAACAATCAGAATCATTCAGACGTCAAAGAGGGTCATCAGTAGTTCCGTGAGAACAGCCAAAAATGGCCAAAAAAAACGGGCTGAACTGGGAATTGAACCCAGGACCTCTTACATTTCAGAAACCACGCCCAAAGCAAGAATTCTACCTCTGAACTATTCAGCCGTGCAAACAAGACATTTTGTGGCAAGAAAGGTAGCTTAAAAACTTATCATGCTGCCAGCGTTAACGGCACGTGACCCTGACGGCTAAACCTCCCACTTTCATGAGAACGGGCAAGTTGCGGCGAAAATCTTTGAAATAATTTCAAGCCATAGAACTCTTTGGAGGGCCTGTTGTGCACTTCAGTCACAACACCAGCAGCGAACGATGAGAGGTCTCAGGGATCAGGCCAAGAGATTGGAATACAAGAAATCAAAAGGTAGAAATTGTTGCGGCATGCTATCATAGTACTCAGGCACTAACCTGCCACAGATTACGATCCCGAGGACGACGCTGCAACCCACTCCGACGACGATGAAGAATACTCTGACGGCGAGGGAGAAGCCAACAGTGGTGCTGGACGAGAGCATTACGAAAGTGTGGGACAGAGCAAGCTACGGAAATCTGATGAGCCAGCGTTAGGCGCAATATATGAAGGCGTCGCAGTCAGTCGCAAAGCCTTAGAAGAGCAGGACGACCGTGACGCGGAGGAAGATCCCTTCGCGCCTGTTGACGACGATGAAGACGACGACGATCCGTTTGGGGTTAAAGATGAAGATATAAGCGACTCAGACGACGCCTCAGGTCTCAATGGCCCCATAGATGGCGGCGCAGAGATTGATGAAGACGACGAAATTGACAGCGACGAAGCCCTGGGCGAAAGCGATGTTGAACGGTTTAAGAATTTTACGTTTCGAGGCAGCAAAATCAATAGCAGAGGCTCTGTGGAAGAAGATGAATCTGGAAGCCAAGAATCCGAAGAGGAGGATGACCTCTCCGACGATCAATCATCCGAACAGTCGGAGGGCTTGGATTCAGATGTTGATATGGACGACGATGACGAACTATCAGAGTCAGAGCCAGAATCTCCAGCCTCGTCATCCGCCTCCTCACCGCTTCCAAGCAAGCCCAAATCAAGCCGAGACCTGGCCCGCGCAGAGCTGCGCAAAGCCGCAACCTCAACCTCATCTACCGCAGCGCTGGCGTCCGCCCTCTCCGCCAGCGCCAGCGCCGACGTCAAAAAGGGGCAGGCCGTGAAGCAGCAACAGAAGACGTTTGACAGACTGCTAGATGCGAGGATAAAGCTGCAAAAGGGCCTGACTGTGGCGAGCGAGCTGGACAACACCACCCTCGTCGCGGAACAAGACGTCCAAGCCGCCGCGCAGCAGGCTGAAGAAGCAGCGCTCGCACTCTGGTCCACGATCGATTCGATCCGCTGCGCATTCATGGGCGCGCACAACGCGTCGTCCCACCGCACGAAGAGCGACGGCCAGGAAGAGCTGAAGCGTAAGCGACCTCTGGCACCCACGCGTGATACGTCGACTTCGGAACTGTGGAATCACACGACCGCGCTAGACTTGAGCACGAATGCAGTGCACCGCGCAACGCTCGACAAATGGAACGCCAAAACACAGCCCATCATCGACGCCTCTGCAGCCCGCTCCAAACTCCTTCCGGGTTCCTCATCACATACCCACTCGTCACGCCTCACCTCCGTCCTCGACACATACCTCGCCAGCAGCAGCGCCACCCTCATCCAGTCCTCCACCCCCAGTGACCACAATGCACTCTACGACGACATGCCATTCTACCAATCGCTCCTCCGGGACCTCATCACGTCACGCAACGCCGCGACCGGCACCGACAACTCGGACACCATCTACCTCCCGCCGAAACTGCACACCTCGGGCTCGCGCGCGAAGAAGGTCGACACTAAGGCGTCCAAGGGCCGCAAGGTGCGGTACAACGTGCACGAGAAGCTGCAGGATTTCATGGCCGTAGAGGACCGGGGCACGTGGGAGGATGCGGCGCGGACCGAGTTCTTTGCCAGTTTGTTTGGCAACCGAGGGGCCTTGGATGAGGTAGACGACGATGATGAAGAGGATGGAGGTGACGGTGATGGGGATGCTGGAAAGGAAGAGGTGGCTTTGAGGTTGTTTAGGAATTGAATCTGTGGACCATCATGCTCGATTAGGAACTGGCTGGGTTGGATGGACTGAACGTAGCCCAACTGACGACAAATGACTGTCATTTTCTAGTGATAATGCATTCTCATTTTCTATCTGCCACAAGCTCAATGAGCCTACGAATGAGCCAGTGGATAAAGATACACATGACAGTATGACAGTGCTCATCAGCAATGGGTTTGCCTTCGATTTCTTGTTCTGGCACAGACGGGAGCTGTGTGCTTACTTCCTTCTCGTGTAGCCTGGGATCTGGTATGGCGTTGGAGTGAACCAGTCGGGCAACATTCCTTCCTCACGCTGTCGGTGGATGTAAGCCGCTGTGACATGCCCGTTCTGTGTGAAATTTGACTGCGTGTCGTTGTCAAACCCGGGTATTGGATCATACTTTTTTTGCAAGGGAGGAGGATTGGGCGATGAAGGGATCGAGATAGATTGCTGTGAGGATGGGATTGGTGAATCGTGAGCCGTTTGATTTGCAGCTTGATGAATGAGTTTCGAACTCTCTTCGTTGTTACCTATATTGACTTCTTTTGGCATGCCATTGGTGTTCTGCTGTAGTGCATCGGCAGTCCTTTTGGCTGGTGGCGTTCTTTCAATTTGGATATCGCTAGACGGGTTATGGTCTTGTCGCGACGCGGTAGATGGTGGATCTAAGTCAAGGTCATCAGCTCCATCACTGCCAAACACTTCATCCAATCCAAGATCAATAGTCGGTTGCGATTGTGTTGTGCTCAGATATTGCGGTAGTTGACTCATAGATACTTGAAAGGAACTAGAGTCCTTGATGGTGATCTTATCATTTTTCTCGTCATCAGAACTATCAGGAAGTGGCCGTGAAACCGATGACATGGTCAGGAAGCCTTGAGTAGCATCTTGAGTAGACATTTGCGAAGGATGCGGCATTGAAGCAGGATTGACAGACTTTTGAGTAATCGTCTTTGTTGATGGGATCGATGGAGATGATGACATTGGCTGGACATCATTGAGAGGTACCTGAGTTGTCGACACATGAGTTCCGGCCTGATGTATTAAAGAAAGCTTAGGCAACTGGAATTCATCTGCATCATGGGGAAGGTTCGCTTGTGTCCATTGCTGCTTTGTTGCAGAATGTGAGACCAGTTGAGGTAAAGGCAACGGAGTTCGATTCTCATCAATAGACTGTTGTGGGGTTCTCTTCGGGGACAAATGGTTGTTCACAGTTCGTATCGAAGGGAACACTGATACCTTCTTGCTTTGGCCCCAAGCTTTCCCCTGCTTTCGTCGCTGCTGCTGTTTCATTGGCGTCGTGGGCGACAGCCTCGCCGGAGAGACTAGGTCTTCTTCTTCTGAGTCTTCCACGAGTAATAGCTCTCGGTCGGTAGCCACACCAAGGAGACTCTCTGGATGAAGCAGAATCGAATCTGAGAGTCCGTCGGCCAAGCCGGCCATTTCTGTTTGGTTGGGTGCAGGTGCAAAGTCATGAACGGTCTTTCCATCGGGGGGGGGTTGTTGAGGACGCATGGCATTCTCGACCAGGTCAATGTCGTCTCTATCGAGGGCTTGGCGGCGCCTGACAACGTCAGCCACGTCTGGAAGGGAGTCTTGGGGCGAGATCAGAGGATGCTTTGAGGCCACATTATCAGCTTGACTCGATGCCGGTATTTCAGGCCCCTCCAACCCATCTCTGGTTGTTGGGGCGGGCTGCCCAACTGACAAAATGGGACTTTCTTTCTGTTGCTGCGAAGAAGACGACGGGATGGACCAGATATTCCTCTGAGAATCTTCAATCCGTGGGACCCGCTGAGCTTCGCGCCGTTTTGGCAGCTTGAGAACAACATGCTTTTTCGCAGCCGATGGAGAGGGTGAGGATTGTCGTTGTCGCTGCTTCTTGGAAGATTGCTTTGTTGGACTATCCTGCAAGGAATTGATAGATCGTTCGGCAAGAGGTGTTCGCCTCTCAGATTTAAATATCGGCGACTCATATCGGACTCGTTTCAGCGTGCTAGGAGGTAGGCTCTCCGGCGACTGGCTTGATAGAATGATTGCGCGGCTCTTGGTCGGAGTTCGGAGATGACGCATTGGGAATTTGGAAGACAAGACATCTGCCTGGACCGCCCCATCTTCTTCAGTGAGTGAGTCTTTGATCTCAAGCTGTAGCTTCAATGGTTCATTCGCCGCCGGTGCAACTTCATGCGACGGGTCTATCAATGCCTCATTGAAGTACTCGAAGCTTTGGGTCGGATCCGAAAAGACAACCTGCTTCGACGCCAGTCGACTCGACGTCCTTCTTCCACTTGATAAAGCATCCTTTTCCATATTTTTGATAGTACGGTTTTTCGTGCTTGGCCTGTGCTCTTGACTTTCTGCGTTTTTCTTCACCAGTGGCTGTTGCTTAACACTAATGGTAGTCTTCCGTTGCCGAGCCTTCCTTGGGCTGCTGTACGCGCCGTCCAGTTGTGGAGGAGGCATGTCATCTCTATCAGGGCTATTAACGTGTGGTAGAAGATGATCGTCTATTTCCTCCCGATTGGGGGATAATGGGTCAAAAAAGGCCATCTGCGTCAAGGTCGAGTCCCGCTTTATCATTCGTCTGCTTGGGTTTGTCCGAGGGAGGGTCTGCGGTCGACTTGATTCTTCAGGTAGCAGTTCATCGTTGGAGAGTTGGTTTGAGGGAGGTGTCATCCACTGTGCCTGCGTTAAAGTCTTTTGGCTTTTGGTCCGAGAGTCGCTCAGGCGCGATCGTTTTCGAGGCGCTGACATTGCCTTGTCAGACTTCCTCTTGGTGCGGGTGATCGTCCATGAGGTATTGGACATCACGCCTCTGAGCAGGTAATTGGCTTGTCCGATAGAGACAGAGGCAGTGAAGTATGTGTAGTGGATATTACAGCTTCAATTTGTTCTTACATCAGATACAGAGTAATCGGTAGGCAAAGTGCACTGGCAGTGGCCACTGCGGGGCACATCACGCGTGCGCGTGTGGGAGCGCGTTTCAACACGTGGACACGTGCTTTCCAATGTATGAAATCATTATTCTCCTTTACTCGAGGCCCAAGAACATATGCAATAAAAAGTATTTTGTTTTTGGCTTCCCATTTCATATTCGTGCAGAAAGGATGGTGCTTTAGATATCTAATGGAAAAGAGAGGGCTTGCCAATGAAGGGGTATTAGAGGTGTCCGCACTCATTGAAACACCAACGCTCGCTTGCTAGAGGCAAGATAGTAGGGTGGTGAAATAATGTTCAAAGAGAATGACACTGACAGCCATCAAGAGGACAGCAGAATCTCTACGCTCAAGCCTGCTTGGGTGGAGTATTCGGAAGTGAAGGAGTCCAACGATTTGACAACCAATAATGAAGCCACGCATCCATTCAATATCTCCTCCTGCAACGGTCGCACCCTGAGTGGTATTCTCAGGGCAGTCTGAGAAGAATGAAACGAAAAGACCGACGAAGGAGGCTGCCAAGTGTCTGGTACTGGATTAACATCACTCTTTCCATTAGGCCCTCAACCTCATCACACACAAAAACAACCTCATTCCAACGCATCAATGTTCTTGGGAATGGCGCCTCAGAGGAGTCCATGCCCCCCCAAAAGCCTTGCGGGTCTACCAGTTCGCATCTGGTTCACGAATCTTCTGACTCCACTTCTACCGTCACGCTCGACTGAGTTTGATCATCCACCCTGCTCAAAGTGCGTGCCATCTTCTGATGCTCAACGAGGAAATCCCCACTGATCTCATCCAGTTGTCGGATCTGCTCTTGGATGCCAGCCAGTTGACCCGCAACATTATGCTTGCTTGGTTTCTCTTCTGTCTCTGGTCCATCCGCTCCAACCTCATCAAGTGCATCTTGGTCGCTTGCCCCGCCCCTCAGGCCTGATGATGGACTTGCGGGTGTCTGAGGGGATGCTGTGGCCAGCTCCTCAGCTGTTGCCCACTTGCTGGATTCGAGGCCCTTTTTTTGACCCGTGGGTGACAAGGGATTCATCGATTTCCTCCTCGGGCTTCTGCTCGTTCGACGTGGTTTGGGACTGGGCAGAGAGGCAGCATCACTTTGGTGCTTTAGCTGTTGGATTTCCTGTTGTGCAATCTCAGCACGGCTGCGTTGCGTCTCGACCTCTTGTAAGGCACCTTCAAGATTGGCTTGTAATGAAGCTATGGTGTTTCTGGCATCTTGGAGACCAACATTGGCTGCGTCGAGCTCAGCAGGATCGGGACCGTGTTTCGCAGCCTCCTTGCTCTCCTCCAATTCTATCAAAAGCTGTTCGAGTTTGGTGTCATTTGCAACCCTTGTCTCATGTGCAATTCGTTCGCTTTCTTTGTGTAGGGTTTCGAGCGCCTTCTGAGCTTCGACGAACTTTGCATTTAGCTCTTCAAATTCTGCTGCATCCCGTCTTTGCTCAGCAACCTCTTGAGCGGCTTTCAGTTCTTGTTTCATTGAAGTCAAGGCAGACTCATGCTTCACATAGGCTGCGGCCATTGCTTCAGCATGATTCCTCTCAGCAACTTTGATCTGGTCAAGCGCTTCTGCCAGTTGAGCCTTCAAACTTTCGAGGTCAGTGTTATCTTTCGGAACAGCCGCCGCCTCATGAGCTTGTTGCAGTTCCAATTCGAGTCTTTTAAGCGCCGCCTGATGTTCTGTGTCCACTTGTTGGAGAGCACTATCGTGTTCGCTGGTGACGCTGACGAGGCGGGCGTTAGCGGCCGCACATTGCGCCTCAAGTTGATCAACCTGGGATTTCCATTGATTTTCAAGCGTCTTCATGATCTCATCCATGTGCTCGTCGTGCTCTTCCTTCGCCTTTCTCTGTAGCTCCGCAATTTGTGCTTTCGTCGAGCTCTGGGCAGCTTCGAGGGTAGAAGAATGCTCTGCTTGGAGACGATCAATAACTTGCTTATGACTCTTCTCAAGCGTTGTCTGAAGCTCATCTAAAGCTTTGGTGTGCTCGAATTTTGCTGTCTCAATTTCCTCTTGCGACTTCGATTCTAGTTTGGTCCTGAAGCTGGCCAAGGCGTCATCGTGCTGTATTTGAAGGTCCATCACACGGGACGACTGCTCTGCGAGCTTTCTGACAGACATCGATAATTCGTCCTGGAGTTTCTCAATGGCTTCCTCGTGTTCCTTATCCTTCTCCTTGCCTTCTTCTTCGATCGATTGGAACATGCCCTTGAGGGTTTGCAACTGGAACCGAGTATTTTCGAGATCTGCTTGAAGACTCAGTGCTTGAGATTCTTGCGTCTTCTTCTCCTTGTCCAGGCTAGCTGTTAGGCTCTCCAGTGCTGATTCTTGAGCGAGCTTGTTTTCGTTTTGGATGCTTTCAAGTATTTTCGTATGCTCAGTCTTCAATGATTCAATCATTGCCGCGTGCCGTGAGGTAACATCTTCCTCTAACAGTTTGAGCTGCTCAGCATGCGCTGCTGTAGCGGCTTCAGCTGAGTCTTTTGCCGACTTCAATTGCGCCTCGAGAGCTGCGAGGCTCTCATCATTGGAGCGTTTTAGATCCTCCAGGGCTTGCTCGTGGTCTTTGAGCGTCTGCTTTCTTTCGTCCTCAAGCTTCTGGGCGGCGCTGGATTCTTCTGATTTAGCATCGTTTAGTTGTTGCTCAAGTTCACGGACTCTCTGGATATGAGCTTGTTCCGCCTCTCCCAATGCCCTTTGGTGGTACTCAGAAGCCTCAACTTTAGCTCGCTGCACTGCCTCCACGTTCCCAGCTTCCAAAGAATCTAGGTCTTTCAACGTGGCTTGCATTTGCTCCTCCAACTGTCTGATTTGTGAAGCATGGAGTGCCTTAGCCGATGCCACCTCCTTCTTTGTAGCCTGCAAACTCTCTTCTAACTGTTGGGTTTCCTCTGCATGTTTAGCTTTCAGAGAGGCAAGCTCTTCTTGAACAGAAGAGGCTTCCGATTCGTGGGTCTTGCTCAATGATTCATGCTTGCTAACAGTTTCGGAGAGGGCGGCATTTACAGCTTCCAACTGCACGTGCAGTGCCTTGATGTCTTCCTGGGCTTTTGTGCTCTCATTTGTGCGTTCAGTGGTGAGCGTTTGGCTTTTGGTTGTTGCTTCCTGAAGCGCAGCTTTGGCATCACCTAGCTGTGCTTGCAAGGTCGAAATTGCCTCTTGGTGTTTGCTCGCTACGGATACTGCGTCGTCGCTTGCCTTCTGCAGCTCAGCTTTAAGGGCCTGGAGTTCGCTCTGATGCGATGACTTGGAAGCCTTCAGTTCATCAAGGGCGGAGGACAACTCAGCTTGAGCATTTCGGACAGATTCGTCCACTTGTGTCAAATGCGAGGCAGTAGCATTCTTTAGTTCTTCTTGGACATGATTGAGCTGTTGCTGCAGAGCCCCTATCTTCTCGGAGTGTTCTCTCTCGGTCTTTGCAAGGAAAGCCGAAGCCGCCTCAGCAGCGCTTGTATTTTCTTGCTTCACAGACTCAATTTCAGATTCGAGTTGCGAAATTATGACACTTTGCGTGTCGAGTTCCTCCCTCTTTGACTGCTGGAAGGCCAAGACCTGGCTCTTCAAGGATTCGATGACTTGGCCCTGCCGCGACACCTCACCATTGATTTTGGTATTATCATCGCTCTGCTTCGCAATTTGTGCAGCCTTGGTAGCTACATCAAGCTCCGCTTTATCCAACTTGGCCTTGAGGTCATTCAATTGTCCCTCATGCTGGGTATTCAATGTAGACAGTTTTGCCTCAAACTCCTCTTGCATTTTTGCAATCTTGGTTTTTGCGTTATCTTTGGCTGCTAAATGTCGGGTTTGAGCCGCTTCAAGCGCTTCCTGGGCCTCAGTAAGCTTCTGCGCATGGTCCGGAGAGGGACTAGGTGGTGGGACAGTGTTGCTCGCTGTCTCGACCTCGACGGTCTTTGCCTTCAAATCTAGCTTCAATGTTTCGATCTCGGCGTCCTTTTCTGACTGCTCTTTCAATGTGGTGGAACGTAGACTTTCCAACTCCGATTCCAACCGTGTAGCCTCAGACTGCCTTTCGGCGACCTGTTGGGCCAGCTGCTCTTTCAATTCGACGAGCTCCGACTTTTGTTGTGCGTGTAGACCTTCAAGTTCGTTCTGGTGCTCGGTTGACATTTCCTTGAGCTTTTGCTCCTGAAGAGCAGATAGTTCGTCAATCTTGCTCACATGCTCTGTTCTAATTGCCTCAGTTGCTGCTTGCACGCGCGAGGCCTCATCCTTGGCACTCTTGCTGAATTCCTCCAGTTTCTGTCTCAAGCTGAGCAATTCCGAGTGCAAGGATTCTACTTCAGCTTGCTTCTCGGTCAGCTCATGTTGTAAGTTTAGTGCCTTAGATTCATCCTGACCCCCGTCCTGGATGAAGCTGTCGACAGCCGCGATCTCTGGCACGTCGTCCAGCTCCGTTTCCGTCGGTAGACGGCCGTTGTCCCTCTCAAACTGCCTGACCTTGGCAAGATCAGCCTTGAGCTTAGCGATTGAGGTTGCGGCTTCTTCATTGATTGATTGTTGCTCTTGATCATCTACGCCATCGGCGGCAATGGCTTGTTGTAGCATACTGTTCACCAACTCGAACTCGCGAATTTGTTGCTCAATAAGCACTGACCGCGTCGATTTCCTCGTCCCCAAGGCAGGTCGGGTGGGGGGCTTCTTCTCGACATCAGAATGCAAATTTTCTTTATTATCTCCCGAATCATGTTCAAGATCGGATTTAATTGCTGGTGAGGCGGGGATCGTGCTCAACCGTTTCTTCTCTCCAACGGTGCCGGCGCCAGCGCCAATATTTCTTGATACGGATGAAGCCAAAGGCTTAGTGCGAGAGCTGGTTAGAGTGCGGGTGGTACTGGGTGTCGAAGGGGCCTTTCTGACACCAGTCGGGCTTGTCGTGCTCTGCCTGGTGGTAGAAGGCTGAAGAGTCGTACGCCTCGCGGAGACAGCTGGGGTCCGCTCGGAAGTGGTACTTGCAGCCAACGACATCCTCTTGGGTCTTGCAGATATGCCATCTTTGCTCTTCTCATCACCGGATGGTTTCTCGTCGATCGAACTCGCTGATTGCCTTTTCTGATGGGCAGGCACCGTGGTGGAAGGTGTTGTTCGAGCGGTGCGAACCGTGGAAGTAGTGGGAGGTCTTGCTGGTGGCTTGCTGAGAGAACTTGTGGTTGCAGGTCGCGCAGTGGTCGGAGTTGCCGCGGTAGTCGTAGGACGAGTACCAGTCGACAGTCTAGGTGCCGCTGATTTGGTGGGTGGTCTGGTAGGAGGGTGCGCTGGCCGGGGTTTCAGGGTGGAGGCCTCATCGGCGGCCGGTGCTCGCGCAGAGGATTTGTCCATTCTGACAGTGGCCCTGGAGCAGACAGCCAGCTGCAGAAAGTGGAAACAGGAGATGAATTTGGAGTATTAAGATAGTTATAGGGCGAATTGAGACAAGAAATAACAGGGCACTCTAACAAGAGGACTTGAATTGGATGTTTGAGCCTGGCGGTCCAGCTGGGTCACCGGATTACCTGGTTTCTCTCATACTAGATCGCCCGATGAAAGACAACACAGGGTGTTGGGGGGACGCTAGTTCAATCGCGTGGGACGCGTTGGTTGGAAGGTGCACGCAGGGCGTCGTGGGCAGGTGCAAGGGGCACCAAGCAGGTGCATGGTACGCGCAGAGAACTACGAGTACGATAATTACTCGTCCCAGTGGCTGCTTTAAGTTGCGGGCGGGTAGGCGGTAAGCGGGAAGGCTAAGGTCTAGTTGGACGCCCACAAGAATGAATTGTTATAGGCGCTTGGTGAGCAACTGGGGCAGTGCCAGGGTTATCTAGCACCACCCGTCGCACCCGTAGGGATCCCAGCGAACCGCCTGAGGTGCCTGGTCACGCCTGGTGTGTGCCGAGTGCTGCTGTCTCCGTACGCCGGACACGCTGTAGGCGCCAAATGGCTTAGAAAGTTAAGTGCTACATTAGTGAGTCGGGCCTCGTCGATCACGGCTCCATTTCTGCCCATTTCACAGACACTCCATCCTTTCCAATCTGCTTCAAGCCGACTGTATCAGCCTCTAGCTCCGAATCCGAGAAATCTATCCTGCTTGCTATCTCTCCCACTTAGAAGACCATGTACCTCGTATCCTCCTCTCCTTCTCCCGTACTCCATACGGAGCTCCGGGATCCTCTGCCATATCCCTGTCGATTTTCATTCTCACCTAGGCGTTTGGCAATTTAAACTCCAAAGTCAGGCTGAACGTGGATCTAGGCAATTGAAACATGTTCTCAAGGTTTTATCAAATGCAATGATATCTATTTCAATACTGTTTGAGGAGTGTCTCTATGCTAGAGTCTCAGTTTAGAAAACGGTACAGCAGACTATATCTCCATCCTCTATCCTCTGGGCATAAGAATCCGAAAAGCAGCTGTGCAAAAATGGCCATCTTTTATCTCGTCCTGAAACCGCTGCCACAGCCCAAATGCTTTCATCCATACCCATGTAATATGAGGCTCTGGCCCCACCCCACTGCCAGCTCGATCACTCTGCTCCCTATGGTTTCTCTAATCATCAATCTCAATAATCTCCCGTTTGATCAACACATTTCCATTCGTATCATCAGATTCCTGAATGTCTTCTTCACTGGCAATAGCGCAGCATCCCCTCTTTATCTCCGTTGTTTGATCGATCTTGCCTTTCACATCTGGATCTTCTTCGTTCATACCTGTTCTGATGGCATAGTCGAGCCTGTTTGACTGGTCGATAAATGCATCAAGACGATCGGACTCGCCTGGCGAAGCTGTTTCTTTGTCTGCACGAGCCGTAACGTCATCTGTAGACTGAGAGTGTTGTATCCCTGTGTCCACGCTTCTAGTATCGGCACCTCTGACAGGAATGGATCCACCATAGTCTGGCTGTAACTCTTGCAGGGGCATTGTGAGCAGATCTTCGAATGACGTCGCAAGCGGGCTGAACATATAATTTGCACCAAGAGATGGTAATGCTTCAGAGGGTGGAAAATAGTCGGCCATTGGTCGATTATGGCGAAGGTATGGCATTTCCATTGCTATACGTCGACATTCCCCCACTGCACAAGATGGACCAACTGTTTCCACTCCAGGGCTTCGTGAATGGCAGAACAGCGTTTGCTGCTTTTCAGCGTCGATTTGATTCAAGCCTTGCAAGTCAGTGTCCCCCGTGCCCATGTAAGGACTATCAATAGTGCTGGGATAACGTGCTGTGCCAGGTTCCAGCTTAATCTGCCCTGACATCATAACATTACCGCGATCACATATTGGAGGCATTGTCGGCTCCATTTTGATGATTGGTGAGAAGGTGGATCCTGTGGCAGCATAACCTTCGGGTTCCTTCTTACCAAGATGCAGATAGTCAGAGGGACCAATACCAGGAAGGCCCATTGAAGGGGTCGGGTCTTCGAATTTGAGCATTGGACCAGACCAAGGAGGATGTATCAGCTGCCTGTATGGGGTGGGTAATGACTGCTGTGTAGGGGCATCAAAATCCAATGTTGCGTCCCTCTTAATACGCTTCGGAGCAGGGTCATGTTCCTCCGATTCACCGTCAAAGATCCCCTGCCTAGATAAGCGTGCCTCTTCTTCCTCAAGTAGGAGACGCTTTCCTTTGCCCTTGTCTTTAATCGCCGGTTTGCTGTTGGTTTTCTCTTTCTTGGGTCTGGGCGTACGAGGTTGAGCTGCCACTCCTTCGAACTGAGGCTTCATACGGCTGTACCTCATACGTGCTGCGTGGCCGTTTGAAATGTCCAGTTTATCGGCGACAGCGTTCCAATCAATATTTCTCAAATCGAGCTGTTTGAGGATTGCGTATAGAAATATTGGTGTTCGTGCATCGCTGGCATAGTTTTTAGAGCGCCTAAGTGAAGCCATGCTTAACAGCAAGGCTGCGAGGCTGCGAGAGATTTCCACTGATTCGAATCCACACAGAATGTGAGAATTGATGGCCGTTGAGTGATTGAAACACTGTGCAGAGAGTTTATCTATTCAGATGAAAACATCTCAACAATTAGGCTCACGCATGGTGAGAGGCCAAAGTAATGGAGATTGTTCTCTTTTGGCTTCTCCCTTCTTAGATGCAGCTTGCCGTGACATGCATGATCAGGTTCGGGCTTTCATAGCTTAGAGTCAAGCTGCAATGCACCGCTCATTGTGTACTCTTGTTCCTCTGGCACCGCTCCAAACATCACATGCTCACGGCCGCCTCTGGACGTCCACCAAGCCACACATGCAGCAGCACGATCAACATCCATTTCACCACTACTCAGTGTCTCCCACAATCGGTGCTGACATTGTTGTTTTTGGATCGGATTTCCAACTTTGTGCAAGAGGTCAGCAGTCAACGGCAGCCACTCCTCCAATAATGGCACTGGGACAAAGCTGAGGCAATCGATAATTGAGAGAAGCAAGACGACTTTCTCAGACAAAGATTCGTGATTCTCAATGGGCAGGTCTATATTGGCCGGCAAAATGTCTTCTGAAGCATGTTCTACTCTCTCCTTCAGCAGGTCCAGAACAACAGCTTGCATAAGCGGCATCGCCACTGCGACTGGAGACGGGGGTGAAGCAATGCGAACTATAGACTTGATTGCCAGCCTGAATTGGCGTGCAGTCAAAGGTCTTGGAAAACTTTGCAATAAAGTGTCAACGTAGACCGGTACACTGTTGACAGCAACTGCAGTATTCTGTGGTGCTGCAAAAATTGCTAACATGACACTATGTGCAGCTTCGTAGATCTCGCCCAGGCGGGGATCTCCTTGTGGATTGACATAAGGTGCTGCAGAATCAAAAAGTAGATTTTGGTTTGTCTTCGGGGATACAACCAGTGTAAAGTGCTCGGCAGTATTGAGGAAGAATAGATCAAGCAGTCGATCAAGTGGGTGAGGGGGAATCTGACCAATTTTCGGTGGCCGAATCGTCTCCAAAAAGCTCTCAGATTGAATCGGATATCGGCTGAGAACATCAATTGCAGTAAAGCTAACGAATAGGTACTGGGAGGACGATGTCAACCCGAAGCGATGGGCTATGAAGTATGTGTCGCGCAAGACGTGTAGTGTTTGCATTGCCAGTGCAGGAGCATTAGAATTCGAGGCAAGGATGCCGTCGCAGAGCAATCTGCCAAGTACAGATCTCAGAGCGATCACTGAAGCGAACATTGTATCTCTCAGCAGCTGTAGAAGTACCGGTAACGATTTGGTCGAGGCTTCTGGATCAAGGTATTGAGCTTCCTCTCTCTGATCAATTTCGCTCAGTTTGTTCTGTCTCCACGAGGTCAACAGGTTCCTGGCAAATTCGGCAATTCTGTTTGTGCTGTATAAGATCAGTGGTCGATCCTGTACGTTTTCGATAGAATGTGCAATAAGACGCGACAACGGTCCAAGGCCTGCTGTTAGTTGCCGAGCCTTGATCTCAGTAATCTTTTGGAACGACTTAGAGTTCACCGGCCAATTGAACATCTGCCTCGATGACTGACAAACATCGTTGTCCACAGCACCAAGCCAATAGCCGTACTCAAGCCCTTCTCTTGAGAAGAATGTTGCCTCCACCAAGACAGGAAGCAGAAGATCGTAGTGGAATTGAGATTGATGCATGCTGGACAGCATAGGAAAGGTGTGATTCAGCACAAACACCACCACGTTTTCACAATTGGGTTCAGTCTCTTTCTGTAGGAGCGCCAAATTCGAAGCTGTAACAAACGCCCCTTCTAACTTGTTGCGCAAGTCATGGGGAAGTGACTCAAAATCTCTTGATTGGAAAGCCAGTAAAAGGCCCCCTATTAAGAGTGTATGCCTCCATCGCGGTGACGAGTCATCTGCGCCTTTCACAACTGCCCTCAGCCACTCGGGAGTTGAAAGCTCACTCTGGGATGGTAGCTGAGACGGATTACCGGGCGGTCGTGGTATTTGTTGCTTATCTTCGAGAAACCTCAAGGCTGCGGTATAAAAGACACTGAATATTTGTCGCGCCTGAGACAATTCAACGGGTCTCGCGTACAGTGCATCGTTTGACAGCACATGTGATACCAGCAAGGTAACATTCAATGGGTTTGAAAGCTTCGATAAGAGGTTCGTCGCTGTTGGTAATAATCTGCCGCGATCAGACTCGGAATTGCAGTTTCATGAGAGGAAGGATTGCCAGCCTACCTTAAAGCTTCTGCTTGGTGGTTCGAAGTCTGCAACGAACGAAGGAGAGTTGCTAAAGTCCGATCCATCACCGCTGCCGATGATAACGCCTCTATGGCTAAGTTTGGCTCAAGAGTCAAGAGCCATGAGCACTCTCGCTGATTGTTGCCCACGATCTTCACCAAAACCATGGCTCGCAGATGGAATTGCTCAGCCGAGGTCCATGTCACGTGAGAATGGCAAATATAATATTTAGACCCCACTGCATTCCATACTCCGTACACTTGGGCCGGGAACTCATTCACATTCGGCACCCATCCGACGTGTAATTACGGTATCTCGAAAGCTAGAACCCTATCGCGATAAGAAAGGATTTTGCGCATAGCCTTAGGTATGCCTTCCACACCTAGACAGATGTTGTATAAAGATTTGCCATCGGGAGGCCAATCATGATTCAGGAGACACACGCTTGAACGGTGCCGGAACTTCTTCATTGGACAGGCGCAATCCCGGTAGGATTGCCAGGATTCAAGGCGACGATGGCTGCCTTGATGCAGCCTGATGTCTCAGAGCCGTGTTCGCTATAAAAGCCATGAGATATGCGGCAAGGTCTTCTTTGCAAATGTTCATGTCTCTTTGCCTGTGTCAAAGTCAGTTAATACGCAATGCTCGACACACTTCCACAAGAGACATTTCAGCAAGTGCTTTGTTTACTACAACGCAGGGATTTGAAGGCGCTCAGGCTAGTCAATGTCGCATTCTCCCGTGATGTGTCCAAAGTGTTATTTCGCAGCATTGATATCTCATGCTTGACCTTGCATCGACTTCCAACTATCGGGAGTCATCCAATTCTTGCTCCTCTGGTGGAGGACATATACTACCATGAGATGGAAATGGACATTGTTGGCCCAAGCGCGAGCAATCTGGACACGGATCTGCGGTACTTATGGCAGAATATCCATCAGTTCCGCAAGGAGTGCGACATGCTCGGCGTGAACTGGAAAGATGATGAGAATGTTATGGCCTATCGATTACACGGCTCAGAGATGCTTCGTCCTTCTTCCTCTGCCTTCGATTCTACTCCTTCAAGTTCGATGCCCCTTCAATTTTCGAACGAGGCCGAATTTGAAGCCATGATGATCACAGTACTGGATGTTTATGCTCAATATGCTAGACAACAGGAATTGAAACCATTGTCGGAGACTTTCTGTCAGTACATGCCACTCTTACCCAGGCTCCGTCGGTTTGTTTCTATCGATACTAGTGCCGGTGAGATCGCTCGCAACTATCCCTTTACCGAAGGATTCTCGCAGTTGGACCCTATTCAGCAGCTTTTCCCTCTCAGCGACGCTGCCATTCGTTACAATATCGCTCACTACTCAGATGACTGGCCCGGCCATGGTTTCATTGCCATGCTAGCCACCCTTGATGCCTGCGCAGACCTGAAGATTCAACACCTAGAGATGTGCCGTGCAGAAAATCTTTGGTCGAAACGCGGCATTGCATACTACAAGGTCGAGGAAATGAAACTATCGCTTGGAATGAACCCACAGCCTCGTGCATTTCAGACCTTGGAAACACTCAACTTATGTCTAGAAATGGGTCTACTCGAATACTCCGCGTGGCATTTTGTGCCAAGCGCACTCGCTATGGCTAAGCGCTTGAAAGTCCTAGAGATCTGCCTGACGGCGCGGGCGTATTCCTCAGCACAGCTCCAAGATATTCTTCCCAGTACCTGCCTCCCATCTCTCCATACAGTGGTATTTGAGGGATTCTCATTTATAACCTTAGAAATTACTCATTGGCTTTTCCTGCAACCCAAGTTGAGGAACCTCAAACTGCGAAAATGCCGCCTAGAAGGTTGCTGGAAGGACTTGCTGGACAAATTATCTGAGAATCCAACTTTCAAACTGGATTCGTTTGAGCTAAAGTCCCCTTGGGACCGCGATAACGAGGAGTATGAGCTAGGGCGTTTGGAGGATACGCAAGTTCCATCACGTGTCTCAAATGAAGGTGCACTTTATTTCATCAATGAGGGCGGGCAGAATCCGTTTGTACAGAGGCGGTGGCGGAGGTTCGCAACAGACTCCAATGATGACGGAAATTGGGGCAACAAAGACCTGGATGGCAACTTGTCCGACTACTCGGATTTGTCTGAGTGGCGAGCCGAGGATCATCCAACTCCCGTCGAGGACTTCGACGGATTAGAGTATGATGAGAACTACAACTCCGACGCAGGAGAAGAAGAGAGTGACATTGAGACGGGAGGAAATTGGAATGGAATAGCATAGGGGAATCATATCGCTCAAGAGCTACTGCTCAAAAGTCTTTGACCACCTGATGCTTGTCATACCTTTTATACTGATGTTGTCAAGTTTGAGTGGTAAATCTCAGCCTCATCAGAAGTCGACCATGGCCATTTGAAGCGCAAGGCTGGATCCCGCTTCTCGGCTCGCAAATCACAACGCAATAAGGGGTCTAATAATCCCAACCACCTCACATTCTTCAGCCAACAGCTTCCCGATCCAATTCCCACACTAGTACGACTACAGTTTGAATATTCGAGGCAATCATCGAATGTGCGTCTATCAGGAAGCAAGCCTCGCCGTGTTCTTGTGAATCTGTGTCAGCTGCTTCAGCAGCCGCCAGGGCAGTGCTATGAGGTGAATGTCAATTGCTAGCTCCGCGACGACCATTTCAGTCAAACTCGGCCACACTACTCTAGAAATCGGCCAGAAAACCACTAAGAATATGCCTCCAACAAAGAACAAGGTCGGGCCTGTAGCGACCCCAAACAAGGCGACCCCAAAAACCTAGAATGGGTATGATTGCGTCTGCAGCAAAAGCAAAGAGACCAACACATCTGCGAGTCGGACTACAGGAGCATCGGCAGTAGCAGTTTCGGGCTCTGCCAGGCCGTTGGCATCCCCTACAACAGGAACCTCAGGCAATAAGCAGACGGTCAATCGCTCCCTGCCTTTTACTTATGGATCAACCGGCCGCAATCCTTCAACCACACCACAGCAAGTGCACGCCGAACCCTCAACATCCTTCTACGAGACTGGTAGCAACGTCGATATGGAAGACGCACCCCCGGCAGATAACTCCTTGGATTTCGATCGCTATTCCGACGACTACTCCTCGAAAAACGCCGCAAACAGCACCGTCCAGATCACAGGCTCCTATGGAATATACACACCGCTTCTCGGCACCGGCGGAATGGTACACCGTATCGACAAAGCAGCAGACACGCTTTGGGGCAAATCCGAGATCAACTTGAGGAGCGGCATCCTTTTATGGATAACACCACTGGCCTCGCTAAACAGAAGACGGTCTCGTTTGGCTGGCGTGCTGAAGATGAGGATACTAGTGTCCTGAGATTTGGACGTGGTTGTAATGGGTCAGGGAAACGTGCGTGGCCGTTTTTTTCCGCTAGCTCGCGGTCAGGACGTGGACTTGAAGGTGACCTACAAAATACGGTTCACCTACCGTTGACGGCTTGAGAAGCGAATGGGATCGCTTTCCGCAGCTCGCTTATGGTCGGGGCTGATTGACTGTGAAAAGAGCCTACTTCCATTGTGGCATTCATCAGTTTTTGGTTACGACGAAAGCTCGGATCGTCTGTGATGGGCTTCTTGTACGTATATTTAGACACCACTTGGCTACTTCTCATTTGTGAAAAGACTCATCACCATTTAGCCCTTCGTTCCGATCATGGTCCTCCTTACAAAAAGGATGATAGTAGTCACGTGATCAAGCCCCTTCCGTCTGCAAGTTCGACCGTTTGGCAAAGCCTTGGCGTTGTTCCAACTGTGACGTGACTCACGTGAGTGCTGCCTTGCGCTAACCGTCATCCGGTGTTATGCGGATCCCTGTGCAACTGGGGGTCATCAGTGTCTAACTTCTGATTACTTCTATAACTAGTAGCGTCGTAAACGGATGAATCAATTTCAGTGAAGTGCGCAATCATATGCGCACTGCCGATGCTCAAGCAAAATTTCGATGCCACCAAGGAAGACTCGATTGGCGAAGGAACCAAGCCGAGGAACACGCCGATCGACCCGGCGAAATGAGGTTGTGGATCATGGATTCCCTGATATCTATGGTGACATGGTGGCAGAAGTTGTCGCGGACGAAAGTTCTGAGCGACTAGCCACGCGATCATCTAAGCGCCGCAAAATTAGCAAGGAATCATCCGGCAATATTCAACTCGACATCGACTTGTTTGGACCTACTCAACATGAGGATGCAAAGTCCCAGCTCCAGGAGCAGGAAGCTATTGTGCCAGTATTACGACAAATAGTTTACGACGATTTTGGAGATTCGGATGACTCTGATGTTGAGTTTGAGGATGTTGAATTGGAACCTGCCCAGGATGACGTCGATATGGATGAAAACCCAGAGCAGAAGACCCTTCAGCTTGATCTATCGACCCCCGCACTCGAGAATTCAAGAAGCGCTGTCCGCCGGCGTAAGCCAGTCGGTTCTGCTGAGCGAAAAAAGCGTCTTGAAGTGCATAAAGCACACCTGATCTGTCTTCTGGCGCACATGAGCTGTCGCAATCGCTGGTGTGAAAGCGAAAGCGTGCATGCAGTATTGAAGCCGTTGGTGCCACGGAAAGTGATCTCCCTACTCCACGACGATGGGTCGAAAGCACAGTATCAGAGGTCGCACTCGTTCACGAAAGGCATCGAGGAGATATGTTTGCTCTGGAGAACGACGTGGAATATATCAGAGAGAGGAATGCGTCGAGCTCATTGGAAAGAAGAGGTCGACGCGTTGAAAGAAATCGATGACATTGAAGATCTCGTTGAATTCGAAGATTTTAGGTCTGCTGCGATATCACACCGTGGATCACGGGATCTTGGTGCTCAATTATTTTGCGCCTTACTGAGATCCATCGCGGTGGACGCAAGACTAACTTGTTCACTACAAGTCCTTCCCTTTTCAGGTGTTGCAAAAGGCCTCACTCCTGAGAAACCCAAAGCACAGTACTATCAAGCGCCTTCTCAGAACTATAACTCTTCTCCATTCTCTCGCCCGGAGAGAGCATCGGGCCCGCCCCGAAAACGAATCGTCGACTCTCCGTTTCCTATTTTCTGGGTAGAAGTCTTCTCGCCGGCAACGTCAACTTGGATACCAGTAGACCCTCTTGTACGCAACACGATCAACAAACCAAAGACTGGATTCGAGCCTCCAGCATCAGACCAATTGAACAGTATGACTTATGTGCTAGCTTTTGAAGATGATGGCTCCGCTAAAGACGTCACGAGACGCTATACGCAGTGGTTCAACGCAAAGACGCGGAAACAACGTGTCGAAAGCACCAAAGGCGGTGCGGAATGGTGGAAGCAAACAATGGATGTGTTTCAAAAGCCTTTCACTGAAATCCGAGATGAGATCGAGGATGCGGATCTCCTCAGGCGAGCGGCGACGGAACCCATGCCTCGCAATGTACAAGATTTCAAAGGTCATCCCGTCTACGTGCTTGAGCGGCATCTCAGGCGGAACGAGGTCATATCGCCACGACATGTAGTCGGGAAAGTTAGTGCTGGGTCGAACAGGAATGCAAAGCTTGAAGATGTCTTTCGTCGAAGAGATGTCCATGTTTGTCGTACAGCAGATGCGTGGTATCGACGTGGTAGGGATGTAAATGAAGGAGAGCAGCCTTTGAAGCGAGCTCTCCCAAGACAAAAGAGAGACGCAGCGGCACGGCGGATCAACGACTTTGAGAATGAAGGCGAGGAGGCGGACGAAGGGATGGCTCTATATGCTCAGTTTCAGACGAGCCTCTACGAACCTCCTCCAGTGACCGATGGACAAATCCCAAGAAACGCATATGGAAATTTGGACGTATATGTGCCTTCGATGATTCCCGCAGGTGCGGCTCATATTCGTCATCCGCTCGCCGCCCAAGCGGCGAAAGTGCTGGAAATCAATTTTGTCGAAGCAGTTACCGGCTTTGAGTTTAAGGGTCGTCAAGGTACGGCTGTGATTGATGGAGTTGTTGTCCAGATCAATATGTGCACTGCGATGGTGCATGTGATCGAAGGCCTGGAATCTCAGGCTAACGAAGAAATTGAGGCCCAGAGAAGCAGACTTCTCCTAGGAATGTGGAAGAGGTGGCTCGCGGCACTAAGGATACGGGAGAAGGTGCATCGAGAATACGGGACCGGAGAGGAAGACAACCACGCGAACGATTCTGCTGACCAGGAAGAAGACAATGAGAGCACTTACCAAGGAGGCGAAGAAGCAGGCGGCTTCATGCCTGAAGCTTCTGAGGGTCCAGCCCACGCTGTCGAAAAAGATTATTCACTTTCGTTCCCAAGTCTCAAGGAGATTGGTCTGTTATTACCGCCAGCGGTTGTCCACCAAGACGTTATAATTGTGAGATCTCCAAATAGCCTTCCTCATGCGTCAGAATCTACAGCAAGAGGGGATTCCTCTCATACAAAACAAGTCGAAGGTGCCGTTGAAGAAGCAGGAGGTTTCTTTACTGATGATGGACGGGAAACACGTCTTGAGGAGGACACAGAAATGCATGCTGATCCAGAAACGGGCGGTGCAATGGACAATGACGCCGACGAATCCGAATCTGGCGGAGGGTTCTTACCTGAAGACGAAGAGACTCTTGAGGGCGTTGGCGTCGAGCCCGAGCCCGATTCTGGGACATACGCCATTGAAGGCCCATCAAAGTCCCCAACCGCAGAAGTGCGAGCTGTCGACAAAGTCACTGCACCACCCTCTTCTGATGGAGGGGTGATTGCTGATGGGGCATCAACAACCTATCCTATGGAGATAGTATTCCCACGAGACAATTCCGTTCACGGTGGCCTATCGGACTCTCAAACTCCTCAAGTAACTAAACGCGAAGCTGGGGCGCAACCAGACGCAACAGTATCCCCGCCTTCAACGGCCAGTCTGCAATCAGAAACCTCACTGCTTTCGCACGACCCTGATGAAGAGGATGCTGAGCCTGAATGGTTGCTCAATAGTCTTGGGGAGTTAGGTTGATTCGGTGGGGTTGATTGAACGAGCGAGAAGAGTTTCCATGCACGAACACTCAGCTGCCGAGGCATGCTTATTATTGACTGTGAAGGCCTCAGGTGAGACAAGTTCTGCTCTTGATGAATTCGCCATTCAGCCTTTGCTGACAGACTCCTGATCCTGGACCATTGGGTGATTTACTGTTCCGCAAATATTTGTATGATAAATCGAGGGACGGGCCTTACTCATTCTTCCTTCCTCCCTGAATGCCAGTTAGCAATCTTTTTTAGGGCTACCAGTCCTGAATGGACCAGGTTGATGTCCCCCTTGAGTACATTGCTACATTCGTACTAGGTAGCATAGAACCTCCCTAGATATTCAGTTCAAAATTTCGCATAGGACTGAAGGCGGCCTTGTCTGCCTAAATCAGGCAGCTCTTCGTTTGAGGCCAACCCAGGGGTATTAGGCGTTCGGGATGAACAGTTGAATATCGGTGATTAGATGCATAAGGGAGATGACACCATCGCTTGCAACCAACATGGCTCAAGCGACATAGCCATGTTCCACAGTCAGCTCAGGCAGCCCTACTGTCGGATACTGCAGGACTTATTGCGGTCTTCAAGTGCCTCGGTTCTTCGTATGATCTACTGTTCGACTTTTGTCTGATGCTGGTCAGGTAATAAATTGAACCCTTAATACCATGGATGGATTGAAGCCCTGGTCACATGGGAAAGATGAAGGCTGTCTGTCCTAGGGTTCTGTTCAGGAAGAAGTCATTATCTCACATTACACTCAGTAGACTTCCTTCGAGATGCTACAGCTCACAACCAATTCCCGATGTCTTCTCCAGGTTGCCGTCGGTCGATATACTCCTTCCAAGTTCGCCTCCAATACAGCAATGTGCAAATCTTACCCGCGCAGTACTTGCAAGCAGCCCTGCTCAGATGAAGTTGTACCCAGAATCCCCACAGAACCAAAGTCAAAGCAGGCGAGAAGACACTATGATCTATGCCTATCGAGAGGATATCAACTCTGACATCTCCCCTGCGGGTAACAAGCTTCGGAAACTCGCCTATGTACTCCCACATGCATTTAGCAATCCAAAGTTGAAGTCATTAGTCACAGTTGGAGGTGTGCAATCCAATTGCTGTAGACAAGCAGCAGCAGTGGCAGCCAAGCTGGGACTGAAATGCATTGTGGCTCTGACACAGGACGTTGACCCACAGCATCAGAGCAACAGGCTGTACAACGCCGTAGGAAATGTACAACTTGAAAAGCTGTTAGGTGCGGATGTGAGGGTTCTTGGCCCGTCACGAGATGGAGCGCAACACAGCGCAGAGGTCGACAGAGGAGAATGGTTTAGTTTGGTGCACGGACTAAGTCAAGAGGATGAAGAGGGGGCGTACTTCCTGTCTCAAGGCGCCAGTGGAAACCCTGGCGCCGGCGTTGGCTACGCTAAATGGGCATTCGAAATGCTCGAAAAAGAGTCCTCTCTTCGACAAGATGGCGTACTTAATGGTTCCGGGATATTTGACACAATCGTCGTGGCGTGTGCGACTGGAGGCACGCTCGCAGGGATGGTAGCTGGAATGCGCCTTGCGGAGGAGAAGGGTTACATAAACCCGCAGAGTCGGCATCGGATCATAGGAATCGAAACCTTCGCGAAAGACCCACGTAGCCAGAGGGATGTTGTCCTGGGTCTAGCCAGGGATACCGCGGCACTTATCGGATTGAGGAGAGAGGACATCAGAGTTGGAGAGGTGCACGTCGACAGTCGGTGGACAGCTGGTGGATATGGGATATATGATGAGCTCACAAGACAGACGATCAAAATGGTAGCAAGAACCGAGGCCATGCTTCTGGATCCTGTATATACTGGGAAAGCGATGGCAGCAGTCGTTGAGGGTATCCGGAAAGGCGAATTGCACGGCAACATACTCTTTGTGCATACTGGAGGCAGTGCAGTTCTACCTGCTTACTTAGGTATCGAAGAGGACTAAAAGAGAACAGAGAAATATGTGTTATTTGTACGTTTTCGGGCCTAAACTGAACGAACGGTGAGGTGTCCACACGTGTTAGGCCTTGACCTGTTTTCAATAACATTAGATCTCGCAAATGGGCTCCTGGCTCTGAGTTTCGCGCCAATAAAATAGAACGCGATCGGCCCAATAGAGAATACAGTTGCCAGAGCAGCGAGAAGACTCCCAGCGTTGTTGTTCCCCATCGTGTGAAACATGTCACCTGCTACCAGAGGTAGAATCCCAGAGACCACCGCCCTAATACAAGCCAGCCCTGACAGTGCAGACGACGCATATGCTGTGTATGCATCTGTTAGATAACCCTGGAGGCAGTATGCAATTTCTGTGGCAGCAAACCCGAGCATTATGAGACCGATCATACTGACTATCGGAGAGATGTGAGATACTGCGGGAGGGATTGTCCAAGAGAAAATCCACAGTCCAATTGCGAGAGCTGGTGCGCCCAGAAGGCAGCCTACTAGCTTGAGCTCTGCAGTGCTGATTTTGAGAGCACTGTCTCTTTTGTAGCGGTGCATGTCGTGGATCCTTGTGAAGACGCTGAAAATTACACCTAGCAGCATTGCGAGAAATGGCAAAGACGCCGTCTCATAAGAGAAATCAAATCCGGAAGACGTATAGACAGTGTTCAACGCCTCTGTGAAAAGATAGATCAAGCCCATGGAGAAGGAGCTAAGAGCTGTGGCCACGAACACCAGGGGTTCCGTGAACAACAGCACCGTGGGTCGCCATAGCACATCAACGAGGGTTAGATGTGCAACAGGAGTCTGGACCTCTTCAGTGTTCAGTTCGGAGTGCGAAATTTTTGATGCATGCTTTTCGAGTACCTCGAAGTGTCGAGTCTCCGGAGTCAAAGCGACAAGAGGGAGCATTACTGCTGTGACGATGGCGGCAACATAATATACCCAAGACCTATGGTTGTCAGTCAGAACACCGAGCATGTTTAGGGTAACAAATACCAGCCAAATCTTGCAGCGATATACGTACTGTACACCGGCCCAATCACTTGTCCAGCTACTGTAAGACAATTCCACAGCCAGATTAACCAAATTCTGCTTTGTTCGTCGAATAAATCTTCGACTGAGCCAGCCACGACAACAGCAGGAACGGAAGATGCCAGGCCGCCGAGAAAACGCCCAAAGGCCACACCAACAATCGAAGGCGTTACTCCTGTTACTACGCAAGTCATGCTGAATGCGGCCGTTGACCAGATGTAGAACTGCCGACGACCGAACGGCTCGGTAAATTGTGGAATCAGGATGCTCCCAACAGCCTGTCCAAAGGAGTATGTCGACACGAAGGAGGCCATGAGTGCCTTTTTGCTGTCATCGGGAAAGTCTGAAAGCGCATAGTGCACCGCAGCAGAACCTGTAGTGGCTATGATTGTGACGAAGAATTCTAGAGATACAAGGACGCTGATTATCCACGCCTTTCGTCTTGCAGGCCAGTATCGTGGATGAAACTTCTCATAGCTGGCCTCGCTCGGGCTTTCATTGAAAACAGTCATCAGATATGCACCCAAAAATGCCGGATTCATGCTTGTGCCTGGGGGTTCCAACACGCCGTAATGGTAGCTCGACCTCGATAACCGTTGCTGATACTGTAGGTGAATGCGCTCCCAAGCTGTGACGGATTTAAATGTTTTTCTGCAGCTCACAAGAGAAATCCTATTAGCACAGAGTTTCTGTCAAGGAGGAGTGTGCAGCAATCCTTGTGAGGGCCAGTCACGGCGGCCGCTGATGGTCATAAGCCCTGCTAGTATTAGGTGTCCAGATGCCTTCGCAATCTCATCAATGCTCTCACTGAGACAAGGTAAATCGAGCATTTCATTCACCTCTCATCGGGATCCCAAGAAAGTCGTGCTGGATCCGCCTCCGAGTGCCTTGCCAGCATAAGCCATGAGCGCAGAAGGCTCTTCCCAATCGGGCGCCACCAGACAGCCTCCGCAAAGATTGGTCTGAGACAGCATGCACTAAGATGTCCAGCTATTTGCCTGGCTGGGCACCCCATACCTAACTTCACCGTGAGCGCTGGCACGCGAAACCTTGGACCCAGCAAACGAGCTGCCATCCAGCGGTGTCCGTCAGCCTTAAGGCATCCAATTCTTTGGAGATTTCAGGCGTCTTGATCCACTCGCTTGGTCGTCTTCCGTCCAACCACTGATTGTTACCTTGTCCAACTGTCCACGGTAGTAAGGCTATCAGGACGTGGACGAAAATGTCTTTCCAACTCCGGCGATAGGGCACGCTAGTCACTTCACAGTCTACCAGAAGAAGTATCCAAGTCTAACTAGATGTATGGTATATGACCGAGTGGTCGTGCTTCGGACTTCAGTCAGGGGCCACCGCCGGGTTAGTCTTGACTCTCCGGACGACAACCTCTCACTAAACGAAGTGAATGACAGATTAGTGCGGGATGCAGAGGATTTCCCGTGCCGCAGTCTCCTGAATGGCGGACAAAGCTGAGCTGGAATGCAAGCTGAGGGAAGCTGGGTGCCTCGCGTACTATGCACTCCCCACAAATTGCAGCATGCGAATTACGGAGTAGCGAGGCTTTTCGAAGGGACAGTTCTTGCAAGCTCAAACAACGGATTCGCTCATGGACAGTCAGTGTATATGGTCGAAGATGGGCAAGATAGGGAGAAGGGTTTCGAAAGAGCAAGGCTGAGGTCCCCTCGGCCACTAATATCAACCAACCAACTGAAAGTCCTCGAGTGCCTAAAATTCTTAGGAGACTGTGGTTACAGGAGTCGAACCCAACCCTCACATAATTCTCAAAGCTTACCGCCTGAAAAAACGAATGTGTGTCATTCAAATTTTTTCTACTCATCGAACATGGCATCTATCTTGGATCCTGCCCTTTGATTAGCTACCCAAAACTTTGGTAGATAAGCCACGAAAGCAGTTCAGGGATGACGCAATCCGCGCCACAGCCAGCCACTTCACCACCTCGTGCATAACCCTACAGATTTAATTGTACTGGAGTACCAAAATTTAGGAAGATGCATCATGCACTGCGTGGTCACTCCACATTTTTATTTGGTCGGGACCAGTCTCTCGGGACACGCATCGACGGTCCAGCTCCACGCCACTCAATGCATCGGCCTTGAACCAGGGGCCGAGGGTTGAGGCGCGGTCAGGTACGATGGAGGGAGGGATGGACAAGTTTTGTCACCTCACACCCAAGGACCGACGGAGAAGATTTTTCTGCATCAACAGGGATCGCTAGAGTATGCGAGGTGCTCGAGATGAGAGCACGCGATCACTTGGCAGAGATATATCATACGTAAGACTGCGCGTGCTCAGAGCCATCCGAGGACTTTGCTGCTCCACGTTCGGCAACAGCTCAAACTGAGCTAAAGTGTCGAGCGCTATTAGTTTGTATCGCTTCTCGACCTAGCCCGTCTATATGTACGGCACTACCAATAGCTTAACTTCCTTTGGTGCCAGTTTACGAAGATCAGATTTCGTTTCGTCGAGCTATTCTCGAGTGCCTTATAGAGAACGAAAACAACCTTTTAGGAGATCAACGGTAGACTTGATCGAGCTTGTGCGGGATTTTCCATTCAGCGTGCAATAAAGAGTGTAATTATGACGTTATGCTTCGTTTTCATGTGTTGGAAGATGATTATCGGCTATGATATGGCTCCAAAGACGGTAGCGAGAACGGCCGACACATCACTTCAAAGGATTGAACTCTCCAGCCGGAAGACGAGATTGGCAGAAACACCTACCATCATCTCAACAGAGCTAGGTGCTAGCCAAAACCTAGCACTCGGAAGGATGTCTCTTGCATCCGACCAATGTCTGTTACTTACCCCGAACCTAGGACTAATTACTAGACTGAATACAATATGGGCTGCCCGGTGGCAAACTGATTAGGTACATAACAACATCGAGGCGACTAGCCGTAGTGGGTTGAGACGAACGCCAAACAGTGGGACCAGAGAAGATTCAAAAAGGTGCTTCATTACGTGAAGACCATAGCCTAGACTCTATGTATATGCAACCAGCCGTGCTGAGCCGAGTTACAACCACGGAGAAGACCGGCTTATCTTGGCCTGGTTGCCAGGGATCGAAAATAAACGACAATGATAGAAAGTTCACCACAGCTGGGGGAAGCACCCTACTAAGACTCTGAATGACATGGTTGCTAGATCGTGACAAAGAAACGTGGCTTTGATGTGTAAGACGGGGTAGCAACGGCTATTATCAAGAAGACATTCAAGTCAATCGCTTGTCTATCAACTTAAACGGGTTGATGTAGACGGACAGGCAGAAAACCGACCTCTGACCTACGCACAGCTGGGGAAAAGTGATAGAGAAGTCAGAACGAGGTGAAAGGCGCAGAGACCGTATGCTGACGGGCGATCGTGACTTGACTGTGAATTGGGGACACAAACTCGGAGTGATAAGGTGGCCATATCGAGTCAAACACGGCAAAGTCAATCAGAAACGGCTGTCGCGTTCGGTTGCTGATCAACTCCAAGACTCTGTGCACGAGCAGGACGTACGATTTGGTCTGTTCAGGGATCTGATCACTTCGAGGGTCGGAGCAGACCAGATCGCCTGTTGACTTCGTAGTTCAAATTGCAATGCAGAGGCAACAGCAAAGGGGCAGAGACCCTGACCAATTCGTTCGCTTGTGAAAAGATTGCCTCCTGAATTGTGGACTAACTTCCACAGCGTCGAGAGCTTTGGGGACCACTGCGAAAGACAAACAGGCGACGCGTTCGAGCCGAACGCGTAGCGGCATACAGCTTCACGACGTTCTGATGCTGCAAGAGCAGAAACCACACTTCCCTGATAAGATGTGGGCATTTTGCGAACAGTGCTCCTGGTTGCAATTTTGAGCCGCGTTGTTGGACAGGAGGCCAAACCAGGCACAGGCCTCCGTGGTGTCCAAGGTTGAAGTGATGGGCAGGCACATTGATGTTGTGGTGGTGTGGAATTGCAAATCGTTGAGCTGGCGTGACCTAGACATCGCTCTCCTGACTGTCATACTAACGCTCAAACATCAGCTAACGACCCTGAAGACTCATGAATGATGGATTCACCCGTCCTTGGAAAGCTGTCTGTCCGATAGGAAGTCCGACGCAAAATGTACGTCACTCCTTTTGCCGCTCCGGAACTTGATATTGTCAAACCTAGGCTAGGTTCGCAGCATCCCGGGGATAGTGCTAAGTGCTTGCATGATGAAGATGCAGGCATAAGTCGAACCCAGAGTTCGCATGCTGCATCGGAGGATGGCGTGAAGGCAGCGGAGGTTTGGGGGCGAGTCGAGGCCCCAGATGGTCATTGTCAACTTCTGCATTTGCAACATGTCGTCTCCAGAGCGGCAAAACCAAGAGGGTAGTTTGCAGATTTCTGAACCAAGAATGTCAGAATGGCCGAATCAGGGCGAATGAGACAGGGGATGACATGACATACGTACAGAAGAGAAATCGACCTGGCCAGTTCAGGACTCATGCTTTTCGCTAAGCATGTGGCAGTTGACAGCTGTGCCGATTCAGTTGTTTCCCAGACTAAGCGGCCAAACCCTGTTTTGCCATACGGAGGGACACTTTCTTCAATTCATGCATTGTGGTGGTCACTGGGTAGCTGGATGCGTCTCCATAGTTGTGCGCTGTCCAGTCCCATGCCGCCTGCATACGGGGGACCCTGCTGATCTCCAAGGCTGCTTCGCTGCAGGCTCGTGCTGCTCCGGTAATCTTCTTCAACACAGTCTGCTGCTGAAGACGGTCACCCATGCTTGAGTGTCAGCATCATCGACCCTGTGCCGCCGCCAGATCGGTTTGAGATCCAGCAGTGCGCAGGGAAGTCCCAATAATCGTTCTCGTTGCCATCGCGCCGAACGGTGCTCGGCAGCACCGTTGGGAAAAGCTTTTCGTAAGGGCCGATTTTGGGATTTGGGGAGTTCCTTGTAGCAGTTGAATACGAGGCGCGGGTCCGAGCAGACGCAGACGGCAGTCGGAAGGGTCGTAGCCTCCGAACTCTTTTGCCCCAGCCAAGATGGATAGGTACGAGTAGACGGACAAGCGGCAAAGGACAAAGCCGCTTGCTGGCGGCCATGGCTCAGCCCGCCTATGCCGCCATCCCTTTACAGCCGTGATGTGTGGGTGGAAGAAGGCTAATTTCATTGTCTTGTTCGAATGCGGGCTCGCCCTCGCCAGATCTTGCCCCCCGTCCATACCATGAGCAAACGATAAGCGAGCTGCAACGATGTGGGAATCACCCTACACATGTTCCCCTTCCGCGTCCAATCTACTGATTTGAATGCCATAGGTGCTCAAGGCCGTGGGCCGCTGGTTGCTGTGATGGCAGGAATTGACTAGCGCGAATGTTGTATCCCACTGACTATCACGGAGACGACTTCGAAGATTGTGCTGCAACTCACAATTGTAGCTTGGGAGACAGTCTTGGAGGAATAGACCCTAATTCTGGACGGCAGGAAGATCTTTCACTGTGGGAAATGGTTTGTGTGTGTATGTGTGTGTAATATGCATCCAAACGCTAGTTATTGTACAATATGCCTCCCAAGTTGTCCTATATGGTTCTTTTCGTTTCTGCAGACTGTAGCCCTGATTGTAGCGCAACGATACAGTTGGTCTTCATTCCAGCAAGCAAAGAACAGAATTGACAAGTGCAAAACCCCAGTCAACCTCTATCCTTTCCCAGCCCATTGCATAAATGAGGCTTCAAAGGCTTTTGCAGAAACCGTAAGTCTTCGACTAGGATCCAATATATCCCTCAACCAAAAGGTATCTAATGTGAAATAAAGTGGCGTCCCTCGTAATCCATCCCTTCATCATGTCCTTAAGCCCATGAAATCCCCCGCGCCCGCGTGATCAAATGTGCGATTGCCAGAGTGTCTTGGTTCATGATCGGCTTTGAAGTGCCTTTGCTCTTTTAAGTTTCATTGCTGGGAGCTGCCGACGGCGAGCGTTTATGAACCAATTACTAATCTGGACAAGGTTAGTACAAGGTCCACCACCACCGAGACAGCAAAAAAGCATACCTGACTTATGGTCAACCCAGTGCGCTGGATGAAAATCTGTTTTTGCTCGTCACTTGGATAGGGGTGATCAAGATGCTCTTGAAGCCAGATTCTAAGGACATCAGTGATTTGTTTTGGCAAGTTGCCTCTTCGTCGTCGGCCGTTTGCATGGGGCGGATATCCCATCATTGGGTATGACATTAATTGGTTGTACTTCATATATGATGGAGATACATCCATCGATCTGTAACCGCCATCATACGCGACTGGGCTTCGATATTGATCGTACGCCTGGCCATAGCGACCATAGTCAAGTGCTTGGGTGTAGGATCTCTCCGACATCACGTATGGGTTATATCTTGGGGTAGAACTGAGCTGGGGTGTTCGCCACCTGGGATATGAATCGCTCACTGGGCTTTCAGCCTGCCTGTTCATCGAGTATGAAGAAGAGAAGACGCTGTCTTGAGAATCTGATGGAAGAATCGCCTGAGTCAGGCCGAATTGCTGTGGCTGTGAAGGCAGAGACGGCTGTGCACTCATAGACATTCCAGCATCTGTATAGGAGGATGATGTTGACCAAGGAGAGCTATATTCCGCGGGTGTTCTCGCGGGTGTATGCAAATGACCAGTAGTAGCAAGAGCGCTCATCTGCATTTGATTTGTCGCGTCCGTTGGATACCCCATGGGACTGGACTGAGGTTGCACAGGAGCTGGTATGGACGAGACGTTCATACTGGTCGTGTGCTGAGAGCTCAAGTATGGCACCATGATTGGTCGTGTAGTTGAAGAAGTCTCATGCATGCTTGTTTCAATCAAGTTTGAGCGCGGTGGTGGAATGACCTGAAAGGGGCTGTGAGAAAAGGCAATTGTAGGCAGGCAATCAATACTTACATCACGGATGGAAGGCAGTTGCTGCTCTGGATGAGTGACATCCAGTCTTGTTTGCGAAGCAACCGGGGTGGGCTGAGAGGTGTAAGGCCTTGTGGCTGATTGAGTATAGTGGTCCATGGCGTAGGAATGGTCGATGCAAGTGTATGCAAGTGATTTGATAGAAACAAGGAATATTCGAACAAGGGCAGGTGCTGGGATAGATATCCTGTGAGCAAGAAGGAGCCCTGCACGGCCAAACTCCCTTGGTCCTTCGTCGAATCCTGCCTGGGCCAATCACCTCTCGTCTGTGGGGGAGCGCTTTGTCCAGCTGCACGAGAAATGCAGGCACAGGGAGTTTGGAGGAGGTTGACAGTTCACTGACAGTGCAAGAGACTCGCAGCAACACAAAACAAAGACAAAATGGTAGTCCAAGCACAAATGGGTCCTGCTGAAATATGTCAGTCAGAAGTCGAGACACCAGGCAGTGCCGAGAAGGGTGTATGACATCGTAGATGCCGCTGGACCATAGGGCTAGATGACCCTGCCTACCGTAGTAACCTCATAGTGGTATGCATAAGGGCGGAGTAAGATGTCTCTATCGAGGGTCTGAAGAATAGGTTGTCCTCGCTTCCCCCCCAACGCACACATACTGATCCAGGGAGTGGATCGCAATCCGAGTATAGTGGTGGCGTGTAGCCCACCAGGCAAAACAGGTTACGCTTGACCATTTACGGACAGCAACCCTCAAGCCCACTCCATCTCTGGACAGAGTGGATCGTCTGGCCCTTACGAGTCGAGCGTTGGGTGGAAGTGTGGGTCTGTGGAAGTTGTGTGCCTGCATCTGACCATTGTGTCTGCCACTGTCCCGTTTTGAACGCCCTGCCACTCCGATCGGGACAATTCAGGCCAGGGGCACGACCTGCCAGTTCCAAGGAGCACGGATGGTCTTTGCTGAAGACAAATTTGGCGCGTCAGATTACCACGCGTTGGGAGTGGAAATCAAGGTAGCGCGAATAGATGACCGATGACTACGACGTTGGCCAGCTGGAATCGAGGCGTGAATAGACTGCTCGGACTGTGCCGTCGGTCTCAACGGAGTCGCTTGCTCAAGTGATTCGGTGAGCTTAAGCTGAACAAGGAAACCCGTTTGGCGATCAAGCCAACTAAGAACAGATACCTCGGAAGTGGCTTAGGGGAAGGTCCAGTCGATTGCGTGGAAAGAAATTATTCCTTTCTCAGGTACAATCTTGACGATGCAGCCTGGCCTAGTGACGAGAACGAACGGGAAATTCTCATGCTGAATACATAATGAAAAGGCTTTCAGGACCGACTTGGACGAGCATAGAGGGGCGCGAGCATACCCTCCTTGTGAGCTTCGCCGGAAATGGTGGGCTCGGGGGGAGGACTGAAGTGTCAAAAACTGATTTTGGCGAGATACTGTATTTAGAGTTAGCAGGTATCCGAAGGTTACCATGTTATGTGGCAACACATATCGGTGCCTTCCTGGTGCGGCTAGTCAAGGAATATTAGCTTAGAAGAACCCACCAAATATGCCGTACCGTGGCCTGGCCCGTAACGACATTTTATGCGCCACTTAGTGGCACTTAGTTTTCTTGAACCCCCTCTGGTATAGTGAAGCCTAAGCGATCAGTCCACCTGAAACTTGTCCTGCGCACGAGCTTACCAAGGAGAATCGCGGCTTGAGTGAGGAGGCGATGGTGTTCTCTGGATGTCTTGCCGCAGCCATTGAATTGCACGAGATATTGACCGAGAAACTGATATGTCGCACATGCCCCGTCTAGCATCTGACCTGATGACGACCCTTGTTCAATGTCAGACTAGCTTCCAGCTAGAAAGGGTGGAAGATGAGCCCCTGTGGAAGACCTCAATGGCCAATTCTCGGTTAGATCGAAGCCGCTCGTGAGATCATCTAGGTTGGCATGGAGAATAGGCTTTTTGCAAGGGAGGAAGGTCTATCGCCATGCCTTTCCTACCCCAGAATCGAAGGCTTCGAGGCACGACAGGGATATTACCAGATCTTCAAGATCATCATTGGTCTTCGTAGTGCCCGACCTCAACACAGGACCGTATCACGATGCTATCTATACCTCAAGAGCATCTGCGACAGTAGCAAGCTGAACTTACCCACCCCCACACAGGAGATTTGATGAAGGTGGCCGGTGGAGGAATCCGCCTTACACCTCCCCTAATACCACAGCGCTCCGACACCTTTGTGCGGGAGAGCCGGGGCGCTGGATTGTCGTTTGTTAGGCTTGATTTGATTTGATTTGGTCGTCAGCCGTTGGTGCGGAGAACATCACGTACAATACTCGCTATGCTGGATTGCTGGTTTAGAACGATTGCAATGGTGGTGGGGTTTCGCTGGGATGGAGGGGCTGGTGTAGAAGCAGAAATTCGGATCGCATCCGATGTTTTCCCCGTCTTTGAACCAAACCAGCAGTTTGCTCACTAGCTAGGATTCCAAGAATGGTGCCGCTGTCAGTGTCCCGTTGGAGGCTTGTCCTGAACCTGAAGAGATCTGAGACAATGGGTCCGTCCTCAGCTGAGTTTTACGTTGATTTTGGTACATTTGCCAGAGAGACTTGGCTCCGACCCGCACATCGATTTCTTTGTACTGGTATCGAAGATCCCTTGATCCTTGGGGCCATAGATAATGTCTAAATTACTAGTGATCCGAGGCGACGTCGATTGAACCTCGCCGGCGGCTCATTTCTCGCCTGTGGCAACGATAATCAGGCTACCGAGCCTGGCCCGTCGTCAGGTGTCGGCCGAGTGCCAGTGCAAGTGCCACGAGGAGTACAAAGTCTGCTGCTTGCATAAGGGCATGGACCGCTTACCCACAGGAAAGCGCTGTAAACGGGCCTAGCTGCAGGAAGCAGTCGGCTCATCGCTGCGTTGGTCAGAAGCCCCAGTTGAGGAGGTAGTTAGAGCACAAGTAGCAGCAACCGAAGCAGAAGTCGAGCTCGTCCTCAGAGTTTCCCCCCGCTTTGCCGGTTGCTATCTAGAACAGAGCCCGAGGAGCCCCTGGCGCGTCGCGCAAATAAGGTTCCGGTGGCGTGGGTTTAAGGTTCGGGTGGTGCCAGAAGAAGGCGCCCCCCTCGACCAGAACCATCCTTCCTCGAGTCCAGTCTTGCCTTTCCTCTTGTATACCCACCTGGGCACTCTGCTGAATTTTCGGTATTACAAGGACAGCCCGCCTATCTCTGTTGCGGCAGGGGGTTTTAAGGTTCTGAATCGCGCAATCAGTTAATGCACAGCAGCAGAATCCCCCCGTCGCCGACACCCGCAGCCGGGAGGTACACCTCGCCGAGTTCAGCTTGCGCCAGCCATTGGCCGTATTCGGTGGTTAATGGCCGCGTTGCCGGATAGGCTGGAGGCTGGGACGAGGGCGCGCCGGTTATGCTATGGCCACGCTCGTCCTGTGGCTCGAATACCACCTGGGTCGCCTGCAACGCCATTGGAATCGTCCCTCACAGTGAGTCTGAGAGGAAGTTCAGCGCCCTTCCTCGTTTTCCAACCGATTACCTAATTAGATAAGAATCTTCGAATGACACGGCGATGGCTTTGTGGCTTTGTCAAAAGTCGTCACAGTCGACTCGTCAAATACTGGCAAACACCATCTGATCGACATTCAACCCTGGTACAAATGTCCCTTTCGTGCGGAAGCGAGATCTAGTGCTTCTGGCAACCCTTGAATCCTTGCTGGCCGCTGACCACCGCCACTCTCCCGCCCCCGGAAACTTCCCTGGAGCTTGTGTATTCCGTATCTATTCCTTGTACTCCATATAGATTCCTGATACGCCATATATATCGACGTCATCGACTCATCGGAGCTAGTGGATAGTGCGGATGAGATCGCCTAGTCAGGGTTCAGGTTACCACCTGACTCTTATACTAGTACGGGGATTCGTTGAGGCCTCGAAGCATGCAGGTTAGAAAATGTCCCTGCTTGACGCCCTGCAAGGCCAGGCGAATTCAAGCCTCGTCTGCATCGTTCAAGAAAATGCCACGATCGATTGTCCCACCAACTTTCGCTTGTCAGTAAACTATTTGCAAGTCAGCCTGGCTTGCCCCTTGCTGGTTGGGCGTACTTACTAGTTCCTCGACTCTTGCTTCTCCAATACGAGCTTCACTGCGTTAATCCATGAGTTCTGGCAAAGAACGAACCCCTCATCCTTTCATTGAGTGATGCTTGGGCGATCTTGCCTGGAAGACTCGCGAGCTGTGGCCTGCATGATGACGATCGCTAAACTTTGAAAACTCATCCGACAAGATTCCACAACAAGCTCACATCATTCGTCAGGAAAAGTGGACCAGCTCGTCATGAGTTGTTGTGTGGAAATTCCAAATTAGAAATCCAGCCACAGAAACGATTTCCACGGGCGTCAACTCCAACCCCAGAAGAAACCAGATTAACTAACTTGCTTTGTTTGCTTATTTCATTGGTCGTGAACCAGAGATACCATATCCAATGTGGTGGAAAGCATTGCGGGGAATACTCTGCCCGCGGGAGCCGACTTGGACCGGCTTCAGCAGCCCAGCTTAGCAGCGGTTCCACTTGGAGATTCTTTGATCTACGATGCCACTCTACGAGTACCCGTACGGAGTACGGGGTACATTCTACAGTGCTCTGTACCGTGGTAGGAGGACGAGGCCGTTCAGGACTATTGCTTAACGTCTTTGCGCACCCATTGTCAAGCTATCCTTGGCCCACACGCTACTACGAGTACGGAGTGCTACATACATAGATAGCCATCCTACCCGACGATGGGCACTTCGATCCATCTCGGCACAACGGCGTGTCCGGAGGTCAGCCCGTGGACTGCACGGCGGGCTGACGAGGACGAGGACGTGCACCAAAACAGTCGTCCACGCCTTGCTCCCGGAGTACCCGTTTCACTCGTATGTGCGACGTTTGCGTGCTTTTCTTTCCTGCTGCCAACATAGTTACACGAAGCAACCTAAACACGCAGCCAACAGGCCATATCTACTTGGTTACCTCATCTACCTAGCCAACCAGAACAATAGCGACTATTGGCAGATGGCGCGAAATGTGGGTACCTCGGACTACCCCAGTAGGGCTCGCCTCCAGCTCGTTGCCAGTTTCGAACGACATTCACTCTACGGACATCCGCTCCAGTGATCCGTAGTACGGAGTACTACTAGTGACTACTCCGTGATTACCAGACCACTCCTACTCGTACTGCGCGAGCACTGTGTCGATTTCCCAGTCCTTCGCAGGACGCGCCAACAAACGAGTTCAAATCTGCCTACGAGTAAGAACTCGGTACGGAACACATTAACTTCGGGATTAGCCGCTTGGCGTGGAGGATATGACATAGAGGCTTTAGGGTTCCACACACAATTCTTTTCCATCTGAGATGTCGTCGTCGCTGTTGACGCAAACTGTGGGCAACAAAGCGAGAACAACATCCCCACCGCTGACGGTAGTTTTGGAAAACTTCCACGTTGATTTTGATACGAAAGGCTGTTCCAGACGGCCTTACCAGGCTGCTATGTATTCCCCCCACACGGTTATGACGGCGAAATACTCGCTCGAACTGATTCCCTCGTTTTACCACAACTGTAGATCATCGGCGTCAATCCCCTCATCAACAAGATTATTCTACCCCACGATATGGCCCAAGGACTCTGCTGACTCTCATATCCTCGAACTTGTCCCAGTGCGTGATAAGTTGGAGTCATTGTCCCTCGGAGGTTACAGCGGTACTTGGATCTGGTCAGTTGACCTGTGTATCAAGTGTCCTGTTTCTCCGAGCAAAACTTCGAGCCCTGCTATATTCCAACGAACTTTGCATAATCATCAGAGGTTCGAATCCTGAATTGGGAAGACGGTCCGCTAGATTAGCAGGTCCTGTTCCCAGGTCCTTCAGGTATTTCATTGAGTATCGAAGCAAGGTCGATTGAGCTCTCTACTGTTGATTCAAAAACTCGTGGTTGCTTCTGGTCTGTGTACATCTGGTTATATTTAAAGAAAGAAGACATCGTAAATTCGCCTTGGCCTTTCACTCCCTGGCAAATCTGTGTTCTACCTTTATTCCTGATATTGTAACACTTGTCAAGAACTGATCATGACCGCACCAAAACCGAATTGGTGGAAAGCGAGTACTTGCTATCAGATATGGCCGGCTTCTTACAAAGACAGCAACGGTGATGGAATCGGTGACATTCCTGGGATTATCAGCACATTACCATACCTGAAAGACCTTGGGATCGAGACAATATGGCTCTCACCAATGTATGATTCGCCCCAGAAGGACATGGGCTACGACATTTCAAACTACGAGGACATCTATCCTCCATACGGAACCCTGGCTGATATGGATGAACTAATTGAGAAGTGCCACTCCCTCGGAATGAAGCTGATTCTCGACCTCGTTGTAAACCATACAAGTGACCAGCACGCATGGTTCATCGAGTCTCGAAAGGACAAAACGAACCAATACGCTGACTGGTATATCTGGCGTGACCCCAAGGTTATCGACGGCAAACGACATCCGCCCAACAACTGGCGAGCGACTTTTGGCGGCAGTGCCTGGGAATACTGCGAGGAGCGCGACCAATATTATCTTCATCTCTTCGTCGCCGAGCAGCCGGATCTCAACTGGGAGAACGAGGAAACCCGACGTGCAATCTACAGGTCCGCCATCGAGTTCTGGCTTGACAAAGGCATAGATGGATTCCGCGTGGACACGGCAAATCTGTACTCGAAGGATACCTCGTACCCCGACGCTCCGATAACTGCGCCCGGTGAGCCTACCCAAACCTCCTTTCAGTACTACATAAACGGACCGCGAATGCACGAATGGCTCAAGGAGATTCGCGAGTCAGTCCTCGACAAGTACGGTGATGTGCTTATGGTCGGGGAGCTACCTTTCACCGAACCGGATGAGGTCCTGCGATATGTCTCGGCCGAGGCGAGAGAGTATAGCTGTGTTTTCGACTTCGATGTCGTCATGCTTGGCAATGACTACACAACGGGTGCGAAGAAGCATCACACGGGAAAGCACACGCTGCCACAGTTCAAGGACGCCATAGCAAAATGCCAGCACATGCTCAAGGGGACCGATGCGTGGGCGACAGTGTTTTTGGAGAACCACGACCAGGGCCGGAGTCTGTCACGGTTCGCGACGGACAAGGATGCGTTCCGCGAGCAGGCGGCGAAGATGCTCGCCGTGCTGCTGTGCTGCCTGACCGGCACCTTGTTCATCTACCAGGGCCAGGAGATCGGCATGTACAACCACCCGGAGCACTGGGGCATCGAGGACATCCGGGACATTGACTCGGTCACCGCGTATAACGACATCAGGGATCGCCATGAGGGCGACGAGCTCTGGCTGAAGAAGGCCATGAAGGGGATCCAGGCCATCGGCCGTGACAATGCCCGCCTACCCGTTCACTGGGATGCCTCCCACAACGCAGGCTTCACGACGGGCTCGCCCTGGATCCGCGTGCATGACGAGTACGAGAAGACCAACGTTGCCGATCAACAGAAAGACCCGAAATCGATACTCAATTTCTGGAAGAAGATGATCGCGCTGCGGAAGGACCACGCTGATTTATTGGTCTTTGGCATGGACTTCGAAGTATGGGATCGCCATGACCGCGACGTGTTCACGTTCACGAAAACCCATCCGACCACCGGTGACAAGTTGCTCGTCTTCTTGAGCTTCTCCGATGAGGCCCAGCCTTTGCATTATCCCACTGGGCTGAAGAACGTGAGTAAGCAGCTGTTGATCAGCAATGTCGATGAGCTCGGCAAGTATTTGTCGCCCTGGGAGGCACGCGCTTACTTGCTGAAAGAGACCAAAGTGAATGGTGCTTAGGATAGCACTACTGTAAAGTAGGTTACTATGATGGCATCTTGTTGACTGCATGGCCATGGCGCTGCGAGATTGGTCGTGAATGGCGTAAGGGTTCACTCGACGGGTTTGTTACGTTGCGGATCCTCTGTCAATGCAGTGTATAAGAATAGCAGACAAATATGAAAATACCCCTTCTTATTGAGCTCCAACTTAGCTTTACATTATTTATACAATTTTCCACACAATGCCTATGTCTTTTGGGTCGCCGCCTCATGAACAAACACTCTTGTACAAGTCTTCATTGGGGATATCACAAGCTCCGATCACGACGATCTGGGCCAGACCTGACCGGGTATCGGCCTCTCCACGTCCACGCGATAGCTAGCTTCTTCGATCAAGAAAGGCTTCGATACTAACGAAGAGCGGCCAGCCCGATTCATGGGCTGAACAAGTCCTGGCTCATGCCTAGCAGTCTTTGACTCCGGTTCAGGTGGCACGATATGCTTGCCTGCGGATGTATTGACCATTATCAGTGGTGGCAGCTTTTCGGAACGCAGAGTTCTACTTGAGCGGCGACCTTCGAGAGTGCTTGTCGCAGCAAGAAATGACTGGACCGGTGCATTAAGACCTAGACTCCGTCTGAATAGCTGTATCGGAGGCGCGTTAAGCTTGTCGAATCATTTCAGCGCAGCTCTCCTTGGAGCAGGGTTGTAGTTCCTCACTGGCTTCATCCATCTATTTATTGATTTGGCTTGTGCTGAGTCTCTGTGCCATCCTCCCAGAACTCTATATCTTCTTCCCCCTCATTGCCGATTTGCGATCCATGGCGAATTCCTAGCTTTCCCTTTTTAAGAAGCTTTGTCAAGTCTTCCCCCTTCCGCGCTAGAATATCCTCCAGGGTAGATTTGGCGTCCATGAATATGCGCAGGTGGTCAGAGATAACGTGGCGATTCCGGCAGTGCGGACAGGAAATGAGAACGGTGCCATGATGATAGCCCTGTTTGGTGACTCGATGAGAGGATCGCTGCAGGCATGGCTTGCAGGTGAAAGTCAACTGGTAGGAAGGCTCATCGCGTTCTGCTGGCTGTGCTGGCTTCGCTGGCTGCGGGTCTGAATTCACAATCGAGGATTCAAAACGCCGAAACGGTGCAAAAGATCGCTGCCCAGTTGGAAGAGTTCGAATGGCGAAAGGACGCCGCGACCAAGTCGACTGCAGCCGGTTTTGACCTCGGACGGCGCTCGGAGCAAGCCTGAGTGTGTTCAGGGATAGTTTCGAGGGTCGCATGGTTGTAAAGGTGGTTGAATTCTGATTGCTGGTGAATGAAATGTAATGAGCTCAATTGATGGAAATCTTGACGAAGTTTCACGGCGACATGTGACGCATAGCACGTGACATTGGCATATGGCACGTGCTTCGGAAGAATTATGGGGCAGGCTTGGCAAAATCCGCTCTATTTTGTCCGAAGATGGTGCAAGGAAGGTGTGCCGACGCCGACGCCGATCCAGGGCAGAAGAACCAGGCCGACAACCTGATCGTCGATTAATTATTTCACTTCTATCTCTGCGCTTTCGACTGCCTCAGCGACTCATATGGGCGGCGTGCCTCTTCTCTCCCACTTCTCCTACTTTGCCTCTCAAGCCCAACTTTGTCGTGCATATTTCCGATGCTCATTTAACTCCGACCACACACCCACTTCGCATTGACCCCACCATCGGAGAAGTATCACATCAATATCTGTCCTGGAGCCGGAGCCGGAGCCGGAGCCTGAGCTGGGTTGGCTCCTTCAACCTAACCACCATGTTGGCGAGGGGGAGAGGGGGGAAGATCAGGGCGCCGAGACGAGTAAGTGAAATCAGATCAAATCCTCTTCCATGCATATGCCCTCGGCTGCGACCCCCACTTAGCACCCACGAGTCAACGACCCTCATATCACAACGGCCAAGAAGTCATCGATATGTCTAATTGCAGGTTTGCTAACAGACACATGCAGAGCCTCGCGAAAGATGACGTTGACTTTGATTCTATATGGACTCTCCTGTCCACCGCGTTTCAAGAAATCCACGGCAAGAATGCGTCGAAATTGTCCTTCGAAGAACTCTTCCGCGGCGCCTACAAATTAGTGTTGAAGAAAAAACAAGACTTGCTGTATGATCGGGTGGTTGACTTGGAGAAGACATGGTTGAAAGATACTGTCCGCGCCAGAATAATCGCCCTGATAACCCCCGCGATGGCCTATGATGTTTCAGAACAAGCCGGTAATGCTCAAGCAAATGAGCGCAGAATTGCCGGTGAACGCTTCATCAGGGCTCTTAAGGATGCTTTTGCAGATCATCAGCTGTCTATGAGCATGATCACAGACGTCTTGATGTATATGGTAAGACGCCCTAGTACACTCATAATACTCTGATACGATGCTTATAGCTCAAGGATCGGGTCTACAGCCAAGACCTACGACGGCCGTCAATTTTTGCGTCTGCAATGGCACTGTTTCGAACACAGCTTCTCAAGGTGCCCCTCGGAGACAATAGAGACGTTCTTTCTCTACTGGAGACCGTGATACTAGACATGATTGAGATGGAACGCCGGGGCGAAGTCATCGACCGCTCTCTCGTTCGTGCTTGCTGCTATATGCTGGAAGGTCTGTATGAAACGTTTACCGAGGAGGAGACTTCCAAACTCTACCTGACATCGTTTGAACCCAAGTTCCTTGACGCCAGTGTCAACTTCTACCGATCAGAAGGACAAGCGCTTTTGGCCGATGCAGATGCCAGCACCTTCTGTGCTCATGCCCGCAGAAGACTGAGGGAAGAGGAAGAAAGATGTCAACAGACCATTTCGCAGATCACAGAGAGCAAGATCAAAATTGTCGTAGACAAGGAATTTATTTCAGCTCATATCCGCGACGTCATCAATATGGAAGGAACTGGTGTCAAAAACATGCTTGACAATGACAAAATCCAGGATCTCGGCAATGTCTTCGACTTGATCGCTCGCGTGGACCCTCGTAAAGGGGCGCTAAAGGAGGCTGTTCAAAAGAGAGTCTTTGACCTCGGAAGCGACATCAACAAAGCCGCCAACGTCGCCAGTGAGGCCTCTGCACCACCGAAGAACGCGCCAAAGACAGTATCAGATGGAAAGGCGGCATCGGAAAAAGCATTGAATCAGCAGACTCAGGCTGCGATCACCTGGGTTGAACAAATCTTGCAGTTGAAAAGAAAATACGATAGATTATGGATCGAGGCGTTTAAAAAAGATGCAGTTATGGAGAAGGCACTAGAAGTATCCTTTCAAGATTTCATCAACGCAAACGAACAAAGTCCCGAGCATCTTTCGTTGTTCCTGGATGAATACTTGAAGCGAGGAGGGAAAGACAAGAACGAAAATGAAGTTGATGTGCTTCTTGATAACGGCATATTATTGCTGCAATACCTTGCGAACAAGGACAAATTCGAAACATATTACAAGAAGCACATGGCGAAGCGTCTCCTCATGAAGAAATCAGTGAGTAGAGATATGGAACGGCAAGTTTTGTCGAAGATGAAGATGAAAATCGGAAACCAGTTCACTCAAAAATTAGAAGGCCTTATTCGGGACACTGAGCTCTCCGACAATCTCAATGCCCAGTACAAGGACTATGTCAATCGACTTGGCGACCCCGATCCCAAACGTATCGACCTCGATTGTCGCGTCCTGACTACAACGGTTTGGCCCTTTGAGACATTGTTCAAGAAAGACACCGAGGAGACTACTCACCGAGAATACAAATATCCTGCCTCGGTGGAAAACGTGCGTCAAAAATTTCAGAAATTCTATCTGGACAAGCACACCGGTCGTAAGTTGACATGGATGCCTGGTCTAGGCGACGCAGACCTCAGAGCAACGTTCACGACTGGTGGTAAGACTCGTCGTTACGAATTGAATGTTTCCACTTATGCTATGATCATCCTAATGCTGTTCAACGACCTTGGCAAAGGAGAAAGCCTATCATTCGAACAAATCCAAGCCGAGACCAATATTGAAATACCTGATCTTATTCGCAATCTCCAGTCGTTGTCTTTGGTGGCAAAGTGGAGGGTGCTGAAAAAGGAGCCTATGAGCAAGGATATCAAGCCTACGGACAATTTCTATTTCAATGAAGACTTTTCCAGTCAATTCCTGAAGATCAAAGTTAGTGTGGTTGCTGGAGGGTCCAGCCGAGTCGAAAATAGCGAGGAGCGTCGAGCAACCCAGGAGCGAATTGACAATGGCAGAGCTCTTATCATCGAAGCGGCCATCGTTCGGATCATGAAATCACGCAAGACCCTTACGCACTCTCAACTTATGACAGAAACTATTGCACAAGTCACGATTCGATTTAAGCCCGATGTCAACATGATCAAGAAGAGAATTGAATCACTGATCGATCGAGATTATTTGGAACGAGGACCAGACCCAACGAAACCGTCATATGTTTACGTGGCGTAATAAACTAAAGAGAGCCAGTGCTATTCCACGAAAGTGTACAAGGTCCGATATAGCAATTGCCGTCAGACCGCAGAGCAAATGATTTTATGATGAGAATGGCGTTAACGAGAAATGCATCTAGCGAGCATCGATGGGTTCATAAGGCATGAGCATGGCGTACTTGCACACCTGTTGGGGTTATCCACGGAATTTCGGAAGACAACATTCGCAGTGCTATTAGGTTGAATGGCTTTGACTCCTGCCTAGCAATCCCCGTGCATGGTGCTCAGTACAGATAGAGCAGTAGGATACCTGCGAGGAGAAACAATCTGATCCGCCCGCTCTGCCAGGTTTTGCTATCCGTACTGTCGTCTGCCAGCTGCCATCGAGGTGTGTATAATTAATTAGAGGGCAACAGATACTGCTGTGGTACGAACGACCCTTTCGGTGCTTGTAAGCATGCCAATCGTCCAATGGTTCTCGACAGCTGCTCAAATACGGATGCTGGTTGACATGATGGGGAGGCGTTGCTGCTGAAGATATCGAGGCAGTGACTCCTGCGTTTCGCACCGCCAGAACTGTCATAACTACCAAGTTCTTTTGATTTCGAGAGCAAAATCACCTAAACCACCACAGACAAGGTGTTCGATATCAACGTTTGTTATTACAGGGTAGCTTATATTTCAGGCGCCTATTGTACATTCCGTATGTACATGGTACCAGCGTGCTTGCTGTTGATGACTACAACCTCTCAAACGCCGATTCATGGTTTACAACCCCTTTAATTCGGGTCTGAAACAATGTCGATCAGTAGACGGGCCTCTCACAATCAGGCCTACCCTGTATGGAGCGGCCCGTATAGAGGTCATGAAGGAGCGTGACACCCACCGCGATGGACCCAACTCACTGTCGTAATTACCTAAGGCAAATTTATCCTAAGCTCAATCCTGAGGATCCATTTTCTTTCTTCGCAAGCAACAGCCTGAATAGGGCGTATCTACTTACTGGTCGGAACAAAGTCTTGTTCCCAGGACGGACAGTCTACACCATGACAACAGGAGATTTTCGGTCCTTGAGAATCTTTGTGGCGCTCTGATAGTGACGGCCACCCTCATTGCTGGGGCAATAGGTTCCGCCACGCGTTGCGTGTGTAATGGGCAAACCAAGTGGACTTTCCATAACGGCGCTGAGTGAACAGCAAAACCACACGTTCGAACTATCGCCTCTGCCCAGTTCAACTAGTTTCACATCTCAGAAAAGGGACGACGATCCATTGCTCAGCAATGGATCCCTGCCGGGTTTGGAGTTGTTGAGATCTTCAATGGTGATTGCGTGAAAGTACAAACCATGAATATCTGGCTCCATCTGGCTCTCAATGTGATCAGCACCTTATTACTTGGAGATTCGAACTACTGCATGCAATGTTTAAGCGCCGCAACCCGATCTGACATCAATCGTGCACATACACGAGGCAAATGGCTCGACGTTGGGGTACCCAGTACGCGCAACCCGTCCGCCATTCCCAAGTATAAAGCCCTGTTGTGGTTGACGTTCGGCTTGACTTGTATCCCTCTACATCTCATGTCAGTGTTTCTTCGAGCCCTTACAAGCCAGATCCGAGAAGCTTATTCTGTGACAGGTACAACTCCGCGTTCTATAAATCCTTGTCTACAAATAATTACGATATCTTCGTTGTGGAACCAGGTTTTCTCGAAGGCGGCAGTGTCGATACAACGGGCATTGTTGTAGCAAAGGGTTCCATCGACCCTGCTATCATTCAGACTGACCTAGGCATTGCTGGTCGCTATATACGACTGAATAACTCAGATTGCATCAACACTTACGCAACCGACATTAACAGTAGAAGGAATCCTGTCCTCGTCTCTAGCAAGTCCACACCAGCTGAATCAACATTGCTTCACGTCGAGCATTACAGCTACACTGATTCTGTCGGCCCACGTGGCATCTACAAACCTTACGGGTGGTGAGCTTGAACCAGGCTCTTGTGGCAGGCACCCTATCTGATGTTTTTAGGATTTGCGCCGATCTCGACCTTGGAGAAAAGCTAAGGATCATAATGGAAGACAGGAGTACCCAGGTCTGTGAGACGTATGCACCAAAGATAGCCGCTGGTCTCGCAGGGCAATGGACGTTCAAAACATATCCTGTGGACTTTTGCCTGAGTGAAGTCGTCCTGGAAAGATGTGGCTATTCTGGCAATGTGCCCATTATCAGTGTAGTCATTATATGCAACGCAGTGAAGTTTGGGATCATGTTGTTTGTGGCTCTGCACCTCCGCGATGATCCGCTAATCATGATTGGTGACGCGGTGGAGTCGTTTCTCGACCATGCAGACGAATGAACCCTGGGAGCTTGTCTTGATTCAAAGAAAGACATTCTTCAGAACCGCAATTGGAATGAATCCGGGAATCTCAAGCCCAAACAAGCCGATTTCAAGCCTCGAAAGTGGCAGTCAGCGGCTTCCGGGCGGCGTTGGATCATTGTTCTAGGCTCATTGAGCTTCGCCATCATTCTCGTTTCGGTATTGCTCCGCATGACCATCAGTGCGATTTCAAGCACCGCCCAATCCATCTGGAGCATTGGACTAGGCAGAGTCAACTCGGCGGCCATTATCCGAGGCTGGATATTAAGCACCAGAGGGTCGGAATCGGAACGCATTCTGGCATCTCCTCTCGTCGCCAACGTGCCACAAACAGTCTTCTCTTTCATATACCTTCAGCTCAACGGACTCCTCACCTCAATATGGCTTTGCGAGGAATGGAAAGGGTTCGAATTCACTCGGAAGGCACTCCGAGTCTCTAATCCCAAAGGCAACCAACGGAGCAGGCACTTTGTCCAGCTCCCCTACCGAGTCGCAATACCAATGCTGACCGTGGCGGGCCTCCTTCACTGGCTCCTGTCGCAATCGATCTGCCTAGCGGTCGTAGCGGAATACGGCAACGATGGCAAGCTAGTCAATCCCACGACCGTCGGAACCTATGGCTTTTCACCTCTGGCTACCATCTTCGTGATTGCGTTTGCTGGCTGTTTGATAGTGGGTGTCATAGCACTGGGTCAAAGGAGGTTCCATGGGGCCATGCCGCTGGCAGAAAAGTTGCAGTGCGGCTATTTCAGCGGCTTGTCATCGGCCAGATTGGGATAAGGACGTCTCGTTCCAGCCTGTACAGTGGGGCGTTGTTCAAGATTCAGATTCACACGAAGGTGTTGGCCATTGCTCGATCACGAGCGCGGCTGTTGATTCTATACAGCAAGGAGAGAGATATGCCGGGACATTAAGGGAGTGAGGTAGACTCATTCACGAATTGCTCAGCCTTATTTCACCAGCGCTCTGCTCAAGAGACTTCCACACTGGCAGCAGGTATGAGATGCATCTCGATGGCCTGTCTCACTCACTTTAGTGTGGAGTATCATAGTTGAAATGCATAACCAACTACGCGAGTTCAGACAGTCTACTAGGCACCAAAAACAACAAGGGACGCGGTAGAGCAAATCACCAACGTACCCATGTGCTTGAACGACTCTCGCAAGCCTTGGGAACAGCTACAGGAACGCCAGTCATAGCCCAGCAACCCTCGTCCAGTGTCGCGATGCGCCGCGTTGGCCTGTGGCTACACTGTGACCCACGCCAGTAGGGGGTTATTCTCAAGCCACATCTACAGGTACGGTGCCACTCTGCTACTCAAGTTACGTTCAAAATGTCTACTGCACCAGCTGCTTTCTCGCAATTTGCGTGAGATTCCTGTTTAATCATCAAAATACAGATCTTCTCGGCTGTGTAGAGCCGTTCTAGGAAACCTCCCCTTCGCAATGACGTCCTTTCAACCAACTTATATTCCCTGGTCGTCCAAGGAAGTAGACGAACCCAGCCGGAACCCAGCCGCAGCTCTTCCTCGGGCCCTTGCGTAACCAGGCCAGGCGAGCAGAAAGCGGCTCGAAGAGCGGCGTATGTGCTCAACAAATGGTCCACTTTTAGACTTCGCATGACGAAAAGCGCGGGGAAGTTTTACGAATGTCCAATGTCTCCACTTTCGCCATGGTTTTCTTGCGCGAGGCAGGCCAAGTTGATGCAGAAAAACAGCTGGATATGATGTGCAGTCGTCTGCCAACTATGACGATTCCAAGTCCAGCTGGGTTCCCCGTCGTTATGGGATATAATGCCTGGTCACCAGCTGGCCGGCAGTGAGATATGATGCTGGTTTGATTAAAAAAACTTAATCAGGTCCATCCTACATACTCTAGTCCCTTGAAATCTATCAGCTTTGATTCATTATACTATAATCATGCCTTCGGTGGTCAGCAAGATCAAGGACCGCATGCATGTTGGCCGGGACACCTACGAGTATGACGATGAATATGACTCTGGAAGGCTCGATGCGCCTGGAGACGGTCGAGATAGATATGGCGATCATGATTCTTCGCAGCCTCCTGGATCGTTCCTCAATACAAGCTATGACGAGCCCGCGGGTCACCACGCTGACGGACACAAGTATGTCGCACCACATGGCACCCATGTTGGCGGGCACGGGCACGGGCAAGGCTACGGCCATTCTGGACGAGGAGAGGTCACCGACAGCGACAAACTAATGGATCCAGCAGACAGTGGCACGGGGTCTAACGTCCTAGGAGGAACTGGAGCCGACACAGCGGGAACAGACCTTCATGATATCCACCACCAGTCTAGGAGCAACAAACTCCACAGACGAGAAGTTCCTCAGGCTCGCGGCTATGAAGGCGGTGACTATTCCTCTGCGCTTCCATCTTCGACTCACCATCCACACGGACACGGGCAAGACACCATCGGGAATACAACAATGACTACATCGACTACATCGACTCACGGTCTCCATGGCCAGCATGGTCAACGTGACACCAGGAAGACATACCCAGACAGCAACAACACCTCTACCTCCCACCAACGCGACCAACGTCATAACCCAGCGACATCCGCCGCAGGAGGCGCACCCCTAGGTGGTCTCGCATCCTCGCAGCTCGCAGACCGCTCACGCCACCACGATGAGGCCGGCAGAACCGACCAGAGAGACTACGCAGGCAGTGGCAGCGAGATGCGCGGCGGTGGAGGCGTATATAACACCGTCGTCGGCCGCGGGAGCAATGATGGACAGTACCCGCCCACAGGGAACTACGATTCTCAGACGGGATCCGGGCCCGGCCATGGCTTAAGCAAGCCCGACGCCATTCCCCGCGAAGCAGGCGACTCGCGGCTCACGAGCGGACCCGGTGCAGCAACAAGCGTGCACGACGAGATTACAGGGCCGGGCAGGCACGGGTTCGACCCGCCAACCATGCAGAGTCACGGCCAGGGCTCGATGGCGCGCGACTCTACGGCCGCTCCTCTCAGTGGCGGGCCTGGCGGCGCTCCAAGAGGCTCAGGCTCAGGCTCAGGCCTTGGTGCTGGAAGTCTTGCGTCGCGCCTCGACCCGCACTCGAACGCGAAGGTCATGCATAAGTGCAGTTCGTGCGGGCATGATAACGACATCAGCCATTATTTCAAGAAGGATCTCGTTTATCGTATCGATCATGAGTGAACAGACTGCAAGGATGGAGGTATGAGATTTTGGTATGAGATTTGGGATTTGATCTGGGATCGTGTATGGTATATCTAGTTTCGGTCGGTGCCATAGGATGGGTCCATGCTTGATGTACTTCTGGGAACCAGCGATTTCAATTTATATCCAAATGCTTTTGAACATGCCACTCGTACATTATGGCGTAGATATCTGGTTGCCAGTAGTCATGCGTCAGGTCGGCGACATTAGCCACTGGTTGGAATATCATCCCATATTGGAGTAGGACTTCTGGAACGATAGCATGTTTCACTCCTCAATGAAGGTTTGGAAAGCTAGACATCTACTGTCTCAACTCCTTGCTTCTATCCGTGCGAGAGTGCATCTTGCAACAAGGGCACACGCTGCCGCTCTATGAATCAGAGTATGAGATCATATATAGCCATATGTAACTCTCTGACCAGGCTGCATTGATCCCAAAGGTGCGATTCTGTTGGAAGGTGTCGGTCTGTACCCTGATCATGCATGATTAGCTTGTTAGTTTGAGTTTTCGCACGGAAAAGCGCATTCAAGCCGAATTTCCACTCCTAAATTCATCAGTCCGTCCGTAAGAGAATTATGTTGTAAATTTGTTGCCGATATTGCCTCTATACTTTTATACCGTACGTACAGTGGGTTGATGTTGATGTTGATACATGCGTCTTGGTTTGAGGACATGAAGAAACCCGCCGCCCATCTCAGTACCATCCATATCCATAATTTGTCAGTTTTCAAGTCTTATCGGCCTAATGCTGTGACAACGGCGGCTCCGCATCCCTGCGAGGCCGAAGGCGAATTCGGTGCATGCGCTCTTCTTTTGGTGATACAAATTTTCATCACCTCTCTTCCTCCCAAGCTCGGCGCGAGAAATCTCCTTCTCCCGGTCGTTTTCCAAGATGCTGGTGAATTCGGGCACAGCTGTTGAGGTGACTCTCATCGAGAGAGGAGTTGTTATAGCGGGATCGTGAACGACGTGGTCCTAGAATCCAGGAGGATTGATCCGTTGGCTGACCCTTGTCCACTTGGGTAGTTCTATGAGTTCCATAGTTAGCAATGTTGGAGGCTCGCTTCCCTTAGCTTGATTGCCATACTGTGTATGCCCTTCCTGTACTTCTTCTCTTTCCGATCGTAGATGGTGTATTTATCCTTTGGCAGCATTTCTTCCTCCCGAGGCATCTCGCGGTACCATCTTTCTACTGCTTTAGCAGTCATGCCACCGTTCTTGGCCAGTGCCGTACTGACTGTGTCGACCACCTTATCCACGAGCCTTAATCGTTTTCGCTGTCGAGCTTTCTGCATTGAGGAGAGTCGCCACGGGATTTTCCTAGAGTGGAGATTAGTGTTGCAAGAACGGGGTCCAAAAAGAAGAGGGATGAAATACCATAGCAGACCCCCCGAGAGAGGAGCAGTCGGCCTGAACATGTTGTCTACGCTTGAGCCAAACGTTCAGGTGGGAAGACTTGCTGCTCCAGAAGTGATGTCCGCAAAGGTGGAATTCGGAAAAACCGCAGGGCGAACCCGGGAAACCCTCTGCGGAGGAATAGTTTTCCCAGATCCGAAGACTTTACATGTGCAACAAATTGATGGTGGACAACTTCCATCTGCTCTTCGCTTTTCCTCGTCCCTCACCTCATTCTAACTCTAGTACTACCGAGTAGTTCGCATCTTCCTCCTTCCTGCGGGCGGACCTCCCCTCTTCTCATCTATTTCTCTCTCGATGGAAGCGGCTGCCTCCGCCCCTCCTTGAACCCTCTTCTCAACGCCTCGCCCTCGTAAACGATCCTAATGCCCGGCCGCAGCCATGGCAGCCAATCCCCATCTCAAGCAAAGCTAACCTCACCTCACTACCACCATCTCCCGCGGCAATATCTATATCCCAATGCGGAGCAGCCCAGCTTCGTGTGGCGTGGCGCCTCGTACCAGACGATGCTGGCGGTGTCGACGCTGTGCCGAGCGTTTCTGTACGGCCTCAACAGGACACAAGTCAACGGGCTCCCACGCTTCCTCGACCTGCTCAAGTCCCGCTGCGACCCCAAGACCCGGCGACGTGGTCTGCTGACCGTCTCGAATCACATCTCGGTCATGGACGACCCTCTGATCTGGGGCGTGCTCCCACTGTCATTCACAGCCTTCCACGGCTACCAGAACAGCCGCTGGGGGTTCGGCAGCCACGACATCTGCTTCCAGAACACGCCCCTGTCCCTGTTCTTCACCCTGGGCCAAGTCCTCCCAACGCACCGCAAAGCCCATTCACTATACGGAGGACCCTTCCAAACGAGCATGACCGAAGGCGTGCGCCTCTTCTCCAATATCTCTTCCCACAGACCCTCCCTCTGTCCACACAACCACCCAGCCTACAATTCTGAGTACCATACTCCCTCCTTCCCATGGGACTGTATCGACCCTTTCTCCGACCTCTCGCCCCCTCCATCCTACCCATCCCACCCCTCCGACACCCGGTACTACCTCCAGCCCTCTCGCTACGCCAGCAATGCCTACTCCTGGATCCACATCTTCCCCGAAGGCATGATCCACCAGTCCCCACCAACCCCGCAGAACAACAACCGCTCCGAATACACCATGCGCTACTTCAAATGGGGCGTCGCGCGCCTGATCCTTGAACCGCCCGAATGTCCGGACGTGGTCCCGATGTTCATCGAAGGCAGCGACCAGGTGATGCACGAGTCGCGCACCTTCCCACGCTTCCTCCCGCGCTTCGGTAAGGACATCACCGTGACGTTCGGGCACGAGCTCGACGTGGACGCCACATTCGGCGACCTACGCAAGGGTTGGCGCGACCTGTGCCAGGAGGACGCCCGCGCGAACGGCTGGGACGAGTGGGACGAGATCACGCTGGGCTTGGTTCCGCCGAGTCTGGAGCGGCACCCGGAAGCGGTCAGGCTGAGGGAGGAATGCACGAAGCGCGTCCGAGATGCTGTCCTTGCGGTCCGCAGGAGTCGCGGGTACGCAGACGAAGACCCCAAGGGCGGAGTCGCCGAGACGTGGGCGAAAGAAGGACCCCAGCGCGAGGGCAGGATGGACGACGGGAGTTGGGTCAAGGACACCTAGGCTCGTCCTGGTGCTCTCCTCCTGCTTGGTCAAGCCTTAGACTCCCAGGAACCAGAAAATCTGTATCAGCACCAGGTAATGCAAAGGGGGGATTGCCAATGGATAGATAGATATAACATAAAATTAAAGGAAGAGAAGAGAATATAAGAGACAAAGACGACGGAAAAGGTAGAGAATACCACCGGCTGCATGGATGGATATACTGCATAACCAGGTTTGCATGTTCTAGGCTCATGTATAAACACAACCCCATAATAGACCAGTCTAAAACGCAATCCTTTGGACCGTATCCAAGAATCTCCAAATTTGAAAGGATGAGTCAGAGCTGTAGAAGGCATGACGAGAAGAACGGAGAAGAAAGATGGCACTGTGATTGGCGAGGACGTGGTGGGCAAGGGCCGAAGCTAAGGGATACGACTGGGATGGAAATTGGCCACGATACTGTACCCTTCGAAAGAAGATAAGAGGGCAGGATAATATAGTAATAATACTGGGGAGGATCTATACTGGCTTGTATAGCACAGTCAGAAGAGGTGCGGTAGACATAACCAGACAATAGGCTGTCAATCAGCTAACCCAGTGCAGGATATAGGACTAGTTCTACCCTAGATAGCCACCCCGACCTGAAACTAGGAGCTAGGAGCTAGGATTCCGATGCGATGCAGGATGCCATAGCCATGCCAGGTGACAACCGTATGCCACTGCGAAAGATGGGCCGAGGGCCACCGGCTCACCTCGGTCACTCCATAAAACAACCGGGTTCTGCATCATACTAATATAGTGACAACCTTGGGATCTTGAATAACTCGGAGCGCGCTTCTATCGATAACGACCTTCATGCTCAAGAGTCTTGATATAACGGACGAAAGCTTTCTTGTGGACCATACCTCTATACTCGCCCTCCTGAAGGACACATATATACCTGAGACCAAGCTTGACGAAACACTGATACACCAGGTCCATTGGGCTGTGCGTATCCAACGCCATTGGCGCTGGATCGATATACGGCGTGAGATCAACGGGACTATCTTCAGTGTCCCTTTGTTCATCACTCCCAGATTCCTCACGACCCGAGTCATAGCCGCGATCATCGAATGCCGCCCAATAATTGTGATGTGCGGCATGGGCATGCTCGGACCCAGAGAGCATGCACATCGCCGTGTTTTCATTCTCGATCCTGTCCAGTGCGAATTCAAGGTCTGGTGCGGGGATGAGCCCAACGAGGATTTTGTCCCGAATGACTGGAAGGCCGCCATCGAGCTCCCCAAGATTTTGGAGACGTCGGAGTTTGGTGCGAAGGTCTGTTGCTCTGACAGTTGGGGCGAGGGAAATGTCAATGATTTTGTCCCGGCGGACGCGTGGTGTGATGTCACCTAACTCCGAGTCGAATACCGGACTGGACTTATTGTCGAGGAAAGGATATGAGTTCATGTCGGTCAGAAGATCGTAGATACTCAATGGCTCGACAGCATCAGCCGTCCATTTGGCGCAGAGGACACCGAGAGAAAAGGGTAAGACATGATTCAGACTTCCAGTCAGCTCGAATAGAATGACGGCCAAGGTTACAGACAAGCGAGTGACCCCACACATCGTCGCCCCAGCGGCTACCAAAGCATAAACTCCGGGGGTGACGCATGCCTCCATATCATCGGACAATTGACATTCTCCCCACAGGAAGAATTCCGGGAATCTGACCACGAGATATTGTGTAATGTGACCGACGATTCGTCCCATCAAGCCACCAACAACCATAGAAGGGACATAAATACCCGCGGGGACTTTGATGCCAAATGTAATTGTTGTCAGGAGAGCCTTGATGACGAAAGCCACGCTGAGATAGCCGATGACGGCTGGGATGTCGTCTTCTGCTGGACATAAGCCAGTATTTGTCTGATTATTGCAAGGACTGGCAAGTTCAAATAAGAGTTCGGTAACGGCAAGTCGAGTGTATCGATTCCAGAAACTGATGAGGCCTGTTACAAATGCAACGAGTAAAACCTCCAGCATGGGATATGCTTTGACGACCCGTATTCGACGAAAAGTCGTAGCCCAGAAGCGAGATGCCTTGATGAACAACGCACCCATAAGTCCACCAGCAAAGCCTAAGAATGCAAAGTTGAAAAGCTCGAAAAAGCGCCAATCTGTGACATAGCGTACCTCAAATAGGACGATTTTGGATGTGCCGTAAGGATTGAGGAATTTCAAAGACAGCGCCGCGGCTATGCAACAGAAAAAGGTACGAAACAACGTCTTAGGGGGGAAATAATAGCTGACCTCTTCCAAGCTGAAGAGGACCCCACCCAGGGGTGAGCCAAAGGCCACAGCAACACCGCTGGCAGCACTGGCGGAGAGGACCTCCCTCCTCTTGCCATCATTCAGGTTATACTTGGAGAACATTCTGCAAGCAATATTGCCGATACAAGTGGCAACATGAACATAGGGGCCTTCCTTGCCCAAGCTCATACCCGAAGCTACGCTCAAAATTAGAGCGATGGTCTTGATGACCAAGACTTTCAGACCGAGGTAGCCGTGCAAGACAAAGCCACTCAGGATGACCTTGACTTCGGCAACACCACTTCCGGCGGCAGAGTAGTAAATGTTGGCCGGCAACAAGTTCTGGTCTGCGACTGGCTTCGCAGCACCTTTATCCTCATCTGATTCATGAGAAATATTTGTTTTAACAGCAGCCAAGTCCTCGTCAAAGGTAGCAGCGATCTGTGAAGGAACAACGGTTTTTGAATAGAGGGTGAGAAAGCAAGACAGTGCTGCTAGGGCCATGGAGCCAATGATAAAAACCAAGTACTCGACAGAAGAATCTTCGACGGCAGGATGATGGATGACTTGAGACCAGCTCTGCCAGCTATGACACGTGCGTTCACCAGCGCAGCAGTCAACTCTGGAGAGGTACCAGGCGTCTTTGCAAAAGCCCCGTTTGAGATCGAAGATGGTGGACTCGGTGACATCAACAAAGTAGGCTATGAGTGCGGTCAAGACACCGATGATGGCGACGAGGATCCATCCCTGGGCAGAATCGAGCAAAAGAGCCAGACGGCCTCGCAGGCCTTTCATCTTCTTCAACTCCAAGACTCGATAGCCATCTGCAATGCTGTCATGCACCCAATCAGTGGAAGTGAACTGATCGTACCAGAGCCTGTCCTCCTTGGAGAGAGTGCCGAGAAGGAGCTGGGAGAGTTTGGGAGTACGCAGGCCAGAAGGTCTGTGCCAGACAGGGCTCGTATTGCCAGAGGGCCGTGTACTGCTAAACCTCCTTCTCCGTAAGCTGCCCGAGGAGCTGTTGACCCTTGAGAGTTGTCTGGACCGAGGGGAGACAGGCATGCTTTCGCCGTATTTTCTGACGGAGTCATGTCCTGGACCGAGCAGGCCAGTGTGCTCGTTAGCTGAATGGGTCATGAGGAGTGAGGCGGGGAGTCTGGATCTCAACTCGCTGGAAGATAGCGAGGTTGTGCCTGTTCTTCTGTGATGCTCTGGAGAAGAGGGCGTGGTGGAAGATTGTTGGGCGGAGGACCGAGCGGGTTCGTCATAGTCGCCCACATCGGTGAAGGACACCATAGATTTGGGCATGGTGGATGTGGATTGGATACAGATTCAACTGAGGAAGAAGGAGTGGAAGGGCGAACGCCTTTGAAGGGGGCCGAGATGAGTGCTCTTGAACGACGTCGACGGCACAGCAGGCAGACGCCGCCTAGCTGAGGTCGTCAGCTGGCCATTAGAGGGGAGCGAGACAGGGACGGACGGAGGAGTTGGAAGGCGAATATATATAGAGGGGCTGCGCGTAGGATCTTGAGGTCAGCAGGAGGATTACGTAGAAGGCAGTGGTAGCAGCAGCGCAGGCAGATTAGATGGTCATTCGACCCTGGTTGTGGTGGTATGCAGCAGCGGAGGCCGGAAAAGCTGGGGCTAAGGGACAATGCAAGGGCAGGCTGGGTGACAGGGCACGAGCAAGCTGAGAAAACAAGGGTGAAGAGACAAGAGATAAGCAAGGTAGACAAAGGAGGGTGTGTAGTTGGATGCAGCAGTAGTAATAGTCGATGGTGGTGGTGGTGGAGGAGAAGGAGGAAGCGGGCTACTTGGTATGTGTGGAGGTCGCAGGTGGAAGGTGGAAGGTGAAGGGTGGACAGGAGGAAGGCACAACCTTAGACAGTCAATTGGAGAGATGATCAGGTGCACCTGCCGAATAGTGGTGTCGGAGTCCACTGCTCGCGCCGGTCTCATCATCTGACTTGGACTGAGGACGGAGCGGCAGAGCAGCAGTGTAGCACTATTCGCACGAGGACTTGTAGATATCCACCGACACGGTCAAGACTCAGACACCAGGCTCAAGACCTAAGACTTGAAGAATGCCAATAACAACATCCGTCGTCTTTGCCCCGCATTAATGATGCCCGAGGGGCCTTTTTTTTTCCGAGACTCTGGCTCCCCAAGGGATGGATCAGCCAGCTGCCAAGTACGTCAATCGAGCATCTGGGCAAATCAACTCCCCAGACGGTCCTTAACCCAGCTGAGCACCTGTAGTCTGGGGTTGACAATTACTGCCGCAAGTCAAGCACGAAATCAGAGAATTGATATTGTTTCGGCAGCTGACGATGTCTTGCAGGAGTCCTGACAGGGATGGTGGTCGAGGGACGTGAACAAGTCACCAATGGCAGACTTGGATGCGAAGGACCCTGCATTTTCATCCTGGAGGTGCAGTGAGGACGAGGTCTGTCAGTAACTGACGTACAGGAGAAACGAGAGACCAGCGCGCGTCTCGAGAACCCATTAAAATGCTACAGTAACTCTGAGCCACGAGTCCACGGCTCGCTGGTCTGGAACAGAGGACTGAGTACATATTATGTACGAGACACCCACGAGACATGTAGAGATTGACTTACATAATCAGTCCTCCGTATTGGGTGAGTGTCAATGTCAGTATTCGTGTCAACGCCAACGTCAGTGGCCATACCAACGATAACAGCAACAATAACAACAACAACACCACCACCACCACCACCCCCTCGTCCATGATCAGTACTTCTTGGTATTTAGGACTTAGCATTTCGTATCTGATAATCATCGTGATGGATTTCTAGCCTCACCTGAAGGCCAGCCTACGAACCAGGTACGCTAACACCATGTCCCATTCACCAAGCCAGTCCCTCGCGCCGGGCCCGACATGCCCCCTCGACGAGGGCTCACCCAAAACGTACCCACAATTTATTCTCTTCGGCGACAGCATCACGCAGGGCGCCTCCCAAGTCTTCCAATCCTCGCTCTCGGAATGGTACCAGCGACGGCTGGACGTGATCAATCGAGGCTTCTCGGGCTACACCGCGCCAGCCGGCTACGACACGCTGGTTCAATTCTTCCCCAGCCACCCTCCATCCAGTTGCTCACCGCGCATCCGGCTCCTCACCATCTTCTTCGGCGCCAACGACGCCTGCCTGCCGGGCTCGCCCCAGCATGTCCCGCTTGGAGAGTACAAGCAGAGCCTGCGCAACATCCTCGACTACGAAGGCCTCAAGCAGCACGACACCCAACCCATCCTGATTGTGCCCGCGCCCGTCGACGAGTGGCAGCTGAACGGCGGCGATAGGAACGCCGCCACCACCGCGCGCTATGCCGACGCCTGCCGCGAGGTTGCCCAGGAATACAGCCTGCCTGTCTTGGATCTCTGGACGATTTTCATGCTGAACGCCGGTTGGAGCCAGGGCCAGCAGGGTCCGTTGATTGGGAGTCGCGCCGCGCCGAAGAATCCAGTCCTCGATCAACTGTTGTCCGATGGTCTGCATTTCACTCCCGTTGGCTACAAGCTGGTCTTTGATGAGCTGGTCTATTTGATCATCCGAGAGTTGCCAGACCATCGACCAGAAAATCTGCCGCAGATCTTTCCAGACTGGAGGTTCAAGTTGGGAGTTACAGGATAGATAAAAAATGTAACACTAGTGATAACGATAGTCGTGTCATCGAGCGGGGTGGGGGGGAAGATAGAGAGTTTGCGTGATTTTCAACTCCGTCCCGGGTTTCTAGACACACATATGACATATGACATGAAAGACAAGCACAGGTTACTGCAGACTTGACCTGGAATGAATCATCTTCTCTAGTATTACTGTATTTGCCAGTGGCTGAGCTAAGATACCCATCATCAGGAGTGAATGTGATAACAGTGACAAAGAGAGCAATTTGAGTTGGTCGATCCCAACGTGAGGGAGTGGAGTGTTGAGCGCGCGTGTACCGCGGTTAGGTTACCCAGACATCAAGCACAAACAGGTCGAGGAAAACAACAGGCTAGGAGAAAGAGAACGAGACCCGAGGCGACGAGGAACAAGGTCGCGGCCGGAATAGTACATCACTCCTGCTCCTACTCCTCGTCGCTGTCCTCTTCTTCCTCACTGGCTTGGTCGAGCCACTCCAAGAACTTTTCAGCCGCCTTGCGCACTTTGCGGCTGGTGTTGATGTCAACATACTTCTTACTCGCCTTTTGCCCCCAGGCTTTGGCCACTTCCTCGCTCACCAGGTCGTTCTGGTAGTACTGCATAAGAATGGCTGACACTTGGGGGATCAAATCCGGATGGTCGTTTCCGACAAATCGCTCGGTCCCGCCCAAGAACGCCTTTTGGTGCTTCTCGGATTCGCCTATCATCTTCTGAAGCATGCCAGCTCGAGCAGGGATCTCCTTGACAATATCCTCGTCAAAGATGGTTTGTGCCAACACGGTAAGCGTCTTGTGCTTGGACTCCACTCCCAGCTCGTGGGCCTTCTTGTAGATGTCGACGTCGTCCACCATGTTCACTGATGCTTTCTCCTTGGCTTGATCCAGGATCCAGGTTCCGAGTTGGTCATAGACATTGCTTCCGCTGCCATTCTCTTCGCCTTCCTCGTCCTCGTCAAATGCGAGGGACCGTTTCAAGTCGGAGGGAAGTTCTTTGGCGCGAGCTGCCACAGCTTCGGCTGAAGTGTCGACAGCCCACTCGTCCTCCTTGCCAGTTCCATCGTTGCTGGCTGATATAGTCTTGGCAGTTTCATTGATTGTCTTGGTGAATTCATCATCGCTACCGGCGGCAAGCGCATCGTCACCGTCTTCTTCCATGTCACCTTTGTCCGAGTTTGAATCGTGGGGGCTGCCACCATTCAATGAGCCGTTCTCCTGGCTTTCGGCCTTGGCTCGGTCACGTCGGCTCATCTTTTCCTTCTTGCCTTTCTTGCCTCCTTTGGGTTCATTCTTGAGGATGAAACCGCTCAACTTGTGACGAAGGTCGGCCTCGTGGCGTTGACCACAGGCTTTGCAGTCCAAGATGATGCGCCCGTCTTTGATGGTGATCTCCGTCTCGGGGTTCTTGCACGACTTGCACAGAACAAACTTGGAGATGAAACCATCGAGGGAATCTTGCAGTTTGGATGCCTCATGAGCTCCATTGATGATCCAACGGTCATCCTTTGGATTGGTGTTGGTTTGGGCACCCAACTCAAAGCCAAAGTACTTGATCAGATAGGCAGGGGGACGGGCGAGGGAGGAAGCGACGCTTGGAAGGTTGGCCACAACGGTCCTACAGGCAATTGGTCAGTCAACGAGCGAGACCTGGGTGGAGAGAGGGTGGCATACTTGATTCCGTTGCCCTTTCCTTCGATTTTAGACTGCAAGCGTTCCATCTTGTAGCGGTAGAAGGGGTCGGTGACATCCCGACGAATGTTGAGGGTAGCCATTTTGATGAAAGCCTCGGTGGGATATCTTGACAATCAATTTTTCAGGGATTCGAAAGCTCGGAGGATAGATTCAGAGGCTGGCGAAGCAGAACACAAGACTGGCGAATCTTTCATATAAAGCGGACATGCGTGGATATTACCACTTTTGGGAAGAATATAACATAAAGAAAGGGTAGGACTGCTGATCAACCATAGGAGGACCTTGAAGGACTACAAGGATGTCGTTGAGCCGGATATATGTCCAGCTTTTGCTTGGTTTTGGTTTTGGAGGAGTGGAAGACTGCCCGATACATGAACAATCGAGGGTGCGATTGACTGAGCAACTGGGGTGTTTGGTGTTCCTAGGGGAAAGGAAGAATTGAACGGCGGCGGGCGCGCTTTTGGCAACTGGCTGACTGCGCTGATTGACCAGGATGCAGTGCTCCGTAGGTGATGGGTTCTCGGGTGGTTCGTTGATGAACAATGAATGTCCTTCTGTGTAGGGTCAGAAGTGATGATGGGGAATGGATGATTGATGGTGTGGTAGGGAGAGAGAGAGAGAGAGAAAAGGAAAAGGAAAAGGAAAGAAAATCAATCCAATCTTGGGAGGAGGCGATAGATGGAAACCGCGCTAAGACGAAGAGTCAAAGTTGACGACTAACAGCACTCGGTCGGTCCTAAGAAATTGTGCGTATGAGTGTGTGTGTGCGCGTGTGGGTTTGTCAGTCCGTGGTTCAGTCATTCAAGCAGTCAAGAGTGCGAACGGCCGAACGTGCCTTGCTCATCCGCGCTGTGCAGCTGTGCACACTCACAAGTCACTGCTAGCAGTACACAAAACAGCAGGCCTGGCATCGAGTCACGGCAGACGCCCCGGTAACTTTAGGGGCGAGAGGGAAATGGTGGCGGTGAGGGGGCACGGGGGGGGAATGGAAGCCTTCCCCCCCTCAGAAATAGGCATCAGACAACCCGGCAGTGGTACCGAGTCCTGAGTATCCTGCCTAGGGGATTGGGGGGTTGCTCAGCCACCTGGGCACTCCCTCTGGGTGCCCCCTTGGTTACTGGGGGGTGTTCCTGCTGGACCGACCCTTCGGCTTGTAGCCTTCTGCTGTACTCGTACACGTCCGGACTACGAAGTACGCCCAGGCAGCCGTGATACCCAGGTGCAGCTGCGGGTGAAAAGATTTGTGCCGCTCGCCTCTACGCGGTTGATGGTTCGGCCGAGGGCAGCCGGGGATGAGAAGTGCCAGTGCGGACGTTCAAATATGCACCCAGGCAGAACAAGGGGCTTTGTTCCCGGGCGCAGGGCCCCCTCGGTCCTCCGTAGCGGGTCCTCCGTAGGCAGCGGTCAATACCGAGGTCACGGACCTTGGGACTTACTCGTAACTGTTGTTTTCACTCATTAATGATACAGGCAGTTGTGACATTCAGATGCGAGAGGCGTGCAGGACTGTTGTTTGTCTATTGTCTTTATATAAGTGGTGCTCGACCTGCCATAGGTGCCCAGGTTGCTTCATATGCCCCCAACGTACATCCTGATTCCATCAATCGCGAATTGATCACCGTTCAGAAGCATCATGAATGACACAATAAAAATTATCCGGTCTTGGTGATTCCCTCTTCCCTTTCGTATCGATGGTCTTGCATCTTTCCTGTCTCGCATTGAATACATGCCCTGAAGCTCTGTGTATCCTACCAGATACTCCGTCAGTTCTTTGTTTTCCAAATTGAACTATGAAATCATGCTATACTGTCTTCTGCTGAGCTCCTAATACTATTTATTGCACATGCAAGAAACTTTCCACTATCACCATGTCATCCAAACCAGAGGTTGACTACACGCTCTACTTAGTCACTGACTCTACACCCGCTATCCTGGGAAACAAGGACATTGTTCAGGTAGTCGAACAGGCCATCAAGGGAGGTGTGACCCTCGTGCAATACCGAGATAAACATGCCGACACCGGTGTCATGATCGAGACGGCTGCAAGGCTCCATACTGTCACCAAGAAACACAACATTCCACTTCTGATCAATGACCGTCTAGATGTCTGTCAAGCCATAGGCGCTGAAGGCGCTCACATTGGCCAGGATGATATCTCCTACCTCGAAGCAAGGAGGATCCTAGGGCCCAACGCTATTATCGGGGTCACTGCGTCGTCAATACAGGAGGCCGACAACGCCATCCGGGAGGGTGCTGACTATCTGGGCATTGGAACAACCTTTGCCACCCCGACCAAGCAAGACACCAAATCAATTATTGGCACCAAGGGGCTGCAGGAGATCCTGGGAGCCACCATGACGGGGACTGAGCACCCCATACCGTGTGTGGCCATCGGCAGCATCAACGCCACCAATGTCCAGCGTGTCCTGCATCAATCCGCTCATGGCACCAACCGCCTCAACGGCGTAGCCATTGTGAGTGCCATTATGGCGTCTCCGAATCCTCAAGCCTCCGCCAGTGAACTCCTCTCACTCATCAAAACAACCCCTGAGAAGTACTACGCTGCCGTCCCACCGGGCATCATCGCGATCACCACCGCCTCCGAACTTCTAACACAAATCCCAACTATCATTAAAACCCATGTAACCTCTTCGCCCCTAAGCCACAACATGACCAATACCGTGGTGCAAAACTTTGCAGCCAACGTGAGCATTGCGACGGGGGGTTCGCCCATCATGTCGGAGAGTGGGCCAGAAGCACCAGACCTGGCCCGGCTCGGCGGTGGACTCGTGATCAATATGGGCACAGCGACGCCAGAAAAGCTGGCGACATTTGCCGCGGGCCTCAAGGCATACAACGCCGTTGGCTCGCCGGTCCTGCTGGATCCTGTAGGTGGAGGCGCCACCGCCCTCCGCCGTGAGTCCATCAAGAATCTCCTGGCCGCGGGCTTCTTCTCCATTATCAAGGGCAACGAGGGTGAGATTGGTGCCGTGGTCTCTGCTGGAGCATTTACGAGTCAGCTAGCACTCTCTCAGCGCGAGCAACAACAGCGAGGTGTTGATTCCGGGCCCTCGACACTCACTCGTGATGAGAAGATCCAGCGCGTCAAGTCGCTCGCTCAACGTGAGCATTGCATCGTTTTGATGACGGGTGCGACGGACTATCTATCGGACGGAGTGCGGACTGCAACGGTGTCAAATGGGTCGCACTTCTTGGGCAAAATCACCGGCGCAGGATGTGCACTCGGCTCTGTGATTGTGAGCTATGCCGCCATTTATCCACAGGATAGGTTCCTTGCCACGCTGGCTGCTTTGTTGCACTATGAGCTTGCCGCCGAGAATGCGGAGGCGAGGGCTGATCTAGTCAGAGGCCCGGGCAGTTTTATCCCAGCATTCCTAGATGAACTGTATTTGTTTGGCGAGGAGGTTAAAGTGGGAAAAGGGTTGGCGGCCAAAGGGTTGCTGGAAGGGAGAGCCAAGGTCGAGCTTGTTTGAAGGGATCCTCTGGCAGAGAGAGGAAGAGAGGAAGAGAGGAAGAGAATGAAAAGCGACAGCGAAACCAGATAACTAGCTGAAAGAGGTGAGTTATATGGCGTATAAGTTAGATGGATCCACAAGCATGAGCATGAGCATTTCTCTCTCTCTCAAACATGTCTAGACATAAAGTGGGCCAGTCACACCAAGATGATCCCCAGCCGGGCACGACGAGATGCCGTCGCACCAAAGAAGGTAGATAGTATTGCCAGCAACCGTCAGGACTTGTACATACTTCCTTTTCCAATTAGGTCTCATCTACACGCTCCTTTGAAGTGCTCATACATAACTGTGGCTTTCCCCTTCTCCTGACAGAAATCGTATCAATCAAGGCACCGGCATCTCCCCTCAGCACACGGCCGAATATCCTTCTCGATATCCAGCCGAATCCATCTTTTCCGTTGCGGCTCTGGCTGCACCACGGCAGCTTGGACATCCACACTCCCATTCTCGACAGACGAAGAATCCCGGAGCGCGGATGTAGCTGACTGCTGCTCTTCAAAGACCTCGACGACGCCTTGCATGGCCGTCGCCAGCAAGAAATCCTCGTCGTACGCCACGAGCTCAATGTCCACATCATCGAGTTTCCTCCCGCGCAGCAGCGTCTGCATGCCCTTTTCTGCCTTTGACGGGTGCGTCCACTTGGCCGCTTCTTCTGCGTCTCTGTCTAGGACCGGCGTGGACACGCTACTGCTATGATGATGATGCTGATGCTGATGGCCATGGTTGCGACTGTGGGCCGCAACGGTACCACGACTCCGACTCCGCGAGTGGGATTTCGCGCGCGATGAGATCCTCGCGGACGGCGACACCGGCGCCGTGACGTCCAAGAACTCGAGCTCCTTCAGCCAGGACGCCAGCAGGCCCTCGCCGACCATCTTGATGTACGCTTCCTTGAGCGCCCAATACGCGTAAAACCGCCTCAGCTTCAGCTGCGTGACTTTCGCCTCGTTCTCGCGCGCTCGACGCAGCCGCGCGGCTTCGGTGGTGGCACCGCGGCCTTCCGAGGACGACGATGAGGACTCGGTGTCCCAGGCGCCTTCCTCGCGCTCCGCGACAGGCATGTGCACGGGCGCGTGCCGCATGTCGCGCCGCTCACGCTCGGAGAACATCTCGCCAAAGATGTCGACCCACTCGTCGAATTTGGCCTGGGTGGTCATGTCCTTGGGCGTGCGCTTGTCTTCGTCGGCGCATGCGATGTCGATCCCTAGCCGGACTTGGTGGGGGGAGCTGGCTAGGCCAGGTGTGTGGTGGCCCGTCAGATCCAGGTGGTCCATCTTGGCGGACAGTGACGAGGAGGTCGGGAGTTGAGCGGTCGGCGTCGTGCACCCGATGATGACGACCATCCCCGCCTGGTGCGTCACGTTGAATTCGAGGCCGCCGCTCTTCGATTCCGACTCCCAGTCGTCTGGTGGCTGCCAGTAGGGGCGGCGGTGGGGGACGGGGGTTCTCTGGATGGCGACTTTGGACCAGGGGATTTTGGCCTGTCGGTGGATGAAGGTGTATTTTAGCAGGGCGCTGGCGAGCGACATGAATTTGTCGGCGGGACGCAGGAACCGTGTCACGGCTTCTTGGTCGGCGAAGGTGAGTAATTCGAGCAATGGGAGGGAGTATGGCTGTTTGCTGTTCGACGGGACGAGGGGCCGTGTGTCTATGTAATACCTTGTGATGACACTGGAGTGCTTTTGTGGGAGCGCCATTTTTGAGAATCGCCTGGTTGGAGGAGTAGTTGAGTGAGAGGATGGAGGGACTGTGTTCCCGATCAGATGAATGTCAGTGCCACCAGTGGGTGTTGTAGCGGAAGGGTGCAGCGTCAACTTCAAAGCTACATCAGACCAACAGAGAGAAAGTCGGGTTGGTTCTCAGCCCATGCAATTCGAATTGAATTGGTAGAGTTGAATTGAACTCGCTCTGTGGCCATCCAACACTCCCCGTTTTTTAATCGTTGACTTTTGAGACACTGGCGATGGATACCGTCCTGCCCATTGAGGTCGGATGCTATTGGCAATTGATAGACGATGGACGGTTGATGAGGGCAACAAACTTTCATATGAGGATGTGTACATTCAAGAGTCACGTCGTGCAGTCGTCCTTTTGCAGAGAATCAGCCGTTGGAAGGAATTGAGGCTTTTTCGAAGATGCTCCGCTTTGAAGATAAGCTACTATCTAGTAGTGTACGGCCAGGGTAAGGATAATATAAAGTATCAGGGCAAGCAGTGACTATTAAGCTACCAAGTAGAGGAGGAGTGGGATGCAACGGTTCGAAAGGCCAATGGATTGGTCTTAATTTCTTAATTTAGCACAACTGAAAAAGAACGGACCCAAAGACCAGGTCTATGTCCATCCATGTCCAACCTGGTCCACGTCTGATGTTCGCGTTCCACAGGTACGGAGTGCGTTACAGGTACGGAGTACTCCCCACTGCATGTACGAGTAGTCCGGAGTACAAGGCCCATGAGGCGAAGTGGGCGACTCAGAGATCAGGTGATTTATAAAGTATGACATAATCGGACGAGACCGGCCGATCAATAGTCCGGAGTGCCAAGTACTGCGACGGGAAGGCCTCCATAGTCACGAGTCACGAATGTGGCAGGGCGTCGGGCGTGACTCGAGGCGATGATCAAAGGCGGTGGCAGAATAATCCTGCCCGCCACTGGCTACTGCATGTCGAAATTACCCGAAGAATCGATATTTCACGATAACTCGAAAGCCGGAGAAGAGGTCGTGACTCGTGACTCGTGACTCAGTCCTCAGCGTCGCTCGACCACCAGCAATATAGGGATACATTGCATAGAAGACATTACAACCGTGCCTACCTAGCGAATGTTGGATGTTGGGTCAATGACGGTGGCGGTGGGCGTTCTTGCCCTTCAGGGCGCCTTCCTCGAACACCTGGTGTTACTGAGGAAGGCAGCAACTCAACTACAGGCACACGCACAGTCACAATCACGACCGACCGACACGTTCATCTTCACAGAGGTTCGCAATGTCAATCAATTGGCACGGTGTGATGCTTTGATCATCCCCGGTGGTGAGAGCACCACTATCTCATTTGTGGCCGCACAGTCAGGTCTGCTGGAACCCCTCCGAGACTTTGTCAAGTATGCCTCCATTTCCACTCCACGCGTCACGCTTCGCCTATCCATCCAATAACTGACCACCCACCTGCAGAGTCAGTCGGAAACCGACCTGGGGAACGTGTGCCGGCTTGATTCTGCTGGCGGAGGCTGCTAACGCCACCAAGAAAGGTGGTCAGGAGTTGATCGGCGGCCTGGACGTTCGAGTAAACCGTAACCATTTCGGCAGACAGGTCGAGAGTTTCCAGGCCAACCTTGACCTGCCATTTTTAAAAGGGGGCCCGTTTGTTTCCGATGAGCCATTCCATGGCATATTCATCCGAGCTCCCGTGGTGGAAAAGATCCTTCCAAATGTTCAAGGGGTTCAGGAAGGAGAGCAAAGGTTGGCCGACACCGTGGTCGCACCATCCAAAGCGGCCAAGGATGACCGAGCTCGTTCAGCAATGAGTGCTGATGTTGAGGTTATGGGTAAATTGCCCGGCCGACTGAAGAATGCTGCAGCACGAGGAGTAGACGTGCATGCTGACAACGAGACTGGCGATATTATTGCCGTGAGACAAGGCAACGTCTTTGGAACCAGCTTCCATCCTGAGCTGACTTCGGATACTAGGATACATGTTTGGTGGCTGCAACAAGTGCTCAATGCGACGGCAAGAGCTTAATGGATTCTGTAACTCTGGATAGAATGGTGTTGGGCGTTCCAAATAGGTGTGGTGTAGACCAGCAATTGATTTATCGGCCAGATCCGTATTCCTCTTCTTCTTTGCGTCTCTCGGCGTCAATTGCGCGACCATAGCCGCCTCGCCCAGGATCAAACTCGTCTCGGTATTCATCTCTGACTTGCCCTCCGGACTTGCCCCGCCCATACTGGCGTCCCTCGATGAAACCTGAGTCAAGATCGGTTCGGATGACTCGCTCGTCAAGCTTCGTACCACCAATGTATTTCATACAGTCGAGCGCTTCTTGGTGTGTATAGTATTCAACGAAGCAGAAGCCACACGGCGTCTTTTGAAAGCGGTCCAACCCCATGACCAGTCGTTTGATCTCGCCGCATCTATGTAATAGATCAGTAAATGGCCAGGAGTAGGATGCGTAGGAGAGACCGTCGGGACATCATACTTGGAGAATAGCTCATGGATCTGCTCTTCGGTGGTATAGAATGACAGGTTGCCGACATACAGAGTTGTGGCATCCTTCAACGGATCTTCCTCCTCTTTTGGTGGGTTGTCATCTCTGTCATCATTGGTATACCTTCCGTTGTTTCCCTTGCGATGCTTCTTCTGCGATTCTAACAGTCAGCCTAGAGTCGGAATGGTGGTTAGTGAGACACCCACCCGAGTGGAGAAGTAGGAGCTGGGCCTGTCAAGCCTGTCGACTGTGGTAATATCTAGCATTGTGAGGATGAATGCGCTGTTGTTGATAGTCGCGATTGTGATAATAGTGGTGGTTGTGATGGTAGTGGTGGTGTTTTGCGCGCGATAAAGGATGAGGTTGGTTGAGGTTGTTGGATGGTGAAAGGGAAGGCACAGTTGAGTTGGTCAAGGCTCAAATGGCAGCCGCGTTCCCTTGTCTAAAACGCGCCAAAGGAATTTCGTCGGTTGACTGCATCTTTACACCAACCACCCACCTTTCAATCAACAGAGCGCCTCACCAGCTTTGCGCATTTACTTGCATATAATCGCTATCATGATCCCATGAGCCTTTAATTAATCCATCCTCTTGTCCTTGTCAAGATGCCTAAAGTCATTGGTTACACGCCTCCATGGCTGTCCAGACCTTCCCCGGGCGCAAGAATCTTCTCAGATCCAGCACCTCAATCGCCCTCTTCTCCCTCCAAACGATCCTCATACGTGACTGCTCCTCCTTCCTCGAACGGCTACCAAGGCCCTCGAAGACTGATTGCAAGTAGAGGAACAGAGATATTTACTGTCGTTGGCAATAAAATCCGCTGGGCTGATCTGGCTTCGGTTCGAGACCAGTGGGAAGAAGGATTTCAGTCTGGCAATAGTCGCTCTGGCAAATCTCGTGCTGCCGATTCCGATCTTGAAAATCATGCATACCGCACGCTTGACGCCTCTATCTACTATCAAATCCGCCAAATTGCCATATCCCCTTCAGGAGTCTTCCTGGCAATCTGTACTGAACATACCGTACATGTTGCAGTTCTGCCACCTTCGTCTAGGTTATCGGAGTATGAGCCTTCTCCCCTGAAATTGAAGACCTACCAGCTAGGCCCTACAATCCATGTTATCCCAGAGTCTCCACTGGCTTCCGTTCTATGGCACCCATTAGCTTCATCGACTACATCGACCGACTGCATTGTCACTGTAACTTCCGAGGCTGCTGTGCGGGTATGGGAGATTGATCGCTCCAATAAATGGGCCTTCGAACGCCCTGCTCTTGCAATTGACCTACGAAAACTAGCAGATGGTGTCTCTTGCGATCAGGACTTCGAGCCCGCGGGATTTGGCAAAACTCGCGGCTTTTCTGTCGACGATTTTGATATGGAGGTCTCTTCTGCCTGTTTTGGGGGCCGAGGCAGGAGTGACGAAGATCCCTGGGCGGCAATGACGCTTTGGATCTCGATGCGGAACAGCGATATCTATGCTTTATGTCCCTTACTGCCATCCAAGTGGAGACCATCCGACACCACCATCCCAGCTCTCTCAACAGCTGCAGTATCGCGAGTTGCCTCCATTCCAGCAGATGTCACCGATCAAGATGAACGAAGAGCAGCCGACCAGCAATATGAATGGGCATCGGAATTAGATAGAGAAGACCTTCAACTTGTCGATTCTGCTGACGGCCTTGAACAGTATGAAGTGTGCTTGAGGCCGCAAAACCCGAGTGCTATCCCCCGCCTGCAAGGTCCGTTCGCCGTACAGCCTCAAGATGACGATTCAGATATCGAGATCTCAGATATCTTTGTGTTTCCTGCCAAAATTGATGAGCAAGATATCCTGTCTGATGAGTATGAGGATGATTCCTACACTGCATCTAGCACAGTACCATTTGCGACAATATGCGTGGCGACTCTTGAAAATGAGATGTGGTTTGCTATTGACCTCGACGGCGTTTCCGGACAGTGGCTCCCCAAGAAAGGTAGAAGCGCCTTCGGACTGCCTTCATCTGATGCAAAGGAGCTGACGCTGATCGACACTTTTGCCTTGGACATTTCTTCTGATGACCATGTGGGCAACTGGCCAACCTTCACTGTCGACGTTGTTCACAATTACTCCATATTCTTGACTTCAGCCAACAAAATATGCTCACTTTCACTCAACGACTGGGTCACCCGACTGGCCGCTGAACTCACTGAAACCGAAATAGACGATCCGGGGTTGAAGACTCGCCTAGAGACAACTGCTTCGAGTGAGGTCTGCATCACCAACAAGATATTGGAGACCTCCGACCAGCCCTCTGGGTTTCTTTCTGCTCCAGCCGTTATCGATGATACTGGATTAGGTTATCTCCTCTTGACATCAACTCCAAATACACCTTATGCTGTGTCATTCGATCAAGCACATCTGCGTGCCTCTACCATTGGGCCATCATCTCCGGAACTTACTGCAATGTCTTCTAGTCGTCCCAACGGCCAATCCACAGAACAACGTGCAAACGACGATATCGATGCTTTGCCCTCTAGATCACCCTACGCCCCAGCAGGCGTCTTCTATGCCAATCACCTTCAACCGTTGGAATACCTGCGTCAACGTCTTCCCCCGACCCTTAAGAGAGCCTTGGTAGAGAAGCCAATGCGTTTGTCACCCGCCATGCTTGAAATAATGACTGCGGCCCACCGGACAGTCAGTGTTCAAACTTCGGAAATGGAGAAAGCCGCAGCAGAGCTATTCCGTCGTTGCGAAAGATTGAGAGAAGAACTTGGTGACCAAGTAAAGCAGATGACAGAATTAGCCCAGCGACTTCAACACATTCAGCCGGGTGGCGAGGAGGACGAGAATGGTCAAGCAAGGGCAGCGAAAAGCCACCAGGACCGAATCACTGAGGCAAAAGAAAAGCAAGCAAAACTTGTCGCAAGGTACGAAGCAATGAGGAGAACAGTGGGTAGACTTGGTGGTAAGAACCGAGAGTTGAGTAGTAAAGAATCTGCATGGATTGATGAAATTGATGTGTTGGGATTGGCAGTCGGACTTGGCTCTGGCAAAGAGCAGGAAACACTCAACACCGACAAGGCACAGTTGGACACCAGATTTGATACGGTAAGTCTTGTTTTGATTCCAACAATCGTATTGGTGCTGATTCCTTCCGACAGGTCAAAAAGCTATCAGCTTCACTTCTCGACGAGTCTCGAAGGGTTGAGAAGCAATTACGAGATCAGCAGCAGCAGCAGCAGCAACCTCCTAATATTGACCAGAGTACATCGTCTCTGTCGACATCTACCTCTTTATCACGATCGCGTGCCTCTATTGGCACAGCTGTCAGTAGTATTGGCAGCGGAAGCGGCAGTGCCTTGTTGGGCGTTTCCAGCCGGCTCCAGAAGGAGCGCATTGCTGATGTCATGACAATGGTGGAACGAGAGGGTGCTGTTATCGATGCTGTCGTGCATAGACTCGATAGGTTGAAGGTTGAGTACTAGAAGCGCTTTCCCAAAACTTTGCATCGTGCACCGTGCAAGGCACGAAATAACAGAAGGGAGACTTGCATATGGTGATGACTGTGTAAGGGAGAGCGAGATAGCACGTTTGCCGTGTTAGTTTATGATGGCCAGCATGAGGTCAAGACGAGGCAAGGAAAATCATGTCGAGTTGAATACCTGCATAAGGTGATCTCCGGCTGATTTCTTCCTCATTGACAGCGGTATGAAAGCTGTCTAGTACCAGTCCAATGCAAGACCTTTGACCTTCTTGATGTGGGGAGAGAACGCGTCCCGTTTCAAGCCTGCTCACTTGTTCACTATGTTCTTTTCCTCGAACCCTATCTGGTATCGTTGCTATGTAGCATCGTAGCTCAAGCACGCCTACACGACCTAGTAGTAGAGAAGGCCGTGTTCATCTCCCTAGAGGCTTTAAACTAACTCGGTCGTTCTCCATACGAAGGTACGATATGGACTGCTCTGAGGTGGACTCGAACCCTAGCTGTTCGTTTCATAAAAAGTAGAAAAAAAAGATCACTTACACCAGCATTTCAGTGGGTGAAGTTCTTAGATCAAAAAGATGGGAACGTGACTTATGGGACTTGAGAATCTGAGGTTGGAATTTGGAGGGAGCCTTGTCGACGAGGCTGAGTCTTGGCGGGAGGTTTTATTGTTCAACTTGTTCTCCGAACTCAGTCGAATAGGAGAAGGAGGAGTGCATGAGCTCCATGCCTGCTAGCGAACATCTAGGGGAGGCAATCGCTCAGGTCGGATGGTACACATACGATCTCAAAACCTTTATCTATCCTAGCCTCGGAGCATGACATACATTCCTTCGTTGTTTATCCTATTGTGGTGGTGCATCATCATCATCATCACCCAGCCTCATTATGTACTTAGTGTATGTATAATCGGTCTTCAAGACAATACAACCCGTGCAACGTTGTCTCGTTCCGCTCATACGCAGTCCACTCTTGTTTCTGATTCCCGCCCTCCCGTGAGACTGCCTTGCCGTCGACCATCACCCACTTCGCAGCCACCACTTGTCACAGGCAACGCGCATTTGCCTCCCGACACCCAAACCATCATACAAAAACAAGGCATCTCATATCTCACAGCTCATGACGCACAACTCCTGCCTTTATCAGAACCGGACCTCCCTGGTCTCACCCCTCCCAGCCTTGACATCGAACTCGATCCACCGGGCATGGCCCCTACGCGCGCCGAGCTCATCTACCACGCGCCCGGGGTTCATCACGTGGCAGCCCTCGTACGTGATTGCGAATTGCGGCGTCTCGGCATCCGCCAGCACCAGCGCCGTTGGCAGCGGGTACAGCGACAGTGCGCCAGCGTGGTCCCAGAACACCGGTCGGATCGAGTACGCGAATGGCGAGAGGTGCGATTGGTCGAGCACTGTTTTGATCAGCTTGCGCGCTGAGGGCAGCGAGGCGGCGCCTTGGCCCGCTCTGCTGCTTGCTGGCCCTCTCCGCTTGGCCGTTTGGGCTCGGTTGTTGGTGGATGGGACGTGAGATGTGGCTTCGTGCACCATGCTGTCTAACGCTGTGGCATTCCGTTCCGCGCCAATTGGGTCCTCTAGATCTATGGGCTCTGGTCGTTGACTGGGAGCCGTAGGATCTTCTACGTCTTCTCCCTCCGGCGTCGAAAACGTAACCGCGTTTCTTCTAAACCGACTCGTGATATCATCTCGGAACAAGACTATCTCTTCCAAGGGGCCGAAAAGGCTTATTCTCGCAGGGTTACTGGCCCATACCGCTTCCCCTGGTACGGGGTCGCTCTTGGCTTTCCTTGCTGTTTCTGTGTTGGCAGTTACAAACGCCCGTCGAATCCTGCTCGTGAAGAGGTCCGGCACCCCCTGCCGTGGGATCACACATGCACCGCCTGCTGAGAAGGAACTGGCCCAAGGATCGTTGTCGCCCGGCACGAAGACGAATGTCGTGGTAGATATGAGGCTGGGAAATTCCGAAAAGATGGATGCCAGTGCGTCGAAGTGCTCTTTGTACTCGACGCTTCCGCCGCCCTTGGTCGAGCCCGCCATGCTCGCTGCTGAAACAAAATTGCCCATCATCACGATTGATAGTGGATAGTCGGCTTGGTCGGCGCTGGCGTTAGCGTACGATGCGATGATAGCCCGGATAGCCTCCAACGTACGCGGGCTGTCCAAGTTGCATTCACCTAGGATGGCCATCTTTGTGCGGCCAGGATGCGGGTCGTCTTCTTGGTGAGGCGATGCTATGCCATCGCTCGTGGGGGGTGCTGTGGCTATTTGTGACTGGGGCTGAGGGCCGAATACTCGCCTTTGCACTCGTCTCATCTGTGATCCACTTGCTTTCTCACTGCCAACGCCCAAGAAATCGATCCAGCCAAAGCCGGAGCCAACGCTTGTATGCGCATTGTTGTTGGGGTCGCTGTCGGGGTCGGGGCCCTGTGAGATACCCACGGTGACATTGCGCCTTTCCGCCGGAGGACCTGTCATCGTTTCTGCAACAAACTGGCCCTTGATCTGACCGCCAACCCCTGCGGCGACGCCGAGGTTGGAGTTGTTTGTGCCGTCCTCTTCATAGGTTCCCTCGACGAGCACAATCATACCCGGGCAGAACCATGCTCCGTCTTCGGGGATGGCTCGTGTATTACTTAAATCTAAAACGACACTGCCGCTTAGATCTGTCAGGACGAGGTCACCTGCTGCTGAGTGGACGAGCATTCCGAGTAAGAGGCGAGAAGAGCCAGAGCGGCCGAGAAGGTTCGAGATTGGTGTTATCTTATATGCTTGTTGCATAGTCACCGCGCTGCTTCCGGAGCGTCCAAGTGAACGAGAATGGTTTCCCGTGGAGAATGCTGGTGTTTGAAACGAATCGTTCCTTAGCAGCCGTTGGTGCACGAGGTGGTAGCGGTTTCTGAACATAGATATCTTGTGTTGTATTGGTGGCAGTAACGAGGCTGGTCCAGATAGTAGTTCCAGCGCCTTCTTGGTTGTTGAATAGGCAAATCGGGGCTGGCTGAATGCTGATACTATCTTCAGGTACTGCCGCGGGTCTGCCTGGCTGCTCTCAGGCTCTCCTCCCAATTCTCCATTGTCGTCTACATCCAATGTTGATAGCCCAAGACTTGTCTGACTGTCGTCCTTGCTGACTTCTGGACGGCCTCCGAGAGAGCTGGAGCGGGATAAGGAGCCCATCGAACTGTTTTGGCGTGATAGTTTCCCCGTGTCCACTCTGCCTCCAGACATGCAAGGCTCGAGTGTTTTCAATATGTTGGACAGTTTCTTGTCGGGCCCATCCTCGACGATCAAACCTCCTCCATTGCGCTTCCATGACTTGGCAATTTCATCAAGCAAGCGCTCAGCCAGTCCATCTTCTCGCCAGCCACTTCCACAGAATTTGCCAACAAAGGTTGATAGCACTCCTAGTCCAGAGGATGTTAGTGTCAGGCTGTGTTTCTTTGTTAATGTCCGGAATGCCACTGGCCGCAGAGTCTGTGGTGGCAGTATTATTGGAAGCACTGTGTGGACATTGCTAGCAGTTGAAGTTTGCGCAAACGGTTGTCTGGGCACAGCTTTTTGTCGCTCCACTATGGGGTAAGCTGGTGTACCAAAGCCAGGCGACGATGATAACAGTTGATCCTTGGGTTGTAAGTGTGAGCCAGTGGTGAAATTGTGTCTGGGAGTCGCCATTGAATCACCCATGACGGCAATGGTAATGCCCGTCGTCCAAGTCTGTTGTGGAAATTATCCTTCTCGATTTCCAAGACACGTCTGAATTGATTGAAATCTGTAGGAGCCCTCAGGCAGCAATGCTCACGATTTGACTTGACTGGAGAATCGTGGGTGTTGGAATAGTCGAGGAAACACTCAACGCGTCCAAACGCGTATGACGGTCTGCCGAGATTTTGCCGTCAAGTGACGCGGATTTCAGAAAAGATGCAGGTGCATGATGAGTTTGTTCCTCTGACTCTCTCACACCCTCACCCATTCTACACGTTCACTTGCACGTGGCTTTAGTGTCGCGTCTACTTCCTTTAATCACTGCGCAGACCTGCGCGACTTCTAATTGTTCCTTACCTCTGCAGCCCAACACCATGTCTACCGACAACAAGACCAAACAGGCCGAACAGCTTGCAGCAACCTCGGAACCTCCAGCCGAGATGTCTACTCGAGATCGATTAGCAGACCTGATAGCCAAAGCAACTGCCAAATATGCCGTCAAGCACTACTCGGAAGCCGCTGAACTCTTCTCACAAGCTGCCGAACTTCAAACCGAACTTAACGGAGAAATGGCACCAGAGAATGCAGACCTACTCTATTCCTACGGAAAGTGCTTATATTTCCTCGCGCAACAGACAAGCTCGGTACTAGGTGGCACCGCAGCGTCGGCTCAACTATCATCAGGCAAGGAAAAGAAGGCAGCGAAAAAGCGAAGTGCAAACGGGGCAACGCACATTGAATCATCTACAATTGGTCAAAGCTCCAAAACTGGTGTTTACCAACCTGCAGACACATTGCCAAACGTCGGCGACGTGGTACCGGAGTTGGATGTGAAGGCCGGTGATAATACAGAAGAACCATCCGACAAACCATACTTCCAAATCTCTGGTGACGATGCTGGCTGGGATGAATCAGATGATAGTGATGCAGACAAGGATCCAGGGGCCGAGGAGGAAGAGGAGGACGACGACGACTTTGCTACAGCCTACGAACTCCTTGACCTTGCGCGTGTTCTCTACTTGAAGAAATTGGACCAGGCCGAGGAGTCGGCATTGGAGGAGTCCGACAAGGGCAAATACGTTGCCTCCATCGATCTGACACCTGAAGTCAAGGAACTCAAAGGCCGAGTCGCTGATATCTATGACCTACAAGCTGAGGTTAGCCTGGAAGGGGAGAAATACGCTGCCGCTGTTGTTGATCTGAAAGCGTGTCTGGCACTGAGAGAGGAACTTGAACCGCCGGAGTCGAGTATTCTGGCAGAATGCCATTACAAACTAAGCCTTGGACTCGAGTTCAGCTCTCAGTCACAACAACGTGACCAAGATGGAAATCCCGTTGGCGAGATATCTATTGACTGGGACATTCGAAATGAAGCTGTGGCACAGCAAGAAAAAGCGATCGATTGCTGCAAGCTGCGAGTATCGAAGGAAATAAAAGCATTGGAGACTCTAGAACCAGGCCCACAAAAGGACAAGGCGATGGCTCAAGTTGAAGACGTACAAGAGATGATTGGTGAAATGGACGTTCGATTGGCTGAACTTCGGAAGCCACCAGTCAATGTTAAGGCTGAGACGGAGGAACAAATGTTCAAAGAGCAGATCTCCGGTGTCTTGGGTAGTATCCTTGGCAGTGGCGCAACGGAAGAGCAAAAGAAAGAGAAATTGGCTCAAGTTTCAGAAAAGGCGAATGACTTGAGCGGACTGGTGAAGCGAAAGAAGCCCAAGGCTACACAAGCCAGTGGTGGAGACAGCGGGTTTGGATCTTCAGCATCGACGCCGGCAGCAGCACCTGTTCTGGCAGAAGGTTCTAGCCGCACTGCGACGAAACCCAGCAAACGGAAGGTTAACTTTGTGGATGAGGTCGAGGATCTTGAGACAGGGAAAAAGGCCAAGGTAGAAGATGCAGAGGACTCGGGATTATGAATATGCGACAGGGTCTGTTCCAAGACTACCAAAATGGGATGCCAGGGTGGAAGCGTGTCACTTTGCTTTAACGACAAAGGCACTTCAGGCGTTGAATGATTACAAGCAACCTCGTGGGTGCCGGACTGCGACATGAGTTCGTGATGATGATACCTGCTTTTAAGTGTGTATATTACTAGTCAACCCTCGATTGACATGGTCCTGTTGACTGGCTGAGGCAATTTGCACGCTCGTGTGTACAAAGCCAGACAATCAGAGAAAATAATTGATTCCATACTCAAAGAGTGAACTGTTCGTTATCGTCATCGTCATCGTCATCCTTGCACATCAGGCCTATGGAAGAATTAATAGTACAAGCAGGAAGCTCTAATGCCATCGGACATAGGGTAGCAGGAGCACAGATTCCGTGGTCACTGACCTTGCCAATATCGAGGCCTGCCAGTTGACCATTGGACAATCACACAAGGGCTGCCTGATGTATGCATCAGCACGCGAGGGCCCCTTGCTTCATTCTCTGATCCAACAACCCGCAAAGCCAACCTCGACTCTCGTCGACGAATTCCAGTCGCGATCTGACACCTCGGTCAGATACTGGGCACAATGGTCGGTATGGTATGGCATGACAATCACACTGTCAAAGGCCTGCCTCTCTTCGAAAAGCATGTAGAATTGTTTCTTCCAGACCACGGCGCAGTGGTTGATATGGTCTCGGACAGAGGTGTAGTAGATGTCCTGCTCGGACATTTCGTCGATGGTCATAATTTGGTGCGTCAAGCCTTCATCGTAGTACGCGGCCCAGCTTCCATCGTCTTGATACTCTTTCACAAATTCATCATCCACACATGGCGCCGGGACCCAGTGGTTCAACAGTACATCGTATGCGCAACCGAGCTCTCTCGCTTCCTCCACCGAGTCACCACAATCCAAGGCCCAGGCATTCGAGGTCACGTTGTGCCGTTCATCCTTTGTGCTGACAGCAGTTGAATTTGTAGAAGCCGGCGCGATAGCAAAAGAGATCGCTACCCAGAGCGACGACGTGAGAAGGAAGACTAGGAAGTGTGATAGAAAGATAGACCATGAGGTCTTGACATGGCGACCATGGCGACCAGACTCGTGTTCATCCACTGATGACGAGTCATCGGAATACTGTAGAAACGGCTGTTGCTCGCCAGCCATAATTTTTGAAGACATGTCCTGCAAGTCTGCACAGGTTGTATGTTCCGATGGAGTGGTGAGGCCAGCGCAATTTCCGCCAGGACTTGTCCCGACCTTTATTTGCGTACGCTGGTGACTGTCTGCTGCTCATGGCGAGGACGAACAGTGCACTGACTTAGCCCTCTGACACAGCAGTGGTTCCGAAAAGAGAGATTTGGCCAGCTAAGATATGCTTGAAACATTCACAACACGCACATGCGGGCATTGCAGAGCATATTCATGGTATGAGATGCCCTAGATGGGCATCGTTTCGAACCGCCTGAAACGGGCACCAAACCCCGGGCAGGGGTGCTTCGTGAAAGCCTCCGCCTCAATGGTTGGGATGGTGGTACACAATTATGCTGGGCATATTTTATACTCTGTACTGTCCGACGAATTCCTGCTGGTGGTATCGACTAAGCAGTCGCCAACCCACCATTGATTGGGTGCCATGGATGATGTTGTGGAATGTGATTTTGCCGCTGTGTCATTGCGATCCATGCTTGATTGGACGTGGCCGCTCAAGATATATACTGGGGTGCTCAGGGGCGAGGATGTATCCGTACCGCTTCCGGTGCTGACACGAACGGGCACCAACCACCAACCATTGTATCATCCCACCTTTCGCCAATGCCTTGGGGTTCTGTGCTGCGTTACTGCCTCAAGATATGCCTCACGTATACGGAGTAAAGTCACTGCCACTTCCTACTACGTGAACCGTGAACTCCCCTCGGATGAAACAGCCTTGTCCCCACCTAAGCCGGAAAGTTCAGTCTGCTGTATATGATCTGCGGTATTGGATACTGCTTCAGAGTGAGAACAGCCAATGACACAAATATGGAGACTACCATGTCTATTTTAAGATGCTCATCATGATTCGTTCCGAAGTTCCCAAGTTGTCTGTTCAGGATGTTCTCGTGACAGCTTCCTGTGGATGACTACTGATCTTGAAGCTCGTGCGGTTTGAGGACTGATGCCAAAACTACAAAGTACATCGATGATGGGTAGTGTGCCTGACTTTACATTCTTCGACATATATATCAGCGACTTGAAGCCTCAGAACACAAGAGCAGCGAGGCAAACCCTACTATTTGGGCATAAATGTGATGCTGCCTCAAATGAAAAGTCACGGGATATCGGCAATCCAGTTTGGCTAGACTGCCGCATCACGTGATGCTGGCGGATGAGCCTCCGTTCCCACGTGATGTTTCTCTCCAGCTCACTTGAATATTGCCAGCAGAGACTCACCCAGTTGTCCTCCCTGATCAAGCAATCTACCTGTGTCTTGCCTGACAGACCATCATCACTGCTATTGCAGACATGTGCACCCAGCTCCTCCATACGGAGTAGGAGGAGATGGCCGGGGACCTGTCAGATTGGTCGCCCGAAGCTCGGGGATGGATGGAGGGGAACCCCACAGTCACATTCCTCTCCTCCACTATCCTTGCTATCCAAGCCACTATTGTGACCACCCACCTCCATGGCTACTCGGTGCCTACAGCTTTGGTGGCGTCTAATGAAAAGCTCTCTGGTCGGTTCACCCGATGGTTCTAGTCCATCGGGCTAAGGCCTTCTTCAACCGCTCGGTCGTTCGGGCTTTTCATTTCCCTAATTTCTCCATCCCATCAGTCCACACTCTGAGTTCTCATATCACTAACACTGCATTCGTCCCCACCTTCGACCTCTGCTTATCTGTCGCACCATATTAACTAGAACACCGAAATCCAAAGGCGCCAATGCCCTGTGTCCACGTGGTCTAAATGACAACATACAGTACTACTCGAGCATCTCCGACCGATCACTCCGATGATAGAAATTCCTCTATCTCAGGAAGTGATGCCGAAAACGACTACCCGGATGATGGCCTGGATGCGGGGGGAAACAGTAAGAAGAGAAAGAGGTCTTTGAAAATTTCGTAAGCGTCATCGCCACCTGATGTATACTAGATCATCTAATCATCACACCCGCAAGTTGTGAATTATGCAAGTCTAGAAAGGTCAAATGCGACCGCGTCGAACCAGCCTGTGGATGGTGTGCGCGTAACAATCGAACATGCGTCTACAAGGAACGGCAAAAGCCTGGCCTTCGAGTTGGCTATGGCCGCGAGCTCGAGGAAAAGATCAATCGCCTCGAGGCTCTCCTTCATACCATGGGCCGTAGACTCGAAGAACACATTTCCGACCATGGAGACTATCCAAGCAATGGTCCAGGTTCAATTCGAATGCAATCTCAACCTACTCGCTTCTCAATAGCCTCACAGGTTGATCCACGCCCTACGAATGGAAGCATCATCTCTCAAGACACCCCCGTGTCCGAGAGGTGGCCTGGACCAAATGCTTACGAAAGAATGCAGTATCCAAGACCCCAAGATGCAATGTCGATACGCTCAGTTGTAGACAATGCAAGCCATGATTTGATGTCGCAGAGTGACATGGCTACATCGGCAACCTGGATTCCAAGTTCGACGCCTGCCTCCTCAATGCCAGAGTCGGAATTACCACCGTATGACTTAATTTACACCCTAGTGGACTTATTCTTCAAACACGTCAATCCTTGGTCACCCATATTGGATCGGAAAGCTACCTTTGATACTTTCTTCGGATCCCAATCGCCAGTTGAGGAAACTGACCGCATACTTCTCCATGCAATTGTTGCCACCACACTTCGGTTCTCTAAGGATCCGCGGCTAACTCCAGAGCTCAAGGCTCAATTCCACGAAATCTCACGACAGAAAATAATGCTCTATGCGTTCGATCATCCTAACGTGCGGGCTTTGCAGGCTTTGGTGATTCTAGCGGTGGACGTTCTAGGCACGTCAAATGGGCAGCAAGGATGGAACTTGCTCGCTTTGATTGCCAGGAATATTGTTCAACTGGGACTTGATGTTGAGAAGAATTCATATTTGGAGTCGGCAGCTTATCCTTCGGCGACCTTGCTGCAAGCTTCACAACCTAAAACCTGGATCGAGAGCGAAGAGCGTCGTCGCCTGTGCTGGATGACCTTTGTGCTCGATCGCTATGCCACTGTTGCCACAGCTGATGCTTTCACGCTGGACGAAAGAGCCATGGACCGATGTTTGCCTTGTCGCTATGATCTATTTTCCCGCAACGAACCAGTTGAGACGAGATGGCGTCGACCAATTGCACAACATGAGACATTTGCGCAAACGGAGATGGTTCTCAACAGACCAGAAAACCTTGGTAGTTTCTCTTACCACTGCGAAGTCTTGGGCATCCTCAGTCGGATTCATCGCTTCCTTCACCAGCCTCTGGACATCACCCAGCGCCCTGATATCCTCAGATGGCGCGAAGCCTATCGAGAATTGGACGGAGAGTTGAACACATGGCTCCAGAACCTGCCCGGAGAGTACGGCAAAATCTCCCAGCTGTGCCACTCCGATCCAGGTAGTCGGATATCGAACTGGATCATGCTGCATGCCGCCTTTGTCACCTCCGTCATTCGACTTCATTCATCGGCTGCATACCCGACCATCAAGTCGCATGTCTTCACGCCTTCGTACCATGCCATCCAACGCTGTCTCGGGGCAGTCGAGAGTCTACGAGAGATTGCCCAGGACGTCTTGAATACCGGCATGCTTGCTCTCTTAGGACACCCATTCGCGTTCTCCCTCTGGGTGTCTGCGCGGCTACTGCTCGTCCACGCCGCGACAATGGAGTGTGAGATTGATCCGAAGATTTCCTTCTTCATCTCTACGCTTGAGGAGATGGGCCAACACTGGCAAGTCGCCAGAGACTACGCGAGGATCTTGACCGACGTTGTCCAAGAAGGAAGCAGTGGCAGGGGAAGGACTTTCACGGCTATGAGAAGGTAAGCGCTCATCTCTCTGATCTACAATCATTCGCGGAAGGCAAGACCAAGGAAGGAGAAAGACATCGCTAACAAATGCTGGCTAGATGTGCATGCGAGCTGAATCTCCTGACAACCCAACGACCACGCACCACGCTCGAGCCCATCACGACGCATCCCTCGCCGCAAAGCGAGCTGGAATATCTCGAAGTCTTCGATTTCTTTAACTATCCCCGGTTTAATGCCATCTCGACGAGCAATCCGCTGGATCCTTCCTGTGGTGCTGGGATCACTCCACTAGGCGACCAGACGCCGACGCAAGGCCAGCGGCAACCACAGTCTTTGCGCGGCGCCGCTCCGGCGTTTGTCATTCCAAATCCCGAGTCAGACTGGCTCATCTTCAAGCCGCCCTATGAATAGGGGACTTGAGTGGTCTGAAATCGTGGTGGTTGCTAGGACACATGAAATGGGGTGAAGATTTCATCTACAATCCTATGTCACGCCCTGTGGGCCACAGAATACGTTAGGTATTGTGCTGTACAAGTACTGAAAAATAAACTCATCCCTTCATTGTTGAGGGTGACCTGGGGATCTCCACTGCTTGCGCTCATTGGCTTCCTTGGCCTGCGTTTGCTTCAATTTTATTCGTGATTGTGATCGACATCTCCATAAATTCGCTTACTCGTAGTTACCCTTTGTTCAAAGAGTGGCGAATAGCCTCCGCATTTACTGCTGCCGCCGACGCGAGCCCAGATCTTTGGAAATCTACAAACCAGATAAATGTCTTCTTATTTTCACTGTGTCGTCCAGGATTAGCTGCTGCCACTCTCCACTTGTTGCCCCGTGTGGCGGTTCAAAATACTCCGTGCACAAAGATAGTGATTTATCATGAATTCGTAGCTAACTATCGAGTTAGACAGGTACGTTACGGTCACAAAAATATTGCCATGTCGGACGTAACTCCGTCCAATATTGCTTTTACTTCATAGACGACTGAAAGGGCCTGGTACCGTAAAAATATCACAGCTCACAACGCCGTATACATATCCCGTGGTATCAATTTTATGTCCGCTCCCCGTCCAATGCATATCAAAGCCCGGCCATCGAAAATGACCGCGTCCAAAATCAGAAAAGCGCCTAAGGGTGAAGATTCATAAGCCCAACATAACTTCATGTTGCAACAGGACATGCCACAAGAGCATGGAGATATTGATTGTCGATAAATCATGGAAGAGGTGATTGTGCTTCGCTCACGCTCTCGATGCTCGGCTTTAGGGGCTGCGGCTGGCCAACATTGCTCGCACCATGGGTCGAAGCGGCGAGACTTTTTGTATTGGAAGACAGTCCTTGCAGGACCTCCTCCCGTGTTACCTGTAACAGGTCGCTTGGTAGACCCATACTGGCCAAAAAGCCAACAGTGTCTTTCCACTCTGACTCCTTCCGTGCCTGACTCCACTTGAGCTCCTCGGCCATGATATCAATCACGCAGGGAAGAGCGTGGAGCGTGGCTTGGGCATTTAGGAAGCTGAGGCGAGTGCGCCGAGCGAGGACGTCGACCGCGGTCTGCGCATACTCGCTCCGAACTGCATAGCGCACTTCACCATCAATAAAGGGGTACTGAGGAGAGAGACGTTGCCCGCGGATTGGGACTGGAGAGTCCTCCACTGGAGAAGCCAGAGCTGCGACATCCCAAGCGCGGTCACCGTAGTCAGTCGCAAGGTGTTTTGCCACATCCATCTCGATGCCAAAGTGCTGAATAAGATTGATGAAGAGTGTCGTCGAGTAACCGTGTGCACCGAGGAGACGGATGTGGTGCGTCTGGCAAGTTCCGTTAAGCAAGCTCACGGATGGATCAACCCCGTTGACCCCGGAGATGTCGGGCACATAGCTGATGGGCTTAGGCTGTAGCTTGAAGACCTCGATCGCCTTGTCTACTGCATCCTCGGCCATTTGGCGGTATGTGGTCCATTTTCCGCCCGCGCAAGTCAAGAGCCCAGAGTCAGATACGGTCACGAGATGGCTACGTACAAGCGACTCGGTATTCTTGGAGTGCGGATCGCGCATCAGAGGTCGAATTCCTAAAAATCTCAATTAGTCATCACGTCAAAGGCCAAATAGAGAGTAAGATGCATGAAGCTTACCTGACCATGCAGCCAGGATGTCGGAGCGTTGAACATCAATATCGGGCGTCAGGTATGTGCGAATCTCGTCAAGAATCCATTGGATGTCCTTCTCGCCCGCTACCGGATTTTGTGAGATTGCGCATGGGGCGTCGGTGGTGCCAGCAATGGTATTGCCTTGCCAGGGAAGGAAGAAAATCACCCTGCCATCGGATGTCGAGGGGTCAATCAAACCCATGTTCTGGGGACTGAGGTATCCAGGAAGAACAACGTGGACACCTAAGCTTGGCGCGACGATTTCTCGTTGACCCGGTTCATCCATCTGCTGGATAGCATCCGCAAACGGTCCCGTTGCGTTAATGATGCCTTTTGCTTTGATGGTGAAATTCTCGCCAGCTGCCTCGTTTCCATCCTTCAGGGAGATCAAATCTCGAACTCGGGCACCTGTTAGCTTGCCGTTTGCATCCTTCTCAAGCCCGGTCACTTCGAGGTGATTTACAGTGGTAGCCCCGTACAGAGTTGCGGTCATAGCGAGGGAAACGTTCATCCTAGAATCATTGTGCTGGCCATCGTAGTAAACGAGTGCCCCGATAAGGTTCTCCTTCTTCAGCATTGGGAATGCATCGAGAGCCTTACTCCTCGGAAGGAAATAGGAGCTTTCAATGCCTTCAGAGCCAGCCAGAAAATCGTAAAATTTGGTGCCGGCCCAGAAGTATGGAGCCTGCCACCACTTCTGCAGCGGGAGCATAATAGGTAGCCATGTCGATAAATGAGGCGCAGTATATAGAAAGCTCTTCCTCTCGCGCAACGCTTCTTTCACCAGCTGGTACTGGTTGTAGTCCAAGTTCCATACTGCTTTTTCGAGGTATCTGACACCTCCGTGGACCAGCTTTGTAGATTTACTGCTTGTCCCGCTGCTGAAGTCATCTCTTTCAACAATTGCGACTTTCAAGCCTCTGGTCGCTGCATCAAGCGCAATGCCGGTTCCGGTCGCCCCAGCACCAATCACCAGTAGATCGTAAATTTCGCCCGAAGAAGAGGAGGACTTTTTGAGGTCGGAGATTTGATCGGCTCTAGACTTGATGTGTGGAAACTTTGGGGGGATTATAGCGCCATTCTCGTCTCGTTTGGGAGGTTTGGGAGCAAATGATTCTGCTCCTGGTACGTTGCGTGGGCGGTAGGTAATATACATAACTGAGCCGCCTGCCACAGCAATCCCGGCACCATAAGCTAAAGGCTTCAGCAGCCGGCGAGGAGAGAATCTTGAAGCCATGATCGAATTAAGGAATGTGAAGAATCACTATAATGAAAATCGAGAAGACCAAGTAAATGGCTCTGGCGTCAATGCTAGAGACCTGTGTTGATCGAAGCAGCACTGATCTGGGAGGGATTTGTTCTCTAAATGCAGTAGATGAGAGAATAGAGAAGCTCGAAAGTAGCAGCGTCCAGCACCAGAACGTTTATTTGAATGTGCTTGATCTACAACCAGCTGAGGAACCGCTGACGATCAATTGAAGAGTGAGCAATATGCCTCTGGGGAGCTCGGGACAAGTTCATGACCGAGCTCAAAGCTGCCAGCCACCCTGCGAACCAGAGAGCTCACAGCCCCCGGATATTATTGCTGGATCGTTTGTGACGATGAGTGTGCATGGCCTGGGCTTGACATAATCCGCCGAGGTCAGGGACTTTGTGAGGTCATCCCGGCATAGCGAAAGTGCGGAGAACCACGGTGCACGTCGGTGTTATGCAACCGAGAGGGTTCTTTTGCATTTGCCGTCCTGCTATCCATCGTCGGGATAGAGGGACCGACATGCGTCTCGCTCAAAAGCCGGAGACCCGTTCGTGTAATTTTTCCCTTGGCCTCGTGGATTGTGGTACTTCCAGAAGAAGTATGTGACGCCCGTTAGCTCGAAGCCTAAGTATATCGAGGTATCCATGCAGCGTCGCATCGCCATTGAAGTGGATACCAGGTACATGGTAAGCTGTATCGTCGTGTATTCGAGGTATTGACAGTACAGGCCGACCCCCGTCGGTGGTTAGATCATACGCCGTCCATTCACTCAGTATCCCTTCTAGGTATCGACGAAGAGCTAGCTGAATACTGTAAATTGTCCAATATGGGTCGAGGAAATTTAGAAACGCGCCCTGTCTTCCCCGGCTTAGGTATTGCGGAGGTCAAGAAGAGAGTATACTAGCCGACTGTTGGGGCCCCGAATATATTGGTCCATACTCCGAGTCAATCAGGGCTCTGGTCTCCACAGAGCACGAGCATTTTCACCGACATGCGTAAAGATCTGGGCTTGGCATGCCAGTGAACAACATTAAGGGTGATCTGAGTTATTCTGGCGCTCCAGTCTGCAAGCATGCTCCGTCGCTTAGAATCAACTGAAAGTAGGGACACCGCCGGCAGCTTCGGTCGCTTACCCCTGGGGCAGCCCCTGCCTGAATCTATTGTAGATCATGGCTCCAGGTCTTTAGGGCTCGGATCACTCATATTATTGAGGAGAGGCAAGCTCATAGTGCATATGCAACTGAGGCGAGTATTTCTAGATACTCCCCTTGTTCCGAGTCGCTTGAAATGCTTGTCGAAAACCTTGACTTCCTTGTGCAAGGACCTTATTCATTTGGGGCTCTTTGTTTGGAAGTCATGAGCTCATGTCATACAGATGCAAGTAGGCCCTATAAAGAGGATTACTGGCATTTCGAGGCATGTGACCTGACCTTTCTTGCGCCGAGTGACAACCAACGATATTCAATCCGTGCGTTGGAGGAACTATGGTTGATTGTCAAATGTGTAGGAGATGTCTCAGTGTTTCGTTCCTCCAGGTGAATGGCAAGGCGATAAGTGCAAGTCTGTCCCGAAAGGCTCGTTAGTCATCTCTGATCGTGAATGTCAGCGGGCGTGCCTTCTAATATTACCTTTCTCAGTCATCGAGTACTTCCTGGAAAGGGTTCTGTGTCCATATTCGCGACCCCTGGCGAAGTACCCAGTCCATGAAACGTGACTTCTAGAGTTGATCTCGTAGTAGATGACTTTTCGTGGCGTACAGTTAACAGCCGTCACCCTTGTCAAAAGAAAGCTATAGACGTCTAAATGAATCTTGGACACTTGGCAAATTTAGGTCTTTTAACTGTTCTTGTGGCAAGTGTAGAAAGGAAGAGCGATTTCAACCAGGCGCATCTCCGAACAATTTTCTGATATAAGAGAGGCAGCTCGGTAGAACCATGGTCCCTGGAAGCCAAGAACAAAGAATGATTAATGGCTCGAGTCATATGTGCATTCACGAAACTGTATATACTGTGCTGGATCCTAGAGCTCCTAACATTGACTGTAACCATATCTTTCCGCCTGTATTGTATACCAGACTCGATCCTTTCTGTCGGATGCTGCAGTATTGGAATCTTTCCCATGTGCCATTGTAGCGATATTTATCCTTGAGAGGATCTCTCCCAGCGACGCGCCAACGCCTTCCCTCGAACCATTCAGTTCAATGTTCACACGTTGCTGTCAGCATAAGTGTTCGACCACACTGATCGCTTGGGCTGAACTAGACGCTGCAGGCCCATATATGGTGTGTTGATTGGTGACTCTCCAGTGAACAGGAAGGTGTCATACAGCCATCCGCCAAAAACGCAGCCACAGAATGGTGATACCATAGGCACCTAGTGGTACACTTAGTAAAGGTCTCATGTAATTTAGATATAGATCACGACTTACCCAGAAGTAGTAACCTCCTGCAGACCATACCTCATGACCGTAGCCGATCATATATGATACCAATCTTGGTCCGAAATCACGGGCAAGATTGATCGCATAGCCAGTTTCCCAACCAAAACAAGCACCGATGCCAAAAATGACAAAGAACAGGCATAGAGGGGTGAGTGGGCCGGCACCGATGTTTCCGTCATCCTTCAAAGCGTAGATAAGGAACATCAAGAGGGTACTGGCGATGAATTCGGAGAAGAATTGACCAGTCTTGGTCATGAATGGAGCAGGGTAGGTGCAGAAGATGCCAGCAGTGGAAGTTTCGAGGCCGACCGTTCGAATACCCGCCCCACCTTCGAACACATCAATTGCTGACTTGTAGTTGGCATAGACGATCGCCGAGGCAGCCATGGCGCCCAAAACTTGAGCGAGCATGTAGCCAGGGAATTTTCGCCATGGGAATTTGCGGAAGATGCAGTTGGCGAGTGTCACCGCAGGGTTCAGATGGGCTCCGGAAATGCCACTGCAATAAACACCAAGCATAACACCAAGACTGAAGAGGCGCGGTTAGTAAGGGAAAGATGTTTTGTGTAGTATAAATGCTTACCCCCATCCCCAAGAGATAGATTGGTAGTCACCCTTTTCACCATTGCTCAGAACTACCTGTGCAACGACACCATCACCAAACAAGATGAGAATGAAGACTCCAAAGAACTCTGAGAACGGCTCTCTGAGGTAATGTCGAATTCGACTCCAGGCCAAATCTGGTTCCTGTTGCACAACGTCGGCCTGGGGGACCTTGTGGTCGACCAAGGGGCCGTGCTCAGCAAATGCAGGAGTATCAACGACCGAAGTGCGTCTCCTCTCGTCTTGGTGAGGCAGGGCAAGGTGCTCGGTGTGGTCGGATTTGGCCATTGTTGTAGGTTTCTCGAAAGAGGGCACCGAGGAAGACGAAAGTGACATGAGAAGAAAAGAAGGTGGCAAGGGTTGTTATGGAGAGATTGCCTCGAGTTTGCGGGGATGGAGAGAGACGAAGTGAACCCCGGGGAGAGAAACGTCGAGATATATAGTCATCATGATGATGTCTCCAGAGCTCCGCTTCCTCTCGCAGCAGGCCATTTTCCTCGGCCAGATGGTTGTGTGATCGATACGAGAGGGTAAGCGCATTACAGTCTAGATCACTAAACTGCATTGTTTGTCCGGTACAGCCGCGTTTGGTGCTGCACAGGGGCGGCTCCTGAAAGCGGGAGGGAACTTATGCACTTCGGTGAACAGGTGGCGAATGGGAATAAGCAGGTTTGCCTCCCATATTCTGGTATGCAGCCGTCCCACGGCTCGGGCAGCAAGCCCGAATTGCATCTCGCTCTGACTGTATGCGTTTCAGGAACCACCTAGATAGTGATAACGACTTTGTATTCTTTCTTGAAGCGATGGTCGCGAGGTGGATGCAGAGCTCCTGATACTCGATACCAGAAAGGTGGTTTGTTCCCCATGTTTGATAATGGTGGAAAGCTTTGCTACTCCGCTAGTACAGACGAGGTAGGCTGGCCATTCACTATCGTGAGATGTAGACATACCAGCCACTTCGCTGGGGCGGATGTGACCCTAGGATGGCTTGAGGCCGAGATCCAGAAGCGGAACAGAGCCTGTTTGGATTACGATGGCGTAATGAAACCGACGTAATGAAACGGTAATCAGCGCCGGTGAAGTTTTTCCGTTCCGAGCAGCAACATGTCTTGGCATCAAAATCCCCCTTCGCAAAGTTCTCGACTCCCCGCAAAATCCTCATGCATTTCGGTCCCCAGACACCGAGTCTCTGCTTCTTACGGCTCCAGACTTCCACTCCGGATCCTCCGCAGTGAGCTGGTCCCTGTCTCGCTTCCAGAACATCTCTGCCCGCGTGTTCGATAGCTTCTCCGCCACCGCCATGTGGTTACCCCTGATCGTTCTGTTGCATGAATGGATCCCTCTCACCTCTCATCGACCTACCCAGGTAGTTGTCTCTGGGCCGAGGTTAGCAATAGTCAGGTATTGATTGATACCTCTTCTTAGCTCTAGAATGCCACCGTGCCGAGCACTATACGGAGCAATGATACGAGGTACCGCATCCCAACTTCGGTGATTGAAACCGCTCAAGACCGAACCCTGGAAGGATAACAGGCTCCACTAGAGCTTGGATTCGTTTGAACACCCACCGACATACGCGAACCTGCCTCAATGTGGGCAAAATTGAATGTAGGTCATACGACGCTGTGTCTAGGATGTGAGACGGCCACATGCTTGTCACTCTCCCCGCGATCTTTATAAGCCGTGCATTGCCCCTCTCCACGATTACTCCAGGACACTCCATCTTTGCTCCAACTCCAGCCTCCGCAGTAAATCAAAGAAGTCCTTCGGAAGTCAATTTGTTGTTTTTGAGCCGCCGATATGGGAAGCACGCAAGAGGTCTTTGTTGGTTCCATCGACCAGGGAACTACCAGTTCTCGGTTTTTGATTTTCAACAAACAGGGTGAACCTGTCGCTTCTCATCAACTTGAGTTCAAGCAAATTTATCCACAGCCGGGGTATGTCTACGGTGACTTTTCAACCTGTTCCATACTAATTCTGGTAGCTGGCATGAGCATGATCCTCTAGAGATTGTAGCATCAGTTGAGACATGCATTGATGGCGCTGTCAAGCAGTTCGAGACTCAAGGTCACAGTGTCAACAGCATCAAGGCTGTTGGTATCACAAACCAGCGCGAAACAACGGTTCTGTGGGACAAAGAAACCGGAGAGCCCCTGTACAACGCTATCGTGTGGACCGACACTCGGACACAGAGTCTGATCAGAAAGCTCAAGACAAGACTCGGTGCCGACAAGCTTACTGCAATCTCGGGACTGCCTCTCTCGACATATCCGTCGGTGGGAAAGCTACTATGGCTACTCGAGAATGAGCCCAAGGTCAAAGCCGCCTACGACAAGGGAACTCTTTCCTTTGGCACCATTGATGCGTGGTTGGTATACAAGCTCAATGGAGGTTCGATGGTTCTCTTATCGAAATAAAGGTATAACGCTAATCGTTTTAAGGACCAAAACGAAATGTTTTCGTATCCGACCCTTCCAACGCATCACGGACGTTGTTCATGAACATCGAGACGCTGAAATACGATGATTCGCTCCTCGACTTCTTCCGTATCGATACCAGCAAAGTCAACCTCCCAGAAATCGTTCACTCTTCCGATCCTTCTGCTTATGGATCACTAGCCTCGACAGTCCTTAAAGGCGTTCCTATCACTGGCGTCTTGGGTGACCAATCCGCCGCGCTCGTGGGCCAGAAAGGGTTCACACCCGGACTGGGGAAGAACACATACGGGACAGGCAGTTTCATCCTGTACAATGTTGGCGACAAGCCGGTTATCTCTAAGCATGGCCTCCTGACGACCGTGGCCTTTGACTTTGGTGGTTCCAGCAAGCCCCAGTATGCGCTTGAAGGCAGTATCGCTGTGGCCGGATCGAGTGTTAAGTTTTTGGTAGATAACTTGGGCTTTATCGAAAACTCGAGCAAAGTCAGCCAACTGGCAGAAACAGTTGAAGACAACGGCGGTGTGACTTTCGTTACCGCTTTCAGTGGGCTCTTCGCTCCTTACTGGATCGATGATGCTCGAGGCACACTTTTCGGCATTACTGCATATACACAACGCGGTCATATTGCTCGAGCAACATTGGAGGCTACATGTTTCCAGACCAAGGCTATCCTTGTCGCCATGGAGAAAGACAGCGGGCATAAGCTCACCGAACTTGCAGTTGATGGCGGCATGTGCAACTCTGACCTGACCATGCAGACCCAAACGGATCTTATTAGCATCCCAGTGAAGCGCCCGGCAATGCGTGAAACTACTGCCCTGGGTGCCGCCATTGCGGCCGGACTTGCTGTGGGTGTGTGGGAGAGCATAGATGAATTGAAGGCTGTTAATACTGAAGGAGTGACCACCTTCAAGCCTGCCATCAGTCAAGAGGATGCCGAGACACGTTTCGCGAGGTGGGAGAAAGCCGTTGAAATGAGCAAAGGCTGGGCGAACTAGTCGAGGTCGGTGTCTCTTGTTCGTTCTGCGGCGTCAAGCTGAGTGACTGGATAAAATTTGTGTCGAATTGTCATCGAGTTGAAGTTGTGCAGGAATACCCAGGCTCACATAAAATGAAGGAATTATTGAATCACTATCTTGACAATACTAGTGTCTACCTGCGGTGCAGCACGGATTTTCCTAATGCATTGGCCCGCAACGTGTAGCCTGACATTCGATAAAGTCATGTTTTCACTATCGATGACTACGCGTCCTGAGACGCGGCGGTGACAGAAACAGTGACGTCATGAAAATCATGGAAACCACCACTAGTCTCTTTTCTGATTTCGCGTTTTACGGCAGGCTTAGTTAGTGCAATATTAGGTAAGGAAAAGGACCTCTACTCGCAGGCACGTCTCGCCGCTGAGGATCGATGAGTCCGTAAGACTTCAAGAAACCGTTCACTTCGACCATCCCCACGATATTCATTGATGCTTCTTCACTTTATCTATCAGGAGTAAAAACCAAACATCTGAGGCATCCGCTTAACAGCTCAAGACAGCTCGGTGGTGGTATTTGCGAACACCTCTCCTCAAGCTGAACTTCAAGCCCAAGCCTGATCTTCAAGCGGACCTTATTCTGCAGGCTTTTTGCCCCTCAAGGCGAAGCTTGGGATCCGTGGTTGGATATCTAGTTAGTTCTAGACAGATCTGGTCACCTCTGCCGACACAACTGCCGCCCACTGGCCTCTCTAGCTACTTTCGCCTTTGGTTTTCTTCAAGTGTCGGACCACGATTCTATTCCTCATTTGTATGCTGCATGAAGCATACTATCTGTTGTCTGCTCGCTCACCCCAGAGAGAGCTGTCATGCGAAAACCCCGGCCTGCACCCTGCAAACGGCAAGTCCTCCATACTGAAGGACACCAGATGCGAGGAACAAGTTGTTATAGGGATCTGCTGCTGCTGTAGTCATGAAACTTATCACCGACCCATTGTCAAAATATATAAGTTCCGGTGCATAGCTGTTGGCATGATTCAAACGGAGCGAAGCAGAAGGAACCAAAAAGTCTTTGCCGAGGGTTAGGACGTTATCGAGGTAGGCCGGCAAGTCCTCCAGTGTTGGGAAGACTGTCCAATCTATTAGCCGAGGCCGTACTATAAAGTTACGGCAATGGTTCCTCACCTGCCACTATGGGATCTCCCGTGGTTGGTACAATGTTGATATTGTCGGCGGCCGCACCGAGGTCCTGAAGGGTTGTCAATCTCCCTTCCATCTGGATTTCAAGATGAAGAGTTGGGTGCACCTACAATCTGGTGTAGCTGCGTCAAGCTCTTGTCGTTGTGGATGTCAAAAACCGTTACTGTGCCGTTCCGAGCATCCCCCACGAAAAGCCGATCTTTCCATAAAGCTATGCCGTTTGCTCCAGGGAATGTGCCGGTTACTTGTCTACATGAGATTTGCTTGACGATCCCGTTAGCAATGCCTCCTCAGCTCGGATGTAAGTTTACCTCGGTGCTTGCATCACAAAATTGAACGTCTGTCGACCACGTGAACGGCCCATAAGCTTCCTCAAGCACTCGCAGAGGCCCAAGGGCGAAATAATGGTCATTTGTGACGTAGAATTCCCTGACGGCGTTAGCAAATGCCCAGACAAATTGATTCGATGGGGCTACTACCCGGGTCCGGTCGCAACGACACCATTTGCGGTCTTGATATTTGGATGTCTGACTTTCTTCACCAAATCAACGGTGTCAGATCCGAGTTCATGTGAGAATATGACGATGGAATCTCCGTCCCGTGCATGGTTCACGGCAAAAATATGGATCTGACAGTATTTAGCTCGGACCTCGGCGACGGGACCCTGGACTGCACTAGGAACCTTTGATGCACTTTCCGGAATTGAAAATATGTCGATGCCATGCGTAATGAAATCACCCTCCAATCCTCGGAGTTCGAGTTGCGTCGACTTGCCTGTCTTCAAATCATGCTTGAATAAGTACTCGCGGAATGATGCCTCTGATCGCTGAGGCGCATCGCGCATCCCAGCGCATGGATACCAGCTTCTTCGTTCGACTGGGTCACCGCAGGCAGCGAAAGCCGTGTTTGATGCGTAATGAATCTTCACATCCTCGCAAGCATTCATTTCCTTGATGACATGGCACTTATCATTGTTGATCGGCTTGCTATTTTCCCATTTTACCAGCCTTCCTTTGTCAATATCCGCTCGCCCCACCAATCTCCATAGGAGGCCCGACTGGGTATAAATTAAAGCAGCAAAGATGAGGATGATGATGGATGAGGAAAGCCTCGAGGCTGTGGTTTGGCCCATCTCGGCTATGCACGCCTCTCAGACTTGAAATGAATACCTAGGGATGAGTTAACTCCTGGAGGTAAGTCGCCTTCGGAAAGCTTATGGCCACGTCGGTCGAAAAGCGAAGTTCTTGAGGGGTGGGAAATTTGGAGATGCACTTCTTTCTCGGATAATTTGCCGATGCGGAGGTCGTCCACATACACTCCTTGCTGCAATAAGACGACATCTTTGAAGATGTGCAGTATCCTTTCCCTTCTCGTAAAGTCACCCACTGACGAGACAGTCACCCATAGCGATAGCCGACATACAGTCATAGCCTATTGCCCACGAGGTCCATTTCCGGGTATTGGTAGTTTCCCATTGGTGAGGCCCCTGGGCCTTGGATACTCAGTTCATAAGCCTGGGGACATCTCGTTTCGATGGAGATACAATCCATCTTCCTTTTGTCTTCCAACAAAAGCGCACTATGGTGGAGAAGAAACGGAACGGGTACAACATTCTGATCGTGGTCTTCGTGGCCCTGGGTTCTTTTGCTTTCGGCTACTCGAACACGATAGTAGGTTCATCACCTCCACAACTCATCTTGAATAAGCAGAGCTGCCCAATTATTCGAAGTCTCGCTCGATAGACAGTATTACTTGTTGACTTCTCACCTTCCGTAGATAGGTACCACACTGGCGCAGCCCTCTTTCATGTAAGTAACAGCTTGTCGTCAGCATTTCATGCGGTGGATCATGAATCCATCTTGCTAACCATGTCACCAGCACATATTTCAATCTCGATGACAACTCAAACAGAAATGAGATCGCGGGGGCAACCAACGGCATATATACAGGGGGTGGATGTATGCAGCCAGTTCTTATTCGGCTTCGAGGACGATTGCTGATGACGAATAGTGATAGGAGCAGTGTTTGCAGCTTGGGCTACCGAATCTCTTGGTCGGAAGAAGTCAATATTTATTGGTGCCTTGACCGCAACAATTGGTGGTGCTCTCCAAGCAGGCTCCGTTGCACTGGCTATGTTCTTGGTATTCCGATTTGTCAACGGTTTTGGCGTTGGTTCGTAATTGCTGCTCACCTTTCACAAAATCGATTCACTGACCATAGTCTAAGGGATGCTGCTACCTTTGGTTCCACTGTATCAAAGTGAAGTATCCCCACCTCATTCGAGAGGCTTGATGGTGGGCTTCCATGGGATATTTGTAACTGTCGGTTATGCCTCCGCGAGGTATGCTTCACAAATCAAATATGGCATCAATGCCCAAAAGTCGCTGACTGATGAGCGAATAGCTGGGCCGGGTACGGGTTTTATTTTGTCAATGCAAGTGGAGCGCAATGGAGACTTCCCTTGGCGATTCAGGCTATCCCTGCTCTCTTCTGCGCGCTTGGGATACTATTTCTGCCCGAATCGCCCCGGTGGTGTAAGTTTGTTCTCGAATCTTAGCGACACAGTCACACAAGACTCATCAAACCGACAGTGATATCCTGTCAACGAGAAGGTGAAGCACTGAGAGTAGTGCAGAGACTGCACCGAGATGAGACCGACCCCAACGATATCTTTGCTTTCAGGGAGTATCAGCAAATGGTCCAGCAATACGAGATAGATAAGAGCAATGAGGTTTCGTGGAAGGAAGTGTTTGTGAAGCCGTCGTACAGAAAGAGAGTCATTATTGGCGCAATAGTCATGTTTGGTTCCCAAACAACAGGGACCACTGTGATTGCAAGTAGGTGCTTCCTGTGGCCAAGTCCAAGAAGGGAGCGGTGGCTGACAACTGTCGATCAGATTATGGCCCACAACTATACAGCGCTCTGGGCTATGGCACAACAATGCAGCTACTCTTCTCTGGATGTTATGCCAGTATCGCACTCGCCGGGAATTTCTTCAACGCTTTCACCATCGATTACATCGGACGAGTTAATGCGCTGAAGATTGGATGGATTGGAGATGCGGTTTCACTTGTCGGAGAATGCATCGCACTCAGTATCTTTGAACGAACTGGCTCGCAAAGTGCAGCTGTGGCAAGCGTCTTCTTCCTCTTCTCGCACATTGCCCTTTTTGCGTTCAACATTGACGTTACAACATAGTAAGTCGTACTCACCGACTGCGTGCTTCTCTTGACCTTGGCTGACGGTGTTAGTGTATACACGTCGGAGATCTTCCCTAATCATATTCGAGCTAAGGGCATGTCGGCTTCAATCGTTGCCTACTTCGCATCACTCATCATTTATTTGGAAGTGGCTCCGACAGCCTTTGCAGATGTAAGTTCGCATCATTTATTTTCTCGCCGTGAGTAAATATGAATCGGAGATCCACATAATCACGCCTCATGCCTCGCCTTGTGAGTGCTTGTAGGCGTTGTTACCCGGGGATTATGAGAACCACTGTGTCCCTGGCTTTTGTGATGTTTGCAAACTTTGATGGCGCTGACCCGTAACACTTCTCCAGATTGGTTGGAAGTTCTATCTTATCTTCCTGATCGCGCTCGTTTGTTTCATCATCCCGTTGTTCTTTTACTTTCCAGAAACAAAGGGACACTCGCTTGAAGAGATTGCCCGCCTTTTCGACGACGAGACAACTACCGTCAGACTTGATGCTCCAGAATCCAACGACGGCGGAAAAGAGATAGTGGTGGAAAAGTAGATGGCTACTCGAGATGGATCAGCCGGTATGAATGACCCCAATTGCCATCATCCACTGGGAGAGAGTTCTAGCCAGGTCGTTCACTCGACGCAAAGATGCTCCATGATGGGAAGCATAACGCACGCGGGGAAACAGGAAGAGAATGGGTGCAGGACATATCTCACGCCCTTTTACAATATGATTCGTCCATTGCCATGGGGCAGGCATCGATGAATGTGTATTTCGAAATCACTTTCGTGTATTTGGGAGTCCACCTGCACATACTCCGAGTGTACGGCCCTGACTATCGCGACGTGTGGGCGCAATACGAAGTGTGAGGTTGGAGTATCCCCCCATGATTTCCCAATCCGACTGTGGGGCTAATATGAGGATTTGGGGTAGCAACGAAGGGGCTCTACCCCAGGAGACCAGGATACACCCACACACACTGAGGGGGCTGGCATCACGCCACGAACCGTTCCAATCAGGTGAGCTGTGGCTATGTTAAGTATATCATTTGGTCGGCGGGCACTTGATGGAAGGGATCTGAAGCCCTAGAGCGTGGTGACAGCCCGGAGAAGTCAATTATGTCGACTATCTATTTCACGGACCCTTCTTTGTCCCATCCATCACTTGGCACTGTTATTGGACGGGACAGTGATGGCGCATATCAGTTTTTGGGCGTCCAATATGCTACATTGCAACATAGGTTGGCTGAGTCTCAGCTGAAAACAGAATACAAAAGTCCTGTGGACGCAAGGAATCATGGGTACAACCTCCGTGCAATTTGTGTTCTCATGTGACAGCCAGAACGACGTCTTGGAACAAGGATGTAGCTGATGCTGATTCGGGTGCAGGCCCTCATCTTACTCTCCGGCAGATGGATTCGACAATGAGATGGTTTTCATCCAACAGTCATTACCCAAACCTCCAGTCAAACATTCAGATGTCGACTGCCTCAATCTCAACATTACTGTCCCAAAATTGGCTTCTGGGATAGGAGGTCTGTCGAGACAGAAACTACCGGTGTTCATCTGGACGCACGGAGGCGGCTTCGTAGTTGGAGCAAATTCATGGCCTCAATATGATCATGCGAAACTGGTGAAGCTTGCTGCTAAAAATGGGGTCCCGATAATTGGCGTTGGGATTAAGTACGTCTTTATCCGCATCGGCAGTGGTCATGAGCGGAGACTGATGATGGCAAAAGTTTTCGCCTTGGACTTTCCGGTCTCCTGACGTCCGAAGAGCTCAGACAGCGAGGATACAAGCCTAACAACACTCTTCGTGACCAACGGAACGCATTTCAATGGGTGCGGCAACATATCTCTGGGTTTGGCGGTGATCCTGATAATGTCACGGTCATTGGAGAAAGTACTGGAGCAGGTAGGGTATTCAACTTGACATGTACCCCTTGTAGGTGGGCACAATTGTTGGTAGTACTGACGATTCCAGTCTCTACGACTCTTCACTTATATTCGCCCGAAAAGCTCTTCAACCGAGCCATCGCGACTGGTGGCTCGTTCCTGCTTGTAGGGCCATTCTCTTATGAGACATATGAAGGTATTTATCAACAAGTCCTTTCCGTTCTTGGAATCGATAAGCTCGAACCAGACGAGAGAGTAAACCAGCTTCTTTCACTTCCCCTTGACGATGTGATTGCTAGACTGCCGCCTAGCATTGCGTTTCTGCCCGCAATCGATGGCGAGATTGTACCTACTCGACCTACATATGATGCAGTCTCGAGGCAGGAAGATCAGGAACTTCCAGGGAAGAAGTGGCTAGATGGATTTATGATCGGGGACAGCCAATTTGATGTGAGTGGCGTCTTCTCCTCCCGCATATGCACAGTATTGAATAGTCCAACTCTAGGCATCGACCCTGGGAGCGATCATGGGCCACCTGAAGACTGATGCACGCAAAAGGTTTACAGCTTCTTTGAAAACTTCCTTAGCAAAAAACCTTCAAGCTGCAGATTCCGTCCTTGAAGCATATGGCTTCAACTCGCCTCCTCTCGCAAGTGCTGCTGAGGACGACGAGGTAGCCTTCAAGAACTACCTCCACTTTGTGAACGATGTAGGCTATTATGCTGCGACTGTGTCATTTGCACGAGGGTGGCCAGAGCATAAGCTCTTGACGTTCGCGTTCAACGAACCGAACCCATGGCCCGGGCTGTTCACGGGCGAAGCCACACATGTCTTGGATGTGGTCTTCCTATTTCAAAATTATAACGATAAGCTGTCCCCCGCCCAGAAGAAGGCGGCTGAGAGTTTTGGATTGGACTTTGCTCGGTTCATTGCTGGGCAGCAGCCGTGGCCAGCGTATTCGACGGCCAAAAAGAATGCAAAAGTGTTTGGACCTTCAGTCCAGGGGCCAGAAGCAGTTGCCAAGATCATCAGTGACAACGAGTCGAGGGAGATCGGAAGAAGGACGAGAATACTGGAAATCGGCAAAGAGATCGGGTTCGATGCTCTTGCTGGGGCTGTCGTGCGATTTCAGATTGGATTGTGAAGATTGTTGCCACTGAATCACAGAATAGACGGTCCCCGATTCGTTGACAGCAGCAGTGAAGAGATTTTGGTGACGATAGGCGTGAGGCTGTGATATTGCGGGGACCAGTGCCAATTATTGTATGTACTCGTCCATGCTATACCTCGTACCTCGGCGCCGCCTGGGGACCCTGGCCAGGGGTTGCCTGGTCCCAGGGCCCTCGGCCCTTGTCGCTGATCTCGCTTCCCTCGTAGTATTTACAAGCAGGCTTCTGCTTGCCTATCAAGAGGCAGTCATAGCTAAATGTAGCCTCACATCATCTCGTTTGTGGTTACGTTGCGACGGAATGCCCTGTCAGCTCAGCCTCATCCGGACTTGTCACTTGTCACTTGTCACTTGTTGCTAGAGCTTTCCCTCCCTTTATGGCTCTTTCCTCGTGACCTTTTGGCGTGTTGCTGACATGCAAGAACGCGTCACTCGCTCCTTCCATCTTCACGCCGGCATCATCGCTCACCTCCTCCGTTACAAGCTCATCAGATCAAAGCTTGTCCGTTCTTCAAGTTTTCAACCTCCTACAACCGACTACTCGAACACGGGCCGTCCGTTTCCAACGTCGTCAACATGCCTGGGTTTCGATCTCTTGTCCTTCTACCCACCTTGTTGAGCGCCTCACTCGCTCATTTAGTCGTTGATGTCGCCCCAGAAACACCTCAGCCCTATGTCTTACCAAACCTCAAAGGCGCTGCTGTCGATTTTGGCGGTCTAATTCTCCGAACACTTGTTGCCAACTCAACCTCTTTCGGCGGCTTCTCACTGTTGAGTGTCAATTCAGGTCCTGGTCCACTCAATCTCATCCATTCTCACAAAGAAGTGGAAGCTTTTTACACTCTCAAAGGCGGAGTCCAAGTCTTTCACAATGCCGACCAAGGCCGTCAGATCTATGCAAACGACTTTGTGTTTCTGGCACCTGGCAACAATCATACTTATCGCCCCAATGAGCTGGACTTCCAGCTGACACTTGCAATGGCTCCAGGTGGTATTGATGATTTCTTTGCGGTTGCAGGAGATCCTTACATGTCTACTGCCCCTTTCAACCCAGACGACCATTCGCAGCTCAATGCCACCAAGGTACTTGGCTTGATGCCCAAATACAACATTTCCCCCGCCCCAGCCAACAAAATTAATCTGGAATGGGTCAATGGCACTACCGAAGACGGCCTGGACACTTGGCATCGTGCTGATCAGGCTTTACCTTCCGACCCATCAAAGCCATATTTCATCTCCAGCAATCGGGGCCCCAAATACCTCGTTCGCGAAGAAGGCACAGTGGTTGCACAACTCGCATCTGCTCAACAGACCCGAGAGAAACTCACCGTTGCAACCATTACTCTCAAACCCAGTGAGGAACCAACCGATTTTGAGCAGTTCGAAATGGATCAAGCATTTCAAGTCACTGAAGGGCAGCTTACGCTTGAGATTGAAGATGAAACTGTACAGCTCATTTTCGGCGACTTGGTTTTTATTCCGCAAGGGACATGCTTCAAATACTGGTCCACAGTGGGCTTTACCAAGTTCATCAATTGGTCTGCTGGGTTCGGTCTTGCGGACAGCCTCATCGAAGACGCAGAGCCGTGGAATCATGCTGTCTGGCCGGCATGATTTGTCCATCCGGTATTTGCAGGCAGCATGAGACTTTACATGAAGTTACGACAAATGATGAAACATTGAGGCGGAAGCAAGCATATGTATTCATTCCTCTACGCTCATGAAGCGATAAGCATATCAGAGGTGTTTGATCAAATCCATGGGAGCTCAGGAAGGTGCAAGTAGAGCAATGCTTTAAACAGCAACAATAATAACACTTTTTGAATCGAGACTTCTAGCAGCGGATACTCATTTGCTCCCATGTACCTACTCAATTTTCGAAAAATGTTAACGTACGGCTAAAAGTAAAGTAAGCTTTACTGAGCATTCCCACAGATGTCGAATACCCACCGGCGATCAATCGTATACCCGGGCCAGAGGCCCAAAGCTAGGTCCTTACGAAACCTCTTCACTACAAACTAGCAAATTGCTCGCCAGAGACAGGTATTGCGATCGGATCAACTAAGGTATCCGGTCTTATGGTTTCTGTTGTTCTCGTATTGAAGGCAAGTCGCCTTGTTCCTGCGTTAGTTATTAGATTGCCTTCATCCTAATCCACTACTTCCATTGTCCACATCGGCTAGAGTCAACCTCGCTAAGTGACACTCTTATCCTCTGAAACCTTGAAGCAGCATGGCCCTACAATCAAGAAATTTAGTCACTGAGAATGGGGAGAAACTCTCTGCAACAATGAGCCCAGTCTCCCATTACGAGCACGCAATGTCTACGATAGTACAACCCCTGAGGCCTTTGAAGAGCTTAAATACGTTAGACAAGGGCGGAAATAGTGACATATCCAAAAGATAGCCCTCGCTGGAACAACCGGTACTGGCCTGTCCCTTAGTTCTGGCTGAGCACTGGCAAATTCAGGGCCCCTCGGAATTATTTCTAGGCTGCTCTGTCACTGGGTCTATCGCTTGTAGCGTTGCCCTAGCGGTTGGCGAAATGGGTGTGCGCTCATATTTCGTTGCTATTCTAGCTGACCTCGTCACTGCGGCCGTTTTAGTTGATTTCTAGTCCTCGTCCAGTGAAAGTGGCCTCTGGATAACTGTGTTCGATATTATTATAATTGTATTAACCCTTGTTTTTATTCGAGTTAATAGCGAGCTCGAGTTTTCTTTCGCTCTTCTTAGAATTTCCTTAATTGTCGGCTTTGACAAGGGAAGCCCGCGAAATTTTCCAAGGGTTAGCGGGCAAAGGCTACTTTGTGAGTCTGGCTATGGAACCCTGCGTCAGTGAAGGCACAGACTAACCTCGGCAAATAGGAGGCGTCTCAATTCCACGTGCGGGAAGTCGACAGGACTCCTCCTGGTTTCATTCAGCTAGCTGAATGCAATGAGGTCTTAATCTCCTAATCCAATACTGTCATTTCCTTTCAAGCACGTCCAGAAATCGACGGCGTCTTCTCCAGAAGATTCTCGACGACGACGACCTGACGTACATCGAACATCTGATGCCAACGGAGATCGATAACTTAGAGGTTCATTGTGCTGATGCGCAGGACGGATTGGAGATACTCAAGCGTGTCATAGACTGGCTTGGTGAAGATCCCGTGGTAATATTAGGATATCCCCGTGAATAGACTTGTTAACTGACGAAGATATGGACATAGCCGCTAATTATGAAGTAATTAGTAATCGGCCGTAACCGAATGTAGGTGGCGTGCCAAACATGCCACAGGGCTAAAATCACACGTGCCGGGTTTCCAATAATAATCACAACAAGATATTCTACCCCTTCCAACTTCGCTACATGAATTGTTCGAGGACAGAGGTTCGTCACTCGTGCTTGAGTCTTATTGTTCCCTTCGTGGCACTCACCTGCGCTGCTTTCTACTGCTCGGGCCATGTCTGACAATTACATGCTAATCTAATCCGACTCCAGAGTGACGCCATGTCTTAAGTCCCATCCACGACCAACGGTCTACTGATCAGAAATCGTCGCTTGGACCATTAAGAAACCATTGGCCATTGGTCAGCGTACCCAGTAACGAAGATAGAGAACCGATGGGCCTAAATGGTTATAGTATCGGATATCATATCGTGTACTGCGTCAAAAAAGGTCTCGTTGGCGATCAGGCCGTAGATCGACTTTCGAAAAGAGACAAGATGTGAGTCCAGATGACATGCACATTTGTTGGTCGGCTCTGCACCTATTACACCTACATTGATGATATCTGGACAGAAATGCGATGTAGTACAGCATTCACCCAGTAATTCGCAATTACGGCAGCTGTCGAATCAGTTGCTGGATGAACATGGCTGCAATGACATCGATACACCAATGCCAGTGTTGCAAAGCATCATTGTTGATGCTCCGAGCGTGCCACCCTGGCCAGACACATTGCCCTCCAGGCAAGTCTTTGGTGTCTCGACTGGAAATGATCTTTTTGTGGCTCGAGAGATTTCAAACCATCTTTTTAATGCTTACTTCTCATCTGTACACCCTGTCTGGCTAGTAATCTACAAACCATTGTTCGACCGTACAGACTGGGAATCACTTTCGATTTCACTCCCTGAACCTATTGTGTATGCCATATATGCGATTGCTGCTTACTTGGAACTAGATATGGAGACCTCTTGGATCTCCTATGTGAGCGAGACGCCCCTTCCCTCTCTGTTCTTCGAGTCCGTATTACTCAACATTCAACGAAATGGGGATGGAGGAACGGCCACTGGACCGAACGCATTCCATCCCCTTCACTTACTACGGTCATCGGCTGAGAACTGCCAGGCGCTTACAATACTAGCCCTACAGCAGCATGGATATACACCCAGCGATCAACCGCATATATTATGTGCAGCCTTGCGTCGGCTATGGCAATCGAGCTTGATTTGAATATTGCCAAAAGTGCCGATGAAGATCCAATTCTTGCTTAGGTCTCATCTTGAATCTGGTGAAATCTCTTTATTTGAGACAAGATGATTGCGTGTGACCTAGGAAGACCGGCTTCACTGAGATCTAAAGACTCAAACTCTCCGCATCCCTCGACGACAGAATCGGATGAGCAGCAACGCCTGTAGTTTTGGATGTCCGATACTGTATCGTTAGCCACGATTAAGTCCTGCACGATGTCTGGATTTCACACAGCAGATAATTTGACGAAGATGATGGAAAAGGTTGCTCGGCAGCTGTATTCTGTGGAAAGCCGGAATGATATTCCTGTAAACCTTCCAGCAGCAGAGCAACTACGAATGAATCTGGGGCAAGAGTTGAAAGACTACTACGCCTCTCTAACCGTTTCTCTCTCTGACGTCGGCAGGGTTATTGCAAGGGTAAAGACGAGAGACAAATCGGGTGTCGGCGCGCGTTGTGCATAAAATGGCTCTCCATTCTTAGAAGCAACTGGAAACATGCGGGAAAATCTAAAGAGAGGTTGATGCAAGGTTTGTTCTGCGCCTCCAAAATTCCCTTCAGTCGCAACTCCCGTTGTACTTGTCTCCCGCTAAATTCCAGCATAAGATCTTGATGGTGCAAGGGGAAGCTAACTGGAGCTAGATGCTCAATAAACTCCACACGATCAAGCCCAGTGACGCTTCCACATCTCGGAGGAGCACTGCGTGCTCAAAATCAGTCTCCTTTAACATCAAGAATCTACTTGGCCAGGTACAATAGACGTCAAGACACTGAGAACGTCTCGGCGAATGATAGTTTCATATCCTCCTCAAGCATCGATTGTGCCTTCCCCAATATATTGTGTGGCAGTGATGACAAGTTTTACTCCCTGGGCACTGATTTTCGAGACTTTTTAGGCAATGGTCTGATCAGGGGTTTGATCAACCATCTCAGTACTGAATTGGACACGTTTGACTCTAGACAGCTACATTTCGCATCGATACAAACTATTTGCTCGCACTGAGATGATCGGTACCAGGCTTGACGGAAAATATGGAGAAGATGGCTCCATCGGTGTCTGAGAGGTGCTCTGTGGTCTTACATAATCTGGTACCCTGGTAATCGCAATCCACCGCCCCGATTCTGAGACAGGTTGCCACCCAGACTATGGCTAGATGGTGCAATGATGAGTCTCCGATACCAAGCCTTTAGTCGGATGCGCTGTGCGGAGGGCCAATATCTGGGGACGGAAAAGGAATGATCGTCCAACCTAACCCCGGATTCTTGGTTGCGCCTGATGGGGCCGAGATGTTGGGGAAGTGGGGCCGGAGCCTAAATAGAACCCTTTCAAGCTCATCAGAATGGGGCTGCATCCTTGAGGACCCGTTGAGAGAGTCGGGGAAAACCAATTAGGGTCCCTGAGGAGAAAGATGCCTGTTCCATTTGTGGCTAGGCATTGACTCATAAGAGGGTCGGCAAGAAGCTCGAGTCTCGATTCTTGAACTTCCTCTGTCCCAATCTTCAGACATCATTACCTATCCCAACTATTGACATCGGATCAAGTGATCGAAGCAGCCAAGATGCCTTTCCTCGGAATCTTGGAGGACACGAAGCTACCTCACATTCCTGGTACTGTCATCCTGGAGGAGACTGCGGCACAGTCACAGGAGATCACCGGCGGGCTCAAACACGGCACAGGAAGCAATGTTAATGTCGTTTTGGTGCCTCAGCCATCAAACGATCCCAATGATCCTCTCAACTGGCCGCAGTCAAAGAAACTCACTGCTCTCGGCATCACATGCATTGGAGCCGTTCTCTACGCCGCTGTCGTGAGCGCGATGCTGAATGCAGCATTCTTCACCATGTCAATCGAGATAAACACCACAATTCCCAAGCTCGTCCAGGCTTCAGGATATCAAACGCTAGTCATCGGTATCACAGGACCATTGTTTTCTGCCTTGTCTCGAAAATGGGGAAATCGGCCAATATTCGTCTTAGCCTCAGTGATGTGCCTTGTCGCCAATATCGTTGGGTCGTGTGTCAATAGCTATGAAGGGGTCCTGGCATCGAGGATTCTTCAGGGCTTTGCTATCGCCCCGTATGAATCTTTGATCTTCACTTTGATCAGCGACATGTTTTTCGTTCATGAAAGAGGGCTCTATGCCTCAATCATAAACTTCATCCTGGCCGGCATATCCAACTTGACCGGTGTTGTGGCGGGGCCTATTGCAAATAATTTGGGCTGGCGCTGGTTGTAAGTTATTTCTGAGTTGGGGGGGACTGAGGTGTAAGCTAATCAACTTCTCAGATACTACTTACTTGTCCTCTTCGGTGGCATCCATACTATCTTTCAATTCCTTCTTGTACCGGAGACCGCCTACGTGCGCGATCGGCGATACGAGATCGATGAAGCGAAAGACGACAATCTTCAAGACCTTGCCGCCATCGAATATGAGGACAAACTTAAGGAAGAAAAGGCCAACATGACCGCAACTCACAACGAGCACGACAATGAGGGTGCCAAGATCTCACAGACACCCTCTCGCGAGATCCCCGTCCATAAAAAGAAGACCTTCCGCCAAGAACTTGCACTCTTCTCGGGCACGTATTCGAACGAGAATTTCTTCCAGCTTCTCGTAGCACCGTTCGCAGTCATTGTGAACGCAGCTGTCGCCTGGGTTTTAGTCGTCAACTCCATGCATGTCGTGCTTTACGTGGTCATTGCGTTTGTTCTGGCTCAACTATTCGCCCCGCCACCATATCTGCTCAGCCCAGCCACCATCGGATACCTTTCACTCGGCCCCTTTGTCGGCGGAGCCATTGGCTCCATTGTCCTCGGACTCCTCTCTGATCCTATGATCAAGTGGTGTGCCCGTCGCAACAAAGGCATCTACGAGCCAGAATATCGTCTCATTCCCTGCACCGTTGGTATTGTTTCTGGGGTCGGTCTCATACTCTTTGGATACCTTGTCTCTATCGGAGCTAGCTACTATGCATGCGCCGCCGTGCATGGACTGATGCTCTTTGGCGTCATGTTCATTGTCATTCCAACCTCTAACTACGCCCTTGACGCGTACCGGGGCATGGCGAATGAGATCTTCATCGCGAGCATGTCTATGAAGAATTTCATTCTGTACGGGTTTGCATACTTTGTCAACAATTGGACCGCGAGTGCGGGCCCGAGACATTGTTTCTATGTGTGGGGCGGTCTCGCCTTCGCTCTGTTTGCCACCCTACCGGTTATGTTCGTCTTTGGGAAGAAGTACAGAAGTTACTGGGCACGAAACAATCTCCTTGAGAAATGGAAGATCAGGACTCATGCAGATTGAATATCCTCTTTGCTCAGATATCTCTGAAAGGAAGTTGACGCCGTCTGTACGTGCAATGGAAATGAAATCTGGTTGTCCGGCCACCATATGGCCGATAACCTCTTCTGCGGTCACGACTCAGCTATTACCAGCGCATGCAAGCAAGTGAATGCTCCAAATTGATCTGAATGTTGCGGAATGTATTGCGATGACAGAGTCTCTGAGCTCATTTGAGTCATTTGAACAATGCTTTATAAGGACCATTCCAATAAGGAAGCATATGTAATTGATGCCAGCACTACCACAGCCGGTTTGAATAAGCGTATACGGTACGCGTTCCCCTTGTATCTTGCGATCGGTGGATTTCCCACGTGGACCTTATGTCCGACGCTCGCCAAATCTCGGTCTAAGTCTCCTAGATGACCGGGTCTTGACTCTTGACTCTCGACTCAATGAACGAGCCTGCGTCTCTCCAAATGTGTTGCCCCAAATAACCCCAGCTCAAAGGGTCTCGTGTGAAACTTGAGACAGATTTTCGTGGGGCGTTTTTCTACCTCCGAATACTCATCCAAGCACTGCTTTGGGCATAAAATTATCACCGCCTCTGTTTCCGGCGCCGTATATGCTTTGAAAGATCTATGGCCGATATCACCTTTTCATATGTACACTCGGACAATTTTTGACTGAGTTGGGGTATGCTAAGTAGGAGCACCATGTCGGGGAGGTCACCCACCCAGGCCTGGATGGGTAATATGATGGTTTTGGAGGTTTGATCGGATGTAGTACTATGTATTCTCAAGCAGATCTCCTTTAAATATCCTGTAGACTTGTATCTCCATGTTTGCGGGCAAGCAAGAGAATCCCGCAACCTGTTCATTTCAGGCTGTCCAGAAGCTGCAAATGCATTGACGACAGCTTGTGGAACGGTCGATCCATGAAACAAGGACAAAAGATTCCCAGCCAAGTGATGTCATCTGCTATAACCCATCTCTCTGTCTAGACATGAGAGCTGATATACAGTATGTGTGCTGGCTCCTGCGACTTCGTTTCGGCGAAATGACCTTGTCGTCAATCCTCGAATGCCATATCATGTCAGTCCACTGTCTCCATACTCCTTTCCCTGTGCCCGCGATACCTTGACGGCAAGAACGAAACTTTTTTCATATCAGATGAATTTTCCGCGGTGAATCCGAATTGACCGTTCAGGGTGCAGGTTTCCTGGCGTATACGACAGCCATCTCATGAATGCCATGTAATTTCTTGTCTCGCAGATCCCGTCTCATCTTCGCACAGTGTACGGTAACCTCCTCGACCGTCCAACCAAGTATTCCGGTGAAACCACGCAAAGACCAATTCTCCAAGCCGATATCTATATGAGCCCGGCACCATAAGCCCAACTCTTTCAATTTCTTGTCCTTCGGCCACGGCCCGATCGGCCATTTGACTGGCCGCTCCACCACGTCTTCAAAGCCGGCGTCCCTCATCCATCCCGCCATTTTCTGATACACCAAGACTTCTCGTTCTATAATGGCGAAAACTTTAAGACCCCAACTACCCCATTCGCCCATTGGGGTTTCAGGGGTAACAGTCCCGTCCTCGCTCGTAAATCCGGGTGAGAATTCTAACTGCTCTATATACCCACCTGGTTTCAGAACTCGTAAACACTGGGTGTAAAATCTGGGCCAGTCCTTGATAGAACCGAAAAGGCTGCGGATGTGAATGTAGTCGACACTGTTTTCAGGGTAATCCCATTCGCCCTCGGCATCGTCGATTACAAACTTACAATTGGGCGGGACCCATGAAGGCTGAATGGGCGAGAGATCTGTTCCAATCACTTGAGCTGCGGGGAATTCGTCGGCAAAGTCTATTGCCCAGATTCCAGTGCCGGTACCAATATCTAGAGCCATGTGAATGTGCGGTGACAAAGGGGCGAGGTGAGATTTGTTATCGAAGGTCTTGAGGCAGAGCGCATGGCAGATATCGAGATGTTCCTGGGCGATTTCGTCGTTCGGCTGATAATACTGCAAGGTGTCGAATGCATGGTAGCGTCTTCCGTTCTCCACACGATAATTTGTGATAAATGTCGCCAAGGAGGTTGTGTCGGTATTTCTAGAAGAATTGATGAGCACCTGGTCCGACATTAAGACAGTCAATGCTACTCACGCGAGGGAACCTATGGCGGAGTCATTGTCATCGACCGGCTAATGAACTGGTCAGCAGAGAGCTAAGCGCCAGGTGATACAAGCCTACATTCTCATCGATAGCCACGGGTTCATCGGGAGCATTGAGTTGGGCCATGGCTTACGAGAACTTTGCAAGGTTGGCAGACGTGAAAATCTAGAACTCGGGCAATCAAGGCAAACTCCAGGCAAGCTCGGATACTTAAGCGATGGTCTGAGTAGCGTGGGAATGAAATGTGATGGCATTGCATTGAGTGGGGTTGGCTGCATGAGTTCCAGCTCTCCCCGATGCGCCAATGCAGAATTGCGCACGATGACTGGGAATGGCAAAGTCCTAGCCACTCCTAGGCAATGACGGAAGACATTCCTTGGTCGGCACGGACCGAGAACGCTCTCCTTCATTTCAGACACCCCTGTATGGGCACCTAGGTACTCCGTGCCTCGTAAAGTACATGTTGAACATCCGCATATTGACAGGACATCCACATGGGTGAAGCCTAACCAAGGGCGAGCTACTGGTGACAGACTAAGTGCGGAGAAGTATATTTATCAAGTCGTAGTGGACTCGGCTGTGCGAAATTGTCGGGATTCACCAGAGTTCATCGGGAACCGCGGCGCTGCAGTAGAATCACTAACAAATGACGTAAACCTTCCTCAATAGCGTGGAGCACTGACACCTTCTGCTTCTTTGTGCCCCTTACGGGGTACTACTGCTAGACTAGTAAGAGTATAGATGTGAGTGAAGAACAAGGTAGGTTTAGAGGAAACGGAGCCAGGTGCTATCTTGCGGTCGCTGATCGTGACATGGCAGGGCAGACTTGGAAAATGTGACCATTCGAGAGATCTAAAGCATGTCTTCTAGCCATGATACAAAGTTTACCAACATTTAGATTCAAGCTTGCGTGATCTCTGATTGCACATCCTTAAGCTCCCATGAAGAAGATTCCACATCGAGAAGAAAGGGCTGGGAAGGTGTGCCCATCAACGCTCCTCCATGGTTGGACTCGTGCCGGTGGACTGCTTTCTTGCTAACATGAATCCTTGATATTGACCGGGGAATTGAATCTGTGGGCGAAGCACTCTAGATCTCGCCTTTCAAAATAAGCTTGAAGTCATAGTCCGACATTAAGTCCCACTGTGTTTGTATCCGAAGCAGTCTGGACTGATACAAAGTGTGTAAGGCCGCGTTTCGATGATGAGTGATCAGATCTCTGGTCGCGCCTCCAAAGAATTAGATTCTTGACTTATACTGCTTCGCGTCCACTTAGATCTGGCGACGTGATACTGCGCGAAGATAGTTAGGAGCCTTCCCCGCCATTCATCCTGAATCTTCTCGCTGGTCTTTCTGCTTGTCGCCTTGGAGGTGCCATTCAATAAGGGGTGTGCTGCAAGGAGCCTTTGTAGCTCTGGATAGCAATCATAGAATTGTCATTGGAGAGATGGGAGGGTTTGCATCTAGACGGATTGCAATCATACGTTGGCAAAGCTTTCCATCTTCAGGCAAGCTAACTATATAACCTGTTTCACTCATGATCTTTTCCCATTCATAGGACATATGAGAGGGAGTGCTGCGACTAGAAAGGTAGAAGGAGAGGGACGGGGAAAACTTCCCTTGAAGGGGCCTCTGCGCAAGACCGCTCCGAACAAAGCCAGTACTAAGCGCCGATAGCATCTACCATTTTACAACATAGCCAAAAATAAAGAGTGACCACAGTAGCCCAATTTTGGTCAACCCAATCTCAGTCGAGTCCACCGCGGGACCAATTTGATGGGTTTCGCACCCTAACTTGCGAATCATAGCCAACGAAACGTCCAGAGATAGATGAATACCATCTGGAAGCAAGCAATGCCTCTTCTTCCAGCAGGATCAACGAGTGTAGTGATGGGTTTCACTTGTTGCAAGCAGAATCCTTTTTGAGGCCTGACGCCGACAACGGACATTTATGTTGGGCTTTTCGTGTCTTCGTCGAGTTGTGGCAAGATCTGCTGCTGCTTCTAAGGCGTGATGCTGAGTCGTAGGTGCAGGAAGTGGAATCTTTGGATATTCTCTTCCATGAGTGGTTTGATCGAGACATGATGATCTTTCACAGTGATGGAAGTAGGTTGAAGACTTAGTTCTGTAATATCATTGATAAGCAGCAATAGTGCATTACTGAATCTGGTATTAGGGTCGGTGTAGTTCATTTCCTTGGACGATATAATTAGGGGAAAGGTTAGGCGGATGCCCATGAATCTTCACGGCAGTCAGTCTACCTTTCAATCGCCTGTCCCCTTCTCCATTGCAAAATCTAGCCACCTGAGTCTGTTGAGCTCTGTGCGCTTGTTCATCGAGTCTGAAGGCCGTCTTTGCCATATCCGGGACTCCAATCGGGAATCAATTTCTTAAATTCCTCGCTATCGGCTAATGCCTGACCCATAGATTCTTGAATGGACATCTTGAGATAGACGCTTATATCACTGCCACGTAAGTCCATTCTAAAGTGGACTGCTGCAAACTGTGCTCGAGTTTATTTTCGATACTTTAGATAGTACTCGGGGTCCGTTCTAAACCTCTCCTTTTCTTTCTCGGAGTAGCGATGCTCAGCGGCATTTGGCTCCGTGGCCTCCGAATCAGCCTCTTTATTTGGTAAGCTAATACTAAATCAATCAACTCCGATGTAAGTGTTGTTCCGCGTGAATACCGTGACCACCATCTGAATCGAGCTCGATCCAGTGCCGAGGACTGGCGCTTTCTTCCCCTTCCAATCGATTAAGGTGTCGTAGTTAGCGGAGTACGCCAGAGCGCCTTTAAAGTTATAGAGACCTTTAATTACTAGCTATTTCCACTTGTTAGCTCTCCCGACCCCATTAATGATAACGTAGTATGTATCGGTAAATTCTTTACCTCCTTTCTTCGCGTCCACCGTCCGCTGACCCTTATCTTCATTCTACGAAGCACCCAGGACCTCGACATTGAATCAGATAAACTGATCAAACTGGTATTTCTTCGCAAATCTTCGAAAGACGTCTGGATCTCATCGTTGAACGAGAAAAATCTACTCCACTCCGCATACGGCTCAAAAGGGGATGTGTAAGTGTGGGCGTGAACGTCGCAAGCATATCCAGGATACCTGCTTCAATTTGATAATATCATATTCGGGAGGAGATAAACAAATATCTTCATGGGAATGACGTACCTGATCTCCACCAAGTGTCTCCAATCGTAGGATCTTTCGTAACAGATTAGCTCATAATTCTCTACAAGTTGCGGAGCAAAGAATGAAAATGCAGCGACACCGCCCGCTCACAGCCATCCCACCACTACCCGGTCAGCCAAATCAAATTATAACCTCAACCGACAAGCTTTCCCCATGCCTCTGAGCGTCTCCATCTCCCTCAGTTGCCTGCACTTCCTCCCAAAAATTTTCCGCGGTCATGCCAATATACCTGCCGTTTAACCTGCTCTGGCCCAGCATTACCAGTATCTCCGCTAGCACGGTGTGCCTGCTTGGCCACCAGCACACTTCCACCCTCCAAACCTCAACCTAGATCAAGTTCCGGCCCATGCAAATGCCCATACGAATCCTGGTGCTCCTCGTCCTGCACAAGTGTAGACTAAACCAGGCACAACTTTTACAACCTCTCAGACCCTCAAGTTCAAGAATTTCGAGGGCCCAATGGTGAGCGCATGATGGTGGTCACAGATCATATGAGCGTACGAATCCATTTCTAACGAAACGACCAGTCTCAGCCCCACCAATCATAGATATTCCTCCGCCAGCAATACCGCTGCTCAGCCAGCTTCATCGACATCCCACACTGGTGCTCCATTAGCTACTACCCATGATCTTGCCGGGCCTATGGCCACTGCACGGGCCTCCTCCGCAGCCCTCAGCACAAACAAATGACTCCTGAGGCAGCAGCACGATTAGTTCGAGATGACCAAGAACAAAGTCCCGGCTTCTGGAGGAATCCATTCTACCGCGTCAAGCAACGCGCAGCCTTGTTCTTGGCAAGGTTGATAAATAGTGTCGGTGAACGACATGTCAGGGCCAGGGAGGAGGCGAGAAGAGAAGCACAGCGATTGGAGGAGAAAAGACGGCGAGCTGCAGAGGAGGCTGCCGTTGCTTCGCAGCACGATGGTGGATGGCAGGGGCGGTGGCCAAGGCGATGGTGCTGCTGTTGGAAATGAGAAGTACCCCTGAGGCCAAGGTTGATGGACCTAGCGCGACTGGCAGGAGAGAAGCTGGATCATTATTGCCGTTGTATAAATCTAGTCAATCCGGAAGAGGGCACAGCCTCAAGAATTGACGCCTCAGCCAAGAGTCGGCCGAGTTCGACTTCACATTATGATTTGATCATATGTTGGGGTGACTTCAGAAGTGGGTATGGTTATACAGCGCGCACCAATCATGTCCTAAGGCTTATCGAGTAGATACTATCGCAGATTACCACATCATACTTCCACTGCAAGTGGATGTCATTGTAGAATGCGCACCAATGACTAGATTTGGGCTAATTATGCCTCATCACCGAAGGGCTCTTCTACTCATCCGGTTTTACATTTCAGCCTAGGTCAGTCTAATATAAATTGATGCAACAGTAACTCTTCGTTTGTTTTTTGCATTTTACAATCTTTTGAACGACTTGTAACTCCAACGCTCATTTTGCCAACTCTAGAGTTACTTCTATGCTCTGTACCATGGATATCTTCAAAGGACTCTTTGTGGTATTCACGACGATTGGTTGCGCAACTGCCTATGGATTTTTTCCGCAGACTGTGGAATTGAATCTTACCGAATTGGTAGGGTGTTTGGTAGTCCGACAAGCATTTCTGTAACTGACCTTCTTGTTGCACTGCAGGCCGCACTCCCTCTCGTATTCAACTTCTCCGAGTCCAACAGCCATTTTCCAAATGCCACGAACTCCTGGTGGTCATGCAGCTTCGTAACCTGCAGCGATGAGCATCAATATATGGTACTGTCTCACTTGGTTGAGTTATCAGAGACCCAGACCATATACCGTTCGTCTATCCAGGATGTCACCAATACTTCTTATCATCGGCATTTCATCGAATTGGTGGAAGACCCTGACGTGTTTTCTGGAAGTCAAGATGGCGCATTTAATGTCTCTGCTGATGGCTTTTACTTCGGTTCCACAACATCGGACAATTCTATTTCGCAGCTTCGGACCGTTAGTACTTCGCCAGATGTCTCATTCGACTTGACCTTTGACCTTTCGGCTTCAATCCTTTTTAATGGTGGGCTCGGTGGGTTGTTTCAATGGGGAGGCTCTCAAACCGCTGAATGGGCCATGACATCCGGGTATACCTCAGGGAGCATCATCAGAGATGGCCAAAGTATTGAATTTGATCCGGAACGATCGTTCACTTGGTATGATCGCCAGTGGCTCTACGGTGACGCGTCGGCTCTCAATTGGACCTGGTTTCAATTGCACACAGACTCCTCTCGTGATGGTCCCGGAGAAAAATATTCAATCTGGATTTACGGAGGGGATGTGGACCAACATCAATTTGCTACCTTTCATTCGTCCAAGAGGGTTGATACAGTGCTGGCCGTCAAATCATTCGAGCCATTTGGCGAACCTTGGCAGTCTTCAGTGACAAACAATACTTATGAACAGCACTGGAAGCTCATTCTACAAGATGATACTATGCTCACCATTGACAGTATCCATGGAGATCAGGAGATATTCTCTGGAACCGCCGGCGCGTATGAAGGATTTGTCGAGTTCCACGGCTTTGATTCATTAAACAGAACTATCGAGGGCTTTGGATTGGTTGAGATTACGCCGGTTTAATCATAGTTTGGTTGGCGATGATAGAGTGTGTATGGACAACCCGGCCTCTCACGTAGGCAACTTTGATTTATGTGCCACTTTAAGGATGGTCCATGGCCAATCAGATAACTTTAATTCTGCCCCATAGAGGCTCAATCTAGCACACTTAATTTTCTTGGGCAATGTTTTGGTGCAAAATTCTTGTAACAACTCTCCAGTTAATATCTTGCTCCTACCGGGTAGCTGCCGAAACTCAAGTATCGCTTAAAACCTGCTCCCACACCAAGCACCGGAGTAGTTCGGTACCTTCAAATATCTCCATGCTGTAATCTCATGGCATAGAAGTATCATTCTAGGAAGGTAGGATCTAACGGCATATCCAAGATATTACATCGTAACAACGGACACATCGAATCATGATCGAATCATATCATTCCTAGTCAGCCTAGTCCGCGTCATCATCTCAAAATTTCTCTTGCTGCACAGCATATCGCCTGACGGAAGGATAGTCAGCCCTGTTTTGGAATCATTCCTTGCCGCATAATTACCAACTCCAGGCCAAAAAGGTGCATAGTGCAAGTCTAGCCATTAGTGATCACCGTGGCAGGCTCGTACTACATGGTCCTGTTTAATTGATCGAGTGTTTGCCCTCCATATTACGTGTAGGAGTTCGAAGTTTGAGCACGTCTCTTATAGACTGAACGGTGGTGGAGATCTTGTCAGAGTCAGTTGGTCCAGAAGCACACAAACGGGCTTTTGCCAGAAGGCTGAGGAGCAATGACAGTTTGATTTTGGAAATGGTGCCTCGCTACGACCGGCGTCGGTTTACAAGCACCCTATCCCATCCGCTGCTCACTTAGAAAGCCCACTTTCAAAAATATGATTGATGACATCGTCGAGAGTCTGTAACTGTTTTAATCCAAATTCAAGGGGCTTCCATGCCACTTTGGAACTCTTCTTCACATAGACAAAAGCACTGTGAACAATAGCCTGTCGTGCCACTGCACACCCAATAGGAGTGTCTGGTTTTAATAGCTGAGTTTCTCGTGGAAAAAGGGTCGCAAGTTTTGATAGCAAAGCTTCAACATGGAGCAGAATTGAGTTCGATGTGCAATCTAGCACGGCCAGGAAAACATTAGGATAGCCCCGATGACACCCATCGTTGTCGAAGTCATCTTGAAATTCTCCGCTTGCTTTTCTAAGTACAGGTTCGAAGTCATCATCGTACCAGTTTTGAATGGTTCCTTGCATTGTAACAACCTGGCGAAGAACCCTTAATGCCCTAGTCTTGATCACTGTCATGTCAATGCATCTAGCCTTTTCTTGCTCAGAAAGCTTGATAACGCTATAAAATAAATCTGGGACATCCATAAGGATATCAGTAAAACGCGTTTGGAGGAGTCCACATGAACGTGGAATCTGGGCGCCTGTAGTAGCTAGCGAGCCGGTTAATTGTCGCCATTCTGGTCGTGATAGAAAACATTTCTCACAAGCATTGATGTCTTGCGCAATGAATAAGTGTCTTTGTGATTCCAGCATTCCCCTTTCAAAGGATGTCTTAAACCTTGATGGACCAGATTCCTGGATGAGAAGTTTTGAGCCTCTGAGGAGATTGCTCCACTGCCCTTCATCCGTATTCAGAGTGAGTTCGCAACACTGAAGGATCAGAGATGCGCAAATGGTCTCAGACTGAAGACGGACTAAGGGCTCCTCTAGACAAACCCTGAGCGAGTTGAGGCTTCGGGCATACCGTCGAAAGGTGATTTCTGAAGGCTTCGATGAAGTTGCGAAAGTATCTTTGTAGATAGAGGACAAACAAGATATTGCATCATCTAGTGCAAGATTCCGACCAATGTGGCTAGGGATGAAGGCGAAGAAGTTTCCGTTCGATCTGAGTGGAAGTAGAGACTGGAACCTAGGGTCTTTGAGAATCTGTGCAAGAAAGGATGCATTGCCATCTTCCGGTGATGATATGGACCGAAATATGTCCACACGGAAAATTCTCCGTGCGGCTGGTTCAGAAAGCGTTGGGAAATCTGAGTAGGGGCTGGGGTGAGTGCAATTTAAGCTGGTGTCTGCTTCGCGGAGTATTTCCTCAAGTACATAATTCTTTTTCCGGTAAATGGACAACAATCGCGAATTTTCATCCATAAATTTCCATCGCTTCTCATATCCCGGACACTTGGTGCCAGCCAGAACGCATGCATGGCATTGAGGGCGCTCTTCGCCACACTAAAGTCCCGGTTAGCTCGACATTTGTGAATAAGAAATTGCAACCAGCTCAAATTTGGTCATCATCTCTTACCTTCTTTCTCCTCTGCCTGCATTTCTGACAACCGGTACTACTCAGCGCTCTCACCATAATGAGGTCAGGATTGCACTTTAGACTTCTCTATCGCCTAATTTTCGAACTCTATGCCTGAATGGTGATTATGAAGTCTGGAGACGACCATCATTGGTATTCCGCGAGCCAAAGATCAACGGATCAAATGCTTATTGAAGATTACGTTAGCGCTGCGGACTCGGGTGGCCTTACCGGAACCAACGTCTACGTAAGGCTTGTTCGTTGATCATGTGATTGACAGGTTACGCACCTACGGGGAAAGGTTGAAATAGAAAATATGAAAGCATCCGCCGCAACGTTGATGTTGATTAAGGAGCACATCAATCTCAGGCTTCGTGTGAAGGCGAGCGCTAGTACTACAACTTTACCACGATTTCGGTGCTAGATGGTTCGATGTACCGGCATCAGCCTCGAATTATTTTCCAGTAATTAGACTGGGTGCTTATGATCCATGTGATAATAAAAGCTTTGGATCCGGCAAGGTACGAAAGGAAGAACTAGACTTATAGCAAGCCCTGTCTCTAAGCGAGAATGTCTTGTGGGGCTGGTCGACCCGTCTCGTCTTGTGAGGATGGTTGCTGGCTTGATCATGCTATTTGTCCTATTTGTGGTCTCAACTCAGACGTCGATTAAGTTTTACCCTTTTTCCGCAAATCATGGTGACACTGCCTAGCTGGGCCCCTCCCATGGATGACCAGAGCGTGGTCCGTTTCGTCATGCAGGACACACATCTCCGTTCAGGTCTCGTGCTCCACGATGGTGTTGACCAGAGAATCTCTTTCCGTAAGACCATATCTTAACAAACTGATCGCCATTCCATCGACCACAGCAAAGCGCTACGCGCCGTTTATTCAAGAATATCTTCCATCCATCTCATTCTTTTCTATCTCACCAGCCTCGTTTCTGTCATACTCAAACAGGTCGCCGCAAAGCCCTCACCACTGCAAGTGTGCTCTCTAGCTAGGGATGTCGTAGGTTTCGTACCACTGGCTACGGCGCAAGTCGTGGGAGGAGCCGTTAGGCTTTAGGATTGACGCAGACAGCAATGAACTACGGACAGACAGAACTGGAGTTAAGAAGGGCAAATCAAGAAATGTTTGGGCCAAATTGACTGAAAGTTATAATTGCTAAATGGAATGCCGTGGCAAAGTTGACAAGGATGCTTGCCTCGTATATCTGATGGTTAATCACATCTTGAATCTCCGATGTTGGCGTTGAAACTTGTGTGCCCAAATGAGGCCAGAAAAGCCGGCGCCGATAGATAATTATGACCTTAGTTTCCCTTGCGGCGCCCATGCTGGTTAGTCACCCATCGCAACGTCATTATTATTCGCATAGTCTTTTCTATGAACATGGGTTCCATCCCAAGGTCATCTAAATCCAGGATGGAAAAGACTATGGCCGAAGCTGTTGACGAGACTTACCTCTTGATTCCTTTTTTTGGGAGGCTATCGCAGCCACAGCCAGTTTCTGTCTTGAGGCTGGGGCGCCCATATTTCTAATCAACCAATATCATCATCAGCATACGGATCCTGCATGAAAGGCTTGGGCGAATTGCCAGAAAAGGTATCCCAAGAAGCTTTTGTTCTCGGGCAAGGTTCCGTACAAGCACACTGATGCCGTGGCCCACGGGTCCTAGGACTAACAATGGATGATAAACAAAACCATTGCAGCTGAGAGGCTTAGTCGTTAAATGAAGACGCATGACAAAGAAATTTCATAGCTTCTTGGGGGATAAGTCAGCGTACCGAGAAAAATGCTCAAGAAGCGGGCTAGTCCTTCGCAATCACACAGTAGTGACCATGTCGAGGAGGCTATGCCATGTTAGCGAGGAAATGTGAAGTAGGAAGGCTGGCCAGAAGGTGCTTGTGTAGGCTACAATTATCCATATTGGAATTGCGCTTGAGCGAATCTGTGCCTCCGGGCACGTGTGCCCTTGCTTCACGGGCCATAATTATCAAAAAAGATACTCTGTTTCAGTGATGCCGAGTACAATACTCGGCCCGCCGGAGCAAAAACATTTCGGGTTGATCGGAATGAAGGTCGACACCCCTCACTCACATCCTTCTTTCCTGATCTTCTACATGAATCGATAACACCATTGAGAGGTGGTCAGATTTCCTTTTATGAGTAGCTTTCAAGAAACACGCGCTACAGGTTTTGACGAGGTCTTCATAAAGCTACATTTTACTAGACTAGGATGATGCTGTAGTTGAAGCTCACTTTGGCTGTGAGCCTTATCTTACTCTCATAGCCTGTACAGCCCTTTCACCGCTCTCAAGACGAGCTCCAGCGTGTCTGAAGAATGTTAAGCCCACTGGTAGAGCCTTGAGTTCCTCATTTTCCAAAAACCCGGAAAAAAGGGGGACGAAAGTAACACAATAATCATCGAGAGTTATATATTTTACTCAGCAAGTTGACTGTCAACTTTTGCTCAAGACTGATAGGAAGCTTGGCGGCTGACAAAAGGTGCACTTGGAACTTTCATGACAATCATCGAATACTAGTATAAGTTTTACCTTGCGACTACACTGCTTACTATCCCTTCCTTCTCCCCTTCAGATCACTCACGTGAAATTTCACTAAGACCCTCAGTGCTACGTTGTTCTAATCTGAAACTACTAGCTCAGACATCTGCCCCTTGTCACTCGCACCCGCCGACCTGTAGCCTCTCCGCCTGTCTATCCTCAAGTTCAAGGCCTACCTACCATCTGGGCTTGGGTGAAATTGTTCCCGACATCATCTCCGAATAGGGTGGCAACATTTTCTAGAGGAAGACCTTTTGCGGCGGGGCAGTGCAAGATGATAATGCCGGCGCAAACAACGCCGGGACAAATGAAGCAAAGGTAAAGCTTCCAAACCAATGTTAGCAAACGCTGTTGTTGCCACTTGGAGGGGGATAATTGTTTGCTAGGCTGATGGCAGCTGCTCTGATAGCGACATCTTTGGTACGTATGTGAGTGGGGAAGAGCTCGTTGATAAAGACGTAGTGAGTGCCGCCAAGAGTACCGTCAAAAGAGAACAAACACTTGCAACATGGCAACACCGGCCTGAGAGCTGCAGGATTCGGATTCGCTAGAGCTTCCACGTGTTTGCGTATTCGGCCACTCTGGCTGCCTCTGCCGCCAGATAGATGAGACAGGCTATGATACCTCCCGCAATGACGCGGGGTCGAAACGCCGCCTGGATGAGGACGACTGCGGCAATTGGTCCACCCATGGACGTCGTGATACATCCACCGAGATACACAAACTGCTGCTCAACGTGCTAACCTAATAAACCGTGCGAGGTGGCACCATAGTTATCAATGACGAGCGGGCCAAGGTTTTTGAATTGAGCACATCACGAAAAATGTCATGGTGCTATGCTTGCAATAGGAAGCCTGGATGAGCCTTGGAGCCCCGGATGCCTGAAGATGCTGGTCGAGTTCGATTTGCCGCTGGATCTGAATACAATTCAATACGGGCATCCTGAGTAATTAGGATTGAGACTACAAAAAAGCCTCTCTGCCTCTTCCAGCGGGCCGTTCAGGACCAGCCAGCGCGGAGGCTCGGGGAGGAAAATGAGACAAGAGTAGTACAAGACCTGGCGTGCGACTAAGGGCAAATTGCATTCTCCACACGTTGTTCGAGACGTGGCGAATTTAGTAGACGCCATATGGTACCCATATCGAGACCATTTAGCCGACAACAATGGCAGCGTTATTCACGCTGACTAGGGCGCCTCTGATACTAGGTGGAGCGACCACGCCCACCTAAACCGGACTCGCCGCCAGCAGCCAGGTAGCACGAGACTCCAGAAGAGAATCAGAATGTGGTGAACATGCCAACGTCTTCACTGTCCGCAAGCCAGGCTGCAGGCACCATGTAGGCCACGATGGGACCGGCAATCCTCCATTTGCGACCCCAGAGGTCGGAAAGAAAAGGAGACGAGAGCGCCCCGATGAATCCGCCGACGAAAAAACGAGTTAATCAGACCAACGAGTTGGTGCCCACTTTTCCGGCTTTCTAAATAGTGGTAAAAGAGGGCTGCCCTGCGGCTGCGGCAATAACACAGGCATCATACCCAATGGTGACGACATGCTGATTAGCGTCAGGATATTGCAAGGTCGAAAGTGCCGGTCGTGAACGTGCTCGAGGTGAACGATATAGTCGGATGCCATTTGGATCCCAACTAGACGTCCATAGATTTTCCGCCTGCACAGATATCTGTACGTCTTATTCATTGTGAGATTAAGACTAATTGTGTGGCGTCTCAAATTTGGTATCCTTGAAGGGTTAGACGAAGCCTCTTTCGAAGAAGAGGCAACGGCTGTCCCAGAGGACAACTATACATACATGCCCAGCATTTTAATGCACGACGGCCAAAGATGGCGATACATGTTACACTTTCTCCCCATAATGTCTTCCTCGCATACTTTTCTACGGCTCCACGAGTTCCGCTCGGCCCACGAGGCACTTGAGTCTAGAGCCTTGTTTGAACTCCATCGTCGACTTTTCTCACATGGATTCATTAGTGCACTTTCGGGTGGGGCTTCCTCGATTTGCAGATTAATCAGTAACCTTTCACCCGGTGAGTGGTAAAGTTAACATCAGTCTAAACCGGTTAGACAACGACCAATGGCCCGAATCTGGGCCGAGGGCTTTATGTGGAACACCGCAGCTGCTTGCAGCCTTCGGTTCGCAACACGGGCTGCGCCTTTGGAGACGTTGAGCACGCCGAATACTATCCCAAACCAAGACCGAATAGCCAGCCGAAGCACTTTCCGAGAACACAAGGATAAGCAAGTACATCAGCTTATATTTTGCCCTTGTTTTCTCCGTTACAGGCCTTCTCGCGGGCACGAGTGACTCAGCTGTCGGCGAAAGATTAATATAATCCGACATGAAAGCTATAGTTCTTCAAGGACAAGCAGGGAAGGCATCTCTGGTTTTCGATCGCCCGTCTCCTAAATTGCGTCCAGGCTATATTCTTGTTTACGTAAAGGCGGTTGCTCTGAACCCAACAGACTGGAAGCATGTTGACCTCGCGAACGAAGCGAAAGGTACCTTGTTTGGTTGCGATTACGCTGGCATAGTTGCTGAGACTGGCACTGGATATTCCACTGACTGGAAAACGGGAGACAAAATTTGTGGCTTCTCTCTCGGAGGCAACAAATTGCAACAAGAAGACGGAGCCTTCGCGGAAACCATTGTTGTAAAGGCTGATGTGCAGATGCGAATACCGAATCATCTATCCTTCGAAGAAGCAGCAACAGTACCAACCGCTATTCTCACCTGTGGACAAGGCCTCTTCCAGGAGATGGGATTGACCTGGCCCAAAGAAGCCAGTGAGACCAGTAACAATGAGCCTATCCTAATATATGGTGGAAGCTCAACAACAGGGCTAATGGGAATCCAGCTTGTCAAACTGTAAGGACCACTTTCATTTATCCCTTATCAAAATGGGTTACGTCTGACAGAGTGCGGTAGGGCAGGTTATGTTCCTCTGACGACCTGTTCTCCTCATAATTTCGAACTGGTGAAGTCCCTAGGAGCATTTCCTGTTGATTATAAGGACCCGAATTGCACCGAACAGATCAGGCAAGCGGCGGGCAATAATCTCAGACTCGTCTGGGATACGATATCAACACATGAATCCGCCAAGATCTGTGCTAAGGTCATTGACCCTGGCGGTATTTGCGGCACTGTCCGCGACGTCGCCTTCCCCAGGACTGGTGTCCGAAAAACCAGATCATCAGGGTACACATCGACAGGAGAGCCCGTTGAGAAACCCGGAATGTCACTTCCCGCTCAGCCCGAACACTTCGTGTTTACGAAAAAATGGATGAAAGAGGCCGAGTCTCTGTTACAGCGGAAATTGATAAAGCCTCCTCCGTCACGGGTGGGTAAGGGGCTAGAGTGTGTACTCGACGGTGTTGACCTGCTGAGAAATGGTAAGGTCAGTGGCGTAAAGTTGGTTTACACGCTGTAATATGCTCTAAACTAGAAATATTGAACATCGAGAAGTTTGGGGTTTGTGCATTTAGAAAATCGAAGGTTGCTGTTTATTTGACAGGACGCATCTAGTAAAATCACGCTTATGCCGGTTCTGGCCATTATGAGCTTTGATGAACATTGCTATGCGTATTGCTGTGAATCGAGGACCGGAACTGCGGATCGTAATACGAGCAGCTGTCAATAGCAGCCTCGCCGAAGAGCAGATCTGTGAACCTTGTAGACACATATACTTGGTGTTCTAGCTCTTCGAGACTCCATAACCATTGCATCCGAGGCTTTTACTCAAAATACGAATCAGGCGATTATGAAAGTAAAAGGTCACCTTGGATAGTTGAGATTCGGAGATAACATAGCTTTAATTTTGGCGGCAACTGCATCAAGACGTTTGGTCAGTACCAAAACTTGGTTGACTCCATATAAGGGTACTTGAACCAACTACGCCAGCCTTTAACCACGAGCAATATCAAGGATACCGATAGTTAGATGTTATGCAGACCAGACGTAACAAATTACATGTAGAGCTATAGTATGACCTCAAAGTCGTGTGAAATGGTACGCTAGCCGTAACTTAAGGCTTGAGCTACTCCACGATCAAATCAACTACCCATGTTACAAATGAATCCGAGCTTGCGCACCAACGGCCCTTTGATGTTTCTATGTCAAGGTCCAGCTGCCTGCAAGTGTCGACTTTATCGGCTGTTACAACGCAGTTGGATGCCAGTAGGCCACTTTCACTGGCGCTTGCGGCCGGTAGTGGCGTTTTCGAAAGAACGAAAAGACCCGAGATGGCACGCCGTTCGCATTTCGTTTCGGCACAGCCTCGTAAGGGCCGGTAAGGCTGCACAGCCATGGTCTCAATAGTAGAAATTGATCCAAACTTTGTAATTCAGACTGTCGAAGTCCCATTCACTAGTGAAAGACGTCATTGACAACCCTCACGATTAGGCAGCCGAAAAATATTAAAAGCCGTCAATGGGGACTGAAATTATTAACGACCGTTGCGATTCTATTGAAGATCCTCGACACGAATCAAGTCCCTCCTAGCAACATATCTACCGAAAGCAACTGAAAATTTGACTAAGTAGTGCATATGAAGGACTCAACGTTTGAAAATCGCCTTTTTATCAATGGGGAGTTCGTGCCGAGCCAGAAAGGCAAGACTTTCGAACTTATCAACCCTGCAACGACGAAGGTATTAGGCTCAGTCTACGAAGCAGACATCGAAGATGTGGACGTAGCGGTCGCAGCTGGAAAAGCGGCTTTTGGCTTCTGGTCGGAACTGCCAGCCTTCGAGCGCTCTCGGTGGCTCCATCGTCTCGTCGACAAAGTCGAGCAAAATATGCAAGAGATATCTCGTCTCGAAGCGCTTACGATGGGAAAACCCGTCCACAATGACATTGTAAGGGTCCTTCCCGTCAATTTTGCTCGAGTGGCGCGATGCTACTGTCTGTCCCTTCTCTTATATGAGAGAAATGTATTTAGCCATCAATTCTAATTTGTGCTAGTCTATACTTATAGGGATCCAAGTTCTACGATACTTTGCCAGTAGGCCAAGTGATATTCAAGGAGAAACATCCCTCAGTGACCCAGGGTTAGTGGGAATGACACTCAGACAGCCGTATGGAGTCGTAGGTGCAATTATCCCCTGGAATACCCCCTTTAGCATGCTCTGTCTAAAGGTTGGCCCGGCACTCGCTGCTGGTAATACGATGGTTCTAAAGACTTCGGAGAAGAGCCCTGTCTCGAGCTTAATTGTTGGCCAATGCATGAAAGAGATTGGCTTTCCTCCGGGCGTCCTTAACATCCTCAGCGGTTTTGGTAGGCCCTGCGGGGAGGCTATAGCGAAGCATATGGAGATACGTAAACTGGCATTTACTGGATCAACGGCAACCGGCAGGGCTATCAAAAAAGCAGCGGCAGAAAGTAACCTGAAGACAGTGACGCTCGAATTAGGCGGCAAGTCGCCTCTCATTGTGTTTGCTGATGCAGACATTCAAAAGGCCGCAGAGGCCGCGGCCGCTAGCATTCTCGTTGTCTCTGGCCAGACCTGCATGGCCAGTTCGCGGGTGTACGTGGAAGAGTCGATAGCAAACCAATTCGTGGAGCTGGTAAGCCCCTGACTTTTATTTTTATTACCTCTCTTAAGCTCGAGCCCTCACCACTACTAACCATGATGTAGATGAAGCTAGAAATGTCCAGAATAGGCGCCAGCGCTAACCCGTTAACATCGGGAACTCTCCGAGGCCCACAGGCCGACCGCGCACAGTATGATCGTGTCATGAGCTTTCTTGATTTGGCGCGAGCACAAGACGTAAAGACCTTACTAGGCGGAGATCGAGAGAACAAGGACGGCTACTATATCCAACCCACTATGCTTTTCCAGGTACCAGAGGATAGTAAACTAGTCAAGGAGGAGATCTTCGGCCCTGTCGTATGTGTCAATACCTTCACCAATGAAGCAGATGCCATTGGAAGAGCGAACGACACCGAATATGGCCTTTATGGCAGTTTTTTCACCAAAGATATGTCTCGAGCGCTCAGACTAAGTAAGAAAATTGAAGCTGGAACTGTGGGCGTCAACATTGCAAGCCCGAATGTTATGCTCGACATGCCATTCGGGGGATGGAAACAGAGTGGCGAAGGCAGAGAACTCGGCAAACACTCCCTCGACAGCTGGACAGAATTGAAGACCGTGCTGATGAAGTTGTAGTTCACTGGCTATCTGAAATTACTACAAGGTGCTATCTGGGGACCAGTAACCGATTGACAAAGCGTACATGTTGAGGGAAACGCAATGATAGAAGCGTGTTGCAACTTACATGTTAACATATATTATGATTCAATTCGATCAGGCGGGAGTTGCCCTTGCTCATGCCCTTTGGCACATCACTAATGGAGGTGACTGGTTGCGGTTCAGTTACTTTCCTCGCAAAGTGAGTGGTATCAAGCTGTCGTGAACTTCTCTTCAACTGGCGCGCTAAATGTATTATCGGAAATCAGGCTGAATTTATACAAATAGAGGCAGTTAAAGCTGAGGCGTCAAAGAAGCTGTTTCGAAACATTTCTACCACCGGACAGGTTTAGATCATTCGTCACCTACATCAATCTTTGGCATAGATCAATCCCACATTAGCGAGACAATCGCAGCCAGATCCTTCCTTGCAAGTGTCGCAATATGCCAGGTGAAGGCGAGTGCGTCATTTTATATACACAATGCATACATCTCCGTAGATCGTAAGTATGTGCATGCCGAAAAGTGATTGACATCGACTAAGCTCAGGACCGATACCTGTGTGGTACTTCATTTGTTATCAATGGCTATCTGTTATGGATTTTAGGGTCCAGCTTTATGCTGCCTGTCCTTCTGATCTCCCCCGATCCCTACTTGAGACTTTCTTGGACTGACTGCTAAAATCTCACGGCTATTCAGTATGTGGTTGCATGTGGTGCAATGGTACAAGCTCGTACTTCCTAATTGACCACGATCGCTGTTTTTATGTCGCTACTGGTTGCGAGCACTCCTTCGTTTTTTCGAAAGTAAGAAAGAAAGAAAGAAAGAGGGATGAGCGGCAATCAGCATATTAAAAATGTGATAAGATATTATCAGATAATATTTTCATCGTAATGACATTTGTCTATAAAAGACTGCCAAAATCCCTACCATAGCTCATCTCGTTGAATGACTCGAAATACCTCTCGAGGCCCAATTGCATGTTTGGAAAACTAGGGAAACTTGGATCCCCGTCTTGCAGGAGCATAAGAGTGTTATCGGCAGAGCTGTCGGTTTCCAAGGCATTAATGTCGGTGGGTTGCCAAGGCTCCAGCTCCGTCATGCTGATTGTTGTCATTTCGGCATTGGGCGCCACACTATCGACACCGAAACTCGGATCGGGTGGAAAAGAGTTCCCTAAAAGTGGCTGGATCTGCTTCAAGGGACCCCCCTGCGCTTCCAAACCGATCATTGTTCGATGGGATGTTCTGGTGAAGTGAGATGCTGCAAAGGTCAAGAAATTGGCGGCCCATTTGGCAGACAAATGAGAGTCTGCAAGCTCTAAAAGCGCCTGTTTACATTCCTCGATCCTCCGAACTCCATATTGGCGAATATCTTCTTCAACAGACTTTATATCAGCGATATGGCACATGCTGCTTGCAACTATGCAACAAATTGCAGTGGAAGGCAAAGACCGCATGAGGTCGACTTTGCAAAGGTCAATCATGATTTTATTGATACTTCCTGCCGCAGATCGCATCCGTCTTTGCGATGGCTGTGGCTGACCTGATTTTGGTGTCAGCGCTGTTTTGTCGAAGAACACAGAGGGACGATTTAAACTAAACTTCGCCATGAAATAGAGGCACGATACTATTGCTCTATGCAGGAACGGCGCCTGTTCATGAGGCAATGCGACGATGGGAGACGGACTGCAGTGTAATGCCTCTTCTGGTACTTCGTCACGCCAACAACGAAGCTCTTCCTCGCAAGCGTGGAGTTTGAAATCTTTTCTTGGCGCCTGAGGATCTAGATCGTTCGCAGAAGTATCGAATTCCTCTTTCGGGTACAAAATGCCAGTTTGACCGAGTGAGTTCTCGCGAAAAGCTAATTCGAGGATGTGACTTATAATTCGGCAGATCTTTGACATTGCAATACAGATGATTGCAAGCTGTGTTTGTGAGTTGGCATCTCGGGAGACGTCCCAAGGTGTGGTAACGGAGTTAGGTTCATGGATGTGGAAGTCTCCGAGCGTCAACTCAGGAACATTGAAATCAGAATCTTTGACTCTCGGTGCGCGATTACCTGCGAGCGTCGTAAGGGTATCCCTAGTCAAGCAGGTCCACCACACTTTCCTCCGCAGTTTTCGAACAGAAGGCGGGACATTTTGGCGGTGAACGTCACGATTGAGGCCAATAGACCTAGCTGTCGAGATAGCCAGACCGCACCAGTAGTAGCCGTCCTTATATCCATTTGGGCCATCCCACCAGCTCGATAACAGGAGAAGTGCTTGTACATTCACGAAATTATCTCTTTCGTAGTTCAAATTGTAGAGCAACTGTAAGCATGAAGGTTAGTCTTCACGATGCGGCCAGTCGAAAGAAGGGAAGCCTTACAATGGTCTTTAAATAAAAGGCGCTTCGCATAGCCTTCCTGGTCCAAAATCCCAACTTTCGAACCAATTTGATATCTGCCCAGGGGGAGCTCGCGAACATGATGGCTTGAAAAAGAAGAAGGCTTATTGATTCATGTCGTGAAGGGTCTTGGAGGCTAGCCTGAAAGGCTTCCAAGTCAATTAGTGGAAAGCATGGATGAATGTAGAGAATATAGCACTGCACGAGATTATCCCGAAGTTCGGGTTCTGGAACTTGTAAAGCACCTTTGCACCATAGGTATTCTATGTCCTCAGTCGTAAGCCATGAAGGCATTGGTCTGACGAACGGCGGGAGGTTCTGACCGTGGGCAGATCGGTCGGCCTCGGCCCAGCTTAAGCCGTTATTATACAGCCCGATCGAAACGTCCAGAGGTTGTGGTGACGGTAAACTCTGAGCAGCTGCGGCCTGCCAGTTAAATTCTTGCTCATCTTGCGCATTCGTATATTCCTCGGCTGAGCTAGTCGAACCATTGTTCATTTCAAGTTGAGAGCCAGAAGTGTTGTTGAACTGTTGAGTTGATGGAGAGGATGTCTCCCTCTCCAGCTGGATTTTAGTGACTGAGGGGCCCACAGGCCGCTTTCCGCGCTCTGTAGGTTTTAGAAATGGAGTTTGCATGGCATCGATGGGAATGGGAGGGCGCAAACCGGGTCTACGCGCCAGCCTTTTTCGGCGAGGCTGTCGCTGTGGTATAACACACTCGACCTTTTCAAAGCTGCAATTGGAACACGGTCGACCATTTTCGCGATCACACCGCACCTTCCTCCAGCGGCACAGGACGCACGCTGCCCCCGTTCTTCTTGAGCCTAAGTAGGCAATATCACTCTTAGCATTTCTAAGTATCTGTGATTGACTTATGCGTCGCTGCACCGCTGGTGGACATAGGGGCGTTTGTTGCTCTTCTTCGGTCAAGTTGATCGACTGCATGGATGGAGAGCGGATTGAGGAATAACCCAATAACTTTCACTTCGGTCGTGGCAACTTATGTCAGGTTCAGATTTGTCAGACGCCCAAGTTCGGCCGAATTTGAGCGAGGGGTTAGCTTCCTTGGTGAGACCAGTTACGCTGTTTAGCCCACAATATATCATTAATTAAAGGATGATCCAAAGTCTAACGTCACCAATAATGAAAGCAGGTTTCACTTTTTTACCAGATTTACGTTCTCAAACATGTTGAAATGTACGCAAATGTTCACAAACTTCTAGGAGCGACTGTACTACTGTAGAATACAGTTGCATTGTTGTCTTTCTTCCGCACCTCAAGCCGAATATGCTGTCGTTTTTAATAGCTTTGGCAAGCTCCCCATCGATGCGTCGACTTCGCGTATCTTCGTCACCAACAACGACTATTGCTCGGTCGGCTTGTGCGAAAATGTCCAGACCCAGAACGCTGACTCCAACAGTAATGGTGTGGAGATCGTTGGAGATGAGCTACTAGCCTTGCCATAATTTGGAGAGGAATATGAGCACCAGTCAGTGGACCTGATCTAATAACTTTGACAGTATCAAGAAGGCCGCAACATTCTAGGACCTTTTGCCACACAAGATGTGGATCGCAGGTGACGACAAGTGTCACGGTCTCTTTCTCGTTACGTACATTCAGCAGTAACGCAGCAAGATCTAGATGCAACGATATTTGTCCGGCAATGGTAGTGCAGACTTCGTCGAATATGTTCTCGACTACCGAATCTTCACATAATGGCGCCGCTTGGAGGAATGCAGCACTCATGTACCCTAGCGGCCCATCAAAGACGTGACTCAGATAGGCGCGACACATTTGATTGGGTTTCTGGCAAATATGTCTGGAATCAGCAACGGACAAAGCCATGTCTGCGTCCAACACCAACGCCTAAGCCAGATTCTTTGTTGGTAAACCCATAGAATTGTCGAATCGAGTCTCTAATTCACGGCCTGTGGGTTTCCTGATCTCTATGGAAGAAGCAAACCATCAGTTGTGCCACTTTCTGTTGCGGCTGTGTTGTTCTAAATCACAATAGATAATACCACTTCGATAACAGACAGATCTCAACTGCATTTTCCCCCCGCATTGCCACTGTCGCAAGTTGGTCAGCTGAGAAAGCTGGTCGACGCTTGGCAGTATTTTGAAAATAGCGCAGATGAATGGTCTCTGAGAGAGTGTGCAGGTAGATGATGTGAGTGTAGGTTGCGTGATCTTGTTCACATGGCCAGCATATCGAATTTCGGTGAGTACTGCAGTCCTGCCATCATTGAGGCAGTCTACCACAATCATTTGCAGTCCGAGCTCTCGCATCTGCTTCTTTTGGGCTTCTTCAAGGCCTTGGAACAGTTACAACCCGCCCGGGACCAGCCTTGATAGTACATCACAGCCCTCCAGCAAGATATGATTAGCCCCGTAGTCATGTTTCAAAGCGTTCAGTACAAACTTTTCCCCCGGATCTGGGACACCGTAAATTCCAGTGGCTGCAGGACGCCGGGCATGGCAGTTGTTGAAGTCCATGTTCTTGACAGCTGACATTCAAACGGCTTTCGATTGGGAAGCCGGCAATGCAAACCAACTTGTAACTTTAGCAGATATATTTGCGCTGGCGCATGGCTGGTATCAACAGATATCATGATGAAATACGTTGAGAGGGCCATAATACGTCGACTGGCTGCTTTACTTTCCCTGATATAAAATCATACAGAGGTAAGGGTTCCTATTTGTGAGGATTCAATCGCATCCACTTACTTGCTCCACACAAGTAGCCGGGTACCGGGCGTCGTGACGCTGAATTACAGATTCTACTACCTAGATATATGTGTCCGCGTCCGGGGTCTGCAGCGTTGACAGCATGACACTTACTCTAGTGTGGCGGATCCATGCAACCCAAAAAATTGGAACTTCAGCGCGGACTTGATTCTGGGAAGGACGTCATTTGCAATCTGTCATCTAGCCAAAAGGCTCTGGTCTATCACATCAAACACAAAACCTTCGACAGCTCACCGTGCAATGACACTTGCCCCTTACGCAGAGTAGAGAAACATGCTACGTTCAAGAACGAAGCTGTAGTCCATACTTGCATTTTCCGAGAGAGCTACACAGGAGGACAAAATAAGCAGTAAAATGTAGGTAGATTCATGTATTGCCTGATACAGCTGTTGACCTTTCATCTCTATATGTCAAAACTATATTGGGAGGATCTTGCACTGTCTTCGCGGACAGAACCTGCATCATTTCCCGTTTTAGGAGCTCAAGGAAGCGACTAGCTCAAGCTTTCTTGAGGTACAAAGTCTGTGAGTTGCAGTACGACTTGAGTCCACCAATACCGAACTCGACCCCGATGCCACTCTCCTTGTGTCCGCCAAAGGGAACACGAGCGTCTAGTTCGAAGTGGGTATTCACCCAGACGCTGCCGGCGTGCAACTTTCGGGCGATTTCATTGGCCCGTTCTATGTTTGAAGACCATACCGAAGCTCCGAGTCCGTACTGAGTGTTGTTAGCCTTTTGTATGGCCTCTTCATCGTTGCTGAAAGTTAGGAGAGGGACGATAGGTCCTGTTGGAGCGAGGTGTTAGTGGCTGAAGGGGCTGCAAAGAGGACAGGATAACAGTACCGAAAGGTTCCTCCACGACAATCCTTGAGCCTTCCTTCGGTCGGTCGATGATGGTGGGAGTGATGAAGTAGCCTTTTCCTTCAGGATTTTTACCCCCAACCGCGACATTCCATTTCTCTTTCTCGATGTCGTTAAAGAACCCCTTGACACGCTCATATTGCATGGCGTTCTGAACGGGACCGAGGAAAACACCTTCATCTGTGCCTGGACCGAGCTGGAAGAGAGATTGTTAGCTCTTCGAACGAGAGCATGCTAAGTGGGGTACTTAACCTTACCTTCAACTCTTTGGTGGCTTTGACGAGTGCATCACGGAACTCGTCAAAAATGCTCTCGTGGACGAATATGCGTTTCAGGGCCAAGCAGATCTAATAGGTGAATTAGTCTGAATGATGCTATGGTGAAGGTGCGTTCGTACCTGGCCAGAGTTCAAGAAGGCTAGTTGAGCAATCTGGACAGTGTTAGCTTAGAGTTAATAATGTTTCAAGTTCGAAAACATACTTTTGGGGCAACGGCGTTGATATTAATGTCATCAAGAACAACTGCCGGGTCATTACCGCCACTATAAAAACAGGTCGTTGACCAATCGAACCAGGACACGGTAAAGGTTAAAGGGGGATGCACTTACAGCTCAAGAGTCACTCTCTTTAGGGTTTTGCTCGCCGACTCCATGACCTTCTTACCGGTGAATGTGGAACCAGTAAAGCTGATCTTCGCGGGTACCGGATGAGAGGTCAATAATGGCCCTAGACTATCATCGCCAGAGAGACTTTGCACCACTCCGGCTGGGAAATAGCGCTGGGCAAGCTCGATCAGCTTAAGACCACCGGCGGGGGTAAAAGGTGAAGGTTTGATGATGATGGAGTTGCCTGTAAGCAAAGCTGGTGCCAATTTTCCGCAAGCAAGCAGAATGGGAAAGTTCCACGGCACAATTCCTACACAGACCCCGAGAGGGGTGTAGCGTACCACGGTGTCAGCGTCCCCAGCTTGATAACGCTCCTCGGACAGAACGAGATTGGCCACGGTTTCGGTGAAACTCGCAGCCGTGTCGAGCTCCATTCTGGCGAAGGTCAGAGGCTTGCCTTGTTCGCGGGTGAGCATCTTGACGAAACCGTCCATTTCTTCCCTAATTCCGTTTGCAAATGCGAGCACAGCCTTTTTGCGCTCCTCCCAAGGAACAATTGACCAGATAGCGAACCCCTTTTGTGCCGCAATCATGGCATTTTGGACGTCTTCTGGCGTTGACAATGGCACGTCTGGACCAACTTCACCATTGGCAGGGTTGATGCTGTGTCTGGTCTTGGCCGTTTGTACCTGCTTGCCATCGATAGTGTTGGAAAAGATCGTCCAGTCTAGTGGCGTGAAGGTGCCATTGGGGTGCTTGATGCCACTTTGTCCTGCCATAGTCAATTCTATGCTATTGAGATGGCGGAGCAAAAAGAGTGTGTTCTGACGATCGATTGATGTCTAAGAGCGATCGATTGCTGAGACCAAGTGAGCGCCAGAGCAACACATACCTCATCGACCACACGTCTCCTTTTAACTCTCCGCTTACATCTGTCATGGCCCTGGCCTTGACATTTTGGAGAAGCAAACTACCTTCGCAATTACCATGAAACGGCAAGGAGTGCGCCGACGTCCAAATCTGGATTAATCAGACGATGTCACGAGCTAAGACAACAGTGGCGTAGCAACTGCAGTTGTTCGAATGAAATCGCTCTTTGTGAAATCCAAACCTAAGGGGGTTTGCCACATTGTGATCTACCAGTGGAATCATGGTTTCGGCATACACGTTATCTGCTCCAATGCTCTGCGCCGGCCGTGGTTTGCACAGTGGGTGGAATAGAGGCCCATCCGCCGGTCCGTGGCAGTAAAATATAAATATGCACATACCAACACCCGCGGACCGGAAAACCGGTGGATACAATTTAGGTTGGACAAGTGACTATCCCATTCTTGGCGAATCTGTCTGACTGGGCGACATCGACTCAAAGGTCGCACATTCGAATAAAGCTGGTGCGAGCTTTTCCGCTACGTAGTAGAGATCCAGGCAGGTCAAACAGCTGTTTCAATCTTTAGAAAAGTCAATATGGGAGAGGAACGAGTGGCCAGAGCCTCAGATTTGCCTGCAAAAAGAAAGGTGATTCGGCTCCGCGCTTGCCCCCGTGTATGCCCTTGATCATTTGGGACAGTTTCTAAGAGGGGGAATGAGCTTGTGAACCAAGCCTTGGTCTCAACCGCTGTTGAGTCGACGCTATAGTGTACGCCCGTGGGAAGTGCGAGTACACCTATCGAGATCCCGCCAGGGCCACTCGGAGTAGTATCTTGGAAGGATGCATGTTGCTCCATGCCACCAAAGAGTCGTCCGAGTCGTCCAAAAGGCTCTCTGGGCCAACAGCATCGGTCGACAACGAGGTTCCTGCGCCCACTGCGCCGCCGGCACCCGTCGATGAGTACAAGAGCTACGTTCGTTGCGCTTCACAATAGGTCGTTATCGGTCGCCTGTGCCTGCCTAGATCTTCATGTAGTTGAAAAGACACGCGCATCGCCTGAGAGGAAACAGGTAAAATCAGTGACAGTTGAGTGGTCTACGACCATGACAGCGGCATGAGTAGATGGGCCACAAGCTCTCGTCCAAATTTAGTAACGCCAAGGCAGCTTGGGCTTCCGGGGTGTGGGCTTGGCGCCAAGACTGCTAGTTAGTAGATGGACGGGCTCTGCAGCCGCTACCTCACGTACTCAGCGCTTTCGTAAGGCCATACCACAACACTCGGCCACACTAATCTCTGATCTACACAACCTCTCTAATCCTTCGTACGGAGTCAACACCAGCTGTGGCAGACAATGCTAGACATAAAAGCACCACAGGTTTTCATTGACGCCATTGGCTCCATTGCCTCCTGCAAGCTAGGGTCTTCTCATGCGGGTTTTGTTGCTGAGCTCCAGATCCAGATCGACGGTGATGTGGGGCATGACTACCCGGCCTTGGCGCCAAGGCCGCTAGCCACTTAGACAGACAAGAAACAAAGTCCTATTGCTCGCTCTCGACTGCTCAACACACACGTAAGACAAATGCCATACCACTCAGCTGCATACACCCGTCTCCCCTGCTATACCTACACAACCTCTCTATTTCTTTGCGCCGAGCCAACAGCGGGGACGACCCCAGTACCCCTCAATACCTAAGCTCGTTATTCCCCCATCCTCTCCCTCTGCGCTAACTACCTTGATCGCGCTCGTCCTCCTGGCAGTACTAATCACAACAACCTTCCCCTCACTTCCGACATAGAAATGCCGCCTCGACAATGTCCGGCGCCGACAATCAGATAGAAACTCATTTCGCACCAGATCAGCAGCGGTTTGTTGCACAGGTTGCTCGGCGGGCCCGGGCAGCATGCACTAGCTGTCGCGCCCGCAAGATCAGATGCATGGCTCCTAACGGCCAGCCCTGTGCGAACTGTGTCTACGAGAACATTCAGTGTCTGCTGCTGCCTAAAAAACACCGAGCAAAAAAAGTCAAGTCCACCGCTTCTGCAAGCGAATCATCTCAATCCATTCCAGACAGAGCATATATGGATCCCAACCAGCCTCGACAACAACCAGCGGATACCCAGTCAATTACTCCCACAAATCTGGAGCAAGCGCGTCAAGAGTCGCCTCCTTCTCATACTGATGATGATATCAATTGGGAGGAGGCAGCCCTCAAAACCCTCCCCCCGCCGCTGCTGCCAGACGCTTCCCACTTTCCGGCCGCATCAGTCGAGATTACACAGCCCACAGGGTCGTTCTCAATACCAGATTTTCTCTCGCCACCTCCTGCACAGTTGGCAAAAGAAGATCTGACCTATCTTTACCAAAAGCGGGCGCTTTCCATCCCTGAGCCTGAATTTCGAAGTGCCCTGATCAAAAGCTACATACTTTACGTCCATCCGTTTTACCCGATCATCGATCTGGAAGCCCTGCACGATCTCTTGCATGGCGGTTCGCACCAAAATCCGTTTAGTCTCCTGGTCTTCCAGACTATAATGTTCACAGGATCGTCCTTTGTGGAGATCAAAATGTTGAGGAGGATGGGATTCTTGACTAGAAAGGCTGCTCGGAATGCCTTTTTCCTAAAAGCAAGGGTGAGACTAGGAAATTTTTGACTTTCCTCATCAACGTCGCTAACAACGCTGAAGCTATTGTACGACATGGATTATGAGCAGGACTGCCATTCCCAAATTCAGGCACTCATTCTGATGTCTACCTGGTGGAAAACACCGAAGGAACAAAAGGATGGCTGGCATTGGTTCGGTATCGCACTATTACTTGCGCGAACTATTGGTCTACATCGCGATATCAATGCTCAGAACTTAAGCGCTAAGATTCGAGCATTGCGCCGGCGCTTATGGTGGAGCTTCATCATCAGGGATACACTCACATCGATTGCCACGAACCACATTCCACTTATACGAGATTCGGATTTCAGCGTAGCTTCTTTGACCTTGGATGACTTTGCCCACGACTCATCTCCAAGGCCCATCCCCATGCCCTATGGTAATCCAAGCTTTGAGGCTCGGAAATTTGCAGAAATCGCCATTCAAACTGTCCACATCTGCCGACTCATCAAGCAGGTATTGCTCACCGCTTACCATGAGACCACAACAGGCAATATTGATATTCTGTACTTGAATAAATCTTCAAAGTACGAATCCTTGCGATCTGAATCGCAGGGTCTGCGCGATGTTGAGAGATCCTTCGAAAAATCACTGGAAGATGTCCATTCTCCTATTGAAATACAGACAATTGGCTCCGAGGATGAGCAGGCTCTACAACTCCATAAAGCATTATTGTCTATCCTCTGCCACTATGGAATACTCTTGATACATCGTCCAAAGCATGTCAATGAGCGGAACAACAATCTGCGAGATCAAGTAGCATCTCGTAGCAGGGTGCGTAGTGCGGCCATTCATGTGAACCAGATTCTCATGGAGATATACACCGCAGACCTTGCGAAGCGTATGTCTCCAACAATAGTAAGCTGCCTTATCCCGGTCGGCATCAGCCATATTCAGGACATGAAAAGCAAAAACCCAGCCGTTCATCGCGAGGGTCGTCGACATTTGGAAGAGTGCAAGCAGATCTTGATGGAGCTCTTAGACGGCCATACAGCTGCGGAGTGGGCAGTGAGCTTTCTGACCTATGTGGAGGGTAAGGTGAATGATCCTCCACGAGCTTCGAATGGACCAGCAGGTGCGACGGGCGAGCTCAACTCAAACCTTTCTCCGAGAACGGAAGAATTCGAAGGTGGAGTGCATCAGGAGTTCAATCGGCAATCCTCTGAGGTAGGGCGAGAGAGCTTTGGGATCAACAACTCGGCATTTGTTCCCGTTGCGGACTTTGGGTCCCTGAGGCCTTTGGATTCGATGTTTCCAAACACTGACGAGATCCACCACCCGCTGGACCTCATGTTACTCGAACCAAACTTCTTGATAGATTTTCAGAATGACCTACATTCAGGAGAATACCTTGCGCCTAGTTTGTCGGTATTTGACAACGCAGTATATCAAACGAGTATTTAGCTGGCTTACTGATGTACTGCTAGTCCTGGGAATCTGTAAGACGGAAAAAGAAGATCAATGAGGACAAGGAATTGTATATAACTGACATGTATTTGTTGCTTTCACGAGTTGAGTTTGACCATGTCCTCTGATTGGAGAGATAGCCTAGTGACTTGTATGGAGATATCCTCCATCCACCCTGAGTACCACCCCATTTACCCAACCGCCTTCTTCGCTCAAAAGAAAGGCTACGGCTTTGGCAATGTCTTCAGGTTCTCCCACTCGACCTAGAGGTGTGGCTTGCTCAATTGGTGTAAAAAAGGAACTGGGGAGCGACTTCAAGGTGGTAGTCCTTACCACACCTGGGGCAATGGCGTTGACTCGAATTCCCTTTTCACCCCATTCAACCGCTCCCGCGCTCGTTAGAGTCTGCACACCTCCCTTAGCAGCTGAATATAGCCCCAGGCCGGGCTCGGCTCTAAGACCCGAGCCCGACGTGAAGTTGACGATACTAGATCCCCGCCCAAGATGCTTCACTTGAGCCTTCATACAGTTCCAAGTTCCTCTAAAATTAACATTAACCACAAAGTCAAAGTCTTCCTTGGTTGAATCTGTCAATGGCTTGATTGGATGTGTTGCTCCACAGATATTTGCCGCATGATCGAGTCGACCGAATTTGGAGACAACCTCTTCTATCCACTGCGATACTGTGTCTTCCTGGGAGACGTCCACGATCGTCGCCCAGAACTGCTGACCTGGTTCCGCCGGTATTTCCTTCAGCAGACCTTCTGTCTCAGCCAAGCCTGTGGGGTTGATATCAGAAATAGCCAACGTCGCTCCACGAGCATATAATATCTGTGCTGTGCTTTGCGAAATTCCGCTACCGGCGCCAGTGATACTAATGACCCTTCCCAAGAAGGGTTTGGATGTCAGTGCTCCGGCCATTTTTAATTTGATATCTCACTTTTCCTCAGTATTATCAATAAAACTTCTTTCTACCATGTGCTGTTGATGAATATAGATGCGCAGCAGATGGTGTGCCTGTATATATGCGAAATCATGATTTACAAGAGGCCAGTCCAATCATTATCCGCGGGTTAGAGTCGCTTACCGCGGACCGGTATAAATCTATTTCAAAGCACAGCTTTTTCTAATTCACCTGCCAGTCTCAACATTGCTGAAGAATCCTCGCAGACAGTCTAGCTCAAACGGCTGATGACGACAATTCCTGGGCCGTGGGAAGATAATGGGGATGAGAATAATTGTGTTCTTCACGACTGCTCCGGTGGATTAACATCATATCCTGCATAAGATGCTTCCACCCTGAAGATGTACCCCACATTCCCGGCCCGGCGGGCTGGGGAGGATGGTTCTGGACCACAGGCCCAATTCCCGGGGTAAAGTCGTAAGCTGGCGCAACAGGAAGACAAGCAAAACAGCCCTATGAGCTCACCGATTAACCACTCGGTAGTTTCAGTAGTAGTACATGTGGTCTTGGCTGCTTGTACACTTTTACTGCCGTTAAGGATGTTAGAATAGAAGTCGTCCCGCAACGCTCGAAGACAATACCTTGACCGGATTCAGTCTCATCTGTGACTAAGTAGAGACCACAGAATCAAAATCTTCTAAATAATTGACAACATGCCATACCAACTTAGATTTCTTGGAAATACATCTGAATCTACTCTTGGTTGGATGACCACGATCTATACATGTACCCCATTCACACCGTTCGTTTGATGGCCATCCTTTGGAGTTACATGAAAGCCTTTCCAACCTTGCAAGGCGTCCTTGATTTGATCTCCGTACATCTTAATCCCCCCCAGATGTGTCACATTTTGAATCTTCTTGCCCGGAACATTTGAAGTGTTCCACCAGGAATTGGTCAAAGGGAAGAGAGTTGGAGCATTCATGGCCTCGATCATCTGATCCCATGCATCAGCGGCTTCAACAGTTGCTTCGATCTGCCTGGCCCCCTCTGCCTCGAGCTTCTCAATAGCTGATGCAACGAAATCACTCTGCGTCTCTATGAGTGTTGGCCCGTTGGTGAGAGCCGCGGGAGCTATGAAAAGGTAAGTCTTAAATACGTAGGAATGATTAGTTGTGCGCAATACGTACCTTGTGGCGTATAAATAGCGAACGTGTTAGGAAAACCCGGCATTGACACCCCAAGGTAGGTTTTGATACCAGCTTGCCATACTTGTGCGAGGTCGATACCTTCGCGGTTTTTAAGACCGATGCTGGTTAAGCTGGGTTATGTTAGCTTTTGTTATGATAGCGGGGAAAAGCTAAACTTACGATCCAGTAAATGAGTCAAATCCTGTGGCCATAATAATAATATCATAATCTTGCTGTTCGTTGTTGTCGAGCAATACACCTTTCTCGTTAAAGGTCTTGATTGGCGTATCCTTTAAGTCTACAATGTTAACGTTGTTCCGATCCATAGATTCATAGTAATCTTGCTCTAGTGGACATCGTTTGGTCCCAAACCAGAACGGCGGTTCGACAGGGACTAAGATGTCTCGTTTCCTCGCATTATTAATCCTCAGTCGGGTCTTTTTTGCCCAAAATTCGTAGAGAGATCTATTGGCCGTCTTGTCAAATACCCAGTTATTAAAGTTGCTGACGATAAAGGCAAAGCCACCCTTTTCCCAGAGTTCTTCGTATAGCTTTTCGCGTTCTTCTTCAGAGACATCAAAAACGCCTTTGCTTTGTGTACTGCCAGGAAATCCTGCATAAGAATTGCGACTGGCCTGGAAGAGAGTCTCGAATCGCGCCTTAGTCTGTTGTTGCTCCTCGGGACTGAGCTTGCGTTGACCCATCGGCAAACAGTAGCTAGGCCGACGCATGAAGACTGTTAACGTTTGAACCTGCTTCGAGAGGGCTTGTGCGACCTGGATCCCAGTAGCACCCACACCAATGAGCGCTACTCGTTTGCCTGTGACATCGACATTGTCTGGCCAAAATGAAGTATGGTGAAGGGCGCCCTTGTATGCTTCCAAGCCTGGAAACGATGGCATATATCGTCGATGCAATGGTCCTGTACATAGGACGATGTACTTAGATCGAGCAGTGATGCCTTGCTTGGTGGTGGTAAACCATTCATTTTCAGTCTGGTTCCATCGCAGGTCGATCACTTCTTGATTAAAAACAATGTCTTTTTTAAGGTCAAGCGCTTTGTCGATGTGCTGCATGTACGCGCGCAATTCTTCCGCACTGGGGAACCGCTCCGTAAAGTCGAAATTCCTATAGACTTCGGGAATACTAAGTTGATAATATGGCCATTCCGAATCAACTCTGGCACCCGGGTATCTGTTCCAATGCCAAACACCACCAAGGTTGGCACCAGCTTCCAGGACTTTGGCCTTCAGTCCTAACTTGCGAAGCCTGTATAAAATAGACATGCCACTGAGGCCGGCTCCGACCACTAAAACGTCGACGCGGATGGTTGTATCCATTTCCGATACTTTGCTCAATAACCTAGAGACACAAAGATCTGTGCTCGCGCAAGATTTTGGAGATATCCTCTTGAAAGAATAATCTTTGTTTGTGGATAGCAGAGAGTTGGCGTCAACCTTTGATTGTTGGCTGGATTCGAGAGAACATGTAGCTTGACTTTGATAAACGTTATACTCCTGGGGCGCTCGGGTTATTTGCTTTTGAGTACATGTGAGACATCGGCATATCATGGCCTTGGGTCACATTGCCAAAATCAAGGATCGCCGTGGCCCGATATTGGCGTGAGCTAACACGAAGGACTTGGAAGTGCTTTGTCAAGCAAAGGATTTGGCAGATATCGTTCTGGATCGCACGAGGCGGTTCGGGCCAAAAGCAAGCGTTTGATCCCGTGGGCCGAGCAGGTTGTCAACTTCGTGAGTTTGACTGGTGGAAATATTGTGGAGTCGCACCCAGTGGATCTCTGACAATGCAGATATCCGTGGCTGGTAAGACTTTACACCTGTTCCTGATGTCATAAATTCTGTCTAACCCGGGGACATACTGAATCTGGACGGAGGACCGCATTGGACATACGTAGAAGGCTTGTGCTCAGTCTCTATCACATGAGTATTATCCCACTGGGATATCCTCGTAATGACATACACGATCGAACTATTTCAATATCTCGTACTTGCATACTTTGAATTTGTTGTTGCACAACATAATCACAATGACTTCGACGGCCTATGCGGATGTAGATTACGGATTTATTGGTGTGTCATACCTTACTAATGCTTCGACGTCAAAAGGGGCTGACCTTTTCAGGTTTGGGCAACATGGGCTTCCATATGGCAGCAAATATGCGGAAGAAGATGGACAAGAGTGCGACACTTCATGTTTTTGATGTGAATGAAGATATCTGCAAAAAATTTCAGGACAAGTTCAGCAGTCGAGGTCCCATTAGGATTGCTACATCCTCGAAGGATGTAGCACAACATTCGGTGACCTTGATAGCAATGGTACCGATGGATGAGCATGCTCGCGCAGTCTGTTTGCACCCTGAAACGGGCGTCGTTGCTGCAGGCTTATCGAAAGACCGGCTTATTCTTGATAGTAGCACTCTCAGTGTCTCTACGGCAAAATATGTTGGACAGCAACTGATGGATGCCGGTGCTGGGACTTATATTGATACGCCGGTCTCTGGAGGAGTGGCTGGTGCAGAGGCAGGCACCCTGTCTTTCTTCTGCGGATCACCGAGCAGTCCTCAAAGCGGCCTTATAGTCAGACGCCTCATGGTAACACTTTCTTGGATGGGTGACTCTGAGCACATCACTCTTTGTGGACGACTTGGAGCAGGTCTAACAACTAAGCTTGTGAACAATTACATTGCGTTGGGAAACCTTGCCGTGGCGGCCCAAGGCGTGGCCTTCGGCATCCGCCAGGGACTGGACCCCAAAACTCTCTACAAGTGTGTAAAAGGTTCAACCGGTGACTCTTTGGTATGGAACGCTATGCATCCAGTGCCAGGCGTCAATCCAAAATCTGCATCGAGCAACTCTTTCAAAGCTGGGTTTTCGTCACGTCTAGGTCTCAAAGATCTAAGTTTAGCGATCAAGGCTGGGGAAGATGCTGGCATTGATGTGTCCATGGGCAGGATCGCGTCAGAACTATACAGACAAGCAGACCAGGATCCACGAACAACTGTAAGTCTTCCCCCTTAGGCCCTGCCATGCTCAATGCCAAGTTTGCTAATCCCTTGCGTCACCTGGTGAGGGTCTTGACTGCGCCGCGATCTGGCTGTACATCAACGATGAGATCTCATCGTTTGCCCCGTAAGCTGCCAGATGATAATCACCACACTCCTCGCAGAAGACAAGATGCAATGGCATAGGACTACGATCTAATCAGTACTAAGTCTCTTCTACTGGAGAGTCGAATTTAGATATGGTAGACTTTCGCATTCATGATAATGACTAGATCACCCAGCCTTTGCACACTTTTGGGTCTAAGGTTATTTGAGGATTTGGAAACGCCAAAGGGTTCTACGCAATGCAAATGAGCGCATCGACATAAATTCGTATGTGAAGGGTCAACAATCTGCTCATCACAATCTCAAATCCATTAGAAAAGCTACTAGAAGTGATGAATAGTACCCTCAACAACTATCTCGCTCTCGTAAGATGAGGTTACTGATGCTAGACTTGCCAAGGTGATCTGCGCACTCAGACCCATCGATTGACAAGAAGTCCACCCCTAACTGAATAGCTGACTTTGCGTGGCGGATCGTGGTATATTTATAAAGAATGATTATTCCCGCGTCCTTAGGCTTTATAATCACCTAGCCCTGGGAGTTTCCTGCCGTTTCCACAACGTTTATACCCTCTTCAATGCTAAATTGTCCACATTCCTCGTATGTGGAGCACTCATGAGTTGGATAGAGAGTGGTGTCAACCCCGAATGGTTTCTTGGTCATGTTTTCGCGCCGTCAGATCTCTTTCCTTAGATGCGCTGGAGTGGCTTGCATGAGAGATATGAGCTGGACTGAAGCTAGTTCGATGGGCAGGGAGGGCAAATTTCTTTCAGAATGGTAATACCCAGGCCCTCGCATTTGAAATAACAGATGCCAATTCGGCGTATCCAACCATTGTAATGCGCCTGGGCAATGGGGACTGTTTAAGACTAGCATATCAACGCATGTATGGCACAATGGATTTGAATCCTTGATACTTAATTCTCAGGTCAAATACCTGTTCAAGACCACATTGCCAAGGTCAACCGAATCAAAGAACGTCAATGGCTGAGAAAGACTCTGCGAAGATTGCAAAATGCCCAAGTTCTGAAGAGACATTGAGATGAGATAGGAAGGGCGTGATGCGTGTGGTATGTTAATGCCAAGCTATGTAGAGTCACGCTCACACGAAAACTTAAGGCCCGAGTAGTCGACTACCACATAAGTCCACCAATATCAGTGTCATACACTAGGGCATTTGCTGCCCACTTTACTCAGACTTCTCTTTCCCTCTCTTTTAGGGAGATACAACAACACAAGTATGATGACAATGTAATAAGATCGCTCATTGAGAGTAAGCATTCCCTCCCACGCGGTACTTCGCCCACCTACTACGATCAGGTATCCTGTCAGGGCATACCTTTCTTATACTGACTCTTCTGACACACCTTTCACTATGGCCGGGCTTAGCCGCCTTAACCTTGCATTCGCTATCACCTATCACCTACGGGCGAAGGCTCGGACAATCTCGAAATTGATTTGGATCCTCAGGAATTAAGGGCCGAGGCTAATGCACCAGAGTCGAATCATGATTTAAGCCATCGTACGCTACATAGTCTTGAGGTTCTATTGCTCGACTGCCTGGACAAGATCCTGCAAGAAAGCCCAATGCAGTCGATTCGCGTAGCCTTTCGCCTTCCAATCTCTCATTGTTCCATTCGGAAAGTATTCGATACCGATACTCGGATCCAAAAGTGTAGCATCGTGGGCGACAATTACCAACACGTCCTCATGTGCGTCGAACTCTCCCATGTATGCAACCGATTGGGCAGCATCCTTGGTGTCATGGTGAAAAGCTCCTTCCACATGATAGAATGGCTCATTTCCTTTCCCGCCAGGATGAATTGCCTCAAAAATGAGACCCGGGCAAGGTGTAGAGGATTTGTATTTATAAGGTGATGGGCGAATCTCTTTTGGAAGTGGAAGGTATTGAGAAGGTCTAAATTCTCCGCCGTGGTGGGCAGTGTCCCCTCCCATGAAGACAAATGTATCTTCAGCGTCGCCTTCTTGAGCTGAAGTGACCCTTGCCAGCCCACATATGTGTCCAATTGCGTGGCCGGGGGCATTTAACAGATAAAAGGAGCCGTCTTGAAAATAGTCTACCGCAGTGAAGTGGCCAAGCTGGATCTCGGATCCATCACTAAAGTCAATTTCCCTATGTTCACGTCCGGAGAAGTCACTTTCGAGGAGGAATGATTTCGGATTAGTCGGAAATGCAGGAAGAAGAGCTTCAGCCACCCCCTTCCCCGATATTAAAGCCGTGCTCTCAGGGAAACAGCTAATATCGCCGATGTGGTCGAAATGCCAGTGACTCCAGATTGCTGCCTCGATAGCTCCACCTGCCACATCGACACCGTTCTCTTGTAGGATCTCGGCAACGTTCTTCTCACTCTGCAAACCCCAGCCTGGCGCACTGACAAGGCCAAGAACAGCTGGAGGAAGGTTGTGCCAATCTTTCCTCAACCCTAGATCGAACACCACTTTACGTCCAGATGAGACTTGTTCGACAAGAAAGCTGAAAGCAGGCGTTCCTCTGACAGTATCAAAGTCTCCTATCACAGGTTGCATGAAAAGGTTTAGTGGTGCATCGATCCTCGAAGTAGTATCGATGATTTGAACTTTCGCAGAAGCCCCTTGCGGGATGCTTAGCTTTGGCAGCGGTTTGGGGGGATAAAGGGAATCTCCTTTCTTCATCGCTATCAAAAGATTGTTGCGCTTGACATACTCCTACAAGGTTTTCTGCTGCACTTGTAGTACTTATGGCTTTCTGGGGCTCTCAGACATTGGGATGTGGTATCGCCCCTGTTTGGCTGTTAGGTCCAGGGTCTGAAGTTGATTGATAGGTCACTGAGTGGTTCGGTCGGCTTAAGCGATTAGACTATGATTGGTCTAGCGGGACAACCCAAAACCAATGGAAAGGTTTGATCGACTTCGACTCAAGCTCCGCGGTTCCACGATGCACTTATGACCCGCAAAACCCACCAATGCGTTGCCCGGCTTTCTTGCTATTCAGCCGCGGGCCACGGATCAAATATCTTATGATATCTTCACGAAAGTGGATCCATAAACTTTCCATATGAGAGTCAATGATATTTCTTTTGTAGATGAGCACGTAACATCCATCGCTGTTCCCAGAGCTCCACCGGAATGCCAAGCTGCCTGTTACATGGTGTGACAGCAATGCATACTCTGCTTCTAGCTGTCTTCCTGCCCAGATAAGTGTACCTCGACTACAATATTGTGCCTATCTATATCTATCAGTCGAAAGTAAGAATCAATCTGCATGCGACTAAATAGTCAAGTATGTATTTTCGTGCTCAGTGCCAAATTATCTTTCAGATTGGTCAGGCTATATGTTGCGGTCAAGAAAGAGGCACGAAGTGCCACCTCTATAGCTATATTTTCAGGGGGTGCCAAGCCACCTTAAAACAGGGTTAATTTCGCCAACACTATAACATGTCTATTATCTTCTTCCGCGTTCTCTAGCCTTATGCTTTTTTCGGATATTCTCCAGACGCTTTCAGTTGCTCAATGACCTCACCCGCCGCCATCATAGCATCTCTTCCAGCCGGAACTCCACAGTAAATCATTGCATGATGGATAGCCTCGCATATTTCTTCTTCCGTTACTCCATTCTGGACCGCGCCTCGAACATGAATGCGCAGCTCATTAGTTCGGTTCAACGCAACCATCATCACAATATTCATCAAAGCCCGCTCCCTCCACTTTAAAGAAGGGCGTGCATATGAAGAGAAGCAAGTTTCCCAAACAAATTGCATGCTAGTGCGTGTAAACAGGTCATCTTTCTAGAACGGAGATTTCATCAGTTGTATGTAAAACACACTCGTGTAAGGCTGACCATATTCTCAAGAGCAGTGGCGAAGAATTTCTCTCCCAAAAACTGCGCGCTGAGCTGTTTGCCCAGTGCCGCCTTATCGGACAGCTCGCCAAAGGTTGGTGCCATGCTAATGGTGGAAATCGCAGTGCGTTCGAATTCGATAGCGCAAAAGACTGGCCGGGACCTTCAAACCTGATATTCAAGGCTTTGACGAAAATGACCCTATTATATACTTATGCAGCTGGAGGCTGGTGGATTACTTGATGAGAGCGGGTGAAATCTCTTGTCTTCTGGTCCGAGGGCTGATCATGAACATAGTATGATACATCCGCGGGCCGGGGATTATTATGCCATTATAGTCTCAACAGTCATGCTACTCCATCCACTCATGCAGTCAGATTCCGCCCGCCCCTGTGCAGCGCTTTCAAGCCGTGTGCACGGCTTCTTGGGAACGCAAAATTTGATGTAATGCTCAGCACAGCCAACCCTGTCTTAATTGCACACCCAAACATACTGAACCCTGACGACAAAGAATGTAAGGCTCAATACTTAGAAAATTAAGGGTGTGGTGGAGTTCCGGACGAAAACATGGGACACCAATCACATCAGTCCAAAACCTCAACACGCTATAGTCGCCATCCCCACAGCGGCCCTGTTCTCTACCTTGATCCATGAGGCGCATAAGTCAAAGTCTGAGTCTTCCTTCATGGTGAATGACCTTGACCCAACCAATTCTGAATATGAAATGTAAAGTCGCAATGAAGCGAGCGTCTCGGGGGAGGCAATGTTTAGAGCAGCCCCTCAGCCGGCCTCCCCAGATTGCTCAGCATTTACGGCACCAAGTTATGGCTCGGCGATGCCAAACAGCTTTGCTTTTGAAATCATGGAGTTTTTGAAGCCTATTCCACCAACTCTAACATCAAAGGACATAGACTATCTGTCTCGAACGGGCACCCTCTCAGTACCAGAACTGTAACTTGGCCACGCGCTCATTGAGAGCTATATGTACTGAATCCATCCATACTGCCCTTTTATCGACCATGCTTTACTCGATGAAGTACTATCGCCTGATTCTTCTCGACTTTCTAGCGTCCTTGTGCCAAAGGATGATGTTTGCAGCTGTTCCTGGGGTCGATGTAAAATTATTTTGATGATGGGGATCTAACTAGACGAGCTGCCGGAAGGACATTCTGCACGAGGTTTAGGGTGAGCTGAATCCATAAATGAGAATATTCGTCGACTGACTGACTTGGTTTGAGTTATTGTATGATGTCGACTACGAGCAATATCCCCTGTGCAAAGTCTAATTACTTGTTCTCCTATCACTTTGGTAGACGGGACCAACACATCATCACAAAGACGGCTGGTATTGGCTGGGTGTGGCCATCTCCCTAGCTAAGGCGAAAGGCCTTTATCAAGATATCAACAATGAGCGAATTAATCCAACGTGTCACGCTATAAGGAGGCGCTCGTGGTGGAGCTGCTGTATCAGAGATGCTCTTGCGTCGTTCTCTACTAATCGCGCTGCTCGGATCCGAAGCCAGTTTCATACGGTCGCGTCAGTTACCATGGAGGGTTTTCACATCGAAGGAAATCCAAGTCCTCAGTACACTTTCATTAATTTTCCGGGTCCTGACGTCCAATAACAACTTGCTGATCTCTTCATACAATCAATCTCCATATTCACGTTCATCAGTAGAGTCCTCTTGGTGGCTTACGCAGAGACACCAATGTCTAAAATTGATGCGTTGTACTACAATTCTGCTCCTGCACGCATAATCACCATCAATGGACCTATGTTCAACCCCATCGAAACTGACTTTCGACAATGGCTAGAGATTGCGCCTCCAGAAGCCTTGCACCTCAGCCCCATGCCGTCGCCTTAGTTGAGCGCGAAGACAGTATCACCAGTCCATCCCGTACTAAGCGCAATTCCTTACCACACTGGACTTATCGTGTTGCATCGCCAGAAAGCTTGCCACGGTGAAGAGCACACTCACAGAAGATCGGAGCCAACTGTGCGACAACAGAATCAAGGTCGAGAAATCGTCCGTCAATCTGCTATTCGGATAAACAATACGATCATGGATGCCTACGCCGCAAATACAATGAAGGAGCTGGCTCACACAATGGCGACTTTCCTTTCCCCAGCACCATCTACCCTGAACAAGATCGATCATGAATGAGCAAGCAAGGCCAGTGCTAGGGTCCGAGTGGTCGACACCCTTCGACCTATTGATGTCCGCTCCCACAGGTGCGATGTCTGATCTAGTGCAATTTCCAGATGCTTGGTAATGGGGCACGGTGGAACAGTGTAACAACGCACCAACGCTTTGGGAGCACAATGACGTTGCCATGGCATTTTCAAGATTGTAGGAGTTCGAATCCTGGCGTTAGGCTGTCTTATTATATTTACTCTCATTCCTCGCCGGCTTCTTAATATAGCCGCTAGTTTTACTGTTCCTGAATCATTGCCGGGCTGTGGCTGAACGTACTATCGCCAAGTTACTTTGGTTTATTATTCGATGCGATCGGTGGAGAATAAAAGTCGAAGTGTCGCATTCATGTCGAAGATCATGGGATGGCCTTGAGCTAGAGCGTCCTGGCCTTCCCGTAGGAAAATATTTTGATTAAGGTTAGCTTAAGAAAAGTCGTTGCGCCTGCATTAATCTCAGTGATAATGATCAGCGTTAGCACCCAAAATTTGGAGTCACAGAATGTGAGGTCGCAAAGGTAATGGCAAGCTAGCGCATGGACACTAGAATCATGGTTTAGAATTCAGGTGTCGTTGCCTTGTACGGACAGCGCAGAATTTGCGTAGGAAGCAATCAGAGGAACTGGCGTCACGTTCGTTGTCGGACATGACGATCATCTGGCTAAGTTCGTAAAAGCAGCATAGCGATGTATTATTTTTGACAGACACCTGCTGTGCTGGCTCTTCATACACCAGACTCAGATGAAACTGCTATGCCTCGTTTAAGCGACGATAGGTTAGAATTTGCTTTAAAAGAATGATAAATTGCCATGATGGCGTGTCTATCGCTGTAAAATTCATGAGGTTTCTTTCATTCTTCGGGTCTTTGTCCTTTGCACATCAGCTCGTTTTTTCAGCGGAAACATCCACCTAAATTGTGCCTGCGGCTTTGGACTCCCCTTGCATACGCTCGAAAATGTCTCATGATTGAACAGGCGGATAAATAAGCCTTGGTAAGTCAGTCGTGACGGAGTCATGCCACCATCCATACCATCCTCGAGACAAAGCCAAGTATGCTACTTAAGTCATGGGTCATCTTGCGGACAGATTGGTTTAGTCCTCAGTGTGACAAGATTTGTGGCGGGCCAATAAGGGCACACCGTCGAATGTCTACCATAAATGGACATGACGGATAAGTACCACCAAATGGTCCCCTTCTTTCGACCCAGGGCAGACTCCCGATTCCATATGTCCCATGTCGTCTGGGAGGGGACTTGCACCGAACTTACGTCAGCGCGGCACTCACAAAAGAGGTGAAGATCGAAGTCAAATCCGCTCGGCTGGAATAACAAAGACCACTCAAATTCGTGGTGTCTCTCGTGGTGATCGTAAACGACTCTATTAATCTTATGAATCTTGATCACTAAACTCACCAAATCTCAAAGATGCCTGTTTTGCTGTTCCAATCAACCTCACATCATCAGATGGAGCTTAAAGCAAAGTGACTCAAAGGAAGCCGAGCACGAAGCCAAGGACTGCGCTCCAGGGCGACTTGTATTCGACCCGACCACCAAAACAGAACACTACACTATCTGTGCGAATGACTTTGGCCGAGGGAGTGGCCACTTACCATGTACGTTTGTTTTCGAAAAATGTGGATGCGCAAGTATCCTTAAGCCATTGTTCGGGAGATATGCTCAGGATTTGCAGGTCATTCGCGGTGATTGTGGCCTTAGCAAGCTTATGCAACAAGACCAATATCGTGCGGGTATTGCTACAAGACTGCGGTGTCCACACTTCGACCACCTCTTACAAGACGAGCAGCTGGCCCGTGAGCTTTTCGGACTGGATTGTCCGGTCTGCCTACAGACAGTTGCCGAGAAGTATGACGATCCCAGTGACCATAGCACTGCGTGGGAGTACATTGATCACGTTCGAACTCGATGTGGTGAGTTGCTGTCAAGTTGCCACTCGAATGGGGTTCTGGACAAACAGGCTATCCTTTCTGCCGCCGCTGTCTCGAAATCTGCATGGCCGCTTCTGATTCTAAAAGATCCTATTGCCCGAAGTGCAAATGACAATGTGCTAAGGACACCACAAACCTCATCAGCTTGCGGACGGTCCCATGTGAAGAAGCACACGAAATTTGTAGCGTTGTTGCTGCGGTCAGAATTCTGAGGGGTAGCGCGGGAGAGGATCGAGCTATAAAGTCGCAATTCCAGGTTGCAATTTACCCCTCTACCTAGAGAGAGACCACCTTGCTAGAATCTTCGTAACAAGCACTTGTACGGGTCACCAAGACGGAGTCATTCCAGCGAACTCACTGCCTCATCTCATGACGAAGTAAAATTTTCTATTGGTAGCACTGTAATCGTATAGTAGGTCAGAAACGACCTGTTGAAGGCATTCGTCGTTTCACCGCCGTTGATTGGCGTTACCAAATGAGAAGGTAGGCCGAGACTTTATTCGTCGGCAACCACATTCACTTTGTGCCGATTTCTACACTGATGGACCGTCCCCTCAACCTTTTCTCTCGCACAATAAATGTTGAATTCTAATTGAAATCCTAGTCGATGCACAATACACACCCTTAATCTGCACTGCTCAACTACCTTATTCGCCTCCCCAAAATGTCGATCTCCATTCAGTGATCCACCCTCTCGCGTTGTCCCGTCAGCGTAAGCCTTCAGAGACAAAAGAGGCACCGGTTTTGCATACTGTTCACAGTCATGTTGGTGCACCCAAGGAAGCGACTACGGTGGAGAGCCAGGAGGAAGGACGAGCAAATGAACGCTCCAAAAGTGTCAAGCACTGGAGCTTCCCGTGGCAGACCAATGAAAAGCGCGTCTGAACTGAGGCCTTGTCGCATTGTTCGAAGGCGGCAGGAAAAGCTCCTACAGCAGACATTTACCACAGAAATGTCTAATGAAAGACAGCCATGTCAACTCTCATCACTAGAGGCTCTACCAGCGGAATTACTCCAGCAAATTTTCTTCTATGCTTTCGAGGTGAACATGCCACGTGCGTCTCCACATTTGGCCAATGTTTTGTCAAACTCCTCGATCTACTCAGCATTGGTTCTATTTGCGTACTTCGAAGATGACAAACACAGCCCTGTTGAGAAGCATCTGTTCAAACCTGCCTGGTACCGAAACATTAGCGTAGACAATCAAAGGCGGCTGCAGGAGGGAATATTAAGTTGTCGGTGGTGCACCCTGGAGTTTTTGAAATCATGCATGCCAGACCTTAGCCGGCTACAAATGGTCCAAGCCTGGCATCGCGAGTATGCTATGGAGTCAGAATTTTGTTTATCGACAAATCCGCTACAATTCAAGTACTGCGACAACAAATCTATGTATATTGACTTCGACATAGAACAACGTGAACCCGAGCTGCCTCATTCGATTTCTAACGAGGAAGCGCTTGAACGACATTTCTTTGCGAAGCAGAAACCTCCCACAGAGGGAAATCCGAGTTCGATGGGCATCAGTTCGCTACTAAAATCACAAGCCTTACAGCAACGGAAGTCCACTGTTGGACCCACCGGAGCACAACACTTCCTTCCACGTATTGTGGAGTGGAACATTTTCGAATACCCGGTTGGGGTTATTCACAAATCTGAACTGCGCGTAGTCAGCATCTTAGCCACTCGTGTTCTACCAGACCACATCCTCAAAGGGCACCCGGTGTGGACGGACGAAAAGTTGGAACTGTTGATACTCCTAAGACAAGGCCTCCGCTTCATGGGAACATCTATTGCCTTTGACGATGAAAGATTCCCCAGCTTCTCATTTGATGCGCTCTACCAAGGCATGGCTTCTGCAATCAAGTCTCGTAACATTTTGGCTTTGCTGGTACTATTAGAATTTCATACAGCCCTCACACCGTCGCGACCAGCGCAATCAAGACCAGTAGGGTGCGACCGTCGACCCAACCTCCTGCGCCCCTTTGCCAGCCCTATCCCCTTACACCTCTTTCACCTCGCAAGCAAACAAGCAGCTCCTCATTCTTCGGAACTAATATCTCTGTTATTGCGCGAAGGCATACATAGTATTCCACCCAATGATGAGATCCTGACGCTGTGGGCGGTCCGCACTAGGGACACTAGGGACGACAAAATAGCCGAATTCCTGTTGAGACATATGGAAGGGGAAGAATTCGTCCCACGTAAGAGACAATTGTTTATTCAAGGCTGTGGGTTTATGGGACTAACTGGAGAATCACCGCTCGACTGGGTTCCATTCCCGAAAATGTCATTTGCGGAGGAGATCGGGTACTTACGTGAAGACCTTTGAACACGACCTAGCGCCCTTGCACGGATTGACCCAAGTGGTGTTGAGGAGCGATCAGATACGCTGGTCACAATCCAGGACAAAGAAGTATAGAGGAAAGCTTCAGATTCATTAGAACGGAAATTGATTTTATTAGCCTTCTATATTGATCCTAAATAGGTCCGTTTTCTATTCGAAAGACCCATTCCCCTCTCATAGTTCACTGACCGATTTCTAACACTTATGGGCAAGCCTACTGCTCATAGGTAGGTGACAAAATCTATCTTGGTCAATTAATATAATTAAACCATTGGACACCGTTGAAACCCACCAGGACCCTTTTAACAACGAGGACATCGCCTTCTATATAGATGATAACACTTATCTATACTACTGAATCATGAAGGACTCCTAGACCTATCAGCGCTGTGTTAATAACAGGGACACCGCCGTCTCTATCCTTGGAATGACAGTACGAAGTAATTGTCACCCTCTGGCGGCTCCGCGTTGAAGCGAGAAGACTCAAATGTGCATGGGTCCAACGTGTTGAAATATTTCATGTCCAAATCCTGCTCTCATTAGAGACCCTACATACACCTAAAGAATTATACAGTTTTTCTACTTTAAGGCTCTTCAGGCCAAATGCGGTCTGCGATCCTCCTAACCAATTTCGGTTTCTCAATCATATCCTCCCTCTTCACCGCATCCCCACTACTATAACTCGTAAACCTAGACTGAGGGCCGACACTACACCTCTTTAACGTATTAGCCTTACTCTCACTACCTGCACCTTTCGCCATTAAATTAGCGGCCTCCTTAACACGGGCCAATATCTCCTCCTTATCCTCCATCTTACGGAACTTACTAGTAATGACACCGAGAATAGCGTTTTTATTCTTTAGTAAGTACTAGAGGGGCTCAAACCCGCCAGCCTGCGGCGTATTATACTCGAAGTAATTAGTATATATCTTAAGTTTCTAGAACAGCAGCGTCGTAATACGAGCGCAGCCGCCCTCGGAGAAATATCGCGAATTAACGAAGTTACCCCGGTATAGATATGCGCTAGCGACTATATCCTAGGGAATTTAAGCAATATAGTCGCTATATAAGTTAATATATTTTAATAGTAACATACCCGTTAAGTATATAAGTAATAGGTCGTTCTTGTCAGGCAATAGGTCCGTAAGCCCTTGAGGACGTTCAAAAAGACTAGAACCTCGCACGAAGTACGAGGTATTCTCGGACCTATTAGTTATATGTTTGCTAGGAAGCCGCCTAGGGCATTCCTAACATTAAGCTTCTTCTATTTCGACTTAGGGGCTAAGCTCTTATAGTAGTTAAACTAATCGGTATAGCTGCTACCTTTATGCTTAATACTACTAGTATGTAGGAGGGTCCTCCTAGGTTTATACTTCTTAGTAATAGTATTAATACTAAGGCTATATATCCTGAATACATCGGGATCCGGAACAGCGATTTTAGTTATACCCTGAGGCTAGGCTAGAAGGAGCCCTAGGATACATAGCGGCGGTACTCACCATCGGTGATAGCGTGGAAACCTAGACTAACCTGCGCCTTCACGATCTCCTGTACGTCTCTATCTTCGACTTTGCGAAGAGCCTCGGCGTTCTCCTTACCTGCTTCATAGGCGTGACACGTGTCGAGAAGCTTCAACATGCAAAACAGTGAGCCTAATAGCTCTACGTGGAAAGGTGGTTGACCATGACGAGCTGCCACCTTAGGAGAGAATGAGGTCGAAATCCTACATAGCTTACTATTCTCGGAAATGGACCTAGTACACTATGTGTCTAGGGGTAGTAGGAACGTGCCGAGAGTAGTAATAAGCCGCGTGGTTACTATTGCTACTTACGGCAAAGCCGCAAAGGAAGAGTGCCTATTTTGACGTCTAAGGTTTTAGAAGTATCGACATGAATTGAACTAATTAATTTATTTAATAGTAATTTAGCTTAAATACGCTACTTATTGAGAAGCTAGTAATAGTAGTTACCTATATTACGGCAGTTAAGGCGACCGCTTTTAGAAGACGATAGGTTAGCTCGAGACTATATAATTTATAGAGTAACCCTAAAATAACCCTAAGACTCTATTAAGTACTAGGATATAAACTAAATCCCTAGGCGATGATATTAAGGAGGGAAAGAGGTTTATAGATACTAAATATAAGTAAGATTCTAACGGGGTGTTTATAGCTTATCTAGATAAAAGTGATAAATCGGGAACGAAGGGGCTAGAAAACTAATTAGGTTAGATCTAATCTTGTAAGGAAGGTTCTCTTCTAATATTGTGCTAAAGGACCTCTTGTATTAGATATATACGGACGTGAGATTATATCGGGCTTGCGCGACGATGACGCGGACATACGAAGAGCTTGTGAAGGAGCACCATTGCTAAAGAGTAGTTCATTTTCAATGACCATCTATTTATTCGATGCCTATATGGGATCGCAGCATGAGAAGCTAGCCAAGGCTTGCGAAATTCAAGATACTATTAGTTCGAGTGCTTGAGATAAGGGTAGCTAAGCAACCGATTTTATGGAAAACCGAGTCTTGTACCTCCACGAGGTCGATTCTGAGAGCACATGCTTAAAGGAACTACAGGAGAAGTGTCGTAGAAATGTAGAAAAGAGTGTATTATATATAATATAGAATATATATATACTTATTCCGATAACTAGTAATATGTTCTCAAGACGTAGCTAATAGCCAGCACATTCAGATAGATCTCACATGATTTTCACACTTCTAAAGGGTGCTAGGTGATGGTTAAATAAGTAGATGGATTACTAGCATCTTGAATTTCGAGCGGCCTGCTCCTAGACCCCTCTACCCGCCGTATTCCACTTACTACGTTCTTACACCCCAAGTCTGACTATGTTTCGCAAGCTCGTTAGGCCACAGGACTAAATAACGTCTTGCGCTAGCTTACTAGAGATGAGAAGACCTTATATAGCTTTACTGTTATCAATTGAGACTAGCCTACTGAGTAGTAAATTCAATAACCACTAGGCTCGCAAGCTTATAGCATTATTTACCCACTAAGTCTTGCTACAGCGCAGACCACTTTCCGGCTGTAGTTTATACGGTAAGGGAATGCAATGCTCCAGTAAGCTCCGCTAGCGACTCATTAAATCTTATTAGCTAGTATAGACATATATAGTATCTTAACTATATTGACACAATTTAGATGTGCCTACCGCCTAGCTCTACTATAAATCATCTCTTTTATCGCCTAAATAGGTATTCTTTACATAATCTCTTTTCTATGCGAGCCCTACGTACCTAGTTAACTTGTGGGCTTGTTTGTATCTATATACTAATATATGAAATTGAGGCACCGCCACGGTTGACGACAGCGTCCCAAGTGAGATCTATTTCTAATGCTAGAGAACTATGTCAGTAATGTATATTCTAATCTTCCCATTTCCTACTTGATTGACCTAAAGTAGAAGATTGGTGTCCTAATATTAAACTTCTCCATATATCTCCACGGTCCACATTCATATACGCTTGTAAGATTTCAATAGACCTGTCGGTACTAAATGTAGTTTCTGAGAACGAGATAATGCGATATATCTATAAAGGTATAAGCTCATGGCGGTCTGCCCAGACTTACATTTAGCAAACTAGAAGGTAGCTATAGAGGACTATAAGATTAATGTAAAGAAAGGTTGGCTCCGAGGAATATATATATACTGTCCTAGACGCTAATGTATCCACCGTCGTAGAATAGGAAGTTTATATGTCGATGCATAATAGGATATAGATATATAGAGTTATTAGTGACGGCGTAAATATTCCTCTACCTATCAGTTCAAATGTATACACCAGTCACGCTGAGTTGATCCTATTGCTCTACTACTCTTAATTTGAGCTGCTGGTGGTGGAACCTCCCTTCCTACCAGCTTCGCTAGCCTTTTCACTACCAGGTTCGAATGACCCGGAAGAAGCCTGGCCTCCCTTCGAGGCGATATCGCGCTAAAGTTACTATATTAGTACTTATAAGATCTATAATAAGGGGATCCGAGTGTTACTACGACATAAAAAAGATATTTAACATACCTGCTTGTCCGGATCCATGGAAGCAAAGCCACTATTATGGCTAGCTTGACCACCCTTGCTCGCAATTTCCTGAACCTCTTCCTTGGGGAGATTGGCGAAGTTTCCTGGATTATCGTTTCCAGACATATTGATGGATTTGAAAATAGGGAGTAAATAAGTCAGTCTGTGTGATACCAAGAGTTGTGTTTATGCATAAGGGCTAAGTTGGTCAGGCTATATAGAGCCGTAGGCACGCAGGTAAAGTTTAACATACATCAGAGTGATGTAATGCCATTCATATTACATCACTCTAATTACATATTACTCGGACTATAGTATAAAAATAATAATGTGTCACATCAGCCTCGGAATTTTCATCCGGAGGTCGCTACTCTACGTTGATGCAGCAGAGCTGTAAATCTGTGCAATCATTGAAACAAATACCCAATATGTCTGGAGTGCCAGATAGTCCTTTGAGGAGATTCAAACGGGCATAGAACATGAGCCAAGTGTAGTCGTCTACTTGTTAGAGTTAGAACAAGGCTTCTAAGAGAACAGGCTCACTTGACCTGAATTACTCCAAAGCATATGTGTATTTCAACCGCATCTGACAGTGGTTGTAAAGTGAACCTTTAAGTAATTAGCTTTGAATGACGAAATCCTGACTCCTTGTTCTTGTTCCCGACGATGCTCCTTTCTGTTGACTCTTATGTGGAATGTGTCTATGTCAGTATTGTCATGGAGAAAATGCCATTGCGGACGAAGAGCTTAGTGAAGAGTAGAAAGTTTCCGAAGGCTGCTTTGAGGATAAAATACACCGTTGAGTATGAGGCAAAGGCTTGTCCTACACTCGAATCAATCCATACTTTACGACAGTGGTAAGAAGAGAACTTGCTGAAATAGAGATATCATGGCATGTAAGCTCTTTAAAGAACATTAGCGATAGAGTAAGCACTCTTGCCACTTCTCTTGATAGGTGGCTGGTCGAAGCCACTCGGAAGGAACATGGAAAACGCTTCAGGGGAGCGCCTACTAATCGGATAGCTGCCTTCCTATGCCAGTTCAAAGGGAACATAGCTGCATAATTAATTGGCTTCTGCTACAGTCAGGATATCTAGATTCCCGGCTAAATCTAACTTCAACTATCAAATTTCAGGTTATTGTGAGGATAGCGGCCCTCAACTATTCCTAGGCCACGACAAGCCTCAAATTTGAGTAGTGCTGAACCAAATTACTCTAGCTTTCCAACAGTATTCTATATTTCTCCTAGTATCTGAAGCGTAGACTGAATCAATGTTATTCGGTTCAAAGGTATGTCTTCAAGAATGAATCAATTGAAGTAGGTGTTTCCCGGAATTATTTAATCCGAATTAGTCATTGACTATTGAGATTATGGCCGGTCAACATGTAAAGGTGCAGATGTCTGCAATTATATCTCAAGAACAAGAGAGGAACAAAAAGGAAAAAGGTCGCCAATGAGATAGAAATCTACAGTTGAAACCTTTCTATGAGTGGCCGGCTATAACTTGACTTGGTGCTTGGCTTAGCTTTCTGAGCTTGTAGAGCCATCCACACCTATGATCAGCTAGGGCTATGGAGACAAACGCTCCGTGGTTCCTGGGGAATCGGCTTTGAGATCCACTATTGACACAAAAGTCATCTCATAATCCACAATGAGGTCCACCAATTGATTGACATCCAGATCTTATGGGAGCTGCTAAGGCTTTGGATTTCGCGTTATAATTTTAGCATTGTAGGATACATAGCTGCAACCGGTTCAATTCTCGATTTGCCTTCAGCAAGAATCAGAAGAAACGCAGCTCTGTCATAGCTCGCCTCGACCACTGGATAATGCGAAAATCACAATTCCGTTACACACCGTTTGTGGCAAGTTAGGTTCGTGCCTCTAGGCATTATTCTGCACGTCTGCTCACCTCAGTTAGAGGGTTCAGAATGAAGAAAACGCCTTTCTCCTCACGAATGCCGTTCTTTCGAGCCAAAACTTCCTCCTGAACAGACCGTGATTGATCAAGTATGCGACTCCGTATGCTGCGCTGTATGGCTGATGCCAGATTTCTTATCTCGAGTGCAGACATTGGAATCCACGACCTTCGAATGCTGGAAGCGTCTGGCTAGGATCTAGCTCGTGTTTGGTGTTATAAATGAGAGAGAGTTGGAGAAGGTGGCGTGGAGCTAGGCCCTGTGACAGAGAGTATTCATGGGATATCACAGATGGCGATGTGTTGAACACTGGTGGAGTCGGAATTGGCGAAATCCAGGGTGATATGAAGTCCTCTTCCTTCTTAATTCTCGGGAAAATCTTGTAGAGGAGACCCAAGACGTTGAACATTGTACTTGATGATTATGAAGTTATGGGTTAGATTATGAAGTGCACATCATGTCGTCCATAATTCTTTGGCGGCTTTGTACCGCTCACATTACAACGTAATTGAACCATCGGAGGCAACATCCGATGCAATCCGTCATTGGGACACTAAGCAACGTCCAGGCTGAGAATTGATTTGCAGACGTCAAATTCTTTCTACCAGCGCTCAAGGAAGAAAGATGGACCTGCTCATGGTATTAGTCTCTCGAAGTAATACTGATATGTGATCATTGATCGTCAGCAGCTTTTCTGACGGATTTTCTATGTGGTGAAGTCGCAATTTGAAAAACACCCGTCGACTCCCCTCTCCCCCGGCCCCCCTCCACCCCTAAGGCTCGCTTGACTTGCCCAATACACTATTTAATGATCCGTGGGACGGAAATGTATTCCGAAGGTGCAGGTTAAATCTAATGTCAGAGGCGCAAACGGTGGAGTGGATGCAAACTCTTACAAATCGGCACAGTAGTCGACGGAACACAGATGTCAGAAGCAGTGTGATCTGCCAAGAAATGAGCCTTTAGTGGAGACCCTCCTCATCGTCTGTAGAGGGATAGCATGCCACAATTTATTTGGCCATGCTGGGTACGCAATCGAACTTCAGCCGCTAGGTCATGATATACAGATCTGATCGTCATCTACGTCGTCATCTTGTCTTCATATGTTTGCAATTTTCCGTAAGAATTTCTTTTGTTACAGCAATCGAGCTCAACTACCCAAACGCAAAACCTGGCCGGCTGAAATATCCGCTCCTACCAGGGACAGGACGATCTTCTTTGTCTATTACTATGCGAGCATTCTCAACCATATGCATAACATTGAGTGGTTGGTTTTCAGTCATGTCTGCGTGCAGAAGAGGAACGCTCTATAACTCACAGATATAATTTCCAGTGTACCCGGGACAGATGATTTCTATCTGATGAAGACGTCGTTCATAACTGTAAGCAGTCCGACTAAGCGGCTGAATCGGAAGAAGCGGACTCGTCCTGTCAAGCATGAGTGTGAGTCGTGTAGGCAGAAAGGTCGAGGTGCGAGGAAGAACTACCACAATCCAACCATTTTATGCTCACAAAACACATTTAGTGAGGCTCAAGCAAAGATTTTCTTGTAGCTGATGAGAGAGTATGTACAGTATTAAGCACTAGCTTAGCTAATTTACACTGAAATAGGTATATCAAAATCGCCTACTTATTAGCTGGTATAAGTTCAACGACTATTCTAAACCTGTATATAGTGCTTCACTCAATACTACTACACATCTACTATGTCTATACCTTCGCGAATATTACATCTAAAATAACTAAACTTACTAAAAAAAATATATTATTAATCCAGCAATTCGGGCTGGCAAGGAACTGTTAGAAGTACACCAGCAAAACAATGTTATAGGAGCAGAGAATGCAGCAAATATCACGAAAATGGAGGTTACGGAGCATATAAGAACTCATGTCATCGTCTGCTATCGTCTGCTATAGTCGTGCATGGTTGCAAACGGACATTGATCGGGTTGCGAACGATATTGCGCAGAGTGAATGCACTTTTAGGGACTTTAGCACTGCAGCAGAGACAACGGGTGTCTTTCTTCTGGACTTTAAATCTGAGAGATCAGATCGAAAGCAAGGGGAACAATAGGTTCCTAACGGACGAAACTCTTCATTTCCATTGGCTAAATATGACACCGATGCGTTGCTACAGATGTCAAAAATAATCTAGTCTTGGGTCAGAGGCTATCCAGCTTTGACTAACACAAGGACACCACACGAGAGAATGCCACACTGGCCAAAGTTTGGACTCTTTTGGAATATCGCAACCTTTAGGTGTCGGTCGGAGGCTTAGACGTATGCACATAGAGTTCTAAAGTGCCGGCACGCTTCGCACGGAGTACCTCTGTTACCCTGCTCAATACTAATGGGAGAATTATCTAAAAACAAATCCAAAAAAAGAGTTGTAACACTGTTATCTTCCAGTAATTGCATGCCAAGCATGCAACGGAAAAGGGCGCAGCGGTGGAGTCGATCGTTCGATCGTTCGATTCGTCGAGTGCAGAGCCGCTAAACGTCGAAGTCGACTTCGCCATAACAAAAATGGGCGGAGTTGATTCAAAGAAATGGGAAAGTAGGATGACTATGTGGATGCATGGCGGGACTACAGTAATAATATCGAGGCATTTGCTGACGAAATATCTGCCAAACTCCACACCTAGGTCTTCATGGAACCAACAACCAAAGATTCAAGCTGCTCAGGTAGATAACTTTTCATGAGAAAGACTCTCACTGGGGTTTGAAACATCTGCCGCTGGGAGCGATCCCTTAGAAGTCCCTGATCAGCCCTCCAGAAAAGAGTCATATAGCAGATATGCCGCGGGGTTACTCCAACTCGCAGGCCCAAGGGGTTGATGATGACAGGGTGAAGCTGGGTAATTATGTCATTTCAATACTATTTGTAGGGATTAACACCACAAGCCATCGAGTACATGGTGCAGGCTCCTGGGGCGATACTGCATCCCGCAACACACTCTTCAACTGTGCCCCATCTCTATTCACATTCCTAATCAAAGGCGCTTTATTGGATCACAGATGCGAGGCATCCAAGGAAAGCTCCATGATCAAGATCGCCAAAGCAATAGCCATTCGAGTGCCTATCCATTAGTGCGAGAGAAGAAGAGCAGGAAATCATCATGCCGCAGCGACTGCTGTCATCGCTTGTGGCTGGTTGAAACCCTAACACTGAGAGGGTAATTATGTTTCTCCTTCCCAGTCACATATAAACTGCCACTGAATCAGTTTGTGTTTTCGTTCTGGCCCAAATGACGAGGGAGGTGGCCGGTCAAGCGTAATTCCCTCTTTTTGACTTAAACGTCGCTGACCACTGTTGCAGGGACACAATTAATGACTGCTCCGCCGAGGGATGAGCGTAGTGCTTGCAAACTTTCGAAATATGTCCTCCAAGAGGCTTTGAACTCGAACCTTTCCATCACCACTCATTGGTGTCGCTGCACTGGCGGAACTCCATGCGGATTACATCCGAACTCGATTCGTCTCATTCAAAATATCCATGAGAACGCTTCAGCGTTCTCACCAGCGCATATTTTGGCCAATAAGCTTCTCGAGCCTGTCGATATCATCCTTCACCAGATGCTCCCTGAATCAGTGAGCTGTTGTGTAGGCTGCCGCGAGTGAACCGGACCATGGGAAGGGGAAGCCATTGTATATCATCCCTGATTGAGAAGAAGCATGCTTACATGACGAGGTTGGTGGCTGCTGCTCTCCGTCGGTTCGCGTAGATCGAACTGCACTGAAGTGTAGATATTGTAGGCCGGATGACCGCTCAGAGGTACCGAACGGGAACTTATGTCGTCCCCTCCGTGTTGTGTACATCCATCTAGTATTTTCTTTTGCACGATGTAATGCCATCGCACTTGGCTTTCTTCAAATGACATCTATCGCATGCGCGGGGAGTGCGTCGCCTTGATTTGCCGCTGCCTCTGCTGTTATCCTTCGATCTTGCTTCGGAGATGTCCATCGTGTTGATGTCGACTGCTAAACAGACTGCTGGTCAACTGGAGAACTATTTTGCTTAGGAGAAGGAGCGGAATACAATGCGGATGGGCGTGGACACAAGCAATGGTTCCAAAGTGCTTTGGTAGAGCTTACAACGAACAATAAATGCATGACCCTAAAATGGGGGATTTTCCAGCGACTCTTACCACCCCTAAACTAAGTACATCAGGAGTTTCAAGGATGGGGCTGCAATGACGGCTTCCAAGCATTTAATTGTTAGGAAGGCCAAGGAATGAGGTTATGAAGGGGCAAACCTAAATCCATCGGATGTTATCTCCTGAGCGCTAACCAATTACGTGCACAATTCTTAAGGACACATAATTGATCGGCATGATTTTGCCCATCACAAGCCTCCAGCAACATGCTCGGTCCTCAGGTGATCATTTCCTTTGGTTTCAACATTCCGATGCCGAATTATTTCCTGAGGAGGTCTGACACGCCAAACAGAATTTGGCTTAGGCTGGCTAGACAACTAGTCGGACCACCTTCGAGGAAGGACAGGGGATGGGTATTTCTTGCTCCTGAGGACCAGAGCCGGAGGAATATTCGTTGCGTCCTTACTAGTAGATAACAGCTCCCTTGTCAAAAGAAAGAATAAGCCTAGACACTAAGCCTCGCAGACAACTTATTGCAGATCAATATGAGGCTAGACATTCGAGAAGTTTGTTTCTGGACACTGCCAGCTGTCCTCACCAAGCTCGTACTACACCATTATCTCCCAGTTGCTGGCTGAATCGCTGAACTAGTTAGCCTCACATATATTAAACAACCTCCGCCGCAGTTGGTTAGGCATAAAGGGTGGTATTTGGATTATGCTATCGTCTGCCAGAGGCAGCCAGTGCTTTCGAAGTCTGTCATTCTCTTCTTGCCGCTTCTGGCCCTGTCGAGAGGCCCGTTTAGGGAGGACCATCTCTCTTTCCCTTCTTATCTTCCCGTCCATGAATTTCCCTGGTCCTCCAGGGTCTCTCATAGTCTTGAGCTCAACTGAGCTATAGTCGGCAGGATTTGGGCGGTCGTATGGGAACGGATCCGCGAGAGACACTGGTAGTTTTGTGGTTGTTCCAGGATAAAGAGATTCTTGTTAGTAACCCTGAGTAAGTGAAGCAACCATCCACTAGAAATTTGACAAGATATCAGGCAGGACGGACTGGTTGAGCGCCGGCTGTTCTGACTGGCCCTGTGCAGCATAAGCGGATGCTCAGGATGACATCTCCTTTCTTGGTCAAGAAGCTTTCCGAAATAGGTCTATCTCTCTGTCACTATTTTCAAGATGTCTGCGATATGGACTACAATATGATCCTATGGAGGACAGGAAGTGTTGGGAATTCACCAGGGTTCTTACGGTAGAAATGAACGAATGGGTAGGTAAGTCTGAACAGACGTACTGTTGTTCTGCCACTATTCCAGCGGCATTTAAGAGCTGAAGCATGCATCAATGCAATCAAACCACGATTGCCATGTCAACGGCAATGAAGCTTGGAAATGGCACCTCAATCACAATTACTGCCTATGGTTAGCTGATAGAAATCAAACACTGCGGAGTGAAGTGCCTTCAGTACAAGTGCCCCATCTAAATCTCACTGGATCGGATATTGTATTATAGATCGTAGCGTGTGCTATCTCCAGACTAGGTGGAGAACTTTGTGATGCAGCACGTATAAGTTATAGGCAGTCATTGGATGGTCCATGGTGTTTATGATGTCGCATAGCACGTGTTTCGGAGTTAGATGACTTGTCGTTATGTTGCTCTACTCCTCGATCTGGCCGATATATCTAGGCTCACCTTATTTATATTTGATTAGCATGAATTTCTGAATTTTTTACCTACAGTCAAGGGGTTTTGCCAGATTTATATGGATTCCCATCAAACCCCACACTCAAAAAATCTGCAAAGAGCATAGTAATCACTATTTCAGTCGTCGTTGCTATGGTTTTAGGCCTAAGGCTTTTGTGCTTTCCTTGGATGCATTCGCCGGTGGAAATCACAGGACTTGAGCAGCAATCGATCACACCTTCACAATTCTACAACACGACTGCATTGTGGCATCGACGAAGCCTTCATCCAAAGGTTAGGTACCACTGAATATCACCAAATATCAATGGCTTTACCAGCTTGCGCAGTTTGTACAGACGATTTCCTCTCCGCCAGCAAGGTCCAAGGGTTGCCCTGCGGACATGTCTTTCGTCCACAGTGCATTGATCCATGGCTATTGAGAGTGGCCAGTATTTGTTCGCTGAGGCGAGCCATTCCAGTATCTAGCTAACCACTGTGTATTATAGTGTTTTAGCTGATCTTGGTGTGATGCAGTAGAAACGATATCGAGAAGGCGGCCGCAGTGACTATTCCACTCGAACCCGAGCCCGCACAGTGTCGTGAACACTATCAGGGGGATTATTAAACTCCATCATCTGGTGGACATTCAAGAACCTGAGGCTAGGGGCTAGGAGTCGGGAGTGCTCCAGCTTACGTGAGAATATAGACGAACTAGGCATGCTTTGATTCTGCTACAGGCAATGGATTGGTTTGTCCTGCAGGTGTTCATGACATCCAAGACAAGTACCAACAAGAGTTAAAGACGTGATTTCCTTCTACGTTCCGCCGATACTAGGCTCGACGGGGACGTTTAGGGACGAGGTGATTGTAAAAAGGCGCGTTATTTATGTTACTCCGTTCATCTGTCATATGAATAGAGTAGATCCAGAAACAAGGCGTAAGAACCATACAGACGTGCATGGGCATTGAGGATTACATGTCAATGCATACGCTTCCAACAAATACATTCATTCGACCTACGCCAGATAGTGCCACGTTACGAATACAAATCGAGCGACCAAGGATTAAGTAGCTCAGCGTGACGTATTAGCTACGAGTCCCTGTTGCACAGGGATGTCAACTGAAACACTTCGTAAAGGCGTTATTGGGCTGTTTGTGCGTAGAGAGTTAGGAGTTTTATTCCTCACTAAGAGAACTGTAAAGTCTGACAGATCCATTTGGTTGAAGCTCATGTGATAACTTGGCATTACGCGAAGTTATGGAGAATTGGAACACAACTAGCAATCCTTACCTACTGTAAATCAGGGATCGACCACAACGTTACCTGCGATATCGGTTAACCGCCCTAGATGATACAGCTTCATCGTACATAAAGCAGCGAAACTATAATAAATGAGGTTAGCCAGTCTTTGGCTACACCCGGTTCAATCGCAAGTATATCTGAACCAGCTTCATTACGTATCAACGTCCACCTGCGACCCTTGTGACGTCATGGCATCCTGAACAGAAGGAAAATGGGTCTTAACTGGATCCTCGTCCTTTCTCACTTACTGAGGCTACTGAGTCCCTCACAGCCAGCAGGATGGTGGACATTGTTCATTCTTTCTTTCATCCCAGGATTTTCTGGTACGGCATCTTCCAATGGATTCTCGACACAGTCCTTTCGCCCGGCCCCCCTCCGCCGAAGTCCAAATTATGTAGACCTCGGATTGCAATCATTGGAGCCGGCCTTACAGGCATTTCATCTGCAGCTCACTGCGTTGGTCATGGCTTCGATGTGACAATTTTTGAGGCTGGTGGGCCCGAGAAATTGGGGGGAATATGGACTGTTCGTTACATCACGCACGGCTCAGCGCTACTCTTGAAAGCAAAGCTGATAAGTTGCGTCTAGCGGGTGAACAAGACGTCTGGGCTCCAAATCCACAGTGCGATGTACCGCTTTCATCCCTCAGTGCGATGGTCCAGCGGGTACCCCTCGAGTACCGAAATCGTCGACCAAGTGACTAAGATTTGGCGTTGCTATGGATTGGAGGAGAGAACAAAGTTCAACAACCGAGTCACAAAGGTCTATGCCAACGGGAAGGCTGGATGGTGTGTCAACGATCAATCTAATGGGATGTTCGACGGAATCATCGCTGCAGTAGGGACCTGCGGGCAGATCAAAGTGCCGAATTTGCCTGGTCAGGATCATTTCCAAGGTGACATAGTTCACTCATCGGATCTAGACGACAAAGAAGCAAAGGACAAGAGGATCTTAATCGTTGGCGGCGGAGCCAGTGCAGTTGAAGCACTTGAGTGGGCCGCTAAGACAGGGGCAGCAGAGATCAACGTCCTCTCTCGCAGCGATAAGTGGATCATTCCTCGCAACGCCGTGATTGATATACTCTTAGCATTCAATGTGTTTGGCCAAGAGACAATGTTCTCGTGGATTCCGGAGAACATTCTCAGACTCTGCTTCTACCGAGATCTCTCCGACCTTTCGCCCACGTCTAAAGGACTCTTCACTGAGACACCCATGGTCAATTCGATGGTCTTCGACCTCATTCGCGAACGGAAAGCTCACTGGCTGAGAGGTGATATTTCCTCGGTGGAAGAGGACGGCATCGTCTTTAACCATCGTGCACAAGGTGTACCTAAAGGAGGGCCGGGTCACGAACGCCTTGTCAAAGGCAACATGATTATCATGGCGACAGGGTATAAACGCCCATCTCTAGGTTTCCTGCCAAAAGAGGTCTTCCAGGACCCATATCAACCCCCGAACTGGTACATTCAGACTTTCCCACCCGGATACCCTTCCATTTGTGCCAACAATTGCACGTATGTGAACGCTATCGGTACAGTCGGCAACTACCATATTGGCATATATACCCGCCTCCTGCTGATGTTTCTGGTGGATCCACTGACCTGTCCGAAGGAGAACCTCATGAAACGCTGGATCGATATGACGTCCGTTTTGAAATCGAGAGCACCGACAGGGGCGTTTGATTTTTTCACCTATACTGAGCTCCTCTGGTGGTATTTCTTCATTGTTCTGATCAATCCTTTCCGGTGGAAGTGGGCGTTGTTCGTCTTTTGCGGGATTGAAAAGTGGTTTCCTTTGAGTGTGGTTGAGTGTGAGGATAGTGTAAGGTTTGGAACAGGATTGGGAAAGAGTGATGATGATTAACACGATCGAGTTGGTCTATGACAATATGAGCCCAGTGACCTAAAGGCGTCCTGGTATCCGTAGGCCTAATCTGTGACTGAGCAATGACTCCGCTATCGCAGGACCATCGGTGACAGCTTCTACTTTACAGACGCTGAATAGGATCGAATCAACGCGTCCATCACATGATTGAGTCTATTAAGTAATATTCTTTATATCGTGGAACGTTGTGCCGGTGATATGTTGTTCAACCATGTGTAGTGTTTCTTTAGCAACAACAATACTGCCCGATTGGATATGCCTCACCCAGCAAATCATCGCTTGGGAGATCTCGCCTTCCGAAATCTGAGCACTCCTTAAATAGTTGAAAGCTGCTCGCGAAAGAGGACAAACGGAGCTCGGGACTCATCCTTGTAACGACACGAAATCGACCACGGAAGGCCACTACATCTCCAATAGATTTGCTGGAGAGTTTGGGCAAACAAATCCATTGCCCATACTCTTGATGACTTAATTGCCGTAACGCTTCTCGGTCACAGAGGGATCCGAGTTGCCGAAGAATTCATCTAGAGATTTGGCTTGAGTTAATCGGCCGTCAAACTCTTCATCGCTAGTATCAGTGGATGATGCTTCTTCGATTTGAATAGTGCGCAAACCTTCGTCATTGATCCATCTTCCGCCTCGGACTCAAGTGGGTATCTTTTTGTAACACCTCCTTCCGTACAATTTTTAGTTGTATGTTGCTTTCGGCCGAAGCAAGTAACTATGTTCTCAACACGGCATATTCTCAAGATTCGACTCACGCTGGCAGTTCCCGTCGCTATGGTCATCTCAGAGCTTACTCATGAGATGGGTGTTTCAGAGTGATTTTGTCTTTAAAACATCCCAAGCACTGACAATATCTAGCGGGCTTCCTACGAAGGTAGGCGAACATCCATGCCTTAGCGCCAAGAAAAAATCCGGGTTGCATAAAGAGTCAAGGAACGCGGTAAAAACTAGGCAAATCGAACCCATTATCATTTTGGAAAGTGATCTCAGTAAGTTTATGTTAGAGGTGAATTCGAATTCTGAACCCTTTTCAAACTTTTTCTAATTCCTAGCCGCCAATTTCAAGATCTTTAGACTTGGGCTTCTTTATAAGTATTCGAAGCAAGATCCAATGTAAACCATCGGCGTAATGTCTCAACACTCAGTCCATTTTAATGGTGCCTCGTCATTTCCCTCTGTCAAACGCGAGGAGCCGAAGTTCAACCTTGGAGTCTATCACCCAGAAGCGCCTCTTTATTGAACTCTCTATGCCGTCTCTGTAGAAGAAATTTTACCTCCGGCAACGAGGTGTTCGGTTTCCTCCAATGTCAACCAGTTCACTTTCTGAATCCTGCAAAAGACTCACGACGAACGGCCGCTTCGCCATGCTTTCCTACACGCATTGCCTGACTTACGCTTTGCTTGGCCCGCTCAACAGGCTGAGTAACTAAAGACGCGAAGCCCATTCAGATATTCACCAGTTCTTCTGGCCTTTTCGCAAGAAGAATGTACAAGTCTATCTACAACTGAGCAAGAAGGCCCAATAGAGGACCACGAGATAAGATAGTGATTTCAGGCAGGTTTTGAGCGGGTAAACCTTCTTAAACGTCTTAACCACGATCTCATGAATACAAAGTTGCCAGAGTACGCACCCTCAAGTCAACTTGATCTCCAGAAGTACCTACTCCTTCGATTTGCCAGGCGTCTAGCTTTCCAGTAGCGTCGATGAAATGGTAAGACCTCTTGTGAAGTCCACTTATTGATTGATCTCATACACCCATATCAAACAATCCTAGGCTGTTGACAGCTATTATGAATATGAGGTTGCCTCACTTCTCATCGCATGCCTCTATGAGAGCGACGAGCTGGTCTGGAGGCTCAAGACAACCTCTTCTTTACATGTAACGGCACCAAATACCAGCAAACGGCAACTCCGTTCCCACGAATCAGCCTCTTTGCGCTATCCAGGATGCAGTATGTGTAGATGAAATAGCTGGACTTACAAGGGTGGTGACCTGGCAACAAAGTTTTGTCCCCTGGTTTGCATCGCAATTGTCAAACTCCTTCGAGCCTATCCATCGAAGCACAAAACGATAATTAGCCAACCCACTTGTCCACGCCCTTAATCGAAATACGCAATGGGACTCCTACACTCAAGGCCATTGACAGTATTCGCCGGGAGTTGATAACCTGCCGCAGTCGAGAGCGCGACGACGAGCGGGTTCCCTCCCTGGACCGCTGAGCTGCAACAAAGATACACTTATAGGCCATAAGTTTCCGTATGACCCTAGATGCTTGGCAACCCCGCGATACCACCCACCTCATATAAATTACTACTGTTCGCCGAGTACTTGACGGAATCAAGTCATAAATAGCTCATTCTGTAGATAAAAAGCAGACCTTTCTCCTGACCCTACTGTAGCACCTCTATCGGCGTCCCTAAAAGCGTGTATGCCAACCCTCTGCCGTAATTACCGTATTAATCCTAGTAGTCATAGACCTTATTAAACTATCGATTTTCTCCTGATCCAGGAGTCGCCAGCACTCGCGAATAGCCTCCTTGAATGCCTCGACGGCTACAGCACTTTGGCCCTGGCGTAGAAGGTCTGGATACCGCTCGTTTATAAGGCGTTTCAGCATCGCCCAGACGTGCTCGATTGGGTTGAGATCCGGTGAGTTTGGCGGCCATTTAAGTAGCTGTCGAGAGCGCTCCTGGAACCAGGAGACAATACGGTCTGCTCTGTGGATAGGAGCATTATCCTGCATGAATATTAACTCCTGAAACCAGTCATCCGATAGTGCTTGATTAAGGCATTGCTCATATGAGATCGCAGAATAGCCATTTCGCGCTGACGTTGGATCACGCTCCATTATCACAATATCTGAGCGCCCACCGATCCAAATTGCGCCCTAAATCATGATAGAAAGGCCTTTGCCTTTAGGGATAGGTATAATCATGTCCTTATCGTACTTCTGCTCTGGCGTACGAAAGACCCATTTATCGCCTGCGCCAGCGCCTCGTTGGATAGAGCATTCATCGCTAAAAATAATGCGTTGCCAGTTAATTTCATCCCAATCCTTATATTCTATGGCAAAGGTAAGTCTTTTAGCTACATTACCGCTTGTCAAGAGAGGCCTTTTAGTGCTTCGCCACTTTGTAATCCCTTCTTTTTCAAGGATTCGCTGAATAGTCCTCTTTGAGAAAGGAGTACTTATTACTCGTAAAACTTTACGGTATGTCCATGAAGGATTTGCTCGTACTAGACGGAGTAGTTGACGGCGATCCCTGTTAGTCTAGGTAATAGGGCGTCCGGAGCGTAGTTGGGAGGTATTCTCGATCCGCGTAGGAGCATTCTCAATAGTATATTGAATAGTTGACTTGCTTAAATTATAGGCCTTGGCGATTTGGCCTAGGGAGACCCCATTTTCATAGGCACCGCTGATTTTAGCACGTAATTGAGTACTTAACTCATTACTGTACCCTCGATTCGCGTCGATTTCGCCTAGTATACGTCGTGGAGTGGCCATTGGAGGTTTGAAGAAAAAAGATACCTGGGACGCGTGCGCGGTAACACGTAAAAACGCGCTAAGCGTACGGAAACTTATGGCGTGTGACTGTACGTGCCATTGTTGATGTTGGCACACTGCGGCGAGATGTCGGTGGTAAACAGGATTGACGGCGGAGGGTCGGTCCCGAGACCTGGAATCGGAATCGTCCAGGTAACGGATAGAGCTGAAAAGATGCATACGACGAGACGAAGGCTGAAGCTGAAGCTGAAACTGGCCCCATTCATCTTGGTAATTGTCCGCGGCTTGATTTTGCAAGATATGCGATGAGGGGCCTGGCAGAGTGGTTGGATGCTGTAAGGATAATCGAGACAAAGAGTATCAAGCGAAGGGCAAATAATGTCAGGACAGCACATGGATGAGACGCAACTTCGACAAGAAATTCCATCCATGAAATAGTGACCGCGTGGTCATATCTTTGACGCCCTCCTAACGGTCAGAGCAACGATTCGTTGTGAGCACATTTACTCATTGTGATCTTCGCCTCTCCGCGCCACAAACGCCACCCTCAATCCAATGTGTCGATCGTTGCCCATTTGGAACCCTCCGTGAAATTTGTTTTTGTGCGGTCATTGTATTGGTACTTGATTACTGCGAGATTTGCCGGAGAGTATTTCAGAGGTGTGGGAAGTACTCGTAAGGCATCTATTACTCTGACACGGCGAGCAGGTAGAGGGGATGCCCAATCCATATTTTTGAGCATCATTTTCGATAAGTAGTTGAACTATGCTTGGAGATACTGGCCGCCTGAAAGCTCACTATTCCCTGTGCGTGCGCTGAGAGTTGAAACCTGGTAAATGTCACACCTCAACCAAACCACTGCTCAGGCTGGATGATAGATGAATAGTCTAGGCCATAGGAATTGACCCATCGCAGCCATGGTTGGCAACGGATGCCCAACTCAGGATGTGGTGTCCTCTGCAATTTAAGCGACTACTGGAGACCGGCGATATGTACAACGTATTATTGTACGTAACTCAGGCTGTCATCCTCTCCTACCTCCTATTCCCCAAGGATCACATTTTTACCAGGTGCATGGTTCACTTTTAGGCTAGAGAGTCACTTGAATGGGCTCAGTCAAGTACTTAGTGCGTCAATCCAGGCTCCCATTTCTATGCGCGACGCAAGCTCCATGTTTCTACGATATCTTGATGGGTCTGGAGGCTGTTGCCCATACCTCTAACTAAACCCATATATTTACATGCAAGGTCCAGGATACTTCCTGGTTGGCATGCTTAGAGCCAATGCCGGAATGCAGTCCTGAATGACCAATCTATGACTGTTGTTTCGTTCAATACCCCGTACTTCGAAATGAGACAGCCGAGGAAGCTCAGCCTCGTGTCTCCAGGCCTCTGCCAAGCAAAGCTTGATGCCTGATAACCCACGAGCTGAGGCTCGAACATGGCGATTCTTCCAATCCAGAAATCTGTTTGGGTCCCCAGGGCAACTGCATTGATAAAGACAACAGTATTACATTTCGCATATATTCACTGATTCGCCATTAGAGTCTCAACACTTGTGTGGCAATTTTTTTTCCACCGCAAGCATGGCAGCTACTTCAGGACTTGATTATCTAAATCTACACCCCTTTGTTCGCGACGGGACGCACGAAAGATTGCTAGGATGTGTCTTCGGAGGAGTGCTAGGAGACTGTATTGGGCTATATACGGGTTCGCGATGAATTGCTTTTTTGGATAACGCACTCTGACGTCCGTCAGAATTCTTGCCCAAGACATCTTGTGAGAAACTGTATCCTGACAGAAAGTTCAGCCTTATCCAACCGATCACACCTTTCGCCGCCGATACGCACCGAGGTATGTGGCGCCATCCAGGCTAGTTTCAAAATTCTAACAGGCGTTAGACAAGTTCGATATCGTACGTTGCTTCCCGACCGCGACGGAATGTTGGATATGGGTTTGAATTGTGCTGATCATTGGTAGGGATCCTGGACAGATGATACCGACCACGCCTTGCTACTCATACTTTCCTACGTTCACAACGACGGCCAAATCCTCCCAGAAGACTTCGCGCGCCGATTGCAGATCTGGGTTCGACACGGACTCTTGGCTCTAGGCAGACTGCCACTTGGGATTGGACGAACGACTTCGACGGTGGTCTCATACCCAGACTTTGCAAAGGATCCTGAGGGCGTTGCACTAAAGACGTGGATCAATTCATCACGCCATGCTGCCGCGAATGGATCGTTGATGCGGACTCACCCCCTGGGTATTATGTGCATCAGCAAGACCTTGGATGAGACCTTGGAGATTGCTGCGAACATGAGCCGGACTACGCACATTGACCCTAGGTGCACAGTTGCATGCTGCGCAACAACAGGCCTTGTACGAGGCCTTCTGAGGGGAGAAGTGGTGAGTGAGGGGGAAGTGGACGCCATACTCGACCAAGCTTTCTCCTACGTCCAAAGCAACGAGAGTCTTCGAAACCCTGGGTATGATGTTGCGGCTATAACCCCGGCATCCAGTGAACAAGACAGCACTCTGCTTCGCAAGGATGAGTACGAGAAGCATACCAAAGCAACACATTTTTCTGATCTCCAACTTGACGACAGTCAAAAGATGGGCTATGTTTACAAGTGCCTTGGCTCGGCGGTGCTGGCATTGAGGCTAGCAATGAGAGGGAAGATTTCAAAGACCACACTGACGAATGGAAACACCAATCTCTTCGAGGAGATAGTCACAGATCTGATCATGCAAGGAGGGGATGCGGACACTAATGGATGTGTTGCGGGTGCCCTCTTAGGAGCTTGGTCTGGATATTCTAGATTACCCCAACACTGGTTGCAGGGAGTGCAACATCATAACTGGATGCTGTGGAAGTGTGAAGCGTTGAGCAGACAGAGTGGTGTTGGGGGAGAGCTGCTGGAAGAACTCGACAAAGCGGCAGATGCTGGTCCTGATGGAGGGCGGGGACTGTTTAGCGACAAGGAGCTGGATGCCCGGGAGCGAGGTCTACTTGAGAAGATCTTGCTCAAGCAGAAAGATAGACGCGAGGCGAAGGAGAAGGAAGACAGTAAGAGACCATGGAGGGGGATTGGAGGGTTGTTGAAGAACATGAAGCTCACATAGGGACGTAGATACCTAACGTCGTGGGTGCCAAGGTCGGTAACTATGGATTAGGACTGAGTACTCGTAAGTGGATGAATTCGGATACCATCTCCGCGTACCCGTTAGCGTGTCTTGGCGTCTCATCTTATCGATAAGCTACCCTGGTACCTCGGACTTCCAGCATCCCGCCCACGCATGCCTTCCCCTCACTTCTCACGTGAGTGCCGTAATAGATGGCATCCGCAGGGGCCCCTCCCGCGTGATTAAGCAAGCACTGGCACATCATCCCTCCTCTTCTCGTCCGCCGGTGTCGAGTGCTGGCATCGGGTGACCTCTGCATCGCATCTGTCTATTCCTTATCCCGCTGCTGATCTCCCTAGGCAGTCCACATTAGTCATGGCTTGGATCCCACCCTGACAACCCATTCCTCCTACTAATCCACAACTTCCGTCCTCCTCGATCCGTACGAGTAAGGAGTACTCCTCACAAATAACCACTGCTGGCTGGACCATGAAACCCCTCCTCTTTTTCTTCACCTGATATACCTACTCAGCTTACGGAGGAGGTCCTCTTCAAGTACAAAGTACACCGCACCCTCCTTGAACCTTAAGAGTCCCCTCACATTCATCCAAAGGCCCGGCGCCAATCTGATCTACTTCCGGCCTTCCGATCCATCCTCCTGACACCAAGGGGTGATGAAATTGATTGTTTCCTCGCTTTGCAACACTCGTCTCTACCATTACTACTTGATCCTCATCCATAATGTCCCTTCTGCGCAAACAATCTGATCCAACTACCTCTACTTCTATCTTTGCAACTTACCTCACCCAGTCCCTCCCCTTCCGCCGCAAATCACGCCAGTCCAGCACCGACAGCAACATCTCTACATATTCAGCTGCATCTCAAGCCTCTGTCGAAACATCGTCTTCAAACCCATTCGTTCGGTGCCTGACCCCAAACCCAATCCCTGTCTCCTCTAGCTCCTCCGCTATCGCCCCTCCTGACGGCAAGTTCCTTCATGGCCATACATCGCACATCCATTGTGCCAAGTGTTCAACGGACCTATGCCTGACGTCTCAGATCATCAGTAAGGGATTCACCGGTCGGCATGGTAGAGCGCTCCTCGTTCAAGGAAACCCCACCCACATCCAGTCCAACACGGCAGCTCTACCGAACACTTATCAGAACAAAAACATTCCTCGCAACCTGGTCACAGGCCAGCATATCGTGAGTGATATCTCCTGCCAAATCTGTGGGAGCACACTGGGCTGGAAATATGTCGAGGCGAGTGAGGAGAGCCAGAAGTACAAGGTTGGCAAATTCATCCTCGAAACCAAACGGGTCCGCGTCGGCGTTTCTTGGGAGAACGACGATAGCGCCGGCCTTGGTGCTCACACCTACGATGAGGTTCTACCACTCCCGCCACGAGACTTGAAAAGACTGGTTGACAACCCATCCAAATCCGACCAGGAAGTAGAGTTTGATTCGCAAGATGAAGATGAATGTGAAGATATTTTCGCAGGAGTCTGGAGCCCTCAGCTTGCTGCCAAGAGACGTCAGAGGAAACGCGAACGCTTCGGGAGACGACCAGTTGGAGGTAGCATGAGGAGTTATGGTGCTGCCAGCAGTACTGATACGCTATCTTGATCATCGGGTCATCTTCTTTGGCTCTCTACAGAAGGACAACTCCTAACCCTTTTTGGACTAACAGACTCGGCACAATCCGTGAACAACAGCAAGACTCGCTGCTCACGGAAGCATATTTTGCTTTTTACCCCGTAGCAACAACAGCGGCATTTACGAACTACCCCATGGAGGAACAACTCCCAGCATATTTCATCCGATTTGACTTGTCTTGTTTCATGGAGTTTTGGTTATAAGTCTGGTACTAAACACAAGAATAGCACCTGAATGGCAGGACCTGCGCGATGATACCCCTAGCAATAAATTGGTGTTTCTGAATGCCTAGATGGAAGTATGACATCCCATATATTTGGGTGTCTGGTGGAATGCAGTGGTATTACAGTTGATCTAATCAATGCCAGTCGTCTTGGAGCCGGGTGGCAGCATGGCAGGGTGCTTGTGAGGTGTTGGGAGTGTCGGAATCATCTCGAATGCTCTCCCAAATCGTGGAGCTGACGTAGTCGGGTGGTCCCACCCAAATAGTAATATAATTCATATCCAACCCCAACTTTCTATGCTATGCTCTTGTAATCCGATGCCTTCAGAAGTCGAGCAATTTGAAATACAATCGCTCTTCTGGTCAGCCTTCGCTATCAACGGGCTTGTCTGGCGAGGCTGAGGATAGTCACATGTCAATTAAACTAGGTCAAACATGGCTAGCGTTTATGCCAAGGGACTAACGATCCTACAAGCTCCCCATGATTACAATTGCCAACTTCACCTGGTGACCATCTGATTCAACCAACAAATCCTGCCCCCCACGTTCTCCATTTCCACCTTGATAGGCAGAACTCGAGATTCAGGACTTCCACCCGCCGTCCAGCCGAGCCGATAAAGCAGTTCGCAACCGTAACTTGGCTGTTGTCAACACCACATACGAAGCACCGCTCTACAACGCTGTAGGCCCGAAAGATTTCAGTCGGTCTTCAGACATGGGGAGATCATCTCCTCAAGGGCTCACCACCCAGGATTTCCACCATCCGTCTTTTGTCAATCCTCGGGATGTTTTTCCATCAAGATCGAGACTGGCCGCTCGAGCCCAGGGGTTGAGAACGCCAGTAAAGAATGGCACATTGTCCAGGAGTCCGTCCAGGTTTCCTCTAGACTCTCATAAGTTTGTCTGCTGCAAGGCCGAGGGCGACCATGATGATGACGATGACGGTCCTCTGTTTCACCCACCCAATGTCCTGGATTGCTGTGTTGACTTGGACAGCCATGGAAACCAACCTGATTGTTGCGACGAGGTTCGCCATAATTCCCCGAGCGCCATGGAGTGCGAAGATTGCGTGGACGATTGTGAAGACTGCGAAGAGGAGCACCAAATATTCAACCACCAAAAGATGTCTGCCACGATAGGGGGCTTCCTCGACGACTGTGATGAATGCCACCAAGAACACGATAAAAATTGCACTCGAGCCGACTGCGATTTCTCTTGTTTCGATTGCATTGATTGGAATGAATTTGAACGCGATAAGTCTCTTGGTCTTGCTTACTCGGTGCCTCTCCTGGGTGACAATAGCTTTACCATCCCTCACCAACCACTCGACGAGATGGATATGTTGAATCTTCCAACCTCAGAATTTCCCGACGCGCAAGCTGAAGTTATGGCCCCTCCTCTCGATATTCCCATGCATCACCAGTGTCTCGGAACCACTGTGCCTTATTGGATTGGGATCCCGGATACTCAAATCTGCACTGGCAGTCCAGTTGTTGGCCTACAAACCCAACAATTCCCTCTCCCTCCTTTCGGTCTCGAATACGGTTGTCATCCAGCTACTGCTCATCAGCAGGTACTGCTGCCGTCCTTTGTCCCACCGACATCGTCAGCCTACCCCCCCACTCCGGTGGACTCGACACATATCCCCTCCCCACCAAGACCAACTTCAGCGCCGGAAGGACCGCTCAACGATACTAAAGCCCTTTTGTCAGCCGTCTCTGCTCCCTCCACCTCCCGTTCCTGCCAATGGATAATGCCATGTGGCACAGTCTGCGGCGCCAGCTTTGCCTCAGCAACAGACCTGAAGAAGCACCTGAAAACCGTTCATCTGATCAAAGGCGTGGTCAAATGTGGCTGGCAAGGCTGTGAGAGTGCAAGCTTCGCATCCGAAGCCGCCTTGACCGGGCACATATCCAAGAAACACCTCGCACCTCTGATATCCACGAACTCGAACTCCACCACCACAGTAATCGGCCCTGATGGCATCAAAACGGAACAACCCTGTGGTGGTGATGAGGGCACTTTCAAATGCACATTCCCCGGCTGCACGAAATCGTTCATGTATAAACAAGTGCGCGACGAGCATATTGCATCCAGCCATAATGGCAACAAGATGTATTGCCACATTTGTGGACAGTTCCTCAACGGTGAGGGCTCGAACTTCAAGCGCCATATGGCCACCCACAGACCTAAGCACCAGCACATGCTGTGCAAGTTTCATGGCCTAGGCTGTAAACGTCGGTTTCCCAGGTTGGACAATCTAAGGAGACACGAAGCAGGCTGCAAGTTTGGCAAGAAGGCTGCACTGCTAAATAGTACCGGTGGTGTCGCGGCCGCTAAGGATGGCCATCATCACCATCATCATGCACACGTCCATGTACCGAAGGCATAGGCTCGGGGAAGTGGTGGAGATTGAGTGCGGGAGAAGCTTTTGATTCCATTTTTCCCAAGGCGTAAGCATGCAGCGCTAGACTGTCAGTATTGTGACTTGGTGCTCTTAAACGATGTGATGAATCGCCCTGCGGTAATGCCAGTGGAGTGGCGGCAGGGCAAAGGACAAAAGCACAGATATTACCATAGATGAATGTGATATGCTACGCTCACTCCCCGTGCCCTTACTTTAGACTGTCGTTGGGTCGAGATTGTGAATTGATTCGCCAGCGTCCTCAGATACAACGCAATGAATACGATGGAGGATGTTCACTATTCAACGTTGTACTACAAGCAAAGCATGAAATCTGGAGCTGACCAGGTCAATCTCCAAGTTCATGCATGCATGCGTGCATTCATTCATTCATCCATCCATTCATTCATTCATTCGTCATCTCGCCAGGGTGGAGCGTGCTTGCCAGCATCACCCCTGCTTTGGCTGGCTAGCAGTACTTGTCCACTGAGTCTCCTATCGCAAAACCACGGATTAGAGACGTCTACTCGGCTATGCCTCGTCTACTTATAAGCCAGCCATGAAGTTCGTATGCCATGTAGCAGCGCCATGCACGTTGTAGCAACTCTATCATTCACCGCCACTGCGCTCAGCAGGTTCGTGTTTCTTTTCGTATCCACAGTAGAACGCCGCAACGTAGACTTCCTAGTGAACAGTCGGATCATTGGGATGCCAGGAATGCTCTCACAGAACACCATCCTCACTGGCTAGCACTCAGGCGCCAACCCCCCCTTTCAATGTCCAAGCTCAAGCGATCTTGACCTTCCACTTCTTAACTGCAGCATCAGCACCGGTACTGTAAACAGTATCACCCACCCAAACGACACCATTGACACCTTCCTTGTGAGCGTTGGTCTCCTTGGTACGCTTACCCGGCTCTTTGAGACTCCAGACAAAGAGATTGGTATCTAAACTGCCGGAGACAGCTCCCGTGCCCTCAGGGTTCCACGCGATGGCCGTGATCTTCCCCGTATGCGCGCTCCAGCGATCAGTCACCAGCTCCAGCGACGCCGCACCGGTCATGAGACCTGTCAGTCCACCACCGGCGACCTTGTACACGAAAATCTTGCCTGCGGCCGTTCCTGTCGCGACCAGAGTGCCGTCGGCGGAGAAGGAGATCGCGGTTAGTGGTGTCGCAGAGACTTGCTCCACCACCGTAATTTGCTTGGGTGCTTTGCCCGGCACCACGGAGAATAACCGCAGGCTGGAATCTTGCGAGCCGATGGCAACTGTGCTGCCGGACGAGGCAAGCGAGGTGGGTGTCGATTTGAGCGGGAGCTCGCCGTCTTCCTCACTGTCGCAGTACACAATGACACTTTCGAGCTGTGCAACGACGACCAGTCCGTCCACGGTCGTTATGGCTTTAGGCTGCGATGAGAGGGATACTGGCTTTCCGGTGAACGTCTTTGCGCCGGCGTCGACAGTTCGAAGGGTGTCATCCCAGCCAACGGAGTAGATTTGGGGGTGTTTGTCTGCGGTAGAAACCGCCACGCCCGAGACGATGTTAGTATGCCCTTCACCGTCGACTGTCTCCGCTGTCCCGTTTGCGGCATCCCATGACACTATGCGGCCTTCGGCGCTACCGGTCCATAGTGTTGTAGACGCTCCCTCGCCCGATGTCGCCAGTGCGGTGATGTTCTTCTGATGGCCTGAAATGACTTTGGTTGGTGTCCCGGAGTTGGTATTCAGGTAGTTTAGCTGTCCACTGAGGGAAAGCGAGATGATCAGACCGTCCGATCTACCCGCAGGCCAAACGACGCCGACCTGCTGATCAGAAACATTGACAGTATCGCTGAGCGACCAGGTCTGAGTTACCCTGCCGGCCTCGACGTCCCAGGTTTTAACGGTCCGGTCAGCAGAGCAGGTGACGAAGTTCTTTGAATCCTTGGACCACGACACACCGAAAATACTTCCATTGTGGCCCTCTGCGCCGTCGCTGATCTCGGTCTTGACCTCTCCTGATTTCCCGTCATAGACGAAGATCTTCTTGTCGCCCCCGACACTTAGTAAATGGTTCCCATCTGGCGAGAAGGCCACGCCATAAACGAAGTTCGTGTGATTCCCTCGACCAGGAATGCCATTGAATTTGAATGGTGCTCCATGGTAGAAGACCAGATTCTTGTCATCGCCTGCTGTAGCTGCTCTCAAGGGTCGCTGTTGTCGTATACTCACAGCACTGACCTGTGCAGAATGTCCGCTTATTTCGCCCACGGTATTACCCGAGTCTGCAGTGATGCAATGCCCGTACCGTTGCTTCCCGTCGCCCACAGCGATTATACGCTGGCTGTCACCGTCCCACGCAATGTCGTTGATGCGACCAGATATAATAGCATATTCCCCCTTGGTGACTCCAGAGCCATTGGGAGAACTGTCCCACACCCTCACGATGCCGGAAGCGTCTCCCGAAGCGACGTAGAACCCGGACGGAGAGAATCGAGCGACAGATGTAGTGGCTGTGTGTTGCGTGTACTGAGTGGAAATGGCAGGGCTGTCGATGGACCGCAGGAAGATGGATTTGTTGGAGGCATAGGCTATTCGTTCGCCTTTCGAGTCGGCTGACAGAGGCGTAGGTTGGCCTCTGGTGGTCGTGGGCAGAGCGGCGTAGATGCCGTCTAGTGTGTGTCAGTTTACTCAATATCAATCTTCGAGGAGAGGCACATGGCACGTACCGGCGGTGATAGACATGATCAGTTCATGCGACGAGTAAGAGAGGGTAGAGGTAGAAGGGGGAGGGGCTTTGGTGTGAAGTGGGAGTGGGCAGGCAGGAGTTGAACTTGCATGTGAGACAGGCCGCCCGCATCCTGGTTTATTTGATGACGCAGCCTTGTGGAGAGCACAAGGCTGCGTCATATCGCCTACCAAAGTATCTACGGATACGGTACATAGTCAGAAGGCATCACCCGAGCATGGTCATAGCTTGCTATATACACTGAATCCATCACCGGACAATTCTCAACAATCTCAAGAATTTCATCCCGAATGCTTTCTAGAAGTACAATCGACTCATTCCCAGCACACAGCCCGACATTCACCCTACACTAGTACCGGCGAGATGTCGCCTGTCGCGTCGACCCGTTCACGATATTCGCACTTTCCGTCCTCTTCAGGACCTCGGGGTGTTTGTGTATGCTAGGCATCAGTCCCAGGCTTATTGCGCGCCTGATAGCTTTGGCCACCTTGCGCTGGTTAACGGGTCTGAGACCAGTCAACTTGGAATGTTTTATTCGACCCATATCCGTCATAAAATCGGACATGACGGTGAAATTCTTATAGAGTGAGAGTGGGTTGATGTTCAGCTGGTCGAAAATGTCTGACGTAGGCCGTCTTCTTTGCTTCCATTTTCTGGTCTCTGCGGCACTCAGATCGTGCGGAGCGTACACGTCACCAGGGATCCATTTGCGTCCCAGTTGTCGTTTGATCGCTCTCTTTTCTTCTTCAACTTGCTCGGACCGTCTGGCTGTCTGGAGAGAGGGCGCTGTGAGAGGTCGGGTTGTCGTTTCTAATACATAATTAGCGGGAAGTTTCGATCGCAAGTAAGGTAAATCGGCATACGAAAGGGGTGGGCTGCTATGAGCTTGCTTGCAGTTTGGCCGTGCTGAACTCCTGTTCTGGAGCCCAGACTGATAGACATTGCCCCTACACGACTCGATGCTTCAATACGAACTCGCAGGTGTAGGTAGGGCCAAGTGAAAGTGGGCGTGAGTGTGTCGAGCCGAATTCAACATCTCCAAAAGCTCAAGTCGCAGACTCCCAGTTCCACGGGATATGCCAAGCCCACGGAACGAAAGTTAATCCGATCTCCGCAACACACGGCAGACGGAGACGTGCCCAAGTACATACTCCCTAAAGCTACCAGGCTATAGACCACAACGCTATAACGGAAATACAAGTAATAGGTGTGTAGCTAAGAATTTGAGCATGTTTTTATTATCTAGCAAGTGACTGTGGAATGCTCCCCTACCTCGATAAAAAGTGTTCCATAATTGCATGCATGAGCAAGTCAACTGTTCTCTCGGCATGTGCTCACCACGGGCTCATGGACCTCATTCGAGTTCCGACTCAATCACTGGGAATGGGCCTTCCTTCGGAGGCCAGATCTTGACGACCTTAAGACCGACACTCGCCAAAAGGGCCCTCCAATGCTTTTCACTTCGCTGCATGGAGCTGAAGGTCGCCCGGCTAATATCGGCCAGCGATTCGAATCCGGTGCATCCAGTGGCTGGCAGGACAGTCTCACAGACAAGCAGTTTTGAATGCCCCTTGACCATTCCTTGAATCTGATTGCGGAGGATCTCGCGGCATTTGGAGTCGGGGAAGTCGTGCAAGACACGTCGCATGAAATAGATGCTTGCCCCTATTCAAGTCAACTTAGAACAACGCTTCAACACAGGTGTCATCTTCCGAGGGAAAGTTGACAATACCTTTAACTGGCTGTGGGGTGAAGAAATCATACTCCATGACTTCATAACTTGGGGTTTTGGCTCGGGCCTCCTCGATAATAGCCCCTAGGTCCTGTACCACAAATCGGCCTTGAACCTGAGGATTCTCTTCCATGGTCTTTTCGGTCACCTGGCCGATGCCTCCGCCAACATCTACCATCACCACTGCATTTGCATTGGTTCCGCTAGAATCTAACAACGGCTTAGGGATCGGGCTTGCAAGGAGTCCGGCTGCACCCTTCATTGCAGAGTTGAAGCGGACAAGACGCACGGGGTCATCACGCAGATACCCGAAGAAGTCGGTCCCGGTTGCGTAATGAGACAGCGTCTTTTCGGGGTCCTCAGGATTCTTGTATCCCAACTCGGCGAGATATGTGGGTAGCTTGCCGATGCAACCCCAGCTGCTATCAAAACTAAAGTGGTTGTATGGGTGAGTCTCTGAAATTGCAAACTTCTCGCGGCAGTTAAAGGGGCCAACGGACACCTCGTCGCTGGGGAAGCGCAAACTCACGTATGCTTATTCAGGTCTCTCGTAGCTGGAACTGTCAACGCCTTTGAGAGAGACGTCTGGCCGTATGTATGCTCTGCCACCTCAGACACGATATCATAGCCTGTTAGAACGCGCATGAGACGGACTTGCGGGGACCTGTTAGTTACCCAAACTCGAGAGGTAGGCTTTTCATCTCCATCCCGGAACAACATACCTATCAGTGTCTCCTCTGCCCCCGTTTTCTGCGCCAGTTCAGCTGCAGTCGTTGACTCTCCAAGCAGATTGAAGATATCCAGATCCAACGCAGTACGCACAACTGCATTCAGCCATGGCTATATCGTGGTCAATAATTAAATAAAACAATTGATTTGCGCTGAGGAGGGAGCTCACCATGAACGCGAGCTGGGTTGCTCCTTGCGCGGGATTGACCGTCTCGCAAGCGATCTTGTTTGCAGTAGACCACATTTGTTGACGGCTTTTATTGACTACTGGCTTTTGCGACCTCTGGTCGGGTGTAAGGGAGACATAAGCATCTATTGATGCGTTTAGAGAGTCGCGTAGCGCAAGTAGTGTCTTGACATCATCCTGTGGTGTCGCCATTTCCACGAACGCTCAGCCTCGCGTGCTTGATGATACGAGGGCTCGCTTGCTTTTGACAATGGGGGTTACTGGCAAGGATCAGGATAATTGAAGATCGTAATAGTCAGTATTCAGAGTGAGTAATCTGCACGTTTATGATGTCCCAAAAGAACAGTTCGCACCAAAAACGGCGGCGCTGCCATCCAGCTCAGTTAGAGAAGCCAAGGTCTAGGCGTCCATGAGGCGCCTCGGGCGTCTCTCCCTAGAGACCCCGCTCCCCGTGGCTAAGGAGTGAGGGCCCGGGAGCTTGTGTTGAGAGGTATGTCCTCCATAGAATGAGTAGCGGTTCTGACATGCTGTAAGTTGTAACTAGTCTCACCTGTCAACTCGATTCTGATTACATGCTGACTCCTAGGGCAAAGACACCATGTGGTCCAGAAGCTGTTTGTGCGATCGAATTCATGGAGACAAACACAGAGGAGCGAAGTACGGAGTACCTGGCATCCCTGGGGCTGGAGCGAGCAAGGCATATCCAACAGGAATGGGGCTAATGCAGGTCAGTAAACTGCCCCAGGACTATCATTCCCAACGGGCCTAGGCTATTCAAGATAGGACAAGTGTGTACCGAATCCCTCGTGCCTTACCTCTATTCCTGGGTACGGAGTACATATCCCTGTAATTAATGGATGGGGTTCTCCATTGGTGTGACATTTCCCCAGGCACTATGCGGACCTCAGTGTGCCAAAAATTAACCATGTAGGCCAGGACGATGCATGATGTTTTTGGCCGGGTCCAAAAATAGTGACAGTGAGTACGACTCAAAGTTATGATCTTGCTTCGTGAGGATTATTCCATCCGCCTCCCGGTGTAATTCGAGTTGAGGAGACTTATTGCCAGGGAGCTCGAGGAGATCTTTGACAGTCATGGAACTCATCAATCGTGCTTGATTGCACAACATCTGAACAGCAAGGTCATTGCGGAGAGCTCCCTCCTACTTTGTCCGCTTTCTCTCGAACTTTCCATTCCCCCACAGCGGTCTTCGTTTCTCTGACTCTCATGGGTAGTTGCAGCTGTTCAAATGAGCGAGCGCGAAGGGCCGCAAGATGGATGTTGACAATGATGCAATTTTCAGCTACGGACCCAATATATCTTCAGTCCGAGTCGAAGCCTGGCTCCCTTGTGCATGCGGCCTGCTGAGGTTGATGCGGAGAATACACCACTCGTCTAGTAGTCAATTACATCTAAATGTTTGATCAAATCCCTGTTCATTACTGATAGGCGCGAGAGCGAGAGAGAGAAAGAGATCTATTTAGGCATCCAGTTTCTTATACACCTTCCAGCCCTCCCTGCTCAGCCGTTCTCCCTTAGCCATATTTTCGTCATCCATCTTTTGTAGATGTTGCTGGACCCAGCTTTCTACTCGCTTCTCGCTTGTGCCTACAATCCGAGCGGCCAGGAGTGCAGCGTTGACACTATTCCCGATACTGACCGTTGCCACGGGGATACCACGTGGCATTTGTACGATGCTGAGCAAGCTATCAAGACCATCCAAGCTGCTAGCTTTGACAGGGACTCCGATCACAGGAACCGGGGTGACGGAGGCCATCATACCGGGCAGATGAGCCGCGCCCCCAGCCGCAGCGATGATAGCTTTTAGTCCCCGACCAGCTGCGGCCTTGCCAAAGTCGAGCATATATTGCGGTGTACGATGTGCGGACGTGATGGTCACCTCGTAAGGGATATCCATTTCATCCAAGAGCGTAAGACCGGGTTTCAATGTGGCCAGATCTGTATCAGAGCCCATCACAACAGCAATCACAGAGCTCGGTGCAGGAGCCGGGTTGGCTTTTTGGAGTGTGCAGGCGGTCTTGGTGATGTCAGCTGCAGACGTCCCAGATGTGCCCGTTCGGTGGGCCCGTGTAGCATCCGCCAGCTGAATCAGTGAGTGCATCTTGGTTGTGCACTCCGACATAGATGATCCGAGCAGTGTGATGTGTCCCATTTTCCGACCGGGGCGACCATCCCCTTTTCCGTAGAGGTGCACCTTGGCCCCAGCAATATCGAGAGCGGCATCGGCGATCAAGAGGTGAGACTGTGGCTCGGGCCCGCCCAATATATTAAGCATCACAGCTGCGGGCGCCAGGAGGTCGGTGCAGCCATTGGGAAATCTTTCTGCTAAATCGGGTAGGATCGCGCGAATCTGTGCCTCGTACTGAGACATCTGGCAGGCTTCGATGGTATAGTGACCAGAGTTATGTGGGCGAGGTGCGATCTCATTGATCACTAAGCTATTGTCCTTGAGCAGGAATAGTTCCACACCAAAAACTCCGGTGCCGGAAAAGGTGGAAACTGCACGCCGTGCCAGATCTTGCGCTGCTTTGGCCACTTCCGCCGAGATGCCGCGAGCGGGCACATAAACCAACTTGCAGATGCTGTCCTCATGGATGGTTTCAGCAGCAGGATATGCGATTGTTGCCAACTCCCATGATTCCACCGAGGCATCCTGCCTTTTCTTGATGACCATAACAGCTAGCTCCATTTGGAAGTCTGCCCATTGCTCTGCATAGAGTGGTCGGTTGTTCAGGGCAGCCAAGGCCGACTCAATCTCTGATACTGAATTGACCGGATAATTTCCCCGTCCATCGTAGGCCTCGGTCCGAGACTTCAGCATGAATGGATATCCAATTTGATCCGCGATCTCTTTCAGACCTTGTGGGTGAGAAGTGCCAACTGCAAGAGATTTGGCGGTTGCAATGCCAAACTTGGCAAAGTGCTGCTTCTGGGCGAATTTGTCCTGAATGGTACGAACAGTCTTCCAGGCAGGCTGAATGCGTGACCACTTGGTCCCCTCGAGATAGGGCTGCTCCTCATCAAGCTCTTCGAGGACTTTTGTGTCGACATGTTCAATTTCATAGGTCAAGACATCGCAGTTGGCTGCCAGGGCCTTGACGTCAGCCGCGTTGGCGAAGGAACCAGTGACGTGCTTGTCGCTTCGGTTGATTTGTTTGGCCGGTGCATTCTCACCGTCGAGAATAGCGACCTGAATGTTTAGTCTGTGGGCAGCCTCTACCAGCATCCGACCCAGCTGTCCGCCCCCTAGCACACCAACCACATGGGGGTCCATGACTCACTCACTGGCTGGTTGGAAATATGGCTTTGAAATTTGGGGTTGAGGAAACTATTATGCAAGGATAAACAAAAGAGATGAAGGGGAGGCAACCAGAAAGTTATATGTCTTATTAGTAGCACAGGCGGTGGGGACGGATCTTGGCACTTTGGACTTAACCTCAAACCCTCTTGTAAGGACCTTTTTCTCTCAAGTTGACTGCCTCCCCATCAATGTGTAGAGCCTGATGCAGATAGTGCCTCGGACACGAGGCAACACCGGCGATTTTACACAGACCCAGGGACCTATGTTTCGACCGGGAAAGCGATGGAGACGAAGACAGCCTGCGGTGAATGCCAAATGCAGGCACGTGACCCAGCTTTGATTGGGTAGCCTAAAGCAGCGGCAGTCTAGACCGAGGAGGGCAAGTCGGGTATTGATGGGCCGGTTGAGCAGTTCTCCGCATCTTGACAGACGCAGACACAATTCGCGCGGTCTCTCTATCAGATATTTCCTGCATCCATCAGACCACCATTTATCTAATACTTGCTCTTGCCCACCATCCATCGTACTTAATGGCTCTCGTGCGATTCAACTGCCACTTTCCCTGAAATCGTCGAACTCAAGCTCAGAGCTTCACCATGAAGGCCTCCAGTCTCACACGGAGTGTCTTCCGCGCAATCCTCAATGACCGGCCATATGCCATTAGGGGGTGCGAGGAACCACGGCAAAGAACTCAAAGATACAGACTCATCCAGCCTCGATACAACTACCTCCAGACACGCCACTTCTTTGGTTTCGGTTCCCACAGCCAAGTCTCGCATTCACTTTTCCAAGACGCCAAACCAGCCTCACCCAATCTAGAGCGCGCTCTAGGAAAGCTATCAGACCTCGTCAAGGCAAGAAGAAATAACTCTAGATTCCCTCCTGAGAACGAGATCGTTGATGCCTTCCGGTACATCTTCGCTTCCCGACTCAAGTCACCGAGACATCTCACAAGGAACGAGGTGAATCTCGCCACCGAAGCATTTATACATTTGCGGGAACGGAGTCGTCTATTGATCGGAGACGGGAAGACGACTTTACTTGAGGACGACCTTAACAATGTTTTACTAGCATTGGCATCCTCCACTGGAAGAGATCGATATCGAAGTGATGCGAGAGTTCTGGCTACGTATATATTTGAAGCTCTGCGTGATCCCTCTACGAACCCCCAGGACTATCTCTCAAAATTGGGCAAGCAACAAGTGCGAGGGTCTTTACTTGCAACATACATCACAGTTCTATCTACGACCGGGTCCGCCCGCGATGCCCTCGATTTGCTACGGAAATCATGGGGGTCTTCAGAGAGGACGAGCCTACCTATTTGGGTGACCATCTTGAGAGGTCTTGCCGGTGAAGGGCACACACAGGAATTGTGGGACGTCCTCCAGGAGGTCCATAATAGTATCGGTCTACTTGATGCTCCTTCACACGAAGTCCTAACGACCTTCCTTGCCGATCATGACGAGATAACACTTTTGAAGAAGATCTTTGAGTTGCCGCTAGAGGATGGTCAAGTGCCTACAACCTCATCACTTGTGAAGGCATTAGACTGTTGCATCCGCCTGGGAGAATTTGAGTGGGCCGCCCCGTTGGCAAAAGCGTTACATCAAAGGACAGATTCGGGGGAGCTTGCGGGAACTCTCCTATTATGGTATGCTTCCCATGATGACAACGTGGATCACATACGGCGCAGAATCGACGATATGGCAGAATCTGGTGTCGCAGATACCATGACCATGAATACCATCAATCGAATTATCCAATACGCCTACCTGCAGCATAAACCGGAGAAGGCTCTTGAGTATATCCAACTAGCTGAACGACTTGGTCTTCTACCAGATTCGCGGACCAGATCTCTCCAATTGGATTACGAAATCAAGCAAGGAAATCGTCGTGCAGCCTCACAAGCCTTCCACCAGCTAACACGAGAAGAGGTTCCCGTCGACCGCCGAGATGTACCCGTACTCAATCGCTACATTGCATCACTGTCTTTCTCTGCCGATCACGAATACGACCATCTTATGCACGTAGTTGATCACCTCTTGGAGAGTGGGGGTGAACTGGATGCTGAAGCAATTGCAGGGCTGTGTCATGTGTTCCTCGACAAGGATGAGATCGAAGAGGCCACCGGGCTCCTTCGCTACCGGGTTGACTCTCTACCCTTGGACGACCGTGCACGCATTGCTGCAGTCTTTCTCAACTTCATCCCTGATCCTACCATCCAGCCTCAACGGGCATATAACGCATACGAACTCCTTCGCCATGCTTTCCCAGAGACCTCCGTCTCCCACAGGTTGCCACTGATGCAAAGCTTCTTCGACCGCGGCCGCCCCGACCTGGCCTGCCTTGTCTTTGGCCACATGCGGCAGAGAGAAAACCTTGAAGCACGCCCTTCCGCGGACGCTTACGCACTGTGTTTCGCCGGCATCGCCAAATGTAAAGACATCGACGGCCTTCAAATGGTGTACAATATGCTAAAACTAGACCTACAAGTCGAAAAAACGACTCGCATCCACAACAGCCTTATAGCCGCATATACGGAATGTCAACAGCCCTTCGTCGGCATCATTGACCATTTCTGGAAAATCATGGAATCCCGCGAAGGACCGACAATCAGCTCCTTCCAACTCGCTCTCCGCGCCTGCGAGAAATGGATTCCCCAAGGCGGCCACGAAGCACGCCACATTATGGCGCTGATGCAATCCTTCAACCTGCACATCACCAAGGAGATCTACGACCTCTACATCGGCGCTCTGGCTGGCCAGTCGGAGTTCGAGAACGTCGTGGAGCTGATCGATCACATGCTCGAAGACATCGGCGAACACCCGGACTTCTTCACGATCGGCACTTTCTACAACGCCATCCCCTGGCAGTTCCGCAAGGATGAGGTCGAGGCCTGGGCCAAGCAAGCGTACCCGAAGGAATGGGCTGAGCTGGAATCCTTCGGCGATGAAATCGACGAGGAGTGGGAAATCAGGTACTTCAAGATCGATCGTAACCGACATATCGACATGCATGATGATCTGCTCTTCGGTGATGGCGAGTATGAACCGAGATTGGCTAGAGAGAAACACCAGAGTCTCGAGATGCCGAAGCAGTAAGTGATTGAGTGGATGATAGGTTGGTGACTTTGACTTGGGTTGCGGACTCATTCAGGACGCGAGGAAAACAAAGGTTTACATGTACATGTTATATCTACCCCGAACTAAGCTACATCGATTACCGCGTTCATCTAGGCAAGGGAGCATGGCCGCTTTATTCGGGTACATGAGTGACCACGGGAGAGGACAACGCTGGATGGCCCAACATCCTGTGTACATACGGAGGATATGATCGATATTCGACAGGTCAGGCCCAGAATACCAAGATCACGTGTTTGCACAATCCGATGCCTTGGCCAAGCAAGGTTCAGCCGCACCCCGACCATTGCCTGCGTACCAGCTAAATTCGCCCCCAGCTTGACTTCGCGTTCTACAACAAGCTTCTATTTCGCTCATCCCGAGATGGCCAAGCGTGGCTTGAAACTAAGCGCTTTCCATGGCATCATCCACTGGGTCTTGAGACCCCGATGATTCCAACCTCCCACAGACACTAGGTTGGCTCTTGCGGCATTCTGCCTCATCGTCATCACAAACTCATCAGCCTAATCCGTCGACCTCATGTGACCATGCTACCTACACTGATCGAAGAGTGCCAGGTCGGCTGGGTCTGGCATGTCTAGCCTCGGGGTTGTATGGCACCGTCTTCGCTACGACAGTGGCCAACAACAAATTGATGGCTTCCCCGGCGATTCACTTCGGTCTTGGATACATGCGGTGTAGCACGCGGAGCGGTAGGTGCGAGCCGCTGGAGATGCTGCGTGCATTGAGCACCAGGCAGAGTGCTTCGCCCGTATTGCATCGGGGTCTCAGTAAGGCCCAAAGGTGGAGCTGGCGGGATTGTGAAGCTCAGTGTATCTTTATGCGGCAGATATCAAACCAGCTTCATTCTGGATGACGCGCGGCTACTTGAAAATCCCTTCAGACAATTCTATAACGCTGGTGTGATTATAGCGCTAGTATTGGTCTCGAACCTGTTTGGAATCTGTCCTCATATCGCGGAATATCAAACTACAATTAGATAAAGTCAGTGTCATTCTTAACGCTGAAACTGTACTAGGTACTTGAGATGCTGGCGCATTACTCTCTTGGCATGATCGATTTCGAATATTGCTTTACATCTCCGAGTAATTGAACTGCAATTACATGGCGAATTTACGTTTAGCGCACGACCTCACAACGACGTTGGCTCCTGGCGCGAAGTTCATAAGATGTTTCAAGGAACTCAATAACAACATAAATTGAAGAGGAGGCATAAGTGCAGCGAACATGGGGATCAAAAAACATAAATCCCGCCCTGGATTCCCAGTCGAACTGAGTTGTTGAATCCTCTATTTTCACTACACAAACCTAGAGCCTCTCTACTTTCCTACTTATCTCTGTGAAAATCCTGCCAATCCTAAAAGACACTGAGTTGTTGCTCCCTCTTTTCACTGCTAAGGGCCAAGGCATTTTCATTTCGAATCGTCCTGCAGGCTGTCTCTTACACAACAGAACATACCAAAGAAAGTTGCTTTTGTATTTTTGAAGCTTATCCAACGGTTCCCCCCACTCGAAAGATTCACAGCTAAGGAAATACATATTCATGTTAAGAGGGTTCAGGGACGGGCCCCCAACGGGATTGGAGCCATCCATGAGTAGGCGCAGATTGCACCCTCGTCGCACAGTCCAGCTCCACTCTTCGCCTTTGGATATCGATGAATCATTCCTTTCAACCTGTTATGGGCTCAAGGTCCCAGTTTCTTCCGAAGTGTTACAATTTTGGGCAGTCTGACAGCTTCTCAATTGCATCTCGTGAAGCTTCAGAGATGCCTTCACTCAAGATGTGGTCATGAGGCGTGGATAATACCGGTGCCGTACTAAATTCTTGCGCCATTTTCAATGTGTATGTCGTTCGCCCGTAGCAGTACGAAGACTTTTCAATGTTTTTCGCATCAAGAGTGACTTCTTCAGCAAGTCCGTCATCTGTTTATCGCAAGGAATGTTTCCGGAGAGAAGCTGCGCTACTGCGTGGCTAGTGGGTGGCTAGATATCTGGCATGTACTTAATAAGCAACCAAAAAAGCTACCGTCATTGGCTAGCCATATGGACTATCCAAACCACCATCAAAGACGAATCCAGTGAAACACCAGACGCTGCCTCATCCTCATCCATCGTCAAGTTCACATGCAGGAAATTGGCATGAGCCAAAGGCGCTGCCCAGAAATGCCACCTGACTTCTAAAGAGCTGCAACTTCGGTCCAGGGCTTCTTCGCCACCTCAAGCGCGTTCTGACCTGCCATCAAACCCCTACCAACCATGATCATCCTCATTGCCGATTCCGCGCTGTCTTGCAACAGCGTCTCTGCTCCAGCTATGGCAGCTTCGAGGGATGTTGGTCTTTGCATGATACTCGCGAATGCATCAATGCCGATCTCATAATTGACGTCCGCTTGTTGGCCTATAGTTCCTGCGAGAGCAATGACAGGTAAGCCACGCTTCTTTGCACGCATTGCTACTTCCGCAGGGATTTTCCCTTGAGGTGTTTGGTAATCCAAGCCACCTTCTGCAGTGAAGACCAGGTCACACAACTCAAAGTGTTTGTCGATCTGAAGGAATTTGGTGACGATATCGTATCTTGGATGCAACCGAGCTCCAACAAGCAGCAAACCCGCACCGAGGCCACCAGATGCTCCTGAGCCTGGTGCTTGTGTAATTTCATGTCCAAGAGCCTGACTGAAAGCCCTTGCGCAGTTATCCATTGCAGAAGATAATTGTTCGACGGCTTCTTGATCTGCTCCTTTCTGGGGCCCGAACACTCGAGCAACACCTTGCGGTCCGCAAAGAACATTGCTCCAATTACATGCAACATCAATATTGACCTCTTTCAAGCGTGGGTGGAGATTTGTGAGGTCCACCGAAGCAAGATTGCCCAAAGCCCGTCCTCCAGAAGCGACTGGGATCTCATGTCCTTGGTCGTCGAAAAACCTCACGCCCAACGCTTGGGCCATGCCAACACCTCCATCACAAGTACCGGAGTCGCCGCAGCCAAGGAATATATGCTCCGCCCCTGCTTCAAGCGCTGCAACAATTGTCTGGCCGACTCCAAAAGTGGTGGTTGTCGTAGGGTCACGATGACTGTGAGGTACCAATCGGAGGCCAGCTGCCGCTGCCATTTCAATGACTGCAGTCCTTGGCCGGGTGCCCCCCAGAAAACCAAAATAGGACTCGACAGGTTTTCCAATCGGCCCCATAACGGTAAGATATTTTAGATCGCCATTCATTGCAGCAACAAGAACTTTCACGAATCCTTCACCGCCATCCACAAAGGGTGCTTTTGTGATTTGGGCGTTCGGGACTACTCGCAGAATCCCGGCTTCAATACAATCCGCCGCAGTTTGAGGTTCAAGGCTTTCCTTGAAGCCTGATGGGCATATCAAAATGTTCATGGCGTTCAAGCGGCTCAAGGGCGATACGATTGGTAGGTATTTGATATTCATTTTGCTGAGTCGAAAAGAAAGTGACACTATTGTTTGAGATGGAAATGATGTGACCCAGAAAATGTAAGCGAATGTGGTTTTGTTGATGGAAGGTGGTCATTCAGAGGTAATGAAGAGGATCTCGTCTTGCTCTTTATGCATTTGAATGCGCATGCGATGGTTTGGTACCGTCCCCGAATCCGAAGGGGACCTCGTAGTCAGCATAGCCCGGACAGACTGACTCTGGATATAGAATGCTGCAGTGTCAATGTGAGTACGCCAAGTTCGAAGTACCTCGATCCCGCACAGTCACCCGCAGTGCCTCGTCAGAGTGCAAAACACGGCCATAGTTGGCAGGGTGGCTGAACAATGACGGATGATAGCTGATCAAGAATATGAGCCGCAAACCGACGATCGAAACTGACAAAATTCAGAAACAATGGGTGTTATCGGCTGTGCAGATGTGCTTGAGACTCGAGCGCCGATTGAGAGCCCAGGATGCAACATCTCGATAAAAAGATGTTATTGGTTCCTACGAAAATGCGTGCACATTCTGAATTCAACTTTGTGAACCAGCACACCTATTTTTGTGCTCTTGGTCACAATCCAAGACCCTGGCGTGAGCCTGTGTTGGATTGTTACACGAATCCGTGTGCGCCACCCTTGGTATGCTTGAAGAAGACTTGAGGGTCCTCCTGCGTCGAGGATAGATGTGAGCACGCGACAGTCAATATTCCGAAACCCTGAATTGCAGAAGAACATATCCACGCCAGACAAGGTGGCTGAGTAATCGACATTGGCTGGGTTACTCGTGGGCAGCCCAAAGTGGATATGACAAGAAGGGGCGAAAGCCTTGTCGATGGCGACTCTCCAACTTCATTCGCCTATGAAACCCCCTCTCCTCAACGATGATTGGCTGCATTCCAACGACGACTTGGCGATACTTATCTGAGTTCGAAGCTTGCAGCCTTGGGATTTTCTTGATTTTCTTTCTGAGTTACCACTCCAGCTGTTCTGTGGAGTTCCTGCCTTGTGGCTCATTTGAGACCTGGCATGAAACAATACCATTTTAGTGCCCACGAGAATAAATCTGCCTTGTTTGATGTCATGCTAGACATCATGTTTTGTTAATGCCCAAGTGGAGCCTGGCAATACTGTTCATCACTGCCTGATCAATATTCAGCGCGCTGTTACTCGAGGGTGATATAATGATTTGCACTTTGTCACTTAGGAATTATGGTAAGATTGTGATGCGTCCACGCCAACAACGGCTTTGTTATCAACCATGTCCCCTCTTGCCGCAACGTGTAACTCCTCGTGTCCATATCATATACACCGTACCGCAAGTCTGCCCTCCAAGGTCTCGCCCCGCCCAAGTCATTGTTATCTCCCCGATGTCGACACTTGCAGCAGTCTACACCTAAACAACATTATGGCGAATTATCAGATCGAGGACGATGCATCAGACACCGAGTCGTATTCGGTGAAATCAGATGAAAGTGACAGCATTTCGGCACTTGACAAGCTGCCAGTCCCTGAAACAGTCAGCAGCTTCATTCCAAGGGCTCTTGAAACTCAGCCGGCTCATTTCGACCCAGTGCAATCCCTTCGAAGAGGGAAGAGCAAGTTGAAAAGAAACGCAAGCCAGAAGTCTGCCGCTGATCCCACTCTTGTAAGTTTATACCATGATGCAAACCTTGACAAAACTTGATGATGTTCAGGTTACCTGGGATGGGCCGAAAGACCATTCGAATCCAAAAAATTGGCCAAAAAGCAAGAAATGGACTGCAACCTTGCTAGTATCGTGCTTTACGTTTATATCTCCAGTCGCATCGACAATGGTTGCGCCAGCGCTCGGCGACATCGCAGACGAATATCACATTACATCATCAATTGAGAAGATCTTGGTCATGTCTATATTCTTGCTCGCCTATGCCGGTCAGTGCGCCAAACTCCCTGCATTGGGTACTGTCTCGATTGATGCTCATTCTGTCGCAGTTGGTCCATTTCTATGGGGCCCACTCTCTGAGGTCTTTGGTCGTGTTCGTGTCCTGCAAGCCGCGAATATCATCTATCTTCTTTTCAACACGGTCTGTGGCTTCGCTCAGACTAAGCAACAAATGATGGCGTTCAGGTTCTTGAGCGGCATTGGAGGAAGTGCTCCGCAAGCTGTTAGTCAAAGCTGTCTCCACATCGCACCCGTTCACGTCGAGCTGATGCTGTCTTCTTAGATCGGTGGCGGCGTCCTCAGTGACTGCTTCAGAGCGGAAGACAGAGGCTCTGCTATCGCCGTCTACAGCTTGATGCCATTCATCGGCCCTGCGTTAGGTCCCGTTGGTGAGTATATATCGACAAACGAAATATGACGAAATGAATACTGACAATAACAGCTGGCGGATACATCACTCAATACACAACATGGCGGTGGGTGTTCTGGTCGACATCTATCTTCGACGCAGCGGTTCAAGTCCTTGCACTCGCTTTGCTCCCTGAAACTTATCCGGCAGCAATATTGCTCAAAAAGGCAAAGGAGCTACGGAAGCAAACGGGCAACCAGGAACTTCACACGGACCGCGAAGGACCAGACCACTCCATGGGGAAGATCATGACGAAGAGCCTTGCAAGGCCGTTCATCATGCTATGTACTCAGCCTGCGTTGCAGTTGATGTCGCTCTTTCGAGCCTATCTTTATGGTCTGATGTACCTCGTGTAAGTTCGCTTTCGTCACTCCCAATTTTACAACCACTGATAATCAATACAGGCTTGCAACATTTCCCACAGTGTTCCAACAATCCTACGACCAAAGCGTAAGCCAGGCGAGTTTGAACTACTTGTCACTCGGTGTCGGCTTTGTAGGCGGCCTTCAAGTGTCTGGTCGATTGCAGGACCGGACTTATGCCTATTGCAAGAGACACCAAATCGATCCATGCGCCTCGCTTTTCGCCAAAGCCAACTGGGTGCTACCACACCGCCGTGGCTTGCCACTACGTAATGATACCACCACTCTCCTACCTCAACAAGCCAATTTCGAGAAGTTCACTATCCCTCGCAAACCGGTCCCCATCCGCAGACGACCCAGCGCACGGCACGGCCTCCATGACGACGACCCTAACCAGGCGTTACCGGAGTATCGCCTGCCGCTCGCCCTCCCATTCTCCATACTGGTTCCAATCGGTCTTTTCATCTATGGCTGGTCGGCCCAAGCACAGGCGCACTGGTTCGTGCCGAACATGGGCGCGTGCATCTTCGCGTTCGGGCTTATCATTTGCTTCAATTGTGCTCAGGCATATGTTGTCGACACCTACAACACATATGCTGCTTCAGCAACCGGAGCTGCAGCTTTTGTCAGGACGATGGCGGGTTTCAGCTTCCCACTATTCGCTCCAAAAATGTACGATAGCCTCGGCGTGGGCTGGGGAAACAGTCTGCTTGCTTTCGTGAGCTTGGGATTAGGCATTGTAGCTCCGATCGCCATGTGGAGATGGGGGATTTGGCTGAGGAGTAAAAGTACATACTGTGTGGGATGAATCATGTAACGAGCGAGACGATGTATGGAGTTTGTAGGCGATTGTTTCTTTACAATCAACATTTGCCATTTTAGCCCCCATGCACTCTTTTCACTAGGCGCTGCATAGCATGGTATTAAGCCAGGAGATATCAACGCCATCAAATACGAAATCGAGATACCGAATCGAAATATAATCGAGGCTATCATTGTTGTAGGCCTATATCAGCATTGACGCTCCAACCTCTGCACTCACCTTCGGGGAAAGCATTGTAAGTGTTTGAGCCAGATAGTCCGAGTCAGTGGCTTGCCGACGTGATCGTCAACGGCATGACTAGGCCTGGTGAGAGGCGTCCTGTCCCCTTTATACTGTGCATAATGCTCTGGCAAAGTGATGAAAAGGACATGCTGCGCTGCGGCCAGCTGTCTGATCATGGGGCCTAACGACGAACGAAGACAGATGGGACACTTTTTACGCAAGTGCTTCCTGCGTGGAACTTGATTGTTACCCAGCCCTGCCCTCTAACTATAGTGAAGCGCCCTTTGTGCGCAAAGACAGCACACGCTGCATGAAATTCGCCAGTTTCGCCCCACTCCCTTCCTTCCTTGGACCTCCATGCTACAAAATAGTCTGGCCGCACTAGGACATAGCCTGACCCTCCCCCCCCCATGTCTCGGACTTTTGACCAGTCGAAGTACACATGCCCATAGTCTTGTCGATAGCCAATAGAGCAAGCTACAACAGGTATACTCAAGTCCTTCGAGATCTGTGCGACCGCGTCCTTCCACATCCGAACGCCTGTGCTTGTGAGTAGAGTAAGACGCCCTCTGCCACGTCAATCAATCGTCGACATCTGCGTTAAAGGAATGGCATGGTCCAGCCACACGTGCGGCACACATGCACCGGGATAGGTGGTCGCTTGATAGTATTCTGTGGATCTTTGTTCAATTTCGGCCTCTCATCTTGATTGGATTGAAAGACTGCGGCCGAGACATAGCGCTGCTTCATTTTGATACTGAGTCCGTTCTCGTCACGATGCATGCCGTCCAAAACCTCACGAAGATTTCCTTGGCGCTGCTGACCGGCGGATGTATTTGCGGGTATCTCGTTGGAAATTGCTATACGGGCATCGACAGTGGGTTCAAGCATCCCCATGATATGCCAGAGACTTCCATCATGACGCATGCCGTCGTTCCCCCTGGGGAAAGGTGATGTTAGCGCTTGCTGGCCACTGATGACGCAGTCTGTCGAAAAATTGCAGGTAGTCAGGGGTAACGTACATGGTAACCACATGTTAACCGACAGGTTGGCGCTCAGTATTGTCGTTTTCAACAGCTCCTTTCCCGCGGGACCTTTCATACAGCCATTAGCCATCAATGCAAAGGTGGCCGTCGTACTTGGAGGGGAATGCGCTACCTCTGTCAACAATTGCAACCTTCTAAGCTAAGCCGTGTGCATCCTGGATGCAGGTATGGGAGCCTAAGCCATGGTTCGGTGGGTGTCGGTGTACGGCACCCCCCCAAGCAGAACCTAATACAATCAGCGCGTGTGATTTGGGGGACAGAGATTGCCGGACACATCACCTTCCGCGTACTTTTCGGCCGCAAACTCGTTCACCATCCACGTTGAAATTCCCTAGATCTTACCACCAGTGGAATCATCTCCGATGCATTCACTGATTCTGTTGACGTAGCCTGCTTCGGAAGGTGAGGAGCTCTCGGCTCCCGGGGAGGGTAAGATGATAGTAAGCCACTGGTGCCAGGCTTTGACCATTCGGATGCACATGATTCATGAATAGGAGGGATGTTCCTTCTCCGGGGTCATCACCTAGTGCAAAATGCCCATCCGGCTCTTGATTAAATGTGACATGTCTGCATCGAAGAGCACGTTGATAGCGGCAACAGGACTGGGATGACGGATCATCGCTAGCTGCAATTGCTCTGCAATTCGACTGCAAGTTCCATCCGCCCCAAAAAGGTATTTTGACCGAACATTGAGTGTTCGGCTTGTAAGCTAATCGAGAAGAGTGCTGGTGACCCCGTCGCCATCTCCATGTTGAGCAAATGATACAAACTTGGTATCCCACCTGCATTTAAACCGTTCAAGGTGGCGTACCTCATGAATATCGGCTCAAGAAGTGTCTGTGGGAGGTCCAGGGCCTCTGAAGGGCTGGCTTGATAGTAGTCACCCTAGGGATCATTCGGTGAGCACACCCTCTGAAGCGCAAACCATCTCATAGTAGCCAGTGCTCCAACTCACTCTGCGTTCAGGATGATTTCCGATGAGTAGATCCTTGGGTATTCTTTTCCTGCCATGGTGTTGCACCAACGGGCGTGTAACATCGAGTGACCTGATGTTCCCACTTCATAGCATTCTTTATCAACGCCGATGTCTCGAAGACAGTCTACCACACTTGTCTCAATATTCCATCCCACTAGATGAGCTTCTCTAGGCGGAGCTGCCCTGTGTCATTACCTAGTGCCGCCATGTTGGTGATGTGTGCGCGGGGAGTGTCTGCAGTGCCGGAGTTTTGGGTCGCAATCATGCCTTTCAAACCTGGACAAGACCGGTTTCAGCGATAGTCCGGATTTCCATTCCAGGTGGTGCTTCACATACCATATGAAGCTATGAAACGTGCTAGCAACGCTCCAGCCGGGCGAGTACCAGCAGTCAGATAGTCCGTTGAGATGTCTGTAGTTGAGTTGCTTGCTTCCATCGCAATGACGTCGGCATTGGTGAGACTAGGGTTTGAGCCATTGTTTGGAAGTGATTTCGCTGGAATGGCGGACTGCGTGTTCAAAAATGGACGAGATCTTACAGAAGGCTATTTTGCACGCGTACCATGGATCAATAGATCATATAGTGTAGATACGAGAACCACGTAGCTGTCAGGGTTCACTTCGCGTCACAAGGTCGTATCCTCTCGTGTGGCTGTCGAGCTCAAGTAAAGTCAGGGATCGAACCATAACTCCCCATGGTTCTGAGCCTTGCTGGACCGTAAGGTTTCGTTTTCAATACAAGCCGCCTGGTATCCGGAGTGGGGAATGAAGTCCAGATTACAATCATGGATCAAAACGAATTTTTGCCATCGGATAAGGGGCCTAGTCCGTGAAGAGAAGGCAGGAACCCCACAGCGTTCAACCAATCTGAAGGTACTTCACGGAGTATGGGTCACTACTGGGCCCGCAGTTGATCATGGGGAAGAAAGCCCAATGTGGAGAAGCACAAAGCTCCTCGATTACATCGCGGGTCATGCACTCGGGGAGATGAGCTGCAGATAAAACACTGAACGTCTTTATGAGTGTCTTCCATTGACCATGCGTCGTGCTGTGCTGCAGACATGCCTGGTAGAAGCCAGAGGCTACAAGACCTTGCGCACAGCTACAGACTAGAGAGATAGTCGACCCTGCCATAGTGGAAAATGGCTTCACGCTCAATTGACGTTGCTCGAAACACGCGCCAGAAGTTGTGCAACTTGTGCTCTGTGGAGAGACAAGAGCCGTTGACCTCCAGAGATAACGGTGCGTGCAGCCACCGAGGACGGACCGGCGTCATCACCAACATATAATCCACACTATAGTACTAATGTTGCGTAGTAGATGGCGTAGGGCCCATGAGGAACTTCAATTGACAGTCATTGCAAGTCGTGGAAAGACTTAGATGCCATTATTGACGAGTGTCGCTTGTCGTGTGGTTTCAACTTCGTTTGTGAAGTCAGAAATGCTTCCTCGACACCCAAGAGTAGATAGATGTTCAGCATGCCAGTGAGCGATTTGATAGTTCCTGTCTCTAACTGGACCGTGGATTTCGCACGCATTCGCACTCTTCTTTGCCCAAGGTTGTGAAGCCATCTGTCTGTCGCAAGTGCAGCAAAATCGGCTGTAAAGAGAGAAAGGGTGTCCACAGTCGTATTAACGATGCCGCAAGTGTTTCGAGGTGGGCAACCCGCTACCGGCACGTAAACGCTCATAACGCAGGACTTGCAAGATTGAGGGACTGTTGCCGCTCGTTTCCCGAGAAGTGTGATTACCTATCAAGTCCATAATCACATTTTGGAGCCGAGACACACTGCCATCGCGCATATGCCGGGAAAATTGTGAACGCAGGTGATGCCATAGCAACACGGGAGGTGTCTGCATTACTACGGCTCGATGGCAATCAAGAATATAAAGCGACTCCAAGTACTTTCGCACAGTCAGAGGCCAGTTATTATGGCAAGGCTGAAGTGCACTTACCTGTCGACGCCACCATCGCTTGCACTATCAGAGTTCGAGGGTTTGCAGACATCACTGAATTCTTGAACAGCTTAGTGTAGTCAGATGAGCCTCTTTCCACACAAGCACAAATAAAAAGCATGTCAGTGCTCACCTGGACGAGGTCACCTTGCAGTACCTCTACAGCCTCAAAAATCCTTCTTTCGCGGCTACAGAGACCGTACAAACATAACAAAGTAAACTCAATTGGCGTAGCCAGACCACAGGAATCAGGACTCTCAAGGACTCACAGTTTGGACCCTTGCAAAGGTAGATAATTCGGCCCCGATCCCCTTGTTCTTGGCCATTTCCACATTCGAACTGTCCAACATTAGTCCACAACTTGACAGAGGCAACATGCTAGTATGTAGCGACGCCAGAAATAGCCTCCGTGAATCGTTGTAAGTCTCGCATCCTCAGCACTTCCTGGTACTGTACAGAAAATTCCGCCTGTCGCTGCCATTGCTAAATTGTACTCGATGGTCGGTCTTGCTTCGGGCTCGCTATGCCGAAATATTGAGAAGACTCGTAGGACATGGGTGCGAAAGGTGTGCAAAAACACTTTGAAAATCTCACGATGAGGATCCCCGAGTGTCGGCTTGGCACAGTATGGTATAGTTGTCGACTCATCTGACAACGGCGAATGTGCACGAGATCTGAGAGCGAGGTCTGCGAGCGAGATATTCCTGCATGATACTCGTGTCACGCCGTGTTGACGAAGAGTTTGTATTCTACAAGTCCGATCTTAGTGCTTAATTGACGCCAGCATCCCAGAAGAGATCGATGTCATCGAACCAAAAAGAAGTGCTCTGCTGGGATCATCGAACATTAGTCAAAGCTTACGGATGCCTACGAAAACACTCCTACCTCTATAGATATCTGCCATATGTCGCTCGTATTGTCCCCATCAGTAGTGGGGAAGAATGACTTTGATCAGTAACTACGTTGGTAAAGGATGCGCAACTGCTGCAATAGCGTTGACATGAGGCATGGCTGCATAGTCTCCTGTCAGTGCCATCACTGAGACGTCCTCGCTGGCTCTGAATGGCCTCAGCTAGGCCGGCGGATTCAAACTATCCAAGGTGTCCGTTTGTGCCACTGCAATTATGCACTGGCAAAGATCATTGCCAGGATCAGTAAAAAAATCATCTAGGTCTGTTGTCGAAGAGTCATGGTGGAAGGATACCGCTATCGGCGGATTTGAGATCAAATTGTGTATGTCGGGAACTGGGTGCCTCGGCATAGCAAAGTGACAGACTGAAGTAGACAGACGAAGTAGACAGCGCACTCCGACGGGACCCGCAGGACTCATCACCATCACACTTAATTCTCTTCTGGGGGCACGCGTCACAAGCGACAGGCACACGCTTTCAGGCTGTAACCTCCGCAACAGTATTTGGCTCACCATGATAAGTCGATCAAATTGTCTGGCATTTCTTAACATGCGGGACCTGCACGTCTTTGTGCTGAAAGCCTCGAAGCCAATTCGGACAAGCAAAGGGTGTTTCGTTTGTTTCTGAGAATCACTGTGACTTAGCAGATATACTCGTTGGCACAAGGCCCTATTCATCGTACAGATGCGACGATGCCGTGCCAGATGCTCTGGCCTTGCAAGTCTGCGGAAAAAAATGTCGCACTAAGCTATTTGTATCAGCTTCTCTCGCGACTATCTTTCATGATGCTTGCATGGATGTAGAGAATGAGCGTACCTTCTTTTCTAGCCGATTGTCTGCAGGAGTAGCTACTGCCGGTTAGCCAAGGCCCATACTTGGGACGTGCTGCTACCAAGACTGAGCTAGCGCGTACTAATTCTTTAAGCCAGCGACGCGCTAGCGAACTCTAATAGGTACTAAAATCTATAGTGCTAGCAGTGTACGGCTAATATCGATCTATAAGAGCACGGCTATATTAGTATTTAGACCACTTTGAAATTATAGGAATACTTCGAAATCATGGAAAAGGGACTTCTAGAGATTAGATCCCTACTTATGTAGTTCATGAATAAACTAGAATGGAGACTATAGAATGGAGAGATGTGGAGATCTTATCATCTTTATTATTCCGAAGGGACTCGCCTAAATTGCCTTTTCAAAATAGCCACTAGGACCCTATCTAGGACCGTTTCCGCCTTAGAATGTAGCCATATGGACATGCCTTGTGCCAATGAGCACTTACTCGTTCAATACACATACCGAAAATGCGAGACGTACGGCTGCCTGTGTAGTTTGTCGCTCATAGTAGCGTTGATCCATCGATAGTAACGGAGGATACTAGACATTCGCATCCTGTTGGATCTGCACCGCGACAATGCGTCAACCCTGCTTACCAAGTTCGCGAGACGGCTAGTCTCACCCGCTTCAAAGCTGCCCTCCTCCACGGTGAAGGGTTGCAAGATAGGCTCTTCCAAACATCCATACCTCCATCTGAACATGGTGATACGCCCATGGCAAAGATAGTAAGAGATCACCATTCCTACAGTGCTTCACCTGACTTACAAACTAAGCAGGAAACTGAGGTGCCCTATAGGTACCCAATGGTACTTTTGGATAACGTGCCAGGCATTCCATCTGCAGAGTCATTATCACAACTTCAGTCGTCATTTTTTGCCTCTGTTCAAAAAGCACATCTTTCTCGATACTATCACATTTGGCGATTCTCTCACTCATCCACCGCATTTGCAGCTTGCTCTGGCTTGCATTGCCTCATCGCTGGCGTCGACAGCAGGCACCCTGCTAGTTGATCATGATGAGACGGGTTCGCCCGTTCCCCTATCCTCGCGGCTTTTCATCACTGGTGCAAATTCTATCATCGACCAAATTAGAGATTGACAGACGAGAGTGTCGCTCGTTTCTGTCAGTCATAGCAGAGAGTGCCATGCTTTCAAGTTTCGACGTCCCAAAGACCCTGCTCTATGACATCGGTCTTAGTAATAGAGGCTGATATCTGGAAATCGGCAGGGCTCTCTGTTGTTCCCCGAGGAACCCGATCCTGGTAGCGAACTAGCAGTGAAAATATGCTACGATGGTCAGTCCTTTTTCTGCTAAACTATGTGGCTGGCTGTCCACTCGTTGGCAGCCGGTTTCACATGCTCATCATAAGGCTGCGACATTGATTACAGGGATACGTTTTGGGGGAATTTAATACTCAACGCCGACCTCTGCGCCTTGCAAAATCCAGCCTGGTCTCGCCGTATCGTGGGTTGCATATCTAACGGACATATTAAGGTGGGGGACAAGGTCTTTTGTAGACCGTTGGTTCTCGGGTACGATTTAAAATGAGACGTGTTGGTATGAAGTTTTGAACTAGACGTTAATAGGTATAAAACTAGGAGAGCTCATAAGGGTTGATAACCTACTACGCATTTTCTATAGCATAGGGCGGGTTATTTGAAGAGTGCCCGACTTGCTAATCTACTCTATAGTATCAAACAGGAACTCGAAGAAATGTGAAGTCATCTGCGGAGTCCGATTATATAAATATTGGATATTAAAGGCCTTACGTTTTTCCACGCTATAAGCTTGTACTAAACAAGCTACGCAACAACTTCTAAGTATACTCTAGTCCTACACCTGAAAGAGTCGGACACGTCTCAAGAGTTTATGTGTGTTTCAGACCTTTTCCTTAGGCGACAGACGACTGGCGGAGAGAGAGCGTGTATGCAAAAAGGTAGGATGAAGCAAAGGAAGACACAGATATCTGTTGTTCATGGTTGAATATATTTTGTCATCTGAGTACCTGAGGTAGACGCCCGGGCTGGGAATCCATCTTCTCGAAACGCAGTGACCAACCGGGTTAAGGACCGTGTGCTGTAAACCAAGATGCATGCATGCTCGTAGCAAACACTACATGCAGGGCATCTGTCCTTCCCGAAATTCGCTTCGTTCATTCCATTGTGGGTAAAACGCTCTGATGAACAACGAACCGCACGGCGTGAACAGAGCGAACCCTAACCGCAACGCTTGATCACTTCCCAACCCAACCCTTGCCATGCATGACACGTAATAGCTCGTTCCATCATAATGCTCTGCAGCCACACGAGGGCTGTACCTGTACATGTCGTGAACCCGGCACCTTGGAAGCGAGCTTGAACACGACATGCTGGTGCGTACAACACAACATTCACAAGATCCCACCATTCCTTAGGTAGACTAAGCACACATTACAGTTCCCTATAATCCGCCTGTCTCGCCCTGCGGTTTCGATTGACATGACGATGTGGGTTGACCGGCTGGCGCATGTAAGCGTTGTCCTCCTCGTTCCCGACGTGTCGCTGCTGGTTAGCAAACTTGTTCTCAGCTGGTCCTGTCGGTGGATAGAAGTTCTGGTTCTGATTCTGATTCTGCAAGGCTTTTGGCCCAGTCGGTACACCCGGCATGCTGGCAGGCTGGGCTGGTGGTGGTTTGTTGAATTGATGATTGTTATTTTGATTGTGGTTGAACTTCTGGTTCCGATATGGTGGTCGACTATTGTTACTGAACCCGTTCTGTCGCGGGCCGCTCGGAGCTTGGTTCATGTTGTTCCAGTTCTGAATTGGATTGCCAAAAGCTTTAGGACCGTTGTTCGGAAACATGCCATCCATTCCGTTCATACCGTTGGCCGTGTTCATGTTGAAATTGTTGGGTTGCATCCAGTTCATGGGGTTCATTCCGTTGATCCCGTTGATGCCATTCATCTGATTCATCCCCATCCCTATCCCCATCCCCATCCCCATATTCATAGCCATAGGATTCATCATGAACGGATTGAAATTGGGCATCACAGGGAAATTCATGCCTTGCATCATCTGTGACATATCAGGGGGCATCATGTTCTCGGGTAGTGTACTATTATTACTTTCGTCTTTTTCATTGTTCGAAGGATCGTCGTTTGATGAATGTTGCTTGCTTGTAGCGGGGTCTGGTTTTGAGGTTGATGATGATACCGCTTCTCCTGATCTTTGGCGTTTCATTGCCGGAGCGGCGAGACTATCAGAAACGGTTGATCCGTCAACCTCACTTGCATTCCTTTTCTTGGATTGCGATTGTCCACTGCTTGATTGTGGCGAGTTGGTCCCATCTTGTGAAGCAGGTCTAGATTTCTTGGGCGATTCTTCCACCTTTGGTGAAACGGCAGCAACCGTTGGGCTTCTAGATCTGGGCTTTTCATTTGCTTTTTCTGCCTGGTACTCCTTGATCTTGGTTTTTGTCTCTTCATCAGGCTCAAGGCGCTCGAGGCTGATATTCTCAGTCTCACAACCCGGGCAGGTGAGATCATTCTCGAGTAAAGCATTTTCAATACAATCATGGCAGTAAGTCTTCCCACAACAGGGTGTCTTCATTGGATCTACAAACAAGCGCTTGTCGATCGAGCATTCCAGGCCTCGATCTTGTAGCTCCTTGTTACCAACTTGTACTTTCTTTTGAGCAGCCTCCGAAGCCTTGACTTGCTCTAGATGTTTTCTCCAAGCCTTTTCGTCCGCTTGAGCAAAGACATAATCTCCTTCGGCGTTGACCATAAGATTCTGTCGCTGAGCATCATCTAGTTTATCAATGTCTGATTGATCGATCTTCTTCAGCATGGAACGAGGGATACCAGTAGTCCTCTTGATGCGATTCTTGTTGTCATAATTAGCATCGTCATTGGTTGGGCAGGCTTGGATCCAATGGCCTTGATACCGTCAGTAGGGTCCGACCACATTCGGGGACTCGTGATGACATACCTTTCTTTCCACAACGATAGCAGATATATCCGTGCGGTGGCTCACCTTCGGGAATATTTGCCTTTTTGTTGAATGGTTTGCCGGAAACGGGTACACGGGTTTCGTGGGACATTTCTTCCTGTTTCTGTTGCCACTGGGCGTCGGTGAACTTCAGCATGGCCTGCAGTTTCTCTTGCTCTGTCATCGAACTATTCATCTCTACCGTCTTTAGAGTTTTTGCAGTAGCACTGTGAGTATGCTTCGCACTCGCTGGAGGTTTTCCAGAGACATAGCGAGCAGCCCGGCCTTTACCGGGGGCAGAAGCAGGAAGTCGTCGGGCGAGGACGGTGGAATCTTTGGGAATGATCTCGGTGTCATCGGTGTACTCTATAGGGTTCGGTGAGCAAGCAGCCGCAGACGACCAAAACAGACGGGCTTCTACATACCTTCATTACTGTTCTCTTTGTAGATCTTGAGGTCAAAGTCGGTCCCATCTCCTAGTCGAGAAATAGTGATGATCTCACGTTTGAGGTTCCAAACATCCGTGTGAGGACCATCGATGGTTACACGCTGAGGCTCTTTCTGCGACTTGAACTTGAAATATACATAGGATGCCATTATGGCGCAGAATGAGAGATGAGAGTGAGGATCCCAGTGTTGACAATCTGTTGAAGGGGATCGAGGTTCGATGGTTAATCTCTCGGGCGACAGGAAGATCAACAAAGTGTAAGTGTAAGTGTGAGGAGGAAAAGTAAGGGAGATGTGTATTGAGAAGAGTTAACAAGTAATAGACCAATGCCAATGCTGAAGAGACCAAAACCGAGTCAGAGTCGGATGATGCTTTACATTCACCAGCTGTGCCGCGTGCCTGCAAAGTGCGCAAGGCTAATATGCCGGCCAAACCCCCAGAATGAGTCAATGAGATGCCAGTGTGCCAGTGATGCCACTAAGTCCTTGCGAGTTGAATCCACTCTTCACAACTGGGATCCCCTGCCACTTCAACACAAACGAAGATAACGGACAGTTGATGGAGGTCACGAAATGGAAACAGCACGTAAAGTTCCAGAACCAAGCCCGAAACCGATAACGATCCACTATCCGCTTGCAGTTGAGGCACACGAGTAGGACAAGAACAATGGAGAGTAATCAATTCAATTGAGGAGAGGTCGATGTTGTTGCTTCGAGGAGGAAGAGAAAGCTCGTCTGAAGAGCGGAAGGCTGAATGTGAGAGGATGATGAAGTGAAGTCAAAGATTTGGATGAGGACGAGATAAGAGTGAGGAAGAGAAGATGGAGAGGAGAGAGAAGAGGGAAGGCGAGGGAATGAGAGAGAGGAGCGGTACAAGGCAACCGCAGCCGCAGCCGCAGCCGCAAGCCGGAACAAGGCGGCACTTTTCAGCGAATTAAGGCACTTGACTTTATAGAGAAGTTGCGAGCACGTGATGTTGTCATATGTTGGCGGACAGCCAAAGGTGTAGTACGAGTACTGTTCAGACTCTGCACGGAAATGAGATGCTCGGTACTAGTTAATTTGCACTACTCATTGGCTATTAAGCATGGAGCTGATGCACGTGCTGTTGAGGGCGTGTCCTGCCCACTACTGTGTGCTTGAAATGTTTGCAATTGCTCGCACATCACCTTTTGCCTGGACTTCCTGTCAAAACGTCGTGCTCAAGGCATAGTTCGTACTTGAATTCACTGAACCCTGGTAACGAATTTGGGGATTTCTTTAACTTGGCTCAGACCTCATAGATATCCCCCTGGCCGCTCTCGGAATCGTGGCGAGAATTTCCACCGACTTCTTTCTGACAGTAATACGGCCACGTCTGCGCAAGATGCCATCCGTCGAGATTGGCAAACGACGTGTGATCAAGGTGATGAGATGCTGCCTTCGATGGTTCCCGCAATGCATCCGCCGAAAATCTGATACCTGGGGCCCTACTCACTGGTAGAGGTACTCCCTCAACCCGTCGAGGCTGGTGTTTGAAGCAACCGTCTCATTTAGTACTGCTAATCGTCTTCATTCAATCCCATGCTCTTTCTTCACGCGTTCTAGATTTTCTTGTCTTGCAGCAATGTCCTCTCGGGCCTCAACCTTCATCTTCTCTGGCTGGTGATATAGGACCACGAGATAACGGTTCATGAAGTTGAACCCGTTCAGTTTGTCGCAGGCTTGCTTTGCGTCCAGGACATCTTCGTAGACGACGAAAGCCGTACCTTTTGTAGTGTTGGATGTGCCGGCACGAATCTGACGAATAGGTCCGAATTTGCCAAAAAGGTCGAAGAGTGCAGGCGTGTCAATGTTGTAGGCGAGATTCTTGACAAAGAGAATGCGATTCGCTTCCGGCGCCAATTTATTGCTTCGGGACATCTTCTGGTCTTTTGCCGTTACCAACGATGGTGGGTTGAGGGGAGGGGATGGTGGAAGTGAATAGCAGATCAAAGGTTCGGGGTTTTGTCTGCGGCGAGGTTGGAAACTGGGCAATACGGATGATACGGCGTAGGCGTAACGATGGGTTGGACGCCGGCGCCTCTAGCACCCCCAACATTCATGGTCAAGAAGTATGTCTGATGCAGTGAGGTTGCTTGAGTGCAAGGAACCAGACGCAGGAGGGTTGAGAAGTGCAGGTACGCAGTCGAGGTCGTGTCGTGAGAAGGTGCGGCGCAGGTGGATTTGGGTTTCCTGGAAAGATGGTTACTGCCCGTATCGTGACTTCCCTTTTGCGTATCGTATCGATGCAACTTGAACTTCACAACCACCTGCGCCCTCTGCACCTCTCCCGTCTTGTCTCCTTCCATCCACCATATACTGCTCGTCTCGCTTCGTCCATTTTGTCTCTCTGGCCTCCGTCCGGGAGGTCATCCTATCTCTATCTCCAATGTAGTCCGCCTCGCCTCCAACTCTGCTCCGAATTCTTCCCACTGCTTCCTTACAAAAGCCCCGCTCCGCAACCGCGATCACAATCACAGCCGCAGCCACAATCGACCAAAGAACACTGTACCGCTCTGGCCATGCCTACCTCTACCACCTGGCGGCATTCTCAAGATCCAGGGACCCTTCGAGTCCACAGTCCTCCCCGCCCATCTACCGACGAGATCGAACCACTCTCGCCCTCACCCGAGCCCTTCCTTGACGTCTCTCTACCAGACCTTAAACCCACGTCTGCTCAAGAGAATGGACATCCCCTCCGAGGCCTTGGCCTCTCTGAAGTCGGAATCTCCGACTCCGCCACCATCACAACCCAGCCCGACCATCTCTACCTGGACCAGAATGGCGCCGCCCATGTTGGCGTCAGGGACGGCGTCCCAGACTCCGCCGCTTCCCAACCACAACAACACTCCTTCTTTGACTCGCCCGTTCCGTCCTTGAGAAACACCCAGGTCGCTCCGGGTAAAGGCCATACACGTTCCGGTTCTACCATCGCAGACTTGGCAAATGCAGCAATAGCCACAAGTCCTGCTCCTGCCCCAGCGGATTCCAGCCCGTTGCCGCACTGGAAGGGAACTTCGCAGTCCGCCTCTCGACCTTCGACCTCCTATATACAACGGTACCTTCACCAAGACAGCATAGACGCCCCTCCGGCGAAGAGGATAAAATCAGAGCGAATAGCTCCCCAGGAGTGGTCTCCGAATGGCGAGCGACCCAGAACGAGCGGCTACGATGATCCCACGAGCATGAAAGATGCACTTTTATTACTTGGCTTGCGGAATGAGACCAACTTCAAGAACAAAACTCCCAGACGCGCCTCGATGAGTACATACACATCAACCCATCCCTGCATTCATTCGCCGCCTCTACGGACATGGGATGCTCAGAGCCGCCTTCCACCACAGGAATTATCTGCCTTTGGAAGTGTATCTCTAGAAATGGCCGATGAAACAGTCCGGCGAGCTCGGGAAGACGAACTCTCAACAACTCAGTCCCAGGTTAACGCCGTACACAAGGCGCTACCTCCGGCCTTCAGCAGCGAGCCCAGCAAGAGAAAGCACTCCAGGGCATCTGAGAGCGTATCCAAGCACCTACATTCGTCGAGGCGGAGAACAGCTGCACCCGGCCAAGGCTCACCTCCTGCAAAGAAGCTGAAGCTTGAGCAAGAGGATCCCGAGGAAGATGTGCGATGCGCAGCTTGTCAACGCATTGAGCCGGACAGGGTGGACGACGATGAAAGGACGCTCTGGATACAGTGTGGCCCTTGCAAACGTTGGTATCATGCTCAATGTGCCGGCTATAGCACCAAAGCAGATGTCGAGGCCGTCAATGCATACGTTTGCATGAGCTGTGAACCTCTACACGGAAAGACCACATATGTGCGCAAATCATCTCGTGCACGACCCAACATTGACTATGATGCTCTGAATCAAGGCTTGGTCAAGTCCTCTATCGAGACGTCTACCCACCATTACATCCAGCCCTTCAAGGAAGACAAATTTACTCTTCTACCCGACGATTTTGCCCGTGTTAGGCCGGAGCTACTTACGGTCGAATTTCTGGAGAACTCTAACGGCATGAAAAGACCCTTTGTTGTTCCAGCCGCTTGGAACCCGCGCTTTGGAGTTCAGGTTCCCTCCGCTGAGGTGGAATCGAATCGGCCGTCGGATTCAGACGACCAGGAACCACACATGGCCTGTGATGCCTTTGGAAATGATGTCAATGACCCTTCAGCAAAGACAGTAGAAATGTCAATGGAGGAGATTATGGACTCTGGGCAGGACCTGCTAGACATGGTAATACCACCAAACTTGACAGTTCGAAGAATCGCCGAGCTATATGGCCCTGATGAGCCTGTGCCTGTGATCGATGTCAAGACACAAGAAACCAAAGGCCAATTTACTCTCCAACAATGGGCTGATTACTATGAACAACCAGGAGATAAGCCTATCCGGAATGTTATCAGCTTGGAGGTTTCACACAGCCCACTTGGGAAGCTCATTCGACGACCAAAAGTTGTGCGTGATCTCGATTTAGAAGATCATGTCTGGGATACGGATATTGAGGCTCGTACCAAGAAAAGGCCGGTGCAATTCTATTGCCTCATGTCGGTAGCCGATAGCTACACAGATTTTCACATCGATTTTGGGGGCTCCTCGGTCTACTATCATATCCTCAAGGGCACAAAGACCTTCTTCTTCATCCCGCCAGAGGATAAATACCTGAAGAAGTATGAGAACTGGTGCAACTCTGATACACAGAACGAAACCTGGCTCGGGAAAGAATGTGAGAATAACTGCATAAGAGTTGATCTTCACGAAGGAGACACCGCATTCATCCCCGCCGGTTGGATCCATTCGGTCTGGACACCCGAAGATAGCCTTGTCATTGGAGGCAACTTTCTCACGCGAATCGACTATGAGATGCAATTGAAAGTCGCCAACATTGAAAAGGCCACGAAGGTCGCCGCTAAATTTCGATATCCCTACTTTCAGAAGGTCATGTGGTACTCGTTGATCAAATACTTGGAAGAAGACCCAGTGCCAGACGAATTACTCCAGGAGTTTCGTGAAGATCCTGAATATGTCTATCTTCGGGCAAATCCTACTTGGCACGAGGTTCAAGATCTCGAAAACGCTGCAGAGCCTGGAAGTCCGGACTACAATGCCAGGTTTTATCCGAAGTCAGAGGTTTCAGGATGGCCGGCTTTGCGGGACTATCTGTACCGAACAGCTCGTATAGACGCTGGTCTTCCTGTGTCGGACATAACCAAGAAGCAAGTTGATGCTGTGAAGGCGTCGATTCCGAAGGGTCATGGGAATCCTCTGACAATGATCAAAGTCTTTGCAATCTGGTGTGCATGGAAAACAGGGAATGTCTCGGCGCCAGACTGGGTGTATTCGGATGGGGCACTGGAAGCCGACAAAGTTGACAAAATGAAAAAGCCAGAAACATTCCGGCTTCCAGGAGAACGAAGCTCGTCTCGACGCGCGGCACAGGCTCAGAATCAGAGCCGCAATTCCCCCCCGATAGAGTCGAGCGTTCCGACCCCGAAGCAGACATCAAGATCCGCCTCTAAGGGAAGTGGACTGCGAGTTGCATGTGAGCCTTGCCGCAAACGTCGAATTAAGTGTCGGCACAAGGCTGGTAGTGACACTTTGGCAAGAACAGCCCCTGAAATCCGACCAAGAAGTTTTTCCAACGCAGATGTAGCGCCAATAGAAATTTGTCACACGAACGGCACGGGCAGCGACCAGATCAGCTCACCAGAGGTGCGATATCCGGAACTGGTTGATAGTGCAGGTGGCGGTGCCTCATTACCCGTACCTGAACCCGGATCATCCTCATCAAAGAAAAGTAGGAGCAAGGCGTGCGAGGAGTGTCGCAAGAGTAAGGTATGTGAACATGGGTTACTGTCTGTGGTCGATTTGGTACTAAAGTATAACAGCGTCGATGTGTGCATGATGAACATGGTCAAGTTGATCCTGCAAAGGCGGCTGAACCAGCCAAGCCGAGGGGATCTACGACCAGTAAACGGTCAGGTCGACTGAGTGATGAAAACGGCCAGAATCCACCTGACCTTAGGACATTAGATGGTTTGATTGATCCAGCGCTGATGAATGGCATCGATGTTGATGTTGAGATGGAAGATGAAGCTGTAGAAGATGACTATCCAGAGGGGCATCATGATGAAACCCAGTCTCGGCTTTCTCGTGAAGACACCAAGATGTCGGAAACAGAAGCAGCCAATCTGCAACTGACCAAAGAGCTAGATGCCGAGCAATTTCCAATCGGCCCTGCACTAAATGGTCCAACTATGGCGCCGGTCAAACCCGAGATGGATCTGATCGAAGACATCAGCGTGGGTGGCAACAGAACTATCGACGGAGCATCGGCTCCGTTGGCCAATGGAGAGGTGTCAACTTCCATGGCGAACAAGACTCGCAATTCGAGAGTGAATGGGGAATCAGGGTCGCCAGTCGCTCCTTCCTCACAGCACTCATCACGGCAACCAAAATCGATTGAACGGTTCTCGGCTGAAGGCACTAAATCACCCAGCAAGGTGCATGCGAAGTCGCCTGCGAAGGATCGGCGAGGGTCAAGTGCAGCGAGTGGACAAACAGTGATGATGAGTGGCAAGAGCCGACGGTCCTCGAGCAACACATCAGGAACGACTCATCAACTTGCAGGCCTGCCATCGAAGCGGAGTGCGTCAGCGGAGGAGTCGGGACGACCAGTCAGCCGGGCAAGTACAGGTGCAGACAGTGACCTGGACGCAGACGAGAGATTTGCGCGGGAGCTTCAGGCAGCAGAGAATGGGCTGAGACGTCGAACTAGCATGAGGGCATAGTATGCAAGGTTAGATTGAGGATGAGGGATGATGGACGAAGGACGAAGGACGACAGGGGCATGGCGTTTAGCATGGCTTGACCTTTTGACGCTGGGAACTGAGGGAACAGAGATTCAGTAAGAGCAAGGCGCTCCGGGAATGATGGGTTGCACTGCGGTCCATGACTTTCTTTTGTGATACTCGGTCACGGTATTTTGGTGAAATTGGGGCCCACAGCTGGAAAAGAAAGAGACGATTTTTCATGGCTCTATAGCTACGTACCCCAGGTCGGTAGGTTGCTGTGGAGTTTGTAGGCTCTGGGGTAGTGTACAAAGTAAGAAAATGGCAGGAGAAATTTCAAGAGTTAGCTGAAGGAGGGCCAGACTCACACAAGTGGACAGATATGGCCGAGCAGAGTTGTTCTGCCATATCATTCAAAAGGACACAATTGTGTGCCACGGTTGAATCGCTTACGTGTACAACCCTCACCAGGTCGGTAGTACGAAATAGATACCTACTGATTAACTACTCGCGTCGCTGGTATGTTTATCGTACACGCTGTACGCAGTATTATACCATGCTGCCCGACTGTGTACGGAATACCCAAATCGTGGGGTAAGATCCGAGATACATTACAGCCAATCGTGCCATGCATGGTCATCGTGATTGTGTCATATTCCCCAGACTCGGTCTCGACTCCCAACGCCGTCTGCTCCCACCACAGGTATCTCGCACCCTCTCCTCATTCATCAGGTCTGCTTGAGCGCGACGATGCATCACACCTCCAGCGACCATGTCCAACTCGTATGATAGCCAGCTCGTACGTCACGCTCCCCCCTCCTGCCAAATCGTCAATCAAGGACGAATTTGTCGTGTCCAACTAACCGCGTTAGGACGCATTTGAACTCTACCACCGACAACGAGCCTCAGAGCCCGACAAACCACGTCCACGTCAAGATGCGGCCAGCAAGGGGTCTGCTCTCGAAGCCCTGGGCCACGGTATCGCGGGTTCAGCAGGCGCAGCACTGTCCAGTGCCGCTCTCTACCCCATCGATCTAATCATCACCCGCCTCCAGCTCCAGCGGCAGCTACGAAGTGATCAGTCCCGGCCGGGAGAAGGCGAATACAAGAGCTTCCTGGATGCGATCGAGAAGATATACAAGAATGAAGGCGGGGTCGCGGGGCTCTATACGGGGATCTTGCAAGATACGGGCAAGACGGTGGCCGATTCGTTCCTCTTCTTCCTCGGCTACAGCTTCTTGCGGGAGAGGAGGCTGGCAGCGAGAGCACATGGAAATGCCAAAGCCAAATCCCTGCCCGCGCTCGAGGAGTTAGGCGTAGGCTTTGTGGCGGGTTGCCTGACCAAGCTGGCCACGACGCCCATCGCCAATATTGTCACACGAAAGCAAGCCGCGGTGCTGTTGGCGGCAAAAGCGAGCAACAATAACGAAAGTGATGGACTTAAAGTGCCGTCCGCAAGGCAGATCGCCCAAGATATCATGCAGGAGAAAGGCATCACGGGCTTCTGGTCCGGATACTCGGCCTCGCTGGTCCTCACGCTGAACCCCTCCATCACATTTTTCCTGTTCGAGACGCTGAAGAGGCTCCTCCTCCCACGGCACCGCAGGGACAATCCTCCGGCTTCCCTTACGTTCTTATTGTCGGCGCTGAGCAAGTCTTGCGCCAGTTCTATCACTTACCCATTCAGTCTGGCCAAGGCGCGTCTGCAGGCGGGGGCGAAGAGGGAGGACCCTGACGAGGAAGAGGTGGTAGATAGGGATGTCGCGAGTGAGAAGGGCCGCAGGGCCGCAAGGGCGAGCGTGTTCAGCACGGTTCTGACCGTCGCCCAGACGGAGGGCGTTACGGCGTTATACGAAGGGTTGCAGGTGGAGGTGGTGCGCGCGTTCTTCAGCCACGGCATGACGATGGTGGTCAAGCAGATCATCCAGCGGTTTCTGGTCAAGGCGTACTACATCATCTCGATTATCCTGGGCCGATATAAGCGCAAGCTCGGGGGATCGAGGCGGCTGGCAGAGCGGGCCAGGAGCAGCGTCGAGTACTACAATCTCGCCATGGCGCGGGCGAGCGAGAGGATTGAGGAGGCGGGCTTGGCGGTCAAGCAGAAGGCTAACGAGACGGCGGAGTTTGTCGGCGAGTATGTGGAGGAAGAAGCGGGTGAATGGCGCGACTTGTATGGTACAACAGGACTGGCGCGATGGCTCGATAGTGGTCGGGATTGAAGGATTGGTGAGTGGAAGGGAGGCTGCGAGGCGAGGCAATAACGTATGATATGACATCTGGGCAAAACGCGAAGCAAAAGCAAAGGACGGGGAATGGAATGGTCGTTGGAAGGCACTTGAAGTGGTGACCATGCCAGTTCAGCGTATAGCAGGTGTTATCTATACGCAACACGTTGACCACCTCGCTTCTCCATCTTCTGCTGTCGTTTGCTCTGCGAGGCCGGCTCTGCACCTCCACCAGCTAGGCCGGCAAACGACGACTTCAATCCGCTAGCGGTTGTAACAGCCGCATAAACAGCATACGCTGGGATGGCAAGGTACAGCCACCACGCCCTGTTTCCAAGGATGGCAACGAGCACAAGATTAATCCACGTCCAGTAGAGAATATCCCACATAAATTCAGTCAACCCTTGAGCGTCCAGGTCTTCCCCGGCACGGCGCAGCGAGCCATCGGGGTTGTAGCTAGGCCGGGCCAGCTTCTCGAGGTAGAACTCGATGAGGAGAGCGGGTGCAGACAGGAAGGAGTAGCGTTTCAGGGATAGGGAAGTGCGCAGGGTGAAGCGCAGGAGTAGGAAGATGCCGTGGATGGCCAGGGTGATTAGGTGGGTTTGCTTGAGGCGCGAGGTGTTGCGCACGGCGAGGGTTTTGGCTGCTTTCTGGGAGTTGAGGAGGGGGGTTAGTCGTTGGGTAGGGGATTGTTGTTGTGATTACCAGGGGGCTGATCATACCTGTGCCATGTCGAGGGATGGTGGAATTCAAAGGGGATGGTGGTGGTGGTGGAGGTGGTGGTGAGCGTAAAGAAATACTAGAGAAATGCATGTGGTTTGCCCGTATGCGGAATACGGACTGGACTGCGGACTGCGGCGGAGTTGGAGGTTGTTCCTCTCGGTGCAGCTGCCTGATTGGGCGGGTGGCTTGTGGCTCCAGCCACAGCGCGCTAGAGACGCCACAGGCTACATCCAATCCGCAAGCAGAGAGGGCAGAGGGCAGAGAGGCAGTTACTGCCAAACAACCAAACAACCAACTCCTTCCTGCCACTTACCATACTCCGTCCTAGTATAGGATTCTGTGCTCGACATCATTCTTTCTCTCCTCCTCTTTCCTGAACATCTCCTTTCTCTCCTCTCTCCTCCCTCTTCCCTCTCCTCCCATACGGTCACGCCTACTTACTACCGCTACCACTACTGTTGCATCCCTAATGCATTAATTCGAATGTCCTTCCCGCGCATTTGTTTGGGGTCTTTTGCGCCTTGCCGCCCTCTTATGACCACCGCGTCTACCGCCACCACCACCGTCATTTCTGTCTGCGCCTGCACCTCCTCCTCCGTCGCCTCAACACCTCGCTCTCTAGACACGTTAATTTACTCATTCATTCCCCTCCAATGGCTCCCACTAATGCCCACATCGCGCAACAACTCCGACAGCTCATCTACTACCACCTCGATAACAATCTACTGAAGAACGCCCTCTTTCTGGCTGCTCGTCTCATCGCCTACGACTCCAGGTCTGCCGAAGCAGCCTACCTCCTCTCATACTGCCAACTACAAGGTGGTTACGTCAAGGCTGCATGGGATTCTTGCCGATCTTTTGCCCTAAGAGGTGCCCATCTCGGCTGTTGCTATATCTTTGCCCAGGCTTCCCTCGAGTTGGGCCGACACGTTGATGGACTGACTGCCTTGGAAAAGAGCAAACCGCTATGGCAGAACCGTAATAATTGGGGCCAACACAATGAATCCCGCCGGCAGCATCTCCCTGACGCCCCGGCTATCTTGTGCCTGAAGGCCAAGTTGTTGAGGGCTCATAAAAACCTCGACCAAGCCGTTGAATGCTGGGCAGCTGCCCTACGGCTGAATCCTTTCATGTGGGATGCGTTCACGGGTCTTTGCGAAGCCGGCGCTACAGTTAGCATTCCTAACCTGTACAATATGTCACCTGAACTCCTCTCCTTGACCCAGATGTCTGTACAATCCTCCCACAAGCTGGACAATCCTTCCTCCGCAGTATCAGAGAAGCTGCCTGCCTCGACTCACCCCCCACCTACCATTTACTCAACTCAAGGCCCACTCGATCCCTTTTTGTCCAATCATAAAGCGAGTGGAACTGTCCAACAAGGAAATTCCGTGCTGTGGGAGAAACTCAATGGTAGTAAAATCAGTGTCAATACTGCCAGCACAGTCCTTGATGAAGAAGTCTCTGCCACCCCTGTCCCGGGAAATGATCTCGATCAAGTTGTCCTGCAAACTCAGTTTCACGATCCCCCGCCCGCTCCTGCGAGGAAAATGAAACCCGCTCCAGACGATCCTTCAGAAGGACCTCCTCGGTGGAAAGCCGGATCAGCACGAGCAAAGGCAAAACCTAAAACAGACGAGATCCTGCAAGATTCGATTCCACCCGTGCCCCCTGTGCCTTCTAAGAGAACAGTCTCGGGCCAGCCCGCCGCCAATAATCATGCCCTGCCTGGCACGTCTGAGGGCACAAGACGCAGCAACAGATTGCTCAACACTACTCGCCCTCCGGGTGCAAGCACCACCGCCGGCAGTAAGATTTCCTCAATAGCCAACACCCTGGGACTTCGTGAAGGTCGAGAAATCAGAAAAGCCAAGGCCCCTGCCATCAAAGGGAGAGTCGCGAACGCTGCCACCGTAGGTAGAGTAGTTAGCGGAAATCGGACCAGGACTGGCTCAACCGACGCAATGGATGTTGACATGAAAGAGCAGAGACCAGTAACGCATCCTCCACCAGTCCCCCCTCTTCCAAACCCCAAAATTCGAGCCGAACTGCATGCAGCCAAGGACATCGAAGCTGTGTCCGCCCTTCTGGACCTTTTTGGGAGGATGGCTTCTGCACAATTGGCCCTTTCCCACTACGACTGTCAGGCGGCGATCCAAGCCTACAATTCACTCCCATCCACCCAGCGCGAGACGCCGTCAATTCTCTCTCAAATTGGCAAGGCCTACTATGAGCAAGGCTCACATGCAGAGGCCGAGAAATTCTTCATTCGCGTACGACAGCTTGCGCCCAATCGTCTTGAAGATATGGAGATTTACTCCACTGTCCTTTGGCATTTGAAATCCGAGATCGAACTTGCCTATCTCGCCCACGAGCTTGTTCAGGTGGACAGGTTGTCTCCTCAAGCCTGGTCAGCCATTGGAAATTCATTCTCGCGGCAGAATGAGCATGAGCAAGCCATCAAGTGCTTCAAACGGTCTACTCAGCTCGATCCCAACTTTGCCTATGGTTATACTCTACAGGGCCATGAGTTTATTCAGAACGAAGAATTCGAGAAGGCTCTAGAAGCCTACCGATCTGCAATTGCTGTAGACGGCCGACATTACAACGCTTGGTATGGTCTTGGTAAGGTCTATGAGAAAATGGGCAAGTGGACCATCGCAGAACAACATTATCGAACTGCCGCAAGGATCAACCCTACGAACGCCGTTCTCGTTTGTTGCATAGGTGTGGTTTTGGAAAAGCTGAAGAATCCTGAACAAGCATTACAAATGTACACTCGGGCTTGTAGCCTTGCTCCGAGCAATGCATTGAGTCGGTTCAAGAAGGCCAGATGTTTGATGAGCTTGGCCCGCCCGAGGGAAGCTCTAGCGGAACTCCTGATATTACGAGACGTGGTCCCCGATGAGCCAAACGTGTGGTTCCTGATGGGTCGACTCTATAAGATCCTACGACTAAAGGCAGAGGCCGTTAGAGCCTTCACCATGGCGCTCAACTTGGATCCTAAGGTAATTGACTGCTGCTCATGTGGTGTGACTGCCACGCTAACCGTATCTAGGCTGCGCAGTATATTAAGGATGCTATGGAAACCCTTGATGATGACGACGAAGACAACTATGACGACGACGAGGAAATGAACTAAGCTGAGCAGTACCCGTTGCCGGAATAGCTTGACACCGTTTGCCAAATAGCCTGCGACATCAATTTGTTCTTGCTGGAGCATATTCCCTTTGGGATTGCGCCCGATTGCGGGGTGATGCACTCTATGCAATGGTGATGGTATATCAGATTTGCGCATTTTGACTTAAACTCCACCTCATCTATGTCTTGCACATGGCTCATGACATCATGGCTTTTAATGATCGATTGGCGATGGACTGGTGAACACCGCTGAGAAGGTTTTACATAAATGTCCACTGGCCCGTTCAATTTGCACTTGTCCGACGATGCCGCAACATATTGACAGAACCCTCTAAGGCGATACCGTCCAGGGGCTTTGCTGTTTTTTGCTTGGAAAAGGGAATGGAATGCCCTTGCATCATGATTGGGGGTGGAACAGCTCTGGAATGGAACCGCATATTGCATTTGAGGTTGCAATTATGGATATTAAAAACTGGGCTCAGTCAGCATGGGTTGGGTATTGCATAGCATGGCTTTGGCGTTCACAATTGAATTTTATATCCCACCTGTTACCAAGGTGAGTGGAGCTAGCAAGCAAGCAGCCTTTCCCAGAACAGTGGTCAGTTGCGGTTGTGGTCTCTCATGCCTGGACTAATATGAGATGAGACGAAAAAATACCAACTTTTGGCCTCTTGAGCAGAAAGACACAAACAGGAACGGCAATGCAAACCGTGATCCTACTTAGGTTGATGACTTGATATAATAACCTCTCCTTCCCCTGGGTTATCGATTTCCTCGCGGCTATGTCTTGAGATTGAGGCTTAGTCAACTGGGAGTCCATAACGGCCTACCTACATGGACAGAAGCAGGACTATGACGGTGCAAAGCTAGCCATTGCTGCTTGCCTCTCGCACGTTTACGATCAGCTCTACCTGATCTAGTAACTCATTAGTTCACTCGTGTTCCACAAACGACACGTTATACCCCATACACAACACTTCAAACACCGTCTATCATCCGAAGTGAACCTCCCTTCGAGTTACATATGAAGGTGGCATGCCATCAATACGATACGGTGTGGATGTCTAGGACGTGCATAAGTTGAATACCCGCTCCACGGCAGACAGACAGAGACAGAGCTGTTAAATGTACACGAGTGCATCACTGGCGCACCTCCTGGATTGATTACTATGTAAAGTACTTAATGTTCAAAGCCCACGCAAGAACACCAACGCCCGCCAGGGAGAGCGGCCGACTAACTGGTTTAAACCACAAAACCACGCGCTTGCACAATACTGCTCGGTGCTGACTCCTTGCGTACAACGTACATACATGTATAGGGGCATATGCAGGATATTTGACTGGCAGATAACCACATAAAGAACGAGCAAGCTAACAAGGGAATAGGTATCGTATCACATTGGCCGCGCCTGGAAACTTTCAAACTTTCACAAACTGAAGCGAACAAACATTGGATGAGACTCTTCGGTGATCAGAAAAGCCTCGGGTCGAGATAGTCTGCGCATTGCCAGGAGGCACCGGAGCCTTGATACACTGGGACGAGCAGCCAAAGGTGGACGAATGGCTCGCATACCACAGCGTTTCACCATAGTTTTTGCTTGTGTGCTTAATAGGCGCGGGGCATGAAATAGGCGCGCCACTGGCTTGGTAGTCCGCGACTTGGAGAGCCATCAATTCCAGGCCTCTTTCGATGAAGTCTTATCAATCCTCCCAGGGTCACTCACAACTCATCCTTCCCATAGTCGGTGGCACTGCTGACCGAGCTCCTGATCACACTCGCCACTTCCTCAATGCTGCTGCTGAGTGCCTCACCCGCATCAGAACCAGTCTCCCCAAGACTACTGGCCATGTTCGCAATGGCACTCTTTGCGCTTTCGACCGCACCGGCGATCTTGGATTGCGCGCTCTCCAAAGCACTTTGTTCGGGACCATAGACTGCCCCACTGAGTTTAGCTTTTACTGTGTCAGCAAGGTTTGCTGCCTCCTCGGTCAGATCATTCACGACCGATCCTGCAGCTGCGATGCTGTCTGCAACAGCTGACGATATCGAACCATACGAGTCCGCAATTCCACTTGTCACAGACTCTACAGCTCCGGTTGAACTTCCATAGATGGCTTGTGAGATAGCATCTTGAGCACTTCGTGCAACATCCGCGAAAGAGCTTTGCGCTGCTTCGGCATACCTTACTTGCGTGCCGTAGATACCCTCAATGATGGCCGAACTTGCGGACGAGTAAGAGTGAGCAGCCGCTGAAGATGCTTGTTCAAATCTTGCCTTGGATGCGCCATAAACCTGTACACTAGCGGCATCCACAACCGCATTCAATTGATGTGTCACCGAATCGAGGATGGACGATACTTCTGGGGTTGGAGTAAAGTAGCTCGAAGCCACCGAGGACATAGAAGAGCCGAGTGAAGAAGCGGAGTCGTAGGCTTCGCTCGCGTAGCTTGATGCCGACGACGCGAGCTCATGGTGATAGCCGGTATAATAAGCAGAGCTGAGTCTACTCAAGGCTGATTCTGTAAAATCAGGTTCTTTTCCGACAATTAGTTCCGACACATACGACTGAATGACCAGGTATTGATCATGCGCAACATCAGTAGCTTGGGCCGAATAGTCCTCTGCTTGCGTGGCGTATCTCTCGTAAAAGGGCTTCGAGCTCCCGTAGACGCGGTCACTGGCTCTGGCCACGAGTTCCTCCCAGTTGTGAGAAGCCTGGCTAGCGATAGACTCGACGGCTCCGGTTGGTGCCCGATAAATGGCCACACTTACAGAAGAAGTCGCCACCATCAACGAAGAGGAAGCCGCAGCAATGGCGGCATCGTACTGGGATGAAAGCTTGTCGAGAACAGTCTGAGCGGGGGACTTTTCTTCTACTCCCAATGCGGAAGAGGCAGATTCCAGCAATGAAGCGAGGTTTGCCGAGGCGGCTGAGACAGCGATCCCATACCGAGAAGATGCCGCATCAAGAGCACTTTGATATACTGGAGCAGGAGTGCCATAGACCGCCACACTGGCAGCGTATGATGCCAAAGATAAAGAAGAGGATGCATTGTCCAGAACGCTAGAGTAAGCCGCCACGGCATCGTCTAATAGACTTTGTGCAGGTGTGGCAGCCGAATTAATTGAGGATTGGTAGGATTCCAGGTTGGTGGAGGCCACAGAGGATGCTGCAGAGTATTGCGAAGCAGCGGCGTCGATCAAGCTTTGATAGGCAGGTTTCGGAGTTCCGTAGGCGGCGGCACTTGCGGCGCTGGAGAGGCAGGTCAAACCCGGTCGAGACTCACCATAGATCGCAGTTGAGGCCGCAGTCACGAAATCGGTATATTGCTCGTGGGCTAAGCCGACAGCAGCATAGTAATTCTTGCGTGCCTCCTCAAGATATCGTTCGTGCGCAGGAGCGGTGGTCATTCCCACCGCAGCCTTTGCTTTAGAGTATTGTGACGATGCAGCAGCCAAAGAATCCTGCAAAGCTGATGAAGCCAAATCCGTCACTAATTCAAGTGGACTCTTAGTTGGAAGGGCATTGGAAACTGCCTCACTAACTGAACTGTATTGTTCATTGGCAGCAATTTGGGCGGCATCGAGCCTGCTGCTCGCGAGGTCTCGAGCACCAGAATATGCGTTCTCAATAGATGAGAGCATCTGCTCATGTATAGGTTTCGGCGTTCCTGAAATTTGACGAGATGCTACAGATTTTGCAGCGGAATAATGCTCTTCTGCGCGGCTGATAGCGTCGCTGTAAAGCGAGCTGGCCTGCTGTAGAACCGACTCCGTGGCAGGAGCTGGGGTTCCAAAAATCACGGAGCTTGCTGCTTGTACTGCTTGTTCATAGGTATGAGAAGCTCCGTCAACGATGCTCTCTCCTGGACTGCGAGGAGCACCGTACAGCACACTGGAGGCTGCTGATAGAGCACTGGCGTATTGTTCACTTGCAACGGATGTCATGCTTTGGACAGTACCCTGTTTGGTGCCATACAATGCTTCTGAGACTGCACGTGTAACTTCAGCATAGCTATCGCCAGCTTCGTTGACGACTTGCTGTAGCTGTTCCGAGAAGGTTCCGCCCTCGTCATTGTCAAAAACATCGTCCAAGATCGCATTCGAACCTTTGACTTCCTGGGCCATGGCACCTGCAAAGACCGATGAGACATGAGAGGTGGCTGCGTCAACTTCAGTTGATGCTGACTCGAGGACGCCGTCAAGAGTTTCACTGGTAAGTGATGAAAGGCTCCCTGACGTGGAAGCGGCTTCATTTGATAGTGAGGATGTAGTGGTTGCAATATTGCTAGTCGTAGAGTCACCCTGTTCCTGGAGATCCTCTGTCAACGAAGATGCTGCTTCGGTGGCTTCCAAAGCCATTGACTCGACGGAGCCGGTACTAGTGGCAGGAATCGCTGATGATTCAGACGTATAGACAGACTCTGCGATGGAGCTGGCCCTTGACAACAGAGGATCGGGTGAGCCCTTGGGGATTGGAACACTGATGGAGGACGCCGATCCAATGATACGCTGCGCAAAGTCGTTCGCCTCGTAGGCTACCAGGAGGGTGCCAGTGGTGGAACCTTCAATAGCGGAGGAAGCAGAAGACAGAGCGCCCGAAGCGGCGTCAGTAGCGCCAGATGCAACAGAACTAGCGGCACCTTTAAGCTCAGCTGCAAGGCTGGAGGCTGCAGATTGGGCCTCGACGGGAATCATGTGGGTTTCGAAGTCTTCCGAAGCATCCCTCGCTTTGAGCTTCCATTGAGCAACTGCTTTAAGCCTGATGAGCTCCTTGGCGGCGTCTTCAGTAATGGCCATGCTCTCCTCTAAGATTTGTTGAGCAGCAACAATAGCAGCTTCCGCATCGGGATGGGCCAGTGCAACACTACTGACCTCCTGCTTCCATTCATCTAGTTGCACCCGTACAGCATGGTACTTTTCCCAGTGCTTATAGGTAACACCCTCCATCCAGGCCCACCGAAGGCCGATTTCTTGAAGTCCCAGATCTTTGATACCATCGAGAACTTCTAGTGTGGATGCAGAGGCGGCAGCGAGTCTCTGTATGAGGCCTCTCTCAAAGACCTGCTGCCAGTCTCGGACCTTTTTGGCTCGATCCTTAATCTCGACGCCAGAAGCCCTGATGCCACCCAAGATGTTCTCGGCTGCCTTGCGAATCTCTTCAGGGCTTGCATCGTCGGGGAGAGAGCCAATTATTGATTGGATATTGGACTTGACATTCTCGATCTCGTTGACTGTGGTTTTCTCCAGGGCATTGGCCAGACCTCTGCCGAGATCGTCCAGGTCACTCTTGACCAGGCTGGAGATGATATCCTCTGCTCTCTCGCGCAAATCATCACTTGCCTTATCGGCGGCAACAGCGAATTTATTTTGCCAATTGATTAGGTCTTCTGCGATTTTCTCGGGGGTGGCAGTTTCATAAGTCGGCCTGACTGGCGCTTGGGCAGTAGAAGAGGCTTGGTCAGCTTCGGTTTCGGTGGGGGAGTCCTCATCGTCAGTCTCAAACAGGGCGTATACATCGTCCAGGCCAGTGGCTGCAGCGAGTGGGGCGGTGGTTAGGGAAGGGTCTGTTGTAATATCGACTTGATCGATAGCTCCCTTGAGTTTCCGACTCTCTTGGTATTTGGCAATTCTCTCATTGATCATGACCAACTGAGGCCTGACATTATGGATGTAGAGGCCTTTGAGCAGTGGCCAGAGGGTGCCATCGACGAAAATAACAAGGTCGGACCAAGTGTGCCTCGCCAGAGGGTATGCGGTGGTGAGGATGAAATCTTGAGAGAAAGAGTAGGTCTGTTGCAGATATGGCCTCGAGTGCCGCAAGAAAGGGAGGAGATATTCCCGGTGGGCTTGAAGAATTGTATCCTTGCAAGAGGTATAGTAAGGGCCGATCAGATTGATGAGCTGGTCGACGTGTGGAGCGAGGTGTGCATCGTAAAGAAGAAAGGCCTGATTCTGGGCGAGGTGCAGCTGGGGGACAACTGACTTCTCCCACTGGGCCTGTCCGTAGGTCTTTGCTGTCTGGAGCTGGGGAGCGGCGTACTTTTCATAGTTCAAGCTGGCAACGATGGATGCTGGACGGACGACTCTTCTGTAAACTAGCTGGGTATAAGGCTGAGCAATGTCCACATATGGGGCGGCATAAGTGTCGTAGTAGGGTTGTAGATGAGGCTGTAGATACTGCTTGGTGGAGAAGTACGGTTTACAGACTCGAGGGGAGGAGTCGGTCAGGGCGTCGGGAGAGGAGGGGCAGCGGAAGATAACTGTCAGTAAAGCATACCAGATGGTCAATCTAGGCAAGATGTTAGATGTGTCGGTAATCGGGGGGAACGGAATACCTGGCGAGGTTGTTGAACAGCCATCCGGACCAGCTTCTGCGAAGTCGGGAGGAAGACGTCCGCTTGGATGAAGAGGTTGTAGAGATGATGGGATGGCCGTTGAGATTTCCGTTCACCTGTCCATTGGGCCCATCCTTGACGTTTTGAACTGGCCTGCCGTTCTCGGCGACTGCCATGGCAGCGGGGCAGGATTGCTGAAATGCAGTTCAGTCCAAAAGGCCAGGGAGTCAACAATCAGCTTGGGAGAGAGATCTTGAGGCGATGATGGTCAGGGAGAGGGGAAGGACCGAGCCAGGACCGACAAGGGCCTGAGGGGGATTGATGGTATCCGTATCCCAATTTGCAGGTTAGAGGAAGACAAGATTGATGAATAGAGGGTAGAACGTGGAGATGTACAGTAGAGCGATGTGCAGTTGCTAAGGTGCAGGTAGAGATGGGAGCATGTTTTAATTAGGTAGGTAACTAGTGTATGACCAAATTGGAGGTTTTTGTGGAGGCGATACGGAGTGGTACCTCCTTCCCAAATTCCCACTCCTACTAGCACGGAGTATGCAACTACCTAGCTTGATCCCGAATAGACAATCTTAGCTACGAGTACCTGGTCTCAACAAGTACTCGTACTCGAAGAGCAGGGAAGTGCAACAGCCACAACGTCACCCTCTCCAGTCCTTTGCCTCGATCCTGGTCATGATCTCGGTCTTGGCCGACATGGAGGCCAAAACCTGAATTGTCACAGAACTTGACCACATGCCAGTCCTCTTTCCTTCAGCAACACCACGTGGCTTACGGATAATCGTTGTTCCGACCGTTGATCACGTGCCACGTCATCCCTGCACGTGACTGCTCTCCGCGGTCCATCTGCATCCTCACGTTTCTCTCTACCCCCAGAAGCATTCTTTTGTCAATTGTCTCCTACTTCAACTCTTCATTGCATATCGACAAACCCCATCCTATCTGTCTCGGCCTTAGGTATCCCTCGTCCTGTGACCCCTATCTGCTATCGCCACAACCGCCAATGGCCTAATCCTTTCTCCCATCGTCATGCAACCCGTTCCCTCATCCCTCCTCTTCCCTCTAGTATCACTCCGCCTTTGCCGCCAACATGTCCTTCGACTTCCATGACGTCCGGCCCTTTCCTCTTGACCGCATTGGAGACAGACAGGCCACTGACGAAGATGCCCAGGAACATTGTCGCATCTGCCGTGGCGAAGCCTCTCCCCACCAACCCCTCTACTACCCTTGCAAATGCAGTGGCAGCATCAAGTTTGTTCACCAGGAGTGTTTGAAAGAATGGCTCTCGCATTCTCAGAAGAAATACTGTGAGCTTTGCAAGACGTCCTTCCGATTCACCAAACTCTACGATCGGTCCATGCCACACACTCTGCCTTTCCCCCTGTTTCTGCATCAGATCACGAGGCATGCCCTCTCCGCTTTCCTGCGACACACCCGCTACCTGCTGGTCGGTCTGGTATGGTTGTGCTGTCTGCCGTGGTCTATCAGGCAGATATGGCGTGGATTGTTCTGGCTGGCCGATGGGAATTGGCTGGACGAACAGGACATCCTCTTGGAACAGAACGCTACTCTCATTTCCAGCGTTACCCTCGATCCTGTACAACCGACACTCGAGATGACCCCGTCCTTTGAAAGGCTCAATTTCGTCCTGCCGCCCATGCAACTCTCCCTCGCCGATATCACACGCGCCGCCTTCAGCCAAGGCCTTATTGGGAGAATGCTCCAACTCATCTTCACACTCCTCATTCCAACCTCAACATCAACCAACGCGAGCCCCTCTTCTCACGCGCCGACCTCACACCGTTCGCCCTCTCTTCTCTCCGACGTCCAATTCCTGGCCAATTGTTCCGCTGTCCCTGCCATCAACCACCTGACCCTCGACGTGGTCGAGGGCCAGCTGATATGCATTTCGCTTGTAACCGCATTCATCCTAGTGTTCTTGATTCGCGAGTGGGTCATCAACCAGCAGCCTATTCATAACATGCCAGATCTTGATGGCCATGACAATCCCGTCCCTCCACCCGCTCCCGTCGACCTCAACGCTCCTCCAATGCAGAGGCTCCGTCGCCAAAACCCTCGCCGTGACCAGGAACCACACGCAGACCGGGCCCCGGTTGACCAAGCACCGCGTCCTATAGCAATACCCAGACTCCGCAGAGCTCTTACAGATGATAATCTTCTGAATGATATTCATGCCGATCCTCTCGAACGTCCTGGCATGTCCGTCAGATCTGAAAGCCTGATCGCTGACCCATCTGCACGAGCGGAGACCCGTTCCACAAATGACTTTGGGGACAGTCCAACCTTGTTTCAGGAGTCCGACTCCCCGTCTTTTAGCCGAAGGGCCTTGAGCAACTCTATCATCGTCCAGCGTGAGGTCGAAATCGTCCCAGGGAGTGATGCGGGTGCCCCCGAGCACGATTCCCTTGCTCATGATCTCGGCGATGAAGCTCAATTGGCCGATTTTGTTGACCCTTCCTTGTTCCTGCCAGACTCGTCGAATTCCTCCCACCCAGATTCTGCTTCCTTCGAAGCACATGCAATGCTTCAGCGTTCACTCGACTACGTCGATCCTGAACAGGACCAAGAAGAGAATTCTATCATGTTTGACGCTGATCTCGACAACTCCAATGGTGCGGTCACGAATAGTGCCAGTGAAGACCCAGACTCGGGTATTGCTGGAAGTTCATCCACAACCTCCACCGGAGCACCCGATACTCCTGCTCCTCCTGAAGAGTCCCGCCTGCAGAAGATCTCGGCATGGCTATGGCATGTCGATGACCAACAACGAGCTCCTCGGCGTCCCGAGACTCGAGATATGGAACGCATTGTCGAAAACCTACTCGATGAAGCTCCTTTTGTTCCTAATCCACATCAAGAACAACCGGGGATTCTACCTCCTGTGTTGGAAGCTCCAGTACCACCCGCTAGAGAGCCAGCGGATGTCCACGATCCCAATGCTGCAGATGATGCTGATGACATAGATGGGATTCTTGAGCTGCTTGGAATGGAAGGACCTCTCTTCGGAATGGTGCAGAACGTTGTCTTCAGCCTCTTTCTCATCACTATCACCCTGTCGGCCAGTGTCTGGTGTCCATATGTCTGGGGCAAAATTGCACTCTTATTTATCTCCAACCCAGTGGGGATGCTGATCAAAGCTCCCCTCTTTGTCCTATCTCGCGCAGCCGATCTCGTGGTCGATGTCATTTTCTTTGCCGCTGGAATCGCTGGAATCATGCTCAATGCATCTCTCAGGATCATACAGACTAGCGTTACACCTTTGTTTCCTGGTGCTAGCAACCTCGTGGACCTGGGTGCTGTCCACGATTTCACGTTGGAGTTCAGCCAAAAGAGCAGCACGCGGTTGCAGAAGACCCTGGTTGGGGCCATGCTGAATCTGAAACCCGATCTCCCGACATTTTCTGTCTTATCTCATCACGCTCTGATATCTTTGAAGGCATCTTTCTCTAGGACAGTGCTCTGGACCGCTTCGTGCATCCTCCGAGCTCGCGCATGGGCTGTCACCACGCCACTCTCGGTTGGCTCGGTTCTCTCTGGTTTCCTCGGTCTTAGTCGATCGATTCCTGGCGCTTTGACAGCCACGCGCATTTTTTTCCAGTCGAATTTCCAGGACTTATATTCCTTTGGGACCGGCTTCGATCTGGGTTCGTCGGCAAGGCGCGCGCCTATCGATAGCTCTCTTGTGGCCTGGGGTACCGAGGACAGGATTATCACCATCATTATCGGCTATGCATTTTTTGCAGCAGCTGGAGTGATCTTCCTTGAGCTTGCACACCTCATACTTGGCCTCAGAGATGACGAAAAGGTTGAGGGATATTTTGCGGATTGCTTGCGACAAGCTGGTGGGGTGATGAAGGTTATTGTCATCATAGGCATTGAGATGCTTGTTTTCCCACTGTATTGTGGGCTGCTCCTCGATGTTGCCCTGCTGCCACTGTTTGCGAATGCCACATTGACTAGCCGTATCACCTTTTTGATACGGGCACCTTTCACGGGGATATTTATTCATTGGTTCATCGGGACTTGTTATATGTTTCACTTTGCATTGTTTGTTGGAATCTGCCGCAAAATTCTTCGAAAGGGAGTCTTGTACTTCATCCGCGACCCGGATGACCCTACCTTTCATCCAGTTCGCGATGTTCTTGAGCGCCCTATTCCTACGCAACTCGGTAAAATCGCATTTTCGGCGCTCGTATACGGTGGCCTGGTCATGCTCTGCTTAGGTGGCGTTGTCTGGACACTAGAATGGATTGGTGGTGTTCTTCCGATTCAATGGGCAACCCCCGAGCCAAAGTTGGCTTTTCCCGTCGATGTCATTTTCTACAACCTCATGTTGCCTTTGATCCTGCGGAAAGTTGACCCATCCAAAAGATTCACCGCTCTATATGAGTGGTGGTTTCGATCATGTGCCAAAGGATTAAGACTCACGGCATTCCTTTTTGGAGATGATCGTGAAGAGGAAAAGACCGGGAAGGGATGGCCGAAGCCTTTCTCCCGTGCAGAAGTCCAACCTTCCGACACCAATTCCCCTCAAAATGGTACTTTCGTGAGGGCACCCGCTTCGGACTCGGTTCGGATCCCCCGGGGTCAAAACGTGTTCTTGGAAGTCAACGAGCGCAACGAGCGCGTTGATGGTCTGCCTGACCCCGACATAGGTATACATGGCAAGATAGATAAGCGATTCGTCACAGTATATCTGCCTCCAAACTTCCGGTCGAGAATTGCTGCTTTCATCCTTCTCCTGTGGCTCTTCGCTGCTTCAACCGGCGTTGCCACTACGATTGGTCCATTGCTACTTGGCAGGACGATCATGCGGTGGATATCGAAGTCTGAGCTAGCCCCTAATGATTTGCACGCCTTCACTCTGGGGATTCACATCTTCACTCTCGCAATCTGTTGCGTCACGTTTTCAAAACCAGCCTGGGACTACCTCCGGAAAAAATCACTCTACTTGTTCGGCCACAGCAAAGATGCGCTTATCCAAATGGTTAGCTTCTCAAAATACGTCTCTGGCTTAATCTATTTAGGGACCTTTACTGCTGTTGTTCTTCCTTGTGTGTTGAGCACTATAATCGAGCTGTACCTCCATGTACCCTTGTTTACATACCTAGACTCGGGGAACCAACTGTCCAAAGCCGGTATTGGTGGGTCTTCGAATGGTCAGAGAGCGACTATCTTCATCCTTCAGACTTGGACCATCGGACTGTTGTATCTCCGTCTGTGCCGAAGGCTCTTCCTTAATTATGTTGCACCAGACTCTCAAGCCAGCATTGCTCTTCGCGCCATTTTTCGGGACGGCGTTTGGCGACCTGATGTTCAATTGGCAAGCCGAGCATTTGTGCTCCCCGCGACTTTCATTTGCTTTATATTACTAGCAACTCCATTGGCGGCTGCGAAGCTTGCCATTAGTGCTTTGCGAGTCGAGGAGGCCGGGGCGCAGACAAGAATATATCGTGCTGCATACCCTACCCTCCTAGGCACTTGTCTTGTTTGGTATGCTATTTGGATATTACAGCGCCAGATCGCAAATTGGAGGGCTAAAATCAGGGATGAGGTATACTTGATTGGTGAGAGGTTGCACAACTTCCACGACGGAAAGCCTGAAATGAGTGTGAACAAAACGGGGAAAGAGATGTACCTGTGAACATGAGCTTAGAGATGACACCATTCCATATTGAACAAACCGACATGGCTTTATTGATAGCTATGATAGCTGAACATTAAGGGAGGCTCAATAGAGGTTTTATTTACTTGATATTCACTTATCACTTGTACAAGTCAGTAATTGTGAACCTCTAATAGTGTGTGCAACACAGGCTTCCAGAACCTGTGACAGGTTCCACTTCCCCTCGCAAAGTCTAATCATGGCAACGCCCCTCTGTGAACTATTGGGCAACTTTAGATTGAAGCGGACTATGGAGAGGTACGGCTACAGCGACGATTTGACGGTTCGTCGCATTAATCAGTCCCTCTTATCTTTTCTGTTAAGTGCATGTCACGGGTGACGATGAGGCTGTGGGCGCTAAGCAGAACGGAAACACGTCTTAGATATAGATTGAATAAATACGCTGCTTCCCATTGCATGAATTTGGGTTTTGTAATTCCCAATATGCCGAAATTGGAAATAGCATTTCTCCCAGAGAGGAGCCTTATCCATCGCCATCAAGACTAAAAATCGAAGAATTGCGAAAGATTATGCCAAGCTGGGGAGAAACTTTGGCTTCGAGAGCTCATCTAAACGTCGACATTGCGGCATGCCGATCACAGCCTGGAGTGACGATTGTACAATGCGGAGGTTTGCAGTCACCTAACTAGAAAATTGCTCCTCATGGCTGTCAGTTCCATTTGAATGCCGCTGATTAATACGTTTCAACACGGAGCCCCTCGGTCTTTCAGCACCGTAAGCAAGCCGCTCAGTCGATATCCCAAATCAGCAAAGCTTGGGATGCAGATTACAATTCACATTGATTCTCGGGGGACGGCAGAGCTTCGATGGTTCCATTACCGACCTCAATCCTTTTTACTTCTCTTGACACAGCGGTGCCAATCCGTGCAACCTTACCGCCGAGATGAAAGCTTCCGCTGGGACCAAGACAAGCGTGAAGCAGGCCAAGGGCTTGGGAGAGAACAACAAGGATCTTAGCCAAACGCCGTTGCATCATCGGTCGGGGAATGATCCAATCAAGTGCACGTGGCGCCTTGTATCTCTTGTGGCGGATGCTTGGACAAGACGTTCCATCGCTTACTCCTCCTTCCATGGAGAATATCAAAGGATGTGCTATCTGGAATCTCCCTGGGGCCCTGTCAGATTGCGCGCCAGACCGGAAACAACCTTTACTTTGGGGAATGGATGCAATGTTGATCTTTTGGTGGAGTGGCTCCCCAGGTGATATTTCCATGTCATGTACCGACTCGTCGCCCCCCGGCCCTCTTCGTGGCAAGCCAGGCCAAATCTTGAGGTATAAGTTCGAGCTGATGTACCTGTGGATATCTGGGACCTTCCCAACAAGTCCTCTCTCTTACTCCCAAGGATTGACTGCAGATTAGCGGTGACATTATGGCTCTCCGTCACCGAGATGTCGAGGTGAATTACGACTCCAATAATCTGGATGAGAAAGTCGATGACTCGCAAGACATCCGTGTCGAGCGCTCCGAAAGTCTTGTCAGTCTGCCAGATCCTGATGCCGGGAAGTCCGATGTTGAGAGGGCCAAAATCGTTACGTTTATTCCATTCCTCGTAGGAGGTGCCCCACTAACGTCGTTCAGGATCGTGCATTGATGTGGAAAGTCGATCGATGGCTGATTCCGTGGCTCTGCTTGCTCTACTTGTTGTCTTTCTTGGATCGCACGAACATCGGCAATGCAAGATTGGCGGGTATGGAAAAGAACTTAAGTATGTCGGGTCATGACTACAATAATTCCTTGACGATCTTTTTTGTAGGTTCAAGAAGCTTACACATTGATCAAACTACTTACATGCTCTAGATCAGCTATGCCCTGGCCGAGCCGATAACCAACGTCTTGCTCAAACGGTTGACGCCAAGAATCTTCTTTACAGCCATCATCATTTCATGGGGTCTTATCATGACACTAATGGGTCTCGTGCAGAACTATGCGGGTCTTCTGGCTTGCAGATGGTTTCTTGGTCTTGCAGAAGCCGGCCTCTTCCCGGGTATGTTTGCCATACATATATAACGAATCTCTCTTTGGCTAAGTCTCACAAGGGGTGAACTACTATCTTTCATGTTGGTATAAGAGAAGTGAACTCGGTCTACGGGCGGCAACATTCTTCTCCGCAGCCGCATTGGCGGGTTCGTTCGGCGGGCTGCTCGCTGCGGCCATTGCGCAAATGGATGGAATCGGCGGCAAACCCGGTTGGGCGTGGATTTTCATCATCGAGGGTCTGGCCACCATGTTTGTGGGTGCCTTTTGCTGGTGGATGGTCTTCGACTGGCCTGATACAGCCCGGTTCCTAACCCCAGAGGAGCGAATGCGCATTCGACGTCGCCTGGCCGAGGACAAACAAAGCAGTACTGCGGAAGAATACGACAAGCGGCACATCTATGCCGCTCTCAAGGACTGGAAGACGTGGGGGTACTCTTTTATTTACATGGGATGCCTGTGCCCCCTCTACGCCTTCTCGTTGTTTCTTCCAACAATCCTCCGTGGCATGGGATACACTGGTACCCATGCGCAATTACTATCCGTGCCACCCTATGCATGTGCGGCAACGATGACTATCTTCATTGGTTGGTTAGCAGACCGCACGCGCTGGCGAGGATACTGCAACATGGCAGTCGTGAGCTGTGCCATTGTTGGGTTTATCATGCTCATCGCGACCGATAAACCAAGGATTCAGTATGCTGGTACCTTCTTAGGTAAGCACAGGAGACAAGTTTCTCAAAGATGGAATTTGCTAATGTTCTATCCACTCAGGTGCCATCGGAATTTATCCCACCATCGCAAATACCCTCTCTTGGGCCTCCAATAACATCGAAGGCGTTTACAAGCGCGGTGTGGTGATCGGCATCGTCGTCGGCTGGGGAAATCTGAATGGCGTTGTCAGCTCTAACATCTACCTCACGAACGAGGCTCCTCGGTTCTGGACTGGACACGGCACAGTCCTTGCATATCTGATAGTATGCCTGCTAGGTGGCACCATCTTCATGCACGTCATGTTGAGACTTGAAAATGCGAGACGGAGGAGCGGCAAGCGTGATAGGATGCACGAAGGAATGACGAGAGAACAAATTTGGGTCGCTGGTGACAATAGACCTGACTTCCTCTATGTTACCTAAAGGGAACTTCTGCCAACCGACGGACAGCAACAGGCCCACTTGCAAGGATAGATACAGCGGACAGAGAAGCAATACTTGCCAAACTCGTTGACGCTATATAGTTTACGAACGATCAATGCACGGAGATGAAAGAGCACATATGCTCTCTATATAAATCTTATATTGTAGGATGTGCTGCAAACACGTGTAGTAGGCCACGCCTATGGACCTTGTCACTCACCGAACATACCTTGGGGCTAATGTTTCTCTCTCAGTCTCCATACATTTGTATTGATGCATTTTTCATTGTGTACAGGGGTTTGCCTCCTCAAGGTGGCATGTGTTTCGCCAGGCACGCCTGTCTTTACTTTACCCCTAATTGTTCTCCCGACGGAAAGTGTCGTCTCAAATACTTTTAGTGGAGCGGACAGTTTTTCTGCACTTCACGAGAATCAGTTCTCGTACCATCAACTTGAAAACAGGATTGGGTGTAAGTATCCAGAGAAATGTCCGTTGTAGGAGGCGCTCCATGACTGGAGAGAGCATTCGTGCCCACAGATGCTTGATGGACCGGATGGTGTGCTTTCCCCAAACCAGTATCAGCAATGTGCAGCATCAGCAATAGGATGACGTTGACGCGACCCAGTGCGTGGTGGGGTAATGTCATTGTCGGAGGCTGGCCTCGAGATGGCGATCCAAGCCAATTTGCCCTGGGGCGGGATTTTTAGGTTTGACTGAATTGGTCGTATGTGGAAGCAGTTCGAGATGTTCAAGCTCGTCGACTAGACCAGTAGGTTAGTCGGATAAGCCATTCTTCCTGGGTGTTACTCAGCGATGGTGCTTTTGACAACTTGGAGTTGCTGAATCCCGGCGTATGTAGCGATTAGAAAGGCGTCCCTGGAACGGAGAGCTCACGGAAGTTCATGCATGCCTTTGCTCAATAGCTTCTTTTCATCCTGTGCTTTGTTGTAATCAGTTGACATCTCCTGCACCTGGCTTGAATTGAGCTCTTGGGGTTCGCCGGATACGGGGAGTTGTGGAAGCTGCCTTAAATCACCCCCCACGTCTTTTTCGAGAACAGTCTCATCCGATTTCTGAATAGTTGAGCGTCTTCGCTGGCGGACGATGAAGAAAATCAGGCCAAGGATGATGGCGGCGGCCGCGAGACCAACAAATACCATGCCAACTTTGAAGCCGACACTGTCAGTTGTCTTGGAGCCACTTGTGGCGACAGCAGTGCTGCTGGTCGCCGTCACGGCGTCGCTCGTAGCAGATGCCGCCGGAGAACTTGTCGTAGAGCCGACTGCGTTGCATTCCCCAAAGTCAGACTGACATCCAGTTCCGCAGTATGTCGAGTTATTCCCGCACCAGCCTTGTTCGCTGCAGCATGAGCCAAATGTGCTCCCCAAACAAATCTGTGCGTTGTTCTCTTGTCCGCACCGTCCGTCGGGGCTAATACTCGATGCATTGTCGGAGCACGTCCCAAATGCAACCTGACAGCCTGCACCACAGTACACGTCGGTACTGCCGCAATAGCCATTAGTTGAGCAGCAGTCGCCGAATGTTGAGCCTAGGCAGGTGGCATTGATGCTTGACCGACTACCGCAATCTCCGTTGGTCGAAATGTCTTGCGCGGACGCAGAATCTGCGATCGCAATGAAAATCGCCGTGACCAAGAACCGCCTCATCGTCCGTTTCATGATTCAGAAAAAGGATACTTTAGGCAGTCGAGTTAATTGGTCTATTCCCTCTCTGGGTCGTAGATTGGAGGGGAAGCAAGACTGATGCCCTGAAGATTCTATGGTGGGCTGTAGAAGTAAAAGAATGGTCAGAAGAAGAAGCAACGTGCGGATTGTGGTCAAGGTGAAAAGGCGCCTGGAGATCGTGTCCCTGAACCTGCAACCGACGTGGCAGCAATACTGCTGGAAGGGAAGAAGTGGCATGCAGCCGCAACATCAGTATTTGCTCGTTTAGCCCATATTTTCTAAAACAGGGCCTTACACAGCGCGTTCAACATGCCACCGTCCACTCGACGCTTTAGGCGACCAGCCGCTAACTCTCAGCCCTGGCATATGTAGTTCTCCTGGTAAAACAGCCAGGGGTTGCAGTGGATATCGCAGTTGTGTTTTGCCATCCCACTCCAGATGTGATGTCGAATCAGAACCTGCCAGAGATGGTTCTTCGAGAGTGATGATCCGCATACATATCTTCCTGAGAACTCATTGGCTCTTCCTGGACGGACAAGTTTCTGTCGCTGAGTTGACTGCTTCGGTATATGATATAAATGTGCTTGGGAGGTACACAAGTACGAGTACAATGTACTCGGTACCAGGACGCGACATCCACTGGGTCTTTGAGTTCGGGGCGGTTCACAAGGGGCTCATTAGCGAAGTTGGCTCAATTATTTCAACGGTCGAGCTATGGCTACTCGGAGGCCTGAAGGGCCTGATCAACTCAAATTTCTCGCGGAGTTGTTACACTTTGACCGTTAATCCTTGGCCAAAGTTAGGGCCGCCCTTGGCGAAATGTTGGTCAAAGGTTACGTGCAAGTGGGAGTGCTAAGTACACGTACGAGTACTACTGTACTTGTCGACCTCAGCACTCAGACAGAGGCACGACCTCACGAGATGGATTTCCAGCGACCGTCTACCATTTCGGCGCTCGGACTTCCGGAATATGGATGTCCTGTACCGAATAAGTTATACCAAGGCGTCTCGTACGGAGCACTCCGTACTGATAATCGCGATATACTCCAACCCGAGTTGCCCATACGGAGTACTTGCCATAATGTCGGAACCTATTCGACGTTCCTAGGGCCTAGATAGCTACTCGCATGGAGTCAGGCAACCTACAGTACGGTATTCAACTCAGACGTGTCAGCGGATGAAAGTACGGATGAGCTCTGCACTGGCACACGGCGCAACTATGCCGCCTTCACAGACTGGCTTCCTAGTGTGCAGCTCAGCAATAGATTTACTTTGACCATGAACGCCTATCGCCCCTCTAACTCTGGGTCCGTTGCCAGTATATATCATATCCCACCGCCATTTCAACAGGCCGCCACTGTTCAAGATACATGTAAGCACAGTCCCTGTGGTTGAACCACTGGAATCAATCTTCACCCTAATTTACCGCGTATATCGTTTGTCCCTCGACTTTGTCCGATCTCGACTGGCATGGTCGACAGCTCTGGCCGTGAAATAGAAACGGTAAGAAGAACGCGAAGAGCGCGAAGAGAGAGACTTCCTCGGCCTCGGCCGCATACTACATGGCGAGGCAGTGATAGCAACTGAAGACAGAGTTGACAGTAGATATCGGGCAAGCTCCTCTTTGAGTCTACAATGGAAGGTTTGATTTAGGAACACGATCAGGACATTGCTTTTTCAACTTCACTGTTCAGGAAGCTGTATTCCGAGTTCCATAAACTCCCTACCGCTTGAGATATCATCATTAGACGGAGGCGATTGCCTTCATCGATTTACGTGGAGCGGCTATAGTCCAACTCTACGAGGACGGAGTAAAAGCATCAAGATGGACGAGATGATAGTTATACCTAGACTCTTTCAGCTTGAGGACAACCTGCTGGGCTTGGGGCAATTGTCAACGTCCAGGATCCCCAAGGCGATGTCCCAAGTTTGCATCCTTAGGACCCCATAGTGAAGATATTCATGCTGCTTTCTGCTCGAGTTTAACACTCTCCTGATGTGCCGCGGTGACACTAAGTCCCTTTTCTGCTTGTTCAACGATGTCTCCGTGCACTTCAAGTTCAAACACGTTCACCTCGGTGGAAGCGAACTTTCTCGCACTGACCTTCCGTTCGAATAGCAGATCCAATTCGGCGAAAGACCGACCAGCTGGTTCTGGAACCCTGAAATAGGTGTAAATGATGCACAGAAAGCAGGCCCCCGCCCAGAAGAATCCGGCGTAGTTCCCCCAGTTCCAATCACCCGGATTAAGCATGTATGGGGTGATGACTGAGCAAATAATGCTTACAACATTGTAGAGGTTGCGCCCGAGGACCACGGTCTTAATCTGCAACCTTCGAGTGGACATTTCTGCCACCAAGGAGTAGGTTACTGTGCCGACAGACAGTTGATACACGGCTGCCCAGACGATCATAATGCTGCCGGTTGCCATAGCAGCAGATTCACGGTTCTTTGGAATTCCGAGAAAGCCCATGATCATTAACATCGTGAACAGGCCGCAAAGGCCGTAAAGAAAGAGAGTCCTGCGGCCAACACCCCAGCTCATGATCAACCAGACACCGAACACGCCAACCATATTGATACTGTATTGACCCAGGGCAAAACTGTAGGATGTTGATGGATCTAGACCAGCTTGGGTGAGGAAGTAGGAGGAATAACCGCTGAACGAATTGCCCGAGAGATTCTGAATTGCCCAGCACATGCAGACGATCTCAGTACGGCGGAGATCCGTGCCCTTGAAGCAATCAAGGTAGGAACTACCGCGAGTGATTTCCGTCTCAAGAGCGGTGGTATGAGCAATCATGGCAATAGTTTCATCAGCATCAAAATGTGTTTCTTTATTGAGACTTGTCAAACGAAGGAGGGCCTTTTTGGCATCAGCAATCCTTCCTTTCCTGACCAACCACCATGGTGACTCCGGAGCCATGAAAATGCCGACGCCCAGAGGTAGGGGCCACATCCATTGCAAGGCATAGGGAATTCGATATGACCACTGATCTGTACGGTTTAAGCTGCCTTTGATGGAGCCAATTCCAATGACCTGTCCAAGTCCCCAGCACTGCGGGTGATCGTTAGTGACACACACAACGGATATTCTGGAGCAAAGGGTGGATTCGAATACCGATGACGCTCTGGCCAGCGGCGTGGCCGACGAAACAAAGTGTAGGGGCAAGAAGATGTGTGGAAGAGAGTGACTTACAAAGTTCACATACGTTGTCAAGTATCCTCGAAGAGCGACAGGGCAGACCTCTGAAGCATACGTGATTGTCAAGGTTTGGAAAACGCCCCAAGGGATGCCCGAGAAGATGTACCCAATGAGGAGAATTTCAACGCTCTGAGCAGTGAAGAGAATGGCTGTAAATGCAGCGACAAGAGTTAGACAGGTGAGAACCGTCCATCGATAACCAATCCATTCGGAGACATATCCGTTGATAAAGAGACCGATGATTTGGCCTACTTGTGAACCGTTCTGCAGGCCAGCTTGCCAGGGCGCAGGGATTTCCCAGCTTCCATTTGGGAGCTGATGGCCGTACTTTTCCTTGAACTTTGGGAAGTTGTAAAAATTCGGGAGTAGGCAGACATCAAAGCCTTCCATTGCAATGCACGTACTGATAAGGATGCTCCACCCGATGGCTTTCGGATACAGCTTCACACCTTGAATCAGGGACATGCCATGCTCTTTGTCGGTCGCCGATTTGGCACCTCTAATCAAGACACTGTTCGAGCGCCCAGCACCAGGAGAACCTGGGTCATGCTTCTCTTCTGTGGCCATCATCAACGGATGCCGTGTTGGCAAGTAGACGATAGTGGGAGGTGGAGGAAAGGATCAGGGTTCAGAATCGATTTTTTTTTTTTGGGAGTTCAGAGCGAGCGGTAGATGAGCGGAGGATTTGAGGCAAGTCTAACATTATCCTAATACGGTTAGATACCCGCGGTTGTGGAATATTCTGGCTCGACACGGTTCGCGCCCGCAATCTTACTACAAGGATCCCATTGGCCGCCAGCATCGCCAAGAAAGGCTTGTCGCGGCTTGGGTCACACTCGACGGGCAATGACGAAGGTGTCATGCGCTCACCTGCCACCTCGGTTGCAGATCATCCGAGGAGGGGTAGTTGGGGCTTGTTTTTGAGGGACAAAGTATACACTTGTGCCGCATGACTGCTCCTGGCAGACACCGACGAGACCGACTGATTGGAGTTCGCACCGAGTATGAGTGTGTGTTTGGCAGTGAATTGACGTATCTGTATACTGCTACCTGAATAACAATAATGAGATAGCTGTCCACTTGCCTCCGAGATCAAGCCCGTCCCATGGCCTACGGCTCTCCTATGATCACCTGCGATCTTCTTGTGCTCCATATCTCGTCAGATGGCTGGTATATCCTTCGAGTTGCAGTGAGAATGTCCTGCATGTGCTAGTTCTCGCTTAGTCTTTCTGGCGGACGGTTGCCAATGTCTTTTGATGGTTGGAGGAGTGGCTCGGGGTATCCTATCCAGTCCACCGCCACTAGCATATAAAGCAATCGAGTTAGCTATGCTTTGGGTGTTGAGTAAAAACGCGTCATGGGCTAGATTTTCGATCGTGTCCCGAGCTTGATGATAATTCTCATCGTACGCCATCCCCGCAGTACCTCCAAATGCTAGAGCCTCCTCCTCTGTCTTGACCTCCTCAGCGCCGGTGAAGAGGCCTCCGGCGGGAATGTTGTTTTCTAGGAATGCACCGTAGTCTGAGCGGCCATCAAACGCCGTTGATGTATACTTGACCCCTTTAGCGATGTAGAATCCTTGGAAATCGGCTTCGATTTCTGCTGACCCTGGTGGCCCAGTCAAATTAAAGCTGCTGCCATCTCCATCATAAATCGCGTACACATAGTTTGGCGAGGCGATCATGTCGAAATTTAAGTATGCCCGAATCTTTGCTATCTCGCTCGCAGTCTGATTCAGCTGGCTGACATAATGGTTGGAGCCTAGCAGGCCAAACTCTTCAGCGCTCCAGAAGAGAAACCGAACGGCATTGGTGACTGTAAAGTTCGAGAGTGCAATGGCAACATTGAGGATACCAATTGTTCCGGAGCCGTCGTCGTTGATCCCTGGGCCTTGCTCCACAGAGTCGGTATGAGCTCCAAGTGCAATGACATTTTCGTGATCACCTCCTTTGGTTTCAGCGATCACGTTGTATGTAGTCCGGTTCTCGAGGATGGCGTCGACTTCAAGTTCAACCGTGACTTCTTCACCTGCTTCGAGCAAAGCCAGTAGAGCTTCTCCAGCAGCTTGTGTGATACCAACAACGGGAGTGTAGTCCCCAACGCCTCCAAGTGTCCCAGCCAAGGGACCCTCGACATTGTTATAAACGACTGCACCGACTGCGCCTGCACTCAGCGCATTGGTAGCTTTTTCCGCAAAGGGGCATTCCCCGCGAGAAATGAGAACTACGGCTTCTGCAGCCTCGAGAGGGAAATCTTCGGGCAAGCAGCCCAGGTTTGGGACCGCCACGAGTGATGCATTGGCCGAACCGCTCGGAGTATATGTCATCAGGCTCGCCTCTTGTTCTTCACCATTCGTTGTCAGGGAAGCACTGCCACCTGAGAAGAGTTCAACAAATTCCTGGAACTCGACATCGTAATAGTCAGTTGCTGCAAGTGTCTCGTACAAGAAATTGACAGTGTCATTGTGGCCAGGGCTACCAAAGACCCTGTTGCCTCCGGGATGTGCATCAGCAAACGCCTGGAGCTGGTTTGCGGCACTCAAAAGCTCATCAAGAGCGATAAGGGCCTGCAATGCCTCTGTTGTGACCGGAGGCAAGTCGTTGCTGGCAACTATTGCTGCAAGCGCAGCGAGGACAGAAAATGAAGCAGTCTTCATGTTTTCTCGAAGCGATACGCGATCGAGATAAGAGGTTCAGGAAAGCAGAGCTCGAGGAGGCTCATTGTGCCATTTATCAGGCCGAAATGTTGGCACGCGTGCATTAATTGCTATCAATTATTACGCATCTTGGTGGACCTGGACGGTGGGCATTGTAACGTCGTGTTGCAGCTCAAATGGCTTTTGCCAGACTGCTTTAGGCAGCTCAACCTTGCTACAGGTGGGTAAATCCTCTTGGTACACCAAAACTCACGAGAGATAAGTGTCTGGTAAGTACTTCCCGGAATTGGTGCAAAGGCCTTGTAGCTTGGCCACTGCACAGCTTGTGCGGTTACGGCAGGAGGAAACATCTCTTAACATGCAAAAGTGAGGAAGATTGGAAAGATGGAGTATTCCTCTAGCTTGACTACCTGAATATGACGTTGAATCCTGCAGATCAGACTTGGCAGGCAACATCAAGCTTGGAGGGTAGCAAGGTGTCCATCTACTGGAGGCGATACCAGCCTTGGCTCGCTCACCCTCCGAGTCAACATCCTAGGAAAGCTGGGGTTGCTTTGCAGGCTTGATCAATTGACCTGGTCAGCCATTGGCGAGAGTACTAGATAGACTTCCTCGAAGATCAATCCTTGTGCCACCTCAGAGTCGCCGCCCTCAGAGTCGCCGCCCTCTGAGTCGCCGCCCTCTTGAAGCACGCCACCACTAGGAGTGCCCACCTGGGTATTCCGTACTACCTAGATGCCCATCACGGAGAGCTTGGCATCGAATATCCTTCCAGATGCCAGCTGCACCGCTGTAACTCGCCAATAGATCGCTTCTCATTCTACCTTGGTATCACGATGGAGGCTCTGTGGACCGTCTCGTCATTTGACAATCCGATTCTGATCCATTACTGTCAAATTCTCTCACCCTTTCGCGTGACGCGTTTGAAACCACACACAGTAGCATGCATAATCTACGCCTGCTCAAAGGAAGTGTCTTCTCCTGGAAAGGACCTAGGACCTAGGAGCAGATAGATGTGCACTTGTCTGTCAAGTCCCGGTTATCCATGATCAAAGGATGAATATGCACTCCATATTTGGTGCTTCCGGGATGGTTCGAGGGCCAGGGCTGATATTGGAACGAGAATGGCTTTGAAAACCTTCCATGACTTTGACAGCACATGTCCAGCAACCATGTCCCCTAAAGAGAATAGTAGGGTGACCTTGCATAAGGCTGACATTTGCGGCTGCTAACCGACCTTGCCAATTGCCATGTGCCCGCACTACACTTACATTGCGAGGTGGATCCAACAATTCCTCCCAATTATCCAGTGCGATGACCTCAACACCAGGAACACTCCCAGCAGGTGATGATGCTTGACACGTTGGCTGTTGAATGAGTGAGTAGAGATTTGGAGATTGTAAAGATGTAAGAATGTCCAAGTCCGCCACCCAACGGCCAGAGTCATGCACCGAAACCACTGCTTCGATAAAGAAAGCTTCCACAAACCGTCCACCATGATCTCCAAATGTCATGGGAAATTCATAACCGGAGAAGCCAAGTTGTAGCGTCGTCGATCGAAAATTATCTTCCAGTTTTCCATTGAACGGCTCATGATTGACCATTTTCCAACTTTCCGAATCCACCTCACGTACCATAGGGCTTTTAGGGGGTATCAAGAAGGCTAGGCCAGCTCTGCCGATATTCCCGACCACCCGGTGGATTTCATATGGCTTGACATTTGCGGCGGGGTCACAAAGTAGCTGCGCAGCGACATATAGTGAGTCGCCACTGGCGATGGCCATAACGTTGTGCATTTGGTCGGGGGGCACCTGCATTACGCCACTTTCAAAATATGCAATACATGAGAATGCCCAAGGCCTTGCCAGGTGCATTTCCCGAGTGAAGCCGTGTTCGCTGGTGCGGGCTTCACCTGCCCACACCATTTCACTTATGGGCTTCAACGAGGAGAAGACCTTGGGAGATATGGTTGCGCCCGGAAGGCACTCGTAAACTTCTGCGGCTTGTGCAAGGGCAAGACAAGACCTCATCATGTTTCCATCATCGGACTCGAACAAGTTTCCCAAGTGCTCCGACAAACGCCTTGCACTAATAGTGTGAGTGGAGAAGGCTTCCAACAGGCTGAGAATGTGAACCCCTGAGTCCCCGAGCTGTCGGACGGCTCCTGCAGTGCCTTTAAGAGAAAAGAGAGACACGCCATTTATGTCACCGCCAACAAATTCGAAAGTGAGGGCTAGATTCTGTGGGCTAGGTAGACTGGCAGCTGTATCCTTTTTACTTTTCAGAGGCCATCTGAATCGTTCCTTCTTGGGGGGGATCGAATCTCCCACTCTTGTTACAGGACTAGAGGGGATATCAGAGAATTTGGGTGGGTTCTTCCACGTGAACTCTCTGCCAGTAGTGCCAAAATCAAGGTCCTCAGCTCTGCAAGCGTGTATAGGATTATTTTGTGGGACCTGCAACCCACGAAGTGGACCATCTGGCCCTGCACTTGGTATACCGCCGACAAAATACCAAGAAGGCGTAATCTTGCCCTGCCTAATCACGGGATGAAGAACTACCAGGACGGGTTCATTGCTGTTCTTTTCGCCAACCCGGAGGACCAAGGGAGTATCAGCATGAGTCCAATTTTGATAAATTGACATTAGGAACTGAAGCTGATGTTCAATCTTTCTCATGATGCAAATGAGATCAATCGACCGTAGATAGAAGACACCGGTCGAACATGTTCTGGATAACATTCCTGGACGACGATGTCCGAGCCTGACCAGCTTCGTCGCGGAATCGAGCTCTTGACCTTGTAACTTGAGAAATGTTTTTGCGGCCGCCTTGAGTGGGACAAGCCATGCTACCGTGGGGGCTTGCGAGGCTGGATGATCCGATCCTGTTAGCAGCGAGCCCATATGGGCTACCAGCTGAGCACCATCCCGGAGCTGGCTACTTGGTAGACCCCAGGACGCGATAGTTGCTCCAACAGCAGTTAGGAGGAATTGAGGGAACGTGAGTCTGCTCGACTCAGCGTCTACAACCCCGCGAGACAGAACTGAAGACCCGTAGTAGCGTAGGTACGCCAAAGACAGCGACCAATGAACCCCCGCAGATATCTCTGGGGAATTTTGTAGTCCTACCGTCAGTGTACCGCCGTGCCCGATTAGCTGATCAGACTGATGAAGGTTCCAGGTTTTGGGACCTAATACCACGACATCAGGATAAAGGTGCCAAGCCGAGAGCGCAACAAGAACGGCGCCATCTTGTGCGCTATATTGGTGGCCTTGCACCAGTTTGTCCATTGTAGAGAGCGCTGCGACCCATGCTTTGCAAACACTATCATACACCCTCGGATGGCTGCCAACCGGAATACTCACACTACTCAGCAGTGAAATCACATCTTTCTGTTGTTTTCTGATAGAGGGAGAGGCATCCGCGGCACGAAGCCATGCTCTTGCGCTTGCATCCCATTCGGCCAGTTGGCCTTGATCAATCGCAAGTTGAGCAGCTACAACATCTCTAGTTGGTACTGTATCAACATCTTTGTTCGGAATCAGGGCATTCTTGCGCTCCGCGACTAGCTCCTCCCAGATTGAGACTGCCTCGGCTGGTGACCACACGCGTGCTAGCATGCAGGCAAGAAGGTGGACTGCGACTGCACTTGGACCTGAGGTTGCCGCCGCCCATATGCTTGTCCCATCAAGCCCTACAAACTTTTGGAAAGGTCCATGCTCTTTGCTGCCAGGAGGATTGGTTCCGGGGTTCTGGATAATCTCTGATGCGCGGGCGCCGTAGGCATTCACGAGGCTAGGAATCTGGGGCAGAAGGGTCTCGAAAAGGGTACCGAGGCGACGTGCAATGACGTGAGGCATTCCATTCTCTGCGGCGTTGCGGCGCTGCAATGACAACGCAGCACCAAGCGGCTGGTACGAAGGCGGCGCTTCAACCTTCCAGATAGCGAAGTCAAAGTTCAAATTGGCCAAGGCAAAGGTGGTCTCTTGAGTTGCGGCCGCAAGGCTGGCTTGGAATTTGCCCACAGCAGTGTTCATGTCAGCTCAGACAGACAAGTAACGACCGAGGCAGTACTATACAATCTAATGGGCATGAAAGTTATTGAAGTCATCAACAATGGAAGGACTTCTACATCATGTCAAATCGACACAGGTTGAGATTCTAGCTCTGCATGCGCTCCTAGTTCTAACTTATTGTGGCCATGTCCAAAGTGGCGTACAGAAGTGTCACAAACTTCAATACTTCACGACTAGAAATTGTTTCCTCGACCTGGACATGCGCCTAGAAATGGATGGCGTCCAATAATTGCGACAGCTGCCTCAGCCACAGTGTCGCGAAATTTCGGCTCAGACCAATACTGAGAGAGAAACCCAAGCTTAACCAATTCGTGGACAGCCTCATCTCAGAAAAGGGGCCAACGAATCTGACTTGTACATGCGAAGAGCACTCCGTATAACTAGGCTTCTCGTTCTTAGGAGCATACAAAGCGAGAGTTCAGGCCCTTTTTTTGAGGAAGGTTCCGCCGGTAGCAGTCGATGTTCTCTCCCATGGACAGGGCAGCAGTTATTCGGTCCTTCATGCTTTAATCAAATCGTGTCTTTTCTCCATTTGCTACTGGGGCCTTATTACTGCTACGTCTTCGTTCAATGGTGTGTCCATGTGCCTGATATTCCTGCCGAGAGAAAGACTTCATTCTATCTTATTCCGAGATTAGGTGCGTGCATACCTCGTCCTCAAGGGTCGAAAGCCGCTCGACCTCCAAGGTGTAAGGTGGACCGCCGTTAAAATGCTCGACCTAAACAACGACTTTCTCCAACTTCATAATACATCCGGTGCTTCGTATCTTGAGACTGTTGAAAGACCACATCTACCGGTCCTTGAACAAGGTTACCAACGATGGGGCGATGATGACCTAGGCCAGACACCTCGCCGGCAGTATGTACGTTATCAGCGATTCCGAGGGATGCACCACATTCTAGATCTACCTGTTGCGCCTAAACTCTACAACAGTGTCAATCCTGTGCGGTCTGGATTACAACAGAGGTACCAAAAGGCTTCTCGGAACGAGTTCTCCCATGTGAGGTATACACCCGTCACTTGCGACCCATCCGAATTTGTCCATGAAGGATATACCTTACAGCAACAGTTATTCAAGAAGCCTAGGAAGACCGAGATATGCATCGCAGTTACGATGTATAATGAAGAGGAGTGGCTTCTGGGTAAGACCTTGGAAGCTCTCCATCGAAACATCAAAAATCTTCAAGGAGAGGAAAGAGCCGCACCATGGGGCCCAAGTTCTTGGCAGAAAGTAGTGGTTTGCATCATTTCTGATGGGCGTAACAAAATCAATCGGAAGACCAAGGCACTATTAGCTGCACTTGGGGTCTACCAGGATGTTGGTATAATGCAGAGTGTGGACGGTCGAGATGTCACGATGCATTTATTTGAGGTATTCCCCCGGACCAATCCCTGCTATGCGTCACTAAGCAGAGTCTGCAGTACACAACTCACAGCGTTATTCGTTGTGATGGCATGCAAGTATCCCTTGACCTTGATTCCGCAGGAGGCGTCCCCTGCCAAACGATCTTTTGTCTGAAGGAGAAGAATCAAAAGAAGATCAACAGTCACCGCTGGTTTGTGACAGCGATATGCGAAGTCTTAGACCCTGCTATCTGCGTCTTCCTGGATGCTGGAGCCATCCCCAGAGATGAGGCTCTCTACCATTTATGGAAACCTCTGCACGAAAACCCCACAGTGGCTGCGACGACAGGCTTCTGCACAAGTTATGCGAATTCAGCTTTAGCAGAAACTATAAATCCCATTGTCGCATTCCAAAAGTTTGAGTATCAACTCACTAACACCCTTGAGCGGCCAGTGGAGGCACTTTTTGGTCGACGTTTTGCTATTAACAAGGGCGGATTCGCGGCCTATCGATGGACGACAGCATCTAATCCAGACGGCATTTTTCGGAGCTACTTCGATGCAGAAAGGGCGTACAATGAAAGCCCCTCTCGAGCGAATTTGCTTCTCGTCGAAGATCGGACAATATCGGCCAATCTACTGCATACCAACCTCGATGTCTGGCGAACGATACCGGTTGATTCTGCAACTGTAGATGTGGATATTCCTCTCAGCTTTGAAGAATTCTGCCTTCAGCGCCGTCGATGGCTCAATGGCGATTTCTACGCCACGCTACATGAAGTAAAAAGTACTCCTCGCTACATATCATTCGGCACGTCTACAAAATTGATCAGGTGTCTTGGACTACTAGTAGGTGCCTTCTATCAAATACTGATGACTGGATTGCAGTATTTCGCCGTTGTAAGTTGAAATTTATTAATCATAACAGAAGATGCTGACTCGTGTGAGGGCAATTTGTTTATCTTCTTCTTTGTGCTCACAAACTCCATGTACTCCAACACCTTCTGGGGAGCCGGGGGGCATTGGGTGACTTTGGTGTTGACCTACTTATACGTTTTGGGGTTTGCCGTCGGTGTGCTACTCTCCATAGGAAACCGTCCTCAGTCAACCAAGCTTTACGCATGTCTTTCTTTCCTGTGGATTATGTTCGGAGGGTGAGTTTATTCAGAAGTAATTTCGAATCGAAGGAGTTTCTAACTCATTTCAAGATACCTCTTTGCTGTCCTAGTATACTTCGTGGTCCAAGCTTCTCATGAGATCAATCGACTATCGGGATTCTCCAACTCAAGTTTATTACGAGGGCAGCTGTTTTTATTTCTCGTGTGGCCACTAGCTGGCATAATTACTATCTGGCTTATTGCTCCGCTTACACTTGGACAGAAGCCACACACGCTAGCATCGGTACACACACCCTCACTCTCCTGCTCTACCTTAAAACTAATGGTTCCATCAGTCTACTTGGTATCCGCTGTGGCTCGTTGTCCATGTCAACCTTGTATCCGCATATGCATGGTGTAATGTCCATGATATTATATGGGGTGTGAAAGGCAATGATCGCCCAGAAGCCTTGCCTATAGTGAAAGTCAACAACGACGTAGTTATACCAGACACTGATGTCTACAAAGAAATTGACCCCCAGTCAGGAGATCTTATTCTGCACAACTTTATCGATCATGTCCAGATTCTAGACGGCTTACTTGAAGCGAACCTCGACGAGTGTCAATCGAGAACGCTTCCTGAGACTCGAACAAGAGATATAAGTACGAAGCAGGCGGATAGTTATCGGACCTTTCGTACCCTCACTGTGTTTCTATGGATTACTCTGAATAGTTTCTTAGTAATGGTGGTCATCAATATCCCCAAATTATCGACATTCCGACCAACAGCTAGTGGAGGAGAGGGCCTATTGTACATAGGCATTATCCTATGGGCTTACGCTGGATTGACAGGATTTCAGTATGGGTGCACGATCCTTTACGCGATGAGAAAATCTTGGAGATGGGTTCTTACAAAGCTTATGACTGGTAGGCTGGGACGGATGAATCAGTCTCAAGGTGAGGCGTAATAGATAATGGCCAAATTTCATCGCAAAACCATGCATCACTGCAATTTAAACTCATATTATCTGGCGAAATAATACTGGATAGTTATGATGTTTCAGGTGATTGAGCATTGCTTGATAGAGTAAGTACTGATACTACGTTTTCCCTACATCCCGTAGACTAGCGCAATAGATTACTTCTCGTCACTGATATTTGCAGTAAACGCGAGATCGTTTTACACCTATAAATTCGTGGGCCACGCCACTAGCATTAGCTTTATAGTGCTTGCGCCCATTTCTACTTTTGGTCGCAAAGCATTTAAAAGGCAGTACCTGTACGGCTGCAACTACGATACCGGCCCGCAAAATCATCATCATAGGCTTCAGCCCCTGCATTGCAGCTTTACTGAAACCTAAGACTTTTGTAGTGTGTTGGCTGTCTAGACGAAACAATTCATAAAAATGCTCTAGACGGCTAATTCAGGATTATCCGCGGAAACTGGGAGCAAGACTGGTCATATGACCGAAAGGTGGATTCCCTAAATACCATCTACCTAAAGGTGCCGGGGAGAAATACGTGATGTCCAAGTGGTCTTTCGAAGAACACAGCTACCCAACAGATACTGTCTCATTCTTGCTAGAGGCTAATCCGCCTGGTAGTGGTGTTGCTCAACTTCCTCCTAAAGCGTGAGGCGCACAGGGGAGTTGTCATGGGACTCTTCCCTGAATGGATTGCACACCGAAAAGAGCTCTCTTATAGCTTCTTCCTCTTCTGCCGGCAGTGTAGTTGGTGCGAGAACGGTATGTGAAAGCTCTGGTGAAAAGTATGGAGATGATCTCGGTAGAAGTTATGGCGATATTATCACTGGCATTGGTAAGTACGGCGAAAGAAAACTCTGAAGATAACTCACGAATCTAGTTCTTGTTAATGTATGTTAAGCTAACCCCGAGGATCTTATTAACGGACACGGTGACCGAAAGATCCTTGGAGACCTTCTCCATCGGCTCGGTTCAATAGAACGTACCCCACACCCCATCTTTCCTCATTCCAGCCCCATTGTTCACGCCTCCATATCTAGATCTAGTAATGCTGAGTGGAGATCTCACTACATCATTTTGCCATGACCTCTAACAATAAGCTAACGAGCGCAAGGAGGATCATTTATCCCCTCTCTCATCTCGGTCCTTAATCGCCCGAGACCTCCCTATCGCCACCTAGATAGTGGGAACTTCCCCTTAAGAGCAGGTCAGCGCACCACCTAAACCCTGCAGGAGATGGCCATCAGGTTGATTGTCCCTTTCTAATCGCTTCTATTCAGCAAGGTCACTTTATCCAAAGCGAAGCGGCTAAACTGGTAAGATGAGCCAGCCTACACAATCTGGCCTAAGAGGCCGCGCCCTCAACTGGGCTGTGACCGGTGCGTTCTTGATGACGATAACAATCTAAAGCCGTTGCATACTGACTATTTGCAGCGGCTAGCTGCCAGGCCTTTCTCCTTCTTGGATATGATCAAGGCGTTATGAGCGGTATCATTGGCGCTAATAATGTATTTGGTCGACAATTTGGCCACCCGGATGCAAACATGCAGGGTATCATCGTCAGTATCTACGACATCGGCTGCGCTGCTGGCTGCCTGGCTGCTTTTATGTGGGGAGAGCACTTCGGGAGGAAAAGGATGCTCCTCGCTGGAGGCTCAATCATGATAATTGGGACTATCATTCTTGGGAGCAGTTATCACACGTCCCAATTCCTCGTCGGCAGGATAGTTACAGGATTTGGCAATGGTGAGATGGCTCCCCAGCTCTGTTTTAATGTCGGGTGCTAATTATCAGGTAGGAATTAATTCTAGTACAGCACCTCCATATCAAAGCGAAATGGCAAATCCCAAAAACCGAGGTGCGCTTGTCTGTGCTCAGTCCATGCTCACCATCGTCGGCCTCTGCATCGCATACTGGTTAGACTACGGATTGAGCTTTGTGGATAGTTCGATTCAATGGCGCTTTCCCATCAGCTTCCAAGCTCTCTTTGCCATCTGTCTCGTGATACAGATGCTGCCGCTTCCGGAGTCTCCCCGTTGGCTTATTGAGAAGGGAAGAAATAATGAGGCAGCTACTGTGCTTGCTCGATTGCAGGTGGTCCAGCCAGCAACTGAACAAGATGAGCACGTCGTGCTTCTCTGCAAACAAATCGAAACATCCATCGAACTGGAAGCTGCTGCTACTGGAGGGTTTAAGTATTCTGAGCTTCTAAGCGGTGGAAAGCTCCAGAACCTGAGACGAATGGTGCTTGCTTCTGCTGTCAATATCATGCAACAATTTACGGGTATTTACTACGACCCATAATGTCTCCCGTTTGTTAATTAACGAGCGCAGGCGCGAATATGATTAACTACTACGCTCCCGTTGTTTATCAAAACGCAATGCATCTAAGCCGAAACCTCTCTCTTATCCTTGGAGGATGTACATCGCTTACATACCTTGCTGCATCTTTCATCCCCCTCTGGACTGTCGACAAATTCGGCCGGCGCTCGCTCCTCATGATCTCCGCCTCTGGCCTTAGTTTCTGCTTCATGATGGCAGCCATTCTTCTCTCTACCGGCACAGGCAGTGCAGCCTACGCCGCAACTGCATTTATCTTCATCTTCCAAATATTCCTCGGCATTGGATTCCTGCCAATTCCATGGCTTTACCCCAGTGAGGTAACCACAACACGAATCCGTTCAAGAGGCCAAGCGTTCAGCGGCTTCATGAATTGGATGTGTGTCTTCACCGTCGTACAAATCACGCCTATTGCCATCGATAATATTGCGTGGAGGACGTTCATCATCTTCGCTATCTTCAATGCTGGCTGGTATGTTAAGCCTAGATACATGCGCGCTGCGATTAAATTTTATGTTAGGGTTCCTATTGTGTACTGCTTCTTCCCCGAAACTAAAGGACTGCAGCTGGAGGATATTGATCATCTATTCGACAAGGGCGGTATTACTGGAGGCGTGTTTTCATCGAGAGGACACACTATACATCCGGGATTCTATGCCGCTCAGCAGAATGTAACGTCTATTGAGAAACCACTAGGCGAGAAAGAGACAACGGGTACGGAACTCGTATAGATAGGTCGGAAGATTTCTTTCTTCTAATTATAGTATAATCCAAATCTAATACTTATCTACCTAACTGGTAGGCATCACTCGTGCCAACAGGCATGTTTCGCCAGTAGATATATATGTTCCTAGGCAAAATAACAAAATAGAAGTCCCGGACTACTACGCTACCTAACAGGCCAATAAGTCACACCACTCTTCCTCAATACGTTTCACCACATCCCATAACTCTCCTGAATTCTTCAACTCGCCCATATTTTGTACCAATGCACCTTCTTGCTGATACCTCTCCCAAACTAATATTTCCTCCCCCAAGCTTGTCTGGTTGACGGAGACGTGACTTCTAAATGCTTTTAGGTATGCATCTGTGAATATCTGCCACCGTGGCAGATAGTATGAGCCGACAAGCCCTGCCCATTGACGTGATGCATAGTCGCTGATCTCGCCGTTGGGACCCCAAAGCGTGACTTGATTGATAGCATTTCGAGCCATATAGTCCGTCGCACAGGTGTTGGAATATGCCCATGAGCAAGCAGCGTTGACCCAGGAAATGAGTGATGATTCAGGCGATCTACTTGGAGTATATCGCAACATATCGTCAAGCGTCGTCAGGAGGAAGAGCATTTGGTTCTGCGCTTGGGTAGCTGCATTGAGAGAAGTTTGATGGTTAAGTCCCTCCCTTTTAAGGTCGGTGTGCGCAAGGAAGGTATTGTACAAGGGATAAAATGCATTCGCGAGTAATTGCCGTGTGAGATCGACAAGATCAAACTGATATGCTACGTTCGACCTCAGAGATGGTACGGTATCGGCTGCGTCGAGAAATGTGCGCCAAGCTGATACGAGAGTGGTTGGATCGTACACGATCTTGGTGGGAATATGGGTTGGACTCTCCAAAAGACCAGTTTCGTTGGGAGCAAGCTCAAAGATGGATTTGGGTACTGAGAAGGCGGATGTCAAGTCGGTGTTGTTGTAAACGGTCCGCAGCAGGGTGTCCCATGTCTCGTATATGGCCTTCGGCAGGACGCCGCTTGAGGCATCATCGTATCGAGTCTTTGCCCACTCATGGAAGTATTGAGGTAAATTGATAGGCGAAGACGACCATGCTTGGGATAACAGCCTATCAAGCAGCACTGTTAGCATGGGAAGGTATGGTTAAATGACAGCACTCACAGGTCATACATAATCTCATTACCCTCCTGGGCCTCCATGGTGAGTCCAAAGCCCACAAGGGACGCTGAGCTGGCTAATGCTTCGACTGAATTGATCGTCACATTCATGACTTGACCATATAGTCCCTGATTCCCGCCAAAGTCGTGGAGCTGGCACCAGATCCATCGCTTGCCGAAGTAAGAGTCCAGGTTTTGCCACTGCGGATATGTCTCTGAGTACAGATCCAGAATCAGCATGTCGTTATCTTCGGGGACTCCGTCCAGGAAGGCCTTCACTCTTTCCTTTGTCCAAAAGTCCGCTCTGTAGAAAAACAACCAGCCTTGAAGCATCCAGATAGCGTCTGGATCTACGTCCTTCAGACTCTGCCAGACTGCGTTGGCAAGGGAACCTAGATCCTCGAAGTCTCCAGATATAGGATCATTCTCGTTGAACTGGTCGAGGGTATATATATGAGTAATGTTGCCATAGTACTCCTTCTGTTTCTGCAAGAAACTCTTCTGTAGCTGTGCGAAAAGCGGATCAGAAGGCTCCAGAAATGTGACATTTGAAAACTCGGAGTTAAAGCCGTTCCACCGCGACATATTGACTACATTAGCCTCCGGAAACAATACCGGAAAGGCTCGTGGCACAAACCCGGTAAAAGCTGGTAGCACGGGGGTCATCCCGAGTTCAATCATGCGCTTCAGGATCTTCTTCTGCAGCTCGAATTGCGAATCAATCCAAAAAATGGGGAGCTCGCCCGTCCAGGAGCTCTGAATGTTGCCAAACCGATTCCATGCTTGAAAGGCAGGGCCACTGAAGAACTCCAAGACCTGTTCTTGGCCAAGCCCTGCATCCAGAAAGGTTTCCAGCAAGATTTTCTCGTAGCCCACCCAGGCTAGGGGTAGATTAACGCCTCGTAAAGCAAGCCAGTCCAGCTCGAGCTCCCAGTCTTCCCATGACCAGAAGGCTGTGGTATACGAGAAGGTGACTGCAAGTGTTAGTTTGAGAGAAGAGTCCCGTTATTCCACCACATACCCGTGTTGAAATGATACCTCCAGGAAACAATGCTTGAGCCATTCAGCGGCTCGCATGCCAGTAACGTCTTGAGCTGATGCAACTGGCTCCCAATGGACCAGTAGACGTCAACATGCGCAACATCAGCAAGGTAGCGGTGCAATCTGCAAGTTGATTTAGTTATTGATACTCCCGGTCTGAGTAGCACTGACCCTGAAGCGAGAGCAGTGACGGAGTTTCCCTCGATGTTCACTTTGCCGGCATCGCAACGAACTACGTACACGTCGTTTGATGCAGTTGAGGTGTAGTTTTCTTCATGAAGGACAAATAATATATCCTCTGCATGTATTGAGAGGTGCCGCTTGACCAGATCTGTCAGGCCTTGTATAGAGCCAGATGAAACGAGTGGTAGGGACGCCAACAGGGTGGGCAATATTATAAGAGGATGCATGCTCGGCTGCACGGATACTGCTTGCTATTGTAGAGACGCAAATATAGCCAGCTAGGCTTTATGACGATTTCAAAGGATGGTTTTGTAACCTATACTTAATCTTTACATTTCACCTACCTATAAAGGTAGCTCCCATTATGGCTCCAGTGGCCTATTGTCGCAGCGGTCGACCAGAAAAGGATAGTACCTGCGGATATATCTCCCTGACTAGCGTGCCGGGAATTAAACTCTGTACCATTCAATTCCTCTAGGGTTGTGCTCGGTTGTGACGGCTAAAACTTGAGCGTTATTTAAGTGGGTCGATTCCAGCCCTTGCGGTCAGGGGCCCTGGCTAGGTGCTAAGCTTAACGAGTACGCACCGGAAGGACGATCCCACGACAGTGCTATGGCCACTGTTCGAGGACATCCTTATGTAGTAGACCTAGCAGTGCTTTTCGCGGTATAGTGGAGACAAATATTTGTTAAGCTTTCTACTGCGTACTCGCCTTGCTTGAACGCTTCCTAAACGATACTATCCCTATCCCCTCCGCGGATGGGTGGGTGCTCTTTTGGGTTAGCGCGTGCCACCTCGGATCCTCGATTCATCGACAACCGCCAAAACACTCGATTGCTTCCATCCGTCCGATGTTACACCACTCTGGCACCTTACGGTGATCGCAACGTATCTCCGCTCAATTCCCCCTTGTGGACCTCTGCTTGCGCTCTCAAATATTACTGTCAAAAAGGACATAATCTCACCATAAAACCCTGTCGCATTGGTGGCGAAATTGGTCCCGTGCTCTGCGTGTGGGTGAAGGTAGGTCTTGATGACCCGCACGTGGGAAAAGGTGGAAGCTTACTCCCCGACCTGGTAGAACGAAGTTGTGCAGTTGCCCCCGTATACTAGGAAGTCATTTTCGCCAGTCGTGAGCATGATTGGCTTCGTGAAGGACGGAGCATGGTAATTCAACGCTGAAGCGCTCAGGAACTCCAGCAAAGAGAGAGGCTGACGAATCGATTGCGCGTATTCGACGGTTGGGACGTCGTACGGTGCCCGGAAGAACAGCTGTGCATACGCATATATGTCGCCGAAGTCGGCGTAGCCGGTATCCCGAGCGAAGTCATGGCCATCGGTGTCTGCGAGGCGGGGGTGGAAAGCGATGGAAAGGAAGCGCGGGATTACTACAGCCAAGGGAAATGGATCGATCGAATCATTTCCTAACGCCATTCCAGTGAGAACAGCACCTGGGCCATAAGGTCAGTTGTGTACTCCACGAACCGAAAACGCTGACGTTCGCATTGTAATCCATTCGCAAGCGCGCCACATACCATCGATAAGATCCCCGTACTTAGACAGTACAATATTCGTTATCCTAGAGCCTATAGAATGACCAACGGCCACGACCTTACTAGCTGTGACGTTCCCGGTATGTGCTCCGATTTTCATCTTTTAGACGATCTGCGCTAGAAGCTTAGCCTGATAATTGACCGAATTTTTATATCCCGACATTTTGGGGAGGAGGAATTAGTTGGGGGCAACAACATAGGTCATAGGCTAACGAGCATTTGTGAACGTCTAGTTCTTACTCGATTGTACTAAAAGACGAGTAACTATTTTCGAAGCATTCCTAGAGACAAAGCAAATAGATGGTGCGACATATATATTACGTTTACTTCGCTTATATACATCGTCCGGAGTCAAGGACTCTTATAGGTGCTTAGCTAACATAACGTCCCACAGACTATTATATCGGTAATCGAGTGTTATGTATGCGAGGTCTCTACCTAGCGGTGTAGTAAATGTATTGGACGTCGATTTTTATGCGTAGTCTACCTGTCCTCTATTATAGTTTTCGAGCTTTCGTAAGAGTAGGAGCAGGACGAAAAGATATAGACTAAAGAGAGCTGTGTTCACGATTGGCGACTAGTGTAATCGCTAAGAAACACGGACCGGCTTAACCTAATTATAGTGTTACGAACCATGTCGACATAGAAATATCCGGATATAAAATATATCACGTGACACAGGCTTAGGGCGCTTAGTAAGTCTGGGCACCATGTAATGTGCCAACCGTATAGTGTACCACTTGTCATGAGTACTAACCACTCAATATTATCGTACATTGTCTACTCTATAGACTCATTAATATTAAATTAATGTACAAAAGGTGTTAGGACGTTATCTAACTACCTATCCCGCGTAGTATTTCTAGTATTCGGTGGTATAGAAGGCCTCGTCGTCGCCTCTAAAGCCTCTATACCCTGCCTAGCCTACCTAATTATCTCGATACTCGTAAAGACCTTATTATAGTCGATTACGACTCGCCGTTACCTCGTAGTAGTTAGCTTATTTAGTTATATACGCTAAATAGTAAGTTCCTACGATTTTAGGGTAATATCCTACTATAGTCGATTAAATACCTTACTCGTTTTTTAAAGTAATCGACGTATAGGACGAGAAAGTATCTCCTAGGCTAAAATCGAGTCTATTTCTCGTCGTACTTACTATCGAGTAAGTAGCGTATAAATATTATGCGATACGTATTGAGCTTACTTATATAACGGCGGCGTAGTCGGTAGTATTTACTCGTTTTAAAGGTTTTATAGGACTTAATAAGATCGGATAACTTTACGAGGGTCCTAAGGATAAATACTAGCCGTATTCCATCCCGCGCGTATACGAAACGATAAAAGACCCTTATTACTTACTTTTTTATAGGTTTTAAGAAACTTATTCTTCTTTACGGCCGCGGCGTCGTCGTACCTAGCTAGGTTAGCGATTTCGTCTCGGTAGTGTCACGAATTAAACCCGTAGGATGTCTTAGTAAGAACTAGCGACGTCTAGATTCGACCGTATAGTTATACAGCCGATCGATATTACGTAATATTATAGATATCTTAGCGAGCGACGCTAAGACTAAACTAGCGATACCTAGACTCGACCGTATAGTTATATAGCCGAACGATATTACGTAATACTAATAGTTACCTAGAATATCGGGCGACCTACTCTAGGAGACTATATCTCCCTATTAGATAGCGGTAGGGCTTCTTTCTCTCTTTCCTTTAGCTTAACGTCCTTATTAGATAGGTCCTATAGTAGTTAAATAAGCTCCTATTAAAACCCTTATATTACGTTAAGCTTCCTATTATATAGTTAAGAGAAAGAGTTCTTATCGTATAAGTATTACGAATTAAACTCGTATAAAGCTCTAGAGTATACCCTAGAGCGATTACTCGTAGTATACCTTTAGACTATATAACTATATAGCCGAAGCTACGTAATTCCTCTCTATCGATTATCTCCTAGGAAACTATACTAACCTACTATAGAAGAGGGTAGAAAGTATTTCCTTTATTCGTATAGTAGATAGATTTTCTCTTTTCTTTCCTCTCCTTAGCTTTAGAATCCTCGTTATACGGTAGTTAGACGAATTACTCTAAATTCCTAGCTAAATCCTTATATTATTCTAAAGCTTTCTATTTTATATAGCGAAAGAGTATCGCGTACGAAATAGATAACGAATAGTAACTAACGAAAACCGCTCTAGTATAGGCGGTAGAGCTATACTAGTTCTTATAGACTTAAAACTAAAGAATAATAGTACTCGAGAATTAACTCGGCTAATAGAATAGAATATAAGCTCGTACGCCTAAAGTAACGACTTCTACGACGGCGAGCGCTATATAGGAATTCGACTCTATACGACGAAAGACTAAGCTTCTCGAGCTAGCTAAATTTAATAGAAAAAGATTAGAATTTCGATTATAGCTTACTTAAGCTCGAGCTAAGTTAGCGGTTAATAAGTAAGAAGAAATCGAAGTCGTACGATTTTAGTATCTCTATAGTAGACTAAGGAACTATACTCTTACTTAGGTTAGCTCGTAGGTTAATTTTATATAATTAATCCTCGAAATAAATATAAAAGGACTTATTAGTTAATTAAAGGTAGCGTATAAGGACGTCGACGTCGTAGAAAGAGTATTACGAAAGCTTTCTTAACTAAAGTAGAACGAAAAGTCCTTTAGCGTATTTCTCGTCGAGTTTAATCGTACGCTACTCGAGGCTAACGAACTAAACTAGGTCGACTCGATAAAGAAAACGTTTATATTAAACTACCTTTTATACGACTTAAAGAGCGCCCTCGTTATAACGCTAATTCTATTAATCTATAGGGAGTACTATACTTTCTTCTATATAATTAATATAAACTTAAAGGTTCTTCGATAGAAGAAAACTAGAGAGAAGATATCTAGGAGTAATCTACTCGATACTACTAGTCGTATAAAAGATAAAATAAATTAAACGCCGACGATATAAGCTATAGCGTCCTTAGCGAAACTATAGAGAACTTTATAGATATTATAAACGATACTTAACTAGAAAAAGGAGCTTAGAGTATATCTTCGCTATAACTAATAAAAGTACTTTATCGTTAAATACCTTCTTCTTTTCGTTATACGACCTAAGACGAAAAGGAAAGTAGAAGTACTAGAGACTATAGACGATAATAAGAAATTATTAAAAGAGTAGCTTCTACTAGAAGTCGCTAGTAAGAGCGTATAAAGAAGATAAAGAAGGAATAGAAGGCTTTTCGATCCTCGATAGTAGGCTACGCAACGGGTTAGGTTAGATAACCCGTAGACCTTTTATAATCCGAGTAAAAAGCCCTATAGGGTTTTTAGTCCTTATAAAAACCCGATTAACTAAAAAC